TAATATGATGTAATTTATATTCTTTCCCTTTTTTAGATTTTCATGATCTACGATTAATGTATCAATTTATTCTATCGCTTGTCTCATGTTTTAGCCTTGACGAAAGCCCCAAAAATTGAAAGGCTCACGCTTTTTCACTTTTTCTGCTTCCTCAAACAATAGACCCGATATCGTCAAAGGGAGTAAGAAAGGAATAATAAACCAAACCGCAAAGAAAATCAATCTCCAAAGAGGAAGTAAAAGGAGCGAGTGAGATTGAAAGGTTCAAGGATAATATTATCGATTTATGATTTTCTGTCGTCGTTGATATGTGCTATTTATTGGCATTTTCGAATGAATATTTTATCTGGTGCCATGCTTATACTTTATTATCTATTATTATTTTCTCTTCCGATCATGATGATGATGTATAAATGTAAAAGGCGTTCTTCACTGCGTACATATTTGTTTCGAAATGTGCCTCTTTCGTTCGTTTCAGACATTGTAACTTAATGCCTCACTTTTTTTCCTTTGCAATAAATATCTGTCAAACACTATATATCATCCATATATTGATCATTATACTGTGCGAGAAACGAGTGCTTTGGAATAAAATAATTTTATTGGCACTGCGAGGAACGGAAATCAGCACAACCTGGAGGCGTCATTATCTTTGGTTTTATTTGCTACGCATGTGAGTGGAAACAGAAATAATAATAAAGTATGAATGATGAATGTTTGGAAGATACTTAAGAACACATATAAATGCGTAAGAAATGATGGAAATGTATATATGGAGATATATGTTGATTCATTAAATCCTTCTGAATGTTTTTATACTGAAAAAGGAGAAAAAATCTTTGAAAAGCTATTCATGCTGTGATATTAAAAAAATGAATTTCTTCTTAGTGCCATGTTGATTCATCTTTTGGTTTCCGTATTTCAAGCGCAATAAATTTTCTTGCTGCATCAAATTTATTCATAAACCATAACGCAGACTGTGACGGAAGCGAAACAGCATTAAACAAATTAAATTTCTTTTTTAGTGGCCAGCTGACCAGAACTGACTCAAACAGTAACAACGAGAATAAGAGAACAAAAAAGCAGCAGATACAACTTTGTCATGTAACCGCAATTTAATGCTGATGAACATTTCGAAAGCTAAAAAAAATTGTTAGAGATGACCATGCTTCTGGAACTTTTCCCGCAATGTTTTCACTTCTATTTTTCATTATCTGTCATGCAGATTCGAAAAAAAATGAACAATTTGTGCTGAAACAATAAAAAGACCAAGCGAGTTAAGTGCGAAAGTAAATCTAAATCGTGCTTTGAAGAAAGTCCTAAGCAAACAACTTTTCTATTATCTTTCATGGGCTTTTGTTTTAAATGAAAATTTGTGCTCCTTTTTTCTTCTTCTGTCCCCGAGAATATCTCGTGTGAAGCGATGATAAGCGCTTTATTTTTCCTGCCAATAAATTCTTGTTTCCCTCGGCATTTTGTTTTCCATTAACGAAAATTCACTTTGATATATTTATGATGTTAAAACTTGTTCGATAATAATTTCTTAATCGCTCTTATTAAAATAAAACTTTCGTTTAGAAAATATTTCCTCTCCAATTTTTATTGAATCAAGTGAGTAAGAATAACTTTGAGACAAAACTTTTTTCATTACGACACATGAGAAGCACATAAATAATATTTCTTAACAAAAATGAAGTCTCACATATTTTAAAATAATTAAATTACTGCCTAAGTTAGGAACTTATATCTCATTTTCAGTTGGAAGAGAAAAATTATATCAAATTAAATTCTGCAGTGTGAAATTATTCTCATGAAAGTTTCTCTTACACCTCCAGCTACATTCGTAGATACGCTTTGAGTATACACAATCATTAATTCAACGTTCTCCTACTTCTTTTACTTTTGTTTCCACTTGTAAACATCTCCGCCTTTTCAGACTTTTTCCTAAATCAAATCCATTGTAAAACTAACTACAAGATTCATTACAAAATGTTTACACATCATATGAGTGGGAAGTTGAAAGCAAAGAAGTTAATTTTTCGTTTTTCTCTCCGTTCACTTTCAATTTAAAGATTTTAAGTGCTACGGAAAATTTATCGTTTCGACTTAAGGACGGAATAGCTTTGGAAAGTTAAAATGAATTGCGGTCAATGAAGAAGAGAGCTTTTCTATGGGTATTCTAATGGAAAATTATTGAGGTGATTTAAAACAAGCTTCTCAAAATTTTGCATCCTATTTAATTTCATTAGAATTGTGACGGAACGATGGATTTCTTCTTCACATTTAGAGATCGAGATGAAAATTTCTAAACATCTTCTTATAGACAAATTAATTTCTTCTGAAGTACTTTAACAAAAAGTTTTAATAAGTTGATGTCATTTGAAAAAGGCCCTTGAAAAGGAAAATAGGAATCAACTCACTCTTTCTCCAATTTACTTCTTAGAGCGCTCAAATAATAAAATAAATGAAATTCTTCTCAGAAAATAGATTCATTTATGTCTTCATTGTCCGGAACGTTTCACACTGGAAGACTTAACAGCAATGCTTCCATTTAAAAAGTTTTCATAATAAAGGAAACCATCTTTAATTAAGTGTTAAGAATTTGAATTTTCGTCTTGTTTTCAACTGGAACAAAAACAATTCACGCTAAATAGTTTTTCTCGTTTGAGTTAAAGAGTTGAAATGAAGGAATTATAAAGATAACAATGTCATCAAGTTATTCTAGGATGAAATTTTTGCACCATTATCAATTCTTCACTTGAAGTTTTTGAAAGAATGAGAAGTAGGGATGTCGATTTGACATTTCTAATTAAAGAATTTAAATATTTAAAGAATTTTAAAACAACTTTTATGTCAAATATGTTGTTGAAATTATTTACTTAAAAGCTTATCTAACCAATTAGGGTCATCAATTTAATTAACAATCGACATCCCTACTAAGAAACATGAATTTATTATCTCCTTTGATAATTCCAGTAAAGTTCTGAAGATATCTTCTTATAAGAAGAACAACTGATTTAATGAAGAAAGTTTAAACTTGTTTAACCTTCTGTAAAAAATCATATTTTTAAATTAATTAAAATCTTCAAAGCTTCCATTCGAGAGCAAAGATATTTGAAATAAGAAATAATAAATTCATTCACAGAATAATGTAAACAACTTTAATGTTTAAATTTCATGGAGGAAGTTTCTGCCTGTGTAAAAAGGAATGCTTAATAAATTGTATGGAAAATATTCGCGAATAATATTAAATTAAATAAAAGCTTCCATAAAATACAGAAAACTAGGAAGCTTTCGTTGCTTCTAGTAGGATTCATTCGCATAGCAATTGAAATTGATACAATCAAATATTTAAATTGAATTCCACTAATTTATTTTATTGGATTTTATTTCAACACGATCATATTCATGAAGTTCTTGATAATTTTCGATGCCATTACATTATGTAGACTTAAACTTTTTCATATTGGATAGGGATTATTAAGAGTACAGCAAACTCAATTGTTTGTATTTATTTCTACATAAAGTGAAAAACTTGCTTATGTTGCGTCCTACATAAATACATTTAAGTATATTGGAAATTGAATGCTGTTTTAAAAGGATGAAATTTATTTCGAATCAATGTAGTTCCACTGAAGCAACAACTAAACAATGCTTAATGAGGAATGTTATTGCACTAGAATTTCAACAGCATTTGTACTACAACTGCGTAACGATTTTAAAAGTGCTCTGACAATCCCAACATGCTGTTCTATTGTTTTTAATAAAATTATTGTAAAAGGAAATTAACATGGAAATTACTGAACATTTTTCATTTCACTGTTTAACTAATTCAAAAAGAAAAGATTTAATTTGAAATAATTTCATAATTTATTCTTTCACCTAGACTGCATTTATGCTGTAAATTACGATCTCACTTTAAGCCGTAATGAGCTTAATGCTTTTAGGAAAAGCTCTCAAACAGCATAATTTCAATTTATGACGGTTCACTATTACGAACCAAAAAGTTTTTCATTTGAAATTAATTGTCCAGATTAGAGGGCATTGCTTTATAAAAGTTTTACGACAAATATACACTTTTGTACATATTAAAACCATAAGGGATTCACATAAACGCATTATGATGTAACATTTTGCATTTTAAAATGATTTATGACTTGTGTATGACTCCCACACTATTCTCTCACAATGTGACTCGAATTTTTGATATTGAATTAAGTGATTATTTACCCTGAACACCTTCAACGTTTATTAATGTAAACTGCATTCCACGTTCTAACAAATTTCCTCGAAATTATCATTTCATATAAAGTTCAAACTTACAACAATTCCGTTCTTATCTTTAATTTATTGGATTGAAATTATGAGCGGTTTATGAGCTTTAATGACGGAAGCTTGTGAATAAAATTTCAATTTCTTTCTAAAGTCATAAAGTAATTTTAAAAGCCATTGAGTGGAAAATCATTTTGCGACATAAAAGATCCGGAAAGAATTGAAACTTACGACCGGAATGCTAAATTGAAAACAAACGTTATAGGTTGGTAGAACAGACGTTTCATGAATTATTATTCAATGAGTAAGAACACATAATCCGATCGTTTCAATAATTTTGCATCAAGGTAGACCATTAAATTAAATCTATTTTCATTGAGGTCAAATGCACAAACATCATTTATGATTCTCGACATTTTTTCTTTCATCTTACCGGAACATTGAATTTCACATTCAATTTTCATATCATCATCAAGGGAAAATGATTTTACGAAGGGATCATGACATGAAGGTAAGATTTTTCTTGAAACGCGACGAGAAAATTAAATATTGTGATAGCTTTAGGAAACAACTCAACCATAAAAATATAGAAAATGTGTCACATGGCATTTGCAAGATGCTTGTCTTCTCTAAATGAAAGAAAACTTTTTTTTTCTGCTTCTGTCATTCAGATCTATAACAGTTCAGAAGGAATAGGAAACAGGAACTTAATATAATATGTATCATCGTCATATCGTTTTCACCACATCAGAATGAGTCAGTTCGGAGTTATATTGAATCTTTATAGAAAAAAAAGAAAACATTTACTTATGCCATGATATGAATCTATTTCTGATGACAAGTTTCCATAAAAATTGTTTCGAAAGATGTCAGCGATAGTTCTGCTTCGAAGGCAAATGATAAATTCATCGTAAGCGATAGCAATATGGTGTTCATATGTGCAATGGATTTATTGTTTTTTCTTACTCTATTGTATGTTGTCAGTAGATTTTCTCTGTAGTGTTGTGCAATCGCAAGTTTAACGAGAACGATATTAACAAGGTTGGGGATGTAGTTTCTTTCAAAGCGAACTTGAGCTTGAACTGATACTGTTTTGATTTGATTTTTGATGGTACAACCAGTAACTTTATATAATCATGTTTGATGAACTTTAAACTATCAAACATTCCATAAGCAAACAATACCAAAATAGTTTCCGAAACAAACTAAACTCATGTCATTTAAAATAGGAAATGATAAAATCTGCTTCAACTCGATTTATTGTAATTTAAAACTCAATTAATTTTTAATGAAATAATAATAAACATGTTGCTATGACAGCCCATAAACATATATATTTATGTTGATCAAATAAAACTAATAAATATTTCCTTCGTTCGCCTCATTAAGAATTTATATTGAAGTATTTTATAATTGAGAAGCTTATTATAATTACACTGATTAATGACGAAGAAGAACAATCATTTTCAAATAATGTTCAGTAGAAATCATTTCCAACATAATGTAATGATTTATGAGTTATTATTCCTATTAAACAGAACAATTAAATGAGAGTATCATGTAGTAATGATAGTTAAATGCACACAACTGAATCACCATTCTAAAAATTGCAAGATAATTTAACATCATAATAATAATCTGTTTTATATCAGTGATGTCATGACCACAGCACAGTCATAATAATAAAAAACACTTCTCATTTCAGTGGCATTTGCTCAACAAAGCTTCCATTGTTCATGAATTATTTCATAAGAATCATAAATTTTCATTTGGTTTATGACGCGATAATATAAAATATATAAAAAAAATCGTACGACATAAAAATCCTTTCGCTTTTGCATCAAACACACAAACAAAAAGAAATATTACGTGCTTTAAAGTGTCATAAAACTCGTTTTTGTGTGTGTTTTTTTTTCTTTGGGTTCAGAGGAAAGATTTCTTTTTTCCTTTTTCTTTTCAACTATAATTTGTCAACAATTTCTCCCTCGAAGAGGTTGTCAACGAATTGTAATAGAAAAAAAAACAACATTTCACACATATCATGCTTGAAGGCAAACAAGGAAGAAACAAGAGCAAAGAAAGCTTACGAACAAGTTTCATCTATCTGGTAAATGACTTCATTATCTCGATGGGAATCGCTGTTGAAATCGCTTCAAAATGAGTCAATTTGAATTGTAAAATTTTCATTTCTAGTCTGGCTTTGAGCTAAACTTAAAAAAAATCCTTTCGTTTCTACGTTGGTTTGTTGCAAAGTTTTGCGTGCCTAGCGTATAATTTTCCAATAAAATTTTTTCACCTATTAAACTATACAGCAGCATGACGATGACGGCAAGCAGAAGGAAGCAGAAGCAGCATGTGCTAGTTAACAATAATTGGCTTTAATGTTCCATGCAAAAATTACCCAAGGGAGCAATATAAATACAATAGATTTTCGCAGGAGTTTTTTGTTTTTGGGGTGGAGACGGAAAGGAGAAGGAAAACGAGCCTCAAAATATTAATGTTTCTGTATGGCAAGCTGAGTTGTGCGATGGAAAAATAGAGATATCATTATACAATATAACTTTACGACTTCGTAGATATTTACATGATTCGAAAGGAACACGCGTCACATAACACTGAGTTTTATTGATATGACACGTAATTACGTCGCCCGATGAAAACATTCCCTTCTTCTTACGCAATTCTTTCGAAGCATGCCTGACATGAATTATCTCTTGAAGATTTCCATTTTCATTTCCCATCTTCCCATGCAACTTCAGTTTATGTGACACAGATAAACAGAAGAAAAAAGTTTATTAAGATCCAAACAATCTCAGCAAAATATATTTTATGATTCTTTCCCGGAAGCTCTTCCGAATGTGATTTAATCAATAATCTTAGAAAGAATTCAATTCCACTTTGACGTCATCTGATTTTATTACGTCTTGTCGTGACTTCATCAGACTTCAAATTGATGTCAAGTTTATTTTTAGATTAGGAATTTTATGTAAAGCTCTCTTGAATTGCGTCTAAATATTGTCAGTCGTTATCACATTTCATTCACGCTTTTCAATTTAATTGTATTTGATTGAAACAATTGAACATGTTTGCTTTGGGTTATGTCTAAGTATGTACAATGGACGAATCGTCTCATCATTGTACAAAATACCGAGACACGTACAAACATAAAATTATAATCAATTATCTATTTAATATCTACATTCCACCTGATTCATCATAAACGATAAACATTGATTCACTTTACAACGTGGCGTGTTTCGTGTAAATTAATTTTGTCTATTCTTATGCCCCATGGGTTTGTATGAAACTGCTTTGATATGGCCAATCGATATTTAATTGATGAAGTACAAAGTACAAATTAATGTTACAACTTAAAACCATGCAATGTTAAAAAAAAGTTTTACGTTGCTTATGAATGTAAATTTTGAATGACTTTAATGAAATCTCATAAAATCATGCTGCTGTTCATATTTTGATGAAGACTATCCGACTTGCTTCAAATTAATAATATTAATGTTAACGCGGCCTTACATAAATGAGTCTACTCATTTTGCCATCCGCTAAACGATTTGTATATTCAACAAATTTTCCAGTCAATATCATGAATGTAAACACAAAATATGATAAAATGGCGAGCCTTTTTTGCTTAATGCCAAACTCAATTTTGGAATCTTTATTTGCACAAGAACGTATTCGTTTGTAGCAAAGCAAAAGCTACCCAAAAAAAATGGAAAAGCCTGTGAGGAAAATGTTTGAGCGGATAAAAAATTTCGTATCATAAAAATAACATTTCTAGAGTGAGGTATGGTGGGCTAGGTCTGTCAAGAAGTAATTACGCTTTACTTGTTGTAACAGAATTGCAAACGGAATTTTAAATGACCTTGAAGGAAGCTTATCGTTAACTTAAGCTTCTTCTTGATAAACATTACTCAAAGTTGAATTAATTTCGCCTGATTCTTGTTATTTCTTCAAAGCCGAAAATTTTCTTCTTTTATTCAAGTCTGACTTCCTTTCTCCTTTCCTCATGATCAAACGTAGGCGGAATTTAATGAAAGCTTCTCTTGTTTATCATTTAAATAAAAACATACACACATCTGACATCTCACACATGATAATTAATTACTCTTAAAAATTTTCTAATGTTTATCGAGCGAATAAAAATGAAAATAAAAGCTTTTAGAGAAGTTTGAGTTTTCTTCACTTTGCAAAGCTTTGTTTGCTTTATTCTTGTTTAATTTTTATTTCATTACTTTGTTAAAATGTAACGAAAGGATATGAAATTACTTAAACATAAAATGATGACATTGCAAGATGTTAAAAAAACAATCTAAAGAAAATATTCTTTTAAAGGAAAAGTTTGATGCTGATATTTAAAATTTAAAGCTTACTTAGTGATAACTTTCATTTGGATATCACGGCATCACGTTCCAAAGTAAATATCTTGTAAAATTAAGTTCACTGGAAAAGTTTCATAATTCTCAATGATAATGAAAGTTCTACTTTAAGAATCTTGTAATATAAAAACTTTGATACTTTCTAAAAATATTAGTTTTTCATCGACTTTATAAGTTTTGAAAGTTACATAAACAAAAAGAAAAGTTCACTAGATGAAACTTATAAATGAAGATTAATTTACAAGTTTTATAACAAAATATAAAAATTATTAATAAACTATCAAACTTATCTTCAAAATATTGCTTTAAAACTGAACAACTGTTGTAGCTTTTGAAAGCAAAGCACATCGTCGAGTCTTCGGGGAACTGTAAATGGTAGAAAGGATTTAAAGCAACAATATAAATTCAAAAGCTCACGTTTACTAAATGTGCTTTTAACTGATCGCTTTTGATGAACACATGTTAGAGAAAAGCTCTACATAAGGAGATTTCAATGGATCAGTGAGTGAGAGAGTAAGAGAAAGTGGAAAGCCTCTTTATTTACTTTCGGAGGTTCTAGTATCGTTAACACATAAATACAAGTCTTTTGTTATAAACCTACATACATCTAGTTAGGCATGTTAGGAAATGTTTGCATTTGAAATGATTTATTGTTGGTTAGGTGGAAGAAAAGCTGCAAAGTATTTAACCCAGGTGGCTGAAATTCGGCTGCAAAGAGCGGAGCATCTCACACAATAAAAATAGAATTTTATTATTTTATATCTTTTAATTTTCCTTCGTCATTCTATTTGACATCATTAACTTTCTTTTGTTACTTACTTTCATACCGTCAACGATGATGGAAAAAAGAGAAACTCTCAGAATGCTCCTGTAGAGATTATTTAAAAGTAATCAGAGTCTTTCTGGGATATTGTTTTTTCCAAAGCCCTTTCGTCCTTTTTCCCTTCCTCTGTTGCTTTCCTTGGTTAAATATTTGAACAACAGGATAGAATTTTGCTGAAGGAAATGTACAGAAAATGCTATAAGAACCGAATGAATTTATTCAAATTCAATTTAGCAGAAAGAATTTAAAGTCTCAAGCGTATCATGTGAGTTGGAATAATATCTAATATTCTTATCACATGCAAAGACGATGCAAAGACGACAAGTCTCCGTTGCAAATCGATTCGGATCGACTCACATGATTGTATTTGATTCGCTGTCTGTGCTTCGAAAAGTATCGAGGGACAATTACATTAAAGTCTCTGAGATGGTGGGTCGAAGTGAAAAACATTTACATGTTTTCTTTGAATGTTTGTAAATACATCTTGACATAAATATCTAAGAAACTTAAAGCGTCCTACGAACTTTTTATATCGAGAGCTTTGAAACAACCTGAACAGTAAAAGTTTTACCAACAAACATTGTTTTGGTTAAAGAGTTAAATTGCATCAATTTCTTAAATACAAATTTGAATGACACCAAGGTGAAAGTAGTGCTTTTAAATAAATCTCGTAAAATTCAAAGTTTCAAGATTCAATTTGAGAAATAGAAGAAAAAATTTATAAATTAATTTGTTTGTTTGGATGGAATTCAATTTGAAAAGGTTCTTAAGAAAGTTTTAGAAAAAGTATGAGAGAAAGAAAGGAAAAGTTGAGACCTGTGCATGTTCAGTGTATGTTTGTTATAATGATTTGATGCTCAAGGGAAATTTGACATTAGAAGTAATGATGTGAAGGTATGTGGATGTATGAACGAGCGGCGGCAATCATAAAAGAAACAACGTAAATCTGAATTTGCTTGTCTCAGAAGGATAAAAGATGAGTTCGGATGAAATTCACTTAAAAAGTTGATATTTGACAATATTCTGAAAGGTTGATACACAAGTGGATTAAAGTAGAAAAGAATTTAAGGGTGTCTTTGAACTTCGGTGTCTACCACTTAAAGATATTACCTTGAAAACTTTCCACAAAAAGGGTAAAGAAAGCCGTAGCTTTCCCACAACATTCATAAAATAATCCGTAACTCAAATAACATAGCTGCGTGGTGGTAATCTCAACATCAGACGCTACTTCATATCGAATGTCGAAAGCATTTGATAGTTCGCCTTTTGCTTGTTCATTGTTCGACTCAATCAGGGTAATTGAAGTATTCATCTTGCCTTGAATTTTCTTTTCTTGAAAAGAAACCCGATATGAAATAAACGAATGGAGAAATAAAGTTGAAAGGCACATTGAAGTGAAATTTAATATCCGTTTGAGTGGAGAGAAGAGCTTTCGAGTTCGATCTGAAGCTAAAGTACCGTATTCACATTTTTTTTGTGTGTTTGACTTCGTCCTAACAAGTAAGATTCAAGAGAATTATTTACTGAAAAAACACTTTGAAATTGTTGCTTAGTCACCACGAGAAATCAATCCTGGCTTCTGTTCAAGATCAATTTGTTATGTTTGAAATGAAATTTCAGCTGAAATTACTAGGCAACTGGTACATTTATGTTGATAATGTGGTTTAAGTGAAAACATGTTGGTATTCATACCACTTTGTGTGATTTGTGGACAGATCGGGTTAACAGGTCTTCAAAATGAAACTTCTAATTAAATCTACGTATCTAACCAGTAGCTGGTAAGATTCAGCTCACTAAATAAACAGACGAATTGAGATAATTAAATCAAATTTTATTGAATTTAGAAATTTTCAATTTATAATTCAAACACTTCTGAGAACCGAACCCTTCTGAGGAGAGAAGCGAGTCTGAAATTTGAACAAGAAAGGTGATAAATTACCTTTTGGCTTTCCGCTTTCGTGAAAGAAATTTCCATTTCATTTTAAGTGTAATTACGCAAGCTTGAGTTGACATGAAATGAAATTATTACAACAAAATTCATGATTAAGACTTTCTTTTGTCACCCCAGAATTTCTCACCTGGCTTAAAAAGCTTTTAGTACTTCGTTCAATCCCACAATCTGCATTCATTCACTTCAGGTATTCGCAAGAGAGGGAGAAAAGGTGAGACGGAAAAGTTCGCGAAACACTTTGGCACCTTTTTTGAGCTTAACCGACACACGCCTCATTATGCTTTCTTAATTATGATTCTTTCCTTCTAACTTTATAATCCTATTAACGAAAAAAGTTTATCATCAAAAGCTCTTTTTTTTCTTCTTCTACTAAGCCAATTAATATTTTTTCTCCTTTTTATTCAACTGCCACAAACACATCGTGCACAACTTTTGTTAAATTCAATAAATTTCCCTCTCGTTTACCGTTTCCTTTAGACTTCTTTTATAATGATGTTTTAATTACGAAAATTTCTCCGTTAATTAACTTGAATGTAATGTCAGGAAATGTTGAAAGAGAGAGAGAGAGAGAAAAAAAAAACTTTTTTAACCACATCAAAATTTTCCGATGAGTAAATGTTGCATCACGTCTCGTTTCATTTGGGTTTACAAATTAATGAGCTAAACTTTTTTTCAAAGAAATTGTTTGCAATTCAGGATAAATAATGTTTAATTAATATATTTAACTTTTCGGATAAATTCATCGCAATTTCATGATAAATATTTTAATCATATCAAAGGTCGATGAACTTTCTCTTTCTACAAACAAAATTTGCGAGATTAGATATTCTAAGCTTATCTATCTGAATATTTTATAAATAAGGAAGCAATAAAAATTCATACAATGACACAATTTCGTGACATTACTTCACGATCTCTTTTATTACATAACACGCTGTCTTTATAAATATACCTATTCAAAATAAATATCTAAAGAGGTAAATAAAAGCAACGCGAACATGTGTTTAAACTTTGAATAAATTTATTTTGTTATAAACGATGGAATTAAGAAATTCATTTCGATGTCAGGTTTTAATTTACTTTTCAATGCTTCGCGTTGGCTTTAGTTGAGTTGTGTCGTTGGATTTAGAACAAATGATTTGACAAATAACGAGACTTGACAGTTTTTCTATTATTTCTATTATCGCTTCTGTGCTTACAATTGGAACCGAGTGCAGTTTAGACGTAATAATTCGAGCTACCGATGATAACAAACATCACTTTGAGAGGCTATATTTATTACTGTGATAGAGTTGATAAGAATACAGCCTGAGCGGATTTCTAAATAGAGGAATCTACTTAAGTCGTAAAAAAGTGATTACCAATAATCATTTGTCGTTTGAGATTCAAAGTGAAGAGTCGACAGAGTTGAATTCTATTTTTATATTTGTGTTAATTTAATCATGGCACCTAACAATAATTTGACTGCAATTCTTTATGGAATTGAAGATTTACGTTTAGAGAATCTTGAAATTCCGAAAATTAAAGATGAAGGTAATGATAATAGTTTATAATGTGATAAACGATAAACGAATTAATTGCTTAATGCAATAGAGAGTGTTTTTTTAATGTCGTGCCATAAAGTCACTCGAGAAGATTGAAAACAGCAATAATTCGCCGACAAACAGAGTGTTTCTGCTACCATTTTCATGTTTAATAATTCTCGTAGATAACATGTTGTTATTTTTTTATAATCATGAAAACTAATAGACCATCTAAACGACATGAAGATTAATTGAATGTTTTCTTTCACTTCCATTTAAATAGAAAGCATACAAATAAACAAAATTAATTAAGCACTTAAAGTGCAAGAGAAGCAATGAAATAGAATAAATAAATATTTTCCAGTAAAAGCAGCAAGCAGTTTGCTACTGAATTTATTTAATTCAATACTAAAAGCGTTTCAATTTCTTCATTAAACATAATTAAATGGCACAGCAAATTATTTATATCTCCATCTTCAATCAATGATTAAGAAACATTTTAATTTCAAGGTGAAACATTTGCGTAATGAATGTTGTTGATATTTACAAACGGCACAAACTTGATGCTTGTGTGGAAAAAAAAAAGTCTTTACAATCTTCTCTGTTTCGTAAATTACAGAAGTACTTCTGGAGATGGATTGCGTTGGCATTTGCGGTTCTGATGTTCATTATCTTGTACATGGGCGTATTGGGGATTTCATTGTTGAAAAACCGATGATAATTGGACATGAAGCTTCTGGAGTGGTAAAGAAATTGGGAAAGAATGTGAAGAATCTTGCAGTTGGTGATCGTGTAGCGATTGAACCTGGAGTTCCATGTCGTATGTGCGAGTTTTGTAAGACTGGAAAGTACAATTTATGTCCCGATATTGTCTTCTGTGCAACACCACCTTATGACGGCAATTTGAGACGATTTTATGCACATGCTGCTGATTTTTGTTTTAAACTACCAGATCATGTTACAATGGAAGAAGGAGCTTTACTTGAGCCACTCTCAGTTGGTGTTCACACTTGTCGTCGTGCTGAGATTCAACTTGGGGATATTGTTATGATTCTCGGTGCTGGGCCAATTGGGTTAGTTTCATTATTGACAGCGAAAGAAATGGGGGCAACGAAAGTTATAATTCTTGACTTAATACAAAGTCGTTTGGATGTTGCGAAAGAATTGGGAGCTGATTACACAATAGCAATTCAGAAAAACGACTCTGAAGGTGAACTTGTGAAGAGAATTCATTCATTGCTTGGAGCGCAACCGAACAAATCTTTGGACTGTAGTGGAGCGGAAGCAACAAATCGTTTGGGATTGCTTGCGACAAAAAGCGGCGGGGTTTTTGTTATCGTTGGGAATGGTCCGCCTGAAGTTAAAGTTCCCATGGTCGGCTCTGTTTGCAGAGAGGTTGATATTCGGGGAGTCTTCCGTTATGCTAATGATTACCCTGCAGCTTTAGCACTAGTTGCTAGTGGAAAAGCAAACGTCAAACGTTTGGTAACTCATCATTTTGACATCACTGAAACAGCCGATGCATTCAAAGCATCACGCTATGGAACTGACGGTGCCATCAAAGTCATGATTCACTGTCAACCACGCAACAAGAATAACCCGAAACCTTTTTAAGAAAAACACAAACCACTTGCTGCATCACTCCACTTGAACTCACGAGCGTGAACATTTTCATGAATAAATTTTTTGTCTTCCTTTTTAAGATTCGGCAGTAAATTTTCTTTTTCGTTTTCGCCATTGAAAATAAATCATTTTCTTAGACTGAAAAAAAGGAAACGCAGAATGGGCAATAAAAATATTTTTGGTTCTTTTTTTTTCATCTTTCAATTTAACCTTTTTGGGTCATAAATTTTAAAATCAGGCTTTCCAATGTCCGACTTCTCATTCATCACGCTGTGAGAGCAAATTACAAACAACAAGCGAATATTTGCTTTTGTCTTCTTTTTGTTTTTCAACATCCTTACTTACTCGACTTATCAGAAGTAAAAGGCCAAAGGGGATCGTACATTTTTAATTGTTTTTATTATTATTTTATTTTTAATGAATAATAAAAAATGAACAAAAATGTTGCGTACAATAATAAACAAAGCAAAGTTACGCATGTACATTAAAAGCATATAAATTTATTCATTTGAAGTAGGTAATTAAACAAAAGTTTTCTTTCCCTTTTCCGATAATTCTTTAAAGAATTGTTGACGATGATTGTTCGGATTGGAATTGAGATTTTCTTTAAGTGGTTTTGATTCAATAATTCAGAATTTTGAGACTTCTTAAATTTATTTCAAGTTGACAATTTCTGTAATGATTGCATTATCCGATCATCCATCGATTTATTCTTGAATCTATTACCAGATGAGGCGCTTTGCTAGGGATTTGATTTGACTCATCTAACTGTTAAATTACAAAAATTTTGTTTGCCGTAAATAAATTGATCAAATGCACATCCCTGCTTTATGCATTTAAAAAAACATTTAACAAAAATTCTTCACTGGAAGCACTACGGTTACGTTCACATAATGCGTTTTAATTATGCGTATTTTATTAATTTTATCTTCACCCCCTCAAATATCTACGTATAATAAAAAATAGTTTTTAAACTCACTTCATATTCACAACAATTTTAAACATGAAGCAGTTTTTTATTTTCTCGCATTTTACTTATGTTTTAGGCACTCGATTAATCAATATTATTTCATGTTTGTTATTTTAATTCAAGCTGAAGGGTAGAAAAATGAATTTTCATGAGCAGTTTTCCATGAAAAGTATAGAAAAGCATGTGAGTAGAAACATTTTTACAGTATGAGATTATTTAGAAGATATAAAAAGCGATTAGATGATTACAAAGAAAGTTAATTGAAGCTGCATGAATACGTAAGTATTAAGTATTATAAAAATGAATCATTCAAAAGTGTCGTGCGTACGAAACAAAAATTAACTTTTAATATTAACTTTAATATTTAATAAAATTTAAGCAAAAGCTGTCACTCATGTAAACAACTTTAATTTATGTTTCTTTTTTCATCGATTAAACTTTGTGCGATTCTTTCCACGAAAGGCATTCTTTTTGATTTCCATTGCCTAAAATATTTTCTAGTTCTTGACATTTATTGCAGGAATTCTTAAGCTTTTAAAAGAGACGCACAAATTTCATTACTGCTGTGATTTAATCGATTCTTGGAGCAGATGGTTGAAAAGTGTAAACTGGATAGCGAGGTGCAAATGCATCTTGATTACCCACCAATCGTGTATGTTCATTATCTTCTCGATCTTTAATTGTTTTTGCTTGATAATCACTTTCACTGAAGTTCGGAGGAGGAACATTCGGATAAAGAGAAGTTCCACCCATGTTCCATCCAACAGCACCACCGACATTGTCAGGTGAAACTGGTTGTGTTGGCATCATTGAAATGTCGATAGATTGTTGTGATTCTGGAGCTTGCGGCTTATAATCCCTCAATGGAATTGTACCAATTGTAATGGGAATTGCACCACCGAGATTTGTATGAAAACCAGAAACTTCACAAACAATATCCAATGCATAATGAAGATCAATAATCCCGCAATTATCAAGATTTGATGGTGGAAGCGGTGGAATGTCAAGACTTTGTCTAACAGTCCTTTGTTCACTTTTATTAAATGGTCCAATTGCCAACTCGCCAACAACTTTTTCATTCTTTTTCGTCATTTTTGGTGCGGTTGTATGGAAAGCTGTATGCTTTTTAAATTGAAATTTAATTTTTTCAACTTCAACACTTGATTTGTTGTCTATTTCAGCCAAGAGAGGTAATGACTGACCAGAGACATATCCCTTTACTGGAATCGAAACAACAACTGATAATGGTGGCGTGGCGCAACAACAGCACCAGAAAGTTTTCTCCATTACAAGCTTTCCAGGTTGGGCTGCCGCTTCCATCAAGTTAAGATCCACAGGTGAAATAACAGTGAAAGCCATTTTCGTGTCTTGATCGAATTTCCATGGACGATCCAATGTAACTTTAATAGTGTAACGAATATGTCCAAATTCTCCTTCAAATGAGCTTGGTAATGTTGGCGGCAAAGCACAAGTGAAAGGAAACGCATGAGCACCAGCTGGAAGTTCAGTTTCACTAGCATTTATTCCACCAAGAAGATAATAAGTAATTTGAAAATATTCTTCATGTCCCGTTACATCTTTTCTTTCATTCTCCGTTTTTCCATCCTCCTTTGTAACTTTTTCAGTCTCCACCCAAGATGTTCTTGCCTCGCCCAAAAATCGAACTTTAATTCCTAAAATCAACAGTAACAACGCAATATTAAAACTCTTCTAATTTCAAAAAAGATCATTTTCAAGGTCAACATAATTAGAACGAAATAAAGAAGAACATTAACCACACATTGATGTGCTTTGTTGCATAGAATTATAATAAAGATGATGTCATCGTTTTGGAATTTCCTCAAAAGTTAACTCTTGATTGCGCAACTATATTTGGTTATAATTCAATTAAATTGATTAATAAATGACATCATTTATTCATGTTGAAGTATTATCAGATTATTCGTCGTCATGAAAGTCTCTTAAAATATGTCAAACTAAAGTTTATGATGCGTTAAAGATGTCATATCAAATATTGATATAAAAAATTGATAATTCTGTCATACAACATATTAAAATTACTTACCTCGAACTTTTTTAGGCGAATCAAACGAGTACATTACAGTCCCATTGACAGTTTGTCTTTAAAAGGAAAAAAATGTCTTTGTTTTCATTTTGTAAAAATTTTGTTCTCAAGCAAATTACCCGGCAAAGTACGTGTTAATCGGTGAATCTAATTTGATTTCACATTCTTTAAGACCCATGGCTTACGTTTGATGTTAACTTGTTATATCTTAAACTTTTTAAAATGAAGAATTTTCAAAAATCGAGATTTCTTCAGAAGAACAAAAATAAGTTTTACTGACAAGCCCAAAAGTTCAAAAACTGACCAAATATATGTAAGTGTGAGTGAAGTGCTGAAGTTGTGGTTTAACCTTTTGAACTTAAATTTGAACTAAGATTTTGGCGCCATTTCCATTGTCGAAATATTGAAAGAACTTCAACAAACGAGTCACAATTAAGTTTTTTTTAAAGCTTTATAAATTACTTAAAATGCCTGTCGATTCACAACCAACTCTTCGTTTTGCAAAGCTTACAGATAAGGCATTTGCTCCAACAAAAGGATCTGAAAAAGCTGCTGGATTTGATTTGAAAAGGTGAACATTGCGATTGTTAATTCTTTTGTTCATAATTAGTAAATTTGTTTCTAATAGCGCATATGATTGTGTAATTCCTGCTCGTGGTAAACTCATTGTTAAAACCGACATTCAAATTGAACTTCCTGAAGGATGTTATGGTCGTGTTGCTCCACGATCTGGCTTAGCAGCAAAGAACTTTATTGATGTTGGTGCTGGCGTCATTGACGAAGATTATCGAGGCAACGTTGGCGTTGTAATGTTTAATCATTCCGATCTCGAATTTGCTATAAGCAAAGGTGATAGAATTGCACAGTTAATCTGTGAACGAATTTATTATCCAATTATCGAAGAAGTTCCGTCATTGACTGAAACGCAACGTGGAGCTGGAGGCTTTGGAAGCACTGGAAACAATTGAAATTAAATTTGTTATCCCATCTCAAAGAAAATAAAGTTTGAATAATTTATAGGAAGGAATATTTATTATGTTTTTTATGTTGAATAAAGACAGAAAAATTACAACAAATCATCGATTTCATTGTCACCTTGAAGATTCTCCTTTGAAATGGCATAGAAATCTTTTGATTCTTCTATCGAAACCGNCCAGTGATCGAAGAAGTTCCGTCATTGACTGAAACGCAACGTGGAGCTGGAGGCTTTGGAAGCACTGGAAACAATTGAACTTAAATCTGTAATCCCTTCAAAAAGAAAATAAAGTTTGAATAATTTATAAGGAATATATATTGTGCTTTTTATGTTGAATAATGACAAAGAAAATTTACAACAAATCATCGATTTCATTGTCACCTTGAAGATTCTCCTTTGAAATGGCATAGAAATCTTTTGATTCTTCTATCGAAACCGTGGAAAGTGCAGATTCATTGTCCATGATCAAACCAAAACTTTCTTTAACAATGAGATCCTCCCAAAGCTCCAAACGATTACGTTGAACGATGACATTCTTCAATTCTTTGATCCAACTGTTGTAGTTGAAAGGTCCATGAATCTTTGATTGTTCTCGATACATCATAATGCATTCGAGAATTTTCTCCCTTTGCATTACCGAAGGACGAAACATTAAATCATAAATAATTGTTTGGATTTGTTCTGCAAGATTTCCAAAACGTTCACCTTTCTTGAGAAGAATGCCAAAATCTTCAGCTGGAGTTGCTGTTCCAATCGCTATGATTGATTTCACATGACTTGTGTCAACGCTCATTTCTTCATCAATGGTTTCTTCTTCAATCGGATCATTCTTTCCAAAAACTTTCTTAATTTTATGCTCAACAATTTCAAGAGGAAAAAGTTCTTCAACTTGTTTAACCAAATCTTTGCTTGCTTCTTTGATTTTTGGTGGAATGTCAATCATTGCAACAAGTTCAGGATCAATGTTTGGAAGTGGTTCTGTGGGATGTAAAGCACGATAAGCAACAGAACGACACAAATGTTGATTCACTGGATTTAACGATGTTTCTGTAGCGAAAGCTTCAGTTAAACCTGAATCATCATCAACAGCGTCCATCAAATCCATCGCATCGACAAGTTCTTTGATCACTTTCTCTTGTTCTTCTGTCGGCTCATTTTTCTTTGTTCTCAATTTAGGAAAAGTGAAGTGCGAGATATCATTAGCAAAAGCTAATTGTATCATTACAAAATAGGGAACGTCATCAAGAATATTCGGTAAAAGAGCAACAAGAATTGGTCTCAATCCACGACGATAAACTTTCCGAGCAATCATTAAATAATCTGATTGCTTCATTGCAGCAACAAGATTTTCAAACATGACTGCACTATTCGGGAAACCTTTTCTTGGTAGAACAACATGACAACCAGAACCAGAGAAATATTCTTTGAGAACAAATTCTTTCTTACTAAACCCGAGACATGACAAACATTGTTCACTTTTTTCTTCGTCATCATCATCAGCGACAGCAACTGGAGTTGAACCGTACATGTAAGTTTTTATGACATCCTCTGCATCTGGTTTTTCAATCGGTTGATGATTTATTGAGAACTCAGTGACCATTTTTGTTGCCGTGTTTGGATTTGCACATTCAGCTTTAAACGGAGCAAGAAATTTTTCTTCTTGTATCGAAACATATGCACTGATATCAATTTTCATCTGCGAACCGATCGTCAGTCGTGAATTCCATGGTGTTGGACGCATCTTTTTCTTCTCGAACGTAAGAAGTTGATTTTCAGCCAAATCAATGTGACACATGTGACCGTTGACTTGTTGAATGACTTCACTAAACAATTTCTGATTCTTTTCTTGTGTTTCGTTTTTAAAAGGAATCTGACTGAAGCCGCAAGTGTTTAATTCTGTGTGTTCAACACAATCTGTAATAGCTAAAAGCTCAACTTTGGATTCGTTGATTGTTGCTATGATGACATCTAAATTGTTGTCATTAACATCAGAGACAAAGTTTGTGACAACAAGAATTCGAATGTTATGAAACTTTTTTGCTCTAAAGGAGAAATTTTATATTCAGATAAATTGCAATCATTTTAAAATAAAATAATCATCAACTTACTGTGTGTGAACCTTTGCGAAGTTGATTGCAACAAGAAGTCCATCAACCCAATCACTTGCGAAATCAGTTGTAGTTAATTCGTCGAGTTTTCGAACCATGTCCCACGATGGCAACTGTAAATGAACCTTCTCAACAATATTCTCGTAGTCGTTAAATGATTTGTTAAGTTCATTGTCAGTTTCATCGGATCCCATCAAAATTAAAGCAATTTCATCAAATGGTTTTGCAAATATTTTCTTTTGGATGATTTTAGACACACATTCTTTTGATCGATCGAAAAATGATTTTTCACCTTTTCCTGATGGGACCTCTGTGTTTTCGCCGACATCGAATAAAATAATAGTTGCTTCCTAAAGAAAATATAAAATCGTTAGGATTTCACAATTTTCAGAAATACAATTTTTTATACTTTTTTTGAAGCCATGACTTGATTTATTATATTAATTCACTTTTAAATTGAAAACTTTTGAAAAAATACTATTTAGCAATTGATATCACTTCTTTATAAAGATGAAATTTAAATATTTTTAAAGCTCGAAGTCGATCGGCCAAACAATAATTGATCAAAGGGTAAGTACAAATAAAGTTCAATGTTCAAAGAAGTGGCGTAACGGTTCAATATTGAACAGAAAGTTTGCCTTCAACTAAACGTAGCCAACAAGAAAGCAAAATTTTATTTATTTTCAATTTTATCATTTCTTTTAAAACTTCTTATCCCACTCGTATAGTCACATCGAATTTATAAATATTAGTATATAAAGCGTACTATGAGATTAGTTGTGGAATAATGGATAAAAAGAATGATGTTCAAAAAGTAAAAAATTTAAGTGAAATTGTGCAAACAGACAATGCTGAATCGAATGAAAAAGGATGCATGCATTATAAAAGGAAGGCTAAATTTGTGGTGATTATAAAGTTTTACTATTAGTCTCATATTTCTTCCTAGAATATTCTCTTGAGAAAACAGTTTGATAATAAAAACTAGGAAATGGATTTATATAATTTTATTCAAGGAAATCTCATCTTTAATGAAAGCGGTCAATGTTCGCTGAATCATGAATAATTCCATCATCATTGCTATAGTTTTGCAGTCTATATATTTAACAAAATATCCTTGTTTATTCTTCAGAGTCCATGTTGCGGGAAGGTTTACAGCTGTCGGTTTTGCCATGATGACGCAGAATCTCACGCATTCAATAGAAAACAACTTGAAGAACTCATCTGTACTGAATGTGAGACTCGTCAACGCGTTCAAACCAATTGCGAGAAATGTGGAATTCGTTTCGGACGCTATACATGCCTTATTTGTAATCTCTTTGATGACGATGATAAATCTCAATATCATTGCGATATGTGCGGTATTTGTCGAGTTGGTGGAAAAGATCGATTTTTCCATTGTGAAGTTTGCAACATGTGTTTACCAATGCAACTAAAGACAGAAGGTCATCGATGTGTAGAGAATGTAAGTCGGTCAAACTGCGCTGTTTGTCTTGAAGATATTCATCACAGTCGAATTCCTTGTCACATTCCAAGTTGCGGCCATTTGTTGCATCGAACATGTTTTGAACAATTACTCGTCTCAGGATATTACGCATGTCCAACGTGCCAACAATCAATGCTCGATATGAAACAGTTGTGGAACTACCTCGATAATGAAATTTCTGTGACTCCAATGCCAAATGAATACGAGAATTTCTTTGTTGATATTTTGTGTAAAGATTGTCACGAAGTATGTTAACACATAACAATTTTAAAGTTGTTTCTTATCTAATGTTTGATTTTTTCCCTCAGGAATCGACAGTAAAATTTCATGTTGTCGGATTGAAATGTCAAAATGCTGAATGTGGAGGATATAACACAACACGAACACAAAAGCGCACAACCGTCAACAAAGCTTCGTCAAGTTCAACTTCTCCCGGTAGTAACAACGATGACGCTGCTTCTAGTTCGTCAATCAATAGAAACAACATTGCATAACAGTAGGAAAGTATTGGAATCAACTCTGCATAATTTAACATTCCAAATTTTTGACTTTTGCAAAGCAAAACTGTTTTTCGTTTGCTTTTTTTTTTTGAAAGTTGTTTAATCTCATCTATGGTAAATGGAGACACACTGATATTTGACATTATCTTTAAATTTTCTCTCAAATTATGCCATAAAAGAATCTTAAATGAAATATTCCACTGTTTGTAAAATGAATCTCAAAATTTTAAAGAATTCTTACCAACTGAAAAGACTTTTGCGCTAAGAAGAATTAAAACTTAAAGTGAGTTAAATATGAAAAATATTTACATCTGTTTGAATTGTGGAAAAATACTTTAAAATTGGAAGTTGATTATCAGATACAAATTTACAACAAATTAAAGTGCAATGTGTAGGTAAAAATAAGTTTGAAATTATCAAACCTTCTTTAATACTTCATTTATACGTGTGCTTCACAATTGGTTGAATATTTCCACTTGTTTGAATATTTCATTATTGAATTTTCACTTTTCTCAACAGTGAGCTACATTTAAATCATTTTGAAAAAGTCAAATTCTTGACAAATTCCAATCGAAAATGTTTATTAAATCAGTGATTTTTAAGTGATTTAGTTCACTCTTACAACGAAAACTAAACTAGTACGATATCATTCAACTTTATGACGAAATTCAATTTTTTACATGTAGATTTTTGTCTAGAAATGTAAAAGTTAAAAAAAAATCCCAGTTTTATTTTTAGAAATCTCATGAATTGAATCTAAAGGAGATAAAAAAAGTTTGTTTCAGGAAACATTAACAAAGAAAGAAAAATAAATTTGTTTCATTAGTTGTTTATTTAATAAAGAAGTACTCTCGTTCGACATCATTCTTTGTTTATATTGTCAAATAAGAAAGAATAAAAACTTTTTAAAGACAAAGACAACTTCTGGATTTTAATTACTTCCGACTCAATGACAAGGTCAAAACTTGTGGAAAAAAGAAAATTTGTTGCTTGTTAATTTGTTGAAAAACGATTTTATTTTCAAGATTTCCAATTGGTTAATAAACGTGACAAATTATTTCAAGAATTTTGCATGATACGCAAAGTGTTCACTTATGAATGTGGACATGAAAAAATAGCTGTGATCGTAACCATCACGAAGCTTGTAAATTAATGGCATTTGAACTTTTTTCGCTGCTTCAACCAAATTGTTTGGCAACAGTTGATTCTCTTTCAAGAACTGATCTTCACTTCCTTGATCGATGAAAAGTTCTAATGGAGGTCCCTTATATTTAGAAACAAGCTCTGTTGCGTCATAAGCTTTCCAAGTACTTTCGTCAGGTCCGAGAAAACCTTTAAATGCTTTATGTCCCCAAGGACAATTAACTGGATTTGAAATTGGTGCAAAGGCAGAAACACTTTGATATAAACCAGGATTTTTCAAAGCACAAATCAAAGCTCCATGACCACCCATTGAATGTCCAGTAACTGATTGTTTACCTGGGATTGCTGAAAAATAAAATAAAATAAAGTTTCAATCGAAGGTTTAATAAAATTTTGTTAATTTACCAGGAAAATTTGAATTGATCATTTCAATCAATTCTGTTGTGACATAGCTGTACATTCGGAAGTTCTTTTTATACAAATCTATAGTGGCATCAACATAAAAACCAGCGCCATAACCAAAATCCCATGAAAATGCAGAAGTATCAAGACCTTCAATATTACGAGGTGATGTATCGGGACAAACAACAATTATTCCGTTTTCAGCTGCATACTTTTGAAAGCCACATTTCTGCACACAATTCAATTCGTTGCATGTTAATCCAGAAAGATAATAAAGAACTGGATATTTCTGGTTAACATCTTCAGATGGCAAAAATATAGCGAAATTCATGTCGCATGACAGCACCTTAGAAAAGTGTGAAAACACTTTCTGACTTCCACCAAATGATTTATTTGAACTTATTTGCTTCAGTTGCAACATTATGACTTTTAGAAGCTTTATTTTGATAAGATTTTTAGCGGCGAAGAGGTGAAGAAGTTTAATTAAATTTTAGTTTCAATAATTATATTTCTTATGTATTATTTCTCCCCTTGGTATCCCCCAGATGGTATTTTTCAAATTTCCCCTTGTTACCCCCTAGTTGTTGAGTTTTTTGTGAAAACATTGAAGAAATGCTTCCAAGTCCTGTTTTCAAGGCAAATTTCCATTTGTTTGGTTTAAAATAAATGGAAATTAGCTATCTGTGTACTCAGTTGGTGTACGACTTCCTTTAATTGTGAAAATTAGATATTTTAAAAATATGATTATTTTCGTGAATCTCAGCAACCAATGTTTTTAAGGCAACTTCGAAGTTGCTCAATTGTTGTTTCGTGAATTTAATGTTTACAAAATTAAAGCCGAATGTTTTGAACTCGGACGTAAAACATTGAACCAAGCATTGAACATTGTTCAAGTTCAAAATGAGTTCTCCACTCCTCGAAGAATGATTCAGCTCTAAGCTCGCTCGCTGTAAATTTTTATTTATATTCAGTCATCGGCTACAACCAGAAGAAAATGCAGTTTCTCTCGAGGAATTATTTAATATTTTTTTGATTTTCTTGTGATAAGAAAAATTTTCATTTATTCATAGAAAGTGACGTTGTATTAAGTATTAGAAAGTGAATGTGAAAAGTGCTTGTCTGTTTCATTTTTGTTCATTTATTTGTCGATAAGATTAATATAAACCTGAGTTTTAACTTTAATATACAACATTATGAGGCTGCAAAGTTTTTGTTTTAATAAAATCGGGAAGATGCTGGATTTCTATTCCCAGTTTAATCCATCGCCATTGTCGATCAAGCAATTTCTGGACTTTGGTGAGTTGAATTGTTTTGTTTTTTTGCTTGAATAGGTATTTTATGTCGCAGTTTTTTTCGGCATTCTTGACTGTTCTAGACATTCTTTTTCCAATGCAGTATTTTTTTCCATCGACGTACGTGCATTTTAACACATTTTGAAGAAAATTCTGTCATGTTTATAATCAGCCTATCTTAAGGAAAATATTGTAACTTTTGAGAGGTGTGCTTGTTTTTGTATTGACCTTCATTGTAGATAAGTTGAATGAAACTTTGATAAACACCGTAGAAATGACGACGAGAAGAAACGATAATCGATAAATTTATTACGTAAAGTAGGTGATGATTTAGTTGCTACCTATGTTGAGAATTTTCCAGATATGTTTCTTTGTCTCAGATGTTGTTTTATAAAATAGTTATCGAGATAAACATAAAGAAAAAATTTAATTTATTCTCACAACAACTGTGAAACCGGTTTTAATCAATCAATGACTTCTGCCAATTTTTATGTATTGAATGCGAATCTTAAATGTTCTTGCGTGTCTGCTACAAGTGATCGTCCATTCAATACGCTAATGACGTTTTAGAAGCGTCTTTATTAGCACTTTATTAATAAAAAAGGTCAAAAATAAACGTGACTTTCATTGCTTTTATTTTGGTTTTTTTATGATAAGATTTGAAACAGAAATATTTATTCAAACTGCGTCTCAGAGAAAGAATGAACATATTGCATCTCATGAAAACGATTTTGAAGGTCAAAACTTCGTCCTGTGAGCGAATAGTCATAATTTGAATAGGCATGAAGTAATGTAGGCAATTTTCATTTCTTTTCTACACCATGGTGTTTAGAAAGAAAATGAAAAATCGTGGAAATTATCATGCTCTATATTTAGATTAAGTTACGATGTAGAAAGTGATTAGGAAAAACTTCTTTTTTTATTAATGAGTTCAAAAAGCAATGAACTTAAAAATGATCATCTAAGAAAAAAAATCTTTTGATTTTGATAGAAATTTTAAGAAAATATTGTGTTTCGAAAAACAAATTTTATGCGCTTTTATATCATTGCGATCGTCTCAAATTAAAGACCCAAATCTTTCACGTAAAGCAATAAATAAACAAGATATTCGACTGATAATTCTTATCTTCTTAGAAAGCTAATCAAAGTCCATGTTTTTAAGTGTCCGATGAACGAATTATTTACCTGCACGTAAATATATTTTTAATATCTCAAAGGTGCTTAAAGTAACGCTTCAAAAGTGTATGAAGATATTGTAAACATCCCACTTAACACTTTTAAAATTTATTTTTGATACCTGGAAACAATATTTTCGACAATCTGTCGCTCTGATAATTTCTACTGCAATCAAATCGCAATCGGGACATTATAGACACTCTAAAAAATACAAAATTAGAAACAATTATCATCGATGAATTTGTAGGCATCAAAACAAATGATTTACGAACACGTTCATTTTAACAATCATCAAACAAATAATAAAAGTTGTGATATTAATGATAATTGGGATTACACACGAACAATGAACAATGCGGGTGGAAACAACTTTATCAATTTTGAACTATCAACTGCTTTTATTAGCTAAACAGCCGGATTACTCGACATACTTAGCGATATTAAATGTTTTTATAAAGAAGAGTCTCATTAAGTCACTCTCGTAGTGAGTGCTCGTTATTTCAGATAACATATCAAGGTTTGTTTTGCTTACTAACAAAAAAATTAGCTTTTTTTGTTTTTCTTACATTTCTTATAATTAAATGATATTCGATCGCTCAAGAAAAGATGAAATATCGTCAAATGATCTCTTTATAAAATTTAATATTCACAACACTTGTTGTTTCCTTTTCATAATAAATAGTTATCGAGTAGCTGTGAAAAATGAACTAAAAAAATAAACAAAAAGTACATCAATCCAGATAAAAGAAGATTCCCGTGGATCGTTTATTTAGTCTAAATGTCAGTGACAGTTGAAATGATATCGACCTAAATAGCGAGAAGTATTTTCTCCTTCATTTAAGTTCTGGTCACCAACCTTGCTATTTAAAGATGCAGAACAAGTGTGAAATATATTAATAAACAAGTCACAGTTGGAACTTCTTATAAAGTTTTCCATGTTAATAAAAAAAACCAAATATATAATCTTATTTCAGACAACAACTCTTTAATCAAGTGACTTTGAATCATAGAAAAGTTCCCAATTTGTTACCATGCGAATTGAGAGAATTTGCTTTCTTTTCCTTCTTTCTTCAAGGCTCGTGGAAATAAACTATTTTTGAAACGATGTGTTGTGTGAAAACATCTGAGATGCTGTCTATGTCGAGTTGCTTGATCTCGGTTTGAATGATATCACCACAGTCATGTGACGTTTTAAAAGGGAAAAAGTTTGTGTACTACGTGACTTACTTGCATGTAGAAAATCGTTTAAAAACAAATGTAACACTGGCAGTCAATTATATTCAATTGAATCGTTTGGCGAGTTCCAAAGTTCAGATAAATTTTCTTATTCCACACACAAGTCTTCTCGATCAAGCCAAGAATTCATAAAAGCAAAAACAGAATAAAAAAGATAAGTTTCTACTCATTTACTGACACACCCCCACTCCCCCGCACATTTGAATTAAAAAGTATTTTTATATAATTTGTGATAAACAAGTAAAAAGAAACTTCAACGCGTTTTTCATGTGAAAGCATTTTTCATTCTTCACCGTGTTGATTGAGCTGAGAACGCAATAAAAATGTTCTATAAAAATGAATAAAACTTATAAATTATTATCATCGATTGAAAGTTTTTCCCACAGCACATCAAAGCAATATGAAAATGTTAATTACAAGCTGTTTTATTTTCATTATTGAGGTTGAATAATTAATTGGTAATTCCGTTCGACACGAATCTATTAGATAGAAATTGTGATTGTGGATCAAGTGTAACAATCATTCTTCCATATCGATTTTATTTTTATGTTTGAAAATCTTTTTTCATTGTTTGCATACAAAGCAATTAGCTTTGAAAGTGGATTGGCAATGAATAATAGACAAAGTGTCTCTTGTAAGACGAAGGGATAAAGTTACAAAACTATTGTAACGAAGCGCATGGCATAAGAAGCTTTGAATGCAATAAAGTTCAAGGCTGTTATATCATTAAATTGTTTAAAGTTGAAGAAAGTCAGTGTGAATCTTTTTTTAAATTTAATTACATGTTTCCGTCTTATTCAGGGTCAAAATTGCGATTAATTCATCTCAAGCATAAACCACCGTCTCATGTGCATGTCTGACAAATTCTAATTTAAAATCTAATTTTATTTCACGAAATGAGGAAAGAATTTTTTATTTTTAACTTTTCGCGATAATTTGCGCAAACGTTGCCAGTTTTCAATCATTCGCGCACACTTAACAGATTGACGATTCTATCGTTAATAAATTTCATACTGTTTAAGGTCGTTTGACTTTGACTCCACTCGAGAATTCTCATTCATTTATGTACGACAAATCAGTAAGAATTTGACCTTGATATTGCTGTTACTGAGTGCAATATTGGATAATTTCTTATCTTTTGATTATCTATTATCTTTTTAATTAAACCGTATTTACTACATTGAAACGTCATTCATGTCGTGAAGTTCATGAAATTCTCGTAAATAACATTAAAAGCGTATTTTTATTAAATATTTTCGTTGCTGTTTTCACAATATTTGATATCATTTTTTTAATATAAATATCTACGAAAGTAGAAGAAAATAAAAGTAATTAATTGAGAAAGTTTCATAACGAATTACGCATCGTAATAAGATTGTGAAGTTGATACTAGAATTATGAAACTTTTCTTACTTATGACGTCAAACTCTCTGTTGTGATTATTAAAGTAAATAAATGAACATCGTCTGATATTTCAATTCAAAGATTATTTAATAACTTCCTCTGTAGTAATATCAAACGAAACTAAATAAAAGATTTTCATAGGAAGTTATGTGTTAAAAAAATTCATCTAAATGGAAAATCATCTCACGAATGTCTTTTCAATTTGACTTTGTAATGAGTTTTGGACTTTTACAGATTTTACGGATCAAAAGTTGTTAAAATGATAAGAAATTCTGCTAATGTTTGACATAACTTAAAAATATTTTCAATCTTTTCAGGATTAAATGCTTGCGAACGTAAATCTTTCGTTTTCCTTCGTAAGGAATTGCCGGTGAGATTGGCGAATATTATGAAAGAAATAGCGCTTCTCCCCGATAACCTTTTAAGAACGCCTTCAGTTGGATTGGTCAGCAATTGGTATGCGAAAAGCTTTGAAGAAGTTCTCGATTTCGAGAAGTCTGAACCATCGACCGACAACTTGGAGAAATTCTGCTCGACATTGATTCAGATTCGTGATCGTCACACAGATGTGGTTCAAACGATGGCTGATGGAATACTCGAGCTGAAGGAGTCTCAAAATAATCTGGTTGAGCCTGGAATGGAAACGTCGATTCAATATTTCTTGGATCGTTTCTACATGTCGCGTATCTCCATTCGAATGCTCATCAATCAACATAGTGAGTGTTAAAAAATGTTATTTGAACTTTAATTTAATTAATTTTTGATGTTTAAACCTTCAGCGATTCTTTTTGGTCAAGTACCACAACAATCAGCACATATTGGATGTATTGAAGTCGATTGCAATCCTCGCTCTGTCGTTCTTGATGCTTACGAGAATGCCCGTTGGCTTTGCGATCAATATTATTTGGGAGCACCAGAGATGGAAATTATCGAGCACAATGGTGAGTTTCAGAATCTTTAATAAAATTTATTTAAGCAAATCTAAATTCAAATTTATTTAGAACTTGAAAAAGGCGATCCAATCAGGATTGTTTATGTGCCATCACATTTGTATCACATGCTATTTGAATTATTCAAAAATTCGATGAGAGCTGTGATGGAAACACATCAAGATAGCGGTGACATTCCACCGCTTCAAGTGACAATTGTCAAAGGCAAAGAAGATATCAGCGTAAAGATTTCTGACCGTGGTGGTGGAATTGCAAGGAGTCAAGTAGATCAACTGTTTAAATACATGTATTCGACAGCACCACAGCCTTCAAAATCTGACATGCATACGGTTCCATTAGCTGGTAAGTGCTTCACATTAATTAACTTTAATCAAATTTCTTTAATTTCTTTCTTTCATTTCTAAAATCTTTTTATTTCTTAATTAAAAATATCAAAAGAGCCACTGGCTGGTAAGCTGAGTTACCACTTTTCCAACTTCCTTCTTTGTTTTCTTTCCAATTTGTCATTAATTCTACATCTTAAAGTCTTAATTAGATCGGATTTCATTACTTTTAACAGATCTTCCACCCACATTAAATGTGATGCAAAAATTCTTTTTCTTTCTTCCATTAAATATTAATTTGACGTCAAATGATTTGTATTTTATCTTATTGAATGAGAAAGTAAAGTTTTAATCTTCTTTATTAGGATATGGCTATGGTTTGCCTATCTCGCGTCTTTACGCAAGATACTTCCAAGGCAACATAATCTTGCTGTCATGTGAAGGCTATGGAACAGATACTGTGATATATTTGAAAGTACGTAATAATCAATTAAACAAACGAAGAAATTAATCAATTTTTAATATTTCATACAGCGATTATCTGATGAAGCAAATGAACTGTTGCCGATCTTTAACAAGACCAGTTCCAGATTCTACAAAGCCACAGTTCCAACTGGTGACTGGTCGAATCAGGTAAAAAGCAAAAAGAACAAACCAATTGTAATTTGATGCGGGGGTGGTAAATTACTTAGGAGAAGCTTGGGCGATGTGGAATGAAGGTGTTGAAAGTTACCCATCAATGAACTTTGTAGAATTTAAATGTGCATTTAGTTGCGTGATTGTAGAAACATTTCTCGTTTAGTTTCTTTTAGAGATTATCTAAATAATTTCATATCTGCAGTTGCTTTATCAATATTGTGTTTAACTTCTCCGTTATTTTTTACTTTCAATGAATCTAAAATGCAATTACAATTTATGTTTAATTTCAGAAATATCGGACATGGTCCGTTTCAAACTGACACAAACTTTCTTTCTGTTATTTTCATCCTTTGGAGAAGAAAATTTTATTTATATTTATTTATAAAGTGTGGGTGGAGAGAAGTGTTTATTTTTGTTTTCGTTTTTTGGTATAAACATTTTTTTTCTTTTGTTGAAATTGTGAAAGATGTTGACAATAATTTGTTCAATCGCACGCTTTATCAACATTGAGCAATTTTTATTTTTACTTTTTTATTTATTTTCAACCATCACTGGATGACGAAAATGTTTTCTGAGTATCGCTCCACTTTAAATCTTATTCTAGTTTTATTTTATTTTTTTATTTTAAGTTTAAATAAGTTAATAAAAACAGATGAAACATTCTTGATAATTTCTTTTCCTTTAATTTAATTAATTAAGTTTAGTTTGTAGTGATTGTTTTTGTTAATTTGCATGAAGTTTCTTTCCTCGCACTTTCATTACTAATTAAAAACTAACTTTGTGTTTGTCTCACTCATTGCTAGTCTCATTCTTTCAGCGATCGGAAATGAATTCAACATTCAACCAATGGAAAAGGATCAAAAAGGGTCATTAATGGTATTTAATTACACCACAATTCGCTATCAGTCGAGATTTTCTTATCAATAAAAATTAAATCGTTTGGTATGACAAAATTGGCTGAAAATTCTAAAAGGAATCTCGAATTTGAAAAAACTGTTTTTGCAATTTTGTAAGCAAATCATCAAAGTATGAATTAAAATTAAAGGAACTAGATACTCATGACTTAGAATGTAAGAATTTTGTGTAATGAATTACAAGCAAATTGCTGGAACATCAATTTTCTATGATGCATTATCGGGTATTTCATAAGAAATGTGTGTTATCTAATAAATAATATAAATAAACCAAAAGTATTATGTGAATGAAAAATTTTGTTTGTTTTTTGTTAATTCTTATTACAGCAGTTTGTGAAGGTCGGTCGTCCTATCTGATGGTTTAAGTTACAGAAAATGTGTAAATTCTTGGAGGATTCTTATAAGATATCCCAACAAAATCTTATAAGACTTTAATTGAGTTCAGTTGAATACATTTCGGGAAAACAACCTGAAAAAGGAAATCAAATCCAGAAAACCGTAAAAAAAACATCAAATTTTCATATCTGAAAAAGAAAATCAATATTTTCTTATTTATTTCCATCTTTTATTATCGACATCTCTTTACATTGTGGATCGAACTTTTTATTTAAACATCTTAAAAGCTCTAAAATATTCACACGAATCAAAAGTTTCATTTTACGATTAAGTTGTGGGTGAGAACAAAACAGTTTTTATTTCCTTTTTTTATATCAAACTTGAACTTATTTATCTTCGTGATTTATGCTTTAAATATTGTTTAATTAAAGCATCTTTGGTTGTAATACTTTACTTTAAATAAAATCGAATAAAATCATAAGAAGTCGAGGGAAAACTTTAATTATTTGTGATTAGGCGAACGGCGGTTTGTTTTCCTTGTTTTTAAATCTTTCATTGTTACTTTAAATGTCTTTTTCTCACATGTGAACCTTACAAACTAATATTGAATTGAAGAAGACAGAAAATAAATGACACGAAGAAATTTTTCCCTTTTTGTTCTCAAAGATTTGTCTCAATTAAAAAAATGTGTAAAAGAACATAAAGTTAAATAACTCGAAATAAAAATAAAAGAAGATTTGACTCTAAGTACTAATCACTACTCTTCAATCAATATTTTAAATCTAAATTCGAAATAAAGGTGAATGAAAAGAAAATTAATTTCTTCTCTTATCGACCAATTTGATGTCTTGCACTTGAAGATCATTTCGCGATTTTGCCGCGAATTTTATCACTGCTTGAGTCGAAACTTGCGGTACATAGCGAAGATCTAAACGTGTCAAAGCTTCACATTTTGACAAATGATCTAATGACATTTCTGTTATCAATTTACAGCTACTCAAGTCAAGCTCATAAAGCGTTTTGATTGCACATGGCGATATGCCGATTTGACACACACCAGCATCAGTGATTCGCTGACATGAAGATAAATCTAATTGCACGAGTGTTGGAAGTCCTTGCGTTATGTACCGCAATGCAACGTCAGTCACATCCGTTCCACTGAGCTTTAAACATCTCAAATTCCTCAAACGACTCTTCGAATCTGTTCCAGGACGAGAATCTTTCGGTGGTGATAAAATTTCTCTTATTGCATGATCATTTAAACCTCGAACAAAACTCAAATTAACTGTGTGAAGTGGTGGACATAAACATGTATGAAGACCAAAAACAGATTGAATCGGCACACCCTCCAGACTTAGATTTCTCATGCTTGGAATTCTTGCGATTATCCACAACAGTTGACGTTTAGCAAGGATCGTCCAATCAAGAATCAAATGCTCAGGTTGACGTCGTACAATCGCCATTAAAAGACTTGCTGACAGTTTGTGTTCCGAGCAATTCATTTTCTTCCACAACACTGGATTGATTGAGACTTGCGACCACGCCTTACAAACAAGCGAACATGTGACGAGCGTGTCTTGTGGGAGATGCTTGAAAATTGACAGTAAAACTCCATGATCAAGGACGAGGTTTCCATTTGTTGATTGTTGATTAGGTGGCGGACCTGCAGGGCGAACTGGGAAAATCGGTTTCTTCAACTGTTTGGTTGATGTTTGAATTATATGTTGAGCGAGTTGAACTCTCAATGCGTTCTTCTTTCTTGGCACTCCATCATTTTTACTTGTTTCACTTCGAAAGTCCATCGAGTCCATTGACATGCTGTTTTGATCATCTTCACTCTTACATCTCTTCACATTATTCACATTTATCATCGTCAATTCATGATATTGATGATTATTGTCAATTTCCTTCTTCACAACACTCGATGATGGCTTCAGCTTTTTCTCCGGCTCTTCATCATCGGAATCACTTGAAATGGCACCACTTGCACCACACTTAATGTGCAAATTTTGGGAATGATTTGTTGTTGCTTGTTGAAATTCAGGAATATTTAAATGGTGTTGAAGTTGATGATGATCATCATTGGTGAGTTGATTGTGTTTGCCAACTTCCGATGATTTTTGACGTGCACGGAAATGGCGAGGCTGAGAAAATTTTCAATTTGTTACTTTCTATAACATTCAAAAACTTTTAAAACTCACTCGATAATCAGCGTTCTTTCCACTCTCACAACATGATGGACACTCCCAACTGTTGGGTAAATCTTCATTTATAACTCCTTTGACGCTTGTCTCAAGAGACTTTTGTGCACATTCAGGATGAGTTATTTCATAGCATACGGAACATCTGCGAAAAAACAAAATTTGTAAAGACAAACAAAACTTTTAAAAGCTTTTTCCTATTCTTACTCCATTAATGATGACGGCGTTCCTTCATTGGCAGCTAAAAGTTTTGCTTGTGGTGCTGGAACCGGCTGTTGTCGCCATCCATCTAAGTTACATCGACTACATTGAGCAGTGACTGGCAGCATTGGTTGTAAACATTGTCGCATTTGACAAGTTTGTTTTGCACGTCCTTTAATTAATTGAAATGTGAGAAAGAAATTGAAGAATTGAGAATAAAAAGCTTACCTGGTCCACCAAACTTCACCATATCTAGACAGAATGTACATTCACCGCAATCAGAACGTTGACATGCTTCACAAATTTTGCATCTTGTTCGTCTTCTTCTTGGTGCACCGCTATGTGCTTTTCCATCTCGTTCTCCACTGTTTGGATGATTCTTTTTATATGGACCACGAGGGCCAAAACGAGCTGCCGTTGGCGTCACAAAATTTCCATCTTCACGTTCCCTTTCATTATTACTTGTTTGGTGATTTAAATTTGTTGTTTCTTGATGATTTGCTTCTTCATTCATTGATTCTGACATTGGTGGAATGGCGACGTCGTTATTTGGATAATCATAAGGTTGCATGAATTGATTCAACTCTGTTCGTAGAACTGGTAAGCCCGTAATTGCAAGTTGATTCTCATCTTTGCAATGTCGTTCAACCAAAGCTCTCACATCTTTTATCAATGCGACGGGATCTTTTATGAGTTCCGGAACGTTTTTTCGATTTTGTGGAAGATCATAAAGATATAAAACGATTTCCTTGAGACCAAACAATTCGTAATGTGTTAAATGAAGGTGCGGTTGCTTCATCACTTCATCGATTCTATCAGGCTCGCCATCAAGATGAGATCGACCCAAAAGGGTGTAAACATATTTTGCAAGGACATACCACAACATTTCAGTGAAGAATGGATAACGAAACTTAATTGGAACTTTTGTGACATCTTCAACTTGTGCGATTTTCAATTGTTTAACGATGCCGAATGAGTGGAGAAAATTTCCACCGAAGACGAGAGTGTCAGTTGGTGTGTAAACAGCGTGAATCCATCCACTTGGAATGAAGAATGTGTTGCCTTCAGTTAAGTAAATTCTCGCACACTTTTCAACAGTATCACCAAAGAACACTGCCGATTGCTTGCCCGACAACACCCACTTCTCGTAAAGCTGAAGATTCTTTTCAGTTGGCGGTATCAGCCAAAATACTTTGCTGCCTTTTAAAATGTGATACCAAACACTGGTGCCGCCAAAATCGATGTGAAAATCTGTATAGCAATTCTTAACCGACATCAGACAATACTTTTGAACTTTGGGATACATCATGTGATGAAGTGAGTTGGTCCCTTCAATTTGAGCTTCTTTTAAACGTCGCGGCCATACGACGTCAACCCAATCAATTTGTCGTACAATCGACGGTGATTGCACGTAATTTTCCAGCTTTGTATGTGAAAATTCTAATGAAATTACGTTTAATAATTTCTTTTTGCTTGTATCTTCATAATATTTTTGCCATTCTTTCATCGTCATCTCAAGATTTTTTTGAGTATTCACGTCCATTACATCAAGAACACGTCGAGATCCGACGCACATTCTGACATCATTGATTGTGAAGTTTGAAGATGGAACTTGAACTCCTAAACCCGTCTTTTCTTTTATCAGAAGTGGGATGTTAAAACCGTATTGTTGCAAGTACCTTAAAACGAGAATAAAATTATTTTCATTAATTTTAATTTATATTTTCATTTAACTTACGCAATTGTGAGATCAGTTCCTTTGATTTCTCTAACCATTCCTTGCGAAACAAATGCCGGTGATTCGAGTTTTTCAGCGACACTAAATGCTCTCCCACTTTCGAATTCATCATCTCCAAGCGCCCATTCATCGGCATATAATTTTTTCTGCTTTCGTTCTCGCTGAAATTAAAGGGAAAAATATATGAGTAATCAAAAAGGATTAATGAAAAATTAAACAGAAGATCAATGGTTTGAAAACGAAGGAGTGCAGGTTCCTTCTTTTTGTTTTCTTTTTCCACCTGGATTATATCGATTTTTTTATTCCCAAATGAAAATAATTTTTGTAATTTCACAACAATTAGAAGTGAGCATGAAAGGATATTTACAAAGTTTGAAATTGTATACACTAAAAACGATGTGCAAATGAGCGAAAGCAATTGTAAACAAATCATTAGAAAAGTTTCGTTCACAGGAGGCATCATTGAATTTCATCTTCTTTTTTTCCGGGATCATTTTCAATGATGATTTCCATATAAAATTATTTTATCTTTATCTCATTTGTTTCATCAATTAACCAGAAATTATTTATGTTTATCGGAATATACTCACCAGTTGCCTTTTTCGAGGTGATATTTTTATAATTTTTCGATCCATTAATTGATTTTTGGGGAATTTAAAGATACATCCGATTTAGTTAAAATTTTCACAGTTGTAAGTGCTATCTCAGACAACCCCCTCGTTATTTATGTTTTATAGAACTTTATATCAATGTTACTTTTAATTTAAAGTAATTTTAACACGTTTTTACTGCTTAAATCTGAATTAAAATGTTTTTAGTGTTCTTTGAAAATAAATGTTGGAGGGGGATAAAGCTAATGAGTCTCAATAAATTTTAAATTTAACAAATCCGTTAAATATTAACTGGAAAACTAATTAGGATTTTTAGAAAAACAAACTCTTAAATTTATTGTTAAAAAAAATCTAGTTATTTTATGTATATATCAGATAGAAATCATATCAAATAATTTACAGATCCATTTCCATATTTGCATTATTATTTAGGTCGTTATTCATATCAAAATCATTGTTTGCATTATCTTCTTCTTCTTTCTTATCAAAGAAAGTGACGAGTTGTTGAATCACTTCAGGTGGTCGCCATAATATAAGAGCCTTGCAAGGCTCTTCAACTCTATTCAATAAAACCTTCGGTATTATTTCATCTTCTTCTTTCAAGTTTTTTCTAACTTCATCACAAACTGTAATACGCTGTGCTCTCTTTAATCTCTGTTCGAGTTCTTGTGGTGTAAGATTAACATGATAAGATCGTTCCATATCTACTTCTGGAGTCTCATTTGTTTCAGAAGAATTTATGTTGTGTTGTTGGAAGTTTTCGGAAAGATGAAGACTATTCAAATGAGCTATCATTTTTTCTTCTGATATGAATTGTTTAGTTGGTCTGAAACGAATAAACAAATTTGAATAAAAACATAAACAAAATGAATGAGAAAATATTCACACTTACATGGTTTCCTCAGATTCACTTCTTCGCTTAATTCTAGGTTGATGCTGATGCATATTAAATCCTGAAGTGGTTGCTGTCAATTGATTTTGTGACACAAGAACATTATTTATTCCATTAAATAGGACAACTGAGTTAGATCCACTTTCTAATGATTTCCATGGCATGTTCTTAATGTTCCAATTATAGGAAAGTTGATCGGAAACCACTGGTTGATGCAGAGGAAATGCCGGTGGCCTGTAAAAAGAAAATGTTATTGAAAAATATTTTCATTTAAAGAAAATTTATACAAATTTCTTACTTATTTATGCTGCTGTTAAACATTATCAATTTCTAGACGTTTCTAGATGTTTACGAAGTAGATTTAAATAGCTATGTAGAGTTTCTTGAATATTTTATGTTTTTATCGTATTTTAACTCTTTTCAACAATATATAAACTATACTTTAACTTTGTTTTTAGCGAATAATAATTTTAAAAAATATTTCTTGATTTCAGTCCCTCGATAACTACGCACAATATGATGCTAACTTGCCCGAACAATTCTGCGAATGTTTCAAATGTGTCCGCCTTACTCTTCCTTTTTGATTTCTGTTTCTTTGAGTGCAACATTGCTCGAAGTTTAAGAAAATAAAAAATAGTTCAGCGCTGGTCACAGGAGACTAACTCGACTAATTATGGTAAGATAAAACCTTTGTTTATGCTCATAATATGAAGTTTACGAGATTTTCATAATTTTAACTTAATTTCATTAACTTTAAAAATGTTGAGGTTATATGAAACGAGTGTTTGGTGTAAAATAAATTCCTTCTTTTTAAAATAATCCTTTCATTTGCTTTTTAAGGCGGCAGTTGGTAAAGATATTGATACAAAGCAACAACAAGCTGAGACTTCAACGGTTCATCGTATTCGCATCGTTTTGACAGCATGTAATGTTCGCTCGCTTGAAAAAGTATGCGCCGATTTGATTTCGGGAGCAAAGAAACAAAAGTTGCGTGTTAAGGTGAGTTAAACAACTTAGAATTACTCAGCAATCACCTGGGGGGCTTCTGATATATATTAGTTGCCCTAGTTAAGTGAATGCAAAATTAAATCCGTACGGCAGTGTGTCTTGATTACAATCCAATTGTGATGTTTTTAAGAAGAGCTGGCAGAAACAGTTTTAATTTATAACTACCTCAATAGAGTGAAAACTTAATGAAAGTATTTCCTATTCCTTTCAGGGACCAATTCGTATGCCAACAAATGTCTTGAGAATCACGACACGTAAAACACCTTGCGGTGAAGGTTCAAAGACTTGGGATCGCTTCCAGGTAATTATTGCAAAATATTCTTTTTAAGGTGAAAGATTTTGCGACTGAATGTGTTATTCAATGACCGTTTTGTGGACATCACCACCTAAGAATAAAAGAACTTGTGTCATAGTGCCTATTCAGATGATTTTACATCGACATAGGTCTCCTTATAGTTCGACATCTTCGTTAGAATCAAGAAACTTTAATTAACAAATTTTATTTCATTCTTCTTTCAGATGAGAATTCACAAACGCATCATTGATTTGCATTCACCATCTGAAATTGTTCGTCAAATCACTTCAATTGCCATTGAACCTGGTGTACAAGTTGAAGTTACAATTGCCGATAATTAAGTTCCATTCCACAATGAGAACATATTCAGAAGATCATTGAATAAATAAGATCAATAAACTTGATGTTTTTGACAGATAAATTTTCGTTTTTCATTTAAAATAAAAATATAAAATTTGATATTTAAATTTTCTTCAGTAAAGCATTTTCCATGTTCACAAAGGAATTCACTGAAAACCGCGACTCAAACCAGTCGGAAATAATAAAGAAATTGAACATCTCTCACGAAAAAATAAAAACATTTGAAATGTTAATCATTTTAAGTTAATTAGAATACTTTTACCTTCAATTAAATCTTAGGCACTTCGTGACAATCCTAAAGCAATGGACGATGATAAGAACAATGTGAAATACGCGAAGTTGCTAACAGAATACTCAAAAGTTTGTTTTGTTTTTAATTAATCTTATTTCTCGAAGTTTTATCTTATCAATTTTAAATTTTTTCTAACTTCACAGCTACGAGCGCAGGCGAAGGTATTAAAAAATGCCGTACTCGAAGAAAAGAATAAAGTATCCGTTATGCAAGAGTCATTACGTATAAAGGATCAGAATTTGCGACGAGCTGAAGCAGAACTGGATTCTGTAAATTTTCGGAATAAACAATTAGAACTCCGAGTTCAAGTGATTCAAGATGATCTTCAGAAAACCGCTAAGAGCAGCGGGAGTAAAAATAATAAAATGCGTGATAATCAAATTACGGGAAATGGTCAAATTGATCCGATAATTGCAGAAGAACTTCAAAAACGTATCATGGAAAATGCTCAGTTGGCATCAGCGGTAATTGTTTGCTTTTATTATTCTTCTTAGCTTTCAACTAATTTCAAACAATTAAATTCCTCCCCCATTAACACAGATTTCAGACAAAAACAATGAAATTGAAATGTATACAAGTCGTATAAAAGATTTAGAAACGCAATTGTCAAAGCATATTCATGACCATTCAGAATCAGAAAAGAAGCTGCGCAAAGAAATTGAGGTGCTATCATTGAAATCAACAGAACTGGAAACAAAGATAATTGAATCGACAAGCCAAGTAGGAAGTGAAAGCGATGCTGTAAGTTTGGCAAGTGACTCAACACTTCCACTTCATTTGACCACCTCATCTGATGAAAGAATTGCTTTTCTTGAAAAGGAACTCAATCATTATCGCACACAATACGAGTTGATGAAGATCAACGATGCATTACGAATGGATGAGAATTTAATAACTCAACACAATTTATTGCAAAACAACAATCAACCAAGGAAAGTTTTGTCATCGCAATCGTCAACTTCATCGTCAATGTCCACCAACAATAATCACTCGACTCTTGTTAATTATCCTACAAGTAATCACAGTAGTGGTAGCGGAAGTAAATCATCGCCATGTCAGAATAGTAAATGGTATGACTAATTCTATCTTTTTTAATAATTTAATGTTTTGACTTTAATAAATAATTGTTTAGTTTGCCCGAGCCTGCTTCGAAATGTGATGATGACCCTAATGAGCCAATAACTCGAGATCAACTCGTTTATGATTATTTCAGCAAACGTTTTGATGAACTTTTCAATGAAAAGTGTAAAGCTGAATCCAAAGTTGTCAACTACATGACTGAAGTTTGTTTTGTACAAGATTAACTAAGAATGAGATTAACTTTCTAATCTTTTCAGTGTGATTCTTTACGTTCTAACATCGAATTATGGCTAGATGATATTCAGGAGAAGGATCGTATTTTAAAAGAATCTCAAGCATCGTTTGAACGCCTTGAAGAAGACTTCATAACGACTCGTGTGAACTACGAGGAGCAGATTTGCGTGTTGACTGATCAGGTTCTTCATTTGAGTGACCAACTAGCCTCAAGATAAAATATTCATGTTTAGTTCCATTTTTGCCACATATATCAGCATCTTCTGTACTCTTTTTTTCTTTTGCTTTAAAATAATTTTCAGAAACAAAAATGAAATGTTGATTTATATTATGAATGTGAAATATTTGAATGATAATAAAATTCCATGTTAAATATTTTAAACACTCTCTCTTTCTATGTAATTTCAATTAAATCTTCAGTTGCTTTAATCTATTTTAATGTTAAACGATGCACCACAACTGCAACCTCCTTCAGCTTTGGGATTATTAATTATCCGAAAACCAGCTCGAATTAATTCTTCATGATAATCCACTGTTGACCCGTCAACATACTCTACTGAAACTTCATCAATAACAACTTTTGCACCATCGGGACCGAACTGAAGATCATCTGGATTTAAATTCTTGTCGATTTCAAGCTTGTATTGAAATCCTGAACATCCACCGCCTTCAACGATGACTCTTAGAAAAGATCCATCTTTACAAATCTCATGAAGCTTCTTCACACATGAATCACTAAGTTTCAGATCAGTTTTTGCAGCAGTTTCTGTTGATAGCTTTTGAGTAATGGAGAGACATTTCCTTTGATGTACATGATGCCGTGATGTTCTGGAGTAATTTCAATAAATTAATTTTATTACAGCCGTTTTACATTATTTCAATAAGTTTTAAATGAATCTCATGGCTAACCTTAACAATTGTCTGATAATATTTTGTGTTATCATAATTAGATTCTTGTTTTAATTTTAACAACTTAATTTCAAGAATTTTTCATTCTATTGCGCAAAATGAAAAATCAAAACAAAAATTTTCACTCACACATTGTCAATTTAGTATTGATTAAAGTAATGTTAGTGAGCTGTCATTAACAGCTGATTGAAAATGGAAAACGAAAGGAAATGGAAAAATGAAAAGAAAAGGAGATTTTAATGGACAGGAGATAAATGAAAAGCGTAAGAGAGATGAATTAGGAATGTTTTGTAAAAGATTTCACAAGAAATTGTTTTGTACTTTCTCCACAAACTCCAAAACAAGAGCTTAAAGCTTTAAGCTTCCCAATCTCTGTCAAGTGCGATTAAAAGTTTTGTCAAGCGCAATCAAAAGTGAGAAAACTTGATAATTTCTATAAAACTTTCATTTTTGTTTGAATGAATGATTGAAAGGAAATGACTTGAAGATTTTATAAAGTAATCTGGTGTTACATTATTTATTTCACTCCCCAATCGCGATTTCATGCATTTGCCTCGAAAACTTCGTGGTGAAATGAGTGAAATATTTTTCTTCTCTTTACAGTAGTAAAATTAATTCATTCGGATCACCATCATAGTGATTTGCATAACAAGTTCGAATGGGTAAGTCTGATAAAGCTTTTAGTTTAATTAAAAGTATTAAATCGTAAAGGTGCAAAGTCGAAAAAAATAATTATTATGCTCTAGGATTTGGAAAATATTGAAGAATTGTCCGTCTAAAATTAGATTTTACAAAGGAAAAAAATAATTCTGTGAACTAAAAATATCTCAACAGAAATTAGATATTTAAAAAGCAATTAAGTTTAGTGATTTATCATGAACTTCAATTCAGATGATCGAAATAGCACCAACAATTGGTATTTTCTCGAAAACCAAAAGCGAAACGATGACGGGTCAACGTTGTTGCAGGACGAACAAAGGGACAAAAAGAGAACTGAAGACTTCATATCAAATGAGCTTCATGCGATGTCAACATTGAGTCTTTACGAAGACGACGTGGTCGATAAAGTCGTCGCTAGGGAAGCTGATAAGTGAGTAATTACGTAAATTCATGGGGAAAAAAATTATTCATCATTCCTTATAATTTTGAAAAAAAAATCTGTGTCAACTCCAAACTAATGTCGTTGATCTGCCATGAATGAATATGAATACCTAATAGTGTCTCGAGAAGATCATCCCTGCATGTTAGGGACCAACTAATAAACGATATTTATGGTCTCAATGAGAGAGAACGGTTTTTGTAAGTGTTGGTTTGATTGAATCTTTTTTAAATGAGTGGCTTAGTTATGGTTCGCATTTGGGGATTTTTTTACTCTTACGCATGAGATTGTGGCCTTGTAGCACAAGAAATAATAACTTAGTTGCCAGTTCTTTCCTGTTTCATGCTTCTTTAGATTAACAAAAGCTTTGCAAAGGTCTTGAGAAATTAAAATATATTTTATGTTTCTCAGTTATTTATTGAATATTTTTACGCATCATTCGCAGGGCATCGGGTGAGAACAGTCCGCTAGGAACGTCGTTGCATTCTTCAATGAAGTTTGAGAGTGAACCATATGAAAGGGAAGTCGAGACAGTAACATCGACTGGCGTCGAATATCGCATTAACATCCCGCCAAGCGTCGATGTCGCAGATTATCCACAGAATCCCTATGTGGGGAGGGAAATAAAAAACTCTTCGCTCTACTTTGAAGATGGGGAGAGGTCAGTGGACTTTGTGCTTGTTTGGAAAAAGTTAATGCCGTCTCCTGACGATGAAAAAAATGAAATTTTACGACAAAAAGAGATCGAAGAACTTACTAAGAAAGAAAGTGAAAGAGAAGAGAGACGGGAAGTGTTTGAAGAGAATTTAATTCATGAACATTTAGAAATCGAAAGGGAAATCATCGATGATGAAATAAATTTCGTGAAAATTCATGCACCACTTGAAGTACTTCGTACATACGCTGAAATTCTTAAACTTCGTCTGCCGATGAAAGAGGTGAGTCAAGAAAAGTATTTAAAATGTAGGTAAACAAACGACTTCGAAGAATTTAATCGTGAATTAGCACCCAAGAAAAATGAATTGTGAGAAATGAGAATTAGTTTTATTTTTTGCACATCTGTGTTTTAAAGTTCAAGTGTATTCATGTCTTCCTCAACCACACGCGATGTGTTTACATTTTGTCGATATCATGTCGACTTTCTCGCATAAACATTCTTGATATAATTCAGTCGTTTTGTTCGTCTATTCTCATGAAAATATTTGAGTATCTCAAAAAGCTGTTGAAAGATACTTGAAAGGAGTGGAAGGTAATAAAAGAGAAAGAGTTGAAGCGTTCATATCGAATCGATAGTAATCAATTATCCTTGTGGTTCATGATAGACTTTATGCACTTATCGAAGTCTTAAATGTTCTTCTATCCATTTAAATAATTAAAAACATTTATCCAAGCTTCTTCTTCTATGCCAATAATTATGCAAACATATTCCCTAAGGTGTCAGAAAATTATTACTTAATAACAGTCGACAAACAGACTAATCGATTGAAAAAATTCTCCTTTCACTGACAATCTAAATGCTTAATGAATTTTCCTGCAAATCCAAGCTTCATTCTTTCTATCAACCAACTTCATTATCTTTTTAGTCGCTATGTATACAACAAATTGTTGAAAAGGATGAAGATGAAAAGGAAACAATCACAGAAAAAAATATCAAAGAAAAGGTCAGACGTCGAAATATTTTTAATCATAAACCTTCTTTCTAAAGAAATTCTAAATTTAAAATTCTATCAATTTAACACAATTGAAATGTTGTATTGGAAATTCTTCTAATGATTATTGAAACATGAAATGAAAATGGAATGGCGTAAAAATGTTGCTTTAACAAATTAACACAAAATATTCTCGATAAATGCTTTTAGCTTTCCTTGTTGTTGGCCTTGTTGGGTGATGTCACATCTGTCGCTAATCTAACTAACATTCAATTACTTAAACAAATGAGTTCATTTAAATTGATTGAGATTAAAACATTCTAGATCCGAGGGCTTACAACTTTTAAAGACAAATCGGAACCGTTCCTTAAAGGACCGTGGAAGTATATCGTAAAGAAAATAATGGTTGATGAAAAGAATTTCCCTCCGATTTCACACAGATTCACTGCCGTATACTCTCGTGATAAGGAGTATCTGTAAGTTTAATCGCACAAATCAATCATTAATTTTTATAAATATTTTCTCTACAGCTTCGATCTCAAACAGTCATCGTTTTTTAACTCGAATATTCGTGCGAGAATTGTACAATTCATCTTAGACCGCCAAACATATTCACGTGACTCTGAACACGATTATTCTTTTGGAATCGACAGACTCGTAAATGATGGAACTTATTTCGCCGCTTATCCATTACATGATGGTGAAATCACTACTAAAGGTTCTACAAGGCATTTATTATACACTAAATGGGCAACAATGAAGAAGTGTTGGCAATATCAACCTTTGGATTACATCAAAAATTACTTTGGTGTTAAGATTGGAATTTATTTTGCTTGGCTTGGATTTTACACGTACATGTTAACACTTGCATCTATTGCTGGTGTTATAAGTTTCATTTATTCACTCCAATGGATGCACAACAATCCCATCAGTCATCAAATATGCCAAAACAACCACACAATCATCATGTGCCCTTTATGTGACCGTATGAATTTTTAAAGTTTAAATATTAATTATGAACTTTAATTAATTTTATTTTCGTTTTTGTTAGGCCAATGTGATTATTGGGATCTTAAAGAAACATGTTTACAAACACGTGTGACGTCATTATTTGACAATCCTGTGACTGTCATCTTTGCTGTCATCATGTCATTTTGGGCTGCATTATTTCTGGAACATTGGAAACGTTATTCAGCTGAAATTACTCATCGTTGGGATTTGACAGGGTTTGACGTGCATGAAGAACATCCAAGACCTCAATATCTTGCAAAATTGAAAACAATAAGGAAGAAACAAGATTATGTGACGAATGCGAATGAACCGAATGTTCCATTTTGGAGAATGAAATTACCAGCGACACTCTTCAGTGTTTCAGTTGTGCTTCTTTTAATTCTTGTCGCACTTGCGACCGTCATTGGTGTTGTTCTTTATCGAATGAGTGTTATGGCATCAAAAGCATTCAGTGACATGGATACATCGATCGCAATTCTAATCACAACATCAACAGCTGCAATCATTAATCTCGTGATGATTTTCATTCTCAACTATCTCTATGAATATCTCGCTGAATGGTTGACAGAAATGGAATTGTTAAGAACACAAACTGAATTTGATGACAGTTTAACATTGAAGATTTATTTGTTGCAATTTATCAACTATTATGCAAGTATTTTTTACATTGCATTCTTTAAAGGGAAATTTATTGGCACGCCAAAGAGTTACAACAGATTCTTCGATAATCGACAGGAAGAATGTGGACTTGGTGGATGTTTGATGGAGTTGATGATACAACTTGCCATTATTATGATCGGCAAGCAATTCATGAATGCTTTGCTTGAGAACTTTTGGCCACTTCTTTTGAAGTACATTAATTCGTATAAGTTGAGAACAGGAAAAAAACGAGAACGGTCATTAAAGTCAAGAGGTCAACGATATGTCAGAGACTTGAAGCTGGTTGAATTCGGTTCAAGAGGATTATTTCCTGAATATCTTGAGATGATCTTGCAATATGGATTTGTGACAATTTTTGTAGCAGCTTTTCCATTAGCACCACTCTTTGCATTGATCAACAACATTTGTGAGATGAGATTTGACGCGAAGAAACTTTTGGCTTATTATCGACGACCAGTCTTTGCACGTGTCAGAAATATTGGAATTTGGTATCGAATTTTAGATTCTATCAGTAAATTATCAGTCATTACCAATGGATTCATCATTGCCTTCACCAGTGACTTCATACCTCGACTTGTTTATGTTCTTTATTACTCTCCAACTGGAAATCTTGACGGTTACATTGAATTCTCACTTGCAAGGTTCAACACATCACAATTCAAACACGACACAGCACCAACTAATCCTGGAATTGCAAATGTCACTGAATGTCGGTATCAGGATTATCGTTATGGCCCAGAACATCCAGAAGCTTATGAGAGAACTTCAGTTTTCTGGAATGTGATGGCAGCACGCATGATTTTTGTGGTCATTTTTGAGAACGCTGTGGCTGTCGTTATGATCCTAGTTAGATGGTTGATTCCTGATATTTCTGCTGAACTTCGCGATCAAATAAGGAGAGAAGCTTACATAACAAATGAAATAATCATCAAACAAGAAGCTTTACGAGCAACTCAAGCTGCATCAGCGAGGCAATTAATAAGCCAATCAGCATGGAATCATTTGCTTGGAAGCAACCTTTCAGGCTCTCAATTCGATCTTCTCATTGATTCTGAACAACAAACGCGTACAAAAGATCACTTTAGAAAGCGAAATTCAAACTCGAAAAGAACTCAATCGTTTCTAGATGAAGAATCGTCGAATAATAATAATTTAAGAGAAAATGAATCAAAAGAGGAGACGGACGTATGAAACAACTTTTAAACCTCGATTCTTATGCTAAGCCAAAACAAATCAATTAAGAACTGAATATGATTTAAGAACTTTTACTTCGCGATATTGAATTTTAAACAATTATTTTGCAGTCAATGAAAAAGTCATTGGGTTATTTTTTATTTTCCCGATACATTAATATTTAAAGTAAATACTCAATAATTAAATCCAGGATCTGCTATTAAACGAATACTTACCAATTTTTCACTTGTGCTTTCTTGCAATATTTTTAATGTTTTATGCTAAATGCCATAACGTTTTTAGTTTTGTGATATGAAAATCTTGTTGTGACTTATTAATGTTGTGCACACTTTAAATTACTTTAAATATCACCTAGATAATTGGTGCCAAGTTTAAAGTCCTTTTTTAAGATGCTAAATGGATGTATGGTTTTGTTCTTAAACTTAAAAAATGCACAATTTACAAAATTGATGTTTACATCATCACATATATCGACAAAAGTGACTAAATGGGTCATAATATACACTTTAAAGTGAGATTTAATGTTTGTGTGAATTTGTACCAGTTACCATTATCTGGTCCGTGTCAAATTTAATATTAAATTTGGTGCAAATTGTGATGACAGAACTTCACGAATAGATAGAACTTTTTTAAAATATTTTTGTGATTTTTTTAAAAAATCTCGTTGTTTTGAAATCTATTGTTCATACATATTATTATGAAATATAAATGACTGCTTTAATAAAACAAGAGTGTATACATTATCATGAAAACATTTGATTTTTTCACATAGGTATATAAAGAAATTTAGTTGGATAAGAATCGTTGAATTCAAATTTAACATTTTTGTGAAAATCAAAACATTCCCCTCGTTCCCGGTTCAACGCGCGGGGCGAATCACTATATGAATGCAAAGATCTTAGAGGGCAGCACTTTTGCACAACCGAATTCAGTTTCAATTTATCGCGAGTGAATACGGTCGAGTTTTTTCGTAGTCTAAGAAGAATTTTTAAGAATTAATTAAATCTAAATACATCCACCATGTCTGAACGCGAAAATAATGTGTACAAAGCCAAACTCGCTGAGCAAGCTGAAAGATATGATGGTGAGTTGAAATTTTCATAAAAATCCGTGTACTTTGCGAGAAAATCGAAAAGTTCAAAGCGGCGACGCTAAAAAAAAATTTTTTTCGTCAATGGCTTCCATGTTCCGAAGAAAAAATTTAAAACGTAGGAAAATGGATACAAATGTCAAAAATATGGATAGTTAATATTTAAAATGAACGAAAATTAGAAACTTTTAAATGGACTGGACATTGAATTGTGCTAAAGAGAATTTTAAATCTCATAAAAAAGTGTGTAACACGGGGAAACCTTTCATGATGTTTCATGCTTCAAATTAAAAAAAACGTGTAGCTAAGTGTACTGAAAACACTTAATATGTATATTGAAAAATCTAAAACATTCAAAACACGCCTTAAATTATTTGTACAATTTAAATTACACTGCAAGAGAAATTTTCGCTTTTTTTGCATAAGGAATTTATTTCATCATCCCTCGTATTATGTTTTCCACGTTACTTTAATACACCCATCTGCAAAATCATCGGCATTTGCCCCATAAGAAGAAGAACACGATTTCATAGTTTTCTTTATCCCATTTTTCCATCTTTTTACCATTCCAATTCTCAAGAAATGAGTTCTTTTATTCCGTTGAAGAAGAAGAAGAAATTTTGTATAAGTGTGAGTAAGTGAGAGAAAGCACGGCAAAGTGTGAGTGAGAAGGAAAATAATCAATAACCTGCGGAACCATTTTCTTGGTGCTTAGAATCTTAATTTTTTTCGCACGAAACCGCTTAAGAATCTTCAATTCCTATCGGTAATGACTCAAACACATTAATTTTATTACATTCTCAATGTGAGTTAGCCTGACCATAAAGTTTTTTGGGATTTCAAAGACACCCACCCACCTACAAACGTAGAAAGCAAACGACATGAATATTTTACAATTATTCCTGTGCTTTTTCTCATAACTTTTTATTAGAGGAATTACTAATGATAATTGATTGTACCTGCCACATATATTTTCAGACGCAATATGTGATAGGTGTGTACTTGAAAATGTTTTTCAATTTCTAGATTTAAATATTTTATTCTCGAAACTTCGCAATGTGTTACTTTAAAAAAGATTTTCAAGGATTCAATCTTTTTTTTTCTACCTGATGTTTGAAATACCTATCAATGACAGTATTATGACTAAATATTCCCGCCTAAATTATTAAAAAAAGATTGCGTCAAATTTTGTCACTCACAAATATTTCGTTGTCAACATCGTTGTAAGAAAATTGAGAATTCAAGTGGATTAATATGTAAATAGAAAGCTTTAAACAACCGTCTCATTTAAATCGTCAAATCGATGAAGATCGATGTGAATGACGTCATTGAATACAATCACACACAACCAGCTAAAGTTATCAATCGTAAAAGAGAATAGAAAACGAAAAAAAGTTTTGTTCAATTTCCGTTCTACCATCAAATCATCGCTGCTTTCTGTTGCACCTTAAAATTGCCTATTGTATTCTCACTACATGAGCGCGTGCTTAGTAGCTTTTTAAACATTCCATTCCCAGTTGCATTGATGTTTGTGTTTAATCGATGTTGAGATTCTGTGAAATGTCATTATAACCCGTTCTAGGGAGCCAACCAAAACATTTAAGACACAAAGTCTTCATCTATACAGGTGTCGTTGTCGCCGCGAAAATAAAGAAAAAAAAAAGCAAGAATCATTGTCGAGAACGCACATATTCAAAAATTAAAACCGGTTCCCAATCGTTTTCAATGATTTCTTTTTCTCGTCTCTCTTTCAATTCTTGTAACGTATTTTAAGTCATTATCTTCGATGAGATGCCGGGTTTTTTTTCTCCATACACTTGAAACTGGTCTTTTCTTTAAAACCACGCGGATTCCAGATGAAGAAAGCTGGCAACGCCTGAAAAGACTTTTTCTTCTCTTTCATCTCTCGCCAGGCATTTCTCGTCTATTTGCTCTTTCAATTGCATCATCTTCGTGGCGCGTCGACATCACCTTCACCGTCATGAATAGTTATAACCTGATGACTCATATAATTTTTTTTTTGCATTGATCTTGTACTTGTAAAATATCGCAACACCTACAATTTAATTGTTCTTCATGAAAGTATCTTCATCTCGTGTTAAAACAATTATGCAGACAACAAGAGATTTCTTTAAGTCATTTTAACGGACTCTGGTTTGTGTTTAACAATTCTAATCAGTTCACCATTTACGAGTGCGGCAATTAAGTAATGTGGATCTGGCTTATAGAATGTGAAGAGAAAATGAGGAAATTCAATTAGATTCGTTTATATATTGTGAGTGAGTGAAAGAGATTTTTTTTGTTATCCGACAAACATGAATGGAGTTTCTAATGTATAATAAAAAAAACTCTTTCAGTAGTTTGCGTGGAATATCTTTTGAGGTGACATGGTTTTACCGCGATGTCATCATAAGCAGATTGCGTGCAAGTAACGAATTCTTTTTTTTTTTTGTTACTGATAACAGAAGCAGTTAAGTTCCCTTTTATTATTCGTTTGTAAATTAAATGAAGGGACAACTTTTCTTTGCTTGAAGTTGTTAACAAAATTGACAAAAAAAAAGAGAAGAAGAACAAATAATTAAGACGCGTTAATGACATTTTTGTATCATTTTCTACGACGAAGATCAAATACCTATTTGTTTATTTTTTTTCTGCTCTGTTTTGATGCGTACGCCGTAACATAAAAAGCTGTTTCGATAGCAATCATTATGATCTATTTAATAATCGTTGCCCAATTTTTTTGTTCCTTTCGAAGTCATAGCAATGTTGTTCAATGTTCACAATCATCTCAATAAATATTGAATGAAAGGAAAAATGATATCAAACAAAAAAGCTTTCAATTTTCTTCATGAAAACATTTTCATTGAATTTCAAATTGAAATTTTTCGCGGTTTGTCATCAAAAGACATAAATTTACTGTTGATTTGGCATCTGAATTTCGTTGACATGCTTGATTTGGTAATTATTAAGAGTTTGAAAACAAAATTTATGTTTTCTCCTTCGCTTAACATTTGACGATGCCTACATTCGGTGATAAGGTCAAATAACATTATTGTTTCACCTTCCCATCAGCGGATGATTCAATTTACCCTTACTTGTCTTCCTTTCTGTCATTTTTTTTCTGATTGTTGCTTCCATTACTGTAAATGGCTTCGTCTACTAATTAAATTACTAAATGATGCTGGAGCCTCCGCACAAATACCTTTTAACACTCTACACTCATGAAAAGTTTCAAACATTTATTGATTGTTCAAAATTCTTTTCGCGTATGTCAATTAAATCGAAACTTTATAGCTTTTTGACAATCATAGGCTCATGCAAAGCAGTATGAGTAAATTTCATACATCAATTAAATGTTTTATTTGCTTGAGATGAAGTCCTAAAGCAATCGAAAAAAGGACTAATATGGGTTGGGTCATCCACCCACGAATAATTCTTGTTTGCTTTCATTACGACCGGATAAAAGCACGTGGTATGAGGTATAGAAACTTTTTCATTTATCGCAATAGGGGGAGAGAGAAAAAAAGGTAGAAAAAATTGTTATGGATGTTGGTGAATGTTTTTCGACTAAGTAAATTTATTTTAGGTTTATTAGAGCTAAAGGTTCGTTCCGGTGAAGGAATAATGTAGCTAAAGGGCAGATTGTTTCAATCTAAGATGTGCTGATTGAGCAATTTACTCAGTTTATGAGAAGATGCTGCACTTGGTTAAGGTTCTACTGTGTTGTTAATTAATCTAAATTGTCTAATCTTTTCACTCATGTTCGTCGTTTTTTTAAGGAAATTTAACTGGAAGTTTGCTTACGACAAATTTATTTCCAAATTTCATTTACATTTTTATAAATTAAGCTGGAATTTGCATCCGTGAGTGATTTTCGTTTTCAACGAAGCGATATAAATAAAAAGCTTTTTTTAAGGTTCCTTGTGAAAAGTCGAGGTTGGGTAGGCGAGAAAATGAAAAAAGTTAGAACCATTGCGACACTTTAAATAATTTTTTCAAGGAAAGGAAACTTAACGCTCTAAGAAATGAAGCATCAGGCATGACAGAGTTTCATTTGTTTGTGTTATTTTCCAACTTTTATCGTCTCAATTTTTCTGTGAAAAAAAATTTCATTACAATAATAAAATGTCACCTTGAAAAAGAAGAAAAAATGTACGCATCGTTGTTGTTGTATAAGGTAGAACAGGCTCATACTTGTTATCTTGTTTAGTCAGCAAATGGAAAATTTTCTTTCATTTTCATTTCAATCAATTGTCCTAGGAGAAAGGAAAGAAAAGTTCCTTAACATTGTTATTTGAATTCTTATCTTATTTTTATATTTTGAATATAAAAAACTCCTTTGAGTAATCGAAAACTTTCCCAGGTGCGACATCAAACAAAAGATTTATTGACTTTCACTAGCAAATAGAAGTCGTAAGATTGAAAATTTTGGGATCATTTTTCTTTTATATATTGCTGAGACAAAAGTCCCGCCAGATTAAGATGTGATAATAAAGGCTAGCAAATCAATTGTTTTTTTGTCTTGTTTTCGAATCCGAGACAAAAGTCTTAAAGCAACAAAAGTTTTGTTAGTAGGAAGAAAATACAAAAGGGAAAACGTATTTAATTAATTCTTTGCCTCTGTTGAATCAGTTATTGCTCAGATATTTAATTGTTTATTTAATCACAAGGACGATGATTGGGGTTGCTATGGAAATATTTGCGTTCTTACCTCTTTTTGAGTGCTAAAAAAAGATTTTAATTGAAGTTTCAAGCCTTTAAATTGGTTCAAGCGAACGCTGAGCTGAGAACATTCCTTTGGGATTTCGTTTGTAATTTATTTACGCTCTTTTAAATTCGTCTTAAATGACTCATTGTGAAGTCATGCGACTTGCATATTGAGTGCTTATTTCTTTCTTTTTTAAAAGTTTCTCGAATTTGCAATGTGCGAGATTCTAAATAATAAAAAATTCTCCAGTTTGTGACTTTGTATGTGTTTGTCGTTTGTCTGTTTACTTGAGTTTTTTTTATATTCATTTTGAGGCCGTTTTATGAGTAAATACTTTTTATAAATGTAAAATTGAGGTCGTCCTTGCCCATGCAATTTAAACAACTTATGCTTCATTCTCGTTCTCACATGACGAGAATTTCTAAAGGTTCATTGTTCGAAGTTATTATCAAGAAAGCATCGTCATTTAGTGAATGATAAGAACAAAATCCATGACAGAATGTAATTAAAAGAGGATTTATCGTGATGGTCATGGTAAAAATGCATCAATAACATTAATCATTCATTTATTTGTTCCTTTATTTATTCGCTACAATTTAATTGATTGTCGATGTGGAGATTATCGATGTTTAGACCATGAATCGTATCGTTATCGACACATGCAAATTTTTTTACGCGAGAATTAATTAATCATGACAATATTGTTAATTCTCAATTTCAATGAAAAGCAACATTGAAGTGAGAAATGTCATGACGATGTCGTACATAACAAAAATTAATTTTAAATCAACGTAGCTCGTTGAGTCATCACTAAAATAATTTCGTTTTCACTTCCGCTCTCTAGATGAGATGAAAAAGTGAACAATGATGACGCATAAATAAATTAAAAGTTATAAGTTAGTTAAAGCCGGTTGACAAAAAGAAAGAATGAAGAATTTTGATGAATTTCATTAGTATGTTGTTTTATGTAAAAGAAAAGCAAAATAAATTTGCATTTAAAATGTTTTTTCACCGCGATTTACTGGAAGATGGCAGAAAGAATTTTCCTTAATGCGCTTTGAACGATGCCTCATTAAGTTTCATTTTTTGATGAAAGAAAAGACACACAAAGATGGCTCACGAAACTTTCCCAAAGAATTTTCTTCTTTTTTGTGTTTCTTGCCGAGGCAACTCTAAGTCGATGCCATTGACTGTATGCTTTCCTCGCCTTTTCTCCCTTTTTTCTTCCCCTTCCACTCTCGTACGTGCCAGGAATATGGTGGCCCATAAGCTCTTGCGCAATATTGTGCTGCTTTTAGTGCGCAGACTCATTTCAACATCACACCATATCAAGAAGCGTCCGTCTCTCGAACCTCCACCCGCACCATAAATTTCCATGAGGCACCGTCATACAATTTTCCCTTCTTTTTCAATGTTAAAAATATCGTATACAACCCTCGTAATACTTTCGTAATATTCTTGCAAAATTCTTCTCTTTTTTTGTCCATTGCGAGGAATGTGTGTGCGTTTGTCCTTTGCTTAATGTGTCTGTCTGTTGCTGTTGAAGGATTAAATCTGAAGCTTTAACTTGATTGAACTTTAAATGTTTCTTTTTTCCTTCTGTATTTTCTTTAATGTATGTTTGTACGTTTGCTTTGGTCCACATTTTAATGCCATCAAAAGAAAATTGTTCACAACCTTTTTAATCCTCTTCCGTCTATTTTATCCTTTTTTATGAATGTTACATAAAATGTTTGCTTCTTTAATATCGATTTGAAATATCAAAGACATTTTCTATTGTCGGAAAAAGGAATTGAAAGGAAATTCAAACATTTAAATTCGAAACATCGTCACGTGTTTTTATTTTATTATTTTTCATTTAAACTGGAATGACCGAATCGATAATTTTATTACAAATTTTTGCACAAACACATGTAAACTATCAATGAGTTCGCGACACGAGACGGACATTGCACAACACAAGCGCACTTGATATTAATTGATGAGTTGAATTTGTATGCAAAACCGGTTTCTTTTAATAGATACCACACTTAAATTTTAAAGTAAAATTTCTACAATCTATGGATGAAAAAGTTTTATTTTTAATGTCATTAGGCCGATGGAACATGAAGACATTTCATTAATATCGAATGAATATTCTTTATGATGTTATTGAAACCAACCAAATGATGTCGTGGCTCGTTGAAAAGTCATAATATTAAATTATTTTCCTTCGTTTTATACAAACACCTCACATCAAGGTTAAACACTTCTCTGATAAGCCTGTGGAACATCTACGATGTTCTCAGATTAGCACGTCGTTATTACATTATACTTAATGATATTTATTATTCATCCATGAGTTAACAAACTTTCTTCTCCCATTTCACTTCTTTTTCATCATTTTTTTCGCCACTTTTGCGGTGGTGAATGTAAATTGAAATATTTAACTTCGAAGAAGAAAAACAAGCAAGAATGAAGAAGAGAAATATTTTGATAAGACGAAAAGCGTTTTTCATTAATTGCTTTTAGCTGTTTATAACATTTTTTTGTTTTTAACTTCTTCTTGAAGTAGAAAAAGAATCAAAAATAATTTTCCATTTCTTTCACTTGCGATTAAATATCAAACGTGGGTTGTTGACGAAATACATTTGTACGCTGGCATTCCGCCCAGGACTCTTGTGGTGGTGTGTGATCATGGGATAAAGAATGACGTGAATGCGATGCGAAATGTAAACGCGACTCATCATTGTACAATTCTTTTAATGTGAACTCATTTAAATTGCGATTTTTCTATCTCATTGCAACAATCAAAACTTCACAGTGATTTCCATTTATCTGCAATGTGATGTGCTTGACGTACATGAATATGATTTCTTATCAGTCGTTGGTTGTTTAGTTACAATTCATTTAGCAATTCTATCCAACTCACAAATCATTTTAAGCTTATCTTTGAATGTCGTCATGACAGTAAAAAAATGTATAAATATAAAGAGAGAAGCTTCATTTTGAAAAGAAAATTCAATGTTGCGTGTTTGTTCAAAGCAGCAAATCAAGAAAGGAGAAGAAGAAGAAAATGAGAGACATAAAAATCGATGATTTTTGTTATCATCAACTAAGACATGAAAGAACTTCTTATTTTGCTTGTAATAATAATGATTGCGCTATCGCAAATTCACACGTAACCGATTTTATGCTTGCATAAGCTCTCGTCTCTTATCATGAAACTTCGTTGAAGATTATTTATTAATATTGTTATTATTTCATAGATTTTGATTAGATCTTTGAAAAAAAAGCTTTCAACTTCATAATCTTTCTTTATTTCAATAGAAATGGTTGATGCCATGAAGAAGGTCGCCTCAACTGATGTTGAATTGACAGTTGAAGAGCGCAATTTGCTGTCAGTCGCTTACAAAAATGTCATTGGCGCACGTCGTGCATCCTGGCGTATAATTTCGTCAATCGAACAGAAAGAGGAGAACAAAGGAGTTGAAGAGAAACTTGAAATGATCAAAAACTACCGTTCACAAGTGGAGAAAGAACTTCGCGACATATGTTCAGATATCTTAGATGTTTTGGACAAGCATCTGATACCTTGCGCCACAACCGGCGAATCGAAAGTATTCTACTATAAAATGAAAGGCGATTATCATCGTTATTTGGCTGAATTTGCAACTGGTAATGATCGTAAGGAAGCCGCCGAAAATTCACTAGTAGCTTACAAAGCTGCAAGCGATATCGCAATGACCGACTTACCACCCACACATCCAATCCGATTGGGACTCGCATTGAACTTCTCTGTAAGTTATTTTTACATTTTAAATTATGATGAATTTTCTCAATTTGTTCTCTTCCCAAAGGTCTTCTACTACGAAATTCTCAATGCTCCCGATCGTGCCTGTCGACTCGCAAAAGCAGCATTTGACGATGCCATCGCCGAATTGGATACACTCAGTGAAGAGAGCTACAAAGATTCAACACTTATTATGCAATTACTAAGAGATAACTTGACTCTTTGGACGTCAGATATGCAGGGCGATGGTGAGTTGTCATCATAAATTAATTAAGGAATGAAAGAAATTTAATTCTGTTGAATAATTTTGTAGGTGAAGGAGAACAGAAGGAGCCCATCCAAGACGTTGAGGATCAAGATGTGTCGTAATTGCATCAAGCTTAATTCCTTCCTTATCTTTCTTTATCTCATGCACTTTTCCTCCACCCCCTCATCACCCCTTAATATCCCCCATTACCCCATTTCCAATAAAAATTCCTTTCCCCCCCTCAATTCTTCATAAGTTTCAATCATGAAAAAAGCAGAAAAAAATGCACTCAAAACATTTGTAAAGTCTTCAAACATGGATCAATAATATCTAATTCAATCAATTCAGAAATAAGTCGATGAAAAAGAAAAAAAATGAAGCAAGAATGAATGAAAGGAAACCGGAAGTAAGACGAAAGAAAAAGAAATCTCTCGCCACATCTTTCTATCTCATCCATCATCACAAGAGAAATTTTCACATGCACACAACAGGAATACTTCAGTAAAAACCGTTAAAATAAAATCATCCTTTTGTAAAGATTAAATTTAAAGAGATAAAAATCCATAAGTTTAAGGCGAGATCACTTTGTGAAAAACAGAAGAGAAAAGAAAAGAAAAATTAATTAAAATACATGAAGAGAAATGTCAAAACACAAACCCAAAAAGTGAAGGAAATTAAATTAGCATTTTTCATACGAGTATAAAAGAAAATTAAGAACAGACGTGAATAAGTTAAACTTCCTTCCACAACTTACCGCCACAAACAACTCCAAAAAAATCTCACTTTTTCAAATAAATTAAAAAAGTCTCATTGGAAAATGTGTGTGAGTGTGAGTGTGTGTATGTGTGTATGTTAAAAGATCCCTCCTTGATTTATTCATTCGAGGATTTGTTAAATGAGCTGGATCAGGAAGCGAGAAAATTTCAACAACGTTAAGAAGTTTTTATCACATCATCGGAGCGTTGTTTCTAAGAATCTCAAATTCCTTTCCATGTTTTCTTAACAATTTTCCGGTTAAAAATCAATTTCCACTACCAAAAGATGTTTGAAGATGTTAATTCAATTGTTTGTGCAAAAGCAACACACAAACGAATTAAAAATATAGAAAAAAAACAAAGAAACAAAATCAGGAGATGCAAAAATTGTACATCAAATTTTTTTCTGTTTTTTAGTGGACATAACTAAATATAATGAAGGATGATTAATTAAGCATTATTTACTACTATAAGGAATGATAAAAAAAAACATGCATTTTTTAAGGAAAAAGAAACTGAAAAAAAATTTACACTGAAATTCTTCATCAGCTTAGCGACTCTGTTCTGGAGTCACTCTCGAAGAATTCGCATTTTCTTAAGCAAAAAAAAACAAAAACATTAAAAAAAAACAAAACATTCTTTATCATCCAAACATATTGATAAATTTATTGTATTAAATTTCATGGTTAGACACAAACACACGAAATGAAAGCTAAAGTTTTCTTTCTTTTCTTTTTTTTAAATAAATTGTCAATAAATAGGTTTTTTCTCATATCGCGTCTTATCGTCTTTTGTTCGGCAGATGCCTTGGCGGATGCTGCACAAATCATAATGTGCGCCATAATAAAAAAGCTTTTCAAATAAAGTTTTTCTTTCTCTCCAAAATCAAAGTTCGTGAAATTCTTCAAACAATTTCTTGATGAATGAAGAGAAAACAAACCGCTTAACGTAAAATCAACTGAACATGCAACATGATGTATTACTATTGTTTAATTATTATTTTTCTTTTTCTGTTTAATTAGAAATACATAAAATTATTATTTTCTTTCGTCTTGTTTCGATCAGGCCAAAAGTTATTTTAATTTTCTTTTCCCTTCTTTATTTTCGTTTTATTTGTCAACTTTCAACTCTTCCCAAAAAATTTTTCTTTATTTTGTTTTAGTTTCCTTCTGTAGCACCACAATTTTTTTCGAAAACTTTTATTAGATATTTCGCGAACAGAAATAAATGAATAAATATGAAAATAAAAACTCTACTTAAATGATTTGCTTTCTTATGATTTTCTTTTTATTTACAGACTTATTTTTCTGTTCCTTTAATATTTTTATTAATTTTGCTTTTGATAAAACTGTGCGATGAATTATCATCATGAGAGGAAACATTCATAAACTCCACAATGTAATGAGAAGAAAATTAAAGCATAAAATGTAAATTTCCTCTCAGACAAATAAAGTTAACATCGTCTGAGATGAAAAATATCAACAAGTGACAAAATGTATGAATGTCTCCTCTGACCAAAGCTTAGAAAGCAATTAAAAGAAAATCTTAAGTGCTAATCCTAATTTTATTTCTCATTTTAATCCTTCGTAAAAAACGCCACAAGTTGAGAGTAACAATTGAAGCCCACGGAATGAGGATAAAAAACCAAGCATAATTAATTATACTAAATTTAATAATGTGAATGTATTTAAACTAAACAAGACACAAAAAAAAATTATAAATGAAAAGTTAGTAGTAATTGCGTCATTTTTGCCGTTTTTTCTTGCTCTAATCTCAAACAATCTTTTGTAATAATTTCTTCGGATAAAACGCTGAAATTTTTGGAAATAGAAGTAAAATATTGACGAGAAATATAAAAAAAACATTGGGAAATAACAATAGAACGATTTGAACGTAAAAACAGAACTTTTATTACTTCCTTAAACAAATGTTTACGTAAATGCGGAAATGAAATTGAGTGAAAATTGACATGAAAACTCGTTTCCATTTCGCTATTAACAATAGCTAATCATTAACTATTAATTTTCCTTTTCGTGAATGAACTCTCAAGTAATAATTGTAAATTCCTATCATTATAAAATAATTTTAGTTCTTTATATTCCTTTCAACGATCATTTATGTTCCATTTTGCAATTTACAGAAATAAACAACATTTCTAGTTTTAAAACAACAATTGAAATTGTTTTTCTTATTTTATTTCATGTTACAGGAATACTAATAGATTCTCTATTTTAATTAAAAGTCTTTTTATTACTTTGAAAATTTTCCTTTAATATTATTTAACAAAAAAGTGTAAGGTTTGTCAACTTCACTGTCCACTTTTGGAATATTCGCAAAACGTTTAAGTCTTGGTGATAAAAGAACTAAATTCTGAACTAATCCAAAACTACTTGAAGCTACCCAGTAGAGACAAAGACCAGATGGAACGTAAGCTGCAATGGGCACCATAAGAACGCTCAACACTCTGAAGAAATTTGTTGCATACTTTTGAAGTTTTGTGTTTAGTTGAACTTTTTTACTAGCTTTTTGGAGCTGTTGATGAGATTTCAATAAAATTAAAATTATAAAAATTCAAATGATTTTCTTTCTTACCTCAATAATAGTTAAATTAAGTACACCCAGAGTCACAGGCAGAATAAGCGAATGATCTGCTTCTGTCAAATTTGGGATCCATCCAAACCCTCCAACAAGCATTTCAGCAGCAGTAAGTTGTGCTTCTACTGAAGTGGGATCTGGGAGCATATGAATGAGATTTCTGATTGCCCAAGACTGTGAGATCCAAAGTGGGATTTGAAACAAAACTACGATAATTGATTTCCCTGGATGACAATTGTCACGAACAACAAGGTTGTTCCATTGATTATTTACGGAACGATTGTACATAATCCTTGCTTGTTTTTCATTCCAATGGAATTTCCTAACTGCGTATGCAGTTTCCATTTTTAGTTCTTTTACAATTTCCGGCATCTCACCTCTGATTTTTTCTACTTTGGCTAAAATCTTTGATTGATAAATAGCGAGAGGGAAAGTTAAAACAGTTCTTAAAAGAACTGTTGATACAACAATTGTTCCCCACCATGGTAATCCTGTAATATCATGCAAATGTGTAATTCCTTCTTGTAATGTTGTTACTGGTACACTTGACGAAACTGAATTCCAGAAACCTCCTGGTGTATAAAATCTCTTCTGATATTTCTGTTGATCTACATGGAAAGGTTGTCTGTTGAAAATGACTGAAGTTTGATTTACACATCGTCTTATACATACGGCTTCTAATGTCATTAATTTATTCATTTTTTTAATTCTTATCTTTGAAGATTTGTTATGGTTTTCAAGCGGCGATCATTCTCGCCGACACAGAAGTCAAAGCCCGCCGTTCAAAAAGTAAAGTAAGCCGTCGAAATTTCACACGTGTGAATTAAAAACAAAAGAAAATTGTTAGAAAAATACTGTAGAAAGACTAAAACAATCAAAATGGCAAATGGAGAAGAGAAAATGGAAATTGAAATGATTGGTGACAATGATGAAATAGAATCAGATGATGGAAATGAGTCTGGAAATGACGATGAAGTTTATTTGCCGAATAAAAAACCATTGGCTGAGGACGAAGAACTTGTTTGTGATGAAAGTGCTTACATTATGCTTCACTCTGCATCGACAGGTGCACCATGTTTAAGTTTTGATATTGTTAAAGATAAAATGGGCGTAAGAGAGAAATTTCCAATGACTTCTTATATCGTTGCTGGAACTCAAGCTGCTGCTTCTCATATTAACAATGTCATTGTTATGAAAATGAGTAATTTGCATCGCACCAGCAAAGAGAAAGAAGATGGTGATTCTGATCTTGAAAGTGACATGTCTGATGATGAAACTGAAGGAGAAGAAATTGAAGAGAAAAAACCAAAAATGTCTTGCGCCCTCTTAAACCATGTCGGATGTGTTAACCGCATTAGATCCAGTGAAGTTAATAATCAGACATTCAGCGCAAGTTGGAGCGAAACTGGAAAAGTTTTCATCTTCAACATTACAGATCAGTTGAAAGCTGTTGATGATTCAGATCTGTTAAAGAATTACGAAGACACAAATCAGAGTTTACTTGTGAAACCAGTTTTTGTGTTTCGTGGTCACCGATCCGAAGGATATGGAATTGATTGGAGCTCAACAGAACCTGGTGTACTTGCTACAGGTGATTGTCAAAAAGATATTCACATTTGGAAGCCAACCGATGATGGTTCATGGACTGTAAATCAAACTCCACTCATCGGCCACACTTCGTCAGTTGAAGACATCCAATGGAGTCCTAACGAACGTAACGTCCTTGCAACATGCTCAGTTGATAAATCAATTCGTATTTGGGATACTCGTGCTGCTCCTCAAAAAGCTTGTATGTTGACAGCTGAGAATTCTCATGAAAGTGATGTTAATGTTATCAGCTGGAATAAAACTGAACCGTTTATTGCAAGTGGTGGTGACGACGGAGTTCTTAAAGTATGGGATTTAAGGCATTTCCAAAACAATACACCAATCGCTACATTCAAACATCACACAAATCACATTACAACAGTTGAGTGGAATCCAAATGAATCAACTGTCCTTGCTTCAGGTGGTGACGATGATCAAATTGCTTTATGGGATTTGTCAGTTGAACGAGACGACAATGACACGAGTCAAAACGATCCTCAACTTCGTGATCTTCCACCTCAACTTCTCTTCATTCATCAAGGACAAAAAGAGATTAAAGAACTTCACTGGCATCCACAACTACCTGGCGTTATTCTTTCAACAGCTCACAGTGGTTTTAATGTTTTCAAAACTATAAGCGTTTAAATTTTATAATTAACTTTTATTTTATTTGAAATAAAATTTGTGTGAACTTTAAAAATATTTGGAATTACAGTTGTTCATCACTTAAGTCAAGATTATGCAAATAGCGGAGTGTTGGTCGACCATGTGGACAATTCTAAAATTAAATAATTTTTTAGTTTAGGCATAAATTTGCTTTATTAAAATATTAATTAAACTTACCCAAGGATGATCAAGTTCTCCCATATGTTCTACAATTTGTTTCATTTGTTGTTCCTTCAGCGCATCACCAATCATCACTGACTTCCGACATGCACGCGATGCAAGCATCGTTCTGACTCTTGATGGTCGACAAATAGTGTTAGGTGCGTTGTCAAGCATAAAAATCATTTCTTCAATATCTTCTTTCCCAAACTCCCAATTTTTACTAAAAGGTTTTGAGTGAATTTTAATTTTTTGTCCTGCAGTTTCGTTTTCGTCGATGAGAAACTTAAATCCGTTCATTGCGAAGATATGAAGATTCTCGATGAGTGTCATTTCTTGTATTGCTGTCAACTCTAATCGCTCAGGAATCACTAAAGGTTGCGACTGAAGTTTCGTCGTCTTTTGCAAATCTTCAAAATTGTACTTTTCATCAGATGCATGTTGATCAACAATAAACAAATCACTGTTGAGTTTAGCAATGATGAACCCAAGATTAAATTGTCCTAGAACTTCCATTTCACCGAACATTTCTTTCTTAATTTCAGTTTCAAGTTCCATTTCAGCTTTTTTATTTGAAGATGGATTAATTTTCTCTTTAAAACGAAGTTTAATCTTTTTCGATGCTTTTTCTTCTTTCCATTTTTCAAAAGCATTTTCTTCAGCAAAAGCCATCGTTCTGAGTTCATCTAAACTGACGTCAATTTTTGTTGACGATTGAGTGACGTTCAGATTGTAACTATCGACTTCAATGACTTCAGAAGCTTCTTCCATTTTATGATCGTCATCAGTGTTGGAATCATTTAAAGTGCTCATGATTGTTTCACTTATGTTAATATTTTCTGATGTTTCTTCCATTTTTAGAAAACTTTTTTCAAGATCTTGAGTTGTTTCTTGACTTATAGGAAGTCTTTCAGATTGCAGTAAACATTCTGTCGGAACTGTTTGACTTAAATTAATATTTTCTGGGGTTTCATTCATTTTTGAAAAATTATTTTCAATACTTTGAGTTGTTTCTTCACTTAAATTTTCTTCAGTGCTAATCATCGCAAAAGGAATTTTCTCAAACTTTAAAGAATTTTCTACTCGTGTAGTTGAACAATCGATTCTGTAAGAAACTTCACTTTTTTCGTCTTCTGAATTTTTCTTCAAGTCTTCGTCATTAGTTTTATGAAAGAAAAAATTAATTTTTGCTTTTTTTGGACTTTTAATTTCATTGCTTATTCTTCTTTTATGATTCTGAGTTGTTGCATCATTTGGTGGTGTTGGATCTTTTGGATTTATTTTCCATTGTTTTAAAGTTTTTCCGAATTTATTTCCCGGCTCTAGGACCATAATTTTATCTTCTTCATGTTCTTCATCGGAGTCTTTCTCATTTGTTGGAATGTTTTTCACTGAATTATTAACACTTATGATTCTAAATTTTGAGGGAAGTTCACCATAAGTGTTCAATAGACTTCTTTTAACAGCCAATTGTAAGATTTTGTCATGACAAACAGCAACTTGACGTTTATCCTTAGAAAGATTTACATCAACATTCGATTGGTCCATTTTTAAGTTAACATAGATAAAAGGAAATTGTTTGACATTGTAACGATGGTAAACGTCGTTGATGATTTTGCTGATGCTTCTAAGTTCGACTGGTCGTGAGTTAATGTAGAAATATTGTCGATCTTTTGATGATCTTGCACAATTATGCTCAATATTGGAAACAAATCCTTCAATCTTAAATCTCGACATATTCAGATAATCAAGCTCAGGTTGGTTAATATCTAAGACACTATTGAAAGTATCGAGATCAGCAACAGATTGTTGTGTGTAAGTTCCTTCATCAGTTCCATCTTCCGTCGGACTCGTGATTTTAATCAAACTTTTTGCTTGTTTTGCACCGAAAATTGAAATTATATTTTCCATCACCGAGACCCCGTTTGTTGATAAAACTGTTTGACGTGCGCCACTTGGCGGTTGATTCGTGCAAATAACTTTGACTCCTTTGAGAACTAAGCAATATTCCTGAATTAACTGCACCATCTTATTAAAATCCTTTTTATAATTTTTGAGAAATTCTCTTCGTCTTACTGGAAGTGTAATGAAGAAATCAGTGACACTCACTGTTGTTCCAACGTTACGTGCACAAATTAATTTATTTAAAATTTCTCCATTATGGTTAAATGTTAGTTTTGATGCATGTTCGCTTGATTTGTGACGTGTGGTGATTGTCACATTCGAACAAGCACATAAAGAACTAAGAGCTTCTCCTCTAAAGCCAAATGTTGTTATTGAACCTAAATCACTAAATTCTTTTATCTTTGAAGTACTGTGCTTTGCTGTAATTCCAATAAAATTCTCTTCAGTGATTCCAGATCCATTGTCAATAACATCGAAACCATCAGCTCCATAATTCTTTATTTTAATTTCAACAACTTTTGCTCCTGCATCGATTGCATTTTCTAGAACTTCTTTTACAGCTATAGCAAGATTTAAAATGACTTGAGATGAACAGATTTTCAGAACTATAAAAAGAATTGGCGGGTAAATTACATCGAAAGATTTATCAATTATTTATCTTAATTTACCAGTTTCAGAAGCAATGTGTTTGATGTCTTTTGGTATAGACTGTGTTGCTTCTTCGTCAACTTCCATTTCTTATTATCAATTTTTATTTCAATCACTTTTCCTAATATTTATGTTAAAAACATTTTGTTTATTATTTTCACGTTCAGGCGGTGTGCTTTACTTGTTTATAACGGCGACGACTTACTAAAATTTCGCCGGCAAAAGAAAAAAACAACATCGAAGATAACAAAATTAAAACTTAAAAATGAGTTCTATTATGACATTTTTAAATAATCAATATTCATCTCAGCAAAGTAGTAAGGCACAAAAAGAGAATTACTTTCAACTTTATCAAAAGAATAGCAATTTCGCTGCTGTAAAATTCATTTTTGAATGTTGTAATAAACTCGAAGGTAAATATTGTTACAACGAAGATTATTTATAATTTAAGTTCATAAAATATTTAATTAATCTTTCTCTTTTCTAGTTAAACCATCAACATTTGCTTATGCTGCTTCTATCTTTCATCGAGTTATAAACAATTTATCCAAACTTGATTATGATAAGTTTACTTTAGCGACAGGCTGCATTTATCTTGCTTCAAAAGTAAATGAAGATCCCATTAGATTGAAAGATGTCATAAATGTCTCACAAGTTACCCTTAACAAAGAAGAATGTTTAAGTCAACTTGGAAACGATTCATGGATACTTTCAATGAGAGATTCAATCGTTCAATGTGAGCTTTTCATAATGAGAGTTTTGCATTTTGATCCATCCATTAAATTACCTCATACAGTAAGTAAAACTTCGTGCCTTATCGCTTTTACATGAAAAATCTTAATCATTAAAATTATTTCAGTTTCTCTTCAGTTATTTGAACGTTTTAGAAAATTGGCTTGATGATGAAACAATCGCTGTTACTCCATTATCTAAAACAGCAATATCTCTTCTCAGTGACTTCTATTATAATCCCAACATAATTAGTTTCAAACCTGAACATGTAGCATTAGCTTGTGTTGTGCTTACTTTTCAAATCTACGGTCTCAAAGTTCCAGGCTGTGAAGATTCAGACACATGGTTTACTGCTATCATTTCCGACTTAAGTATTGAGCTGATATGGGAAATTATTGATCAAATACTCAGAGTCTACGATTTTGAAACGGAATAAATTTATAATAAAAATTTATTAAAAAACTTAACAGAAATGTGAAATTTAAATTTTGCGGCGCCGTTGTAATATTTTGTCTCACTTTGGTTTTCATCAACACCGCTTCTTTCTTTTTCTCTGGCCCTCGTGGATTGCGATTATTCGCTCAGAAATATTATTATTTAAAGGTGTGTTTAATTATATTTCCTGACCAGTTTATCATTTTTCGATTGTGTAGTTTCTTGTGCACCATGAAAACATAAATTAAACAAGCAAAATTCGGTTTTCAAGTCATTAAACAAAAAATTGTTTTTCTAAATTTTTATGAACAAATTTTTGCTTGTTCTAACCAAACACATTATTTCCATTTTAAAACGTTGTTTTTAATATTCTTATTTTTCTCTCTTTTTACAGTAGCTAACCATGGCTGCCGAGGTTGCAGATAACTATGATTATGAGGAAACGGCGCAAATTGTCGATACAGTTGCACCAGTAGTAAACGCCGAACTTCCAGACATTAAACTCTTCGGTCGATGGAGTTGCGATGATGTTCAGGTTTCTGATATGTCTTTACAGGTGAGATAAATAAATAAAACACAGATAAGAAAGCTTTAATAATAATTATCTCTTTGTAGGATTACATTGCTGTAAAAGAGAAATATGGACGTTACTTGCCTCATTCAGCAGGACGATACACTGTCAAACGTTTCCGTAAAGCTCAGTGCCCAATTGTTGAGCGTCTTACTAATTCATTAATGATGAGAGGACGTAACAACGGAAAGAAGTTGATGGCTGTACGAATTGTGAAACACGCTTTTGAGATCATTCATTTATTGACTGGCGAAAATCCTTTACAAGTAAGATTAATCAACATCATCAAAAAAGAGACAAAATTATAATTTTTTAATTTCTTTTTGAAGATTTTGGTCTCAGCTATCATCAATTCAGGACCTCGTGAAGATTCCACCCGTATTGGCCGTGCTGGTACCGTCCGTCGTCAAGCTGTTGATGTTTCACCACTCAGACGTGTCAACCAGGCCATCTGGTTGTTGTGTATTGGTGCTCGTGAAGCTGCATTCCGTAACATCAAAACAATTGCTGAATGTTTGGCTGATGAGTTGATTAACGCTGCTAAGGTAGGAAATGAATTTCCTTTTATGTTAATTTCCGCGTTCTTTCTGAATGGAACATTTTACGTCCATGTTAATGCTGCGCTCATTAGTTAATTATGAAACGTAGCTTCGCTTGTGGACGACATCAAACCGCTTTTTTATCCTGATGGTTAAAATCTAATCAATTTCTTTCGCATCGAGAAACGAAAAGCTACATAAAAGTATTGAGAAATGTTCATTTAAGATTGTAATTGAATTGTATCTATAGTAACACACTTCAACTTAAATCTTGATTTTTCACGTCCGACGGTATTACCATTCAGTTGATTCAACCTCAATTTTATGGCATCGAAGTCGGACAAGAACAAATTTGGACTTTCTTCATCATTCGCTTCTTTTGAAGTTGAATTCAATTTTTAATTGAGTTTTCTTGTGAGATGAAGATTGTTACAATCCAATGAAAGCCTTCGCGATAATCTGATTAAGCTATTGAAAGATCTTAAGTATTTATTCACTTTATTTTACTTTTCTTCCACTTTCTCCACTTCAGGGCTCATCAAACTCTTACGCCATCAAGAAGAAGGATGAACTTGAACGTGTCGCTAAATCGAATCGTTAAAGAACTGCAAGAAATGTGGAGATTCGTATTCAGATACAATTTCAAACTTTTATCTCCAGAATTATTTGATAACAATAAAATCGATATAAAAGAAGCAAAGAAAGTTATTTAATCGTTGCATACTTTTTTTACAGAAGGAAAATATAAAAGTTTTTGATTAATAAACTGAAGATCCATGAAGAAAAAAGAATTCAATGAAACTTCCAATTATTTTTGATTTTCTCGATTTTTCTCAGTTATTTAATTCATGAAAGAAAGAATTTTTCTTGTTCGTAAATATGGAACGAGAAAAGATGTGATTTGTTATCTGAAAGTCGAAAATATGGAAAAGCTGTGGATTTTAAGAGAAAAGTTTTTGTGTTCACTTCTAGCCAGACATTTATGTGACCACAAACACAATAAAACCACAAGTCTAATGCAGAAGTTCCTACAGATTCTTCAAACTCGAGGCTAAATATTTAGATGTACACACTTCAAATATTCGATAAAGAATTGCTTTCTGATGAATCAATCAATTCAAGATAATTTGAAAGGAAAAAAAAATATTTGAACATGCTTTCACAATCTTGAAATATTACTGGGATAGCTGAAGAATCTGCTGCTTATCTTAAGTTTTATTCATGAGAAGTAAAGAAAATATCTAAAGAAATTTACGAGTTTTGTTTGAATTTCCATCACTAAATGGTTGTGAGTTTTATGCATTTCTATTGGTTTTGCAATCGAAGAATTTTAATGTTTGCTCTGATAAGAGCTTTTTGCATCAGCGTTTTGATCGATAAATATAACCAGAAGATGATCAAAGTTTACTTCTTCCTTATCTTCATGCATAAAGTTTATTGAATTTCAAGTAAATATTGCGGGAAAGATGTCTGATGGATTGCAAACAGAATTATTGAAAACATATTCAAAGCAAAGAACAGAGAAGATTTTATGCAATATTTACATTCAACAAAATGACGTCATAGAGCAGAAACATTTCACGTTAATGGAAATGTAAACTTTTCTTCCATTTCTCACCTGACTTGTTTTTTAGTTTACGGCATCTGCTTTGCTGAAAATTCATTCCCTCAGTTGCAATTCGAGTTGTTGACAGCAACCAATATTTTCATTACATTGTAATCACATAAATCGCTTATTGCGAGGCATATTGTCGTCGGAAAATTCTCACCTGATTAAAATCAGGAATATGAAAATGCATTAAATCATATCACGACAGTAGATGTCAAGAATAATATAAAGAAAATAAAATGCAATCAAGTTATTGACTTTTGATAAAATGTGTTTATTTTCGCTCTTTGAAATAGCTACACAGCTTCGTTCATCTCTATCTCAACCTTAATCAAAATAGAAATAACGCCACGATGTTGTCTCGAATAGAAATCTTCCCGTCAAGGGAACTTTTTTATTTCAAACTTTTCCTTCACAATTTCCTTATTCGAGGCACCATCATTGCGACATTCACTCATCTTTCCTGTTATGATGAATAATTTTTTTTCTTCGTTTACAATTTTCCTGTTAATAAATAAAATCACATCATAATATAATTAATTTTTTCCATCTCGTCTCATCTTGATAAATAATAAAAAAAAATTCGTTTTTAAAAATTAAAATTTATTCAACAATGTTTTTGATGTTCACTTTTATATATTTTTGAACAAAATAGATATTAAAGAAATGAACTGAGTTGAGTTTTCTTCTGTTGTTGGATAGCGACGCGATATTTATTTATAAAATTTTTATGTTCTCTTATTCCGTGCTGTAAGAAGGACGGAAGAAAATAGATGAAACATAGACAAGAAAGAGTTTTCTCCCCATTTTCTTTTCTTTTTCCGCGTTTTCCGCTATCCTGAGATATCAAATTGCTATTAAGTAAGAAAGAGTTTAAACGGAGGAGGCGGAAAGCACTGAAGTATCATGATAATGGCTACACGAGAGCTTTCAAACTTTACAGCATGCTTTGGAAAGTTTTGTTTGTAACGCGTTCACGGAATAACTGATTTATCACTTTCAGTCTAAATCACCTTCATTCCCCCGCCCCTCACGACCTTAACTTATTTGTTTATATGAACAATACCGTTAAATCTACATGACGATAATAAAATTTTCACTTCAAAGATGAGACGAAAAAGAGATATAAATTGAACCCTACACAATAACGAAAAGCGCGCTAACATAAGTATGAAAGGAACGACGACGACACGTGAGTTTAAACTCTTTGAGCCTTGATTTGCTTGCACGTAATTCAATTTTCATGACTTCAGCTTTTCTTTCTATTTTTTTTTTGCTTCACTTTTATCTCTTTTTTTCGTCTTTATATTCGATTTCCATTCACATTTCAAGGCGTTTACTTTACATATTTATATGATGAAAACAACAAAAAAAAGAAAAACACAAAAATAAAACGGGATGCATTAAAATGCAATTTAATTTACTGCAAATTCAACAACAGTGTATCATAAAGTGAAAAAAAAGTTAAACTCTTTTTCAAGTGCTTTGCTTTTTCCTTCAGTAACGAGCCGACGAACAAAAGAGAAAGGAAATTTGAATTTTAATTTAATTAAGTCAACTTCAAGTAAGTTTTCTTTTTGTCTTTTTTCCGAACAATTATTTTTCTTTTGCTGGAAAATTTCTTTTTTCCTTTGATTTATTTAAAGTCATAAAAAGTTTATTATATTTCTTCTCTCTTTTGGAAGTTTTTTGGCTACTTCGGGGGCGCCTTCTGGGTTCAAAGCAATGATTCTTTTTGTTGTTTCTGTTGTTTCTCAATTCCCTGTTGCAACATTTGCGAGCCATTGGGGGTCGGGAACTCGCGCTCCATTCACATCGGATGAAATTATACAATTCTTTTTTTGTTTTTGTGTGGACAATTTATGATGGGACGATTTTTCACAATGTTGAGCATGAACACCCTTGAACTCGTCAAATAAAGATAATGCGTATACATTAGAAAGCGTCATAGATGGGAGAAAATCATCTGGTCTTTAAACAGACTGATGAAATAAATTTAAACCGACATTGGGATGGCGTAACATTGAGTGAAACTGATTTGAACTGCCGCTTCTTTGAACATAATTAGCTATAAAATTATTTTCTTATATTTGAGATAAGATTTCGTGTTTTCATAATGATTAATAATATTGCGAAGGAAAAGTTAGCTTAGTAACGACGACTTCATAAATTACATCACATAGATATTATATTTTTTGATGTTCTGATGTTCAAATGAATAAATCAAAATTAAAACAAAAGTTTCAATAGCATCGAGAAGATAGATAAAATAAACAAGCTGGGAGTAGATAGTATAATTATAAATTGTGATGTAATTTATGAAATTTTCCTCGAGCAACGTTAAGCAAAGAGATTGAAAATATATTTAGATTTCGATGGAAAGAAAAGCATAAAAATTATATTTCTTCCTTCACAAGACAGTTCTCGATATTTTTGTTTTTCTTCATCTTCGATTTCGATTTCAGGGCGATCGAACCTATTTTGGTTAATAAAGAATTTTTTTTTCATGATGTGGAAACGCAACAGTTTTGTGAGGAAATATGTAATGCAAATTCAAAGATGATTGTGATAAGTCACGCGATAAATCTTCCACCCTGAGAAAAACCAAAAACACTTTCCATCAATCTAAACACGTCATGCAACAGGCCACGATTACGCCCCGTCTCTTTTGCTTGTTGGAATATATTTATTTTCACAATAAATCTTCATCAATAATCATATGATTTCACTCGCGTTTCACAAACATAAGTATTTTTCTTTTTACTTCTGATTGTTTTTCTTAAACTTCATGTACTGGTATACGGATGCCTGCTTATAGTTTATTGGCCCATAATGATTATCTTCATCTAAATCCGCATAAACTCCATCAAACTCGTCAAAATCAGTCGCTTTCAATGACTGAGTATACATCAGCGACAAGATAGAGCGAGAAGGTGAAAAGAAAAAAAAAGAAAGAAAAAATAATAAAAAGTTATTGTTTTTCCATCATTTTTCATGTATGAACTCTTTTCATTATGTTGAATATTTTATAAGTAAACATTTTCTTTCTCTCTCTCAAACATGCTTTATCGGATTAGTAAACAAAACACTCGAAACTCATCTGTTATATTTATTGAAACCAATTTATTCGATTATTGAAAATTTATCAATTAGTATCTTTACTCAAGCGGGTATTAAAATAATTTTATATGGCAATTTTTTCCCACTATCTAGGTAGACACATTTGCAAGGAATTTTACAAGTACGTGCGACAAAAATTATCCTTTCGTTTTTCATTTGAAAGCAGTAAAACCAACGTGAGGTTTTAACCGAGAGAAAAATGGAAGAAAAAACGAAAAAATTAATAAAATTTATGACACTTCTTGTGCTTGTAATATTCTCTGGTTTTGCGATGAGGTGACGACAGAAATATGCACAGCAATTTAGGTCGTATTTTTCACTTGCGGTTGTTTGCTAAAATGTGTCATTCTCTCTTAAGGTTTTCGGAGCTTTTTCTAGTTTTGGTTGTATAGAGAAGATTTTCAACACGCTTTCAAATAATCCTTGATGGGATTAGACGCCTTTTCCTTCATCTTCGCACTCGACAGAATTCACATATTTTCTCTTTTATTTTCTGACAGTCGAAACAAAAAGCTTTATATCGAGCGACAACTGTTCAATACATACATTGATGTTTGTCAAGTGAAGGAAAAACATTTTCCTTTGCTTGATTCAAAAGCCGATTTCCTTCTCCTTCTGTAGAAGCGAAAATGTAGAAAATTTGTCGCTCAACGTCAGTACGAACTATAATATCTTTGTTCAACCATCTCGTGTTTTAATCGGCTGTTCGGCCCAATATTTATTCGCGAAGTGTTCAATGAGAAAAACAAGACACAAATTTGTGTTTTCAGCAAAAAAAAAAAGAAAAAAGAAAAATAATAGGCGGCTCTCGACGGAGAAAAGAAAAATTAATCGTTAACACATTTTTCTCACGACCCGACGCGTTGAGCGTTAAGCGATTGAAGGAAAAATGTAAAAATAAATAAACGGAGGAACAAAAAAAAATATAACTGATTTATTTATACATTAATAACAAAATAAAAAAAAGGAATTGGATGAGTGCGGTGGTTTTTCTTCTTCTTCCTTTTCTTTTTCTTGTGCTTTCGTAATGTAAAAGAAAACTAAATAAGATCTACGATTATCTTACGAACGATTCATGTAATCATATGATTCAAGAACAACCTCATGGACGTGAGCATAGAACGGAGAGATTCCCAACACAAATTACACTCTTGAATCGCACATAAATCATATTGTTAATGATTAGTTTTTCGAGAGACTATGAAGCAGTAATTCGGAGATACATAACTGAAATGAACATGCAGACAAGCAAATGGGAAAAAGAATGCGGGGGTGGAGTTCAAATGGATTAATGTAATTAAAAAGTTAATACTTTCACAAGGGTTCGGGAGGAGATAGAAAAAAAAAGATATTCATCAGTGTTAGATCTACAAACAGATAAGTACTTGGCATGGGGTTAACGGATAAAGCATAAAAACACGTTCAGGTTTAAATTTTATTAAAGATCTATAAAATTACCTTCAAGTAATTAGTAACGAAAATTGAAAAAATCTTTTTTGTTCTTTCTTCTTTTGAAGAGAATTTTTCACTTTTTGTTGTCTTTGAAATTCAATTCAAAAATATTTTTCTTATCAATTTTCTTTTCTGTTGTTCGAAAAGTAAACTAAGACAGAAAAATTTGTAGACATAAAAACAACATTCGAGTCGATGATATTGAAATGATAGAATTTTATTTCAGTTTGTTCTAACTTCTTTGTTGTGATGTCGAATGACAAAATAAAATAGATAATGGTTTCATGGGATGGATTGAGGCAATAAAAGGATAAAGTTTCATGAGAGAATATTTTTAAAGTGTTCTGGGGCTTAAAGGATTCAATCAAACCGCGATATAAATGATTGCGAACATACTTTTATGTTTTGTTTTTTATCCTACGCAAAAGCTCTCATGAAAGCTTCTATTCATTAAGCTTTTATCCAAATACATTGAATTCAATTTCTTAATAGCGAGACAGATAGAGAGAGAAAGAGAGAGAGAGAAGTACTTCTAAAGAAGGATTTGACGCCTTCTGTGAATCATGCGATAAAGGAAGAATTTCACATTACTTTTTATTCATTTTTATTGGAAGTTGAATTACTTAAGGATTTCACTCCTAAAAAAAAGAAAATCTTAAAGCTTAGGTCCTTCTACCCACTTCCTTTAAATAATAAGAAACACTTCCTGGTTACCACCATGAAAACTTTATTTCCCTAATGCCTGAATCCACCCTAACATGTAAAAGTATAAAAAAAGAATTCTTTGGGATTTTTCCATCACATGAACTGAAGATTTTCTTTCTTTGAAATTTTCTTTTTTCCTGATTAAAACACTGAAGGAACAACTTTTCTTCTTTCGCTTGGTTTAGTTAATAAATGTATGTATCACTTCTTTTAATATATAAGCTATCATCAGGCTGTAAAAAAATGTATACAGAAAAGAAAAAAAAATGTTTCGTATTAATAAATAATTTCATTTTATCGATTTTTTAAATCATACTTTGGGAGTTTAGTCCTTGCAGCACAGGAAATGATTTTAATATGCGAATAATATGAATTCAATTCAAACAGTCGATGAGAAAATTAAAAACGCTTTCAGCGAGCTAAAATGTTCAATGTTCATGTATAAATCGAAGGTTCAGAAAAAATGTGAAATTTTTGTGTTTTTGATGCTGCGGTTAATATTTATTTGGAAATAAAACAGCAACACAAATTAAAAAAAACAACAACAATTGACCGCACGGATAACAATATTTGGTGGTTTATGTCTATGAAGCCAAAGCTTGTGGTTTGTTTCAACATTTTGCTTTCCATTAAATAAGATCAAAGTTTGAAATTCTGGAATAAGCAAGAATGTAAACGTTAAAACATTTGTTGCGTATCTGCTGTGTTTAATTAAAGGATTTTATGTGAAAAACTTTCTCATATTTTCATCGTCGTCGATTCTCAAGCGTAATAGAGTTCCGTGCTGAAAACTGTTTTCATATTTTCACATTTTCACATCACCTCAAACATCCAAAGCTCGTGAAACTTTCTTTCCGGTTTAATTTCCCCATCTAACAACAACTATGTAAGTAATCTGCTTAATCACGCTGTTAAATGCATAAATAAAAGAGCTCAGTTGGTTTAGAATCAAAAAACAAGGTTTGTCTGAGATTTTAATGGCAGAAAAATGTTTTTTTTTACAATAATCGTTACAGAATAAATTAATTATTTGTTACAAATATCTATCAAACAGAATAAAAGTTTGTTCGGGATTAATATCAATTAAAATTCTCATTCAATTCAGGAAATTAGTTTGCTTTTCATTATCCTTTCGTTCTCATTCTATTGTTAAAATGTTTATGACAATATAATCTCTTACAAGTAGCTTTTTTATAATTATTAATGCTTTCATTTTGTTTTTCATTTCAATCTGGATTTAAATGATTTTTATGCGAGATCATCTTAATCGATGTATTACAATCATTTACATTATTATATTTAGATTTCATTCTCTCTTTTTTCGGGTTAAATACAATGATTTTAGGTTCTTATGTTCAACAAAAGGGAAGAGAAAACACTCGCGTGAACTCATCGAACGAAAATCGTCGAGTAATCCGATGGAATCTTTTTTTTTCAATTTTCACCTGTTAATGTTTATTATGGTTTGATGTTGAGCATAGCGATGGCGGAGCTTGTTATTTGAGGGTCGTTGGATGACGATGGGAAATGCGATACGTTAAATTGCGCAAAATTTAAATTGGTATTAAATGATTGTTGGGGTTAATTTGCATGTTTAAAGCATTCGACCTGCTGTGGAACGCGTGTTCTGAAAACATTAGGCATCAACTCACAATTTAAAACTCCATTGTTATTGTTATATGTTATTCATAGCGTGGAGGCCTTTGGCTTTGTTTTAGCCGTTTTCTTTTTTTTCTTCTAGTTGAAAACATTTTCCAAATATGTTTGCATACACTAACAGCACAGTAACATGAAGTCGTTCGTTCACAGGTGGGAAAGGATATTATTTAAAATTCGTGCACTATGTCAACTTTTTTTTCTGTCAAGTAAATGACCTGGTCGCTAGGATATTATCACTGACAAGTTCTCATGCTTCGACTCTAAATTTTTGATATTGTTGCTTAGATGCCCATTACATAAACAACAATAAACTTGCAGTGCTAGTTATGCAAGGAGAAGCATTTACTTTGCTTTTCTATCATTCTATTGCTCTCATTTTGTCATAGTTGGCATAAGTGAACATCTAACTAGCGAATATGTATATGGGTCAGGTGATTTCTCAATCCAATATTAATTAAGAGACGCATAAACATTAAAGTGTATTTATGTTTATATTTGTATGCTGTATGTTCTTATAAGTAGCCATGGAATGCTTGTTGCCTTTATTAGCACAAGAGGGGGGACTGAATAGTCATGACAGAACTATATTTATCATCAACTGAAAATTATTTTATTTTTCCTTCCCTTTTTCGCACCAACGAAATTTTCCCGCAGAATCGTCATTTATTATAATTAAATTCAGCTATAATCACTCTTTATATGATTTTTGGACGGTTTAATTACACAACTCAGAATATGAAAACATTTTTTTTCTCTCTCTAAATGTGCACAAACAAATATGAAACGAAGTAAATGCGATTAACGGAGTTGATAGTCGTCACTCAAGGGGGTAGGAGAAAGAAGAGAGTGATGTGACTATGGAAAGAGTTCTTAGATAGTGAATATAGATAATAACAGGTACGAGGTAAAATGGTTTTTTGTTATTATAAATGTAAGTAAATATAACGAGAACAATAACACTATCTAGGTTTAGTTATGATGATAATTGGGCGTGGGTGAGACAAGAGAAAAGAGAGCAGGGAATTTATATATTTTATTTTTCAAGTTGATGGCAATTACTATTGAGGATATCAATTTAGTTTATTACAGGATTAAATCGTAAGTATTGCATTGAATCAGAAAAGTTGTGACAGGATTTTCTTTCTTTACGTTTGTGTCTGCCAGCATAATATCTTCCTTTATGAAATGGAGATATTGCTAATATTTTCATGTTATATAAAAGCTCTCAGTTGCCTCTTTCGTATTTATTGCAATCAGTTCTTTATCTCTTGAAATGTTTAAATAGGCAAAATGCTAATATTTCGTAATGTTTGAAAAACTTTTACTTTTTAAATTTCTTTTCGATTGTTTCTTGCTTTGTTTCGTAAATGACGTCAAACCCCAAATTTATTATTGAAATTTCAATGTAATCTAAAGCTAAACTTTTGTTTAATTGAATTTAAATTTCATTACACTGAAAGGTGTTGAATAGGAAAAAAAGAAAGAGAAAGGAAATTAAATTTTCATTCCACAATATCATGAAATTGATTTTTCCTTAACTTTTTTCTTTTTTTATTCTTTTTACTTTCGAAAGTTTGCGTATTCTTTCTTTTTTATTTTTTTTGATCAAAAACCCCTTTTCATTAGAAAGCTTTTAATTCATGTTTAACGAGAATATAAATTTTAATGAAATTTGTAAAAGTTTATTTATTTAAATTCTGTACAAAGAAAAAATAAAATGAAACAAGAGAGACGAAGATTTACTCGTCAACCTTCTCAAGAGCTTTTAAACTTGACAATCTTGAAGCTTCACGATTTGCGTTCAACATCATTTACGGATCAAATTTTCTGTTATTAACTAATTCTTTTATATACTTAGATACGTTTTGTAATAATTTATAATATTCTAACTAAAATCACAATTAAAATTGTTTTTATTTTTCTGTTGTTCTTCCGCTTTACGTTTTCTAGTCCGAGCATGGGTTTGGTTCTAAATTTTATCTAAATATCATCCCTTATCTAATCTCGCACATGAATTTCATAGGTATGGAAGCAGAAAATATATAGCTGAGATAATTTTTCCTTCTTCTTAAGTAATTTAACAGGTTTATGCTGTTATTTTCATATGTCAAGTCGTAGTCGTAGTCGAGTCGAGCTGTAAAGAAGAGAGAATGGAACTCTAGATGTCTAAATTAAATCGCTTTCGTGTTCGTGCGTGTTTATGTTTTAAATGGTTCAGTACATAAATCACGCCAGTCGTTATCATCTTTTGCTTCACGACACCGAAAAGCTTCAGAGCTTTGTGAATATCTGCTTTCGCCTCAACACAATTTATGAACCATCCCTTATCAAAGCGAAGGAATCTTTAGGTTGCGGAATGTTTAACCCGAGGTTTATAGCAAACGATTAAGGAAAGATTGGTAAAAATTATCCTTATTACAAGCGCCCGAAATAGATTTAGCATTTCACATAATAATATTCTGCTTGCTTTGCCTCTTTTCATATCATAAAATTAATACGAAATATTCTTCCATATTTTTTTTCTTTCTTTATTTCGCTCGCTCACGAATAATTTACATGAAGCGACAAAGCGTTTTTTGAGCACCTGTTTCCCGTCTACTGGAGTTTCATTCTTTCACTCAAAGTACACCATATACACCCCACTTCCGCCGCTTTCCCCTTCTTTCCTTTCCCCCCCCCGTCATCTACGTTATAATGTCTTGCCACTAGAAGAGTTTATTTATCTATATTATTTCTCATCTATGCTACTTTCATTTCACTCGGGATATGTACACTTTATGTTCATTCCTTGTCGTCTACCCCACCATATATGAACAAGAAAAGGATAGACATTGAAGACACAGAAGAAGAATGGTGAAAAAACAGAAGAAACGTATGTATTTATTTAATTATTTATGAATGAATTGTTTACAGGATGATGATATTTCAGACTCTCTGTGTGAAAAGTTTTCTCTTGCCGTTCATTCTTATTTAAAAGTGTGAGAAGAAAGAAGGTACAAGCACTTTATCTTTTATCCGCTTTTTCACCTACTGTATGTCGGTTTTTTATATTTTGTTGTGTATTCGATTGTAAAAGTTTTATTTCTCTTTCTAAAGCATATGATGTGAAAGCTTGAAGGGGTTGATGGAAGAGAAAATTTAATTTTTAGGATGAAAAATCGATGGAGTGGAAGATGCAGATTCAATTTTAATTAGCATGAAAGCAAGAGATATAAACATGAACACACAATTATTATCTATTCCTTTTTAATTGGTTTATGTTGTATGTCATGGTATGCTGGGTTTAGTTTAGTTAAGAGTATGTCGTTCGACTCCCAAGTCTCTGTAGATGTATTTCTTCTATATAGCGGTTACCGAAAGGAAGTCTCTTCGAAGTGAAACTTGTTGCTTCGTATCATCGTTTGAAAGAAGGCAAAGGAACCGTGATATGTGCGAATGAGCGAGCAAACGAACGCAAGAAAGGCAATGAAACAATAAGAAAGATTCTTTCTCAGAGAGTTTTCGTATGTTTGCATAGGGATTTCGATTGCTATAAATTCTATTAATATCAAATATATGTCTTAATTTAATTTATATACATTGGAAACGGATATGTCTCCCAGGCGAAATGAACTGGTAGGCGGCTTTATTCCTGGGTGATGTTAGATGAAGGAAAGAATGAAAAGGAAGAGAGATTAATTCCTCCCATAACGTTCATGTATTGAATCAAAGAGTTTTATCGCAACCTCATTTTCATTTGCTTTAAGAAACTTTAAAATTTTGAAGGGTTTAGTGAAAATTAATACGATAGAGTGACTCTCGTCGGCTCTTACATGGATTGGATTATCATACGTGCAGATATCTTTATTCATGTACCAAGAATGTGCTTTGCTTTTCAACTTATTTCATTTTCCTTTTTATATTCGATACGAATATGGAAATTTACTGGTAAATGCACAAACTCGTAAATTAATGCAGTTGAAAAACCTGCTTTCCTCTGTTATTCTTTCTTCATTCGCAATCGAAATAAAGTTCGATGAAAATCAATTCATCTATCGCTCAATAGCTCATCGTCAAACATTACCTCGCTTTATATTATTTAAAAATGTTATTACTGAAGATATTTCTAAAGGTATTCTCGCATCGAGAGATGAACGATGATGATGAAATCTATTTTCAAAATGGAAATTGAATTTTTAATTGTTTTGTTCATTGAAAGAACTTCGAATATGTGCGCGATGTGCATTGTGATGTGAGGTAGAAACAGAAAAGTTGAGAGAATTCTTTTAATTAAAATAATTTTCTATTCTTTTATTTGTTATTTGAGTTTTAATAAGTTCATATGTGATGTGATGAATTGAGGAAAAAAGGAATGAAAAGAGATTGAAGAAATTTTCTTAATTGCAATTTGAAGTATCTGTTGAAGTTATGCACAACGGAAACAAATAGCAATGAAGAAAATGAAGCTTTCATTCATTTTTATTAGACAGACATTTATTCTTCTCTTGTCGCTGAGGTGAAGGAAAAAGGGAAATAAAGAAGAAGAAGGCTTCTTCAATCTCGCAGGCAAGCACAAGCATAAATATTTTATGTAATAGCAGAGCAACATGATCTCAATTTCTCTAAATTTTAAATCGCATTTGTCGTAAATCTCATTATGTCGACGAGCACAATGCGCTTGAAAGTTTGTCTCTTCATGTCGTAGCAAGCCTCTTAACAATCTCAAGATGCACTCAATCTCGCTTGTGCTCTTTTTTCTACTCTTCCGTTTTCCCATTTCTATTCATTAGAAAACAAATAACGAACTACGACAGCATAGATAGAGAAGAGTTGTCGACTTTTAATTGGCTTCCAGACAAAAGCCGCTTCTACAACTTATTCTCAATGCTTTTTCCTTCTTTTTTTATTTTTCTCGTGGATGCGTTGCAACAACACTTGAATATGAAAAATTATTTGTGGGGGAAGGGAGGGCGTAAAAGTGCTAGTTTTATTATGAAGAAAGTTTTTTCAAGTTTCGGAACAAGATATTAAATGTTGCTCGGGTTCACGTTCAACAACTGTCTAACTGCAAGTGGAAAAATGTGACTAACTATCTTAACTAACTAACGAACTAACTAACTATGTATGTTCACGTTCTTTGAGAACAGAATTCACTTTCTTAAAGAGAGAGAGAGAAGGAAAGCTTTTAAATGAATTTATATGTAGTTTGTGGATCCTTATTTACATCGGACGGTTTATCGCTATTCACAGTGTCATTCGAACATGATTTCGTAAGTTTATACTTTTGATATGATGTTGTTGTTGACGTATTAAAGAAATGATTACGATTGCGATGCTTTCGACATCGCATTGATTGAAATTGTGCACCACTTGATGATGTATTCTTGTTTGATTTCTTAAGATTGATTCGATTTATACACAAAGATAATGAATGAGGTTTCTCTGACATCCATTCATGACTACTACTGCTCTGACTCGATCTTCGACTCAAATTGCTTGTATTATTCTGATCAATTTTTTTATTTTGATAGCTAACATTGCTATGGTTTAAATTGTTATTTTGGCTTACATTGTTGTTACTATATTTGTGTGAATTTGTATTATTGTATGAATGATTTAAATTATTTGTCAAGGGATTTGTTGCCTGATAAGACGAATTAGGCGTTGAAGTGTTCATAACAACGTTATAGTTGACATTTGTTGGAACGACATGTAAAGCCGATCCCACCGGCGGATGAGGCTTTCGATAGTTTTTAACACTCCTGATGGTACTATTTGGAGTTGAACTATTGTATGTTCGATTGTTATTATTGCTACTTTCGTAATAATAATGCTCACTATAGGGATGACTAACAAATGGTTTTTGCTGATGATGCACTAAATTAACATTCAGGTTATTTGCTGGTGCTGTTAAATAATTGAACTGCAAATATTTCCAATACATCACAAATATTATATTATTTTATTAGGTATTTAAATTATTTTGTAAGCAAACATCTGGCATGATTGACAGGAATGAAACGCAACATAAAGCTCTGTCTTATTTTGTCAAAAAAAAGTTTGAAAAGCTTTTGTCTCAATGAAAATTTTTTTCAACTTCATCATCCACTTGGAATAAATTTTCCTTAATTAGAAAATGTGCTCCACACACATAATAACATGTGGTTTTAAATCAATCAATATGAGCCAATATCCTTCAAGTGTTCATTACAATATCTGTGATGAGAATAAAGTTTACCAATCGCACAAACCATAATCCGACAGGTGAGGCTTCTGTCGTAATTAGATGGTATCAATTGAGCTTGTTGTTTAGGATAGATTGCGTTTCATTCCGCCCAAAAATTAATCAATTAACAAGCAATTCAACATGAAATTTATGTATTCTTATCAATCACTCAACATCTAACAACTTCTTTTTCTCCATTCATTCATAAAATACAAAGCAACACAGGGACAAAAAAAAAGTGAGAAGAAGAAGGAAAAGTTTTAGGGGAACGAAAAGCAGAATGAATAAAAGTGGAAAATTGGGGTTGGTCCGTCTAATTAGCGAACAATCCAGCTGAAAAAGAGCTTAGACGGATGATAGAGCGTGGGGTCATGAAAATTCATTGCCCTTTAAATGAAGAAAAAATGAGCAACTCATTTTACTTTAGAGACTTTCTTCGTTTGTTTCTTTCTTTCAGCTTCTTCTTCTTCTTTTCTAAAGGAAAAGATTGATAAAAGCCAAGTAATTATTAATTATACATATTTTCCTGTCGACACATAAATGGACAGAAATAAAAATTAATTGCCTTTTTGACCACCCGCACTCAAAGCCAAAGATTCTTAATAGATTGAGAGTGAATGGGGGAGGGGGGGGCAAGTTAAGTAGGAGTATGAAATATTTCAAAAAAGATATTTAAGAGTTCCGAAGGGACAAGAAAAATAAAATGAATAAATAAAAGGAAAGAGGGAAAGAAAAAATATTCGGAGTTGAAAGGCGAGAAAAGACTTAAACGACTCGTTTTGTGGTTCACTCCCCTGAGACGGAATTCATCAATTTTGTCATGCTGCAGTGTGTTATATGTTTAGAGGTTCATAAAAGTGTCGTAAGAAGTTTAAGAGCTGGAGTTTGGAAGATTCAAAGGATCTTATATCGTGACACATTAATCATCGCTTACAAGAACAAGAACTTTTTTCTCCTTTTTTTAATCGCGTAAAGCCTCGATTGATGACTACACGAAAAAAAAAAATTCGTTCTAATGTAAAAGGAAAGGAGGAAGAATTGAGAAATTGAAGAAAAAAAATGAAAAACAATTTTCTTCTAAACAGACTATAAAACATTTACGAAAACAATCAAGGCAATCGGATTAAAGTCAGTGAAAGGAAAATGTTAAGGTACAGAAGGAGTATGGGAATGGGGTAAGATGTCAAAAGAATGTTTGTTGCTGGTTTTGCTGTTGTTATTGAGGGCAGTTATGAACAAGAGGATCAGAGGGTGAAGACTTGTAAGTCAAAGAGAGAGAAAGAAAAAATGATATGAAGAAAAGCCGAGAAAACAACGGAAAAACAATAATCAAAATAAACACAGTCAGGCTAAGTATAAAAACAAGAAGCAAATAGAAACAGCAAGAAGAGTGACAACAGCAATTAGCATTAAAATTATGCACACACAGCCATCTGAAAGTAATGAAAATCCTTACCTTTGTTGGCGGACTTTGCAAACCGTGAAACGGTAAATTTTCATAATTCTCGCATGGCGCTGCATTGGGATCATTCGGCTTTGTATCCACCAATGACTTCTCCATGCCTGTCACAAAAAAAAAGGGAGAATGAATGAATGAATGAATTAACAGAACCATTGTAAAACAAGAGAAAAAAAGGGACAACGAAGATTTATTCTTGTGGAATCGTTTTCAGTAACTTTCATGGAATTCTTCATGCACAAGAAAAACTCTCAACATAAAAAAATATGAAAAACTTTTCCATGAAGTCAATGATTTGCTAAGTAACATTTTTATCTTATCATTTAATAAGTTAAATTAAATTTTTGCATATTTTCATTTCTCAGAAGAATATCTTTCAAGAAATCTGCAAAATATGCTGCAAATCATGCATGAATAATGATTTTATTTCCCATAAATTTGTCGTTCGTCCCATCTTAGTTTCATTTATAATTCAAAAGTTTTTTTTCTCTCAGTTCTTACTCTTACTTGACCGCTTTCGACGTCGCCTACACATGCAGATGATGATACAAATCAAAATAATTACAGCAATAAGACATCCAACGAGAATGGCAACAATGATTAAGGGCGCAAGTGGCTTTTGATACCACATCAAATGACCTGTGGAAAGAATGTGAAGGTTTGTTTGTTGTTATTTATTATTTCATACATAAAAATATTTTTAATAAAAATCTGTGTTTTGCTTTGACCATTTATAAATAAAAATAAAGCCACAATTTCCAACAATCCATTGCGCAGATTTTGCTAATTGCTCTAAAACAAAGTTACGAAAACTAAACACAATTTATGTTTGAAAATAGTTCTTAACTCACGATCAGAACGTTTACAAATTATTTACATGAAAAGACAAATGTTTCACTTATTTCTATAAGGTAATCAAAAATTTCTATCTGATTGCTATAACAACTCAATAATTAATTATCTAATTAAGAAGCAGGTAAGTAATTAAAACGTAAACTATAGACTGGGAATAGTGAAGAGAGTCCTAATTAATGTTTATTATTTTTTTATTACTAATCTTTAAATCTAAATGAAATTTAAATATTTAGTTGAAAATCATTATGAAATTTTGTCACGAAACTTGTAAAGAAATTTTGGGTGTGTCAAAACTGAGTTACTGCCCAATGATTATATAACTTGCCCTAAAAACGTATAAAAGATAGAAAATACTTCTGGAAAAATAAACAATAAAAACGAAAAATGCTCCGTGGTTTGGGTAAAACAACTACAGGAGAAAATATAGTTCCGAGCCGATGTTTAACATGGTTAAACCTTTGAGAATAAAGAGTTTGATTGTTTGCTTACCTTCAACGGTTATCTCACAAAATGAGCCAGGTCCAACCAAGTCGACAACTGAATTGTTCGCTCGACAATAGTAAACTCGCTTATTAGGGACATCACCTAATCTTAGATAAGACTTCGTGTCACGGATTTCAAAATCGAAGCTCTCATTCTCCGTTTCATTTTCAGATTTAAAGTCCCATTCGTATTTATAGTCAGTTGGATTGCCATCGGCTACGCAAATCAGCGTATCGTCTCCTTCTTCCTCACTACGAGTGATTGTGCAGTTGGGGGCGTCTGGGATAAATTAATAAAAAATTGATGAAAAAAATTATTCATCAATCACGAATATTCAAATAGGGAGAAATTTATCATGCACCCTCCCCTCCCACAATCCAATTTTTTTTTCGCTTCCTTTCATCACCGTCGTTGTTTTCGTTGCTTTCGTTCGATGACAGCAGTAAAAACTGCCACGAATCGACAGCAAATGAATGAACAAAAAGAAATTATATAGATATAAAAACAGAGAATTGTTCGTTCGCTAGCTGATGTTTAAAAACAATCATGGGAATGAACGAAAGCAAAGTGAAAAACACGAAAGTATGGAAGTAAAATAAAAAAAAAGAACTCACATAAAATATTCATTGTAATGTTAGCGACGTTGCTGCCGTGTTTGTTCTCAACGATACATGAATACACGCCTTTGTCCGTTCGATTCAATCCCCTGGTGAACTTTAAAGCTGCTGTGCTCATCAACACATCATTAGAACCAAAACGCTTCCAATGAAATTGTGGGTCTGTTAGCAACGTTCAACCAAAACGTCACCAAGCAAACATGCGAGAGAAAAGAAGAAGAGATAGAAATAAAAACAAGAAATGTAATTAATTTTATAGAATAGAAAAGAAACGCTCGCTATGGTATAATAAACTTACTTGGATGCGCTGATGCACTGCATAATAGATACGCTGGTGTTTTGCCTTCAACCACTTGCACCTCTGTTGGCGTAATAGTTACATTTTCGGGTGGATCTTGTTGAGAAAAAATAAAACATAACGAAGATAGAAGAATAAAAAAAGGACGAAATATAAAAGACAAATTTGAATTTCAAATTTATCGCATAAAAAAAAAGTTGAAGCGAAAACAAAAGAAAGAGAAAACTTTATTTTATATCTTACATTCAACACCAAATGATGTTACACTTCTCACGCCAAGACCAACTGAGTTGTTTGAAGAGCTGCAACTGTAGTTTGCCGAGTCTTTCGAACTATCCAAACGATGATTCGGCCATGCCGAAATATTGAAATACTTTGAATAAATAGAAATGGAAGATTGGAATTCAGAATCGATCTCAATGATTATATTAAAAAGATGAAATTACCAATTCTGATAAGACGCTCTCAAAGTCGCCCGTATATGTGTCAGCGGGCATCATAGTTTTCTTTATATAATAACGCGGATTGTTGTTGTCGATTAAATTTCCGTCACGAAACCAAAAGATGGAACATTCTGGGACACATTCAACGCGACATGAGAGCATAACATTTGGCTCTGAATAAAGAAAGCCTGTGTAGGGCGATAAATTGTTGATGAATGATGGAGCCACTTGAACATCGATGTAGATGGTAGCCAAAGTGCCATTTCCACCATCGTTAAAAGCATAGCATGAGAAGTTATTTCTGCTGTCTAAAATGACGGGATCAATGGTCCAAATGGATGTGACAATATCTTTGACTGGCTCGTCGCCACGCAACCAGTGAAATCGTGTTGACTTTGGATTACCAGAATCTTCAACTGAACATGAAAGCTCCATACTTTTGCCCTTCAACGGAATTGGCGGATCAACCGAAATGCTCGCATTACCAGGCTCATAAAATATATCCAACAGCTTGGATTCACTCTCATCTCCCCATCCTGCTGCATTAAATCCCCTGCAGCTATAATTGCCCAAGAATTCTCGGTTGACGTTTTGCAAGAGAATTTTTGTGGGATCGATGAAGCAGAAATAATTTTGATTTTTACGTGATTTTCCTTCATCATCATCGTCTTCATCTTCATCATCATCGGCATCATCATCAAATGAATCTTCTGTAATGTTTTGAAGAAAATTTGTTGATGAAATCGGATAAAATGAAAATGGAAATCCCTCTAAGGTAGATGGAAAGAAGAAAGCTTGTAAAATGTCAAATTCGGAGAAATATTTCTCCGGAAATATCAATTATGTAAGAAAAATGAAGATAAAGAAGAAGCAAATATTTGGGTTAAGCATCGAGAAAAGTCAAGAGTGAGTTTGTTACGGAGGGATAAGAGAAAGGATACTTGGTTGTAATTGTAGAGGATGACATAATGAAGGGATAAAATCAGCTTTTTACTTTTCTCCCTCCTTCCCTTAAGTGATTTCCAAATCTTCAGGAAGAAAATTGAACTGTGATTGGAGGGAGAACGACTTGAGGTTGACCACAAGATTGGTCACTAGAATTGAGTCTTAAAAGTTTTATATGATAAAAGGGTCATTGTCCGAAAACTTTCTTCTCCATACATGTTTGTTGTTGAAGTTCAAGCATATCAGAAAGGAATGAATACAAATTTCCATGAACAAACACCAAATGTCAGTTTTGACATGATAAAGGCATTTTTCAACTCAAACAATCCAGATTTAAAGTTAATTATGAAAGTTTGTAAAGGTGAAAATAGTATGAAAATTGATTGACGGCTGTGGTGATGGCCTAGCACTTGTTGACCTTTTCACAATATTCAAAGAATATTTGTTTGATGAAATTTGATATTATGAAATATTAATCAAACTTGAAAGCTTTCACATTAAGTTAATGTTGTCGATACTTATGTAGATGTTTTTTGATTCACGTACCGGATTGAATGTTTACATCATTTATTTATTTATTTACGTACCGTTACACTCGGGCAACTCCGTCAATACCATTCCATCTATCATCCATTGAACTTTGAGTAATTTGCGAGGATTTCCATCGTTAACATCGCAATGTAAAGTCACATTCACATGATCATTCTCAATTATTGGCGATGTTGGCTCGAAGCGAATCGTTACTGTTGGCTTATCTATGTGGATACGAGAGAAAAAAAAAATTCCCTTAAATCACTTAATCGAAAAGAAGTCTTCATGATCAATTTACTTACATTGAACGTCAATAACAGCTCCATTTTCGCTCGTTCCCGTGCCAACTTGATTCGTGAGTTCACAAGAATAAGATCCAATGTCATATCTTGTAGCATTCTTCACAAGCAGTGCTGTCTGTTCTGGATGGCCACCGTCAAAACGTGATTGATTTAAATTAATCACTGAGTTATTTTGCAGCCACCTTATGCTTGCTAACGATGCTGGATTGGCGTCATACGAACAGAACAGTAGAAATTCTCCAGTCTCATTTATCGTCATGTTTTCAGGTGTAACTCTCACAACAGGTGGATCTGTGGAACGACGAATGGAATAAAATAAATGGACGAGAGTTCAAATGCAAAGAAAGATTTTTTTCTTGGTGTATTTTATAAGCTTCTTGTTATCGTTTCGTCGCTTTCTCTCTTGCATAAGTAACAGAAATATATTCTTCAAGGAGTAAGTAATTTCATTAAAATTTCAATTTAATTTTCTTAGAAATATCTACTGCTTTCAACAGCATTTTAAATGAAACAGATTGGGGAAGGAACTGTAGATATCAAAAAACATTTTCCAAGCTTAAAGCTTTGTAAACACATTCAAGAGAAGCTTCCAATTTATATGCATAAATTTTTCCTTCTTTCTACTAATATTATTATAGTCTGAACATGTCAGAAAAAGCTTTCGAAAGAATGCAAAAATCCACTTACACATGACTTCCAAACTAAGAAATTGCTGCAATGGTTTGTCCATATCGTTTCGCATGACAATGTTATCTGCTTCACATCGAATCATAGCGTCGTTTTCGAATCTTGTGGCAGTAAATATCAGTTGACTTGATGTTTCGAATGTTCCATCGCTTTGAAGTGACTACATCGATTGTTTAATTTACATGAAAGAAAAATGAAAAAGTAATGGAAAAAGAATTGTATTTAAATTGAATGCAATAAATTATTCAATCAAATTATCGTCTTACTGCTGTTGTGCTGATCGTTGTCAGTTTATTTGAATCATCGATTAGCTTCGACGAATTATACCATGAAATGTTAGCAGCGGGTCTTGCGCCGAGCACATGACATTGCAATAAGACTCTCGATCCTTCAACAACATGCGATTTCACTCCGTCTAAATGGATTTCTGTTGGACGAACTTCTAAATCAATGAACAATTGATTTGAAATAATGGGATCATCGTCTGTTGTTTTCACACGACACTCAAGCGTCTTGCCAAGTTCCTGACGTGATAGACTTAGCTTAAGCTTTGAATTTACTGTAAAGAGACCGCGATTAAAATCATCGGGATCGACACTCTCTTCAGCTGGTAACTTTCTTCCTCCTCGATACCACCCAATTGTTGGTTGAGGTCGAGCACCACGAACTTCACAGTTCATTTCCAATCGATGACCTTCCTTTAATGGACCTATTGTAGTTCCATTTCGTATAAGTGTATCATCTTTCCGCTTCATTTGAATAGATGAAGGTGGAACGACAACATTCACGTTCGTTTGATATTCACCAGTCGTGTCGCACGTTTCGAGCGGCTCAAGATATGTAACTTCGCACGAATAAGTATCTTCGTCATCAATTTGTATGGATTTAATATCAAGCTTAACAAAACGTCCAGGCGAATAATTGATAGCAAGTCTAAGTTAAAAAAATGAAATGTTGAAGGGATGAAAAAAGGAGAATGAATGGCACATGCTACCTGTCGGAGATTGAACCTTCCACCTGTGAAAACTTCCCATCGCCCGAAGCTACACCAATTCGTTCTGATCCTTTAAACCATTTAATGGAGTGGAGCTCACCACAGTTTGTTATATCTATAGGACATGTTAGGGTCGTTGATTGACCACGGATTACAGATTTTGTTTCAACTGCGGGATCGTAATGTTGGTCGATGAGAAAGTTTGATGAGAAACGGGTTGGTAATGAACATAAACATTAATAAATCAATATATCGTTTCAACACACGAACATTTTCGGAATTGAAGTTCTATTATCATTTAGATCAAGCATTTGGACTCGTTTTGTAAATAATGTCACGGACATTCATACTACGTTATGTAGCAATTACTTTTCTCATCAATTACCTACTTGTAAACTTGGAAAGCGTTCAAAGAGTGAGCTATAAATTTTCTTACTCGGACAACTGCTTCATCATCATACATGACATCATCTATTAACATCCCACATGCGTCTATTTTCGAAGTAGCCAGAGAATATAAAAAAAAAGATTTGTGTACACAATGGCTGAAGAAACGCAAACGTAATATGATTAACCGGAAATTATGTTTGAAACCAGAGAAACTCGCAAGTCTGTCCATGAAAATATGTATAGAAGCATAGAAATGCTTATAAATAACAATAAACTCAAAATGCTTTGGCATAAATAATACCAAATAATGTATCTAATTAGAAGTTTTCCTTCGAATTTTCTTTTTATTCAACTCGCCAACGCCCGAGTTTTTTTTTCCTTTTCATTGTTGATTTTATTATTTATAAGAAGCTCAACAATGAAGCAAGGATTATATTTTATTTATTCCACGATATTGTTATTGTTCATCACTCACTAAAACTCTCGGTTTAAGATGAACATCTTGGTTTGCTCATCCGCTTTTTTATATAAAGAGTGTTTTGGGAAATAAAGTGATAACGTGGCCAATGATGTGCTTGTAAATTTAAAATTCCTTTTTGGACGAGATGAAACATTTATCGAAAATTGAAGATATCGTCGGCAATAACTTCATTAAAAAATGTCTATTAAAATAGTTTAGATTTTCTTTCTTACTTAAAACTTTTCTTCTTTTGATCATGTCTGACGTCACATGTTTAAGTAATTGGAAGACTTTATTAAATTTTCTTTTCAGAAAAATGAGGAAAAAAGGGAAAACACTCATAAATTTTCTTTCTCATTCGAATTATGCAAATGAATGTAATCATGACATAATTTACGAACACACCCTTCAGCTCTTGCTCGCATTTCATTTTCAGAGAAGAAAATTGTACCCAATAAAATTGTTCCAAGATATCTACATAAATTTTATGGAAAATATTTCGCAACTAAACTCACACACACACACACACATCAATCTCAGTATGGCATCTTAGTAAGGACGTATTGCTACTGGCTTTATTTTTAAGAGTCGGATGCTTCCAAAAACCACACGAGTCGATAACTGTAATTATTATTATGATGATGATATGGTTATTATGTGTACATAATTTATGAAGCAAAAAGCAAAACCCGAGTAATAAGAAAAAGAGCTTTATGACAATAGAAATTCAATACCTTTTCTGCAAGCAAAGGAATTCATTCATTTATGTTATCATGATTCCAATATGTATAGAAGAGTCAGGATCAGCTTACCTTCAGAGCCGTAACATCCTTGTAGGCAGTAGAAGGAGAAGAGTAACAGTAACAGCACCCTCATTTTTATTATAACACATATGCTTCGTTGATGGTTTTCTTCACTCACTGGTTGTTAAACCCCAAGAAAAGAAAGAAAGACAGAAAAAAAATAAGAAATACAAATATAGAGAAAGGAAGAAGGAACAAAATAAATGTTTGCTGTAATTCTCCTGTTTTTATTTTTTTCTTATTTTACTCTTTTCTGCCGTGACAGTGTGCGTATGCTGATGATATTGTGTGGTCAAGTGTATTTTTTTGATGAAAAGGGCTGGAGAAGTATCACATAAACATTTGTTTCCGCACAAGAGTAAAAAAAGAAAGATTGGCTAAACGAGAAGGCAAAACGTTGCCTGGGCGAAGACAGAAAATAAAACTTTGTTTGAGTAAGGATAAGTAAAGAAGTAAAGATATGGGCGGTGTGGGAAGGGTGAACGACTTAGAAAAGGATGCCTTCAAATCGCAATAAATATAAAAAAAAAAAGAAACAAAACAAGAATCCTTTTAAAAGGATATAAAAATTAAAGACGAACATTGTGACTTAGATTGAGAGAAGATGCTTTTATTGTAAAGTGGAGAAAGGCTTTAAAACAACAGAAGCCTTCGCCTCCCATTTTTCAATCGTCTCGCTACTCCCATAAGGGTAGAAGAAAAAGAAAGGAAAAAATAAAAAAGGCAACGTTCCAGAGCGATATTTATTATTGTTTTGCCTGATGCCTCTCAACTTCCATCATCTTTCGTTGTTGAGCTGCTTTGGATAGCTCTCGTTTTAGCAAAAGCACAGAGATCTGTGATATTATTATTCTGATGATGATGGTGGTAATTGAGAAAGCATAACAAGCATTGCGGGGGCAGAAGCGGCAAAGTGTAAACTTAAGAAGTTTTCTTCCACTGTTTCTGCCATTGCCATTCTACTTCTCTCGCGTCTCTTTTCACTTTGTAACGACTTCACGTTGGGGTCGACTTTTTTTCTTGCGCTTTTAACACAGAGAAAAGTAAAGAGAGAAAAAGTGAATAATTTCTGTGTGTATTTTCTAATTAATCGTGGGAATTCAGCATTTCACGCAAGAATGATTTTTCTCGCAATGAACGGTTGGAAAAGAGTGAAAGAGAAGTTGTCATACATTAATTTTTTTTTTTTTTTTTTTTTATTTTACTGGTTGAAATGAGGCCTGGTGAGTGGTGTTGTGAAGATCTTCTTATTGTTATTTGCCTTTCAGACACAGAGTTGCGTTGAATTTCATAACTCAACGTTTTAAAGTTCGTTAAATTTTATTTTACAGGCGCTAGGCACCTGTTATTGAACAAGTGTTGGTTTTGCTAAACCGTTGGATGATTGTAGAGAAACTTTTCGGGAGGCCCCTCGGTATCCAAAGGGTGAAATATATAAAATCTGAGCTCTCGCAAAAATAATTTTTTATTTCATGAAAAACATCAAAATTTAAGTGAAAAACAATAGTGAAAGTTCTATAAAGTCAGCTTCTGTTAATTTTTGGTGTGCTTCAGTATGAAGTCACGCAATTTCGAAGCAAAAAATCAATTTGAATTTTTGAAAAGATAAAACACCACGCTTTGTCCTTTAAGGATGGACGAAAATTGTTTTACCTGTTTCAATTCAAATAAAAAACAGTGCAAGCCTATGAAAGTCAATGAAAGTTTTAAAACATAATAATTTGATCCAATCGACAAAATAATGAAAAATATAAGCCAAAAAATTTAATTTAAGTATTATAGAATCTTACAGAGAACGTCTCGAGAACAAATAAGAAAGATACGGAACGTTTATGTTAATACGCGGAAAAAAAACTGATAACGATTCGTGGAAATATAATACAATGAAAATGCTCTACACATGTTTGATTTCCTAAAACTGTTCTAAAAATTTTAAAACTCTTCTGAAATTCTTAACTACGAGATTTTATAGATAACACAAAATAATAGCAATGAACAAAAAATGCGTTTGCTAATTCTCTCTTTCCTGCTTTCCGAAATTTCATATCTTATCAAATTCTCGTTATTAAAAAAAGTGCAAGAAAACTATTTACTTTAATTCAAAATTTGTAAAATATTTTTAAACTTCGATAAGTTGAGTATGATAATGTTATAACTTCTTCAAATGTAATCAGGATAAGTTAACAACTTTTTTAAATTCTAAATCTTATCACACATTAAAATTATGCAGGTTAAACTGACGTTTCCATCATCATGGAGACATCAGCAGGGTGTGGTACGAGTTTACTTCTCACTCTATTTCCATTTTGGAGATAAGTGTTGAGAAGAAAATAAAAACTCATCACGGGCAAGTTGGTCCTACGGACTTACTTGTCGAGAACAATTCGTTCTACCCATTACTGATGATGATGATGATGATGATGAGAAACTTTTCTATCTCAAGAACCTTTCAAGCACTTAATAATGTTAAATAATATTTTTTCGAAAGCCCTTAATTAATAAATTTTGTTAAAACTTTATCAATAACATTTTTATGTCAGAGAAAATATGTCAAAACTTTGTGTTCGCTGTGGGAAAAACTCTATGATTAATTTAAAGGGACAGTAACAGGAAGAAGCTGATACCGTAATAAACTTTTCTAAACTCCCTTTATGTTTTAGTAAAAAATTTTATCGACATTGCTAAACTGCCGCATCTAAACAATTTTGATATTCAAATAGAATTCAAGTCGACATTTTTCCGTATTTTGCGTTTCTATTCACTAAATTTAGCTGATGATCTACAGTGATGAAAATTCAGCAGAAAATTTTTAATCTCCATAGCTTTTAAAAGTCACGAAGAACAAGTTGAACCACAAAATGAATTTATCAACTTTCTTAATGAATAATCATGATAACTTCTGAGCTTATTTTAAGAAAGATGTTCATTCTGTAATTGATCAGATGCTCTCTTCTCCTTGCTGCTTCGTTTAATACACTTGCCCTCGTTTTTAAATTGTATGTAGATTTTTCTTTGATGGCTAAACGGAAAAGAAAACAAGCTTTTATGAAATTGTGAGTAGGTCTTTGAAAAATTTAAAAAGACATTCCGAAAAAACAAGGAGTGAGAGAGAAAAGATTGCATGAAAAATAAACAGCCTCGGTATGTAAATTTACTTCACTGTCAACATTTGATCTTTATAAGGTATCTTGATTTCTTCAAAGCGATTTGCACTGACTGAAGGTCAACTATATGAATTGAATTTTGAATTTATTTTAAAGAAAATAAGTGAATCATTTCGTATGTTTGTCTCATAATTGCTTGAATTAAAACTAGACTAAAAGTGACATTTACTTTTTATTTAATTTGTAGTTTAATAGTTTCTCATAATGATATTTTTAATTTGCATACTCATCGACAGCGAAAATGATGACTCGTCACAATTGCATTTTCAGTTAGTGCAAGTTGAATCATTTCAAAGTTACCAGATTAGCATTTTTTCATTCAGGATGTCGTATTGTAAATTATAAAAAGGTGAAACCTTTCTTATTATTTACAACTTTAAAGCAAACTTTCAAATGAAAAACACTTAACCGAATTGAAATGTCAAACCAAGAGTCGTAAATATTCACTTTCATCTCACAATAGGCGCATGATGCCTTCATAAGAAAAACTCACGATAACATTTTCTCATGAATTAACTAAACAGAAAAGAACGAACTTTTTCTGCCTTTTATGCCTTTCGCTTTGAGCAGCTTTCGAGCTTGGATTAAAATCCAAATAAGAATTTTTCTTTTTTCATTTTAAAAGGAGAAAAGTATTTACAGATATACGGGATTAACCGCATAGAGAATTTTATTTTTGTGCACGATGAAAGAAATAGATGGAAAATTGTCGTTTTCACATAAACGAGGAAAAATGTTTTGTATGATGCCTTTTTCTCCTTCCCTCCCTCTATATCTATTTCACTCTCTCTCCGTACAACGCGCCCTATTGTGTCATTTGCTTGATGATTTCGTTTCATTCTATGCTGCTTCTATCAATGAATGGCTTTGAGGATGAAAATACTTTACAAAATTTTCTGTATGAATAAGGATCCTTTTTCTGTCTATGTTCCACTTCTTTTTGCGGCTTTAATGATAGTTTTTTTATATCTCGATTCTTCAACATACTCCATTCATTGTACACATGCCATGACAGCAGAATCTACGAAATTATTTTTTCACATTCACTCAACTTCTTGTTCGTGTGATTTTTCTTCTCTCTTTTTGTGAATCAGTAAGCGAATTTTTTGTTTTTTCATGTATTTTTATTCACTGGCATTGAAAAATAAGAAAAGAAAACTGGAAAATGAAAATGAATACGAATTTTCTTCTTTGAGTTTTCTGAATGATTTTGCGAATTGCTAAATAAAAAAAAGGAACAAAAATCTGTTCTGCTTGAATTCAAAGGAGTGAACGTGGAGCTTTGACGTATGCAACGACTAAATGTAGAAGCATGAGTTAGCACAAGCAGTCGATATTTTCAATTACACATATGTTAAAGTTAAATTTAATGGAATAAATACAATTAAAAGTTAAAAATAGATGAGGGAAAAATTTTCAAAATGCGGTTTTTTATTTTTCTTTTCGTCTCGCAAGATCGTGTACGCGACGCGATTTACAAGAATAGAAAAATCACATTCACGATAGTATTTCATGTACGTAGGACTTCTTTTTCACTAATCCATCTATTTCAGTAGACACTTTCGAGCAAAATCACTTTCTTCTCGCGTTTAACATTACATTTTTTCGCTTTTTTTTTCTCACCCTGCAAGTGATTTTTTCCAACTGAATCTTTTCTTCAATATCTTTTGTTAAATAAATTTATTGACTAACTTTAGTTCTAGAAAATAATTTTGCACCATCCACAAATCTTCCCAACCTTCACCCACCGGTATAGTCCTTTCACGAACTATTCGATTTTAGTATGGGATAAAAATATTTTTTTCATCCTTACATTTTCCTTAGAAAAAAAATCTCCTGCTTGTGTTTGGTGGAAAAGCGATTTTTCTTATATTTTCTTCCTTTTCTTCCACAGACCACTTAATTTTATTTAACTCTTTTTATGCTTGTTTTCAACTAATTGCTTTGGCATTAAATTACACAATTTTAAATTAGTTTTGCTAGACCATATTTATAATTCAATTAAATGTAATTTTCCTCCGACTTTTCATTTATTTTTTAACGGGACGAAAAAGTTTTTCATCGTTAACCGTTCGAAGTCACTTCTCGCACTGAAAGCATTCGACAACATAATTTGATTTCTTTGCGCGAGTTTTATGTGAAACTTGAATGTTTCAATGATGTTCAATGAACTCGGACATATTTTTGTCCGAGGTTGTCCGCGATACTTTGTGTTGAATTTTAATTGAAAGTGGGCATACGGCTCAGTATTTACCCAGAAATAAAACTAAACAAACTGTTAAAAGGCCATCTGCAACGTGAACTTTTCTTTCAATATTCATATCAGAGAATGAAATTAATGTTTTCAGTTATCCAATGTTGTTGCTTAGTAGGGGTAAAAAACTTCTGAAATTTTCAGAAGTTCTTTTCCTTAGATTTGACCATTATCTTTTAAACCTAAAATCATCAATGAAAATTCCAATTTCTCCATTTCAATTTCAAATAGAACATCTTTCAAACAAACGAATATTTAAATTCTCTTCGCATCTTGAAAATATTTTTAACATTTTCAAAAAAAAAAATCTTCATAAAATATTATATTCAACGCCTTAGTGACATTGGATTGATTTGTTTTTGTTTCAAACACGAGTGAGTTATTCATGTATACAAGTAATTTTCCAATTATTGAGTATTTATAAGGTCATTAGATATTGAGCTCATTAAAATGAGTAAGCACAAACTTAGTAAGACAGTTCTGGAAATGAAATTTATGAAGAAAACTAAAATCGAACAAGAAAAGGTAAATTGAAAATATTTTTGATAACATAAAATTAATGCAAATGAAATTCTAATATTTTTATTCTTTCTTTATAGAAAGACGCTGAAACAGACAACATCGATATATTAACAGATCACAAAATTCAAGGCGGTCATAACAGTAATTATGTGATAGAAAGAAATTGGGAATTCATTGAAGGATTAAAATGTGCACGCTTTAATTTTGGAATGAGTCAAAAACCTCCACCAGAAGTTCCTTTACCAGCTGTTGCAGAAGAAAATAAAGACGATGAACCACCTGCTAAAAGAGCAAAACGAAAAAGATTCAATTAATTCACTGTGACTAATTTTTTAATAATAAAATAAGAAGAAAAAAGCCGCCGTGAGAAAATAAAATTAATAATTAAGCTTCAATTCAAATGAAACTTTATCCTAACGAGATCACATTTCCGTAGAAGTTGTGCTGTTCAAATTATCGTCAAGTTTCTTATTCATCTGATTTCTTCCTCTCTTCGCCACTTATTTCACTTGTGAGAAAATGTTGTCAGGCTACATGAAATTAAGAAAAAAGTTGTGATTGTGTTTGTTGCAATTGTCAGTGGAGCGCTTAAAAAGTATGAAGAACGTTGTTTTAAATTTCTCATTCCACATCTGTTTTACTCACACCATCGCTTTCAACTAATTGAGTTTTTAAGTCATTTAGTCTCTTCAAAACATTTGACACAAAAGTTTAGACATAATTCATTGTCTGTTTTTCTGGTGATTTCTACCAAGATTAAGCAATAATGGTTCGTGCATGGTTTATGGATGATGACACTACTACAGATCAAAGATTGGAACATCATCGAAATCCACCGGAATACGTCGATTTGCAGAAATTGTTTGAACTTAGTGGAGTTGAATATTTCAAGGTTGGGAAGTCATAAAAGTTTAACTAAATAATTTCCGAATTTTGAAGTTGAAGATGTGAATGCATTCCTTCTAAGTGCATTTAGAAGTTTTCTTATTAAGGCATCTGTTTTTAAATAAGATTCTCGTTATAAATTCCATACAAAACTTATTGAATGAAATCCACATTTGGAAGAAAATCTTTTAAATTTCCGCTTATCAGTTTCTTTCCTCTTTCTGCTTCAATTCTATGATAATGAAATCAGTGTCTGATTCTGTTTCAAAAACAAACAAAAATCATAAAATCTATATTTATACAAAGAATATACATAAATTCATGCTAAGATATTAATTCAGTAGAAATTAATTGAAACATTTCTTAAGGTAAACTTGCTAATTGACCTAAATACAATTTATGATATCTGTTCTCTCTCAACCTAGCTTGATCCAGTGAAATATAAAGAAGAAGGAATGTTAGACAACATTCGCAAACAGCGGGGATATTCCTATGAGGATGAGGTGGGGAAAAAATAGATTTATTCTAATTTATTCATTACGCATTAGTGCATTCCATCATCATCACCAACAGATCACCTGCTCACGTGAATGCTTGCCCGACTACGAAAACAAATTGAAAAGCTTCTTTAAAGAGCATTTGCATACCGACGAAGAAATTCGTTTTGTGCTGGATGGTCAGGGATACTTCGACGTGAGAGAGTGAGTACCGAAATATTTTCTATGAGAATCATAGCTTGGGATTAACTTTCTGCTTACTCCTTTTGACTTTGTTTGTTTTAATCTCCAAAGAATATTTAATCGCTCACCTTTCAGCAGAATTTTTGCATATCAAAGCATACTATGATAACATTTTTTTAATTTCGTATTTCATTTAGCGCACAGGATCGTTGGATTCGCATTGAGGTGGTCGCGGGAGACATAATTATTATCCCATCTGGAATTTATCATCGCTTCACACTGGACGTTAATGTAAAATTAATTAAAAAAGTCAATTACTTTCTGTTTGAATTAATTCATGAAATATTTTTGAACTATGTTCAGAATTTCATTAGGGCGAAGCGCTATTTCGTTGGAGAACCCGTCTGGCTACCACATAATCGACCAGCTGATGACATGGACTGTCGCAAAAGCTACTTGAATAAACTTAAGGATGGATTCAAAATTGAAACTTGTTAATCCTGAAATGATTTTAATTAAAATTAAATCTGAGTCAGTTCATGTAAATCGTTTGTAAAATCAACAAATTTTTGATAATAAAAAAATTTCTATTAAAAATATTCACTTATTCGTATTATAAATATTTCTATTAGGCACAAACTTGAACAAAAAGATTCATGAATCTCTCAAAGGAGATAAAAAAGTTTACTGATTCGAGTTTAATAAATATCCATGCTAGGACCTGTAACGTGAATCATGTAGTTCGATTTTTTGTTTGACTCTGATCGTCAGATGATATGTTTTTAATTTCCTATTATATTCAACTATTTCAGTATATAAGTATAAGCTCAATTTTCTTATTCTAAGTAAGTAAGCTTTCTCTAAACATTCGACACAAGCAGGCACAATATTGACCATTTAATAATGGTTCGTGCTTGGTTTATGGATGATGACATTACTTCGGATTTACGGTTAGAACATCATCGAAATTTACCTGAATTTGTCGACGTAAAGCAATTATTTGTACTTACCAGAGTTAAACATTACAAGGTTAGAAGTAGCAGAATTTTAAGCGAGTCAAAAATCAAAATAATAAGTAAAAACTACATAAAAATGCTTTTGGAATAATTGTCACTATTGTATTACTTATGCTAATATTTCTGCCCACTTAATACTCTAGCTCAGCCTTATCTGAATAAGTTTCTCGTTAAAAAATTTCCTTAAAGACTAATGAAGTGAAAACCGTAGCAAAAAAACATTAATGAATTCTTTTGAATAAAAGATTTCTTAAGGCATTTCTTTTTATTAGGTATTCAAGGTATTAAAAATTATTAAATGATGAAAATTTTATCTTTATATAGCTTGATCTACAAAAATATAAAGAAGAAGGAAGTTTGTACGAGATTCTTAACCAACGTGGATATTTCTATGAAGACGAAGTAAAAAATAAAATAAATTGACTTGAATTTTTAACAATTAAAATAAAATTGTTCTAAATAGATCACTGATAAAGAAGATCTCTTGTCCATTAATGATGAAAAAATGAAAGGAGCTCTTGAAGAACATTTGCATACTGACGAAGAAATTCATTTTGTGGTAGAGTGTCAGAGCTATTATGACGTTAGAGAGTAAGTCACTAAGTAATTTCAGTCTGAATTAACATTCTGCTTCCTCCTTGTGTCAATGTTAAATCAAATTACGACACATTTGAGGTGGTCGCGGGGGACTTGATTATTATCCCAGCTGGAGTTTATCATCGTAAAACACCGGACATTAATGTAAAATTAACAAATTATAATTTAAATTTTGTTTCACCTAATTTTGAATTATATTTAGCATTCTGTTACAACAGAGCGCTCTGCTATTTCATCGGAATACCGTCTTGCCCAACATACCATCGACCAGCTGGTGATGTGAATTGTCGTAAAAATTATTTGAAAGAGCTTAGTTCTGAATGATGGATTGTAAATTGTAACCGACACGCTTTCATTATTGATTTTGATAATTTATTTCCTTCAAATATGTTTTATTTGCTGTCTTAACATTTGATGTTAATAATAAATTTTCTTTTGAAACTATTCACTGAACATAAATATTTAATCCTTTCTATTGACTGCTATCATAAAAGCTTTCGAGAGCATGTCAAACTAATGATCTGGTTTTGCCTCGCAGATATTTACAAATCAATGATTATTATCTGAATGATCAAAGAAATATTTTTCGTCGAAAGTTAGTTAGTTACAGCTTCAGGGGAAATTAGCTTATTATGTTTTGTAATTAAATGATGATGAAACTTGATGTAATGGAAATGAGTTGGGGGAATTGAATAACGAAGACAAATAGATAATAGGCAATGAATGTGAGAAATGTAAATAATAAGTAAACTTTATAATAATCACCCTTAAGGAGATGATTGAGAAAGTCTTTAAAATTTATAATATTTTCAAAAAAAAGATTTATTGACTTAGCTTCAAATCGAAAACTTTTCATGATTGGTTTACACAAAAAAAAGTAATTACAAACAGAGTTCGATCAAACTTTTTGAAACTTGTTGAAATGTTTAGAAACTTTGACTTGTCGAAGACAAATAATTTTTTGGCTTTGAGAGAATGAAAATTAATTCATCAAAAGTTATGAAGAAAGAATTAATAAGAACAAATCTTTAAGATAAGGAAATCTTAGAAGGGTTTCAAAGATATAAATTTATTTATAAGGCATCGATGTGAAGGGTTTCTCTTATAAATAATCCATAAGCGGCTTTCTGCTATAAATGCATGCTTCAGCAAGCAAAGAAAGCTTTCAGATAATAGTCTGAAGTATTTTTCGAGGTATCAAATAAATATATTTGCTTATTAATAAATCTGAGAATGTAAATATCTCTTTCACTCACATTAGAAGTTCTTCGGAATTTATTTTTTTTTAGGTTTTTGCTTCTAACGCAATTTTATTGGCAAATCAATTGAATACTCTCATGATTTATTTGATTTATTCCTAAGAATTGTTACGAATGGAATTTCATTAAGTCCATCGGATACTTTGGACTGTTTTGTTGTGGTCGCAACAGACGCTAGGAATGTGGCGTCAAGTATTCTTTTGTTAACGCTTGAATCATCAATAATATCAGTTCAGTGGATCAGAATTAAATCGAAAGTCGTGAAGTCATGTTCAATGTAGAATTTCGTTTTCTTTTGATTTATGTTTCGTAAAACGTAAAGTTACAAAAACTTAATCATTCGCTAGAACTACGTTATGTGACTTTATAATATTTCGATCCTTTTCATTGCTGCATTTCCCAACCTTACCATTACCCATAGACCTACATAATATTGACCTATAAAAAATATTTTACGTTGAATCTAAAATTTAATCAACACTTAAAGTTTCACTTAAGATGATGTTGAACATGAAATGAGAACTTAAATTCATCGTTACAATATTCGAATAAACTTTTTAATTACTCGATGGAAATTAAACATTTAAATTATCCACTTGAGAAATAGCTGAACGGTGCTTTTGCCTCTGTTTAATTGTTCACATGATAATAATTAGATTACAATAACATTTTCAAGCCATCTCATTGCCTTTTCTCCTCCTGTTAATTGTAGAGTATTTTCGAGTATTTTCATTAACGATCTCTTTAATAATTCATTTCGATGTCATTAATTTAAATGGAAAACAATGAAAGTAAAGTGATAGAGGATGGAGGCATAAGTTTGTTATGTTTTCTCTTGCATAATTAATGGTTTTATTTATGTTTGGTCTGCCAAACTTTTCCTTCTTTTCTTCTGTTTTCTCATTTCAATTATTTTATTTTTTTTGCTAAGATCTTTTCCTTCTGTAAAAGAAAAACCTTTTGCGGCTTTTCGACAAAGAAAGCTGTTCATGAGCAACGGTAAAAAAGAAATTGTCTTTTCACGAAAATTGATAAATTTCCTTTTCCTCAAGGCTTTTGTTCATCAAATGACCCTTCGTACGATGACAGAATAAGGAAAGAAAATAAATTTACACCATTTGTCCATTCGACACTTATTTTGTTCAACAGATGCGAAGACACACATTGAACGAACGAACAATATGATTGAGATTTAATAATATTCCAACAATGTTGAAAAATTACTGCGTTGAGAGTATTGCGTGAGACAGAGTTGCGCGGCGCAATCGCAGACACACCTCATGTATTTCTGTTCAGCATCCTTCTCTCAATGGAAGAATGAATATTCATACAAAAAATCTATGAAGTTCGTTTTCATTGAGAAATTTTTTTTTGTTGGAAAAAGAAAATTTAATCTATGAGAAAAAATTTCTTTAATAATTTTTCGATTAAGTTTGAAAATGCAATTAGATAAACTGCAGCATACACGATGTGAAAATGAAGCTTGTTTTTCATTTCCTTTTACTGTATAAACTTGCATTGAATATAATCTGAAATCGAATTAGATATCTCGAGTGAAGTCAACTCGTGCCGTTCCGATTATCACTGAGCGTTAATCTTTGGAGAAGTTTCTGCTCTTACTCCGCTCACAACTCTCGTTTCGTGTTTCTTCCTTTCTCATTTTGTTGTGTTTGAATCCATATCGGTTCACAGTCGAGTCATGAAAATTTTCATTCTCTCTCGGAATCCCGGACAGATTTTTCCAACAAGGAGAAGAAAAAAAATACAATAAAAAGGAATTTGGAACTGCGAAAAGCTATCAAGAGTTTGTGTATTGCAAAGCTTTGCTTAAAAAGAATATTTTGTTTTTGAAGTGATTGATAGTTCTTTAGTTGAAAATTACCATTTGACTTCCAAATTAAGTATGATTAGGTCTTTAGCTTAAGTTTTTTATGGTGAAATACATGTGAAAGAAGAATGGAACTAATTTGAAGACAACTTTGCTTTCCTCCATCATTTCTATTGCAATAAAAAAAAGTAAAATGGAATGAAACTGATAAAAAAAATTGGTGAAAGAATGAAGGAAAAGTTTTTGTTAGGAAATCGAGTAAATTCTGTGATTAAAAAATTAATTGGACAATGGAAATTATCATCGAAATTACGACGAAAAATTGAACAATGTTATATTAGTTTCTTGACTATTTAGAAGCAAAAATTAGTGCAGTAATTCTAATGAAAAGAAAAGCGAGAGAAAGAGAAAGAAAGACAAAAAAAGTATTCAGTGAATCTCGTTAAAACGACGTACATAAAAAAGGCAAAACGACAAGAATAGGACATCATAAGGAAGGGCATAAAAAAGCAGAGCATAGAACATAAGAAATGGGTGTAGATGTAATTAGATCGTTAAAGTACATCAAGACGAGTGTGCTCCCATGAAACATCGCAATAAATTTTTTAGAAGACGTCTTGAAAAACGATTCGTTCAAGTGAAGTTTCCTATCTGCTAATATATTTCCAATAACATAAGCTCGTGTTTGGTTGAGTGGTATACATAGATGAACGATGGAGGGGAAAATAAGTAGAGATTGATTTCTAAGAGACGTTAGAGTACTTCTTCCTAGGCTCGTTGAGCAAAAAAGGAAATCAAATTATAATCAGAACAGAGCGAACTCTTCTTCGATATCAAAGAAGCAAATAGAAAAGTGTTATCTAACAGAGTTGAAGGAAAACGGCAAAGTGTAAGAAGAATCAAAAAGTTGTAAAAGGAGATTGAAGGGAAAATTCCCCAATGAAACATTCAGTGAAAATGATGATGACAGTGCGAAGCCAAAGCCCGGACATTGCTTCGATATCCGATATTTGAAATTTAATACCATTCAACTGAAATTGATTTGATGTTTAAGAAAGAAACTCAACTTCGCAAAGGAAATAAAGTTTTCATTGTAAATCAGAAAAGCATCGTGAATGCAGAAGAAACAGCGGAAGTTTCAAAATAAACCCTTCAGAGAGTATTTTGAGATAAAAGTATAGGCATCATTCATCATCATTTCAAAGACGCCATCATCACATTTACGAAAAGAAAAGCGCACAAAAGTGCTGGCAAAATAAAATAAAATAAAATAAAAAAAGAGAAGCCAGAAAAGTATAAGAAAATTTGTGGAAGGTGAATGTGAAAGGGAATAGATACGACAAACGCACATATTGTTTCGGAGATGAATCACTACACAACAACATCAAGTACAATAAATTTCAGTCTTTCAGCATACCAAGCATTCCTTAACTCCGAAAACAACAATAGTATAACATTAAGTGATGTCAACTTCACGACAACCTTGGAGCCAATTCATCGCGGCCCTCCAACTTCTCCTTACAATGTCACACAAATGATAATTATAGGAATTGTTTTTACTATTCTTGCCCTGCTCACTGTCATTGGAAATTTCATGGTGAGTTAAAAATAAAATACAATTAAAATGAAGGATACGTCGCTGTTTCTTTTCTTTCCTGTTGCCAATGTCAATTATCAAGGAAAATATTCAGTTGATGCTTATTGTTTGTGGCATGTACTTAGTTTGAAAGAATTACTTCATGTTCTCAGTAAACAGTGGGGGTTGTGATTCGTTGTCGATAACATACAAGTATGTTTGAAAGCCTACATGTTTCAGCCATGAAGCAATAGGAATATTTTCTTTACAAACTTATGCACTGAAATAATGTATCAGAAACTTTTCAAAGAGAAAAAAATAATGGCTCAAAAGTTGAAATTTTTCCTTGTTTAATATATGAAATTTTTGCTAGAATTATGTTGAAAATCTTTCATTCCTAAGAACATCTTAAATTGGGATTTTTCATAACGTTTCATTGAAAGGAAGAGAAATCATTAAAATTGTTTCTAAGGATTAATTTTTTTTTCTTTTAATCTTTTTAAGTATCCGTCAGGAAATATCTGTAATGTTCATGAACTCTCAATTTAATGTTCCTTGTTTCACCGTTGAGAAATCTTCTTAAATATGAAAGCAACAGAAAAGCTTTAAGAAAGCTCAAGAATCTCTTTTCACATTTCCCATAAAACTTTAAAAGCTGAAAGTTTCTACCAAAAGCTTTTCATATCATTTTTGGTCACGTTATTTAAGCTTCATAAATCTTTTGAGTCGATAAATTTAAAATCATATTTTCACGACTATAGACAAGCTGTGTAAGAGCGATACATTCACTTCATTAGATATTTAGGTCATTTGAAGGATTCTTAAAATAAAAAATTCATTTAACTTTTCTTTGCCATTTCAGGTGATGTTATCGTTTAAAATTGACAAACAGTTGCAAACAATCAGCAATTACTTCCTGTTTTCGCTTGCAATCGCTGATTTAGCTATAGGCATGATATCAATGCCACTTTTTACAGTTTCAACAATCTTGGGACATTGGCCTTTGGGACCGTTCGTTTGCGATACCTGGCTAGCTTTAGATTATTTAGCTTCGAATGCTTCCGTGTTAAATCTTCTTATCATTTCATTTGATCGTTACTTTTCTGTTACACGCCCGTTAACTTATCGTGCCAAACGAACAACTAACAGAGCAGCAATTATGATTGCATCAGCATGGGGTATCAGTTTGTTGCTGTGGCCACCATGGATTTACAGCTGGCCATACATCGAAGGTACTAATTGATTTAGTGTTGCTTATTTTTTCCGCAACAATATTTAACTGAATTACGATTTCTTCTTTCCATTTATTTCTCCTTCCTTCTGACATTATAGGAAAGCGAACTGTACCCGAATACGAATGTTACATTCAGTTCATTGAAACCAATCAGTACATTACTTTCGGTACAGCAATTGCTGCTTTCTACGTTCCAGGTTAATTTAATTTTATTTAAATGGAAAACGTTATTGACATTCAGAGAAATACATAAAATTTCTTCTTCATTTCAGTGACGGTTATGTGCTTTTTGTATTACCGAATATGGCGCGAAACGAAGAAGCGTCAAAAAGATTTACCCAATCTTCAAGCAGGAGGTGGTGGAGGCCATCAAAGTATCAAAAAGGATTCGTCAAAACGTTCCAACTCGAGGTATGCTTTCACTTGGGAGCAAAAAATAATTTATTACTCGTTGAAAATAAAACTTTTCCGTCTTTAATTTTCCTTCTTTTCCCTTTTGGTCTTCTCATTTCAGCGATGAAACTTCTACAATAAATCATCAGATTGGCGAATATATTGATCCAAATTTTTGGCATCCGCCGCATTTGGCAGGCGACAACGAAAGCAATAATTATTTTTCAGGTGCACATCCACATTCTATCCACGATTTGTCAAGACGCACAAGTGTAAGTTGTTGGATTAAATTTATTTAACATTAACATGTTTAAATTAAAAATATTTTTAGACAAAGCCCAATAATTTCAAATCAGATTCAGTGGTCGAAAGCATCAAGAATTGGTGCGTTGCATGGTGGCATTCGGGACAAGAAGAAGATTCATTTGAGGACTTTAATGATTGGTATGATGGTGAAGGCGAACCATCATATGCTGAATATGGCACACCCTGCAGTGCAGAAACGCCTGTTCAAAGCTCTGTTTCACGGTAATTACTCTAATCGCCTATAAAAAGCCAAAGACATTAAACAAGAATTTTATTTTCCAACAGATGCACATCGTTAAACATTATACGTGACCCTTACGCACGCGGCAGTTTCTGTCCATCAACCAGCAACGATTCACCTTCAACATTTGTTAAGAATCGTCAACAGAATCTTGTCGCAACACAATCAAATAGCATTGGCATGAAAAATCCCGAGAAAACTCCTCCATCTAACTTGAAGCGAAGCCTTTCGCAAGATTCTGTTTACACGATTTTAATAAGACTGCCCATTGAAGGTGGAAGTGATTCCGCTCGTCCCAGTACCGACAACACTGATCGTGACGCAAAACTTCCTTCCATTAAAATGTTTTCCGAAGATCCCAACCTACCCAAAATCATGATGTCTAAAACGGGCGATGATTTTGGCACATTGAAGAAGGGCGAAAAGGATCCATTTGCAATAAACACGCCACATCAATCATACGAATTTAATAGTCGACTTCCATTAAATGCCAAAATTATTCCTCGTAAAACGGTGCTGACGACAAGAGAAAAGGCTCAACAGAAAGCCGCTCTCAACAAGAAGAAAAAGTCACAAGAGAAACGACAAGAATCGAAAGCAGCAAAAACACTTTCAGCCATTTTGTTATCGTTCATCATCACATGGACACCTTACAATATTTTAGTTCTCCTTAAGCCGATCACATCTTGCACAAAGTGTATACCTCAAGAATTGTGGGACTTTTTCTACGCTCTTTGTTATCTAAACTCAACAATAAATCCGGTTTGTTATGCTCTTTGTAATGCTTCTTTCCGTCGAACGTACGTTAGAATTTTGACATGTAAGTGGCAATCGAGAAATCGCGAAGGAATTTCGCGTGGTGTTTACAACTAAATAAAGCGGCTGATTTTTGATTCCTTCTAAAGGAAGTCCGCAAATACAAATATTGGTAAAAGAAAAACTAAAGAAAAGAAGTTTTGAGGAAGACAAAAAGTTTTTGCTCTTATTTTTTCGAATGGAGAGAAAACGATTATTAATGGACTATAATTAAAATTTTATGCTGGTGAACAGCTCAAACAGAATAACAAATTAATAGCTTGAATGTTAAAGGAAACTTGAAGTTAGTAAGCAAACATATAATTGCTCTCCATTAAGACACCCATCCTTGGTCCCTCCGAACCCACAAAACATACGTCAACGTTTACGTTTTAACGAAAATAAATAATGACTTTTTTCTAATTGGATTTTTTGGGAATTCTAAAGTCACTGGAAGTGAAGTGAATAAATGACTTAATAAAAATGTTTTTAAAAATATTCCAATAATTAATATTTGATATTCTAGCACTTTTGAAACATTAACACAGAAAATAAGAAATTGGAAATTTTTCGAATATTTGGGTCAAATAGAATTTGAATCAACATTAATAATATATTAAAGAAAAGTTATCCTTCCTCGTGCTATGGAATTCCCTGAAGTTTTCATCATAAATTTCATCCATAAATGTGACAAAAGTAATAAATCAAAGCAAAGTAAATTAGATGAAAAGCAAAGTTAGCCAACTCATACATTATTCATTCAACAAGCATCTCTGAGGTTACTCAAACAAGATATTCACGTATTATACAATTCGGAACTGACTTAAATATATAAATGGGATTTGGAGTGCTTGCAGATGTTAATCAAACGCTATTCACGTGTATTGAAAAATTTATAAGAGAAAATCTAGTTAAAAGATTTTTCTTTTGATTACTTTTCTTTGTTTGAGAAAAAAAAACATATAACATAATAAATAAATAAAAAAATATTTGTATTTTTTCTAAATTAGTAATTATCGATAAATGAATATATTTAGTTGTTTAAAATGAATATTTGATTAAAAAGAACTTACCGACTTCGATTATGAATCATTCGCATGTATTCGATTGCTGATTGCAAAAGTTTTGGGCTGCAAAATTAATGCAGAATATAATTTACAAGTGATTAATTAAAATCTTGAAGCATCAAATTAAGAGCGAATTTCTTCTTACACTTTTATGCCTCTCAACATCACATAATAAATTCAAATTTATTCTAGATGAAGAGTATTTGATGACGAATTCATGTTGAGGCAGAAAAAGTAATAAGTAAGATGTTGGAAAGCTCGTTTGAGAAAGATTTTGATTGAGTAGACAAAGTTTTATGTAATCGCATCATCCGAATGAGAAACCAATTAAAGTCGAGTAAGTTCGGTTTGACACGGGTTTTTTCGTACACTTGTATTTAAAATTAACATTTGTATAAGAATGACTAACCTTAATAACGATATTTAGCAACGTAAATTCCCCTTGGATTTGCAATTTGCATTTTTGGAATTTATATGAATTGATTACATGGATTTCTGATTAATGACAAATACTGCTGATTATTTGTTACCATTAAAGATATGTGGTCATTCATCATTAAAGACATAACAAGGTATTATCCTATCCTAATTATGATAAACATTCTCACCCACACATAAAATAGTGGACATGAGATAATTTTTTTAAAAGATTTACAAGATATAAATGTGTAGACAAAAGTTGTAGCAACTGAAAGTTTATATAAAAATACAAATAAAAATCTGAAATATTACTAAGTGATATCGCGTTTCAATTTTAATTTTCAAAAGCCCACTTGAAATTGTCAATTGATTGATGATTTTTAATCTCTGAGTAATTAAGATGTCATCATTACCGACTTCTTATTCTGTTTATCTTTATTGATAATTATTTCCCATTTCCAGTAAATGTTCAAGGGCGACTTTCAACAGCATTTTAAATTTTTGTTTTATTGGAGATTCTTAGAGGTGAAAACTATTTTTGAACTGGCGTTTTCCACTATCTTTATGTGCAATTGTGCAATGTTTTTGAATCATAAACACAATTTTGTTTCAAGAACTGTTAAGTTTTAATAAATAATTTCAGTATGCCAATGACATCATCAATACCTTCATTTTCAAGTTCAACAATTGGAGAATTCTTTTTGATTTGATATCTCCATGGATTGCTCAACATCAATTGGACTTTTATTCCTGAAGATTATTAAAACAATAACAATTAGACAGATAACTTTGCCTAAAAATAATAACAAAGACTGAAGTAGTTAACTCGTCGTTTCACAATCCAAATGTGTTCGGTTTTCTTCTTGATTATTGTCTTTAAAAAGTAAGCGATAAAAAGCGAATTAAAGTACTTTAAATTGATAAGATTAGCATTAAGAAAAACCCATCAAGAAGCTAAATTATTTTCAAATAAAAGGCGAGGATGATCGCTAAAAACTTCAGTTTAATTTTTTCGTGACAATCAGTACAATGAGGTGGAAACAAATTGGATTAATTTTTGTGCTAATCTTATCAGTGGTCAGGACAGCACCTGTTCCATTAGCTGATGAAGAAGACGATCCATTAAGACTGCCAAAGACCTCAATTCCTTTGTATTATGATATAACACTTATAACAAATGTGGATACGGGTGCTCGTGCCTTTACTGGATTCGTGAAAATCGATATAGAAATTAAAGAAAACACTAATTCAATTACATTACATAACAATCAACTTACAATTGATAGCCTTAAATTGAGTAACACTAATGATAAAAGGGAAATCGCAACCACGCATTCATTAGAAGCTTCAAAAAGTTTTCTTCACATTCAATCAACTGACAGAATTCTGATGGCTGGTGAATTGCTTACCATTGAGATCTTGTTCAAAGGAAATTTACAGTTGAGCATGAATGGTTTTTATAGATCGTCGTACAGAGTAGGAAGTGAGACAAGGTAACCATAACGTGATAAGAAATTATCTCAAGTGGATTTGTTTTTTTTTATTGAAACGATTAAATTGAGGAAAACTTTCATAAAGGTATTTGGCAACAACACAATTTCAAAGAACAGGAGCACGCTTAGCTTTTGTATGTTATGATGAACCTGAATTCAAAGCTTATTTCAAGTTAACGATAGTGCATTCGGCATCATATTCGGCCATATCAAACATGGAAGGCACCACAAGTGGAGGGTGAGGGAAAATTTTATGAAACCAAGGTGAAAATTGTTTTCAAAGATTTTCATTAATGTTTTCAAATTAGATCAACTTCATTCAATGTAACCCCGAAGATGTCTTCATACCTTTTGGCTTTTATCATCTCTGATTTTGATTACTCAAGCACACCAATTGTGAATGGTGAAACGTTCCACAGGTATGAACTTTCAGCAAAACTTTGATAAAATATAATTTTGAATAATTCAAACTCTCTCAGAATTTATGCAAGAAAGGAAGAGATTGAAAGAACAAAATTCGCCTTGGATAGTTCTGTGAAATTTTTGAAACAATTGGAAAACTTTGTTAATTATGAATATGAACTTCCCAAGATGTGGTCGGCTGCTGTTCCAGATTTTGCAGCAGGTTTGAAGTTTTTCTTTCTTCAGTTTGCTTTATTAATAATTAAACAAATAACCTCATCAAAGGTGCAATGGAGAATTGGGGTTTGATAACATACAAGGAACAATATTTAATTGTTGAAGAAGATTCACATCCGAGAGAATATTTCGATAGCTTGCGAGTGATTGCTCATGAACTTGGCCATCAGTTCTTTGGTAGAATAAACTTTTATTAATATTTATTTTGATTCTTCATCGACATCTTTCAAACAGGCAACTTAGTAACATGTAAATATTGGGACACCATTTGGTTAAACGAAGGTTTTGCAACAGTTTATGAGTATCTGTTAGTTGAGAAGGAATATCCTGAATTAAGAATGCGTGACATGTTTGGAGTTTATAAAGTTCAAAGTGCTTTCCGTACTGATGCATTGCAAGCCACACATCCTATGACATTTTATGGAAGCTCACAAACTTTAATTATTTACGACAAAGGTGAAATTTATTAAATTAGAATAATTTCAGTCATTAATTTCATTTAATTGTATAATTGAAGCTGGAAGTGTCATTCGAATGTTCCAATACGCTGTCGGTGAAGAAATTTTCAGAGACGCGTTAAATGTGTACTTGACTGATAAGTATGATTGTTATTACTTTATTGTTCAATAATTAATTTTATCTAATCCTACCACTTGAAATTTTACTTAGTAATCATGAACCTGTAACATCAGACGAATTTTACGCAGCTTTTGACAAACATTCAGATGACATTGACTTTCCATTCACCGAAGCTTTTAAGAGTTGGGAAAATCAGAAAGGTTTTCCATTGGTTCATGTCACAACAGATGACTCCACTGAATCATTTACTATCACGCAAAAGAAATATTTGGCAGTGACAGAAGTTGAAGATGAAACGGATGAAAGCAATTGGTACATTCCGTTAAACTTTGCAACCGAATCAAATCCAAACTTTGATGACACAACAATCTCAGATGTCTTTATGATTAATCAACCATCTTTGTCGATTTCATATCCAACTCTCTTTAATGGCAATCAATGGTACGTCTTCAATAAACAACAACTTGGTTATTATCGTGTAAATTACGATGAGAAAAATTGGAGAGCACTCATCAATGTCTTGCACAGCGACAATTTTGAGAAAATTCATGTTTCAAATCGAGCACAACTTGTTGACGACTCTCTAAGTCTTGCCTTCGATGGTTACCTCGATTATAAAATTGCCTTAGACGTTTTATCGTACCTGAGTCGAGAAACTGATTACATCCCATGGCGTGCGGCTATTATAAACTTAGATAAACTTGATTACATTTTGTTTGAACAACAAGCTTATCCGCAATACAAATCTTTCGTCACTAAATTAGCCAGACAAATGTATATGACTCTTGGATTAGAGGAACGTGCTGGTGATAACATGATTGATAAATTTGGCCGAGAACTGGCGATTGATTGGACTTGTCGAATGGGCGATGAAGCATGTTTAGCTGACACGTGGATGCATCTTAAACGATCTTTAACTGAAGATTATGTGATTCCAGATTCCCTCGAGATTTCCTTCATTTGTCATGGGTTGAAAGGAATGAACAAACAAGAAGAATACATTCAACTATGGACGAGAATGCAAAACTCAAACGATCAAGCAGAAAGAATTCGAATTATTGATGGTTTGTTATGTGCAACTGATCCAATATCTCTCAGGAGTTTGCTTGAAACAACACTTATTAATAGTGCTGAGACAAATTACCGAGATCATGAAAGAACGAGAATTGTCAACAACGCCATCACAAGAAGTTCCATTGGGTTGTCTGTAATGATTGACTTTATGGGAGAATTTTACGATGAATACACAGCGATGTAAGTTTTATTTGATGGAAACTAAAAAATTTAGATTTTTTAAACATTTTTTAATCTCTTCAGGTTTGGAAGTGCAAATTCGATCCTTCTTTCAATCTCTCAACGTGTCTTCCATCCAGACCATCAAACAAGCTTCAACCAGCTTTTGACTTCTCTTAATGGTAAATTAAGCGAATCAACAATTGAGTCTGCTTTGAAAAACTTGGAAAACAATAACATTTGGATGGAATCAAATAAGTTTCAAGAAATTGTTAATTTTGTTGTGGCAGTTGCTAATGAAGAGAATCCTCTTATATTACCAACAACTTCTGAGCCCAGTCATTACAAAATTCATCTTGATGTGAGAAATATTCCACTTGGAAGTCGAGCATATTCAGGAGAAGTTGAAATTGATACTGAAGTGAAAGAACCAACTGACAAAATTACGATTCACTCAACGAACCAAGTCATTACTGAACTCAAAGCATTTACCAAAAGTGATATGGTGGAGATTCCAATTCTCGATCATAGTTTAAATCCAGAAGCTGAAACACTCACGATTTCCTTCGCAGATCAATTTGAAGTTGGTTCAAATATTCTTATTCACATTAAATACGAGACTGAACTTTTGACAAATGGCAATGGTTTCTATCAAACATCATACCAAGCTGATGGTGTCACTAAATGGGTTGGGTCGACACAATTTGAATCGGTCGAAGCTCGCTTTGCTTTCCCGCATTACGATGAACCAAAGTACAAGGCAGTATTTGATTTGTCGATAACTCATGACGCTAGCCAGAATGCCATCGCAAATACATTCGGAACTCCAGTTAATAAGTAAGATGAAAAATCAATGAATTTGCATTGTAGCAATGTAGCAAACACAAAGTTAAATTTCTTATCGTTTTCAGTGCCGATGGAACCATCACAACAACTTTCGAACCATCACCAATCATGTCTTCATATCTTCTCGCATTTGTTATCTCTGATCTCGAACACATTTCGAACGAAGAAACGAAATTACCTGATGAGACGTTGCATCGAATTTGGGTTCGTCCTGGAGAAACATCAAAAGCTAATTTAGCGTTAGAAGCTTCAATTACTGCTTTGAAAGCTTTGGAAGAATATGTTGGATTTAAATATGAATTACCGAAGGTTGACTCTGCTGGTGTGCCCAACAAAGGTGGTGCAATGGAGAACTGGGGAATGGTCATTTATAGAGAAAACGCAATGATTTATGAAGAGAACTACAAAGACATTTCACATACTCAAAAGCTTTCAGGAGTTAACGTGATTTCCCATGAACTTGCACATCAATTCTTTGGTAATGCAGTAACATGCGAATGGTGGGACTACATTTGGTTGAATGAAGGCTTCGCTACACTTTTCCAATACCACTTAACTGGAATGGTTCATCCTGATTGGAACATGAAAGAACTTTACAATATTTTATCACTTCAAAGTGCTTTCAGAAGCGATGCAAACGTGAACACTCGTGCGATGACGCCAGTGCCGTCTCTTCTAACTCGCAATGAAATTGATTCTGCTTTCAGTTATGTAGCTTATGCTAAAGGTAATTTATTGAATCTACTTTATAACATTTAGTTAATTTATTATGTGATTTAAAGCTGGCACTGTGCTTCGAATGTTCCAATATGCAGTCGGTGAAGAAATCTTCAGAGAAGCTTTGAAAGTTTACCTTGAAACGAAGTAAATTAAAAATTGAAACATTCTCAACAAATTTTTAACATTTTCATCCTTTCCAGTGATCACAAACCAGTCAAGCCACAAGATTTATACGATGCATTCGAGACTGTAATGAATGATAAATCATTCAATGATTTCAATTTTGGAGAAGCTTTCAGCACTTGGGAATTAAACAGAGGATATCCGATCATTCACGTTAGTCACACAGAAGGTGGACAATTTGAAATTACGCAACATCGTTATGTGACTAACAAGGCAGATGTTGGAAGTGACACAAGCAGCTGGTATATCCCATTGAACTTTGCCACAGCTTCTAATCCCAACTTCGAAGACACAAGCATCACAAATTATTTCCTGAACAATCAAGATCTACTGTCGATTGATGTTCCAACACCTTTCGCTGAAAATGATTGGTTCGTTTTTAATAAACAACAATTGGGTTACTATCGAGTGAATTATGATGAAGAAAATTGGCATTCATTGATTCATGCCTTAAACAGCAAAAACTTTGAGAATATTCACGTTTTGAATCGTGCACAAATTCTTGATGATGCCATTAATTTAGCTGCTGGCGATTATCTCAGCTACAATACTGCTTTCTATCTCATGCAATATTTGAGTCGTGAGACGATGTATGCACCTTGGTACGATGCAGACCGATTCATAACTCAACTTTATTCAGCCTTTGGTCCATTCAATGATGAATTAAATGTAAATTGATTTATTTATTTCTTATCTAATATTCATTATTGACATTCCTTTTATTTGTTTAGCTTTTTGTTCGTCAACTTTCTGATAAATTTTACAATCACTTCAAACTTCCTGAAGGTGAAAATATTCAATTTGAAGAGCTTTACGAACGTTATAGTCATGCACTTGCTTTTAAACTTGCATGCAATGCCGGAAATGAAGATTGTCTCAAAGACACATTCTTTGTTGTTAAAGAATTTGTAACTAATGAAGTGCCGGTCCCAAAAGGATTAGAAAGCGTCATTTATTGCAATGGTTTACGTGGAGTTGATAAAAAAGATGAATGGGTTGGCATGTGGAATAAGTTACTCGAATCATCAGATTCAACATTCAGATCGCAAGCAATCAGTGCTTTGGGTTGCAGTGATGATTCAGCTCTTCTTAAAGATTATTTGGATTCATCGCTTGGAGATGGCAACAATGTCAATTACAGTACAAGTGAACGTAGAAATGTTATCACTGGCGTGCTTAACAGCAAAGTTGGACTTCAGGCTGTTATTAACTTCTTTAAGGATAATGAAAATCAGATTGTGCTTAGTCTTGGATATGGATCACTTGAAACATTAGTCACTGTGGTCGCACAAACTCTCAGAACACCAACTCAACAAACACTTTTCAATAATTATCTTGATACTTTGACAAATCTCGACACTGAAGCATTAAATCGTGTCAAAAGTATTATTGAAAGAAACTTGTCAAATCAGCAACAAAAACCATACGCTTCATTCACAAGCTTCCTTTCGGAAATAACAGAGAATCGATGGATCCTTCCAAAGTTCGCCGTTCCAAATAGATATAAACTTCATATTGATGCCAGAAGTATTCCAACTGGCTCGAGAGATTTCTCTGGTGAAATTGAAATCGATGCTACAATCAAAGAAGAAACTGATCGTCTTATCATTCATTCGAGAGAGCAAATGATTGAAGAAATAAAAGTTACACACAAAAATGATTTGACTGACATTGAAGTTCTTGGACATCAATTGAATGCACCAACATACACTCTCGGAATTTATTTCATGGACTTTTTGGAGCCTGAAACTGAAATTTTAATCAATATCAAATATTCTGCTGTCATGCAAACATCTCAAACAAGTTATGGCTTCCATCAAGGTTTCTACACATTCAATGGTGAGACGAGATATTTGGGAGTGACTCAATTTGAATCTTCGTTGGGTAGTCGCTTTGCTTTCCCTCACTTTGACGAGCCAAGATATAAAGCTGTGTTTGAACTCACTTTGACTCATGATTCTTCGCAAAAGGCAATTTCAAATACTTTCGGAGCTCAAAGGGAGAAGTGAGTTTTGTTTAATTTCAATTACTTTAAAATGAAACAAATATTTCTAATTTATAAAATCGTTTTCAGTGCCGATGGAACCAGCACAACAACTTTCGATGAAACTCCAATCATGTCTTCATATCTTCTCGCATTTGTCATATCTGACTTCGAATACATTTCAAATGAAGCAACAAAATTGCCAGACGAAACTTTGCATCGAATTTGGGTTCGTCCAGGACAAACATCGAAAGCTTGGTTTGCATTAGAAAGCTCAGCAGCTTCATTAAAAGCTTTGGAAGATTACTGCGATTTCAAATTCGAGCTTCCAAAAGTTGATTCAGCTGCAATTCCTAACAAAGGCAGTGCAATGGAAAATTGGGGAATGATCACATATTGGTAAGAAAAACTTCAATTTATGATTTCTTCACAATTTGACAATTAAATTTAAAGGGAAACTGCAATGATCTATCAAGAAGAGTATGAAGACATCGCTCACAACTACAGACTTAGTGGTGTCAACGTAATTTCTCATGAACTTGGACATCAATTCTTTGGTGACGTTGCAACATTTGAATGGTGGGATTATCTTTGGTAAGTTAAAATTGAACTCTTAGAAATATTTAAATGAAAAATTTAACACTTAATCACAGGATGAGTGAAGGGTTCGCTACATTCTTTGAATATCAAGTCACTGGCATTTTGCATCCTGAATGGCGCATGAGAGACTTCTTCAATATAAGAGAATTGCAAAACGCTCTTCGTGTTGATGCCAGAACCACAACAAGATCTATGACAACATCATTAGAAACTCCAACTGAAATTCGAGCATCTTTTGACAGCATTGCTTATGATAAATGTAAGTGAAAATCTTTTTAAAAAAAATTCAACTAACGTAGTAAAATTTTAGCTGGAACCGTCATTAGAATGTTTGAGAATGCAGTTGGTGAAGATATCTTCAAAGCAACAATGAAACTTTATCTCGAAACAAAGTAAATTGTCAAGTTAATTCTTAATTCCAAATTAAACTTGATAACAAAAATTTCAGCAATCGCAAGTCAGTTGTATCGCAAAACTTGGTTGACGCATTTGAAACAGTGATGGAAGAACAAGGATTCAATGACTTCGAATTTGACCCAGCTTTTAGATCATGGGAGACTCAAAAGGGTTATCCAATGATTTCCGTCTCTCTCTCATCTTCGAGACAGTTTGAAATCACTCAGAAAAGATTCTTCACTAATATCAATGATGTTGTATCAGACACCAGCAGTTGGTACATTCCATTGAACTTCGCCACAGCTTCCGACCCAAACTTTGATGACACAAAATTCACAAGTTATTCACCTGCTTCTCAAGATGTCTTCATGATTGACGCCCCCGCACAATTTGACGGTAGTCAGTGGTACGTGTTCAACAAACAACAACTTGGATATTATCGTGTCATGTATGACTTCAACAATTATCACGCGTTAATCGCAGCTTTGAATAGCGCCGATTTTGATAAAATTCATCGACTTAATCGCGCTCAGATTCTCGACGATGCCATCAACTTTGCTCAAGGTGGTTATTTGGACTACAGCGTTGTGTTTGGAATTATGGAATATTTGAGTCGTGAGACTGAATACGCTCCATGGTTTGATGCTGATCGATTCATCACAACACTCTACACAGTTTTTGGACCATTCAACGCTGATCTGAACGTGAGTTTAAGCAATTAATTCGATTTATTATTTAAATTGCATTCTTAATTTATCCACAGGTTTTCATGAGACATTTGTCGAGTCAATTTTATGATGAGTTTAAATTAACAGATGATTCAGTGATACCTGAAGAAGAAGTTTATGAACGTTACAGTCGAGAATTAGCAACAAAACTTGCATGCAATGCTAGAAACGAACTTTGTTTGAGAGNGATAGTCGGAAGGTCCATGGATAGTCGGAAGGTCTATGGATAGTCGGAAGGTCCATGGATAGTCGGAAGGTCCATGGATAGTCGGAAGGTCCATGGATAGTCGGAAGGTCCATGGATAGTCGGAAGGTCCATGGATAGTCGGAAGGTCCATGGATAGTCGGAAGGTCCATGGACAGTCGGAAGGTCCATGGGCAGTCGGAAACTCCACACCGGCCGGAGTAACTTAAAATTATGCGTTAGCATAATTTGAAGCTCCCCATGTGGAGCTTCCCCATCTCCAATTTAAATTGTATTCTTAATTTATTCACAGGTTTTCATGAGACATTTGTCGAGTCAATTTTATGATGGGTTTAAATTACCAGATGATTCAGTGATACCAGAAGAAGAAGTTTATGAACGTTACAGTCGAGAATTAGCAACAAAACTTGCATGCAATGCTAGAAACGAACTTTGTTTGAGAGACACTTTTGTATTGAATCATGATTATGCTGAGCAAGATCGTCCGATCCCTAAGGGACTTGAGAATGTCATCTTCTGTAATGGCCTTAGGGGAACAGGAAAACAAGGAGAGTGGACTGGAATGTGGAACATCATGCAGAGCACTTCAGACACAACATTGAAGGCTCAACTTCTCTCTGCTTTAGGTTGCAGTGACGATCCGATCGTTCTTAAAGATTACTTGGAGTCAACTTTGGGAGCAGCAAACAGCGTCAATTACACTGCAGCTGAGAGAAGAAATGTCTTGAGTGCCGTTCTCAACAGCGACTCGGGTCTTCAAGCTGTCATTGATTTCTTGACAGAATTTGGAAGTAGCGTTGTTGGTAACTTCGGTTATGGCACATGGGAAGCAATGATTACCGTTCTAGCAAGAACAATAAAGGTGCAAAATCATCAAACAATTTTCAATAACTACTTGCAAACAGTCACACAACTTGACGATGCAGCCAGAGGTCGAATCAACACAATTGTTGCAACAAACTTTGAACTTCAACAGCAATCACCATACGCAGAGTTTGCAGCTCTTCTTTCCAAGAGAAGCGAGAATCAATTGAGATTACCAGAGACATCGGAACCAACTTACTATAAAATTCATCTTGACGCCAGACGAATCCCAAGTGGTGAAAGATTATTTGAAGGCGAAGTTACAATTGATGTTCATGTTAAACAAATAACTGACAATATCATGATTCATTCGAGAGAACAAACTATTGAAGAAATTAAAGTTCATAACAAAAATGACATGACTGAAATTCAAGTTCTGGACTTCCAACTTTACCCAGCAACTGATACATTAACGATTTACTTCATGAATGTTTTATTACCGAACACTGAAATTGTCATCGACATCAAGTACACAACGATGCTTCAATTAACTGGAATAGGTTTCTATCAAACATCATACCAAGCTGATGGTGTCACTAAATGGTTAGGAGCGACACAATTCGAACCAGCAAGAGCTCGCTACGCTTTTCCCAATTATGATGAGCCAGGATATAAAACACAATTTGAGTTGTCGATCACTCACGACGCTGGTCAACAAGCAATCGCAAATACATTCGGAACTTCAGTTAATAAGTAAGTTCTAATTTGAGAAAATAAAAATCTGATTAAATTCAAAATTTTTTTCTAGTGTCGATGGAACCATCACAACAACTTTCGAACCATCACCAATCATGTCTTCATATCTTCTCGCATTTGTTGTCTCTGATCTCGAACAGATTTCGAATGAAGATACAAAAATGCCTGATGAGACATTGCATCGAATTTGGGTTCGTCCTGGAGAAACATTAAAAGCCTGGTATGCTTTAGAAGCTTCAATTGATTCATTGAAAGCTTTGGAAGAATATGTTGGATTTAAGTATGAATTACCGAAGGTTGATTCAGCTGGAATTCCTAACAAAGGTGGTGCAATGGAGAACTGGGGCATGATTACTTATAGAGAGAACGCAATGATTTATGAAGAGAAACTGGAAGACATTCCACACGCTCAGAAATATAGCGGAGTTAATGTTATTGGTCATGAACTTGCACATCAATTCTTTGGTAATCTGGTGACATGCGAATGGTGGGACTACATTTGGTTGAATGAAGGTTTTGCTACGCTTTTTGAATTTACATTGATGGAGATGACACAACCTGATTGGCGTGTTAGAGAATTATTCAATACGAGAAATCTTCAATTCTCTATGCGAGCTGATGATAAGATAAATACACGAGCGATGACACCAACGCCTTCAGTGATGACACCAGCACAAATTTCATCAGTTTTCGATGATATTGCATATTATAAATGTAAGTTAATTAATTAATTAATTAATTATTCTATAAATCTACGATTTTCTTTTTTTCATAGCTGGCACTGTGCTTCGAATGTTCCAAAATGCTGTTGGCGAAGAAATCTTCAAAGCGGCTTTGAAACTTTATCTTGAAGCGAAGTAAGAATTGAAAAGTTTTTCTTGATAGTTTTTTTTAAAAATGATTTTTCAATCTAAAGTGACCACAAGCCAGTGACGTCTCAACATTTGGTCGACGCATTTGCAACAATTATGAGTCAACGCGCATTCACCGATTTCGATTTCGATAGTGTTATGAGATCATGGGAACTTCAAGCTGGTTATCCGATGATTTCCGTCTCTTTCTCATCTTCGGGACAATTTGAAATCACTCAGAAGAGATTCTTCACTAACATCAATGATGCTGTATCAGACACCAGTAGTTGGCACATTCCATTGAACTTCGCCACAGCTTCCGACCCCAACTTTGATGACACAAAGTTCACAAGTTATTCCCCAGCTTCTCAAGATGTCTTCATGATTGACGCCCCCACACAATTCGACGGTAGTCAGTGGTACGTGTTCAACAAACAACAACTTGGATATTATCGTGTCATGTACGACTTCAACAACTGGCACAATCTCATTGTCGCTTTAAATACCGACGAATTTGAGAAGATTCACGTTCTCAATCGAGTGCAGTTAATTGACGATGCCGTGAACTTTGCGCAAGGCGGTTATTTGGACTACAGCGTCTTGTATGGCTTATTGGGTTACTTGGAACGCGAGACTGAATACACTCCGTGGTATGCTGCAGAAAGATTCATCAACACACTTTACACAACTTTTGGTCCATTGAACGATGACTTAAATGTAAGAACAATTGAAATATTCTTTGAACTGAAATTTAACTTGAAATGTTCTTCTTCCAACAGATGTTTGTTCGATATCTCTCAGAGACACTTTACGAGAAGTTCAAACTTCCAGAAGACAGTCAAATACCGCAAGAAGAAGTTTATGAACGCTACAATCGCGAGATTGCTTTGAGAATCGCTTGTAATGCTGGAAATGAACTTTGTTTGAGAGACACATTTGTGTTGAATCAAGCTTATGCTGAGCAAGATCGTCCGATCCCTAAGGGACTTGAGAATGTCATTTTCTGCAGTGGATTGCGTGGAACAGGAAAACAAGGAGAGTGGACTGGAATGTGGAACATCATGCAAAGCACTTCAGACACAACATTGAAGGCTCAACTTCTCTCTGCTTTAGGTTGCAGTGACGATCCGATCGTTCTTAAAGATTACTTGGAGTCAACTTTGGGATCTGGAAACAGCGTCAATTATACGTTGACGGAGAGAAGAAATGTCTTGAGTGCTGTTCTCAATAGTCATTCGGGTCTTGAAGCTGTCATCAACTTTATGGTCGACTTTGAACTTGAAATTATCAGAAACTTTGCTTATGGCACTTTAGAAACCATGATCAGTGTTCCAGCAAGAACAGTCAAAACACAAGAACAGAGAACAATGTTCAACAGCTTCCTTGCCACTTTAACTCATCTTGAGGGTGCTGCTTTAGATCGCGTTAATGCAATTATCACTAACAATTTCGATGCACAACAACAGCCTCAAAATGTTGCAAACATGGAAACAATTCGTAAAATTGTTGTAGCTAATCAAGAGACAACAACTCCTATCACAGCATCGCCAACTTCCACTACTACATCTGCACCAGTTACTGATCCAGCAAGTACAGAAACTACACCATCAGGTACTTCACCAGCACCAGCAGAAACAACCACAGGTGGAGCCTCAACACTATCTTTCAAACTTCTTGTTTTGATTATTTGTACAAGTCTGTTGTCAGCTTTTAAATAGATGAAGAAAGATTATGATGAATGTTTCTTTAATTTCATTAATCGACAATAAAAATTCTTATCAGTACCTCATAAAAAACTTGTTTTGGCTACCGGATTATTATGAAATTATTAAATAAAGCTTGAAATTTCTTTACAGCTTCAAAGATAAGATGCTTGTTATAATAAAAATCTGCTTATTTTGAGGGAAGATCCAATCCTTTCAGAACTTTGAAATCTTTCTTCAATGAATGCTACGGTTGGCACTTAAAATAAACTACTCAATTTGCTACCAATTACATAAAGAGTGTTTATGACAGTCATAATAATAAATCAATTATCTTAACTAATCAATAAACCACCATGGATAAGATTAGATTTATCGACTTAAAGCTGCTATATAAGTCAGAGCTACGCTTAAGAAAGTTTAGTCTTAAACGTTCGGGTTAAAATAATGTGGAAAAGACGTGCAGTGGTTTTATTGCTTTTCTTATCAGCTGCCACGGCGGCACCAGCTCCTTTTGCTGATGAAGACTCTTGGAGACTTCCTGGAACGTCAAAACCTTTAACTTATGAATTAGAACTAACAACAAATGTTCACACTGGAACTCGATATTTTGAAGGATTTGTTAGAATAGAAATAGAAATTATTGAAGAAACTAACGTCATCACGTTACATAATCACCAATTGAGAATTGAAAACCTTGAATTGTTAAGAAATAATGGTGCGGTTGTAAGCGTTGTATATTCTCAAGAAACCGAGAAAGACTTTCTACATATTGAGAGTTCAGAAGTTCTTGAAAATGGTGCAAAACTATATTTGGAAATAAATTTCAATGGCAATTTACAGCTTGGAACAGTTGGATTTTATAGATCATCTTATGTTGTTGAAGGACAAACAAGGTACTTTATTCGTTTGTTGTAAATTTTATCTGAAGTGTTTTTAACTTCTTATTATTTGATTTGATAAAGGTATTTAGCTACAACTCAATTTGAAGCAACAGAAGCACGTTCCGCATTCATTTGTTATGATGAACCTGAATATAAAGCAGAATTCACATTGACCATCAATCATGGAAGTGTTTATCATGCAATATCAAACATGAAAGGGGTTGAAGTGGATAAGTAAGGGAAATATTTAAAAATTTATAAAAAATAATCAATTGATAATTTATTAACAGTGGAGATGGAACGAAGACAACCACATTTGAGAAAACACCACGAATGCCGTCGTATCTTTTAGCATTTGTCATCTCAGATCTTGATTATATCACAAATGAAAACCAAATTACTTCAAGAGATATCGCTCAAAGGTAAAGTTTCCATGAATTAATCATTTTGTTTAGTAAATTAACAAATTTTAATCTTAACCCTTCTTAAGCTTAGATTAAGAATTTAATCTAACTCCATTATGATCATTTGGAGAGTTTCAAAATTTTGTAGACTTAAATTCCTTTTAATTTTCTCAATGATTTTCATAAATGAAAATTGTTTTCTTCATCATGATTTAGAGTTTATGCTCGAGCTGAAGATGTGGATAAAACACAATATGCTTTAAAAAATTCCGTTGAATTACTAGATGCACTTGAAGAATATGTCACTGGTTTTGAATATCCATTTGAAATTAGGAAAGTTTATTCAGTCGCAGTTCCTGATTTCGGTTTAGGTATTTGAGTTGATTTTTTATCAAAAAGAAAATTCATTAAACTGTCTTGAAAACAATTATAGGAGCAATGGAAAACTGGGGATTAATCACTTATAAAGAACAATATTTGATTGGAGATGAAAATTCTCATCCAAGAGATGTTTCACAAATTCTTAAAACAATTGCACATGAACTTGGACATCAATTCTTTGGTAAGAGAAAATATGAATTTTTTTAAAAATACGAAATCGACAATATTTAATATTTGCAATAGGCAACGCCGTAACATGTAAATGGTGGGATCAGATTTGGTTAAATGAAGGATTTGCAACTTTTCTGGAATATAAATTGGTTGACTTAGTTTACCCTTCCATACGAATGGATCACTTATTTGTCGTCGAGAAGCTCCATAATGCTATGAGAGTTGACGCTTACGAATCGACTCGTCCAATGTGGTTCAATGTAGAGACACCAGCTGAAATTAGTGCTGCATTCGATCGCATTGCTTATGACAAATGTAAGTGAAATTTTTCGAAAAAGCTCAAAAAAAATTAATTCAATGAATTTTACAGCCGGTTCTGTTATCAGAATGTTCGGTAATACTCTCGGTGAAGAAGTTTTTCAAAAGGCAATGGGGGTTTACCTGATTAATAAGTAAGAATTACATTTATCAGTTGATATTATTATCAAACAATTAAACTTCTCAATTTGATTGTTTTATTTAGTAATTTTGGATCGGTTACGTCTGATGATTTATATGAAGCTTTTGAAAGCGTAATTGCGGAAAATGGCCCGATGGGCTTTTCATTTACTGATGCTTTCAAAACTTGGGAAGTTCAAAAAGGTTTCCCAATTGTTCATGTTACAGCAGATGATTCTTTACGGTCATTTGTTCTTACACAACAACGATATTTAGCAGCAAATGAAGAGAGAATTGAGAATGATGAGAGAAGTTGGTACATTCCGTTAAGCTTCACAACCAGCGTCAATCCTAATTTCAATGATAAAACTTTCACTCATTACTTTGTCAATGGACAATCATCTTATTCAATTCCTTACCCAGAAATGATGACATCAAACGATTGGTACATTTTCAACACACAACAAATGGGTTATTATCGAGTGAATTATGATCAACGAAATTGGCAAGAACTGACAAACGCACTTCATACAGATAACTTTGGAAACATTCATGTCTTATCACGAACACAACTTGTTGATGATTCATTAAATTTTGCTGTTGACGGATATTTAGATTTCTCAACAGCATTCAGTTTGTTATCATATCTGGAAAAAGAAGTCGATTATATTCCGTGGCAAGCTGCTTCTGTAAGTTTAGACCGAATTGATTATCTTTTACAAGGACAACCAATTCAAGTACACTTCAGACGATTTGTCAAACGATTGATTAGAAGAATGTATGTCACTTATGGAATGAATGAAAGATCTAGCGATGGATTGATGGAGAAATTCGCTCGCGAGCTTGCAATAAATTGGTCATGTCGAATGGGAGATGTTGACTGTTTATTAATGACTGATCAATATGTAAAGCAAGCACTTAATGGCGAGATCGTCATTCCAGATTCTTTAGAAGTTTCTTTCCTTTGCTATGGATTGATGGGATTAGACAAACAAAATGAATACGTCGAATGGTGGACAGAAATGCAAAATTCTAATGATCAAGCAAGACGACTACGAATCATCGATGGATTATTATGTTCATCAGATTCACACTCTTTAATGTCACTTCTTGAAACGACACTTGTGTCAAGCTCTGAGACAAACTATCGAATGCATGAAAGAACGAGAATTGTCAATGCTGCAGCTAGTAGAAGTCCAATTGGTGTTGCAACAATGCTTGAATTCTTAACAGAATATTTTGATGAATACGTTAGCATGTAAGATAAAGTTCAATTCACATTAATCTTGGAGAAATCTTATTTTTAATTACTATTTAGGTTTGGATCGCCAGACTCTCTAATTTTGTCAATTTCCCAGCGTATTGTTACTTTTGATGATGAAGAAAAATTAATCGCATTATTCGAAATGGTTGGTGAGAAATTGAATTCAGATACGATCACAACTGCAATGAAGAACGTCGATGGAAATAAAGAATTTATTGCTTCATCTAAATTTTCCGATATTGTAACATTCGTGAGTGAATATATTCAAGAACTTGATGATGCAGAAGATCAATTACGACTTCCATTGACATCTGAACCAATTAATCACAAATTACATCTTGACTCGAGAGAACTTGCGTCTGGTTCACGAGCATTTACTGGAGAACTTGACATGGACATAAGAATAACACAAACGACTGATAAAATCATTTTCCACTCAAAAACGCATGAGATTCATGAAATAAAACTTTTCAATACTTTCACATCGGAAGAGGTTCAATATCTTGAGTGGAGTTTACATCCAGCAACTGACACATTGACGATTTATTTCTTCGAAAATTTAGTCGTAAACCTTCAATTGACAGTACATATCAAATACTCCGCGATAATGCCAACTTCAACTGGTTATTATATGACATCTTATACATTAGACGGAAGAACGAGATATGTCGGGGCAACACAATTCCAGTCAACGAGCGCTCGTTACGCTTTCCCACATTACGATGAACCAGGATTTAAAGCAGTGTTCGAGTTGTCGATAACTCACGATCCAAGTCAACATGCAATCGCAAATACATTCGGAACTTCAGTTGATAAGTGAGTTTTAGTTTAAGAAATGAAAAATCTGATTAAATTCAAAATTGTTTTCAGTGCTGATGGAACCATCACAACAACTTTCGAACCATCACCAATCATGTCTTCATATCTTCTCGCATTTGTTGTCTCTGATCTCGAACACATTTCGAACGAAGAAACGAAATTGCCTGATGAGACATTGCATCGAATTTGGGTTCGTCCTGATTCGACTTCAAAAGCTTGGCTTGCGTTAGAAGCTTCAATTGATGCTTTGAAAGCTTTGGAAGATTATGTTGGATTTAAGTATGAATTACCGAAGGTTGATTCTGCTGGAGTGCCCAACAAAGGTGGTGCAATGGAGAACTGGGGAATGGTCATTTACAGAGAGAATGCAATGATTTATGAAGAGAAACCGGAAGACATCCCACACGCACAGAAATTCAGTGGAATTGACGTCATTGGTCATGAACTTGCACATCAATTCTTTGGCAATACAGTGACATGCGAATGGTGGGACTACATCTGGTTGAATGAAGGCTTCGCTACCCTTTTCCAATATCAGTTGAGTGGAATTGTTCATCCCGACTGGAATATAAGAGATTTCTTCAACGTCAGAACACTTCAGAGCGCTTTCAGAAGTGATTCTGGAAACTCACCCAGAGCGATGACACCAACACCTTCGTTATTGACTCTTGGACAAATTTCTGGAGCTTTTGATTATGTTGTTTATGGAAAAGGCAAGTTTGGAGTTATCAAATCGAATTAATAATTTACTTAATTATTTTATTTAATTATTTCAGCTGGAACTGTTTTAAGAATGTTCCAAAATGCTGTTGGTGAAGCAATCTTCAAAGCAGCTTTGAAACTTTATCTTGAAACATAGTAAGAATTATTAATTAAAAAAAATTACAATCAATTGTTTAATTATTTATTTAAGTGATCACAAACCGGTAAACTCTCAAAATTTAATCGACTCGTTCCAAAATGTGATGAACATTCGTGATTTTGATGACTTTAACTTTGAAACTGTATTTAGAACATGGGAATTGAATGGCGGTTATCCAATGATTTCCGTCTCTTTCTCATCTTCGGGACAATTCGAAATCACTCAGCAACGTTACACGACTAACAAACAAGATAATCCAGAAAGAAGCAGTTGGTACATTCCATTAAACTTCGCCACAGCTTCCGATCTAGATTTTGATGACACATCTTTCACAAACTACTTCCCAAGCAATCAAGATGTCTTCATGATTGACGCCCCCGCACAGTTCGACGGTAGTCAGTGGTACGTGTTCAACAAACAACAACTTGGATATTATCGTGTCATGTATGACTTCAACAATTATCACGCGTTAATCGCAGCTTTGAATAGCGCCGATTTTGATAAAATTCATCGACTTAATCGCGCTCAGATTCTCGACGATGCCATCAACTTTGCTCAAGGTGGTTATTTGGACTACAGCGTTGTGTTTGGAATTATGGAATATTTGAGTCGTGAGACTGAATACGCTCCATGGTTTGATGCTGATCGATTCATCACAACACTCTACACAGTTTTTGGACCATTTAACGAAGATCTGAACGTGAGTTGTTGTTAAAGTTCATAATTTTGTAATACTTCAATTCTTTTGTTCTTGTCAGGCATTCATTCGTCAACTCACGTCAAAGTTCTACAACAGATTTGCTGTTCCAGATGACGGTATGATTCCTTACGAAGAATTATATGAACGATATAGTCGTGAATTGGCTTTGAAACTTGCTTGCAATGGTAGGAGTGCACACTGTTTAGAAGGCACTTTCAACGTCGTTAAACATTTAGCTGATCATGACATGAAACTTCCGAGTGGATTAGAAGTTGTCATCTTCTGTAATGGCCTTAGAGGAAGAAACAAACAAACTGAATGGTCAGAAATATGGAAGAAGATGCAAAGCACTTCAGACACAACATTCAAATCACGAGCAATAACTGCTTTGGGTTGCAGTGACGATCCGATTGTTCTTAAAGATTACTTGGAGTCAACTTTGGGAGCAGGAAACAGCGTCAATTACACTGCAGCTGAGAGAAGAAATGTCTTGAGTGCCGTTCTCAACAGCGACTCGGGTCTTCAAGCTGTCATTGATTTCTTGACAGAATTTGGAAGTAGCGTTGTTGGTAACTTCGGTTATGGCACATGGGAAGCAATGATTACCGTTCTAGCAAGAACAATAAAGGTGCAAAATCATCAAACAATTTTCAATAACTACTTGCAAACAGTCACACAACTTGACGATGCAGCCAGAGGTCGAATCAACACAATTGTTGCAACAAACTTTGAACTTCAACAGCAATCACCATACGCAGAGTTTGCAGCTCTTCTTTCCAAGAGAAGCGAGAATCAATTGAGATTACCAGAGACATCGGAACCAACTTACTATAAAATTCATCTTGACGTCAGGAACATTCATACAGGCGACCGGAACTTCAGAGGTGAAGTTGAAATCGACATTCGTGTTACACAAATAACTGATCGCGTCATGATTCACTCAAAAACACAAGTCATTGAAGAAGTTAAAGCTTACAACAAAAACGACATGAATGAACTTGAGATCATCGATTTTAATCTTTACCCAGCAACTGACACATTGACAGTTTACTTCATGAATGCTTTCGTACCAAATGATGAATTGATTTTAAGAATTAAATACACAACAGTGATGCCAACATCTGGCACGGGTTTTTATCAGACAAATTACAATTTCAATGGTGTGAGGTATGTTGGGTCAACACAATTCCAACCAACTGGAGCTCGCTACGCTTTTCCCAATTATGATGAGCCAGGATTTAAAACGCCATTTGAGTTGACGATAACTCACGACACAAGTGTTGGTGCAATCGCAAATACATTCGGAACTTCCGTTAATAAGTAAGTTCTAATTTGAGAAAATAAAAATCTGATTAAATTAAATCTTTTTTCTAGTGTCGATGGAACCATCACAACAACTTTCGAGCCAACACCAATCATGTCTTCATATCTTCTCGCATTTGTTGTCTCTGACTTTGAATACATTTCGAACGAAGCAATGAAACTGCCTGAAGAGACATTGCATCGAATTTGGGTTCGTCCTAATGCAATTACAAGAGCTTGGTATGCTTTAGAAGCTTCAATTGATGCATTGAAAGCTTTGGAAGAATATGTCGGATTTAAATATGAATTACCGAAAGTTGATTCAGCTGCAATTCCTAACAAAAATAGCGCAATGGAGAACTGGGGAATGGTGACATATTGGTGAGCTTTAAGATTTTAATTTTAATCAATTTATAAAATATTTTAATCTTCTCACAGGGAAACTGCAATGATCTATCAAGAAAAGTATGAAGACATCGCTCACAATTACAAACTTAGTGGTGTCAACGTCATTTCTCATGAACTTGCGCATCAATTCTTTGGTGATACTGTCACATGTCAATGGTGGGACCAGATTTGGTTAAATGAAGGCTTTGCAACTATGTTTGCATATCACATCTCTGGAGTTCTTCATCCTTATTGGAACATACGTCACTTCTTCAATATCAGAGAATTGCACAATGCGTTCAGATCTGATGCAAGAACTATCACAAGGCCCATGACAAACGACGTTGCGACTTTGTCACAAATTTCAAACTCATTTGATACAATTGCTTATGATAAATGTAAGAATTTGTTTTAATTTACTTAATTTATTCTGAAAATTTTTTGGTTTTCATAGCTGGAAGTATACTTCGAATGTTCCAAAATGCTGTTGGCGAAGAAATCTTCAAAGCGGCTTTGCAACTTTATCTGGAAACGAAGTGAGAATTAAATTTTTTTTTCTTGATAGTTTAAATTACAAATTATTTTTCAATCTAAAGTGATCACAAGCCAGTGACGTCTCAACATTTGGTCGACGCATTTGCCACAATTATGAGTCAACGCGCATTCACCGATTTCGATTTCGATAGTGTTATGAGATCTTGGGAACTTCAAGCTGGTTATCCGATGATTTCCGTCTCTTACTCATCTTCGAGACAGTTTGAAATCACTCAGAAAAGATTTTTCACTAACATCAATGATGCTGTATCAGACACCAGCAGTTGGCACATTCCATTGAACTTCGCCACAGCTTCGGACCCCAACTTTGATGACACAAAGTTCACAAGTTATTCTCCTGCTTCTCAAGATGTCTTCATGATTGACGCCCCCGCACAATTTGACGGCAGTCAGTGGTACGTGTTCAACAAACAACAACTTGGATATTATCGTGTCATGTACGACTTCAACAACTGGCACAATCTCATTGTCGCTTTAAATAGCGAAGACTTTGAGAAGATTCACGTTCTCAATCGAGTGCAGTTAATTGACGATGCCGTGAACTTTGCGCAAGGCGGTTATTTGGACTACAGCGTCTTGTATGGCTTATTGGGTTACTTGGAACGCGAGACTGAATACACTCCGTGGTATGCTGCAGAAAGATTCATCAACACACTTTACACAACTTTTGGTCCATTGAACGATGACTTAAATGTAAGAACAATTGAAATATTCTTTGAACTGAAATTTAACTTGAAATGTTCTTCTTCCAACAGATGTTTGTTCGATATCTCTCAGAGACACTTTACGAGAAGTTCAAACTTCCAGAAGACAGTCAAATACCGCAAGAAGAAGTTTATGAACGCTACAATCGCGAGATTGCTTTGAGAATCGCTTGTAATGCTGGAAATGAACTTTGTTTGAGAGACACATTTGTGTTGAATCATCTCTATGCTGATCATGATCGTCAGATTCCTAAGGGACTTGAGAATGTCATTTTCTGTAATGGCCTTAGAGGAACAGGAAAACAAGGAGAGTGGACTGGAATGTGGAACATCATGCAAAGCACTTCAGACACAACATTGAAGGCTCAACTTCTCTCTGCTTTAGGTTGCAGTGACGATCCGATCGTTCTTAAAGATTACTTGGAGTCAACTTTGGGATCTGGAAACAGCGTCAATTATACGTTGACGGAGAGAAGAAATGTCTTGAGTGCTGTTCTCAATAGTCATTCGGGTCTTGAAGCTGTCATCAACTTTATGGTCGACTTTGAACTTGAAATTATCAGAAACTTTGCTTATGGAACTTTAGAAACCATGATCAATGTTCCAGCAAGAATAGTCAAAACACAAGAACAGAGAACAATGTTCAACAACTTCCTTGCCACTTTGACTCATCTTGAGGGTGCTGCTTTAGATCGCGTCAATGCGATTATCACTAACAATTTCGTTGCACAACAACAGCCTCAAAATGTTGCAAACATGGAAACAATTCGTAAAATTGTTGTAGCTAATCAAGGGACAACAACTCCTATCACAGCATCGCCAACTTCCACCACTACATCTGCACCAGTTACTGATCCAGCAAGTACAGAAACAACACCATCAGGTACTTCACCAGTACCAGCAGAAACAACCACAGGCAGTGCGTCAGCAATAAACTTTAAATTATTCACGCTGTTTGCATGTCTTTTCATCACATTTACGCTGAAAATGTAAACATTTTTAAACAATTTGTGTCTTGCAAAAAACGATGAAATAAACTTATGTTAATCTTATATATTTGCATCATTTGTTTCCTCTCTTAGCATGAAGAAAATGTCGTGACATAAAAAAATACTCTGATGGCAGATATTCAATGATTTACAAAGAAAAAATTTACACAAAAATTAATAAAAAAAGGAGTAAAAATAATTCAGCTATGGGGAGATGTTACGAAGGCAGTTTAAGTAAATGTTATAACAACACTCTTCAAAGCAGTTTATTTAGATTGAAGTTGTTGAATTTCAAATCCATCATTAACTCCCGTTGAGAGTTTTAGCGAGCATTGAGAACGAATGATACTTAAAAATGTCTCCATGCACTTTAATGAATTTGAAATTCAACAACCTGAGTTGTATATTTAGATATTTATCAATCAGTGGTCATTGGATCAGACTTCATCTTAAAACATATTCAAGTGTTTGATTACATTAAAAAAACAATTAACGAGTATTTGCGGGACGGCAGTTTTCAATGACTAACATTGTCGTTACTTATAAATGAACCAATAAAAGTAAAAAAGTTCAATGGAGAGTATAATGAAAAGTTTGAAACTTTGATAATGTACAAATGGATCACAATAGTTAACTCTAAAAAAAGTTTTACTTAAACTTAAAGTCGTTGATTCGTTTGATTATTATTCCAAGAGACTTGATTTCTTGGCGTGAGTCGAATGGAGTTTCCATCTTCATCTTCGACGTGCTCGTAGCCTTGATTGATTTGACCCGATGCACCATAGATCGGATGACCACCATTCGTGTTGAAAATCTCTTTAATGTTAATTCCGGCGTTTGAGCTTCGCACCGGACGAGTTGGTATTGCGTGATTATTATTTAAGTGATTCTGAAATTATTCCATTGTTGAAAGAAATTTTAAAAGTCATAAAGTGATTAAACAACTCACATTTGTAGTTATTCCATATTCGTTGTTTGCTCCTAAAGTCTGCATTTGTGACTTTCTTCTTTCTGCCATCACTGAGTTTTTGCGAACTTCAAGTGCGCGAATTGTTTCAGCTCGCATTGTCATGCGTCTTGTCAGGATTGGTGTTCCAGCGTTGTTCTCATCATGAGCTGCTGTGAGTTTTAAGAAACGCTTTTTAAATGCCACGTCAAGTGTACCAATTTGACGACGTGGTTGACGCGCTTTTTCTAGATTTTGAATCGTTCGACGTCGAGCGACACGATCAGGGCCACTTCCAGAATCATTATCGTAATCTCCGTCGATACCCTGCAGTCGTTGGAGATTTTTCACAATTTCAACCGCATGCTGTAAAAGAATTTACAAATTAAAATTGTCGATTTAAATAATGTTTTTCTATCTCGTTTACCTTGTCAATCAATGCGTCTTGAGACAACTCTTCAGATTTCTTACTACATGTAAGATTAAGTTCAGTTGATGCCAAAATATGCGAAATAGTTCCAAAGCGATGGAACAACATGGCCGTGAACTGAATAATTAAAATCAAAGCGAAAAAGAACACAAACACCAAACCTATGGGTTCAAGTTGAAGATACTCTTTAGTGATGTGAACCTAAATCCAACGTTGAATAAATAAAATTAAAATCTCAGAATGATTTCCTTAACGAATAATAAATTAAGCAAATGAAAGATGACACAAACATGCACATAAATATGCAATTAAATACCCAATAATGTGATTAGTTATTTAATTTTAAAAATGCCAAAATCATAACTATTTACAATGTTTCTTTAATATCGATGATGCAGATTTGCTCGATAAGACAGAAACATTAATTGAATAATTTTGAAAATATTTTCTTTCATAAATGTGATGTTTGTGTGCTGTGAAATTGCAGATGAATGTTGATGAAATAGAAACATAAATTAATGTTGTGTATGCGTGGGTGTGTATATGTTTGAATATGTTTAATTGTCGCAATGAAATGAAATTGAATGTCAGGATTTTTTTTTCTGATTAATAACAAAATCTCACTTCGTAATTTCAAGACATTTCTTTTCTCATCTTAGGAAATTAAAAGAAATTTTCTTGAATCACGAATGGAAAGGGAAACATTTATTTATTGTCAGGATATGATTCTTAGTAAATCGAGGTTTTTGGGATATAATTAACACAGGATAAAGTCAGTGTGATATTTAATTGGATTATTCCAGTTAAAGGCATGTGACTTGGTAATCAAAATTTCAACTTGATTCAAGTCACATTTCCTTTACCATTTGTGCTTTAAAGTATCACCAAGGAAGTTCTTAATCATAAGTTAACAAGTAAAAACAGAAAATTAATTCTTTTGGTAAATATTTAGTTACCAAAACCCCAACATAGAGGGAGAAGAAATCTTTTAGAATTCTATATTTTGTCTTTACAATAAGTAGAAGGATTGTGAGGAAGGAAGGCAATTTTTGGAACAGCCAACACAGAAGAAGTTTGCTAATTTATTAAAAATATTAAATGTGAAAAGAATTTCGATTTTTAGAAATCACAAAAACATTATAATCTTGTTTAAAGTTTGAATTGATTGATTCAAACCTCAGATGTTTCCTCAACGTAGGTCACGTTGATGCGCGGGGCCAATGGCCATAAAATATGAAGTTTGTCTTTATTAAGCTGCAGCAAAAACACAATCAACACGAAGAGTGCGTTGAACATGAAGAAGGCGAACACTGACTTGTTTCTAAGCTCTATTAAGTCGCTTGCTATGCGATCCTGTTTTACAGTTTTTTTGGTTTTGTTTTGACAATTTTTTTTTAATGTTCGATAATAAATTTTGATGAGAAATATTTTTGCACAAATATTTCATAAACATGTCCAAAGCAAAAGCAGATATTTTTTGACATATTTTGTGTGTAGGTGTTTTTTTTTTTGATTAATGAAAAGCAAAAGAGAAATAAAACAAGAAATTAATAAATGATCTTGAATGGGACATCGATAGTTACATCGCAGCATATCATCGTAGCAAAGTATTTACATAGCAGTCCTGAAATTTTTATCAATTTTTACATAAATGTAAAATGGAAGATTAAATGAGGGCTGACGAATGCAAGGTCTCGATGTCCCTAATAATTTTACCTCTTGGGTGACCTCGTCATATGTCACATTAATTCGTGCAGAGATTGGCCATTTAACATGTAAATTGTCCTTATTTAATTGCAATAAGAAAACAATAAGAACAAAGAGAGCGTTTATCATGAAGAAACCAAACACTGACGAGTTTCTTAAGTCTTTTAAATCGCTTGCAATACGTGCCTGAGATGTTTCGAAATTTAAATTAATTTATCACTTCAACTTTTCAACAATGAATTTACCTGTTCAGCTTTATCCTGATCGATGGGGAACAAATATTTGTCAATCATGTCCTTCCAAAATTGGACCTCAGCACTTGATAAGAAATCAACTTCGCCTTTCTTCAAATCTGCATCTTCAATCCAATAAGGATTTGTCAGGAAATCTCGTTCATCTCGTGGCACCGTTGACGATTCAGATTCAGATTCCTCGCTGAAAAAGAAAACATTGAATAAATTTAAATATTATGAAAGCTTTTCGACATTAACAAAGCACATTATGAAATGAATATTTAAAATTGATTTTAATTGATTTTCCATTTAAAGTGAATCAACTATTTGTGTGTTAAAATTTTTTAAAGCTTGAAGTAACTAAGAGTCACATAATAAAATAATTTAATTTACAGTTGCACAATGAAATCGTTAAAAAATAATATTCAATGATATTTCATCACATTTAAACATTTTTTCTTTTTTCATAATCAATTAAAAGACTTTCAATGTTAAAACTTTAATTTAAAGTCATCTCACCTATCGCCTTCAGATCCAGCTTCAGCTACTGATCCCAAATGATGATCTTTTGAACCTGTCGATGCTGTTCGTCTTCTACCATGATGAGCATGAATATGAGCGTGTGGATCGACATGACGTTCCAGTGTCTCCAACTTCTTTTTCAAACTATCCAATGAATCAGCAATGTGAACAAGTTGAGCTTTCTCATCACTTGTCTTCCCATGAGTGCACAAAAGACATCGAAACAGACCAGCAACTGAAATGTCAATCGAACCTTCTTCATCATTGCTCGAGCCGACATTTCCTTGCAAAAATCCTAATAAAGATCTCTGTTTCGCATTCTTAGCAGCAGCTTCTGCTTCTTTCTTTTCAGCGTCCATTTCCTTCTTTGTCTTCTTTGCAACAACTTCACGTGTTCCCCATGAAACAACATTCAAGTTGATGATTGAATATAAAATCAACAACAAGTACATAGATGGGATTGAGAGAAGATAAATGATTCCAGCAGCGATACACCAAAACTCTTGAGGATGTAGACACGCTGCTATAAAGAACGACCCCACCATAGATATCAAGAAAATAGCTGAAGGTGATCCAATACCATCCTCGCCTAACTGTAAAGCCGTACCGACAATCACCGCCATCATAATCAACGCGTACATCGTCGAAAGTATTTGCGCGAGTAACAATTGAATGTTTGATTTACAAGTGAAACAAACAAACATGAAAAGTAAAATCGGAATGATATTGTAATAAAATGAAGTCCAATTGTCAATTCTAAAAGCAGCGACAAAAGCCCCCACCAACATCAGAAAAATCGTTCCAGGTCCAAGAATTGTGCCACCCATCAAAAGCATTTGATAGAAAATGTAAAGAAGTGAAATGTTGTCGTTGACTTTGATCGTTCGTTTGTAATCGCCGAGAAGATCCATAATGTTAGCGATAGTTGACGGTACCCAACGACGTCGTTGATTGTAAAATTCATTGAAACCTTCAGGACAATGAGTGTAAGCATCAGACGCCGCTGAATATTCAACACGATAGCCACGTTGTAAAAGAAGTGTGCATAACCAACGATCTTCACCCTGATCGTATTGCACGTAATGTCTCGCTTCATCTGATCGTGTCGTGTATTTACGCATGACATTGTCATCCATCAAGCCTTTACCACGGAAGAGTGAGAAACAACCAGGAGAACAAAGAACGCATCCAATCATATGTTCAGTCGCTTTTTGAAGCCAATGACCAATCGCATATTCAAACTTCTGATACCACACCATTGGTCCCGACCCAACTGGATGAATTCGACCACAAGCTGCACCAAGATTCTTATTTTTCTTCATTAAATCGACGAGAAGTGTCACAGCATTCGGTTGGAAATCAATGTCACCGTCAAGTGTCAACAAATAAGTGTTTTCAGCAATGACATCTTTACGATCGACTGATATTGGAAGTTCCATCAAACGATGACCAAGCAAGTAGTACATGTACATAACTTGCGACCATCTCTTTCTGTGACGAATTCGATCTTTATCTTTTAAATGTGCAATCATTTTTGTCTTTCCTGGAAGTGTCCAAACAAGACGACCACCATATGGTGCCGGATATTTCTTTGGCGCTCTTAATCGAATGTTTGTTTGATGAACATCAGATGCTGCTTCATCGATTGTGCTGACAAGAAGTTTGACGAAACGATTAACTTGAATATCGTCGTCACTGTGATCGGAGATTTCAAAAGCGTCATCAAAGAAAATGTGAGCTGGTTAAGGGAGGGAAAAATTTAGAAAATTGTAAACTTTAAGAAGAAGTTAAACTTACTTTCAAACTCATAATAATCAGGATCGACAATTCTTAAATATTTCTGTGCAACTCTTCTTGCACATTGATCTTCATCTAATCGCATGATAGATTTCAAGAACTCAATCATCTCGTCCTTCGTTTCATGCCACATTGTTGCACATGCATAAATTCTTGTGATATGATCAGATGATTTTATGTTTGACTTCGGCAATGCTGATCCGTCAGTGTGAACAGAAATTGTCTCATAATATTCATCGCCTTTTTCTTTTTCGATTTCAGCAAGATCTTCTGTTTTTACATCAGCTTGATCGTCACGACGTCGATTCAAAGCCATTGACTGATCGATAAGCAAAGCGTTGTACATTGGAGTCACGAAAAGTTTTTCGGTTGTTGCAAGACGTTCACATTTTGGTGTCCAAATATGAAGTGAAATCCAAGCTTGAGAGAAAAGCCACAGCAACCACGCCCACGCCATTTGTTTTGATGCCAAATCGCTTATATTGAAGATTGTTGGACTCTCGAAAAACAAATAATCTGGAATAGATCCATGATAGAAGCAAGGATCACCATTTCTGATTCCGCAAGCTGCAATCAACAATGAAATCGAGATTGGAATTGTAAGATTGACTGGAAAAGCGTAACTAAAGCCTTGAATGAGGATCTTGCACGCGAACTTTCCAAAAATGTAACAAATATAAGCAGCTATGATCTGAATAATCAAAACGTGAATAACAGTATTGTGTGACGCATCAATTTGCACAAAATCTCCGATTTGTGAAGCGTCAATTAAATCAGGCAGTGACTTTTCAAAACCAGCAGAAACTTCTTCAACGATAATCTTGTGTGGACCGAAGCCTTTACTAAACAAGGTGAAGATACTTGTTGGATCATCGCCATCAAACCAAGTGATTAAAATAACAGTAAATACGAAGATTAAGATCTGAAATATTTAGATTTGAATAGATTTCTTTGTTGCTACCTTCAGAAAAACTTTTTCTTACCTTCCAGATTGACAAGAACATGTAAGCGAAGTAACGTGTGTATTTGAGATCTTCTTTCACACGACCCAAGGCTCGCACCATAGAGAAAGGTGACTGAGATGACACATAATTCTCCCACCATCCACAAGAAACCATAATTGCTGACACTGGGATCAGCCATAATACTGGACGATCTTCAAGCAATGGCCAAACGACGAAACCTGTCACTTGAGCTGCTGTTGCTGCTAAGTCAACAAGAACTTTGGCAGCTCGTTTTCCTTCTTTTGATGTTCTTGATAAAAGTCCCAATAAACCAGGAACTAAGCATAGACAATTGGTTAACATTGCACCTTTCACTGAATCGATTTCTGGAAGAACAACGAATGTCAGCAGTACAAGGCCAATGACATGAAAACTCTCCATTAAAAATACAAAAAAGAAGTGTGACTTTTGTGGCAGCTTCCATGACTTAAAGAAACAAATTCTTGCTGATCTTATAAGTGCTCCAATTTCAGGCACAGCAAACGCAATAATCAACGCCCACATCCAAGCTACACGCTCTTCTTCTGGTATGATTGCAATGAACTGTTTATCTCTTGCTAAATCTTTATTGCAATATTGAACTTTTCTGTCGTGTTTTAATTGCGCTGACATAAACAGCACACAGCCTGCATTAAAATAAAAACAGATGTGATTAGTAGATTTAGATAAAACGTGTTTAGTTAATTTTACCTTTTGCAACGACGCCCCCGCACAGAACCAAGACGAACGTTAAAATATAAGCGATTATTTTGAGTATTTTTGCCGTTATTTCCATACATGCTTGATTGGCCATTGAACCAGAATCGATCTTGATCGGAGGATCCCTGAAAACGTCCCATCCTTTTGTCTCATGAACGGTTCGTTGACTGAGTTTTGTTTGTTGTTGTTGATTGAATAGGAAGTTAGATTGAAAGGGAATGAAAAACATTAAAATTCAATGAATGGAAACTTGCGTAATAAAAATAAAGTGAAATTGAAATTGCAGATAACTTAGTGGATATTTATGTCGACCTGTTTTCAATCACATATGGACTATAGTCATCTTCATCGCATTTCTCATAGTAGTGACTGGAGAAACTTGGATAAAGAAGTGTCGACATTTTAATCAATCAACTTTCCACTTTTTTCTATTTCCTTATGATTTATCCATCACGCGGAAAAACAATCGAAGCAAAAAGCATTTAAAATAATTAACGTTTGATCTGAACAAATGATGAAAGCTTACTGGTCAATATTAAAACGTAAAGTAAGGTACAACGCGGTGGGACTAAAAAGAAATTGTTGAAAGTTTGATGAATATCAAAATAATATTCACACATCATAATTGACAGGCGCGTACTTATATTGCTCATAGTCATACAACCATATCTAACGTAAATACAATGTTCAACTCTGAGTTTGAAAAACAAATAGATATATAAATTGGTTACACTTAGCATTTCCAATTATCGTTATTGAAAATTTATGATTGAAATAGGGCGAGAGACGCTGTTGATGATTGAAAGCTTAGCGTAAAGAAATTTTTATTATTCATTACCCTAGACAATATATTGATATTGCATCACTCAATCAAATCGATCACGAAACGTTTTTATTATTTAAAAATATAAAGCACAGCGCAAATTTATTTTTGCTATTCGAAGGTGTTCGATTTTGTGGCTTAAGTTGTTCGGTAAAAATATTGAATTGAAAAATGGAAGTAAACTGGGTCAAACGAAATCGAGAGTTTATCATGATTTCGTGGAACAGATGTGAGACAAAAAAATTATATTTCTTTCCTTATGCTTTGAAATTTATTAAGTCCAAAATGTAGGCCAGATTGTGCAACATGGGAATGACTATATTTACTTCCTGAGCCAATTATTATTCATGCAAGCTGCTAAAATTACATCGTGGAAACCCGTAATTATTTATCCACAGAATGAACACGAATTAACAACACAATTCTTTGCATAACAACTTCAACAGCTCGATTTAAAAAAAGTTATTTTTTATCAAGTTTCATTCTCGTTCACTGAGCTCATTGTAGAAGGTTTTCAACTCTCGCTTTCTTGTTCTTCTTTTTAAAACTTTAATTTAAAATCTTTAAGATGTTTTTACTTTTATGACATTGAATGGAGATAAAGAAGCTTCAAAGAAAACTTTAATGATCTTCATTTATATCAACCTCAACAGGTTACGGCATTAAATTTTTATGACAGTGACATGATAACTCGACGTCCCCCTATCGCATCGTATTTATCTCTCGACTGTTCCTTCACGACTCGGTGTCACCAGAGAGAAGTGAAAGTGAAAAATTGTTTTTGCTTTTTTTATGTAATAAAAACTTTGAGATTTTTTTCGTCTTTTTTGTGCATTTAGCCGCTATTCAGTCAGGGTGTGTGAGTGTGAAGGTAAGACATTGTCTCGACAAATAATTTTTTTTCTCGCTTATTTGTTTCTTTTGCCAGCTTTTTTTTTGATACAATAAGCAGACAAGTTATTCAAGTACATTAAGAATGTTTTGAATTTGTTGTTGATGTTTGTTGTCTATGCAAAACTAGCAAAACTAAATCTTGTTAAGCTTTCGTGAGATCCGGAATTTTTAATAATGAGATTTGTTTTCTATTTTAAAGTTTTGTTTTTCTCACACTGATCTTTGCGAGCCTCTTCATTTATGATAAAGATTAAAATGGATCATAGTATGCCATAAAAGAGCTTTGCGAATATAAACAGCGGTTGCTAGTCGCTCTATGATTAGATAATAAAACAACAAAACAAAAAACGGTTCACGGCTATGTTTGGTAAAAACTGGTCTTTTATGACACACCAACGGATTTTATAAGTAGCAAATGATTTTCACTTTATCCAAAACTTTTTTCTCTAAAAATATTTTATAACATTGAACATCTGATAATTACCTGCCACCATAAATATCATGGGTGAGTGGTGTGCTTTCGTCGTCTGAATAATTTTCGTCGCTATCACCGCCAGGACCGGAGCCTAACGGCCGATGTCTGATTGCAGACATCGTCTTTGTTTTACTGTCACTTACTTAGTCGCTCACTGAAAAAAAAAATCACATTTTAAATTAAAATGAAGTTAAAACAGATCACAAGCGTTCGTTCACAATGCATAAGTATTGAAATATTTAATATTTTAATTGCAGTTGATGCTGTGCATATTAAAAAATAGGCTTTGTAATTAAATCGAGATTATAATTAAACCATCTATTCAATACCGTAACAGAAATCGACTATATAAGACAAAGTGATTGTGACAAGTAAACTGCAAGTATAAAGAAAAAAATTATTTCGTGCCTTAAACTTTTCAACAAGACCAGAATTACAACTTTTATGCAGGAACTTGCTTAAGAAACTATTTTTGCTTGCAAGGTCGAATCGAATCGAGTGAAACATGTAAAAAATTGTATCGAATGAAGTAAAGTAAGAGAAACTTGGATAAAACATGTTTAAGCGCATGATAAAGAATGAATTAGCATATTTTTTGAATGATTAATTGCCTTCTTGTTATTTAATTATGACCACCTCATTTTGCCTATTTATCATGATGATTTGGAGCTTAGATGTAGATATTTAAATTGGCTAATAAATGATATTTGATAGTCTTCTCTTTATTTTATACACATGAAGACCTCAAGTTTAATTTGATATCAAGTGCAGCTTAAAATGTTAGCTTTATCTTCAAGTTAACAAGATATCTAATAAAGATTTTTTTTATATAGTTTAAGGAGTGTTATTGCACTTAACGAACTTAAATTCTTCTTACATGCTTACGGGTTATTAAATAATAATTTTAAGGTGGAGAAAATTGAATATTTTTAAGAATATTTCTATTGATGACTAAAAACTGCCTTGGGTAAGTGTCATTGATTCATTTGTTGACATTCTTCAAGTTCCTTTAACCTTTTCAAAGCTTTATTTGTTACAAATGACTCTTAAGTCTCTACAAATAGTGAGAAAATCTTTTACTGTCTTTCAAACCCAAGTTCTTCCGGATACACGCTTCTATACCCAAGCATATTTGTAAAAGATACTTGCAACTGATATTTTTTCTGTTTAAGTACTTGAAGCAGATATTAAATGGCAATTTTATGCCGTTTAACAATAGAGAACAATGGAAACATTTAAGTACAAAAATGGTCCAATTCAATCAGTAAAAATGTAGTAAAAATGTTTCTTTGCTTTTAATTTTTCAAAGAGAAACTTTGCACTGTCACTCACTTCTGTCCATATGAAAATCGGCTTATGGTAATTTGTTAATAAATATGTAGTTAAGGATTTACAAAACAATTTTAAAGTAATTAAGCTTGTCTTCCTGCTCCAATTTATAACAATAATCTATAACAATTTTTTATGTCTTGAGTGTGTGGCTTTAAGCTTTCAACTATTTCATGAACCAGTTGAACTTTTTTTTTATGTTGCCAAGTAAATTCAAACGATACACGACGAAATTTCATTCATTTCCAATGTATTTACATTAATTTACGCAATTGCATTATTGAAACTGAAAGCATTAAGGATTGGTTCACCATTCGAATGAACAATATTGGAATTCTCCATTTAAAATCAGATAGAAAAGCAGCAAGAAATAAAAAGCAACAACATAAATTGAACACGGAGCGGTAAACAACATTTCGCGATATCGTTTTCCTTCGGAAATATTTCATGTCGAACAGTTTAAATTCTTTTTCTCTGATCCACACCAATGATTAATACTTTTTTTTAAACACAAATCAACTTCATCGTCAATGACTAATAGCGTAAAGTTATTATGAGATGTTCAACCAAGAATATCCTGACCTTTCTGTGTGGCAAATCGGATGATGACTTGAATCTAATTTGAATGATTTCTGGTTAATTGATGATCGAATTCAGTTGAAATGTTGCTGAAACCTTTGACTCACACTTCATATAACTTAGCAAAGGCAAAAGCAATATTGTACATAAGGTTTAACCCATTTTTCACATCATCATTTCATCACAGACAAGCAGCCACATGACGACATAAAGCACTCAAAACTAATTTGATTAACGACAAGATTTGCTTCCATTGTTTAACTCTCATCTGATGACCTTTTTCGCTTCTAACTTAAAAAATAAGTTCTCACAGTAATCAAAGCGCTTTGCATAAAGATCTCAACGAACGAGACGCTTCAAATTGTACACAACAGTGCGTCTTGGAAATTAATTCATGGCTGTGTTAAAGACACATAACGGCCTTGAAGTGACGTTCAGATCCCTTCGTTATATTGAAATTATATCGCATTCTAAAGGAAAAGGTTTCATTAATTTTACACTGCTGCAGTGTTGATGAACTCAGTGCTTGATTCGATTTAATTAACCTTGGCATTTAATTAAATTCGCTCTTTCCTTCACAACAAACAAAAAGAAGGATAAATTAAAAACAAGCATGAACATCGAAACATCAATTACTGCATGCGTATCAACAAGAAATTATTTAAGTGTCAATCTTTGTTTTTTTTTGCGCACAAAAAAACCACGAATCATAAAAAAAAGAAGAAAAACTTCTTGTGATTCACACTTTACAGCGATCAATTTAATGTCATTGGATATTTAACTTAAAAAAAAAATAGACACTCGACGACGTATGCATGATTAAGTCATCCTCAAATAGCTTCATATTTGCGCAAGCATGTAAAGCGTTCCGCTAATGGACTCCCTTTCTTCTTCTTCTTACAAGAAGAGACAAAAGAAAAATTATTTTAAATAATAAAAGCTCAAACTGTTCATAATTGTTGCCACATTAATTTCAAATGCAACGACATAAATCGACTGACGGTACTTAAAGGTCATGAAACTAATTGCGAATTTTTATTGATCGTTTGCCTTTTCGAGTGAATCATAAAAAAATTTTCGTGAGTGATTTGTGTGCAATGTTCAACGGTTTGAAGCCATTTGGTGTCGAAATTTCTTATTTCACATGCTTAAAGGTTGATAATCCCTGAAACTTTGAAAACTATTTGTCCAAGAAATTTCGAATCTCCTTGTGTAAACAGATAGCTGCGTGTTAACCAATTTGACCATACATTAATAAGACTTTTTCAACTCAAAAAACGTAGATTAATTCAAGTACGTTGATCTTTCAAAGGCTCAGCTCAACACTGCATGATCTTTATGTGATTTTTTTCTTGTCATGTTTCTTTTCTTCTTTTTTTATATTTTCATGTTTCTTTGTTTTCCAAGGTGATCGTCATCCGCGACATCGTCTTTTGCCTCATTCGATCGATTCTTTTCCACTGATTCGATATTCTGATGCATTGAAAGGAGGTTTAATCTTCGAATGAATCATGGAAAGGAAGTATAAGCAAAAAAAATTCTTGCAAGTTGTCAGCGCTAATTGACAGCAAGACATTGAGTAAGGATTGTAGCTGTTCCGGCTGTTTTTATTTTACTCTTCACGCTTCCCAATAAAGAACCAGAAGATGCGCATAAATTCATATTCCAGCATCTCCAGCATTCACCAAAATATTTTGACCTTTAATTCTTTTTTCTTCTCGGCAAACAAATATTTATAAGCGTTTAAATTTTTATATCGCTAGAGTCGCCAGGCAAGAAAGAATTAATGGTCAGAGGTAAATAAGTTGTTCAACCGGATTATTTTTACTTTATAACTTTCGACAAGATTTTTGCATTAAATGGGCAACTGTTGCGAGAGCAAAAACTCAAAAGCACGATTCTATTGAAGTACATGAATTGATTGTGAAGAAATCAAACACGACCACTGGCGACTGTTGGTAGTTGAAAGAAAGTTTCAGGCGAGAGCGAATGGTTTACCTAACCACAAACATTACCGTTTCAATTTATAAATGGCAATTTAAAATCGACTACAAAAATTGACAATTAAAGTCTTGGAATTGAAAATAATTGCGAGTTCAAAAGCGATCTTGAAATAAAGAAAAAAAAACTTTCATTTTATTCTACATTCCTTTAGTTTTGTGCAATGCCTTTTAACAATATTTTATTTCAACAGTTTGTTTATTTAACTTCCTATATATGCACAACATAGACATGCTTGATTGATTTGAATGTGATACAATTTCTGGTTTCGCGGGCGAAGTCTACAAATTCAAAAGATTTCGACGAATGCATAAACGCGAAACCCAAATTCGTTTTAAATTTATTTTGACGCTTCTGTTAGGTAAAAAATTGTTTGAAGATCCGTAATTTTATTAATCATGAATTCAGCCGTTTGCTCTAATATTGAAGGTGGTCCATATATTTCATTCACATCTACTGATTATTTTTAAGACAAACACTTCTCTTAAAACAAAATGTTTTCTTTCATTCATTCACAGCTGTGGTATAATTTGTTGTTGTTTCATTTTCGTTTTGCTGATTTTTTTTATTCTTTTTCTGCCAAGGCCTCTCAAATGAAACGGAAAAAAAACTTCAAGTCGATTGTTTAGCACGACTGAGAGAAGCCCACACTTTTGAGCTGCGTGTATATTTTAATGCTTCGACGGTAAATCGGTCACAAAAAAAGAGCTTATGTTAGTTTTGTACATTTTACTAATTGACAAAAGCATCAGTCGATCCAGTACAAAATGATGAATGAACATATAATCTTGATTATTAAATACGTGTAGACACTCATTTCGAACTGTTAATTTTCATAACGTTTTTCAATTACAGTGTGTGTGCTCTTGCTCTCATCTACAAGTCATTTACCGTTTAGTTTTTGGACATGACATGTACACAGGTATTTAGCGATTAAGTTGATTATTCCTAACGCGTTTCAGTTTCATTTCGAAGAAAGAAAAGAAATAATAAATAAACATAGTAAAATGAAAAAATAAAAATTTCTCTCTCAAAGATCAATTTGCGGTTTTTGTGGGAAAGCAAACATCATTATGAGATGCTGATGAGGGATATTAAAAAAGATTGTGGAATCCACAGGCCAAAGCCGCAATCGAGAGTAAAAAATCCGGTTTACGAGTATCGGAACAGTGGGGCTCGAATGTGTGTTTTTAGGTAAATGACTAAAGCACATGATTGTGTTCATGTTAACTCTATGTTGATGTTGATGAGAAATTTTATTGCTTTTGTTTCATATGTTTCTCTATTTATAAATCTCATTCAAATCGCACCATCTAAACATGAAACAGATTAAATTCCAAACATTTTTCCAGTGAACGATGAAAAATTATTACGAATATCAAAGTTGTTGATTACGAATTTGGAAGTGGAAATCGACATTATCTCATTCCCATATTTTTTTCTATTTTGTTTCATCAGGTTTTGTTTCAGATCAGTTGATAGTTTTTTTCGGTCACTTCTGACATTTGAGCTGACTGAATATTAACAACCTGAAGATTAAAATATTTTTGGTGCGACTCTTTCATTATAGATGAGATATTCAGCACTGAGACAGTTTGATGAAATATTTTATAATGTTTTACATAATTTTTTTGTTGTGACGTTGTCGATGAAGGTCGTATAACGTGAGAAAGATGTATGCCTTCGCAGAAGTCAGAATCGGGTGCTATTCAAGTGAAGTGGAATGTTAAGTTACCTGATATTCACAAAATGAATAGCAGAATCAAAACACATCAACATACAAAGTTGAATATAATGACAAATGAGTAGTTCTTCTCAAGAATGCTTTGTTATTTTTTGTGATTCGCGAGAAGTCACAAGTAAATATGAAAATTTGAATTGGATTGAAATTTATGACTGATTTAATAAAAAAAAAAGAATTTAACAATAAACATTAATTAACACTCAAATAGCAATATTATACATAATAAAATGAAAAGTAATTAAGCGAAAAGTTTTCATATAAACAACTGTAAAGTCATGAATCAAAGAATTAATAACCATTCATGATGAATGATTCTTTACACATCCTATGTTGATAATCATTTCATTGATAATCATCAAAATGAAAAGGCAGGAAAAAATATTTTTTAATCTAAGATATTTTTAGCTTTTGTTGAAAACAACGTCATCATCTAATTTTGTAAGCTCGTTAATTGTTTCATTTAGTTCTTGCGAAAACGATTGAAAAATTATTTTACGCTACACCTACAAGGTTTCTCAGACAATTCATTGATTCATTGCCATTAATTGATCATCGCTAAAATACTACATAACATCGAACATTGTGTATTTGGAAATAAAGACAAAAATAAAACAAAAACACATGTAAAGTGTTGTTTTTATTTTGGTATGTCACTTGCATTTCCTGTTAATCGAAGACGTTTATTAGCCAGCGAATGTCTAATGTGACGATTTACTGTTTCCGTTGTTGTAATATTTTTCTATTTATTTTTTCAAATCTAAACATCTTTAACAAAACTTTCGCATTGTCTTCAACTATAAAATACAAATCTAGCTCATGTGAAATGAAAAGTAACAATTTATCTTGTTGTTGATCATGAAGATTACTATGGTGGAAAAAGTTGTTGAAAATCAACTTTACTTTTTCTTGTTACTTTCCTTCACATCATGAGGAAAAGAAAAGTTTCTCTTTGAGTGCGCAAAAGATTGAACAAAGTTGAAAAAATCCATAAATGTGGAGCAAATTAACTATCAATAAATAAATTGCATAAAAAATTAAGCTTTCGGTCATCAAAAGAAACGAACATAATTTTTTTTTGCTCCATGAAAATACGATTGGGCGTTTAAATCAATTTTGCATCGCTCTGTTCAACATTGCAGAATATTTATTAAGAAAATTAAAGCTTAGACAGTTAATAGTATCGATTCATGATCACGAGCTTCATGGACTTTGCAACTGGAAACTTTCGGCATTGTATATGTATCTCGCATATTGCCCAACCCTTCAAAAGAAGACGAAATAAAAAATTAAAATCTTTATAAATTATTGTGATGGGCGCATAACTCAAAGTGCATAATAAGAGTCTATTGAAACGTCCAATTCAATTGTATTAATTATAGGTCTCTTCTTATAGACCTTCACGTTCCACTTGAAATTCTTCGCATTTTTTAATTCGAATTTCTCTTCTCCTTGATGCACGGTCAGAACGTTTCACACTTATTACTGTTATTTACTTTCTTCTCAATCTAACCGATGTTGCGTTCAATACAAAGAGTTTTACTTTTCAAGCAAGCAAATGAAAACAAGAAAATAAATCTCGAAAATCACTCAACGATATCTAAATTCACTTTCAAATATGAGAAAATGAAATGTTATGAAAAACTTTAACGTCAATTGTTTTCAACCCGCAGACATAATTCCCGAATAATGATTTATGGTTTGTTGCCTCTTAATATGAGCGCGAGGCACATGAAATAAAGAAGATGAAAGAAAAATGTTTTAAATATAACGAAATATGTTGCATGGTGAACAATGGGAGATCCGCTTAATGTCGCGGAAGATTTGCAACTTACATTTTATGATCTTTTTCTTCTCTAACTCTCTCGCTCACGAATTTAATATATTTTGTCGCTTGTTTGTAATGATTCGAATAAAAACCTTTCACAAATAAAACAAGCGAAGACTTATTACTGCTTTTATTGCTTAGCAGCAATACATTGGCATGAGCCAAACGAAATATATCCAACGCTCACAACAACATTTTCACTACTTCCATTGAATTTCTTTTTCAACTTTTTTTTTCTCTTACCAAATCGTAAGAAATTTTTCTTTAACTTTCACAGTGATTTTTTTCTTCTTTTATTTATCAATTATTATGCTGCAATTTTTTGATAATAAAAAACTATAATAATCCAAAACTTGATTAAATATATTCCAAATTTAAACAAGTAACGACTGCACAAACTTAAATGTCACCTTTCTACCTAATATTTAAATTAGGTTACAAGGCTCTCAAAACTAAGAAGTTCAGAGGCGCGACTTAAAATTTTTCACGACTTAACGCGAGGTCTCTTTGTGAACGACTAAAATCTTCTCGCAATGCAAGCTGAAGAAAAGTGTTGAATTTTTTGGTGTGGTAGTAAAAGAGAATTATTGGTGAACAATAAGATTGTGTGTGCGATTTGTTTTGATCAAAATATTGAATTCGAGAGAAAACATTTTTGGAATTCTTAAGTTAAATCGAATTTATGATATTGCATAACAGTTAAAAACTAAGGATTCATAATATAATGTTTAATTTTTCTTTGAAAATCTTTAAATTAAACTATCATTTATTAAAATATTCGAAAGTTGAAACATTTCTTCTGATAATGTTATAAAAATGAATGTCGGAATTATAACGGTTAAGTTTCAAATTTTCCCGCTCGACGCTCAGCCTCAACGCTCAGCAAACGTTCAGAAAAAAAAGAAAGATGGAATAAACAAAGTCGCGCTTTTAGTTAATTTCAGCTTCATTTTGATCTTGCTATATTTTATTTCTCTTTAATCGTATTATTAGTTTATTGATTAATGTGAAATCCGTAAAGTTTGTGAATATTCGTTATGTATTACGCGGAAAAAAGAATAAAACTTTCGGAGAAGCAAACAAACAATTTTTCCGAAGATATTTCCGCCACAGCTACCTCAATTGATCATGGAATAGGAAGTGATTATAGTACTTCAGTAGATCTTACAAATAACACATCAGAATTTTCACTTCCACCAGTGAAAAGAAAGAAGTCTTTTGATGCTAACAACCATGCTAGTCTCAATAAGGTGAAGAATTTTTCTGAGCTAAAAGATTTACAACAAACATCATTAGGCTACTCATCTTGGCTACATTCTTCTACTTCCTCTTCACCACGGAAATCGGGTAGCCGTACACCTAAGAAGAGAAAACTTGAGGAAAGTGATGAAAATGCATTTGATAGTTCGTACCAATTCGCTTCACCATTGAAGAAAATTGCCAAAAAAGAAAGCTCAAAACTAATACTCAAAGAAAAGAGTTCAAGTGAGAATGTTATTTTATCATCAACACCAATTCGAGCAAATAACAAAACTGAGCGTTGGAGCAAATTTCGCAGTTTTCATCCTGAAAAGTTTAAAGTCGAACGAGGCTTGACACTCACCAATATTCCAAACTTGCCAAACTCGATTGAGGAATCTTTTGATTGTGCAAATAGTCTTGACTTTACAAACAGCTTTAATCTAACCAGTACAGACACTCATGATAATGTCCCAAGCAATATCGAACAATTATGGAAGAATCCATTGAACAAAGACGCAACTGAAAAGGATTTTGTCCACTCCGAACTTGTTTCTGGACATTTTGAATCTCTGGAAGAAGAATGTGATGATTCTAAATTGAATTTCGAGTCAGTAACCACTCCAGAAAAATCGAATAATGAAGAAAAATCTTTTCGAAAGACTTCACCACCAACTAAGCGTACAAAATATTTTTGCGGCAGATCTGCTTTCAATATTCTTGGAATGCTCCATGATGAGAAGAATTTGGCACTTCCAAAGATCTTGAATTGTTTGAATGACACAGATTTGCTTAGTCTCTCTCATGTATCACAAAACTTTCGCATGATGATCACAACAAACAAAGTTCTCGAAGAAAGACGACAAAACTACCTCAAATTATATCAAAAAGACCGCGAAAATAAATATCCAACGGTTGATGTTAAAACAACCAAACCACGGACAACGAAAGATAAAAAGAAAGTTCTTGCTGAATGTAATGTCAACCATTCAATGCAATTACGTTCAAAAGTTGTTTCCCCACCAGTTAGTCCATCACGTCGACGCTTCTATGAGAATCAAAAGGTTGTAATGTAAAATTAAAGTAAAGTTAAATTTAATCATAAATTATCAATTTCAGATCGCTCTTAGAAGTTCCGGTCCACTTAAGAAATGTCCAATATGCTCGAAGCCTGCGATTATTATGAAAGTTCGCAGCTCACCTCGTAAGAAGAAGAAGACAAATCTGTTTAAAATTGCTTACACTAACTCAGGGCGAACGAGGAAGAAATCTGCTTCATTCCTTTCCAAAGCCAGTATTGATTCTCAAAGCACAAATGAACAATTTTACGTAACATTCCATCAGTTTGACGATCGCAGTGCCACCACATCGTCAAGTGATACTCCTGGACCATCAAGCTCGGATGACTCAAGTGGAAGTGAAATTACAGCCAGTGAAGAACTTCATGAATATGCTGAATGTAGCGGCGTTTCATGTCACTTCAAATTCTGCGTCAGATGTAATTGCAAATATCATCGTGGACATCCGTGTAAGGATTTGTCACCACCATCACCACCTCGTGGGTTGCTTGCAAAAACCACCGTCGTTGGGTCAAGAAAAAGCTTGAAGAGTCTCAAGAGATTAATTTACTGATTTTTTTTCTTCTCATATATTTTTTTCTTTGTAATTTAAGATTAATGGTGATCCGACTCAGGACTCCAGATCTGATTTTCTTGTTTTGCTTTTCGTTTCCTTTTTTAAAGTTTGATAACAAACAAAAAATTTCCGACACTTAATTTTGGCATTTTTATTTTCTTTCTCCTTAAATGAACAACCAGGTGAGTGATTATGATAAAAGACATTAGAGACAATAAGAAATAAGAATGGATAAATAATTAGTTAGTTCTTAATAACTTTTTATTGTTACTTAAAATACTTAAGAACAAAAAATGAATAAAATTTTACTTTTAATTAGTGTGAAATTAAAGTTTCTCAATTTGCTGCAACTTCAATGCATTGCTTTTTTGAAGCTGGTTCTTCTATTGTGTCATCTGGAGCAGTTTCAGGCTCAGGCTCTGTTTTAGGTTCTTTTTCCTTCATTTCAGATTCTAGTTGAGCGATTCTTTCATCTGACATTTTGAGTTTTTGTTGTAGTAAAATGATTGTTGATGTGAGGCCTTCAACATCGACGTCAAGATCTTGAATGATTCCCTCAACTTCAGATTGTGAACGTTTAAGTTCCTCACAAAGATTTCTGTGAAGTGCTAAATCGCTTTCGAGCTTCGCTAGACGACCGTTCGAGACAATTTTTCCGAGTTCTTCGTTTTCTTGATAGAGCAAGCGACATTTTGCCATCAAACGTTTGCCAGTGTTACTATCTGGAGTAAACTTCCATGCAGTCAGCTCATTTTGAGTATCTTCAAGCTTTGCTTTTGTTGCTTTTAATTCATTTTTAAGTTTTATAAATATTAAATTTATTGCCGGATCAACTAAATTACTCTTTGCTGGAATTGAACCTTTCAACTCAGTTAGTTGTGTCACATAATCTTGAATTTGTTGTTCTTTTAAATGTAGTCGTCTTAATAATAATCTTTCACGCTTTTGAGACTAAAAATATCGAATTTGTAAATTAATTTTTATTAAATTAATTAAAAACAAAAATTTACTTCTGTAAGCGCTTGTTTGAGTTTTTCATTATCTTCCTCAAGAAGCTTTGTTTTTGCTTCATGGTCAACTACATCAGAGTTATTCTCGTTGTTCATTTTATTTATCTTTATTTAAGAAAGCAATTGAATTTGTTTTTATTTTTCAATTTCAATTGTAAACAAAACGTTCAGCTTTCGGTAGATGTCAGGTAGATCGCCATGGGAATGAATCTTTACCAAAGAAATTCAAATTTATACGTTAATTTTATACTTCATCATGTTTAAGTTTTACGTACTTTTTCATCAGTTAGATTTCGATCGTCACACAAAACGGAGTTATAAAAAATCTACTAATGGCAAGTTCTCAAGATATTAACGATATTCGTCGGCACAATATTCCAGTGGTTTATGCTCGTGGTAATCATTATGATGTTGGATTTGATGTTGTGAGTATTTCAAATGATTTCTTAAATATTTCATTGATGATATAAAATTGACTTCATTTTAAGGGTCGAACATTTTCTGCTATGATTAAAGATTTTGTCTCAAAATCTGCATTATTAAATTCTTCATATCTCCCAATCTACAATACCCCACAAGGCAAAAAAGTTTATAATGAAACCCTCGAAGTTGTGACCAAATCATTTCCACAATATCTTCGTGAACTTCAAGGAGTTGCTGATGGAGCTGGTGTTGAATTCTACAAGGTAAATTACCAAAAATCAACCTTTCAAAGACATAAATAAATGAGGTCAACTTTCTTTTAGTTGTTTCTTTTTCATCTCGACGAAATCTTGCCAAATGTAGCAAAACAGCGAAGTTCGGGTATAGAACCAACTGGTTGTTCGACAGTTTATGTGAATGGAGATAAGGAGGTTCTGTTATCAATTGACATGATTGTTAGTAGATTGTGAAAATGGTTTAAGTTTTCTTTTGTCATTTCACTTAGGAAATTCTTGGACATACCGAAGATGCATCTCGAGATAGTTTAAATGCTTTTTATCTTGTATCAGCGCATATAATTTCTCAAGAACCTGAAGGAAAATATGGAGTAAAAGTAGAAAAATTCACATCTTTATGTTATGCTGGTCATCTACCTGGATATACAATGAGTTATAATCATCATGGTTTAATGTGAGAATTTTTGTGATAAAATTAATATTTCTTTTATTTCATAACATTTTTAAATCAGATTGACTATCAATACTTTGGTCGCACGAACACTCAACGGCAAAAAGACTCGTGAGTTTTATTTATTATCAATGATTGTCGATAACACCATAGAAAATAATATTTTATGTTTGTTTATAGCAAGGCATTTTATCACTCGAGCGTTGCTTGCTGCTGAAAATTATGATGAAGCAATTAAAATATTGAAAGATTTCGGCGTTGGTGCTGCTGATGGTTGTTCACTAAATTTAACATTTCTCAATGGATTTGATGAAAGGAAATTTTACAATATTGAACTTGGACCGGCACTTCCATCCAGTGATGAATCGCTATTAGATATTCAAGCTTTCGGAACTGGAGAATGTTCAATTCATTGCAACAATTATCTTCGTTTGAAGGTACTTGAATGTGTCGATCCATATATGAACTCAACGAAAGAAAGATATCAAACATTGATAAAATTCTCAGAGCCACGTTCACTTAAAGGCATCATTCAAATGCTTGGTGATCAAACAGGCGAGAATTGGATTTTTCGCGATCGTCCAGGCCCAGTAAACAAAACAATTTGTGTTGGAATTTTTGACTTAAAAAGAAGAACTTGGAGTTTGTACAAAGATAATCCGAAAACAAATGAACCTTTGTTGATTTTACATTTGGAATTAAAAAACCAAAAATAGAATTACTGATTGAAAAGAAGAAAGTTTATTCATCAGAAGAAGTGAATTTAAGGACTGAAATTGGAACTCATTTTTCCATTCGAAAAATTTGAAAGCTTGAATTAACTCAGCATTAAATTCAGTCTTAAACACTGACTATTAATTAAATTCATTTTTATGCTTGCATATTCTGTGAAAAAGTTTTTAAGATGAATAAATGTTTTTAATTATCAGATCCAGCATATCGCAATGGACTTGGTCTGGGAAGATCATTAATTTCATTAAAGTGAATAGTTGGAATATCATTTTCACCATTCAAAACATCAACGATTATTGTTTGACCTTCCCGAGTTTTGTCTTCAATCATTTGTTTCATTTCATCACTTAATTCGTTAAATCCTTCAATTTTGAAGATGTCACTTAAAATCGGTGGATATTTGAAGACTTCTGGCATCGGAATCATATTTCGTACTCGTATCTTTTGATCATTGCACAGATCGATGAGAGTACATAAAGGTCTCCCATCGCCAACAGATTTCTTGACAACTGAACGATGCCATTGATTATTAACAAACGACAAAAAAACTCGATCTTTTTCTTGTGGAATTCCGGTTTCAATTTTCTTGCAACGATTTCCATAAACGTTAATACTTCGATAAAGTTCGATAAAGTCTTTCATTTCCGATTTAGCGACACAGCAAAGGTATTCAGGGTGATCTTTAATGGGTTTTGAATTTACAACAACTAAACTTTGACGACGTCCATTTGGTGGGTTTGCGATTGGAAACTGTAAGAAGTTTGAAATTATTAAATATTTAATTGAATTTTAAGTTAAACTCACTTCAGTATCGTAAACACATTCACTTTGATAAGTGACTTCATCAATTTGCGACAAAATTTCTATTCTTTTGTTAACATTTGTGGCAGTACTTTTATCGATTAAAACTGCATCGTTGTCATCAATATTTGTTATTGTCAACTCGATTTCATTATTCATTAAATCTTCAAGATAGCTGACAATAAATTCATTAATGGCTGGAATATTTACATCTTTAAGAAGTATTTTATGAGAAAAACATTTCAGGCTTTGGCATTCTTTACTCATTTCGTAGAGATCGTCCATGACAACTCGAGCAGTGTTGCCAAAATCAATAAGTTGAATTGTAATTTTATCTTCTTCAAAGTCAGGAACATCGAGAACTTTAGCACGATAAATTTCATCCTGAAATTGTGCTAAAACCAATTCACCAACATTCGGGAACATTTGCATTTTCTGAGCTGTTTTTCCATGTTTGTAAACTTCATTGATAGTAGAAACGTAGTCGTAAGCTACACGACGAACAAATAAACATTTTTCATTGACGACAGCAGTAATAACGACGAGATCTTCAGCTTTCAATGAAGCGTCAGAATTCAACTGATTTCGATTTTTCAATTCTTTTTCTTGTTCCTGCGATTTACTGCATTTAATTGTGCAATAAAAATTTCCAGTTAAATCACATTTGAAGACTGCTACAAAGCCACATCGAAAGCATTTCTTAAACTCAGGCTGCAAGTTTGAACCCAAATAAATAAAACCCTGCAACTTAAATTAATTTAACTTGTTAAATGAAATGTGAAATTAATTAAATATTTACCTTATCGTCATCATAATTTCCTAATGATTTCATAGCTCGTTGTTTCATGTCTTCTAAAATATTCCTTTCATGGTTGCTCATCACAAACTTTTTTCGTTCCCATTTCGTAACCTTTTCATGAATGTTTCCATCCTGAACATTCTCGTAATCAACAAACATAACTGGATGGCATTCATCTTGTAAAGGATCTTCTTCATTTATTTCAAGATTATTAAATCCTTTTGATAAATTTTCATCTTCCTGAAGCTGATTTTGATCTTGTTGTGTATAATCAGGTTCTGAAGATATTTGTCGTTCGTGAGCAATTTCAGCGTATAATTTCAGTCCATCATTTTTTTCACTATTTAAATCTCGTACAGCTTTTTCTGTCTCATTAAAGCATGAAAATGTTGCAAAAGCTATTTTAAAGCCTGGTTTGCTACAACTAAAATTGCTCTGATTGTGTGGAATGTTCAAATCAGTCACATTTCCAAATTGTTTTAAAATGTTTAGCAATCCAGATTTTGTGAGCTTTTCAGGAACTCGCTTAAGAATTATTCGACGATTTTCAATCTGATTTACTTCATTAGGAATGATTCCTTCTTCGAAGAAGTTGAAATTAGGATTTTTAGCGTCTTCTAGCATAGGATTCGTTTCCATTGTACTTACTTTTATCTAAATAGTAATTCGATACTAAAAGAATTTTTAAAACTTTACGTTTGACGCACAGCTTCAATTTGCCGGGCTTTTTATAACGCTCAGCTTGTTTACAATTTCAAATGAACTTGGAAAACGTAAAAAACAAACAAAAACAAGAAAGCTTTTAAATCAAGGAATTGATAATGGAAAATATAATTGAACATGTTAAAAAATTGAAATTTGAATCTGATTTAATTGAATCTTGTAAAATTCAGTTACTTGAACAAGAAGACATAGAAAAAATAAAATCTTTTAACATCGATTGCCATTTGAAGTTAAAAATTAATATTGAGTACGATTTAGCTTATGATAGACTTTATCTTGGTCCATGGAACGAAGTTCCTGTTGATTACAGACGAGGATTTCAAACTCTTAGTTTCATAAAATCATTTTCTCTCATTCAAGACAAAAATGAAAAAAGTTTGGATAATTTTTTGGAAGCTCTTCATATTCTTGATCTTGGAATAATTATGGGATCCGGGTTGGAAGAGTCAAATCGACTAACAGAATGTGCACAATATCTTCATAATTATTTAGGTGAGTTTACTCGATTAAAAAGAATTTATTACATTTGTTCATTTTTTTATTGAATTTCATAGTTGACGAATATGCTTTTGAAACTATGGAATCAAAAACCATGCCAGAATCCTCTTCATATATTTGTGATATTGACATACTTGACCATCCGTCTGAAGAACATTTCTGGACAAAATATTTCTTTTTACATCAACCTGCGAAACTTGTTAATTGCATCGATCTTTGGCCTGCGATAACTAAATGGAAAGATCTAAATTACCTCATGAAGATTGCTGGTTATAGAACAGTTCCAATAGAGCTCGGAAAGAAATATGACAACGACGACTGGAGTCAAGGAATGTTTCGTTTCGGAGAGTTTCTTAAGACATTCATGTCAACTCAAAGTGACACAAATCAAATTGCTTATCTCGCTCAGCACGATCTCTTCGATCAAATCCCAGAACTTCGTAAAGATTTTTCTATTCCTGATTATTGTGCAGTTGGAACTGGTGAGACAATAATAAAATCATGGATTGGACCGGCAAATACTATCAGCACTATGCACACAGATGACAAACACAATTTGTTATGTCAAGTATTTGGAGAAAAATTGATAATTTTAGCTTCTCCTGATCAGTCTGACAATTTATATCCTTATGAAGGCATGCTCAGCAATACATGTCAAATTGATCCCGAAAACTTAAATTTCACTAAATTCCCTCTAACGAAAAATGTAAAATTTCTTAAATTAATTCTTAAACCTGGTGAAATTTTGTTTATCCCAAAATTGTGGTTTCATTATGTTAAATCACTTTCTCCAAGTATTTCACTAAGCTTTTGGTTTGAAGTCAATGAAACAAAACCTGGAGTGGAACAAACTGCGTGAAATTTATTTTTTATAGTAATTTTATTACCGCTTAATTAGTTGTTAAAGTCATAATAAATTAATTAAAAATTTTATTATTTCAAGATATGTTAGTGAAGTTTATTCAATTTAATAATTATTCAGAGGTTCCCTTGTTAACGTACTTAAAGCTTTAACAATGTGCAAAAATGCAGAATCAGCTGTTAGGAATCTGTTCAATATTTTGATGTTCCCAGATAAGTCGATCATCTAAAACAAACTGACACAATTGATCAAGGTTGATTTTTATTATTCATGACCAGACTCGTGATTAGAAATGTGATTTTCGCTTAGTTTTCTGTTTTTTAGTTTAGTTTCAATCATACTAATTTGAAGTGCGTATCTTACTCTATAACTTGGATTAAAAAAAAGTATTAAAAATAATTGAAGTGTACCTTGAATATAAATGGATATAATAAATTAATATGTGTACAAATTTATGTTCATTGATAAGAGTTACTTAGTAACTTAGTGACTTTGATATTGTTATATTGCAAATAAAATTCTTTTTATTGACCTCACGCAACGGAATTTTGCATAAATTCACAAGTTTCATTCAGCCTTTACTCATTAATATTATGAAGTTTGTTGCTTTAGTTTTGTTTTGCGTGGTGAAGTTTTCTCATCAAAAAATTTCAAAGCCAAATGTTGTTATAATAATGGCAGATGATCATGGCTTCAACGACGTCGGTTTTCGAGGGTCAAATGAAATCCCAACTCCAAATATTGATGCATTAGCTTACAATGGAGTGATATTGAATCGTTTTTATACACCACCGTTATGCACTCCATCAAGAAGTAGTTTTTACACTGGAAAGTATCCACATAGGATGGGAATGCAGCATTTTGTGATACCAGCTGACGAGCCTTGGGTGAGAAAATTTTATTTGAACACAGATAAATTAATAAATTTCAACTCAGGGCCTTCCATTGAATGAGAAAATTATGCCGCAATACTTCAAAGAAGCTGGCTATACGACGAATTTGATAGGCAAATGGCATCTTGGATTCTTCCAACAACAGTACACACCTTCAGAACGCGGATTTGATAATTTCTTTGGTTACCTTGGACCTTACATTGACTATTTTGACTTCACTCATAAAATGTTCAATCGAGATTATTCTCATGGATTTGATTTGAGACGAAATCTTTCAGTAGCTGAAGATTTAAAATTCAACAAGTCAGAAACACAAAATTACGCAACTGATTTGTTCACAAATGAAGCTGTTAAAATAATAGAAAATCATGACAAGAAAACTCCAATGTTCTTACTATTAAATCATCTTGCACCTCATGCAGGTAACGCTGACTTTCCACTTCAGGCACCACCTGAAGAAATCGAGAAATTTTCATACATCGAAGATGAAACAAGACGGGCTTTAGCAGGTGAATCCTTTTGAATGTGTAAGTGATTATCACAAGAAACGTGCTTAACTCTTTACTTTCAGCAATGATATCAATCATGGATCGAAGTATTGGGAAAGTTGTCTCAGCTTTGGAAAAGAATGAAATGCTTGCTAATACAATAATTGTTTACTATAGTGACAACGGTGGACCTACGATTGGTTCTCAATCAACAAGAGCATCGAACTATCCTTTAAGAGGGGTGAATTTGTTTATCAAATGAAAATTGAAACAAAATAAATGCGATTAATAAATATTTTAGCAAAAAAGGTCACCATGGGAAGGTGGAGTGAGAACCAATGCTGTAGTTTATGCACCATTTCTTAAGAAATCAAAAGAGTTGACTAACCAGCTTTTCCATGTGTCTGATCTGTTGCCAACGTTGATGAAACTTGCTGGAATAAAATTAAACAATGAAATGAAACTTGATGGTGTTGATCAGTGGAAAGTTATCAATGAAGGTGCAAGAACAACTCGAACTTCAATAGAAAATTTCGACAACATAGTCGGCTTTGGGTCTTACATTCGTCAACAATATAAACTTGTCAGAGGTACAACAAATAACGAGTATGACGGATGGTTGTCAAATAAAACTAGTTCAGGAATAATCGAAGATGTTGCTAACGTTGCGAACGTTTTGATCGATGACGTTATTCACTTCATAAAAGTTTTGACTTCAGAGACGTCAATTGCAATTCTCAAAGTTTCTCCTGACAAGCCATTGACAATTCCAAANTGATCCAATAAATTTTGACTTCAACTGGCAATGGTGGCAAAAAGATTCTTAAAATGTTTTCAATCGTAAAATGACAGTAATTTTTTTAATTATACGTTTGATGTGTTGATTGTAACTCGATTTAAAATAATGTTCGACTCCGAATATCCACAATAAAAACTTCTGTCCAATATTATAATTGCAATATGAAACGTCGCTTATCATCATAAAAAAGTTTCTAGTCCGCACTGTGTCACTTATTTCTACAATTATTTACTTGAGACTTGTGAAATATTTTGAGTCATAAAACAAAGATCTTTAAAGAAATTTGTCGAATTTACATACTGCAATAAAAAATGTGAATCGTTAAATAAACTGACAATGAGATCGGAGATAAACAGAAGACAAATTTCATTTAATCTTATTAATGATGTGATGTGACAGAGAGATAAGAGTCGTTTTAAAGTAAAGATTTATAAAACAGCTTAGTGTGTCGATATTCTCAATTAATTTGCTCAAACTCTTCGGAAGATGTTGTGAAGAGTTTCTCACTTTTAGTCTTATTTTAAACACGGTGTTGATATGAAGTTTATATTTTTAATCCTCTTGTGTGTTGTAAAGAACTCTCTCCAGAAGCAAGAAATGCCAAATGTTGTTATAATAATGGCAGATGATCATGGCTTCAGCGATGTTAGTTTTCGAGGATCAAATGAAATTCCAACTCCGAATATTGATGCATTAGCTTACAATGGAGTGATATTAAATCGATTTTATACACCACCGTTATGCACTCCATCAAGAAGCAGCTTTTTAACTGGAAAGTATCCACATAGGATGGGAATGCAGCATTTTGTGATACCAGCTGACGAGCCTTGGGTAAGAAAATTATACATTTGATATCACAAATAAATTTTAAATTTATTCAGGGCCTTCCATTGAATGAGAAAATTATGCCGCAATACTTCAAAGAAGCTGGCTATACGACGAATTTGATAGGCAAATGGCATCTTGGATTCTTCCAACAACAGTATACACCTTCAGAACGCGGATTTGATAATTTCTTTGGATACCTTGGACCTTACATTGACTATTTTGACTTCACTCATAAAAAATTCAATCGAAACTTTTCTCGTGGATTTGATTTGAGACGAAATCTTTCAGTAGCTGAAGATTTAAAATTCAACAAGTCAGAAACAGAAAATTACGCAACTGATTTGTTCAAAAATGAAGCCGTTAAAATAATAGAAAATCATGACAAGGAAACTCCAATGTTCTTGCTATTAAATCATCTTGCACCTCATGCAGGTAATGAAGATTTTCCACTTCAAGCACCACCTGAAGAAATCGAGAAATTTTCATACATCGAAGATGAAAGCAGAAGAACTTTAGCAGGTGAAAAAATCATAAATCGTTAAGAAACAATCACACAAATTTCATATTTCTTTTAGCAATGATATCAATTATGGATCGAGGAATTGGGAAAGTTGTCACCGCATTGAAGAAAAACGACATGCTTGCTAATACAATAATTGTTTACTACAGTGACAATGGTGGACCTACGTTTGGAATTCATTCCACGAAAGCGTCAAACTATCCTTTAAGAGGGGTAAATTTATCATGAAAATTTAAATATAAAAACTTTTTTATTTAATTTGCATCTACACGACAGCAAAAAGAGTCACCATGGGAAGGTGGAGTAAGAACCAATGCTGTAGTTTATGCACCATTTCTTAAGAAATCAAAAGAGTTGACTAACCAGCTTTTCCATGTGTCTGATCTGTTGCCAACGTTGATGAAACTTGCTGGAATAAAATTAAACAATGAAATGAAACTTGATGGTGTTGATCAGTGGAAAGTTATCAATGAAGGTGCAAGAACAACTCGAACTTCAATAGAAAATTTCGACAACATAGTCGGCTTTGGGTCTTACATTCGTCAACAATATAAACTTGTCAGAGGTACAACAAATAACGAGTATGACGGATGGTTGTCAAATAAAACTAGTTCAGGAATAATCGAAGATGTTGCTAACGTTGCGAACGTTTTGATCGATGACGTTATTCACTTCATAAAAGTTTTGACTTCAGAGACGTCAATTGCAATTCTCAAAGTTTCTCCTGACAAGCCATTGACAATTCCAAAAATTTATGAATTGAGACAAAAAGCGACTGTGAATTGTGGAAACAGCGTCGATGAGAACAAATCTTGTGATTTAACGAAAGCTGCTTGTCTGTTCAACATCAATGAAGATCCTTGTGAACAAAATAACGTCGCAGAAACTTTTCCATTAATTTATAGACGACTTTCAGAATTGTATGATGAAGCAGTGGCAACAGCTGTTCCTTCCCGAAGAAAACCCTTTGATCCGGCATGTGATCCAATAAATTTTGACTTCAACTGGCAATGGTGGCAAAAAGATTCTTAAAATGTTTTCAATCGTAAAATGACAGTAATTTTTTTAATTATACGTTTGATGTGTTGATTGTAACTCGATTTAAAATAATGTTCGACTCCGAATATCCACAATAAAAACTTCTGTCCAATATTATAATTGCAATATGAAACGTCGCTTATCATCATAAAAAAGTTTCTAGTCCGCACTGTGTCACTTATTTCTACAATTATTTACTTGAGACTTGTGAAATATTTTGAGTCATAAAACAAAGATCTTTAAAGAAATTTGTCGAATTTACATACTGCAATAAAAAATGTGAATCGTTAAATAAACTGACAATGAGATCGGAGATAAACAGAAGACAAATTTCATTTAATCTTATTAATGATGTGATGTGACAGAGAGATAAGAGTCGTTTTAAAGTAAAGATTTATAAAACAGCTTAGTGTGTCGATATTCTCAATTAATTTGCTCAAACTCTTCGGAAGATGTTGTGAAGAGTTTCTCACTTTTAGTCTTATTTTAAACACGGTGTTGATATGAAGTTTATATTTTTAATCCTCTTGTATGTTGTAAAGAACTCTCTCCAGAAGCAAGAAATGCCAAATGTTGTTATAATAATGGCAGATGATCATGGCTTCAGCGATGTTAGTTTTCGAGGATCAAATGAAATTCCAACTCCGAATATTGATGCATTAGCTTACAATGGAGTGATATTAAATCGATTTTATACACCACCGTTATGCACTCCTTCAAGAAGCAGTTTTTTAACTGGAAAGTATCCACATAGGATGGGAATGCAGCATTTTGTGATACCAGCTGACGAGCCTTGGGTAAGAAAATTATACATTTGATATCACAAATAAATTTTAAATTTATTCAGGGCCTTCCATTGAATGAGAAAATTATGCCGCAATACTTCAAAGAAGCTGGCTATACGACGAATTTGATAGGCAAATGGCATCTTGGATTCTTCCAACAACAGTATACACCTTCAGAACGCGGATTTGATAATTTCTTTGGATACCTTGGACCTTACATTGACTATTTTGACTTCACTCATAAAAAATTCAATCGAAACTTTTCTCGTGGATTTGATTTGAGACGAAATCTTTCAGTAGCTGAAGATTTAAAATTCAACAAGTCAGAAACAGAAAATTATGCAACTGATTTGTTCACAAATGAAGCTGTTAAAATAATAGAAAATCATGACAAGGAAACTCCAATGTTCTTACTATTAAATCATCTTGCACCTCATGCAGGTAACGCTGACTTTCCACTTCAGGCACCACCTGAAGAAATCGAGAAATTTTCATACATCGAAGATGAAACAAGACGAGTTTTAGCAGGTGAATCCTTCTAAATGTGTAAGTGACTATCACAAGAATCGTGCTTAACTCTTTACTTTCAGCAATGATATCAATCATGGACCGAGGTATTGGGAAAGTTGTCTCAGCTTTGGAAAAGAATGAAATGCTTGCTAATACAATAATTGTTTACTATAGTGACAACGGTGGACCTACGATTGGTTCTCAATCAACAAGAGCATCGAACTATCCTTTAAGAGGGGTGAATTTGTTTATCAAATGAAAATTGAAACAAAATAAATGCGATTAATAAATATTTTAGCAAAAAAGGTCACCATGGGAAGGTGGAGTGAGAACCAATGCTGTAGTTTATGCACCATTTCTTAAGAAATCAAAAGAGTTGACTAACCAGCTTTTCCATGTGTCTGATCTGTTGCCAACGTTGATGAATCTTGCTGGAATAAAATTAAACAATGACATGAAACTTGATGGTGTTGATCAGTGGAAAGTAATCAATGAAGGTGCAAAAACAACTCGAACTTCTATAGAAAATTTGGACAACATATCCAGCTTTGGATCTTACATTAGTCAACAATATAAACTTGTCAGAGGTACAACAAATAACGAGTATGACGGATGGTTATCAAATAAATCTGAAGGAATAATCGATGGCGTTACTTACGTTGCGAAAGTTTTGACTTCAGAGACGTCAATTGCAATTCTCAAAGTTTCTCCTGACAAGCCGTTGACAATTCCAAAAATTTATGAATTGAGACAAAAAGCGACTGTGAATTGTGGAAACAGCGTCGATGAGAACAAATCTTGTGATTTAACGAAAGCTGCTTGTCTGTTCAACATCAATGAAGATCCTTGTGAACAAAATAACGTCGCAGAAAATTTTCCATTAATTTATAGACGACTTTTAGAATTGTATGATGAAGCAGTGGCAACAGCTGTTCCTTCCCGAAGAAAATCGTTTGATCCGGCATGTGATCCAATAAATTTTGACTTCAACTGGCAGTGGTGGGAAAATGATTCATGAGGTCACAAATAAGCTTCACATATTATACTTGTGTTTGTTTGTACTTAGAAGCAAATGAACATTTCAAATAAAAATAATCAACAAGAAATTCAAATTTAGTTCACAAAATCACTTTTACTTTAAGTTAAGTTCTACAGTTCAGTGTGAATATTTTGCCTAAGAGGTTCGTTTGGATGAATAAATATTCCTTCAATTGCCTGCCATTCACTTCCTGATTTGCCTGATTGTATTCCGCATACTTCCATTTGGCCAGAAATTGGTCTACCAAAGGTTCTGCCAGACATTGCAAGGTACTTTCGAGTATCAATATGCCGCAATTGCCCTTTAGTGTCTCGATACCATGAATCTCCATTACAAATGACTTCCCAGTGGTCACCGGTGTCACCTTCCCCTGACTCATCACCATAAGCTGAGATCTCTTGGTTTCCACTAAGTGGACTAGAGAAGATGTGTGAATGGAGGTTCTTACCAGTCGATAAGTGCTGCATTCTGATGATATCTCCACATTTTATCTCTTCTCCTCGTTCGCACACTTTTCCTGTCTCGCCTTTTAATACCCAATGTGAGTTAACATCGTCAGAATTTTCAATTCCAGTCACCGATTGTTGTCCGCTTCCTGTTCCATATTTGACGTCGTGGGAATGTAACCGACTCTTATAATCAAAATTAAGCAATTTGACAACACTGCCACATGTAACAAATCTTGCTTTGGCAGCTGAAATGTAAGTTCCGATAATGAATGAATGTGTTAGCCAATCAGGAAAGCCCACATTTATTAACTAATATTACCTTCCAGAATGTCCACATTTATAAGAATTAAAAGAAGAAACGTTACATCTGTTATTCCTTTCATATTGTTCTTTATTTAACTTGTATATCTTGACTCTCGATAACTTTTATTCGATTTTTTTTACTTATCAAGTCGGGCACGAATGTTTACCGGGGCATGTATCTATGACAGCTTTCATACCCTTGAAAGTAAAAGAAGTGAGCCAAGACACATTTCTGAGAGCTTTTGTACGGTTCATTAAATTTCATTTGATTTACACTCACACTACCATGTATGGTGCATACCGGTAAAAATATGACTCATATCTTCTGTTTATGTTTATTTTCATTTAGTTGAAATAACAAGTTTGAAGGCAAGAGATGATTTGAGCTTTTAGCTCGAATAATTAGGAAGCATTTCTCTTGAAATAGAAGAAATATCAACATATTTATCTTAACCAAAGTAAATGCGCAAATTCGTAGCGCAATGAAAGTTTAAGAGTGTTAGTAAATTAATGTTTTGCAAACAATCAATAAAGAAAGCTTTTATAATTTAAATTGAATTTTGTCAAGAATTTTGTTGAAAAAATCAATGCTTCCATAACGTTATGAGTGAGATTACGGTGAATTCATTTGAGGAAGTATCAGTTGTTGATGTTTATGATTTAGCAAGTGATATCGGCTCCGAATTCGAGAAACTAATTGATTCGTATGGATCACAAGCTTTCGAATCTTTAATAAAGAAATGCATTCGAGCTTTAGAAACATTGGAGAATGTTGCTTTAAAGAATGAACAAGAGGTCTCTCTGATACGAGATCTCAATGATCAAATTGCTAAGCTTGAATATGAAAAGCTCGAAAGGGCTAAGACGAAGGATATGTTTGAAAAGGTAAATTATTTCTACTTTTATCTGCATGTAGAAGATGATTGATTTCTTGCAGGAAGTTGAAACTATTGAGGAGGTATGGCGTAGCGAAACGCGAGAACTGATATCAACCGTATCAAGGTTTTTAGTGATAAAAATCATTTAAAATACATTTAAAGTAGAAGAAAAAATATTTTTTAGATTGCAATCAGAAAATCATCGGTTAATGGAAGAACATCATTACAAGAAAGCTCTTAAAGATACGTCATTAGATTGCAATAAGTTCGATGACACAGTGACTCAAAAACTATGCGAGCAAGTAGATAGACAACGAGATGAGATCAAACAGAAGAAACGTGAAAATCAAGAGCAAGCAGAATTATTGGAAAATTGTTTGGGAGAAATTGAAATTCTCAAACATCAAAATTCCGAATTTAAGAAAAGATCAAAAGTTTTCCAGAATCAAATAAAGACTTTATGTGAAGAAAGGGCTGATTTTTTGGCTAAACTTCAAGACCAACACAAAATTATGTTAGCATTGAGAAAGAAGTTGGGAATTGCGGAAAAGGAAAATAATGATTTGGAAGTTGGAGACGCAACAATTCCTCGTTTTACAGTTGAAGAGCTTAAAGAAATTCTGAATGAGAGAAATATGCTGAGAAATCGAATAAGTGACTTAGAAGAGGAACTAATCGCTTGTAAATTAGTTTCGCCAAATACGAAACCCCAGGGAAGTGCCAAAGAAATTAAAGAAGAAGATCCTCCTGTACAAGGTTTGATTTCTTGATTTCTTGTTTCTGTTTAAATATTTTAATTAAATTTCTTCCTCTAGGGCCTTTACCAGAAGAATGGTACACCGATGACGGTTCATGGAGAAGAAAAAGTTCTGATTCTGGTATCCGGAAATTGTAAGTTCAATTTCCTTTCATTGGAAAAATTAATTTTCATCTTCTTTTGTTTCAAACAGCTTTAAAAATTTCCTCTTTGCTGACAGTGACATGACTACACATAGATTAAGTAAGACTTCTTTATCATCTCTAACTAGAATGGCTTTATCTGGACCACATACAGAAATACCTATTTAAAGATTAATAGAATCGAAATTATAATTCATTCAAAACATAAAGTTGATAACGGTTGTTGTCGTTTAATTATAGAAAATATGATCAAAATTTAAATACCTATCAAGTTCCAAAGTTTTGATGGGATACTTTAGAAGATATATTATACCTGATACTGAATTTTATTTATTTTATTCATTAATGTTATAATATAACATGTGATAAACACATAAAAACTATTGAATCATTTTCAGTTCAACCAACCTCCTTTACACAAATAAATTAAAACATTCAAAATTCATGAAAAAGCTCAATTATCTAATTTATTAATTATTTACACAAATATTCATTTTATTATACATAAATTTGAGGTAAACATAATTAGGGGTGTTATGAAAAATGATAAAAAGTAGTTGATTCAATTAGAAATAAATAAAAAAGTTCTTATTTGAAAACCAAAGGAAATATTTCAACGTTTCAAACGCGTGCCAAAGTGATGCTAAATAGAAAGTTTTACGATCGATAAAATATTCAATTAAAACTAGGAGATGCAGTGTTGCATACTCACACGTAAGTTAGGAAGTCATAGAGTAAATGTAAGTAAAATTACGTAAACTTCTGCAAGCCCAACTAGTTTTAAAATGTTATGCGATGCATATTATTGCATTTTTCATCAAAAGTTTTTCTCTCGATCTTGAAATGCTTCAGTCTATCGCGCACTCTCTAATGTTAAATATCATAAAAATATTTGCAGTCACAATAGCCGTGTTAATATTTTTTTAAACGATGTTTCTAATGTGAGATGAAGTGTTACGAGATATAAAGTTCAATTTAAAAAAAGTCAATTAAAAAACAAAACTGGTTACGAGGGCGAATATTCAAATTCAGTTCCAAGGAAATCTAAGAACAAAAGATTGACATAATAATCACAATGACGAAAGTTATATCCTACGTTTTATTGACATATTTTTGCATCCAAGCGTCAGCTAATAACGAGAAAATCAAGTTATTAAAATCACTTAACTCTTCCGTAAATGAGAGAAAATTCCAGGAAAGTAATGAAAGAGAAAGTGCAATGACGATGAGAGCATCTGAGAAAAATGCGAATTCAATTGAAATCGGTAATCAATCTATGGCTAATATTGATTTGATTAATAATTCTGCTGAAGTATTTGACGATGATACAAACTTCTCAATAAGTGGAGTAACGGAAAGAAAAACAATAAAAAAAGAAATTCAATTTCATGCATTCACACAATTATTCGATCATTTTATGTGGAATATTGGATCGTTTAAAACACTTTTGAACGGAAAGTGTTTCAATGATGTTCAAATATATTTGAACGAATTAAAAATGTCAACTGCTTGGGGGTTGAGAATTAGTGATGCCAGTGGTCGATATAGAGGTCAATTCTTCTTCCTCAACGATTTCTGGCTCGGATCTAAACAGTTTTGTTACAATATAAATAATGAATTTAAAAATAGTGTCAATAAAAAATATCCCTTGCTTCAATTTTTCGTAACAAACTTGCAGTTTCAGGTAAGAAGATTAAATTTCTTTTATTTAATAAGTAAGTCAATAGACTTAAAGTTATGTAAAATATCATAGTCGAGAGTGTTACACATTGGGCAATGTTTGCCAGAGTCGTGTTCAACAACTGATGTATCAATGATACTTGAAAATGATCCAGCATCGAAAGCTTTGAAGAAATTAGAAGTTAATGATAAGAAAACGAATTCCGAGCCATCATTTAAAATACTGTCGACAAGAAAAGTTCCTGGGGAATATAATGAATGGTCTGAACCAAAAATTTACATTTTTTGGTAAGTTTATGAGTGACCTTTAAGCGACAAACGATAATACCAGAATTTATTTTCAGTGTCATATTAATCGCTGTTTTAAGTTTAGTCATTTGTGCAACAGTTTTTGAAAATTCTATTCAAAATAAAAGCAATAATGCCGACATATCAATAGCAACAATTTTCAAACCAAAAAGAAAATTTGAAGATTCTGATGAAAATGGAAATATTGAAATGAATCATTTTCAAAATAATTATGAAGTGGATATCACGGCCAAGTCCACAAATGATCTTCATAGTAAAGAAAGTGATAAGAGGGAAACAGGTGAATAGTTGAAAATCTAATAAATTTTTCATAGTTTGAATGTTGAATTTTCTGACTTTAGATATATGGAGTCGCATTCTTCTTTGCTTTGCATATGGAAGTAATTCAAAAATTATTTTAAACACTAAAGTGAATACCAAAGTAAGATTATTTTAAATATTTTTAATATTTGGTTGCTTAAATTTCTTCTTTTTGCATAAAAGGATCATTTAAATTGCATACATGGCCTTCGGTTTATAACTCTTATGTGGACGATCATGGTTCATACATATCTTCAATATTTTGCGATAGGAGAAAATCGAGTAATTATCATTTGAAATTTCTTAGTTTTTTATGATTTAAATAAATTTTATTTTATTAAAATAGTTCAACAGGACAATAAATGAGAAAGGCTTTTTATATCAAATCATTGGAAATGCCACATTTTCTGTTGACACTTTTTATTTCATAAGTGGACTTCTTGTGGTTCTGTTATTCTTAGAAGCAGAAGTAAAAAAAGCATTAAGAGATGATGACAAAAATAAGGACAAGGAAGAAGACGAGAAATCTTTTTGGAACAAAAGTTTGTCAAAAGCTTTGATGATGATTATTTACCGATTCATGCGTTTAACTCCATCATATTTAGTCATAATTTGGTTTACTGAACTATCAATGAAGTAAGATCGTTCATAATTTTTAACACCTGATTAACTGATGATTTTTTATTACCCTTCACTCTTCAGAACAGTCTACAACGAAACAGTTTTCACTCCAGGATTGATTGATCATGTGAATTGCAAGAAATATTGGTGGAGAAATATTTTTTACATAAACAATTTCTATCCATTGAGTGAGATGTGTCTCATGTGGAGTTGGTATTTAGCTAACGATTTCCAATTCTTCATTATCTTGAGCGTATTATTAATCATATCAACAAGGTGATTGCAACACACGCGACTTTTCAAAGATATTTCAATAATTAAAGTTGTCTTTCATTGCAACAGATATTTGAGAGTATCTCTGCTATCCATAGGATTGCTACTGGTTTCATTTCTGATTACAACTGTCTACATGTCTGTACATTATAACTATATTCACAAAGTATCAGATCCGTTTGAATCGTTTGATATACTTTACGACAAACCTTGGCAAAGATTTTCACCTTACTTTATGGGTAATTTCAACTTCAAATTATTTGGCCCATGGCAGTAATTTTTATATTTCTTGTTTGATAATTGATTTAGGAATGTTCACTGGTTACATTCTGCATCGCTATAAGAAACCTCCAAAGATTCAAAATCTTTTTATCATAAATATTTGCATGTGGATTCTTTCGATTGGAATACTTTTTCTTGTTATTTTTGGTGTCACCGAAGGACAACTTGGAGTTGTCGAAACTTCAATTTACGTTTCATTTGGGCATGCTGGTTTGTAGAAAATCTATTGAATATTTATTTTTCTTTATTAAAAACTTTTATTCTTTAAGCATGGGGAGTAGGATTGATATGGATCACGCTTTCATGCTGTTGGGGACTTGCAAAGCCAATAAATTCACTTTTATCTTACAATGGATTCTTTCCCTTAAGTCGTTTAACTTATTGTACTTATTTGATTCATCCTACAATAATGATGATAACGAGCTTTCAATGCGATGGGCCAATTCATTTGAGACATGGAACAATAGTAAGTTATCGAGTTTTGTTAAAATTTTTTAAAATAGTTTTCTAATTTTCTGTCATTTTCAGTTAACTGCATTTTTGGGAAACGCTGTCATATCATTCTTTGCAGCTTACGTCTTGTCTGTACTTGTTGAATCTCCTGTTATAAGAGTACTTAAAATACTTTTTCGATAAATTAATAACTGCGCAAGTTATTTGTGAGAATTAATACTTTTTATGAATCTTTTTTATTTCTCATTTCTGTTATGGAAGACCTGAAATAAATTTATAGAAAATTTCTAACCCTTGATTTGATGTGAATTTATTATAAGAAGAACCAGCACAACTTGTTGCGTATGAGTTTGCTTATTATCAACCATGATTGAAAACTTTATTTCTTTCTTATATGATTTAATTTTACTTTCTATATTTTGACATTTTTTTCAGGTGTACATATGACAAAATATTTTCATGATTTTAATTTTTATAAAGATTTCAATATCAGGTAATTTGAATAAAATAAAATTTTATTTTCTGCACTGAATTCTTAATGCAATCAATATCTGTCGTAAATTATCTCACTTATTTAATTTTAATAACATGTTTCGCGACAATAATATGCTTGTCGGTCAAAATGAATGTAAATTGTTAACTAGGCAAATTAGTTCGTCGACATGATACTATAGCGGTGGGATTAAATGTATCCTGTTCAATGAAATTGTTTTGATTCGTGTTTATTAATAGATTATGCAAAGGTGGGAAATGTGACGATAATGGAAAGAAGTTAGAAAATTTGATCTTTTAAGCATCAAAAGAAATGAAAAGTTTTTCTAGAATATCATTATTGAATTATAAGCATTCTTGGTATTGCTTTTAAATATTTTCTACTGAGGAAATCACTGAAAATGTTTAATTAATGATTTTTGAAACTTGAAAATTAAAATTTAGTAAAATTTTTAATTCAAGCTTTGACGTGTAAAACAAACCGATTGATTTTTTATTTAGAAAAAGCAAATTACTTTATCGTACAATTCTATTATAAATTAAAAAGTTCAGTTGCTAAATTGATGAAAAACAATTAAAATGGGCACTTAACTTACATAGGACTATTTAATTGTCGAGAACTTATAAAGAACTTATTATCTGATACATTTGAAATATATCTGACACTACTTAGCGTGAGTGTAAAACCAGAAATAATTTGATATTTATAAGGACTCAAGAAATTGCACAAGAGTTATAAACATTGCAAAAGGAAGTACGTAACATGATTTAATTGCTTTAAAAGAATTGAGAGTTGAAACATTTATATCGGATATCATATAAAATCTACAATATCACCAAAAACGTTTTTATACTGAATAATAAACTTATTAATTAATCATTTCATCATCCGAAAACTTAAAATTATTTGTACATTTCATTTTTACTCTCTGTGTAATGTTTAATGGCTACGATCTGATCTTATGATTTTATTAACGTTGCAATATTCATATCGTCTTAATTTCATTTTATTTTGAATTGCAATATGGTCAGTCTTGCAAATCTTCTTAATTTGAGTCGAAATAGAAAAAGCACTTTTGAAAACTGAGAAGAAATTTGTTTCGTCTAATTCAAATCCATGAAAATCAAAAATTTTATTGATTAAAATTGAGAAAAATTCAATTTCATTTCAGAGGCACCACAAAAATGTTTCATGATATTTATAATATCAACTATAAAGAAAATCTTTAATAAATATACTTTTTTTGATCGTTTTTGAAATAAACTTGTAAAAGATTCTTGTTTAAGCAAATTTCTTCCCATGTCAATGTCTCCACTTATTTTTTAATTAAAATAAGATAAAAGTGATTGAATGGAACATTTTCTATTGAGAAGTCGCTAAATTAAGAATGCTATTGTTAACTGGCTGAGTAATTTGAGCTGTTTGAGAAGATCCAGCAATCAGAAGTGGGAGAGGATATTTACATTCTTTAGGCATATAGCAATCGTGAGTCATTTTCATGTGATTTTTCATTTTATCAGGTCGTGAAAATTCTTTCCTGCATACAGGACAGGGAAAAACTTTTCTCTGTGTACCTTCATGATACAAAAATGCGTGTCTCTGAAAACTATATTTGTTTTTAAACGTCTTTTGAACGTTTTCTTTTGCACATTCAGTGCACTTATAGATACCATCTTGTATACTAGCATAGCGAAATAGGTTCAGGCCACGCACTGACATTTCTGTCAATGCTTCAGCCTGATCATCTGGAGAGTTATGCTTTCTCCTTATTCTTCTTCTAAAAGATTTCTGACTGCCACCTAAAGATATTGATGGCAGAAGACTGCTTGGGGATTTGTAACTCAAATTTTTATTATCACTGGTTGAAGAAGTGTTTGAAAAGGAAGCTGGAAAATTGGAATCAGTTCTTTCATTTTCCAACTTGTGAATATTTTCACACGTAACTTCATCTGTTTCATGTTTTCCATTGCTTTCGATTGCATTGATGTGATACTTTTGCTGTTGTTGTTGTGATGTTAATTCCAAATTTTCACTCGAAGATGATGCTTGAGTTTTTACATGTCCCGTGATTCTGTTTTGTGAGCTATCTTCAGGAAATATGTTAACTTCTTCGTCATCAACTTCGATTGGTTCTTTTTTTGGCACAATAAATAAATCTAAAATAAAAGAAAAATGGGATTTAACATATATTATTGTCGACTAAGATCTCTAATAAATCAGTAACTAAATAAAGAAATAAATAAATATTCGTGTATAGGATGAAAAGGTTGCATAATATTTTATTGATGTCTGTAATTTTTTTGTTTAATTTTTTTTTGTTTCAAATTTTAGTATAAAATTTGTCTTGAATTTTATTTATAACAACATATTAGTGAAACGTTTTATAATATTTAATACGTTCTTATTGTTTTAGTTACTGCATGATAGACAACTAACAAGTTTTCATTCAGTGTTGTTTTTTGGTTGAAGAAATGTACAAATATTATTTTTAAATTTTATTGATATGATAAAGAATACTTTATAAGTTATTTAACCTGAACGTCATCATCATCAGGATACAGGCGAGTTCGTGTCCCTATTTAAGCTTCTCTTGAACCGTTATTATGCCCTACCCAAGATATTCAAAGGGATTCAAATGGGCATTTTAAATAACTGGAGAACGAGAAGCACTCCAGCAAGTGTAGTTTGTGCCTTAACCCGAACATTTCTAATAATCTTATCTAGAACGTGTAAGCTTTCAAAAGTGGTTTATTTTATTCAAATTGTCTAGCCCTTTTTTAATTTGCATTTAAAAAATATTCTCTCTAAATTCTAAAGCACTAAAATTGCACTGTAATTAAATAAGTTATTATTTTTCTTAGTGATTGTGTGAACTTATATTTATTTTTTTTTCTTGAGTGTGCACAATCTTCTGACAACTTTAAATAACTGATCGATATATTTTTTGTGTTAAGAAGTTGACCAATTTAAAAGTTTAAGCAAGTTTTGTTTCAAAAGCATCATCTTTATCAAAAAAAAGTTTTTTTTATAAATTGTGTGTTCTCTTTTGATCAACAATTCATTCTCATGAATGGATATTAGGTATTTATAAAAAATTGTAATCTCATAACTATGTAGAGCTATCTAAAAAAAGTTTCTATCGAAAATTTTGCATTCAAACATATAATCGAAGATACATTCACAATGCACAATATAAAAGGGGAAGATATGATTTTTCTCATTTGTGTTTTATCACTTTCAAATTTACAAGTGTTGGTTGATGATACTTTTATGTGTCGATTATAAATAAAATTTAAATACAGAAAATGGATAAAAAAATTAAATGAACTTTCTTATATAGTATCAATAATACAGATTAACTGTATGTACTCTTCATATTAAATAATATTGCATCTTTAATTTTCCAATGTTTTTGATTTTTAACAACTAACTCTGTCGTACTTCTTCGATAGTTTCATTAAAACATTATCAAAGTAATTAAAATCAAAAGTGTTAGATATTTCCTTATTAATTTTTTTTTTGATTTACCAATTATTAAATTAAAATCTAATAGAACTCAATCATTCAGCTTATTTTTTATTTAAAATTTACGACTTCTTCATTTATATAGGTATAAGAACAAATTTTCGCTTGAATTATTTGCCACAAACCAATTACATTTTTTTCCTCTCTTCTTCGTCAGCTTTTGGTTCTGGAATTTTTTTTTTTTTGTTTATTGATTGAATCAGACTTTATGTCATGAAAATAATAATAAAAAAAGACATTTGGTTTTGGATCCACAAACTCGAAGGAAGTAGAATTTTTTTTCAATTTAAATCTTTTTAGTACGGCTAAAAGTTAAGTTTCTGAGAGTTTGATTTTTACAAAATTAAAAAAAAAATAAACACTCCCTGTCATTACATGAATTATGTGTTCCTTGTTCACCAAAACTCAACAATGAAACTGTTGTACTGAGAGAAATATTTATTATTCTCATTAATCAAAAAACTTCTGAATAAAATAATGAATTATTTAAAATACCCATGTATTATTCTTCACATGTAGATACGACAATTTTCAGGAATGATTCTCTTTTATATTATTTATATTATCATTTCACAGTTAGAAGACTTTAAAAAAAAGTAAAGAAAAATTATACTTTTAGTTAGATCTCGTTGGGATTTATTCTAGATTCAGTAAACTGCCATTCATTGGACGACAATCTCTTGATGCTTATGATCATTGAGCAAGCGTGGGTGTCGTCATTTCTGATGGTGAAGCATCTCCATGATCGCCTTGTTGTTGCTGTTGGTGCTCCAGTTTGTGAATGATTTTGACATGTGCTGTCATATTGTCTTTTCTAGTAAACTCTTTGAAACAAAACGGACACGGATAGACTTTAACATTTCGCTTATGAGACGTCACATAATGACGACAAAAGTTGCTTATATGAGTGTAAACGCGCGAACACACCTTACATCGGTACACATGATCAGCTTCTTTGGTACAAAAATCACGAACCGATCCTTCGGAATCATCAATAGCATATTTATTACTGCGATTGTCTTGGATGACCGGCTCTATTTTAAGTCCTGGCGATGTTGTGTCGCTCACAGACGGTGACACTTGAGATGGTACAGTTGGCATTAACTGTTTTATAGCTTTTATTTTCAAAGTATTTTGCTGATTTAAGGCTGGGTTTAAAAGTGGATTATTAGAAAATAAGTCTATGAATTCATTATTATTAATCCCTCCGAGATTTCCAGAAAATTGAATTTGACTTGAACCCGTATGTATTGAAAGCTGCTTCATTTCGCCATTTTGTTGCTTTAATAATTTCGCACGTTTGCTTTGCTTTGGTTGAGTTTTTGAAATAATGAACGATGCCTGTTGATCTGCTATAGCAATGGGAGTTAATTTTGGCATTTGTTGTGATAAGAGCATCTGTTGTTGCTTTTGCATAAGTTGAGGCATTGTGAGGTTGTTATTGTCACTTGAATTTCCATTATTTGAATCGCGGTTGTGTGATGATGACGATTTTCCGTTTTGACTCTGAGATGCCGGAGATGCTACTTGTCGAGGTGTATTTGAATTTGAATCTATTTCAGGATTATATTTAAACTCAACTGGCTCATCAAACTCATCCAAGAGAAGCTGAGGCTCAATCATCATTGTCTGCTCGTCATCATCTTCATCGGAATCCATTTGACCATCTAAAATAAAATTCAAAATTTAAATTTCCTTTATCAGAATATTTTTCAAATGTAAACTTTGTTCTTGACGTTTCATAATATTTATTAAACAAGTTTCCAGCTTAAATCCACGAAATTGACTTTATATCTCTAAATTTATGTTTAGGCAACAAAGGAAAAGCTTTAGGGATCTTTTGAGCCATCGTATTACGCAATATTCTTAGTTAATATTTCAATGATACTGATTGAAGAACTTCCAAAATTTCAGGAGTCAAAAAATTTCTCATATTGTTTTAAGATTAATGGGACTAAACGGTTGGAAAAATCTTTACTTTTTCGGGAGCTGTTAGTTCGTTCACGTCGGCCAAAAATCCCTAAATAATGCTTAAATTCCCTGTTTTCAAACCAATTAAACTTATAAGCTTTAAAAAATCTCCTTTCGTTGGAAAAATTGTAGAAATCATTTCAAGTCGAAGTCTAATTTCTGGGATTTTTTATTCTGGTCATGCCATATAAAGCATTATGGAACACCAACACAAAGTGGAAAACTCACCTGGAAATTGAAAGAATCTTGAATACTTTTTTTTATCACTTTTGCGAATGAAACCGACGTAAACACTTTTCCAATAATTTTTGAAAAAAAAAAAGATTTCATAATACTAGATATTGACGAAGATATTAACGTAGGCTTGATTTTAACAACAAAAAATCCCTTTAGCTTTTCCTGTATGTCAATAGCTTTATGATGCATTAAGGTTTACATCCTTTCTAGATACATTTACGTATATTTACATTTCTATGATATTTTTTCTTTAAATTATAATTAAAAAATCAGTCACTGTTTGTAACTGGTTTTGTAAAACTCACCATTTGTTGAATCTTCCCTTTTTGTGCTGCCACTGCTGTGATCATGTGCATGTCTCACACTTGTTCTTTTGCTTTGTGAACTTAAGCGGTTGTTACTCTATAAAAAGAAAACAAAACGAAATTGAATAATAATTCAAAATGTTAATTTTTTTGATGTTTTACCTCTTCATTATTTTCAATCCCTCGACTGACATCATTTTCATCGGAATTTCCATCATTTTCTGATCTGATTTTCGTCTCCATTAATTCTTGCGCATCCTTAAATGAAAAAAATAATACAAATTATTAACATGATAATGAAATAAGCAAAACGTGGCCATTTTATTTTTACCTGTTGTGAGCCATCCCTACAATCGTCATCATAATCATCCACATCATCACTTCCACTCAACTTCCTAGGTCGACCCCTTTTTCGTTTAGGCATGGAAAGTGCTGAACCTAACAAAGGATTATTTGATGGTTGCGATTGAATCTGTTGTGATGATTGTTTTTGTTGTTGCTGCAAAACCTTCCTTTGCTGCTGTTGTTGTTGTAAGACATAAGGGTGAATTCGATTTTGTGTTATTGATGGAGAGCCTTCTATTTGATCTTCAGTCGATGGTTTATCTTCATTAACTTCTGTTAATCCTTTTATCCTTAAGCTTTCAGCTACCCTCAAGAAGGCAGAAAGTCGTTCTTGATCCACCGACACTTCACCACGATACATAAAGTCCAATAAACTCTTCATATCAGCAAAAGGTATATCTTTAAGAATAACTATAGGATGCTTCTCAGGATGATTCACAAACAGAGCTTGAAAATACGGACTGCAAGCCGAAAGAACCATCTGTAGGGGAAATAAATTTTCTTTATGTTTCATGTTTATGTTGAAATAATTAATGAAATAGTAACAACCCTAGCCTTCTACCCTCTTTTTATCTTTTCCTTTTTATATTTATTGATAACATGTTATCATCAAACAAACATTCGTTTGCGGTTATCACTATAAAAATGATATTTATTTAGTGTTATCAAGCTAAGAACAAACTGAGTTTCCTGCTCAAAAAAAAAAGAAAGGTTTGAAAAGATTTCATCTTTGAAGCATATTTTTTTCATGCAAACTATGCTCTTGAGTTACAATCGATCATTATCTAAATACGTGGGAAAATTTCCACTCATATCTGACATTTTTCTTTCGTGTTCACAAACACATGTGTTTTCAAAGATGTTATTCAGACGTTTGTCAAAAGAGAGACTATAGTTTTGGGTATGATAAGAAATACAAATGGTTTCATAAAAAAACAAAAAAGGAAAAAAAAATTAAGAAGAAACATTAATAAAGATAGTAAAAAGTTCAAGTTATGGTTCACTTGTTTCATGATAAAGAAACAAATTGAAGATTATTTAAATATACCTTATGAGCCTTGAGATATTGTCCATCGATGGCAAGAGTCACGTCTGTGAATGTTTCAGCATGCAAAAGCTGATCAAAAACTGATAATAAATTAGACTGATGATTATTCCATCTCAGACAGAATCGTTGCGAAGCCATTATTTTAGATTTGGTTGTCGCAAAGTGATACTTCGCTTTTTTATTTAATAATTGTCAAATCCCGGGAATACAATTTTTCTTGATTTCCTTTTCAGTGTAAACCAGACCACATTGTTTTGAAACTAAATAAAAAAATAAATAAAAGAAAAAAATACAAAAATAAGAAATAATTATAAAACAAATTATACAATCATAAAAAATGTATGTAGGTATGAATGTATTAATAAATTGAGTGAAAGGATTTATGGAGCAATATTTGATAATTATTTGCCACATGTGTGACATATTGTAGACTAGATTTCAATGTTAAATTATATGACAATAACAGAATCCAACAATAATAAATTATGATGCATAAAAAGAATTATTTTTAAATAAAAATATTGAAAGCTTAACACAAAAATCATTTTACAACAGTTGAAGTGTTAAATGTTTATTTTTCATACTGTATATAAGTTAATCAGCAATCACAAGAATATATTTGATATAAAATACGCCATTTTTGTGTTGCGTCACATTGCAAATAAAAACTGTGAAGTGTCTATATCGGCAAATCTTGAGCACACAACACAACTACAACATTTGTCGCTGTAGTAATTTTTACTTGCTTAATCAGACTTTTCTTAGTATAGTGAAGATGACACTATTCTATCCTTTCTCAATCTTTTCGTGCTTCTTACCCCACTCCCCTCTATATTTCTTTATGGTTGTGAGCTTTTCTATTCACTTCTTCTTCTTCTTTTCATTTCCTTTTCTGGCTTAGAAAGCAATGTAATGAATAACCATAAAATGAAACTCTTTCATTCTATAAGGCATCGTTTCTAACCAATTTTTTTTTCCTTCATAAATCTCATAAATATATCGAATACAATATTGTTTATTATAAGATTGCTTCTTTTTTAAATAAAAAAAAGCAGAAACAACGCGTAATAAAACTAAACGTCAGTAGCTGGTTCACATCAAACTTTTAACCGGAACGTATTTCACAGAGAAACATTAACAATGGTTGCAATTTTCCGATTTCAAAGCAGTTTTTTTGCCTACAGTATGATTTTCTAACATTTTCAATTGAGTATAAGTCTAAATGTATTCGTACATGTGTTAAGGTCTGAGACGCGAGACCTCTTCAAGTAGTATAGAAGAAAATATTATCGCGTCTCAAAAGATTCGCTCCACCACACAGGCAAATATAAAAGATCTTATTATATTAGCTACATTTTGTTTTGCCGTGCCTGAAAACATTTTTTTTTCTTCACAAAATGAACACGAGATATCCATTTAATAATAGCGTCCTTGAAATTTTATTTTCTCCATAAAGCAGAAAATTTTTTGTTTTTATCCAATTTGATTCAGAATCAAATTTTTTTTGGGCATCCAAAATTGGGAAATAAATAAATCATTGGGATATAGACTTCCATTTAAGAAAACTTTGGAGATTTTTAAGATCGCTAATAAGGATGATTACGTAACTGGAAATTATAAAATATAAGCATGTTTTATTGTTTTCTTCTGTTTCTCAGGCGAACAAAACGTTTCGCGAATAGCTAGGCGAGTAGAACCGGATGAAGTATAAGAAAAGGTCTCACATCAATCGCTCAGATATTGAAGCTCATAGGAACGTGGTTATAAATATATTCCAAAAGGAGAAAAAATAAGAATCACTCACTGTAACTTGTTCCTTTGTATCATTTATTTAAACTAAATTCGAAAGTCTTCCAAGGAAATATAATTAATTCAAAAAAGTTTTATGATTTCAACACTTGAGTCCAAAATAAATTACAAAGTTTTCAAATTTAATTAGCATTTCATTTTTTTTTTATTTTATTTTGTATTTTTTTTTTGTTTCCTTTTTGTGCGAAATTACTTCGGAGCAACAGTTTAAACTGAATGGGGACTTAAAATGAAACCCACTACAATATCATATTATATCGGTACGAATACATGAGAGCGCGATCTTTTAGACAATGGTGGTGAACCGTAATTTACATGAGTGCTGGTGAATGCGTTGGGTTTACAATGAAAAGTTTATTGAAGCAGCGACTTGCCTTTAAAAATTTTTCATTTTTTGGGAGTATTATCAATATTTTTAAAAACATCAATCAAAAAATTATTCTTTTAACTACAAATGTATTCACATTCAGCTTCTATTCAATATTTTTTACTTTAGGTGAACAATTTTTATTGTTAGAAATGTCATTTAAATTTAATAAACACAAAGAACTTCCAGCTTTTTAATGAGATTCACATTATGGGAAAAACAATTGTTTAATCAAAAGTTTCTGAAAATATTTAAGAGATACTTTAATGGGTTGGAAAAAGAAATGGTAACGAGATCTTTTCTCAAACATTTTTCTCTATTTTTAACCTAACGATGTGTTGCTTCTTTCTTCTCTCGCTGCTTTGATATTTATTCTCAGAAGAAAAACCACAAGTATACTTACACCCTTCCTATCTACTAACGCAAACCAAGAAATTTTTTAACTCTTCTATTAAACTGAGTATATTTTTTTTCACTCTGTTCTCACTCAGAATCTTAGCTTAGCATGTTTTTCTTCTTTATTGCTTTCGAAGAAATATATATAAATCGAGGACGAGATGACTACAAAAAAAGAACCGAGAAAGGCAGTAAATGAAAGACAAGAATATGAAAACAAGAAGAAAAAAAATTATTTCGCGATCCCTCGCTCGCTTTATGCATGCATATACTCCTCGCAAAGATCTTTTTTCAGGTTTATCATTTTTATTCGAATTTCGAACATTTTAAATCATTGTGAAGCAGTAAACCTTTTTTCATAAGAAACAGGATCAATAATCATTAATTATAATGACGTGAAAATATATTTCTGCAAACGATTTCTTCTAGATTATAAGTAGAACGGAGATTTCATTTAATAGCCTACATATATATGTATGTTTATATGTACATAACATTCATATCTATGACAAATAATGTTCCCTGTAATTATCGACAGATTTTGATTTTGTCTATGTTTGAAAGCTTCAAGCTTCTCACTGATAAAGTATCTATGCATGTAAGTATAGAAAAATAACGGAAGGATCTGGTGCAAAGCGAAGAGGAAGTCTGTAATAAAAATTCGTAATTAACTGCGTTATGCTTCATATCCCCAACAAAATATTTTCCAGTACAGATTCCCCATTCATTCGGCTCGAATTGTTTTTTTTCCTCTTTCTCTCTTGCTTTTTACACAGTTAAATATTTTTCAATTTTTATATGCTCAGGGGGGAAAAGCAACACAGAAAAGGCAGCCCAAAAATGATTTCTGTAAAAGAGGTCAATGAACAAAAAAACTGAGATTCTTTTCTTTTTGCTTCTTCTGCTTTAACACAAACACAAATTTACAGAATATAATAATAAATGAAAAGGAGAAAGAGTCAAAGATATCAACTCTTTGCTTTTAGTGAAGGAATTTAAATCCTTTAACAAATGAAATACTACTTAAATTAATTTCCGCATGAAATAGAGACACACCCTGTTGCGTGGACTCACCGTTTTTTAAATTTCTATGTCTTCTATTGACTGATCTTCTTCTCTTCTGCACTTGAAGTTTTCAATAAATGATAATTCTGGTTAAACACTTTACTTAAACTTTTATGAATTGTCCTTATTCCAATATTAAAGTTTATTTTTTTAAATATTTGTAGATAAATTTAAATCACATTTTTTTCTTTCTTTTCTAGTCTGTTTTAAGCACTTCTATAATTAGTTTTTTTAACTCTTTTAAGAATACAATTTTTTTCTTGCTTCCAATATTTCAAGTTATATTTCACTTTCAAAGTTTCCACCCACTTTTCCAAATCTTTTCATAATTTAACTTATTCTCTTCTGTTTTTTATATTATTATGATCAAAACTTTTATTAACTAGAATTTTCAGGATCTTAAAGTTTGCACAAAGTAACGATCATGTGGCAAAAATACCAGAACAAAGTTTCTTAACTAGATGGATCCTTATGTTCTTTAAAAACAAAATAATAAATTTATTATTACAAAAAATTCTGATCTGTCGACGCGAACGTCCGAATGAAATGAAATATTTTGTATGAATGTGAGACGATCAAGTTAGAAATAATGTTGTATAAATTCTCATACACAATCGCAATTGGAACTCCTCTCCAAGCTAAACGTGAGAGAGCTATCGTTGTGGGTGAATGCTGAGAGAAAATCAACTTTAAGAGGGCGCATAAGTAAGAACTTACTTATTTTTCCATGTAGTTTTTTAAATTAAGCTTAACTTTTGTCTCTTTCCTTCATCAACATTTTAAAAATGTTTCCTTCTCTTCCTTTTCCCTTTAAATTTTGTTAATGTGATTTAAACCATAAAACAAAAATGTTCAGATAAATAAATCTTAATTTAAAAGATATAACAACAAAACTGAAACGTAGCTTAGTATTTTTGAATGCGAACTAAACTCTTGCTGTGTCTGCGCAGGCGGCAGAAGTGAAGAAGTTTTCTACAATTTGTGGTGGTCGTGATTGTAAGTATGTAATTTCTTAGCTCAAAATATTAATTAACTAACACTGCTACATGTACACTTTACATTTATAATATTACTCGAGTGGTAAATGCAAAGGGATTTTCGATTTAAGTTTTATTCACACATGACTAACATATTTAGAGACTTCAATTTATTTGAATGAACACAATTATTGTTTTGATTTTTTTTACTAAGTCAAATGAAATTACATTATGAAATTGGAACATTAAATAAAAAAGTCCCTAAAAAGAATTGTAACTATTTATAATTTGCATAACATTTCATTCCACAGAGTTAGCATACACCAAGGTATACATTTACGAGTGTTCTAGTTTGAAATCTTCCCACGAAAACACACTAACTCAAAAAGGCAACGTCAATCAGCGGACCGAATAGAGAAAATCGTGATGTTATGTTGGGGATATTCATATACATACACATGCCTACATACATACATTCGTCCACACAATCATATTTTATTTAACTGATGTAGAAATAAAAACTTCCCTGCTTAGATGATCATCCACAGAGAACTGAATTTCACTGTTTCATTTACATTTTTTCGTCATCAGCAATTAAATTAACGTTGATCATCACTAGAAATTTTCTGTGCCTTATGGTGGGGTAGGAAATCAATGCAATATTATTCATAATTCTGATTTTTGATATTCATCTTCATGGAGGTATCAGAAGGGTGTGGTACGAATCGGCGTTTTGTAAAAAAAAACTAGAAGATGATAAAGTTTCATCAATAACAGATGAATCAACAATTTTAAAGATCTGCTGATGATGACAATATTGGGAAATATTTCACAATTTGCTACCCCGCAAAAGGAAGACGATCACAAATTTAATTGTTTCAAATTTATTAAAGTATCAAGTCACAAGATAGGAAAAGTTTTGTTTGATCGCTGTCATAGATCAAAGTTGAACTTTTTTACAAAATCTTTTAACCTTTTATTTAAAACAGAAAAAAATTTGATTCCTGATCGGCATAAATGAATAAATTAAATCATTCGCTAAAAATAAAAAAAGAAAAGGAAATCATGTAAACACATTTTGAAAATAGAAAAAAAAGATGGATACATTATACAGGTCCCTTTGAAATGATAAATGTTTTAAGGAAAAAAAGAAAAGAAAATCTATTAATAGCTTGAACCCTTCTGAGGAAAAATTTTCGAAAAATAATCTCACATTGGGTCGTTCACAAGTACATCCTCGAATATTCTATTTTCGATCGCCTTCCCTCTTTACATTCTTTATAGCGTTATATTGAGTTAAATGCTATCATAATTTTTCCAGTTGTTTTCATGCTGGCAAAAAAATATACAATTCTAGATACAGACACAAAGTGTTTATGATGGTGAAAAATTGCTTATAAGTTGTTGCTTCACTTAGAATTGTGAAGAATATTCCACTAAACACACTATACGTATATTCAATGAGGGTTAAATCTATAACTTAAGTTTGAACATTATCAGTGCCTTATGTATGTATATAATTAAAAAGTGTATGAGGGCGATTGTATGGAAAATTACTTATCAGTTGTAGGGACTGGCAGCAGTAGAAACTTGCATTAAATGTATTTGTGTCGTCAACAATTTGACTGTATGGAAAGAGGAAGAAACTTATGAACAAATTATAATAATTTTGCTCGATTGAAGTCTAAATTGAAACAGAAAAATTTCAAATCTTGAAGGGAGTTTTGGAAAACGAACAAAAATTTCGTTTCAGATTTTCATGTGTTGTAATTTTACGCAGCTTTTGACTTTACATTGAAGCAACACTATGAAAGGAGGAGAATAGAGAAATGATAAAAACATCTAAGTTCATTGTACCTTTTTTTCTTATATGCCCACGATGACTTTTTTTCAAAAGACTGTAGAAATTTAATTTTCAATGGGATTTTTTTTCCTGATGGGAATCATGATAAATACAAAGAAATGTAAAAGAAAAAGCAAAACTATTCCTGATTTGTATTTCTTTTTACTAATGTTAGTTTTTCGTGAATATTTTCTTTTTTTTCATAAATATTTTTTCTTCTTAAATATTTTAAACAAATAAAACTTTTTTTATTGTTCGTTGATAAACTTGCATGGCATTTAAATTGACCACCTGATCCCCACATTATGCATGTTTGACGAAGAAGAAAAAGAAGAAGAGTTTTTATGAGCTGTAATTGATATCTGAATAAAATAAAACATCTCAGCATTAGAAATTGTCGGATAGAAATCCTTGACTCCATGTAAGTCAACGACCTCTCCTCATGTTTTTTCTGCTCCATAAAATCTTTAGCTTCTTTCACATATTATTCTTACAAGAAAATTGTTTCTTTTTTAAATTTCTTATGCTTTTATGTTGTCTATGCACATAGTGAAGATGTATTAGGTTTCTATGTAAGTATTAAGGTCTCTCTTTCTTTCTCGCAATAACATTCTTAAAATAGAGAAAGAAAACTCCTCTTCGCTTCGAGGGCTTTTAATAGATTTCAAACAATTCAATGACCAAAGGAGGCCTAATATAACTTACACATAAAAACGGTCCTGTGTTCTTCAAACTTCAACTTCCCTTAACCTTTTTTTCTGATGCGTGACGTTGAACTCTTTTTCTTCTAGGATAGAAATTTAAATCTAAGAAACTGAAAAATCATCAGACCACAAATCGATACTGTAAACAAGAATTTAAATTGACCTCAACTTCCCTTCATCTCTTTGTTAACTTACGTCTAGAAACTAAATGCAAAAACATCATAATAAATATTGATCAATGTCAATATGTATTCTGGTTAAATTATTCAGGATATCGGCTATTGAATCTGATTCAAAATCTACTAAGTATGAATGCTTCTCATCCCTTTATAATTATGATTAATTTATTCATGTAAGATTTCAAACATCAAATTAGCTTCAATTTGAAATAAGGAAAGTTTCCTGTTTCATATAATAAGTTTGTCTATTTAAGACCAATCTAAAGATTCCTAAAATAATATAATGACACAAAAAGGATTCAGAAAATCAAGTCTGATGCATGCTTGAGTAATGTTTATTTGTCTCTCATACAACGAAAAGAGTTTCCAACATTTACTGAGAAATTTAAAAAGGACAGAAACCTGAAAATAAATCGTTTAACATTAGATTTGATGCCTTGAAGAAATATCTTAGCGTTTTTTAATGGTTTTACATTTTTCAAAACTAAATATGTATTGAATTGCAAAACTCCTATGCAATTTTTTTAGATTACATTCGACCAGTCTAAGCACTGGAAATTTATATAATTGGTGTTCATTATCGTATAAGCAGCAAAAACCTCACTTCAAAGTCATTTAATGGTGTCATTTAATTTCCAAAAAGGTTTTTCCGCTTTTGCTTTCTTCAAAGCATTCCTTTTACGTATATCACGGCACTTTTAAATATTTATAAAAAATTTAGAGCCTTAATTTGTCTTTCAAATTTATAAATTTCGGTTTAAATTGAATATTAATGTTGTCTGCGTCTCAAACAGGAGAAGTAAATTAAGGAATTGGGAAAGGTTATAACAAACAGTTTAAAGATTTTAAGTTTCGTTATTTTATGAGAGTGTTGAACAAAGAGAAAGCGATCTATTGATATTTATTTAAGGCTTACTCAAACTTTCTGAAGGTGAATCGAGTTTTCAACTTTACCCTTAACTTCCTTATGGATTTCTGATTTCTTATTGAAACCATTTTGTGTTTTGTAATTTGGGTTCGATTAATAGAAATTGACAGTCGATTGAGTTGATTAAATAAAAACAAAATCATGGTTTAAATCAAGGATTCTTCAGTCAATTCTAAACATGATTTCTTAAAGCAATGTTTGAGTCTCTCACTTAAAATTTAATTATTCACCCTCAATGTTAAAGGGGAAAATTCTTAGTCAAAAAAGTCACACATAAATTTACATTATTTATTCTTATTTATACAACCAAATGCATTCAAATGCATGTTCATCCTCAAGAGCGAACGGATTTTTCATTCGTATCAGGATGGGCAAAATTTCCCGGATATCTACTCGCTTTGTTTGAACGCTTAATGTTTATCATGCATGAAAGCGACTCAACCGCGAAAAACTCAGCCAGCCACAAAATTAATTCCAATATTGTTTCTTCCATGTTGCAGTTATGCAGAAGTGGCACAGGAAGGGATAGAGGAAACATACGACNCCACCCACCCGAAAAAACCCCCCCCAGCCACAAAATTAATTCCAATATTGTTTCTTCCATGTTGCAGTTATGCAGAAGTGGCACAGGAAGGGATAGAGGAAACATACGACCAACTTTGTTTAAAGGTGCGTACCTGATTTTAGAATGTAAGAAGAACAAGTAATAAATATTTAAAAATCATTAAAATGAGGAATAAAATTCTGGCTTTTAAGAAGGGGTTGTTGCATGAAACAAGTGTATTCATTTGGAGCAGGAAAACGTGTGAAACGAGAAAATCACGAAACAGAACAACCTCTTACCAAGCCTATGACCGGGAAAGTGATTCGCATGACGAACTTAAAATTTATGGTAATTTTAAAGGATATAACATCCTCTCTCTTCCCAAGTTTTTAAAAATCAGGTTGAGCGTGACGACGAAGTTGTTGCTGCTGAAACTTCAACTTCTTCAAGATTTACTTTAATGAACATCTCATCAATCCTAAATGACTTGTCATTTGTCGTGAAAAATAAATTATAAAACGTAGCCATTCTAAGCTTCATTTAATTTTTTATTTTTTGTTGAAACTGCAGAACCTTTGGTTATTACTGTTGCCTTAAGTTACGAAAAAATATTTTATAAATATTCAACAAGTTGCTTTCACAACTGAAAAAAAAGTCAAGCATTTTGTTCCTCTTTTATTCTTTTATGTTTCGTTCGCATTTTTTATTTTGTTTTGCTTTCATTTTTACCTCGTGCTCTATTAAAAATTTTTTGTAACACGTTTCACTTTGTAGACGAAAGGATTTTTAAGATTTCAATGTTTGTTATCTAATAGTTTTGTAATTATTTAGTAAAGAATCACATACTTAAAATTTTAAATAAAGAAAAATTTTCACTTCTCACAAGTAGATTTTCTTACCTTTTTGATGATTTGGAAAGTTAAGATCAGGAAGAAGAGAAAAAAAATTAAAAAATGTAATTGAACTCCGAATGAAATCTTCAAAGATTTAAGCTACAGAAATGAAATTCAAGTTGAAAAGAAAAATAGAATTCAGATATTTCCCCTTTTCAGATCTTTAGGTATCTACTACCTAATTTGTTTCTATTTCTTTCATTTTTGAGGAACAAAACGAGAGAAAGACGAACAGTGAAGGAATTATCTAAAAAATTCTTTTTTTTGGAAAAGGAACTTTAAAAAATTGAGCTTGGGTCGTTGAACTTGCTTTTTATGGTCGGAAACAATCGCTTGCTGCTTCTTCTTTGGGGATATAGAATCTTCAACAAAAATAGATTCTTCAATTAAAATGAAGTAACTTTTGCTTGTATTAGGGGGTAAAGAAGAATGAGAAAATGAATTAAGGTCGTAATGGTATATTGGAAACAACTACACAGTTTTTATTTCGTTTCGTAAAAGAAGAAAGGAAAGGAAGAAAAAAAAATGAAAAACTAACATCGTCTAACGGGCTTGTCTTGACTTACAAATCACCAGCATTTGAAGTCATTGGTGGTATTTGAAAATATATTTCGGCTTTAATTTAAAAGCATAAGGATTTAAATGAAATGATAATAACATTTTATGAAGTTTACTCTATTTAATTTATTTTCATATGTTGAAAACGTAGAAATATTCTTTAGTTAGGGAGGATCGACCTACCAATTTATCCAACTAAAAATTTGAAAGAACATTTCGAGATTTCTTTTTCATCTTTATTTGTATTCTTTTCCCTATTCCTTTCTTTTCTATTTTTTTTTCTTAATTTACCTTATTTTCTAAACTTTACGTCATATCATTCATTATTCGTTTCTTTCGTTCTCTACTCAACTAAGTTAGTTAGTATTTGTGGACAATATTCTAAATATGTGTTAGACTTCAACAGAAATAAAAGCGGATGAAAAATATTATGCAATAGCAAGTGTACAACGTAGTTTATTGTACAACGAGGCAAGAGACTATATAGCGTGCAGTTTATACTTAGAAATAAGTAAGCGGATTGTTCATGTATGGGGATGTTGAGAAAGTTGCTCTGCACTAACGGTATTATTCAACAATCTGTGGCACTTGATAAGTTCCATGAAAAAAGAAGACTCCAATCATGAGAAATATGAAATGAAAAATATATTTTCTTAAATGTTTATCGGAAGTTGATTGTTAGTCTGCAGCACATCAACAAGATGAAAATAATTGTTGGATATGTATTGCAAAAAAAGACAAAACGAGATAGACAATTCACAAGTTAAATGGCTTATTTACTAAAAAAAACGTTCCATTCATTCAATTTCAACATACGTTTGTATCCATAAATATTCCCTTCACAATTGAATTCTATTCATTTCCCAATATTTACTAAATGCTCACATAGGGATTTCTTTCAAATGATTGCATTAAATCAAATTACGATTAAACCAAAGAAAGTTAAGGAGATTAATTAAAACTTCAAGCTAATTAAAGTTCCATTTATTATTAAAGCTTTAATGAAATCTTCAATGAACTTGGATACAATTTTCTTTTCCTAAAGTATCTTTTGCCTTGATTCATCAAAATGTGATCAACAATACAACGCACTGAACAGTAGCAAAAAGTTGTTGAAAAAATTGTCGTAACTACATATTTATATGTCAACATCAGTTTGTTTTTCTGTCATCACACAAGCAACGCAACAATTCTTGTGGAAAAGCAAGTGCAACTGACTTACTGTGTTGCATGATTTGCTGAATTGTGCGAATTTTTTTTATTAAAACAATAACTAAAAGTGGGGAGGGGTGGGGTGACTTTATAGAGGTTAATTGTAACTTAAGTGAATATGTTACAAAAGCAAAGACCAAAACAACAATGAGGAAAACGGAAGTTTCTGTTAAAGGTAGAAGTTTTTGTGATATTTAAAAGCTAGTAATAAAAAAATGCGTGAGTGGTTTATGGTGAAGAAAGATGCATTCCAAATAAAGCTACGATTGTATTTCACTATTTTACCACCAATGGTCGGTCCACTGTTTTACCGACGATTTTTCTGAATCTTATAAGAAGATTTATGTTTATTGAGCAAAGAAATCTCTCCGAAGTTTTAAACAAATTTTATGTTAAACTTAGTTGACAAAGACATTGATGCAATTACAGTATATATGTGCGCTACCTGCGCCGTTAGAGTTGATTTTTTTTAACTAAAAATACCGTAGGTAAACATTTTTTTTAATTGTAATGAAAATGAACCAAAAGATTTCTTGAAAAACGATTTACGTTGATATCGGATTGTAAAATGCTTTTGCACTTGAATATTTGTTTGTTAAAATTTTGCAGTTGACATTGTAACCAACATACAATTATGACATACATATTTACTCACTACAGAATCTATCATCGATGTGTTGTTGATATTCATGAATAAAAAATAATAAAGAAATGGACAAGCCACTTTAGGAGTTTTAATTTAATTTATGATCAAATTTGTTAATTCTGAAAAGATGAAACACTTCTCGCCTTCATTCTCTTTTATCATTATGAATGAATTTACATCCTCAAAGTTGCCATAAAATTATATTTTTAATTGAGAAAACTTATTGCAGAATAATTCTTCAGATCGGACATTTGTCCAAAATTCGAAGACTTTTCATGAGAAGACATCGAAATGAAGAAAAAGGTAAGAATTGTTTTTTAATGCTGATCTAACGTTTTCACAGGCAACATATCTTGATGCTTATTCCTCTTTAGTTCATTGAACTCTTGTAGCACTTTTTTGGCTTTTGACTATTCTTATCCTCGAGAGATTCAAATTTCTCAACATTTCTCTCGTGTTGGTTTCCATTGCTAGAAAAATATTCCGTTTTCTGTTCTTCTTGGCTTTGCTTTCTTCTGTTTTCTTTTGTTCTTCTTTAGATACATTCTTCATCATTTCAAAAATGTGATTGACCCTTTCTATGGATGTTTTATACTTCTTTTCATTTTTCTTGTGTTATTTTTTCTTCTAGTGAAACAGAATACATAGAAAATGTTGAAAATGATGATGGCTAGAGCTTTATACATACCTACTTATAAGAAAAAAGAAATTGGTGAGCTCAAAAAAGCGCTGCTTCCTCTCTCAGCCATCATGCTAAGTTTCAGTGTAACATGGCAAAATCTGCTCAACTTAATTTTATGTTTTATTAAATTTTTTTCTTTCGTTTTGAAGTTAAACCTTTAAAAAAGTAACGGCAATGGTTTTTGTATCTTTTCAGTCCAAAGATCGGAAGTTGTAAAACTTTCCTTATACTTACACTATCATCTTGTACAGTTGTGATATTATGTCTCCGTTTCCATAAGATTGAAATGGTTTCTTCATTCATTCGACCATTCATCCGTTAGAACTAAAAGAAATTACCTCTTACAAATGCAAACTTTTTTGTCATGTTGTTCATGAAAGGAACGAAGTTAATTCATATTTTTCTTTTTTCGGAAATTTCTGTTCAAACTTATCATACATAATTTCACTAAAATAAAATTTGTAGAAGAAACTCTCTGGCAATATTGAATCCAATCCTTAAAATTCGATGTAATAAGATAGAAAGAATGATTCTTAATATTTATTTGGTACTTTAAAATTTCAAAAAATTGTCATAGTTCTTATCGCATAAATGAAATCACTAAATTCGGTTTTAAATCTTATGAAGATCAAGACATCCTACTGGTTCACCAGATTTACAGCAAAATTCACGACCAGCTGATAAGTTACTGTTGATCCATTTGGTGCCATTACAATTTTGCGTCCATAGATATGCCCTCTCTCGATGACAATCTCTGTCAATAGTTCCACAGATGATTGCTGGTGAATTTGGGAGATGTTTGACAATAGACTCTAAACATTTGTTTATACATGATTTGGTTCCACTTGCAGAACAAGGAAATTTATATTCTGTTTCTTGAATTAAAGCTGGAACACCACGAGGCTGTTCTGATGAACCTTTCTTAAATTGACCGCTAAGGAAGACTGCACATGAACAAGAAGCTACTTCAGAATTGGGAAACACTGGAACTGTGGTTGGAATAAGAAATTTTGATTTTAAATCGTTTTTTAGACTAAGTTGTCCATTAACTGTAAACCATATGCAAAGTATTCCTACAAACAAAGACTGATTCACTGAAATAAAGCGTTTTGTTATTTAATCTTCGATTCTTTCTAATTAGAACAAATTCTTACTGTTTGACACTTCTAATTAAACGCCAAAAATTCAACTAGTTGTTCTCTTGTATTCGCTTGAAGATTATATACGCCGAAAAAAACATCAAGTAAGAATAGTTGATTATATTTTTTTACTTACATTCTGTTGCACATGTAAGCGGAATTTCAAAATCAAAACATTAAATGATGACAAACTTTTCACTTCAATAAGCATTAATGTTTCCGGCATACAATTCGTTCTTTTCTTGTTTTCATTTTACGAAGAAAATTTTAAGGAAAATGTAAGTTTTTTAGGTTGTCAAATAAATTTCATATTATTTATTAAATAAAATATCTGATTAAAAGTTTTTAGGGTGATTAAACATGCGGGTGGAATTTAAAGTACACAAAAAATAGAAAATCAACAGGTTTCGTCATCGATTAAAAATCGATCGGAATTTGAATAAAAAATTTATTTAATTATCTTATAAGAAAATGAAATCTATTGTTTAACATAAGTTTCGTATAAGAATTTGTTTCATAGAAATTATTTCCGGTTTCTTAATGATTTTTCGATTCTATCAAAGTGACAATTAATTAATTAAAAAATAATAAAAAAATGCATTTTGAATTCTTCATGCATGTTTAATGAAGAAAAAAGTAAATCTTTATTGGGCTTTTAAGCTTAAATACATTTTTCCTTGAACTCTTTGTTTTGATGGATTGATTTTTTTAAGAATTGCTGTCATCATCTCAACAAGTTCATCGCTTGAAACTCCAGTCTTTTTACTCTGAATTTTCTTCAACAACTCGGTAGTTGTCATCGGTTTTCGCATTAAATATCGACGAACAGCTTCTTCAGTGTTACCGAGACTGTCTCTTGAGCTTGAAAACGGCGCGAAAGAAGTTGATGATCCCAGTGAAGCCGCTTCTGTTTTGAGCTTTTTAACTGGTGTCGATTGAGAGCTGTTACTGTTATCGGAATTGTTTAATACATCTGGCTTTCTTTTAATCCCAGCAACGTTGTTTGCTGTGCTTTCAGATCTCGAACTCTTCTCCGGTGTCTTCTTCTTTTTACTTACTTTTTTTTCATTATCAGCTTCATCAGAATCAGAACTAAAGTCACTTGCGTTGCCAGTGTTTGGTCCCTGATTCATTGCGTCAACAAACTTTTGCATTTTCGTTGTCTTGTCTTCTTTCTTTCTTTCCTTAGATTTCTCAGCCTTCGCATCAGTTTCTTTGACAGCATCTTCAGGCTTCTTTTTCTTATCATCATCGCTATCATTCTCATTGTTCTCTGATTTTTCTTCATCAGACTCTTCATCAGAAGTTAGAAGTTTACGTAACGCATCTTCTTCAGCGACAGATTTCAATTCTTTGTTTGCTTTTGTTTCAGGCTCCGATTCACTGGAAAACATAAAAAAGATTAATTTTAGTAAATAATTCAATCACAAATAATTTGTGTTAATGTTCTATGGGAAAAGATTATAAATTTGTTGCAATTCCCAAAGATCTGCTGCCATTTGTTACTGTTCTTTAAAATGTGTTCGAAATATGTCATTTTATTATTGAAATGTAAGCATCTTAAAGACATAATTTCGTATAATAAATCTTATTGCATGGCGCTAGTTATGGAAAAAACATTATGCGGATCTTCCTAGCGCCTTAACTTATTGTTTTTACACAGCATAAGAAAAGAATTTTTGCATTTCCTGCTGTCATAGGAATTCCCATCAGTTCACAAAGGAAAAGAGGAGAAAAAGGGAAGATAAACACAGAATTTCTTAAACTGGTCAACACATTTTTTACGATTTAGATGCAAGAGAAGAAAATTCTTTAACTCTAAATACAAAAAAACCCAAAACTATGTGGGACATTCAGGATGGATTTATGTTAATAAATAAATAAAGTCAACATAAATTAAGAGAATTTCCTTTTTTCGGATATCGTACGTCACATGCTTTATAATTTAGCATAAACAATGGAAATGACGAGAGATGGCCTGGTAAAATGTCATCATCTGGCTTCCAGGTTTCCCTTCCTGCGTAATAACTTTAACCTTCTCATTTTTATTATTAATTCTTTATGGGAATTCCCTGACGAGCCATAAAATTATTTAATGTTGATGATCTAGTAACTTGGAAATTCCTTTTCATTTAGATTTTCACATCATTTATTATCAATTTCCAAGATAACAATAATTAGAAAACTTTTTTGATATTAATAGACATATGAAAATATATGCTACAGATGTATGTTGGGAATTTTCATTCATCCTTATGTTCTTTAAAATTTACATCCATGTGGATGATCCATATGGTTGAACTTTCAAGAACAATAAAAGTTGTTATAATAACAGAAGAAAAGGAACAAATAGAAAAAGGTAAAATTGGTAAAATTCTAGCGCCTTATAAAAGCTCGTGAGAATATTGAATGTATCGTCATTCTTAGTCTAACTATCAGAGAAGTCAAACGAAACATAAAAATCCAAAAACCAAAGTAACATAAATATTCGAGTTGTCAGCAAAAACTTAAACTATAAAACATCATCATGAGTGCAAGTGATACAACAAAGTACAATCAAATGTATAAAAATATTAAACGGCCGTATGCCAACGTGGATTTTTCAAAGATTCCATCATGGGATATTGTAATGAGAATAATGGAGCAACAGGCAAATGAAGCTAAGAAACAAAAAATTTTAATGCCGCAATCGATAGCAAATTACGAATATCAACAAACACTTCCACCTTACAACAATTATGTATCAAATAGAAATACGAGCACGGAAGAGATTGATAGCAGCAGTTGTTGTAGCGATGAATCAATGTCACCAGCTACATCATCCAACAATTCAGATGAATCACAAAGCGAAAGTGACATTGAAATTGATGTTGACAGTATAGAAGAGGAAAATGACGATTATTATGTGTCTCCAATGGACTCTCATATACCAATCACCGTTTTACAACTTGAATCGAAACTCATGGAGAAAGAAAAGAATCAAAGTTGAGATCGGACAGAAGAGTTTGATTTCGTTAAGTTTAATTATATTAATTAATAAAATTCAGGGAATTATTGTAAATAAATAGATAAAATTAAAAGAACAGTCGTAACTTAAATGTTTTATGTGCCGGTTTACATATGAATATAAATAAAACAAGAATAGAATATTAAATTAATAAACAATTGATTTTTACTCACCTCTCACTTGAATCTGATATATAATCACGTTCACGCCCTTCTTCATCACCATCGTCAGATTCCTTATGAAGAAAAGAACAAAAATAAAGAAGAAGAATTATCTAATGAAATGTCAAATAAGAAATTTAAGTTAAGTAACTCACCTCAAATGCTTCGTCATCAACATCGTTTTTCTTCTTTTTCTTTTTCTGATTTTGCAGTTTTTCTTTCTTTTGTTTTGATTTCGAATCATTGTCGCTATCCTCAGCATCTCGTTTTTTGTCACCATCTGCTTCATCGTCTGAAGAACTCATGTCATCTGAGTCCATCCATTCATCCATTTCACTTATTTGAAGTTTCTTTTTCTCGCTTTTAGAGCCTTTCACTGCTTTGACATCTTCAGGATCTACCTCAGCTACATCATCATCATCTTTATTCTTGAGTTTCATTCTCATCTTCATGGACCACATATTGACACATTTTTTTCGTCGACCGAACTCCTCTTCAGCTTCTTCTGCTGTGAGCGCTTTGTATCTTTGAATAGGTTGAAAATTGTACCATTCATTTAAAGGAAAAGCTTCGATTGAACCATCCTTTGTTTGGGTGAACACAAAATGAGCTGCGTTCTCACTTACACCGCCTTCTCGTATGCCACGAAACTTCTTCCCGCTTTTCGAACCGGATCCAACTTTCAATATCCAAGGTTGATTATCTGGATTATACTTCTTTGCGATAATACCAAATTTCTTACGACGTGCTTCTTCTTTCTGATCTCTATTGTATTCAGAACCAGCACCAAACTTAGGCATATCTTCATTGTCAAAACTTTTAAATTCTCTTTGATTATTCTCACGTTCCATTTTGACCGTGCGCCATTGAGAGAAATCAACATTTAAATTATAATTAAACCTCATCACATGATGCTTATTCTTGTTTGCTTTCGGAACTCTGATAGAGTATTCTGTTATTACAGGTTGAACATTTGTTGTTGATGATCCTGGAGCACTCGATATCTAAAACGAATCAAACTTAAATTAGTAAATAGACAGGCTTAAATTGATAGAAGCTCAGAAATCTCACATTCTGTGTCATTTTATTCATTGTGATAGATTTTTATTAAAACTTTCCAAACAATTAATATAAATAAATGTAGAAATGATCTATTAAGCTCTCATAATATAAATATTTTACAAAATATTTTAATTTTGCTGACTTTCAGTTGATAATAACTTAAAGAATCGTACCCACCAAGTGCTGCACTTTAGCAAAGACACAATATTTCAAATAATATAAAAATAAACAACCGTTACAAATTTATTTATTTACATTTTAATTTTAAAGTTAGCTTTTATTTGTTTTACAGTCAACTCATGATAAGAAATTCTTTCGATAAAAAATTTCACTAGATAGTAAATTGTATCTGGGACGTAATCTGGAACGAAATTCCCTCGATAAGAAATTTCACTCGAATTAATGTTAATTTCCGGTCCCTGCAAATATTTATTATGAAGAGTTGACTGTATTTACAATATGCTTTTAATCCAAGGTAAAAATTTAGCGATATCTGTGAAAACAGCATAACTATTAACATCGCAACTGGTTCCATCTCGAAGACTTGCTGATACTATGCCTCTTAAATACCACTTCCTACCTTCTTTTAAGACAAGACCTCCACCTAAATAATGGGAAATTAAATGAAAAATGGTTTTGCAATGAATGTTGTTTAAATGTTCTATACCGCTATCTCCTTGACAAGGTCCTTCTCCCTTTCGTCCTCCTGCACAAAACGTTCTATTTGAAGTAATGTGCACAAAAGCTTCATGTGTTCTTAAACATTGCCCATCGCTTACAATCGGCACATTCACTTTCTTCGGGAAATCAGTATTTAATTTTCCCTCGTCATTTTTCCCTAAATTGAAATTTCATATTTGATTTAATGTTTGTTTGTGTTAAATATTTTGAAACTTACCCCAGCCAACAACAATGCCAGTTTTCCCAACAACATCGGCTAATTGAGTACTTTTATCCCATAAACAAATTGGTCGAATGAATTTTGAATATTCAATAGGTGAAGCCAACTCAATTAAAGCAATGTCTCCGTCATAATCGACTTGATTTGGCTTCCAATCAGGATGAACAATTAATTTTTTAGCTCCTTTTTTAACATATCCTTGTTCATTCCATTCTATTAAATTATGTTTTCCAGCAAACAGCAACGCTTCTTTAGGAGGCATAGGTGAACTTTTTCCTTTATCTTGGATGCAATGCGCTGCCTGAATTCAAATCAAAGATAAACTTTTTATGTCTGTGCATGATTTTTTATTCTTACTGTCAATGAATATCCACTTGAGATAAGCGATGCGCCACAAATAAATTCCAAATTTCCACTTGCGCTTCTGTAGAAAGCAATCAACCATGGCCTATATGAGAAATGAGATAAATTCATCTCTGTGACAAGCTAACATTTTTATTTTATTTTTTACCACTCTCCTCGACCTGCAGATTGACCTCCAATGACCAAACTTTGGGTGAATCCCGCTACTGGAATGCCACAAACTGCTTCATCACTCTGAAATTGATTAACTTGTTGGGGTGATGAAGAAGAAGATGGATCATCTCGTTTAATTGGAAATTGTGGTTGTTGTGGCTGTGGTCCCTGTTGATTTGGTTGTTGTGGCTGTGGTCGCTGTTGATTTGGACTTTGGGGCTGTGGTCGCTGTTGGTTTGGTTGATTTGGTTGTTGTGGCTGGTCAGGTTGATTAGGTTCTAATTCTTCTTCAGAATTGAAATTGTCATCTGTTTTGTCGCTTAAAGGCCCACGAGGTGCTTTGAGACGATAACTCACTTTAAATGAGCTTACTCCACGTTGCGAGTCTGTTGAAATAATTTTAAACTTTAAATTATCTCTAAAAAATAATTTGTTTATTACCTATCGGACCACTGCATATTCTCTTATTATTCTTATAAATCGCAATCAATTTCGGCACAGGATTTTGCGAAGCGAAATTTACTTCAAAAAGTACTGGCAAACCATTTGCCAAATCTTGACCAACTGAATTAATTCCGTTAACTAATTTTATTCCACCATTGTAGCTCTAAAAATCGTCACAGCATAGAAAAGCAGACGTCATGAATATCATGTAAATTTTTGTTATTAATAATGTCGACTCACTCTTCGTGGAAGCCCCTGTGGAAGAATAAAATCAGCTTCTAAAACCGTATCATGATTGACATTGATATTTTTAAGTTTGATTATGCCTTCCCATTCTCTTCCTCGATCATCGGTAACGTATTGAAATTTTCTTTCACATGGTGATTGATGTGGCGCTGCGCTTTGCCTTGACACTGGAGGTGGTGGAGGACCTCGACCTGACAGAAAACCACCAATGCCTCCAAAAATATTTGTAGCAGCATGAATCAAACCACCATTTCCGATTGGCGGTGCATTTCCTCGACTTGAGAAAAGATCTTTGTCAAGAACAGCGATATTACAAAGTGTTGCACCAAACAAACATAAGTTTGCGGATAATCCAGACATTTTTGAGAGTGATTTCTTTAAATTGAATTAATAAGCTCTTGTTTCTCGCGAATCAAACACTGACTGCTGGCGATTTTTAAACAAACATAATCCAAAACCCATATTAATTTTTCAAACGAAACCGGTTTATAAAGAATGTTTTCATAGAAACAATATGTGGATGTCTTTAATTTAAATGAAACTGGTTTTTTATGGTTCCCAGTATATTTACGCATCAAGTTTTCAGATCATCAGATCAAATCGCTTTATCATATGACTGTAATTACCTCTAGACTAAAGAAAATAAATTTACATTTTGTCATTTCAATTTGTATTTATTTATTAAATAGAAATTTCCATAATAATGATACAAAACAATGAAAAGTCAGTTAGAGACATCACACGTGATAGTGAAAATATTTAAAAGTCTGTCAATCAATTTTCTTTTAAATATCTAATTAACCATAAGTTTTAATCTTGTCATTAATCCAGAAAATGAATTGAGTTGTGTCAGTAAAAACTGCATAATTTTTTGTGTCACAAGTTGATAGAATAGGATCATAAAGTGATGATGAAATGATTCCTCTGAGAAACCATCTACCGTTTCTAAAAATAGCAAAACTTCCGCCAGAATCTCCAGAACACGGCCCTGTTGCACCATTGCCAATTTCTCTTCTTATACCAGCACAAAAAGTTCTGCTTGATGTTATTTGTCTGAAGGCGTCATTAGATCGTAAACATGTTATTTCACTCACGACAGGAATCTCTGTCCATTTTGGATATGTTGTTGATAATGCGTTCGTTTCAGTTTTCCCCCATCCTACCTAATAAAGGTGACAACAAACGTTTGAGACTTAAACGAATGAAAATTTTATATAATTCTTCTTACCACAACACCCTTTCTACCAATGAGATCTTCGTAACCTGATGATGTTTCCCATATGCAAATCGGTTTTATGAATTTATTTGGATGAATGGTTCTTGTTAAAACAGCAATGGCAATATCAGCGTCGTAAGAATCTTCATTTATATTCCAATCAGGATGAATGACGAATTCTTCGACATTTGATAAAATATAATTTTGTTCGCCTTGAAGTGACTCTAAATTGTGTTTGCCAATGAAGAACGATGAATCTTCTGCTTTTCGTCTGAGATTACTTTTCTTAACTTGTATGCAATGTGCTGCGGTGATTACAAGTTTTCTACTGATTAAACTTCCACCACAAATGAATCCATTATCTCCTGCACCATGATGGTAATAAGCCGCTAGCCTAGTGATAAAATTTCACATGTTAATGAAGAAATTATTAAACATTTTTAAGGAAAATTTACCAAGGAAATTGTCCACGTGAAGCTGTTCTACCATCAATAATCAGACCGGAAGCTTTGGGAATCACATAATCTGATAACCCACACTCAAAATTAATTTTATCAAATTCAACGTCTTTGTTGTCAGTTGTCCATTTCGATGCTTTAGTAGGAATTGGTTGGAAAATTACAGGCGGTGACGATTTTTGACGTCTTTTATTTGCATTCTTTGTAACTTTGCTTGATGAAGCAATGCCAGTGTAGAGAGTATGATCAAGTGTTATTGAAGTTGTAAATTGACCTACGTCTGAAAAGAAGAGAATGAAAAATGATTCAGAAATGTCATTTAATTTAATTATTTCTTTTGTGTTTTAAACGAACCTTTTTGTCCCATACAAATCAGTCGATCGTTGTAATAAATTTCTGTTACTTTTGGGATTGGATTTTGGATAGGAAATCTTATTCGATACATGATTGGCAAGCCTTTTGATATGTCTTTTATCACTCTACTTCGTTCTTTGGTTAAACTTATCTCGCCAGTGTATTTCTAAAATAAAAAATTAAATTAAATTTGATTAACAAATTTTTTTTAAATCCCTTACAGATTTCAAATGGAAGCCAATTGAAAGAATTATTTTAATTTTTGATGGTCTGCCAATCGGTGCTGCTTTTATTGCAATCAATCCCAGCCATTCGTTTCCGTTGAAAGCATATCGGAAAGTCTCGGGACAAGGTGAAATATGAACTCTTGGTACCGTAACAAATTGTGATGACAACGGAATAAAATTGTCATCATCATAATCATTCGAAATATCTGAAAATGTATTTTTGTGTTCTGAAAATTGACACAATGTCACACTGAATAGACAAAATATTGCAGCCATGAAATGATCAATTAATCTTAAAAGCTATTTCTTGAAGTTCACTTCCTAAAAGCAAAAACAAAACTGAAATGAATTTTTGATTGTTCTCGAAGAATGATAAGCAATCGAGGTAAAACAGAAAGAGAAAACAGTAAAAAGGAGAGAACTTGAATGACGTCATAACAATTTATTATCCTTGATTATTATTAATTATGTAGACATTTTCACTACTTTAAAGACATAAAATCGGAAGATTAAAGTAGTGGGTGGAAATCAAAACAATTTAATTGAATTTCTTGATTTATTTTTAATTTTATTTCATTCTAATAAGAAATTCACATGAATTTAATCACGTTCATTATATCCACATTAATTAATAATTTGTTTTTGATTTAATGGAGTTTTGGATTTCCAATTTATTTTATGTGTTTTTGTTTCTACTTCAATTAAATTTAAATTAATGAATATTTGATAAGAATATTCCATTATATTAGATTTTTGTTGCAAATTTCATTTCGAATCAGAAAATAATAAATTAATTCCTTAATTGAAATTAAGGAAAAAGAAACTGTTTTGGATCAAACTCGTACATACATTTAGAAGTATAAAATGTTCTGTCACAAGGTTCTTTATAATCTTTTTGAACGTCCTTGCAAGCCTGAACAGCTCCAATCATGTACTCCTTAATTTCTTCAGGTAAAAGCTTTTCAATTTGTGCCATTGATTTCTTCTCACTTACTTCGTTCTTCTTTGAGAGAGTTCCAGCCATTTGTGCTACACAAAAAGTGTAACATTTCAATTCTTTGTTGTTATCATCAAACTTTCCAACTTTTAAACCTTAATGGAAATAAATTTAAGATCATGCAGTAATAATATTTTTTTAATAAAATTTTACCATCCATTTCTTCATGAGTGACTTTAAACTTTGCACTGCAAGTGGTTCTCATTGTTTCCATCATTTTATACATTTGCGGCATAGTCATCTGTAGATAGAATGAAGAATTATTAGACAGAATTTCTCAAACATCTCTCATATTTCATTCAAGCAACAAATTATGTAATACTCACTGCACCAGAAACTAATCTTGAAAACAGCGTCAATTCCAAATAAATGACGACTCCAAATATTAGAAACAAAGACATAAAAGAAAGATGTCCCATTATAATAAATATTTAAATTTAAACTATTACATATTCAATTATTTAATACTGTCTACTGAAAGCTCTACAAGCTTATGAATAAGCTTTATAAGTGAAAAAATTTATAAGAAATTCCAATATTTATATCTGTGAGTTTCACTAAAGATTGCATTTAGTCGTAATCAATTTTCATAAGGTGATTAAATATTACAGTTCTGCTATTATTAAACGGAAGTGGCAATTATTATAAACCGTTTATTAAGTTCATCGTCTATAGAACTGATTTATTCATTAAAATTAATTAATTAGAAGATCATGACTATGGAAAAAAAAGTTTGAGAATGTGAAAAGTTTCAACATTTTGAAATATTTTTGTGACTCAAAAATTTCTTATCAAAAAAAAAATATAAATATTGTTACATAATTAAATATTTTGATCGTTAATGTGGATGTCATGCAAACTTTCTTTGAGAAGATGCACAGCGTGGAAGTCATGCGAATGAAACATTTGAGTATTTAGTTGAAAAGAGTTTCAAGGTTTTTTCTTGATTCACATTAAGCTTTTGACATTTAATGGTTTACTGATATGCTCATTTTTTTTTGTTTCCAACCTGTTAACTTGACCTTACAATTTTTAAGCGACAGATCTCATAGATTTCTCTATTTTTCATCCTCTCGGCTTTTTCTTACGTAAAAGAAAGAGAGATTTGTTTGAAATAGCATTTGATTGCCATTGTCAAATCATCTTTAACACGTTTGTACCAATGTATTGACACGCTACCAGTATAAAAGCTTTGGGAAGACGTTCATATAGTTTAGATTGAACATTTGAATCGAATAATCAACATTATCCATTATGAAAATTTTCGTGAGTATTTTTCTTTTTCATCATCACCTTGAAATTTTATTCTTTAACAATTTCATAATTTCTCCTTTTATTCATAGATTATCTCTCTTGTTTTTGCATGCTGTTATGTCGGCATTGCATTCACCGACACAATCCCAGAAGATTTTGAGGCACATATTGAAGAAACAGACTTTAAAATAACTGAAGATTCTGGATATAAATATGGATATAAAACATCAAACAACATAAAAATTGAAGAAGAAAGTGATGGTCAGAACATAGTTGAAGGTTCTTACTCTTATGTAGATCCAGATGGTAGAACACATACCGTAACATATATTGCTGGAGCTGGTATTGGATTCCAGCCAACTGGTGATGATATTCATCCAGAAGTGTCGGCTGGTATTGAGCTTAACCTTAAAAACCCACCACAAGAAGAAAAAAAATTAGAAAAAGATTCACAATGAGACTGTTGCTAAGATAGAAGAAAAAATATTTTTTATGTCAATAAAAATACATAATGATAATGAAATATCACAGTTCATCAATTAGTATAAGTATCGGAGTTGTTAAAAGAGATTTAACATTTTTAAAAAAATATGACACGCTCGCAGCACACACTCAACTAATGCCAAAGTGTCGTTATGTTGTGAAAGCACTTAACGATCAAAATTAACGATCAAAATGCTGATAAAGGGAATATTTAAATGAAAACTTATAATTTATTCATAGATCGAAGTCGGTAAAATAATGATTAAATTTATAACAGGATCTTGCTTAGATGACCATTTAATGTAAATGATTAATTAAGTTAAAGAACAATGATATGGAAAGGAAAATCACGACATAAAAATGTAAGTAATTACGAGAATGGAATCGTAACTCAAGACTTGGATATATGCTCTATAATTTCAACCATATTTAGTACATGTTTGTTACTAACATACAAAAGTACCCATAAAAATACAATAATTTAAGCAAGCTCACTCATTGGAAACAAAATCACTCACACATGAACAGCTGTTGCGTTTGCACTGTTAAGTTTAAATTTGTGTTTCGTTTTCCATATTTTTCTTCAATGTTTTTTCTCCAGTTTTCGGTTTTGTATTGCTTCGACAAGACGTCTGTCCGGAAGTGAAATAAAAATGCTTAAAAATTGAATTAAATATAACAATGTTGGAAAATTTAAGAAGGAAAATCAAAATATTTCTCCTTCATTTAATTTAAATAGTGAAACTTTAATTAATATGTTGTGGAAAATTAAATATCGTGCAGTTAGGTTCTTTTGAATGAATTAAAAAAGAACTTTAAACGAATATTCTTAATAAAAATTAATTAAATGTTTAAGCTACATAAGGACCTGCAACAAATGAAACGTGGAATTAAATAATAAATTAAAAATGTGTGCGGATTGTGAAGAGTTCAATGATCTTAGTTTAATGAACAAGACATCCATGTAAACAAAAATGATTGACGATTATCCTTGACCCATTGTTGTGTTATTGGACGTTAAAACCTCAGAAGAGAAAAGTTGCTACATTTGAAGACCGTTTTTCGCCATTTAATGCAAAGTTCAACTTAAAAGACATTTATAAAATATTTTTGCTGCAAGCATTGAAATAAATCGGATTGAAATTGAATGAGACTATTATTTGAAACCTTTGATTATTCAATTTACGACATGACGAGCATTGTTGAATGTTTATACATATCGGATTCTTTTTTTCAATTCTTTTCTGACAAGAGTTTCGTGCTTTGAATTTAATTTAGAAAGATTTTCATTTTATGAGATTGAATTTGGAAGCATAACTATTTAAATCAAATAATTCTTATGCAGAAATGATGACACAGCTGAATACTTGGAAAATATTTTGCTTGATTGTTTTATTAATGTACTCTTCAGTGAATTAGATATCTAAATACTTAGTCATCATTATTTGAGTACATTGGAAGTTATTAAAATATTTCACAACATTTTGGAAATAAATTTTATTTTAGTTAATTTTCCCACCTTCCGTGAGTAATTAGTTTAAAGTTAGAAGTAATTTAATTGATATTAAGCAGATGAATTCCTTAAATTGAACCAAAAACAAAAAATTTAATCTAAAAATGTCGGACAAAAGAAAGTCTAATTTAATTAAATTCTATGGGATTATTTTCTTTCTCGTGATCTCTAAAGGTAAGTGGCATTCAATTATTATTTAAATTATTATTTAAGTTAGAAAAAGTGAACTCTAAAAAACATATATTCCACTCACATATGTTGTTGAACATTGTAAGAGATTTAAGAGAAAAAGTAAATTTCATCGGTGAGACGGATTCACGCTAAAACGGTCAGGGACCTCAAGCATGACGTTTCAGTTCAGTTATCTAGCATAAGACTTACATTCATATAAAGATCCATTGTATTCACTAACGTCAATATTATTATCATGAATTCACTGTTACAATGCTAAAAGATCCGCATATCTGTCTACATAATGGAGTATTTAATGTCTTTTTCCCTAATTTGTATTTTCGTATTCGTCCTTATTACTTATAAAAATCTATGTCAATGATTAATTTTACAGGTTGGGCATTTTACAATCAATTTTCGATGAAACTTTTTACATTTTGAATTCAAAAACGAGACACGAAGCAATTGAAAAAATTGTCTTGTGGTCGTTTATTGTTCTTGATTTAAATTGAAGCATTGGTTTATGATCTACATAACTTAACAGTTATTTTCTTACGAATGATTTGATACAAAAAATTGAATTGAATTTGATTCTTATTTACATGAAATTCTCACTTCTTCTATAATTTATTTCTCAGTAAATTCAATTCAAAAGTTTTCGGAACAACCACATTACACTGAAGTCAATCCCAACCAAGATGCTTTATTAGCTTGCAAAATAATTGACAGAAAGGGTTCATGTTCATGGCAAAAAGATAACAAACCGGTTGGAATATATCCAAAGAAATATGAATGGGCAAGTGGGAATTCAAATGCGATTGGAAGTCAGATGCATTCAAGTGATTGTTCTTTATGGATAAGAAAAGCGACCTTAGAGTTTGATGATGGGTTTTGGGAATGCCAAGTAACAGCAAGCGATTTTATAACTCAAGATGCTTTAACTAGTCAGCCGGTGAAGTTGGTTGTAAGAGGTTTGTCTTTAAAATTTACAAATAGATGCAGAAAATATTCGCAAACCCTAAATTATTACAGTTGCCCCACAAAAACCAAAGTTAGAACATGAAGGGCAAAATATTTTGCCAGGAAGTAACGTAACTGTCGATGCAGGTGCAATTGCGACAGTCAAATGTGTGTCACATTATGGAAATCCACCAGCTATCATTAAATGGTTCCTGGGAGATCAAGAAATTGCGCCATTACATCCACAAATCAATTCATCGGAACCTGATAATCCTAAAACATGGTCAGCAACTGCAGTTGTGCAAGTACCAGCAACAAAAGAACGACAAGGCATGATTCTCAAGTGCTTAGCATTTCATGAATATTATTCAGCCAGAACTGTTGGCGTTGAAGCTAAAATGGATGTCAGATGTAAAATTTTCATTAAAAATTTAAAATTTCATGTGAAAATAATGTATTGACAATTTTATGAACAGATTCTCCGACAATAAAACTTCAAGGATCGCCACAAATAGATTTGGAAGAAGGAAAAGATTCGCTAACACTCAGATGCGAAGCAAATGCTAATCCACCTGCAAGTATTGTGTGGCGAAGAGCTGGAAGACCTGAAATTGCAAGTTTAACTGAAAGTCTTCAACTAAGACCGGTTAGCAGACGAGACAGTGGTCTTTATTCTTGTCAAGCGCAAAATTCAGTTGGCACTTCAGACGCTCTTTCTGTTCAACTTGATATAAAATGTAAGACAAATAATCAAAACATATTTAAATTAGTTCAATTAATTACTTCATTTTCCATCAAAGATCCACCAAGAATCATTGCAGCTGGTCCTGATCGATTGATAACTGCAACTTTATATTCACAAGCAGTTCTTGAATGTATTGCCGAAGGTAACCCAACTCCAACTTACAAGGTAAGAAAGCATAAAATACTTTATGAAAATCGTCATTTAACATTTATTTGATTTAATTACAGTGGGTGCAGAGGTGAGTTGTTCATGATATAAATTCAATTCATATTTAATTAATTATTTATTTTTCTAGAATAACATCACAAGGAAATGTGTGGCTTGAAAGGGGACGAGAGTCTCGTCTTGTCATTGCAAATGTAACTTATGACTTCCAAGGAGAATACGAGTGTCGTGCAAATAATTTCATCAATGGACAGAAACGTTCATCAAATTCAGACACAATTTCACTTCAAGTTGTGGGTGCACCACAAGTTCTTCGTTCGAATTCTTCCTTGTATCAAGTTATTGTTAAACGAGGGGAATCAGCGTCACTTACTTTAGTGGTATGTGCCGATCCCCGTCCCAGACATGTTGCATGGGAGTGGGGTTCGTTGAAATTAGAAGCTGGAGCTGGAATTGGTCGTTTTAGGGTTGATGATGTCACACAAGATAAACGTGAAGATTGTTACCTTGCTACACTTCACATTAACCAAGCTGACGTTCAAGATTCCCGTCCGTACTATTTAGTTGTAGAAAACGATCGTGGAGCCGATAGGCATTCAGTTATGCTTACTGTCGAAGGAGTTTTTCCAGGTAATCTTAATACAAGAAAGAGTAAATCAACAATTCAGATTAATTTTGTTTGATTGCAGAGACACTTGGTATCACTTATTTTCTTGGAATTACTGCTGTTTGTGCAGCAGTCTTATTGATATTAATATGCTGGTGTGTCTACATAATTCGTAACAAAAGTCAGTAGATATTTGTAAAGAATTTAATCAAGAAACCAAGACTTATTCTTCTCTTTTTTTAACATCTATTCAGATCAAAATAAGTACAAAGCAACAGATAAAGACAGGTAAGTGTTTAATAAAAAATAAGAAAAAGAAGAAATCAAATGTAAATCTTATGAAAAACAGTGAAAAAACCGATTTGAAACCACGTCATGATCTCATTGGAGTGCCACATCTAGAACCAACATATGCAACATCTTCATCTGCTAGATTTCATTTACCAACTCAGAGAAATATCATTCATGGATCGCCTGAAGCAATGAAGGTACGAATGGCAGCAATGGTTTTGAGCCCTCCAACAAGAGTTTAGTTGACACTTTTTATTTGGACTGACGATTTAAATCGACTTCGATTATACTCACCATAACTCAACTTAAGCCTCCACTGTAACATTCGCACCAGACTCATGCTAGTCTCCTATAAATTGAAAATAATATTTGTTTTAGCAAAAGTAAGTGGTCATATTAGTAGTTATAGTACGTTAACATTAAGCATCAACTTATTTATGTTTTATTTAGATAACACACCAATATTGTGATGATTTAAGACAAAGATTACTTTTATTTCGTTATCATCAGAATGTTGATCTAAATTTTAGATACAATATCGGATAAAAACACCAAAATCATTAGCCATAAATTAATGAAAAGAAAATGAAAAAAAATTTCTGTTTTTGGATGTAACAAATAACCACAGAAATGATCAATCAAAAATAACTAAATAATGCAAATTCTGTCACATTCCAATTTTTTCTAATCAGGTTTTTACCATTTCCGTGAACAATGAATACTAAAATGTAACTATAGAACTCATTGAAAATACGTTTACAACGAAATTATCACAAACTAGTTTACATACAATCATCAAATAATACAAAAGAAATATTTAAACGGTTGAACTTGAAAAAAAACCGAAGTCTTAAAAGGGATTTGTTTGGGATGGTGATGAACTTTTTTTAAATAAATTTCTCTTTGAATATTACGATTATGAAGTGTTTTAAATCTGCTTCATATATTTTTTAACTAATTCTCTTTTTTATTTAAATCTTTATTTAACAGATACATTCAGAAAAAGATCGAATTAATTTGATAAGAAATTGCTGCTCATGACCACTAACTTATTAAAACTTCACAGATTTTGTTATCACAAGCATCTTGCACTGAGTGTGAGATCAAAAAATTTAAAATCAAAAATATTAATTCACATAAGTGCTAATGTTTTTAAGATATTTTCGTAATTAATAAGATTTTTATGTTGTAACAAATCATATGAGTGAATAATTGGAAATTTAAATGCCGCTCTTATGAAGGGTTGATGTAAATTTCCAACATTGAATTTTTAAAGTTTGAGAAAACTCTTGCAAAAATTGTATACGTTCTCGTTATTAAGCTTAATTATAACGAATAGTCTCATACTATAAAAATTCATTTCATGCTAAAAAATTATTATTTGTTGTTATTATTATTATAAAATTTCATAATTTGTGTCTAACAATCTCATCGCACAAGCAAAATTCAACATTTCACGTTTGAAAAAAATGATTCCAAAATGAATTTTTGTCTTGATTTAAGTTTCATGAAAATGAAGTTTTCAGTGAAAAGTTAAAACGTTTTAACATAATTAAAACGGATATTTTTATAATTCTCAGCACGATGCAAATTTAGTTTTGAGTTCAATACGACATCATAGAGATCTATTCAGTGGAGGTTCTTCGTTGGGAATTCCCGATGTAAATACTCATGTTGGAAGTGTTATTCATGCATTTGAAACTCTCGCACACCAAAGACAGGCAAAGGAAAATGAGGAAACGCTAGAAAAAATGTATAAAGCTACTAAACCAAATTCAAATCATGTGAAACGTGATTCAATTTATAAAATTATTCTCCCTCCACATTCACTGAGACAGAATGCAGTTCTTGATGACTTGACAAAGAAAGTTGTGAGACACCAAAAAAGAAAAGCCCCAGTTCCTGAACCTCTGCTTATCAACAATGTCTCAGAATCAACAGCTTCTGATTCAATGAGCTTAGATGACAATGGCTTCAAAAGTTACAGAGAAATGCCTAAATTTTATGCCAAAAATAATAAAGTTCTTCCACCTTTCCCTTCTACGGTGTCACAAGGCACTCAAATTCCACTCAAAAAGAAACTAAGCAGTAACAAAAAAGAGAGGAATGACAACAGAGTATCAGATAATTTCTTGTTATTATCAAAAACCAAACCAGATGATCCATATACGAAATCTTTTAAAAAACCTTTGAAAAATAACTTAAAAAATACTCTTGAAAATGATTTTTTACGCGGTTCTACAGTTAGCCAGTCATTCATTAAAAATGTTGTTAAGAAGCCACCTTCCCATAAAATTTCAACCTACGAACAAAACTTTCTAATCGATCCTAAAAGAAATAAAGATGAAGAAAAAAGTTTGGATAATGAAGTTAAAATGAGATACAAGCAATATAAAAGTTATGATGATAAGAACTTTTATGACAAGAAACGAAACGATTTTCAACCACAAGCTACCGTCGAGCTATAAAATGATTCTTTCGGAAGTTCAAGATAAGTGTTATTTATTTCGCTTTTATGTTCACTTAAATTGTATGATAAAATTGCTTTTAGTTTAATCATTTTAGAAAATAATTCATAGAGAAAATTTTGCAAATAAAATTTAACTTCCATCACATGACTTAGAATATGACAACATTTTAAGATGTAAACAAATGAATGTAACAACAAAAAGTTCCGATAAATTTAAGTTTCCATTACTTCAAGTTTCTATTTTGGCTTATTGTACATATTTTTTTTATTATCCTTTTCACGTTGTAAACTGGCAATCATCAAAAATATAGAATGTTAACATTCCTATTTACTAAATTTATTTAGGTTAAAATATTTATGTGAATAAAGATTAATATAAAAAAGGACTCAAGTGGCATCATAAAAATAGCATTTTATTTTTATTGTTAATTGGCGATTGTTATTGTTTTCGTATCGACTCAAACATCAACAAATTGGTTCAACGGAATTATTATCGGTTTAACTTCTCATTTGCTATAACTTTGAGAACCCCTAAAATCTAGTACAAAAAATACCCCTCGCAGTTGATACATCTCGACCCTGTAAAAACTACTACCTTAAATTGAAATTATTTAATTTGAGCGATTTTCATCAGTTCATTCATCGAAAAATTTGTGATTTCAAGTATCTCAATAATAAGCAATATTCTCCATAAAGAATGTAACCGCAGTTTCATTTCAAGAATAAATAAATTAAACAAAATTCTATTTTTTTGTATGCTTCATCATTAACCTGAATTCAACTTTCATAAGCTGACATTTTCAATTTGTGGTTTGAATATTTTCAGCATCAAAAAAAGTCAAATACTTTTTAAGAGTATTTAAAATCTCAATATTCATTGGCAAAAGCATGCCATCAAGTTGACTTTATCTCGTAAACAGTTTAAAAGTGAGTAAAATACAAAAAGTGCTGTAATATCTTCACAAATTAAAGTAATTGCAAAGAGTGTTTCATTTTGAGTTCTAATGTGTATTTTCTCGAAAAGCATTTTTCTACAGTAATTAAAAAACATCATCTAGCAAAGTGAAACAAGGAGATCTCAAATTTTGATATTTTAAATGAGTTTTACAATATAGCGTCTCTTTTTCATTTTCTATCTTCCTACAATTGCCATTTTGAAGAAGAAAAAATACAGACGCTCGTTTTTTTTTCATGGTTCTCATAGACTAATCTGCTTTAAACAACCATTTTTAGGAAAGGTGAAATCTAAACAGAGAAATTGTTTTAAAAAATAATAAGTTTCGAGAGTGAGTGCAGTGAATTAGTTTAAAATGTCTGGAAGAGGCCAGAAACGTAGAGGACGCCCTCCCAAAACTCCAGCAGTTGATAAAAAGTACAACCTGTTAAAGAAACCAAAATATCTGCAAAATGATTCCCGCTTAAGTACACCGTCAGCATCGAGAGCATCCTCGCCTCAAGATAGCGAAGAAAGTTTTATAAAAAAGAAGTCAGATTTATTAAAAAAGCGACGTGGACGGCCTCCTACTAAAAATAAACGAGGTGGAAATTCTTCATATCAAAATCGAAGAAGTAAGTAACAAAATAACAATATTAAGCAAAACTTAATTATTTTTACTCGTGCTTTTTATTCGTAGGTTACAATTCGCCAACATACAATAAAACTGATTATCATTATGGCTCTGATTTCGGAGATTCCACTGAAAAAAGCGACGACGAAATGGCAATGTCACACAGTGATTCTCCCGAAAGCTTCAGTATTGACTCCGATAGTGATTTTTCGTTGAGCAGTTACAGTAACATTGGTCAATCATCCAATCAACCTCGATCAGTGACACCTGAACCAGTGTGGATCAAAGACGACATTGAGATTCCTCCTCTAGAGCTCCCCAAAAGCTCAGATGATTTAATTGTACCAAAGCAATATGTATTGAGGTCTCTAGGAATATATGAAGTTCTCCGTCGATACCGAAATTTAGTGAGATTGTCTCCGTTTCGTGTTGAGGACTTTTGTGCTGCTTTGATGTCAGATGAACAAAGTACGCTCTTCACAGAAATTCATATAGCACTCTTAAAAGCAATCCTCCGCGAAGAAGATTCCCAACAAACGCATTTTGGACCACTCGATCAGAAAGATAGCATTAACATAGGTTTATATCTTATCGACACAGTTACATGGCCGGAAGTTTTGAGAATGTATGTCGAAAGCGATCCATCATTCAGCCGTCCAGTTCTAGATATTTTGTCTCAAAAAGAATATCCTTATGCATCAATCGATGACCGTCTAACGGTGTTGCAATTCCTTACTGATCAATTTCTTACAACGACTTTCATTCGTGATGATATGATTCAAGAAGGTCCGATACATTACGACGATCACTGTCGAGTCTGTCATCGGCTAGGAAATTTACTTTGTTGTGAAACTTGTCCAGCAGTTTATCATCTGGAATGTGTGGATCCACCTCTTGAAAACGTTCCAACTGAAGACTGGCAATGCAACATTTGTAAATCACATAGTGTGAGTGGTGTTAATGATTGCATTTCGAATCAAGAAAAGCAAGGGACGTTATGTCGACACGAGCATTTTGGCTTCGATCGTCATGCTCGTAAATATTGGTTTGTTTGTAGGCGTTTATTCATAGAAACTGAGGATGGATCAGAAGTTTGGTATTTTACAACAATGAAACAATTTGAAAATGTAATTAAAAAGTTAGATTCAAATTTTTTTGAAAAACAACTGTGCAAGATCATGGAGGAATACAAAGAAGAGATTGTACGACAAATGAAATTGACAGAAACGCTCACAGACTCGTTGAAAGGGAATAAAAAATCTTATTTAGAAGTTGAACATGAAAAGCTTGGAAAAGATGTTTCGAGTGAAGCTGAAACTGAAAATGGATCGACAGAGATGAATGGCAACAACAATAATAATAACGGTGAAGATGTTGAACAAGAATTAGAATCTATTGAAATGATCAAAAATAATCAAACACATTTGACACGATCGCGTACGAATCAATTGTACAGTGGAACATTTTTCTTTAAGCTGGGCATGGAGAACAGCCATAAAGAATATTGCAATCAATTCACAACAAATCCATTAGCATTGAACAAGCCGCAAAAGAATGAAGAACGTGATAAAAAGCGACATTTATCTCATAAGTTTTCACTCACGCAAGCATCTGAATTCAAATGGGGTGGACTTTTAAATGGTACTCACAGCAGCTTAATTGCAATCTTTAAACAAACACTTTTGACATTTGAATCATCCATAACTCAAACATTTATGCACTGCAATTGGTGTAAGTTGCGTAAATCATGGTTGAATGCTGTTTCGGCGTCGAATTCGCCACGAGATTTCGTGAAAGTTCTCGTAACATTACAAAGTTGCTTTAAGAATGTTATTTATGCGAATGTTTGGCATGAACAATTGGGTCACGTTCATTTATATCGTGTGACATCAAACGAGAGAGAAGAGCGAAAAAAGATTGAAAAACGTGAAAAACGAGAAGAAAACGAAGAGGAACGTAATCGTCTTGCTTATAATTATGTGAAATACTCACTCGGCTTAAGACATCAAGTGTGGAAGCAAAAGGGGGAAGAATATCGCATTCATGGTCAATGGGGATGGCTTTGGTCGTCAATAAATCGAAGAAGCCATCAACAAAATAAAACATCGAGTAGTCGAATCAAATGCAGATTTGTTGTGATTAAAGATGGAGACAAGAAAAAAGTCTTGAAACTCAAACGACAAACGTTTGATATGTTAGAATCTGCTTTGGAATATTCAAAAAAGACACAAAATATGACAAATGAGAATTTAGAGAAAACATGTGAAGCATTGAAGTCCATTGAAATTGAGAAAAATGATGTTTCCATATCTTTTGAGGGTATCGACATCTCTCAAGCTCTTAAAGCAAAAACAAGAATTGTTTATCCTAAAATTGGTAAACGTTCAACATTGGACAGTTTACTTGAACGACGAGAAAAGCTTCGTGATGATGAGATGAAAGTTATGAAGTCCAATGAAATGGAGCAAGAAATTCCAGCAAACATCATTTCATCTGGCACTGATGTGACATCCTCAGCTGGGAAGAAGAAGGAATCTGGCACAACGATCACTCTTGATCATATGCTTCAAGGTATTGCTGACAATAAAAGTCGATTAAGTCAAAGACCAAAATTGTCTGAAACAAACGATAAATGTATAGAAATCATTTCTTTGATGTCTCAATTGAATAAAGTGAAGGAGAGTCAAAGTGTCTACAAATGCTTCTCAGAACAATGTCGAAATGCAACAACGAACACGTTAACACTTTTTTCAACCGAGAAATGCTTTTCAGCATTATGTCGTAAGGAGAGTCAACTGAAAGAGAACATTTCTCGTATGCTTCAAGAACTTAGAGACAAATATATGGGAGCCTTAAAGAAAGGCTCGATTCTTCATCAGAAACTGTCTGAAGCTAAGAATATTGATTTAATTGATATATTGAAGAAATATCAACTTAACGAATTTATTTCCGATGAATATTATGAGTATGATGTGGAGACTTGTTTAAATGACATCGCCTCAGCTCTTGAAGAATTTGTGGAGTTTGACGAATCTTTGTTCGCACCTTTTACTGTGAAAATGGAAGCAAAAATTGAAAATGAAGATGAAAATGAAGAACCAAAACCAGAAATTAAAGTCGAAGAAGATCCAGATGACATTACACTCTTTAAGTTAAAAGAAAAAGCGGCTTATGTGAAACAACCAAATCGTCGATTCTTAGCTATTCCTAAACCTCCAAAGAAAGAAACTGAAATTGCTAAAGAACTTGATTCAGAAGGAAACGAAAAAATTTATGCTGCAACTGCCACAGCTGGTAGAATTTACTTGAAAAAAGTAGGAAAGCTTTCAGCTGCCAATAAATTGTCAGGCTCTCAACAAATTATATCTACAACCAATAATAATAGTGTGAAATATCCAGCAATTACCACATACAACACCGTTAAAAACACGAGAAGTGTGTTGATTCTTCCAAAGTATGAACTTGAGAAATGTGCCCGACGAGCAGGAAAATATTATGTCAATGGTTTCAATCATCAAGCAAAGAGTAATAACAGTGTTTGGCCTTATCCATGCTCAAGACCTTTCTTCAAAACATGTTGGATTTATCGTACACTTTGTGCAAATTCGTTTTCCGCGCTTGGCTTACAATTACGGATTTTATGGACATGTTTACGATGGGATGACATGCAAACAAAACAACAGACAACTGATGGTAAAAATCAAGTTACAACTGAAACTGAGATTGTGACAACTGAATTGCTCAAACATCGAAATATTGGAATGTTCATGGAACAAACGCAATACTTCCGTCGACGTATTGTCATTCCCCTTGAATTGCCGAAAACGGTTCGTGAAGTGACGTCCATCCGTTCTGGATTAAGAAAAAGAAAAAGAGCTGAATCACCAAGACAAACCGATCCACAAGTTTCCGAAGAGTGGATTGATGAAGACAAGCTTGAACTTTGGGAGATTCGACAATATGTAGAAAAGTAAGCATTTACATAACCTCAAATTTCCGGTTCAATTCTTTGTGATTGGCGGAACGAATCGAAAAGTTGAACCGTCATAAAAATTAATTTTATTAACCTGTTTTTTCATTCTTTAATTTCTATTAGACAAGAACGAGCTAATATCATTCCTACAACAAGAACATCAACAGGAAAACTTCCACTACCAAGACAATTCGATCTCCCTGAAACTCCCAACACAAATCGCGTATTAGTAAGTCGAATAACATCTGCTGATGCTAAGGAAAAAATGGAGCAACAACTACGTTTGCAAAGAGATGCCAATAATAAGAAGAGAGCAGAAGATCTCAACAAACAAGGTAACTTACTACATAAAATTATTAAAATTTTACTTTATAACAGAAGGAAATTATTATCTTTCAGCAACACCTCAATACAAAACTATTATTCGAAAAGTTATGTTAAAAAATCCTGACGGAACAACGAGATTTGTAAACGAAACAACAACACAACAGATTACGCCTAGACTTTTGGAAACACCACAAAAGATCCAAGTTATGCGTGGACCTGATGGCAAGATGAGTGTTCGAGGCCTTCAACCAAATCAGAAACTCGTTCAGACAGCTGACGGCAAATACTTAATTCTTCCATCAAATCATTCAGGTAAATAATTGTTATTTCTGAGTATCCATCAATATGTTTTATTTGCTTTTTCTATCTTTTTCTAGTTGTCGGGGGTAAAGTTGTATCACAATTACCATTAGCTACTTCAACTCCTGTTTCAAGGGCATCTACAACTCCCCAACAACCGCCACAGAAAGTTTTAATAAGAGCCGTTCAACCTAAAACTGCAGCTGTTAACACAATCGTTAAAACTACAACGGAGCAGAAAGTAAGAAGAGAGAAAGACGAATCGTTTGAATTGTTAACTAAATTTTCATTTTTTATTCATTAGGAGTCCCCAACTACTTCAGTTGCACCAACGACCCCAATTCAAAAGATCATCACGAGTTCAGGTCAAGTAATAACACAACAAATTCCATCAAACATTATTTCGTCAGCAAACTTCCAACAACTTTTACAACGTGGAAATGTTACGACTGGACAGAAAATTGTCGTTCAAGGTGGGCTTGGAGGTGTACAGAAATTATTGGTAACGTCACAAACGAATCAACAAGTTCAACCAAGTGGAGAGAAACGAATCATTATTCAGAATGCTTGTGGGCAGCAACAACAATATATCCTTCAGAATCAAAACAACACATCACAACAGCCTCAACAGTTTGTGACAATTGGTGGGCAGAAACTTCTCTTACAAACATCATCAGCATCACCACAAATTCAACAAATCAAAACCGTGACAAGTCCTGTGCAGCAGCAACAACAACCTCAGCAAGCTCAACCTATACAGTTTCAAATTCAAGAGCCTCAACCTCAACAACAACAACAGCAAATTGTTGTGCAACATAATGGAAATAATTTGAGTCAACAGCTTGCTCAAGGAAAGATTCAAGTATTAAATTTGAATGGGCAGCAAGTGTTGGTGAAAAGTGTGGGAAATAATCAATCGATTATTGTTGGACAAGTGAAAACGAGTACAACAAGCACACCGCAAGTTGTAACGACTACCACAATAAAATCAAATGCTCAACCTCCATTAACAACGATATCAACGCCAAGTCAACAACAGATTGTCAAATCACCTCAAGCTTCAAATTCTGAAGGAGCAAAGCAAATTTCGGGATCGGCTGAAGATGTCTTACTTGGAAATCATCCTCCTGGGACGATAATAAAATGTGTCACAGCTCAAGTCATGCAAACTCCCAGTGGGCCAAGAATAGTATTGCAAGGGTTACAAGGGTCTGACATTAGTCCGCAACAGTCACAAATCTTGCAGCAACAAGTTAAGCAACAACTAATGAAAGGTAAAAAATGATTTGAGGGAAATTCAAAGCAACTGTAATGAAAATTCTTTTACAGCACAAGAATCAAGTGGAAAGCAAGGAGGGGTTATTGGACCCACTAAAATGTATCTTGCAATTACTCCTCAACAACAACCGCCTCCTCTAACTCCAGTTAATAATGTAAGTGTCTGAATCTATAGATAAAAAAGTTGAATCTACTAACATTCAAAGATTTTCCGATTTGTTATAAACATATCTAATTTTTCCTTACTTTTACCTGTTTTGTTTTTAAACATTCTGAAACTTTTTGTAAAGTATTCTCACATTTTAAAACAAATTTAAGAAATTTGAATCAAATTTAACTGACATTCGATTCAAGAAAGTATTTAAATCCAATAGTTTCTCTTTCTTTTAATTTTGATATCTTAAGAAGTAAATAAGTACATCAGATCATAAATATTTCGGGTGCATGCCTCAATTCATTGATTGTATTCAAATCACATTGTAACTTAAGTATACATTCAAACGAAAAAGAAAATCAATTAAATTGAAGCAAACATCATACAAAATTAATAAATTTGACTGTTGTAACATTAAAAGAAATTAATAGAAAAACAAATGAACTCCTCTTATATTAATTGTAATCAAACAAGCGTTATTTAATTAGACTGTGAGGAAGATTTCAAATTAAAAACCGAATAAATAGTGTCACCTCTTTTTAGAAACAAGTACAATTAAATTGCATGTTTTCAGAGTCCATACCAAAATGAAATTTAACGTAACAGTATCAAGTTACTTTTTAAGTAGATATTTAAATTACAAATGAAGTAAACAGTGAAATGATTTGCGAGTAATAAAAATAGATTCCATTATTTAGTATCATTGTACTTGACATATTTAATAAATTACTAAATATTTTGAGTAATAATGAAGAAAGATTTCAATTTTCATTGCTTAAGAAAAATTCTTTCACAGTTGCTTCATAGTAAAGATTGAATATATGAAACCACATGATCAAACTTATGTATTTATATCAAACCCGGTTCTGATACCTCAGTGAAACATCTTCAAGTTTATGACGACACGAAATTTTTCAATTATCTGCCAATTTTAGGATTTTGAGTCTGTAGATAATAATGATAAGGAAACCTCTTAATAATTGATGAGTCTGAGGTAAAAAAATAAGTCGTTTACTCGTGTGTAAATAAGTTTAAAGCGACTAGATGTAAGAGATTAATATCTAATGATACATTAAATTACACAAGCACACACACACAACACATTTCCACTGAAATCAGTATTAAAAATGATTAGAATAAAATTTTGATGTTAAAAATCTTAACTGATATCTTATGATTAAGCGGGAAATAAGAATTTAATGTTATCAACGTACTTGTTGCAGTTTCAAAAAAACTGAAAGAAAATCTCCTTCAGCATATATGAAATTGTATACAAAAATGACCGAAACTCCTTTTTTAATTTAACTTTCTACTTTTCTATTTCCGATAAATGAGATTTTGTTTCCAATCCAAATACTTAATTTTAATATTTATATAATATTATCATGATATAAGAGAGGCATAACTATAGAAATTTCCTAACTTATCACTGGTATTCATTTGAGAGCACTTTTCATTTAATATTTAAATATCAGCCTTCTAGAAATGTATGATTACACGACGTTAGGTTATTAAGCCTTATCAATGATGTCAAATCAAAAAGATAGCAATTAGAAATATTTGAATTAATGAAAATAAGTAAGATACATAAGAAACTCTAATAGGTCTAACATAACGTCATTTGAAATGGTTCATCAGAAACTTTAGGTAGTCAAACATAATAAGATAAGAAATATGAGCATCCAACGAACGAAGGTGAACATTTTTCCACTGTACAATTATCACTTAAGATTATCTATTGTCAAAAGAAAAAAACATTACACGTAAGAATAATTCATTCATTTTATGTAAAGGCTTCAATTATAACTAGGAAAAGGAGGAGGAGGAGGATACAAATATTTTCATGAAAATCATTTGATGTATGAACCGATAAATAAATCAATATATTCAAAAATAGGTCGTTAAATAAAATTACCTGGTTTTATCATCAAAAAACAAATTCTTTTTGAAAGATTTCGAAACAATCTTATCGTCGTTTTCCTTCTTTATCTTTATTATTTTTATTTTCACTTCGTCTTTGCTTCTTGTTTTATTTAATTGAATTTTTAAGTGAACATTTGTGAAAATTGTGCTAGAAGAAAGAGATTGATGCCTAATGATATTTCCTAGACAAATTAAAAGATTTTTCATTGTTTCAGACTCCATGTAATTAATTAAAAAAGACAAAAACAAACAAATAAATGTGAGGTGACACTATCATTAATTAAAGTATTGCGAAATTCATTTCGATAACAATTGAAATATGAAATATAAAATATAATACTTTATTATATAAAATATCAATGTGAGAGCGAAAAAAAGAAACTAAAAAAAGTAAAAAATTTCTGTTTTTCGTTTAGCCGATAAACGATGACAGTGTCGCCGCGCATGAATCTGTCGAGCCGGATGGGGAAGGAAATGAACTTTCGGGTACAGAGGGAAATACGGACGAACATTCTGAAGATCCTATCGAAGGTTTCGTTGTGACGCAGGAGTATATTCAAAATAGTATGTGAAATACTCTCATTTTTTCTTAAATATATAATTTACATTTCTTATTTGGAGTCTGAAATATGAAAATCAAAAAATGTCTTTGAAATTTTCACAGCAATCAAAAATGTTCTGCGACAAGGAAATTTAAATCCAGAAATTGAAGAAAAATTGTTAACGCTTCAACGTTATCAAGAAAAGCAAGCAAAAGGAGAACCATTAGATTCAGATGGTGTGGGTTCTGCTTACAAATCGAATTATCCAACCAGGTCAACAAGATCCAATCGTCATTCAAATGTGGGAAGTGGTTATGACAGTACGATTGAATCTGATGAATTTGATGATGACAAAAGCAATCATTCTTATAAAGGCTCACGAAGGGGTGGTGGAACAGGTGATGATGATGAAGAATGGGTGATTGATACACCTCGTAAATATATTAAGAAAGCAGATCGAGAAAAGACATCAGAACGAAAGACAATTGTTGATTCGAAGAAAGAAATCAGCGAAAATGAAGGCACGACACAGAAAGTTTTCGTCAAAACAAACGATTCTGGCGAAATAAGAAAAAATATTATTTTCTGTCAACGTGCACAAGTTCAAAGTTCAGGTGAAAACAGTTTTTCAGTGATTAGTGGCAGTGAAGAGTCAGAAAGAAGCCAGAAAAAAGGTCTCTTAGTGTCAAAATTAAAATTTAAAGCATCTCAAAAAAGCAACACAAATGTTGATGATGATCAATTCACGAATCACAAGTTACAAGTAATTTAATTTATTTTATTTCTTTTTATACATTTATAATATCTTGAATACATTTTTAAAGGCTCAATTGCTTAAACATAAAGAAAGTTTGAAGAGAATAATTCTTAAAAAGCGAGACATTTTGGAAAAAGATTTATATAATGAAATACAAAAAGAATTATCAGCAGAAATGGCAGTTCGAATTAAAATCATTTGTGCGAAACAAAAAGTCATCGAAAATAAGAAGGAACCATCAAAGTACATGAAGAAGAAGTAAAATGAAATTATTTTTGTATACATAATTAGGTAAATATATTTACATGAATATTTTTACATATCTAGAATGGAACGTTTAGCTTCGGAAGCTCAAAATCGTCAAGAGCAAAAGGAAGAAACGACATCACATGAGAATGACAACGAGCAGAAGTTAAAAAAGAGATTAAATTTGACGAAGAAGACGTTAAAAAGTTCAAGCATTTCTTCGCCGAATGCTGAAGGCAATAATGATAAAAAGATGAAGAAAAAGCAGAAACTTTATTGCATATGCCAAAGACCGTATGACAAGACAAAGTAATTGCCAGAAAATTCTTTTTTCTTTTCCTTTCTAATGAAATTCTTTTGACTTTTTAAAGATTTTATATCGGATGTGATCTCTGCAGTAATTGGTTTCATGGTGAATGCGTTGGAATATCCGAAGAAGAATCTAAAATTATGACAGATTTTATCTGCTCGGAATGTGAACATGCTAAAGATTCTCAAGAATTGTTTTGTCTTTGTCGTACTCCATACGATCAATCGCAGTGAGTATTTTAAAGTTGTAAAGAAGCGTCAAGTTTATTAATTTAACTGTTTTAGATTCTATATTTGCTGTGACAAATGTCAGGACTGGTTCCATGGAACTTGTGTTGGTATTTTGCAGAGTGAAGCTGAGTTCATTGATGAATACATTTGTCCAAATTGTCAAAAGAATAACTCAATAAATTTCGCAAACATGAAGACGTTGGAAGACGAAAATTATAAGGAATTACTCGTTTTCCTTAAAGATATTCAGGTAAGACACTAATTAGTCGTCAATAATTTGTTAAATAACTTTTCTGTTTATTTAAAGTGTCATAAAAGTGCATGGCCGTTCATAGATCCAGTTGACGCCAATGAAGTTCCTGACTATTACAACGTTATTCGTGATCCGATGGGTAAATTAATGAAAACATAAATCAACAAGAATAATTTTAAACTCTTTTTCAATTAATTAAAATAGATCTGAAACAAATTGAAAGGAAAATTCAAAATCGTCACTACACATGCCTTGCTGACATCATCAAAGACATGACGAAAGTATTTGACAACTGTCGTTACTATAATCATTGTGAATCGACTTTCTATAAATGTGCTGAAGAATTAGAGAAATTTTTCATTCAAAAATTGAACAATTTTCGGGATTATTTAATTTCATCTCCTTCATAACTTAATTAATAATCTTGATTATTAAACACTATTGTATGTCATTGAATTTTTTATGATTAAATGAATAGACAAATAAGAATTGAATTGTATTTCTGGCTTTAATATAAAGATTTTCATTCTTTTATGGTTATGAATTTTTAATTAATTTTTTTTTTCAGATTTTGTGGTAATTTAAATTCTTCTTTTTCCAGTCATTTTCCAACCTTGCTCCTCGATGCTTCACAAGCGTAGTCCCAAATTTTCTTATACGCTAGAATAAATAAATAAATAAATTATTTCCTTATCGATCAATGGAGCATTAGAAAGTTACTTTTGTTGGGATTACGACAATTATGAACGCCAAGATAGCAATCATTTGGGAATGTCTTTATTGTGTCGTATTTTGCTGCTTTGACAGGCGCACCACAGACAGGCTTATAAATTTCAATGCAAAATTCCGGGCACTCTTTCGCTTCTATCATGTTGATAACAATCGTCAAAAATATTATAAAACTTATACGACACATCATTCTTTATATTTATTAAGTTGTGAGTTTAAACGACATTCACTTAGTTAGCCATGGATTGAAATGTCTTCGTTTATATATAATAAAAAACTTAATTCTTATCAAATTCTGAATAAAATTTCACTTTGAGTTTTTGTTGAAATTTATGTGACATTTTTATGACGAACCTTTTTGGAAACTTTTTTTACGATTTCAAGAATTTCTAGGTTGCTTTCGGTTTAGGTTTAAAGCATGTAGGAATACAAAAAAAAAATGTTGAGAGCTGACAATGCTGAATAATATTTATAAAAAGTATTTCAGTCAGACGATTTTCTACGAAAAAATAAAATATAAAAATCATTTTTCAGACAGAAGTTCAAGCAAAGCATAAATGCGGGAATGTCATCGATGTCATGAGAACATTAATCTTGTCGAAAGCTTCTTTTTTCTTTCATTTTAATAAATTTTTTATTTCGTCTTTGTATCTCCTAAGAATATTAAAATCGTTATCAAAACATAACATGCAGAGTATCATGATACTTAACACATTGCCCTAAATTTTAATGTAAACGTAATTCAGTTCACATGTTTCATCTCTCATGAATGTTTAAGCCAAATCGATTTCTTTCTTTTCTTAAAAAGGTTACACAAAATACTTCATGGCGACAGGTGAGAAGAATATCTCTTATCAAAACTCATTTCACGTTGAAGCACATAAGTCATAAAACGATTTTTATTATCATTTAACGCATCTTTGATGGCTTTTAGATCGAAAAGAAAACCTAAATCCTAATTTCCATTGAATCATTTTATTTGAAAATTGATTTGCTAACAGATCATACAAGCGTGAAGTTAAATTAAAGTCGTAAAAAGTTTGAAACCAATATTTTGATTATTTTGATAGGAAAATATTCCACTCATTTGTACCTTATCCACCGCTATCAAGATAGTCGATTCATTAAAGATTTTCATATATCTTCAGTAACTCAAAATGTATTTTTCTGAACAAAAATTCAAACGTGACTTCATTGAAAATTCTACTCAAGACATCTCGAGAGTTTTCCCACATTTTTTTCTCATCAAAGGTCGTGTTGTTCCCGTTTTGAAGAATGATTGCCTCAACTGCCTTGCTATCGAATCAGGTAATAAAACTAGAAACAATATTTCTTATCATTAAATGCTCGCACAACCTTTTTTGTTGTTTATGAAGAAAGTTAAGCTTTAAGTTAAGGACTGACATTCGATTTGCTTCAAGCATTTTTGTTGAAAAAACTTTTCTTTTGTGAACAGGAATTTAAAATGCTTCGTTTAAAATAAAGTTTAGATGTAGAATGACAAAAAAAATGTCAAGCGACAGCTTTTTATCCTAATTGAATCAACTTTTTAATTCCTTCAAATCAAATTAAAAATAATGATATTTGGTATCTCACTGCCATAATAAACCGCAAGGAAATTTCACAAGATTTAATCTTGCCGTGTCATCAACGAAAGATTGAAGAAATTTGCATAAGTTGCTTTCATGATTTTCTCATTTCTTCCTTGTGTACTCACCAAAACGAAGATCGGGCCTTTTTTCATGTGAAAATCTTACTTATTTCAGCAACTTTAATGAAATTTAGTTTGAAAACTTCCATTATTATCGCTTGGAGAATGTTTATTTTGAATCTTGAACAAATGCGTCCTCAAGGGAGACGACAGATAAATATTAAATATATTACTGATTGCTTCTCAGCTCAAAGTTGTCTCAACTTTCCTTCTCTGTCTATCTTCTTCTTTCTTTCATTTTTTGGATGTTTTTTCATTCAAAGACAACATCGTCAACCGTCTTTTTTGTTGCTTCTGTCAGAAAATTGAAATGAAATTCTTTTTTTACAGCTTTTTGCGTTGGCAGGAAATGAAATTCCAAAAATTCAATTAAATTTAGAGAACATTTTTTGCTTTCTCACTGCTGAGCTTAATAAGTTACATTTCGTACAATATCATGATTGAGTAATATTATTTTTATTTCTTCGATGATTCTTCAAAAAAAAAGAGAATTTCCTTTGTACAAATGATTTATCATCATTAACCCATTTGTGCGATGAGAATTCACATTAACTCCTTAAAAAGTAGCATGGAAAAATCAATTTATGAGCTACAAGTGCATTTCTTCACAGACTTATATCATATTCAGGTCAAGATGAGATATTTTAAGGATATCAATGCTAATCTGAGAATCCATTACCATAAAAATATGAAAGAAGTCAGATGGTCGACGAATTCTCGAACAATTTCGTTACATTCTTGTTAAGCCACCCACATAAAAATCATTCAAATCCTATTTAAAAATTTCACGGAAGATTTCAATGATTAAATGTCGAGAAGAAGAAAAATTAAAAAGAAAATCTTTTAATAGTGAACTTATGTAGTGTTGGAAGTAAATGATGTTTGAACAATTTCAACTTTATGCTAAATACTTTCTCGTTTGTAAAAGAATCAGGGGTTTAGTTAAAGTAAAGTTTCCCACTAAACACTTAACCTAAGACACCTGGAGCAACAATAAAGGGAAAGTTTGATCGTTCTACGCTTTGCAATATGAATAAAAGTTTTCCATTCTAAGGCAAAGTCATCTTCAAACATCATTTTTGGTACAGTTTTGCTTGCCTCTGTCGATCCTTGTAATCATGTTTAATGTCTTTTTCATGCTCAACATTCATTGACAAAGCAGTGAATTAGAAAAGGTCTCGTTGTTGATGATGAATAATTTGCACTTCAAAGTGTTAAAATTCAGAATATTTTCCTGTATGAATATCGTGAAATATTTGTTATTATTAAAATGCAAAACAGATAGCAAAACATTATTTTTCTATCTCCAATAATTATTAATCGATAATATTATAAAAGGGACACTTGACTAACAACAACGGTCATTATCAAGATGAATGATTTCAACCATCTTTACAATCGTACTCATCATTTCCAATGAGAAAAATTTCCATTAGAAAAGGTCGGAAATGGAAGAAAATTGTAAATGAAATTACGAAAGAATGAGGCCTTTAGTGATGTAAAATATTACTTGCCAAAAAGTACCAGCGTGAGTCATTCAACCTCAATAGTGTCAAAAAGACGTTTTAATTTGAACGAAAAGATTTTCTCAAAGGCATTTAACGTAATTAAAAAGAAATGGCTAAAAGAATTTCAATAAAAAAAGCTTCTTACATTTGAAATTAAATATCTTCTGAGAACATTATAAGAAAAGTTCATTGGCTTTCATCACGAATCAATGACCAAAGTTGAAGTGAAAAGAATGTCAAAGGTTCTTTAGAACTTGAAGTGACTTCGTCTTATGTACAAAATAAATGTAAACAATTTTCATCTAACATTATGAAAATATGCAAATATGTACATTTTCACTCTGCATTATGTGTAGAATAGCTTTACAATAATGACAAGCATCGAGTATCTCCATTCACAAAGAATCAAATAATAAACTCGCATGTAGCACCATATTGAATGTGTCATTAGATTCTCGTTTTCATGTACATGACGAAACTATTCAATGAGTTCACAAGAGAAAAAGTTTTTATTGAAACTAAATCTTCGGAAAATTCAATTTTAAATCCAAGATTGCTGTGTAAGTCAATCAAAATCTAGTCGACAAATGGCGCACAAAAATTAAAACTTTCAATCTTTGATTTACCAAGATTTGAGAGCGATTACGAATAACTCAGTAGATGTTTTAGTAATTAGGAGTAGATCTGAAATTCACACCAATAATTATATAACACCCCAATCTCAACAAAACAATCAACAAAACACACACCATTAATAAAATACTTATTAATGACATGTCACTTCTGTTATGAACTTGTCAAAACTCATTATTCGCACGATTGGATAGCTGGGTTAAATGTGTTTAGGAGAAAGATTAAATAGCAATAAATGCAGACATTTTTAAGCTGTTCTGATAGCCTGTAAGGATGATTTCCAAGAAATGCTTTAAAAAGCAAATATAAATCTTATATCGTCAAAAGCACCACAGTCCAAATAGGGTCACGGCCAGTAAAACCTTTTTTCTTTTATGAGAATCTTTCCTTCACATTTATTATCATCTTTGAAGCTTCTGGTTTAACTCTTTCTCTATTGGCTTGTTAAACCCTTAGAAACTCATCCCATATTTACGTAACAATGACGAGAAATTGACAAATTTAATGACCAACCAATTTTTAAGTCGTTAAGATATTCCAAAAATATTTTTCCTACATTTTGTTAGAATTTTCAATCGTAGGAAATTTCTACACATACGCACATTGATATCCCGAAATCATTCATTTTTGGGGATGAAAGTTTATCTCTCCAGCTCCGTCAGGGCTGAGAAACGAAATCTCTCAATTAATTTTCAAAAATTTTGTTACTTCATGGCTTTGAGAACGACAATCCCTGCTGTCTGTCCGTATATATGTCGTCGTAGTAAATCGTAGAACGAACAATAAGGATCAGAGAACGCTCTTCTTTTTTCTGATTTATTATGTGGGTGTAAGTAAAATTTTGAAAGAAGAAGAAGCAAAAAAGAGGCTCATAAATATTCTCACATTGCGTCACTATGTCCACTCAATTTCCCATCAAAAGCCAGTTTTATTACTTTCGGGAAGATAATATAAATAGCAATAAAACTTCTATAAAAACGATTATGAAAGACGCTTTGGCTATATGGGAAAAGTTTTGGAGCCGATTATTTTTATGAGCAATGTTTAACTTTAGCAAAGTTTGTTTTCCTTTTTTATTCATTTTACTCGTCGAATTCAATTCCCTTGCTGGGGAGAAGAAAATTTCAACAATCTAATCACACTTATTCTCTCTTCTAATTATACAAAAATTTCTGTCACGAAAGTAATCGCTGAATGATTAATAAGCTTTTGAATAAAGCTTTCAGATTCAAGTTGCAGTCAATTCAGTCGTAATTTGGGGGGATTAAGAATGTCGTTTCGATTCTCAAACTTATCGGAAACAAAGGCAAAGCGAAAAGGAAATAGAAATCGTGTAATAAAAAATTAAATACTGATAGATTGTTGCTGATTGTTTCGCTTGCTTGTTGAAATATTTTCAGCATTAAAGTTTTCGATAAGAATGAATTTTTCAAGAGTGTTTGCTTTTTATTTAGGAATATTTTCTAGCATTTGATGATTTCAATTTTCTCTCCCATCACAACATATCCACTCATCGCTAAGTTATGTTTGATCATCGAACTCATGCTTTTGTTGTTCAGTCTGAAAAAGGCAGGATTTGAATTGTTCATGGTTGGTTAGGTGCTATTGACATGGGTTCAATTGAAGACTCACGTGGAGAGAAATGATTAAGATTTATTTCAATCAAACTTTTCAGCCATTAAATTTTCGTTTCGGGATAAATTTCTTTTATCTTCTTGTCAAGAAGCGAATCATTGCGAAAACTTCGTCGGAATATGAAAAGTTTTTTCAATATTCTTCTCTACTCGAATAAGATTAATGGAAAGTTTTCGTTTGATATCCAAGTTACGGTGACTGTTACCGTCGTGCTAGCTGCCTGAGATCATTACATTCATCTGATGACAGCAATTGAAAAATTGGAAAATCAAGTGGAATTGTGCGATGAATCGAGGCGTGATTTTTGGAAGGTTCTATATGTGAATGAACATCAAGTGTTCTTCACAGCTTTCTTTTTCTTATCACTCTTGGGAAGCTCCATTCCAAGAATTGTATGAGCTCATCAAAACTATGTCATGAACGTAATCGGAAGCTTTTGCAAGCAATGTCGCTATATCACTTTCAAAGAGCTTTAAGCAACATGACAATCGACTTTAATGCTGTTAAAACAAGCGATAGTGTCAGATGCTTTCTGGCAAGAAATTCGATGTCACTGCAACATTTCTTTGTTGCTTACTTTTCAACACAGGCAAAGTTCATTCAACTTTCTTTCTCTTTCTCGTGGACACATTTAGCATCATGTTTCGTTTATTTGGGAGAATGTTTTATGCAATGCTTAAGAAATGAAGGAGTCAATTTACTCTTACTAGCCATCAGCTTTCTCAATTTGCCGGACCTTTGGATTTTTTTACTTTGATGCATCAGTTAACGAAAACTTTTTTGCCACTTTTCAACTTTCTTCCCAACAAAAGCTTCACTGGACTTGACGTAATTTCTTGTGAAAAATTTTAAATTAACTTTCTGATTGAATTTCTCTTTTTCTTCTCCTTTCTAAGTATACCAAGAACACCGTCTTTTCGATGTGATTCACTCAAAAGTTGTCGCGCTCTCTGGATGAAACTTTTTTCCTTCGTGTCAAAAGAAATGATTTTAACGGTAAATTGAATTCATTGTTCATCAAAGAAGTGTCTTCTTTCTCTTTCTCTCTTTTTTGTCCTTTCAAATAAGTACTTGCTCTCAATGCTTTTATGTTAGTTATGTTATAAAAGCTCCTTTTCTTCTTCTCCATCTTCGTTAGTTATCATAAATATGTATAAGTAGTTCTTGTACAAAACACAAAAAGAAATTATTTTTAGCATTTTCTTTTTTCATTTAACTTACTGGCATCATATTGTGAGTTGATTGAGTATTTGAGACAATATGTAAGAGCTTTTGATGAAAATGTGATTTAATTAAATGATGTTGTGCTCGTGCAACAAATTAAAACGAATGTAACAATGAACTTTTGCGGTGAAACAATTATATGAACAATTACTTACAAAGAACTCAAGCATCATCATTCTCCTAAGTGAGATTAGTGATAATTATTTTCTTTATATTTGATAAAATATATCTAAAAGTGATGAAGTTATTTACACGAGTAAGAAAGGAAAACCAATTAATTATTTATATATACCGCCCAATCATTAATTCAGCGCTTAAATTAATACAAGGTCAAGTAGGATCTTGCCAGGTCAATCAGAAAATTTATTTTTGGAGAAATCTCATAAAACAAATAAAAGACAACTTCAATGTTTTCTTATCTTAAATTCGTTTTTGTTGTTTAATAAAGAATGTTCTTCCCAATTCCAGATACCTTAGTTGATAATTAAACCCGAATTCCTGTGAAATTCGCATGGAAAATATGGGTCAAGAACAAAAGATATATTGCGCTTTTTGATGAGTATTTATAGTTGGCAATCAATATCTTTGCGTTGAAAAGAAAACTTCCTGCACGAAAGTTTGTAATGAAACTTTCATTAAATCAATGAGCCGTAAACATCCTTTTCACCCAACAATGCTGAAAATGTGATGGAGAAAAAAGTTTTCCTTCTTTCTTTTTCTTTTCTCTTTTTTTTTTTGATAGGTTATCGTTCTTGTTGTTGAATAGTTAGAGTGAACTAATCAATCATCAAAAGTCAATAAGTTGTGAAGATTGCATGCACGCTTAAGGATCGGAAATTATTTTGGGCTATTAAGTCAGTCACTTTTACTTTATCTCACGTAGATAAATAGAATGACGTCAAGATACTGAAGATTTTTATTTTTTCATGACCACCTACTTGAAATTAGTTTCCAATATTTTCTGAATAAAACTTTTATTGTTAAACTTTCTTCAACTACACTGTTGATTGAGGAGTCTAAACTTATTATAAGTTTTTGTTTTTCAAATTTCATTATTAAAGTTCAGAAATAGAGTAACAGAGGTCAGTTATAAATAAACTCAGATTACATCGTCGTGATGTCTTCATTGACGTTGATGACCTTTACTTGCTGCTCAATATTATCTTCCTGATTATCGACCTGAATAAAATATTTAGTATTAAACTTCAAATGTTTTTTAAATAATGCTTAAAAATGTTAACATTTACAATTTCTAATGCTTCGATTTTGATATCAATTGCAATTTCGTTGTCATTAATGTCAGGGTCAGCAAAGTTATCCAGCTGTTCACGTTCTTCATTACTCTTTTCATAACGAACGACTGCAATTTTCAATTCTTCGATTTCTCTTTTACAATGTAAATTGTTTTTATTAGAAGGTCAACAGATAATAAAATTATAAAACTTACCTTTGCATTTTTTCACATTTTTCAATGCACTCACTCAATGTTTTCATCATTGAATTCTTGACATCAAATGTATCTTCAATTAATTTCTTTGCTTCTGCCAATTTAGCATTTGTTAATGTTTCTTCTTCAATCATTGATTTCATTTTCTGATCTCTACACTGCAATTCATTTTTCAATAATGTCATTATAAAACTTTTTTGCTGATGTAAGCGATTAAGTGTAAGGAATTCAGCTTGAGATCTAGAAAGTTTTCTTTGAAGTTTCGAAATTATTTCAGATTTTTCATCCAATTCAGGTTCGCTGTAAAATATTTAAATAGTTTTTTGAAGAAAATGAAAACGTGTTTAGTATAATTTTACGTCAAGTTCAAATTAAGTTCCTGCTTGCTTTCTGATTCCTTATTAATCTTATCTAATACTTCATGGGATTCACTAAGAAGAGATAAAATTTCATGAAATTTGTACTTTTATTTATTAAATTAAAGAATACTCTTCAATATCGGAAGTCTCGCTTCTGACTTCATTTTTGACTCCAATGTCTGGCATATTTCTTCCCTATTATTATTACGTAGTAATTTAATGATATTATCTGATAATTATTAACACAAAAAGAAAAAGATTCTTTTATACTTTCAGAAGTCGTAAGTTACGAATATGATCTACCAATGAGATCTACATGCCAATAAATTGATCATGAAGTTGACTTCAAATATTCTTTGCACCGTTATTAATATTGATTGTAAACGCTGAAATAAATACCTAGATATTTATAATTATAATTATTCATTGAGTCACGTTTTATCAGCGATGTATACATTTTTTATTATTTGAACGAAATAAACAGTAGTAGGATGGAAAATAAAATAAAAAGCTTTTGAAATTTACTTTTCCACATAAGTTTATTCATATTTAATTCAGTTTTTAAAAATGTTTTATAATAAAAATAAATATTTTGGTACGGTTATTTAAGTGTAAATTAATTTATCATAACATTTTAATTAAATAGTTTTTTCAAATAGTCTTTTTGAACTGCCCGATAATCCAACAAATATTTCTTGGCACGATCAAACTCTTTAAGAATCGCTTTATTGCCTGGTAATAACTTGTGGGCGACTTTAAGATCATCGAGAGACATTTCGTAGTTATTCAATGCCAGATTTGCAACCCCTCGCCGATAAAAAGCCTTTGAATTGTTTGGGTCAAGTTTGATTGCGGCATTGCACGAAAATATGACATCATTAAAATCTTGAAGCTTTAGTTCTGTCGCCGCAAGGTTTGTGAGATTTACGAGTTGGAACGTGTCAAGAGAAGCTTTTTCATTGTCATCATGGGTGTGATCTTTGAAGAAATTATAAAACCTTGTAAGCTTTTTATATTTTCTTGCACTTTTCACAAAATCTCCTCGACGATAAAAGTAATTTCCGGATTCTTTTATAATGCTGAGAATTTCTAATTTTTCACTCATACTAAAATTGTCTTCATATCTTTCCCAATCAGCAGGAAAAGGTGGAAGTGTATCCATTGTTTCATCATTGTCAAGATATCCCCAGTCTTCTTCTATTTTAAATTCACCACAATTACTTATCAAAATCGGTTTTTGAGGAACACCATCATCATTTGTGCAGTTTTCCATTTCACTAACTAATGGCAATCCTTTTAAAACCTTTCCAAATACCACATTTGTACCATCAAAATGGGGACATTCAATACTCGTTATAAAAAATTGTGAGTTATTTGTATTTGGTTCACCGAAATTCGCCATAGATACAACACCCGCATCATGCTTTAAAGGAAATCGAAATAACAGAAAGAATTATTTTTAACATAAAATAAGTCTCTTAAACATTCAACAGTATTTGTAAAACATACCTTTAAAGTAAAATTTTCATCTTCAAAATATTTTCCATAAATAGTTTCACCTGAAGTTCCATTATAATTTTTAATATCACCACCCTGAGCATGGCACAGTTTAATGACTTTATGAAACTTTGAGCCCCGATAACATAATCCTTTTTCACCAGTACACAATGATCTAAAGTTTTCACAAGTCTTTGGACAAATGTCTTTACGAAGCTCAATTACAATTCTTCCAACTAAAATTCCACAAATCATTTTTTGAATTAGATTTGTTTGCAATTCTATTTTGGTAGGCGGTAAAACATTTAACTCACCGTTTTCTCTTCCAATCTTAATATCCAAGAAAACAATTGGATTCGTACTAACGCAAGATTTTTCTATCATTGTATTTAAATTCTGTTTTTGTTTTGATTAGTTACAATTTTTAAGGAGATAATGACTTCTATTACATTTAGCATTTCGTGTTCAAAACAATACAATGCTAAACTTTCTCTGACCGTCAGTCATTAATGAAACAATGTGAAAATGAAACAAAATTGAGAGAAAATGCAAGAGAATAATTTTTCTCGACATGTATCAACTATCAAGGAAAACAAGATTTTGAAATATATAAAACAAAATAAGAGTTTGATATGGTTATCCATCTTATTTATTGATCATCATAAATGATTTATCTATTCCAATGACATCTAAATATATGAAAACTTTATCAGTCTTCACTTTTCTTTATTTAATGCTTTAAAGTGAACATAAATTCACTAGGTAGCCAGCCACGTTTGAGTTTTTCTTTGAAAAAGTAATAAAATAACTGTTAAAGCAAGAAAAAAAATCTTCCTCCATTTAGGCAAAGAAAACTTTTTCTTTATTCATATGTTATTTGGATAACATTCCCAAAGGATATTGCCAAGACCAAGTTTTGATTCCCATGATTTTTTGTTATTATTTCGACTGTTTTCCCTACTTAATAAGAAAATTGATATAAATAAACAAATTCTGCGAGCTGAGAATTCTTTTTATAAAATGCTTGTTTCGTCTTGTATATGACGGAAATAAAATACATTTTTGCTTAAATCATATTTCAACTTATGTTGTGACATTTTCTCGAGTACAATTTTCTTGAAAATTATATTCTATATACATTGTACTCTGTGGACTTAAGGTATGAACATGTGTTGATGATGAAGTGCAGAAAGGAACACATTGGCCTGCAAGCTTTTCACACTATGCGGTTACACTTGACAAATTTACTTAATACCTAAATGTGTACCTAACATAATATACAAAATGTAAAGAAAGAAACTAAAAATAATTTCGACACTTCAATAGAAGAAAAACATGTTCGATAAAGCCAGTGAGAATACTTTTGTCACGAAAATATATAAATTAATAAATTTTATTCACATTTATCTTACAAAATTTTTCATAGCGGAATATTTTCATGCCATCTCTACCAGTGTAAATGTCAGTTATAACATGAATTATGAATTGTTATGCTGAATTTCAAATGGATTTCAGATCTCAAGTTTTGAGTCAAAAACATTATTGCACAAATATGAAGCAAACGAAGTTTCGATGCCAAGCCCTGAATTTTGTCATACATAGTTTGTTGCTACATATTTACCCAGCGTGTTGAGTTTAGAAAAATGGTGATTCTTATTTATTACATCACAAACTTTCTCTCGTTTCTACGTTTTCTTTAACGGGCTAAATTATGGTCAGAATTAATTGGAAAATGGGAAGATAATGTGAAAAATCTTCCGAAGACAAAATCAGACAAAGAGAAGTTTGAGATGATGGAAAAGATTAGAACAGCAGCTGTTATTCCGACCCTTCAAGCTATAGCGAATGTTCTTTCACTTATTAACCACATTTATCTTGTCCTCAGATCACGAAAGCATATCTTAATAACAAGTTTTCAGTTTCTTGATATCTTGGAAAATTCTTGAAAATTATGTAAAATTTATTTATTCTCGTTCAACCCTTGTTTGGTCCTTCTTTGATTTATTCATCATGAATAGAGATTAAATAGAGAACAATTAGTGATTATTTTACATTTTCTTCTGCTCAAGAGAATTCTCTAGGACATCCCTGAAGGAATTTCTTTCATACAAAGTATTCATCTATTGACATTCTGCTTATCAAACAATTAACTCAATAGTGATGATGATTATCCAATAAGATTTTTAATAATTAATCACTCAAAATATTTATAACTTTAATTTATGAATGTTTATGACTTGATTGCTCTCAAAACATTTTTCAGTAGAGTTAAGCTTCTCAACAGTATTTATGGGAAATTGTTCCGGAGTAAATTAAGAAAATTTTTCCCTCACCTTAAAAGCTTTACGTCACCTTTCAGTAAACTTATCTATTTGATAATCAGAACACTGACAGTGTTCTTATACTCGGCAGAAATCAATGATGAATATAAAAACCTGTTGAGATTCTATCAACAATTCCAAGGGATTTTTGGTGCTTAGAGTGGCGATTGAATTTATTTGTATGTAAAGATAATCTTAATGGCGTTCATCTGTCTTCTTTCCCTTTTCAATTTCTTTATAATATAAAATCAGATTAAGAGATTTCCCATGAAAGTGAACTACGTTGCTGTAACTCTATTGAGAAAAAAGATTTTCCTTCTTAGTCGTCAAGTAGTCTTAACTGTAAAAGGAGCCATCATTACGTGCGTAGTTTTTCACAAAACTTTTCTTGTGTCTTCCCGATTGTCTACTTTTTTTTTTATTCCATTTCATAGTTACAAGCTTGTTCTTATTCAATTTAAAGCGAACGATATTATTACTGACTATAATCCCTTTGTCACAGGTGGTTCCAACAAAAAATAGTAATTTGTTCATGTCCTTTAGTTTCATTAAATTCTTTTCATGCCACACTCATTTCAACAATGTCACAACCTTTTTAAGAGTGACAAGGATATTTTTAGTCTTTTTCTAAATCAAGCAATGACCATCATAGACCATCCCGTCTATCTATTTATATTATTTAACGAAAAAGTAACAAGAACAAAAAATTTAAAAAAATTTGCAAGCAGTGTAAAAAAAGTTTTCAATTGTAGCATCGAAATGAGAAATAAAAAATCTGGAAATTCCGAAAGTCTAACTTCAATATTTTCTCCTTCATGCTGTTACAGATTTTCGTGAATAAAACTTATCTGAAGAACTTGGAGAGGAAATAAATCAGAAACTAAAAAAAATACACAAAGTAAGCAAGTTTGACAAATTTATTTTCTTTTTAAAGATTTGCATCTTTTATCAGTGATAATATATTTTTATGAAGATTCTTCAATGAACTTCCCTTTATCAAACCTTCTTCTGAATTTATCTCTTAAACAATTCTTCAAATCGATTTTCTCTATAAAAGGAATTTCTTTTCTCTGTTTTTATTGCAAGCAATCGGAGGCTCAACATAAACATAGAGCCTGCTATATGTTTATTCCCTTTTACATCGAAACAAAGCACAAGTCTAAAACGTAATAAATGTGTATTCGAATGACATTAAATGTTTCATTGGAACACTCTCTGAATAATAAAAGGAATCGTTTTAGAAATTATTTCAAAGTTCCAGAGATTCATCCGATCTCATTTTTCAATTTTCTTTTACCGCAAATTTTAATGTTCGGAAAGCCTTTTTCATCTTCTTTTATCTTCCTCCGTGAAAACCAAAAATTTTATTTCCATTTCTTTATGTACGAAATGCTTATCTGGTGTCTCTGAATCTAATTTCAAAATTTATTGAGAAGACGAATGAAAAGCATTGAGAACATTCGTTCAAGTGTTACAAAAACTTTTTCCTTTTTAACTTGAAATAAAAAAGAGAAAGCATTTCAAACAATCAAAGCATAAAGTAAAAAATTACAAATCGAATTATTTTGATATTTATTACACTTTTTCAACCAAAGTGACATAAATTCAATCAAATTAAAAGATTTAATGTAAAATGATGGATTTGAGAATCGATTTTTAATGCATAAATTCTTATTGATTTAAGAATCATACCAAATATTAATGGTTTTTTTGTGTTTTCTTTCAACTCATATGTATTCAGGAAGTAGCCCAAACAGATGAAATATTTTATTGCTTATGGAAATCGAAAGCTTCTTTTTGCTTTTTCAATAAAACAGTATATTGGATACAAGAATATGTTGCAACATTATTCAATATATGAGATTTAGAAACATATGAAATTGATTTAATCATGGCTTAAGCGAATTATGATCTCACGTCAATTTCCATAACTTTTTTCCTATTTTCATTGATTTTTTATTGCTGACTTTCTCGACATACGAATGTTATTTTCCGAAATATTGCTTACGCTCTTCAAAATTTTCAATTTGTTTACGTGTGTGATTTCTGATTGATATGTAAAGTAAATTACGCATAATAAACAAAAAATAATAAAAACTGTTGACAACGTCATTCAATTGGTTAAATTTTGTTCACTTCCATGCATTGTTGTTGTGCTTTAGGAAAGCAAAATATTTAAATGCCGAACAGAAGTAGATAAAATTACAAATGACATAAAATTTACCTTAGATATTTATCCTTGCCTGACATATGGCACGCGCAATCTGAGATATAAAGAGAGTTCTTAAAATAATCCCTCAGTTTGAAAGTTTACTTTAAGTATGCTGCTTCAAGGAATGGGACTACCCAGATGAAGATGTTTCTTTCCCCCAGCCTTTTCACGTTATCCTGTAACTTATGGTAACGGCATGGTATCAAAATATCTCTTTCTGAAGAGTTTCTTCTAAAGTAATAGAAGTAAGCAATCGTAAGACGTTTTCAAGCTTCTTTACTTTGAGTCTCATGAGTATTTGTAATCATCAACTGATACTTTCCGACGCGTTTCATGCATTTTTTGTTAGCTTAGTCATTTCGACCTTTTTTGAAAATACTTGGAAAAGCAATAACCATACGTAATCACCATAATCATACAATTTTGGATTCGCAACCTTTTTAATATTGATGGAAGATAATTCACGTTAAGATTCATCCAACCACTCACGTAAAGAGATTTTCTTGAGGTTGATTACAGTCATCCAAGATTTAGATTTCATCAAGTTTTATTTCTTATAAAAACTAATTAAACGATACTATTTCAACCAACAATTTCTATAAATATTACAAACGTGCAAATAATTTTAGTTACATTTATAAATAATCATCATTAAAATGAGTAACAAAATATCTCTTTCGATTGGAAAAAAACTTTCCCTTCTTCAAAACTCTGATAAGATATTCTTTAAGAAACAAGAGACTCTTAATAAACAGAAAAAAAGTCATTAAAATTGAGAAAAAATTCTCGAAAATCTTTATAAAAACTTCCAAACAAAAATGTGTATTTATATTGTCTCTTTGGATATTCTTTGAAAAGATTCTTACAAAATTTCAAGTATTAAGTTCAGATTCAGACTTCGAGAAATATTCCCAAATTCAGATTAAATTTGCATGTTTCTAGAAGCTTGGCCGCAGTAAACATTGTTGGTGTAGATATTTCATCGCTTAAGACGACATCAAGCTGTCGTGAATATTGAATTGAGAATTTTCTTCTGTTCAAAGGAATGAAAAAGAAGCCCATAAAGTAATTTTCATTGAAATTTGTTGATAGGAAATGTTATTTGAACTTAGCATTCAGTTTAAGAGAAAATGAAAAAAGAAAAGTTTAATCAGATAAATATTAGCTTTAATCGAATGAAAATTGTTCCCAAATCGCGATGCACAGCAGATGTTCGCTTAAGAAATCTTAGATAATAAAAAATAGAAACTTTCTCTTGAGCCTTGTCGCGATTTCTTATGCTGTGACATAATTTATGACTTTTGTTTTACTGACGAATAACTTCGAAGAGATGGGAAGCTATTAAGGATTTTTCCAGTCACTATGATTCCGACTGTGCTTTGCTTGAATGTTATAAGAGAACAGGAAGAATCTACAGTTGATGTCTTAAAAAGCTGGGACTACCATTCTTGTTACTCTTGCCATATCAAGAACATTTATTATAAAAGAGCTTTGCATGGCAGCATGTGTGCATGAAATTGAATAAACATTAAAGAAGCTAGATGTAAAACTCTTCTAGTTGGCATTATCTTTTCCTTTCATAAAATGTTTATGTGAGTTTTCTTGAGGGAAAGTTCATTGTTGTTAGAACTGACCCAACACTCCAAGATTTTCATAAATAATTTCTTCTTTTCTGTTTCCCCTTTTCACCCTTGAAACAGCCGAACTTCTTCCTGAACTTTTACAACAAACAGCTGAGCGAAAAGAAAATATGTTGTGAAGGGATTTCCTTTATAGTTGTAAATTGTTTATCGTTTCCATGAAGGTAAAATATTTATGTTCATACACCTCATCTCTGAGCAACCAGAGTATTTGTTGTTAACTCAATAAATATAAAACCGAAAGAAGGCAAATTGTAAAAAAAAATTTAAACTTAATCTTTCAAGAATGGCAAGCAAAATGTTCAGTAAATCAGCAAATTCGAAAAATAAATTGAAAAGAAATCATTTCAAATCGGCATCGCGAGCAAGAAGTGAAGAGTGTATATGGGAAATTGAGGATAAAGCAAGGTTTGCCAAACGATAATTCTCTTTAATCTTACTACAATCATTCATAGGAATAATTTCCTTTCTGCTAGCTTAAGGCAACATGAGATAACAACCGATTCGAAAAGAAAGAAAAGCCATCTTGTAGGTAGGGAGATTGTGCGGATTATAACGAGAGATGGTGTGAGAGATTTGCTTGTATCGAATAAAACACCAAATTCTCAAACGGTTTTCTGGCCCGAACAAGAATTGTCGCGATTACAAGCAAACTCTAAAGTGATGACCGTCGAAGATAAAATGCAAGAGCTCAAATTGAGTGTACAAAAAAATGAGAAGCTTAAAGAACAATCTGAACAGAGAAAACAGAAGTTGAAAGAAATAGACACAGCTAAGGTTTCCAAAATGGAAGATCAAAAGGAACCTCTTATAAGCGATGATAACGAAAACATAAAACTCCTCGACAGAGCATTTCTAGCAAAACAGGAACAGGTACTTGATATGTTTTACATCACTTATCTCTTTTAATAAGGTGAAAAATCATTTTCCATATCTAACATATTTCTTGACGTATTTTCGGTTTTAAATTTCATAGTCGATTAAATGCAAAGCATGTTTATCGATTTTTTCTTCTTCTTTTCTCTTCTTGCTTCGCTCATCTTTTTTATCTCCAAAAAAAAATAAAATTTAGGAAGAAGAAGTGAAAAAGGCAAATCGCATTATCCTTGCCACAAAATGTTCGATAATACGCGATGCTCAAATTGCCGAGAAAAACGAAATAGCGCGAGAATTTCGCAATGAGAATTTGAGGCTTGAGAAAATTATGTTGGAGGAGCGTGACAAAGCCCTCGTCGAGGAAGAATTGAAACGCGAACAAGAGCGAACGAATTTATTGAAGTATTCAAAAGAGATACGGAAGCAACTCGAGGAACGCGAACTGATTCGAGCAAAGGAAGTCGAGAGGATAGAAGAAGAGGCTATCGCTATGAAGAAGGCACTTGATGTCATGGAGAAGGTAGGAAGGGAGTTTGACAAAACGAAACTGTATGCATGTGCCACTTAAATTTATATTTTACAAGTTTATAATATTTTCACGTAATTTTTTATGAAATTTGAAGTCTCTATAAATTAATTTTACATTTAATATTCCAGCAAGAACAAGAAAAGACTAAAATTCGCAATGAAAAGATTCAAAAAATTCGCGAAGGACTTCAAAAGTCGAGTCAGTGGACTCAATACTTCAAAAACTTACAATTCGAAGAAGGTGTTTTATGGATTCAATTTAATTGAATTTTATGTTCCTTAGGACTAAAATTACTTATTTCTATTACTTTTTTTTTGTTTTATTTGCAATGATTGGATTTTAAGAGCGAATAGCAGAATTGAAAGTTCAAGAATACATGCGACAGAAGTTGGAGCGTGAAAAACGATTGGCACTAGAAAGACGTTTAGCGAAGGAAGAGAAGGAGAAAGAATACGAACGAATTTTGCAACGTCAGCAAAAACTCACGGAATCAAAATCAGAACGTAATGAACTGGAATATCGTCGTCAGCGAGAAGAAGTTGAACGGGAATTCAGGAGGCGTGAAAAGGAGGCAGCAATAAAGAAACGTGAAATGGCAGATGACATCGCAAAAGCAAGACACGTGCAATTGGAAGAAGTTGTAAGTCTTTCATTCTCCCATCTTTGTCTCCACTGTTTTGTCATCAGTCTCAGTCATTCAAAGTTTCATTAATGAAAATATTTTACAGAAACGTCAGAGAGCGATGCAAATTGCACGAGACGAAGCCAATTTCAAAGAGTTTATGGAAAAGCTGCGAATTGAGAAAGATCGAGAAGAACAACGAAAGAAATTGCGCCATGAAAATAAATATAAATATCGTGATGAAATTGTATCGCAGATGACACAAAAACGGCTTAAAAAACGGGAAGAAGACGAAAGAATAAAGCGAGAACAATTAGCTGTTGTCGAAGCAGAACGACAACGAGAAAAGTAAGGAGTAGTTTTCAAAGTCCCTTTAAAATGTATAAAAATATATCAACGACTAAGAAATTTAATCTTTTCTCTTCCTTCTAGAAACATTAAGCACGTCATTCAAAGAAAGATAAAGGAAATGAAAAGAAATAACATCCCCGAAAAGTTTATTAAAGACGTAGAACGACAATTGACTGTTTGCCGAACTTAAATCCCTCTGAAAATAAATATCTTTTTGATTTTTTCTGTATTAGAAGATTAAGGATATTGTAGAGCGAAGTCTTACAAAAAGATGGAATGGGGGGAAAAGCTTTTAGAATTAGTATGACAAAGGCAGAGCTTTTAGATTGACTTTGAAAATAAATCAAGTTTTTGTACTACAATTCTATACTTAAATTTTCAAATAGAAATTTTAGAAAACAGAAAAGCTGAAGGCAATTTTAATAATATTTTATTAAAATATTTATTATTTGTCCTTTTTATATTCATTTCATGTTGAAAGCTGTGATTTAATTTTGCTTATGGCCAAGCAAAAGAAAGATTTTTTCTTGTTTCTTCACAATTAAATATGAAACAAGGCATGAACATTATGGAACAGCATCATAGTGAGAAAAAAGTACAAAGCCTTTTAATGTTTTTTAATAAAAGCATTTGAAAGTTGTGTTCTTTTGATTTATTTATGTTCATTCTACAGAAACGAGTTTAGAAAAAAAATTATGTTGCTTTCCTACAAATGCTTTCTTAAAGTTGTTTCGTATTTTTTTTCCTCTGAGGCTTTAACACTTTAATTTCAAATGTTATCAATCCAAGGGAAGACATAAATAAAGGCAGGTGGGGCCTCAATCGATTTAAAGACTATAAAAATGAGATTTTAAATCCCCTCTTTAAGATAATGATGATATTTCACCTTAAACAAAATAAGCAAAGATCTGACACAAGGTAACATTTTTCCGAATATTTTTGTTAATAACTTCCATTAATAACTGAAGCATAACTGAAGCATAAAACCGACGTCATTTTTTTTTAAGATTTGAATACAACATTTTAATTCAGAATATGGCCCCAAATTTATTATGATATATATGGCTGAAATATAAGGCAACATTTTCATGGTTGGTTCATTCAAAACTGTCACTAAAAAGATTTATTTCGTAGAATTTTTTCGCCCTGAAAATATTATTATCAAGGGTCTTAAAAAACACTTAGATACTAAAAGATTTGACTTTAGAAAAAACACTCTTTGAGTAAATGATTTTATTCTGTTTTTATTTCATCCTATGCTTCTTGGGTTAGCTGTTTTTGCTATCTCGGTGGAATTATCTACCATGTTCTACCATTCACAATATCAATCTTCACCCAATTCCCTTCGTTTCTAAAGAAATTTCTTGTTCCATTCATTAAGCATTACCCATTAGTGAAGAATGTATTAAGCTAGAGTTTTACCTCTAGATATTTTTAAATTAAAAGACATAAATATTTTTTTCCAAAAAAATACCCAATGTCAATTCAATTGGAAAACCCAAGGAAAAACAAATTCATACTTTAGTTTTTGTTTTTGATGCTCCAAGCAACGACATGTTGAGACATAAATAAAAATCTATAGGCACCTAAGCATAAAGTAAATATCTGGATTTCTAATATTTTTCCTATCCTTTTGCATGTAAACATTATTTTGAGAAGAAGAAGTTGAAAAGCACGTGGATAAGTTTTGAGAGAGTAGAGAAATGCTTTATTGTTCCTACATGTAGATATGAATGTATGTAGTAAGTAGATATAAGGAAATTCTGAGTAACGAATAGAACATTGTTGAAAATGAAACATCATTCTCAACGTAACGAAGTAAAGCGACTGCTGATTTCTACATTTCCAGAACATCTTATAACATTTTTTACTCCTCGATTCAGTTTGATTTTCAACTCTTATCGTGACGGTAACGAAAAAGAACTAGTTAGTTATTTTTATTGAACAGGAAACCATAAAAGTTTGTTTAGTTTGCAACTTTCTAGGAAGTATACTTCATTAAAAATATGAAACTCAAATTAATTTAAACTTGATTGAAAAAAATTATACTCGTTAGCAGTAAATTAATTTCCCATCAAGTTTACATTAAACTGAGTCTATAATTATTAAATTGAAAAAAGTTGTATAGTTTTCTGTTTAAACGAAGCATCCATCAATCTAAAAATAAATCATCATTCTCATCAGAATTTTTTAATTGCAAAATTAAATTGCCAACGAAAATGAATTGTGTGAAATAAAAGAAAAAAAAGTTAAATAATAATTAATTACTTATTTATTCAAAAAACAACTGTCATTTATCTGCAGTGAAGATTATGAAAATTTGATTATTAAATAGATAGACTTTTATGATGACATATAATCATGACTGTGATAAGAATTTAATGTGATAATTGTGCTGATAAGAAAATTAGACATCAAAGGAAAAATAATTTTATTAAAGAATTTGCAATCATCTTTTTATCTCGAGTGATAAAAATGCAAGAATCTGGTTGTCTAAATTGAATTAATTTCAAATAATCGTGAAACTTAGCCAATCGAGAAAATCGATCATTTATTTTACTGCACACCGTCAATTATTTGAGCCCGAAAAATCTCAGAAAACATAAAAAAAATCTCGGAAAACATAAAAAAAAATAGAAAGGAAAAAAGGGAAAATTGTTATTGAGAGCGGAAGACGGAAATTTGATAAGAAAGCTGAAAGATAACACAGAAAGGCAAGCGCCATTGAAATAGGACGATATTGTAACTTAATTTCTGATAGAAAGAATAGAACTGAGCTTTCCCTTGTTGCTTTTTTTTATTCATTTGGCGATTTGATACGATTAAGGAATTGATTTCATTTTGATTAGTGTACCGAAAAATGACAAAATCTCAAATCTTGCTTCGGAATTTCATTAGTATTTCACCTATCCACTGGGATATATCAATAAAATGTTCTTCTCAATAAATTCTTATACTTTTTTTCTTCGGTTCTCATTATATGAATAAATATCTCATAGAAAAGATTACAAATTCCAAAAGCTTCTACAAGTTTATTATAATACCTAATAAACTTTTATTTCACCAAAAAAAAGAACAAAATCTTGATGTTTTTTTCTGGGCTTCCGGTAAGAAACCACTTTGAACGTTTCCTTTCTCCACGTGTCGATCCTTTAATCAAATCTCTGTGGCTTTCCATGTCGTGTCAAAAGAACATTTAAAAATAATGAACAAATGAATGTTGTTAACAAAATTATTTGTGAGGGTTAAAAGGTCAAAAAATCAAGAAATAAATGCTTTTGTGTAATGTGTAATTAAAGAAGCAGTACCTACTTGATTGAAAAGAAGAATTCAATGAAACTTCTTAATCTTCGACATTTATTTCCCTTAAGATTGTGAAATTTAATGCTCTTATTTTTTATCTATGACTTACGACTAAGTTTCTATTTACGTCACTCTATAACAAATCGAAATCTCAAGTCGAATTATTTCTCCAGTTACCACCCAAAAGAGATTTGATGATCTAAATATTATCTGGTTTACATTTTGTTTCATTAAGCTAATAATTAATGTATGTACGATGTGAACCGCAGCCACGAAACCAATTATGATTTTGTGAGAATTCCCAAAGGACAATGTAATGACTGATATGTCTTTAAATGTCTTGATCTGACATGTACCAACAAATAAGTAGCTTTTTGTGTGATTATCTGTCATAACTAATTTAATTAGCTTAAATACTGCCAAAAACCATTCAAATAAAATTAATTCTGACGGTTCATAGCTGTGAAAAGTATAAATTGATTATCCACTCAATCCTTTTATATATTAAAAGTGTTCATGATGAATTAAAAGATTGATTTCAAGTGACAAGATGTTTCAAGAATTATTAATAAATGACGTTGAGTTCTCATTCTGATTCTTCATATTAGACTCTCACTTGTCTTCTCCAATATTGATAAGCCATTTAAGTATTTGATTATATGTTTTCACATCGGCGAATGTGTAAATATTTATGTTCTCATGTATGTTCAAATATTGGATTTGGTTGTTTTCCTGCTCAGACCATTTTATGGCTTATTTCTAACGAATTAAATACGATAAATACGTTACGAAAGTGGTAAAAATAACCGAGACTGTAACAATATATTGATATTTTATTTCTCGACATTAATTGTGTGTACAAAAACCTCACTAGGAGAGTAAGATGATGCTGAATAAATATTTCCTTTCACTTGAATTAATTTGTGATAGCAGAAAAGATTCCTAAGCTTGCTTTTAACAAAATTACGACGAAAAAGCTTTGATTATCAGACGTCGGCGAAGAAATCATTGAATTTAGGGATCGCAAATATTTTCTTTGGATTTTCAATGAATAATTTCATGGAGTTTACAGATAAATTATATTGTGATTCAATTAAATATATTTTAAAATAAACGAAGCGACAAAAAAGTAAATAATTGTATAAGATTAAATGGATGTAAAGAACCGCTCATCAAAATAATATTAATTCTACTTTATAGCTTGTGATCAAGTTCGTGACAAATATATAAAGTGCTCTGATTTTGAATAATGATTTATGAATTCTGTGACGAAAAACGCCATAAAAGAATAATTCACGACTATCATTTTAGTGACATCGTAAGCAGCTTATTATCTTGAAAATGTAAATTCTTATAACGATAACGAGTGTGAAGTGTGAACACAAAAGGAGAAGAAAGAAAAAACCTACTTAGATAGCTGGAAGAAAAATAATAAAAAGAGAAAATCTCAGAAAATAGTGCTTGAGAAAAATGTTATCATGTCGAGCATTGACAAACAAACGATGAGACTGATAAAACTTCATCCGAGTGATAAAATAACTTCATGCCGAAAGTGTACAGTTAAGTGAAGCGATGTGGATATAATAATCAAAACAACATTCAAAAGAGAGAGTAATAAAGTTCCCTAAACCTCATCCGTACCAGTAACAAACAAAGAATAACATTCGACACTATGCTCAAGATAATAGCATCAACTGATAGCTCTATTGCAAGCCTTGGCAACACAACATCAGTAATAGCAACGGCAACCCCTTTTACTTTTGATTACAATGCAACAGAGTTTTGGAATTTAAGTAGAAGTGTAGATAGTAGTCATAATAACGCAACCATAGATTTGTATCATCCATGTCATCCATCCAACCCAGAATTTAATTGTTCTGTTGATGAATACCTGAGCTTTTATTTAGGTTCAAGGCAGATGCCACTTGAGACTGCAATATGGGTAAGATTTCAATTTGTTTATAATAAAATGTTTTAATTAGATCCTCAGAGAGATACTTTAACACTTTAATGTAAACTGAGAGTTTTTCTTGCTTATAGTAGTTAATCTAAATTGAAAATTTCCACTTCAGTTATTATCTATAAAATTTCATTTTAATTTTAAGATTTTACGTCGTTCTACGAAGTGTTGAGAGAATTAAATATTCTCTAAAACAGATTTCTAATCAAAAGTTCTATTAAAATCTTTTTCGTGTAATCAATGTGATTAAAAGCAAGAAAGAAATTAAACCCTGGAGCTTGTTAGAAGAAGCCGAAAATTCATTTAACACCTTTTTCCTTTCCAACATCACAACACAAAACTTTGTCCACGAGACGTTAATAATAAAAAAAAGTTATGATGAATCTCGTTGAAATGAAAGAATTTATTTTCAAGCTAATATTTCAAGGTGATGTGCGTATTCCCCGCTTTACGGAACCAAAAAATAAAATTATTTTTTGATGTCAGTTAAACACTCCCACCATCCAAAGTAAATAATCTGACGCGTTAATACCTTTTACATTCACCACGTAATTTCTCATTTGAGGGCGAAAGTAAAGAGGAAAATAAAAATTCCACAAGCGATACCAGAAGCAGATAATACAGAACAAAAATGCAAATTGATGACAGCTCTCTGTGTGAGACATTTCTTCGTTCATTGTCACCACGTTGATGTCGAAGAGAAATAAAATTTTCAAAAGATAAAAAAATGCAAATTTGGTTTACTATCGTCAAGACTATCGTTATGGAATATCCTTTCAAGCGTAACGAATTGAGAAAGAAAAATCGAATTTAAATCTGTTGTCTGATATAGCTTGAGGAAAAAACCTTGAGCGATTGTATTAAGTGAACAAGAATGAACGATTAATTTTATTTTTTATTGCATCGAAAGCTTCGAAAGCTCCCCAACAAAGCTACACGAAATGAGCATTTAGAAGAGCTTTAGTTTGAATTCATCATCATATCTATTAGGTATTTGCCTTCTACCCCAAACAATTTGCTTTCTCATCAGTGATTCATTTCACGAAAGTAGTTCATGCCATTGAGTTTCCTTTTTCAATTTCTATTGCTTTCATAACTCATAATCATTTTCTTTCTAATACATAAATATTAATAATATCATTTATTTTTCAAGGTCACAATCTTCTTCGTCGGAATCTTCGCGACGGGTGTCATTGGCAATCTCATTGTTTGTGTTGTCATTGTTAAGAATGCCTCGATGCACACTGCAACCAATTATTACTTGTTTAGTCTGGCAGTTTCGGATCTATTATTTTTAATGATGGGTAAGTAATTTTCCATTTCACATGATATGCATCTTTAAAAAACGATAATTATGTAAGGGTTAAGAGCTTGAAGCTCACGCAATGTTGTGTTTTGGGAAGAAGCTTGAAAAAAAGGACCTCAAAGTACAGTTCATAAATCTCTCTAAATTATCAAATTATTTCAACGCATGCCAAATTAGCCTTTTCCACAAGAATAGCTTTCCGCAGTTGCGGGTATTTTCATGATAATTCTCGTCATAAAACAAAGAGAATGAAACGTGAAAAGCATTTAGTATTCTCAAAGTTATGCCCACATTTTTACACTTTCTATTTATAGTTATGACGCACTTCAAGGCATGCTTCACTACTTTTCTTATTTTCCGGTTCTGTTATTTATAGCGTAATAAAACAATCTTGCTTCTCCAAGAACAGGGAATATGTACGAAAGTATCATTTCGTTTTTCGAAAATTTCAAAAAGATGTTATGATATCGTAATGGCAATGATACTCATAACTGTTTGCTTATCATTATTTTTACCCTTTTTCTGATACCAAAACCTTATTCTTTTCCGACAATTCTGAATTGAATTTCTTCTCAAATATTCAAACTGCATTTAAGCAAGCTTACTGATCTTATGAAAATGTTTACGTTTCTTTGAAACTCATAACATCTGCTTGAACGTTCGCTTTTCATAAATCTTATTTGACTTCATGTTTTTCCCAATATATGTAGATATATTTAGGGTTGTTGTTATTATTATTCAAACCTTGAATCAAATGATGGAAGGAAGTTAACCCAATTAGGATGAAATTGGACGAGAAGTTTTCCAATATATGTTCGTACATATACATTCATGTTTCTGAAGATGAAGTTCAAGGGACTTCCCATCGTAATCAGCATTCCAAAATCTTCTATTCATTCATGATGAAAACTAAAGTCACACATAAGTTCAACATGTTGTTATGAAGATAATTAAGTGGAGATATGTATAAGCTAAAGACCGAAAGCGCTCTATCATCAATTTCTTACAGCATGCACAATTTAAGAAGTTAATACTGAGATATTGCTGAATCATGGAATGGAATTTGCGTACATTAGATAAGTCTTTAAAAAACAGAAACAAAAGAAAAAGACAAGAATTAATCCCAAATTTGTCGTCATCCAATGGAACGTCTCACAGGAGCATATAGAAGATGAATCAACAGAGTTAGAAAATTGAATGTCTTTATAGCATGAACGTGCGTTAAATGAGATTAGAATGAGATACTCCGTCTGCGACTTTTCCACAGATATACCATATATGCTTCTTTCTCCGTACAGAAGGGAGTAGCTGGTTTATTGCAAACCATTTCCATATGTACACATATCAGTCGAGCGTTAAACAGAATTTAAATTCGGAAGCAAAGATGTTATCGTTATAAGTCAAACAGTTACAAATTATTGAGAGGCGTTGGTAACAAACTTTATTAAATTTTAGTTTCTAAACAAAATAAATTTAGTAGTTAAGAATTTCCACATACGCACCTTTTTCAGACTTCATTATATTAAGGTGTTTAATTAATGCCCTTTCCTAAAGATTATAAGGAAGTGACTAAACTAAATTTGTAGTTATTTAAATATCCTCTTGAAATATGCGTAGGAGGGCGAAGAACAACAAAAATTTCACATTTCTATATTAAGAAGTCCCAATTAAAAATTTGCTGATTGTTTGATGCAATTAAAGACTAGAACCTTTGAAAACTTTTATTCCTTCTAATCAATGAAGGACATCACTTTGATTCAATTAAGCATAAAATGTTAAACTTCACCCAAATTATTATTTGACATTTTTATTTGAAGTTCTAATTTTCTCCCAGATTTTAATAAAGCATCATTTCGATTCGAAGCCAATTACCTAAGTGTTTTTGATATAAAAAATAAAGTTACGTAAGAGATTTAGCGAAAAACAAAATAACATGGCTATTGTGAAAAAAAATTAAAACTTTTCATTTTGTATTTGTAGGATTTCATTTTAATTTGACGAGTTTGAAAACTTTTCTTGTTGTAGAATCAACATATGTTTTCTCCTTCGTTCAAATACTTGCCAACGTATGTTGTTGAATGGATGAAAAAAACTTTCCGCATTTCATTATGTACAAAAGATTTAACTCGAAAGAAACTTTGAAAGAACAATGGCGTGGAACAATATTTGATTAAAAATTATCTTAATTAAAAGTCAAATTTTTTTTCTTATGTTTTGTGTTCTTGATGGGAAATAATTCCGGAATTATTCTTGTAATTTTCCTCGAAAGACAAAAGATGAGTTAAAATTCTTTACAACAGCCAAGCAAAAATTTTTTTTCATAGCGTTTGCGTCAAGGAAATTAAATAAGCTATAAGTAATGAATGGATGGAAATATTTTGTACCGTATTTTCCCGAAAGGAGGACATTCCATAAGCTCTAAAACTTCTCACATTCAAAACATGTAGTAAATATAAATTTTTTATTTTGCAAGTGCTTTTTATTTGTCTTGAGACGGTAGATTGTGCTTGTCAACACTCTTCGAAGCACTTTACAATCTCTAATTGTGTAAATATTTTTCTTTAGTTTAAGGCGAGAAAATATTTTAAAAGCTGACAAAAGCTTTATAAAATAAAAACAAATAATTACCCTCTTAGCTAATTGAAATTTTAAATGATTTCCTGTGGATTCGTGACGACTTGACTTGAATAGTGACAATTTTATCCACAAAATATTAATAAATTTTATATTTGTTTATTTTTAGGACTACCGTATGATTTGAGCTTATACTGGCATCAATATCCATACAATCTAGGATTAACGTTCTGTAAAATGAGGGCCCTAATATCAGAAGCGTGAGTTTAATTTGTTTCAATTACCTAATAACACAAAAAAATCTTATTTTCTGTATCTAAAATTAAAGATCAACCTATGTGTCAGTGTTGACAATTGTAGCATTTTCCATGGAAAGATTTCTTGCCATTTGTCATCCACTCCATCTTTACACAATGTCTGGGTTGCAACGTGCCGTTCGTATCATTGCGGCACTGTGGGTGATAAGTTTTCTAAGCGCTGTGCCTTTTGCTGTTTTTACAAAAGTCCATTATCTTGCATATCCGGAAAGTAAGTCACCGATTAATATTTAAAAATATTTCTTCACTTTCTGTTAAACTTATTTTGGATCAACTTTTATTGCACATTCCAACAGCGGGGGAAGAAATACCAGATTCAGCATTTTGCGCAATGCTCGATAATCCTGATAAGTTTCCACTATGGGAAGTGTCGACATGTGTCTTCTTTGCCTTTCCAATGCTGATAATGGTAATCTTATATGGTCGAATGGGACTGAAAATCCGTTCAAGAACTCGGCACACTGTAGCGCTTGGTGAGTAAAACATCATTAATTTTATGTTTTAGAAAGTCATGATGAGAATATATAAGCTGAAGTTGTCTGATATTAATTTGTTCGCTCGTTAACAGCAGCCACTTAGTTAATATTTGGATTTGATTTGCTTCTAATAAAGGAAGATATTCTGCTTCTCAAATGGTTGAGATAGATTAGAAAAAAATGTCTTCTTACTTCTGAAATAAATAAAAGCAATTTATTGTTCAGGATTATTTTGCTATCCTGAAAACTTTAAATTCTACTTGGCCGCATTCCTTGACATTTTAATTCTTTGACAACGTAATTAAAAGTTTAGAAAACTTGTCATATGATTTGTTTCCTATCTTAGTTTACTTTTCTAATAAACTTTTAGGCAGTTGAAAATATATTTTTGTCTTTCTACACACAACTGCAATTTCATTTAACGACTGAATGATTGTTGATTTCTAAAACAAAGTTAAACTCACTGAAACTTATTTCTTTGCTCTAATTTTTAAGGAGTTCAACAAGGGTCGATACATGGTGAATCCAAACAATCGCAGTCACGGAAGGCAATCATTAGGATGCTGGGTAAGAAAACATTTCACAAAGAATCCGATTTACGATCTCACGACGACAAAAATTCTCAATAAAAATATTTCATTACTTTCTCTCTCGCTCATGGTGTGCAACATAAAATTTTATTTGTCTTCGAGCAATTATTTGAGGAGAAAATCGCCAAGAAGGCAATAAAGCTTTCATTGTTTCCTCTCAGTTTAGCTGCTGATGTTTAATGGCGTTCAATTGTCTGTTGAGAGCTGAACAGGGAATTAGAGGATTATTTTGCTATAAGTATTAATTAAAGATGAGCTGTAGGGAGGAAATATTGTGACAAAATAATTATTGAACAAATCCAAGTCCCTGATTGTTGTTGACCGACAAATTATTTTGTTTTGTTTTTTCTCTTTTTCCTTATCTTCTTCTTTTCCTGAACTTATTTTCCCAGTATTGTAAGCAATAAAACTTTAATTGCTGTCGTGAATACGAATGTGAATTTTTTTCCGCTTCTCATCGCTGTAATAACGATAACTGAGAATGAAGTGTAAATGAGTTTTCATTGTCCACTCGGCAATTCAACACAAGTTAAGGAGAAAATTAAACGTCTGCTCTCGAACTCGCTATAAACTTTATGCTTTTTAATTTAACGTCAAAGACCATCGAAAGTCATCTTTTTGTGAGTCAGTTTTTGACTATCATAAAGAAATGCGTACACGAAATTGCGTTAATTTCATACTTTATCAAAGATATCATCCCCTTAGGAATGCGTTAATGAAAAGTGCTTAACATTTATTTGAGTTATTATTAAAGTAACAAACAGTCAACAATAAATTAAAATTTCGTTGTCTCATATACCTTGCAATAATTTTTGTTCTTTTACTGAAAGAAATGCTTCAGAATTACGACATAAATTACTCGCGGAAATGTTAATTAAATGTTTACCCGCTACTTTCCTTCCTCCTCTCCTGTAAGAGAGAAGGAAGAAAAACAAGCAAGCAATGACGCTTGTTTAATAATATTTACAGCAACCGAAGCGGTACAACAAAATTTTAATTAAAGCTTGAAATGTTTTCGTGCATAATTTTCGAGTAACTTTTTGAGGTACTCGTCTTTGCTTTCGCGATTTGATGCCACAAAAGTTTTTCTTTTCTTTTCTGTTCTTTTCGTTTTCGTGACTTGCCTACATTTTTAAATGATTCTTGTCATTTGCACGTTGCTCTCATATCTTGTCGTCTCTGAGGTAGATGCTTTTAACATTTATACAGAAAGAAATTTTTAAAAACTCAAAAGAATTGATTTCATGGAAATTTTGAATCTCTTAGCAAGCTCTCGAAATGATTTCGGTGAACAAACTTTTAAATTGAATCATTCAAACAGTTCTCATGCCTTCTATCTACTTTTTTTATGAAAAAGAAAAAACGTATTTAGATGATTCAATTATCATGATAAGTGCGCACCTTCATATTTAAATTTAAGGCTGTCATTAAGATAACATTCATTTACTCTTCCTATCTTCCAATCCTTGAAGCTGCTGTCGTCATAACATTTTTCGTGTGCTGGGCTCCGTTTCACGCACAACGCTTGTTATATCTTTATGGGAAAAACATTGAGTCGTTTAAAGCGTTGAATCAGTGGGTGTTTGCAGTCAGCGGCTGGCTCTACTATGTATCATGGTAAGTTTTCCTCTCACATCTCACAGTAAATTGAATTTCAAATTTATTTTATAAAACATCCGCGAACGCATACACAGCAGTCTCTTTCTCATTCAGAATATTCAGAATATTCTATTTGGTGTCGTATATACATCCGTACATATATTTGTTTTCGTTGTAAGTGGATTATGGTAATTTTACTCAGTGCGACAACCGAATGTTCCTTTTCTCTGCGTATTATTTTTAAGATGCATTACAGATTGTGTTTGCTGTAAATGTTCGAGTAATTTTGGATTTCCATTTTCAAAACAATCGTCTTTTGTTCCTGATCTATAAATAAATTTAATAATGTTTTGAATCTACATTCAAATTTACTTTAAATGCTATCATGTTTTGCGGCAGTTTAATTAAGCGGTAAACACAAGGTTAAGTGTGTTGCCAAATATTGTGGCACGGGAGTTCTATTCATAACAACAGCGTGCATATCTAATTCAGAAATATCCTAGAAAATCGTGTTTTACGCTAATGAGACATTTTGTTACGAATAATCTAAAGACAGTTTGGCTAATGAAATGAGAAAAAACTTTTTGCTGTTATCGCAAATCTTACTAATTTCTTCTTTTTTTCTCTATTTCATTATTACATTTTTTATGAAATTAACATGTTTGGGGAAAGAAAAAGCAGAAGTCATTTCATATTATTAAACATTCTTAGATTGCCAAACAAAAAAAGATTTTTTTCTCATCCTTTTCAATAAATGAAAAGCAAAAAAAAACATTAAAAGTGTTGGAAGAAGAAGAAAAATAAGGCTTTTTGTGTTGTCACAACATTATTTATTGTTGATAAATCACTTTGATTACTCTGTTGATGGGCCTATGCTTAATTTACTGTAAAGTTGTTTCTTTTCTTCTGCTCTGATTTGCGTGAACGTGAAGAAATAGAAGTGAAAATCGTTAGAATCAAGAAAAAAAAATGTGTAATCTGGGTAAGAAATAAAAGAGAGTCAAATGAACCGAACATTTTTCTGAGCTCAAGCATTGTCAGAGTTAAAAAACTTTTAGTGCCGAAGAAAGGCAATCTCAATACTTTTCATCTCATTCCATCGACTAAACTCGAAGCCTTCCTCGAATTCAAATCATTTCAAAATGTGCAAATATTTGAAAAGCTTTTCTTTTTCTCTTGTCTCGATACTCTCGTCTTACAATGACACAAAAGGAAAGAAAAAAAAAACAACAACAGTAACGAATGAGAAAAAGAATTCAAAAGATTTTCCCATGTTACTTACAGTTCGAGTAAAAAGATTTACGGAAAACATGGCACCAATACGAAGGAAAGAGTTGAATTTACATCATTGAAATGTTCTTCTTTTAAAAAATATAAAAGAATAAGAGAAAACACATTTTAACTGGGACCTTTAACAATATGTATCTTTTTTTTTCGTTTATTCATGCAGCACAATAAATCCTATTTTGTATAATGTAATGTCACACCGATATCGAATTGCTTTCCGGGAAACACTTTGCAGTAGAAAGCGTGGCTTTTACAGTAGTACAAATGGCTTTGTAAGAGATCAATCGAGCTTTCGTGAGACGACAATAGCTGCTACAGGCCGAGATCATAAGCTCAACTACGAGGGATCCAAATTGGTAAATAAACATTCATGAATAAATTGTGCATGTTGTTAGTAGTTTAACTCTTTCTTTTCCTTCACATTCACATTTATATTTAGCTCCGACCTCATCGATGCTCGACACGATGCTCAAAACGATGCAAGGACCATAAAAGACTGAACAACAGCATGAGGTGGAAGGAGAAAGACAGCGTGAAACGCGTCGATTCGTCGAAGGTAAGTAATTTAATCTCTGTCGTTATTTTAACGCCCTTTCTATATGAATCAACATTTATAACACGTAGTAAGCGCCACGCAATTTCACTCAACTTTGGATACCAGCGCAAAGTTTATAGCTTTGCTGAATCATATATTTCACTTTCAATGTGACAGAATGACTTGTAATTTTGACTTATTATACGAAACACTTCGCGACTACTAATATAAAAATTGAGTCGTGAATTTTAATTATTTCATGTTGTGTCGCTGATGACTTTGTTAGCATATTTATCTTTCTAATCAATTATGATTGTTTTTCTCGCGTTTCCTTTTTATTAAAAATTCAGAGCACGGACAGCACACAATCAACCAAATCGAACAGTAACAACTCCTCAAATGTTATTGTTGTCTGTATTGGAAGTAGCTTTAAGACAAAATGTTTTACCACATCAACTAATCCGCCACCATCATCGTCACAACCACCATCATCAACATCGACAAACGATAATAATCTGTCAACGTCATCATCGCCTAATCACTGCAGTTATAAATCAGCATCATCGGCAACGACCAATAACAAATTAAATCATAGCCTAGTGAATATTTCTGAAAGTAACAATGGGAGTAGAATTAATTGCCAAATGAACAATTTGCCTGAGGAAAATGAAGATGAGCTGGAAGGCGAGAAAATCGATAAAGTGGATGGAAATAAGAAAGAATCATCACAATCTAATGGTGGTAATTTGTCAAGCGAACTTTATTTCGTCGATGATGAATCAAAGAATAGAAGTGAGAAAGATTCGCCGCAAAGTCTGATAATTAATCGTGTGAGCGGCTTCAAAACTGAGACTTGTATCTAATCAATCATTGAGATGAGACGGCAAACACATTCAATGATTTTAAACTGTTCCCAAGCCTTATCTCATCTCTATTTGTTTAGACATTGAAAGTGTAAATATTTAAACTTAGAACTTTTGCCATCAACTTCGGCTGATAATGATGTTGGTGAAGGTTATAATAAAATGAATGGGTTGAATGAAATCAACTATCATTTGTGCTGTTCTCAGCATTGCTATGTAATATGATATGAAATTTGATTTGAAATATAAGAAAAGTTACATTGAACTTTATTCAAATTGAATCCGATTACTGCTGCTATTACTCATGATTCTTCTGAACAAAATGTCAGATAAATAACAAGGTAATCATGAGATTTATCACCGACATTGTTGATTTTCTTTTCCACCTAGCTATGAAGCGCTGATTTACTTATGTCTCATTACGTACAACACTATGAATGCAGCGATAACAGCACACATGATACTGAAATCTCATCCATCGTTATCAACCTCAACCAGCATCGCTTGTAAATATTTAATTTAATTTCATTAGTCACCATGTACAATGATACAGAGTCGCATGGTAAACTTATCAATGGAAGCATAAAAGCATAAGAGGGTTGGAAAAAAAATGTAAACTTTCAAATTATTTTCACGTTGAAAGTAAATTCAAATTAATTCTGAACGAAAATTAGATGAGTATCGTGTAAGAAATTTAAATTAAATTTATGTGGCATGGTGCTGATGCAATTTAACATCGAATTAAATAATTCATACATTGATGTTGTCATTAATACGAACGATATTTAAGAATCAGTTCAAACCACTTCAGTAGAAATTGTCGAGACGAATAAATGTTCATCCCATGATCAAATTACTTTAAAGCTTCTTTTCTTATTAATTAATGAAGCTCATTCGGTTGTCAAAACCTCTCACTGAATGATTCATTAATTTTATTTCTGGATAATATGCGCACTGGGCGTACTATAAATTATTAATTATGCAATGGTCAGTAAAAAATGCGCTAAAAACTTACAAAGTGAAAACTTTTCAACCACAAAAGAAAAACAGAAAGAAAATAATTTTATTTTACTTTTTTTTTCGTTACATGAATTCATTTGAAGTCAAGAGAAAACTGGTTGATTAATGAAGGGGAGCTTGAAAAATTGCTAAACATTCGGCGAAGGCATTTCTTATTTTATATTCTTCACACCATTCCATTCGAAATAAATTATTCAATCGAATACACTCAAACCTCATTGTGTTTTAAGGATTTCTTTTGCGGCGAGTTTCCTTACCGAAAATCCTTTAACACACAAAAGGTTGATTTGATCATTTTTCTTCCGATTCTTGTAGACGTCTTTTAGAATTCTGATTGAAAATCTTTTTAACTTTCTTCGAGAACTGATCATTTGCTTCACAAAATTGGCTCTTTGTGAAGCTTATTATCGTTGGAAGTAAATTTTAAGGATTTTTTATTTTTCAAATGTATCTAATTGTAATTAACATTATTATCTAGTGATATAAGGAAATTCATTGTGACTGTAAGTATGAGAGAAGAATCAATGTGATGCTGTTATTTTTAACTTGTACTTTAAACGTATTTTAAAATTAAAATTTACTTCGGGTTTGCATTTAAATACAAATGCTGATAAATATTTATCGGAAAACAATGGAAATAAAAGAAAATCTATATATTTTGAAAGAATTTTATCAGCCTGATGGTTTGATGACTGTTGGAATATTTCATGGAAGATTTGTAGGAAAATATTTGGGAACATTTTTTAAAAGGTTAATAATAGAATCTTCTAGAGAAATATTCTCATATTTTATCAACCACTTCTTTTACTTTTTTTATTAAAAATAATATTAAAATATTTCCAATTCCAGCTTATCACTCGATGAATTCAAAAGAAGGAACAAGAAAGGAAAAAAGGTTCGAGTTGTTTGTATGAATTTCTCTTTTATTGAACATTTGAGGTCATGGGAATCTTTAAGCGACTCTCGTTTTTCGCATATTTGCGTTTTATTGGATTTGGGCAATTTTATCATGGCATATCTTGCATGTTCGTTCTTCTACAAATTTCCTAGCATGTATCACCTTTAACATCACATCACATCACAAAACATAGCACAAACTCGTTGAACATATAAGGATGATAAATACAGATCCCAATAACAATTTTGTTACATCACTCCTTCACCGTCGTCACCTTTCCTTTGTTTAGTTTTTTTATTTTTGTTATGCTAGCGGATGATCGAACAGTTTTTCTTTATTAAGCACATGAGCTTGAAATTACCCAATTCTTCTTCCATCGTAACAAAAATTTTCTTTTTCTCTTCCATCCATAACTTGGCGAACGTACGTTGAGCTTATTGTCGTCGTAAAAAAATGTGAGAGGCAAAAATTCACCGAATTTCCTCGCCTTATTGTTTTCATTTGCGTGAGAGCAAAAACTTTTCTTTTCATCACCTTGGATTCTCACCTTCTTCCTTCTTTACCTTCATGTTTTCTTCTTATTATAACAAAGTCCGCAGACTCAGGCCACCAACTCAGTGTTTATTTTTAAAGATAAAAATGTCTGAAGAGAATTTCAATAACGGTTTGATGACGGGTTGAATGTAATAAGCATTAGCAATTTTATGAAAGGGGTGAAGCTTAATTTTAGGGTGCTGTTATCTCATTAATGAATGTTTTGTTAATTAAAAAACCACGGTTGTTGTTTTAAGCAATCTAAAATGTGTAAAATAAGAGAATGAATAAACAAATTGTCACATATTTGATCAATCGAAAAAAATGTATGCAGACGCGTATAAAAGAAATTTTATGGAGGAAAATAAATGAAAAAATATCAATTTCTTCTTGAACCTCTTACCGGTTTATTTATGGATGTATGTAAATCTTTGACGAGCTTTTCACGTTAAGTATTAAAAGAAAACATAAACAATGCACCTTTCTCATGTTTAATTTCCACTCAAGAATTTTATTTGACAAGCGAAAAAGTGTTACGAAGAATATTTTTTTTATGTTATAAAACGGAAATCTTCCACTTATTTCCATCAAAAAGCTTTTCCTTTCACAGATGTGACTTTGCTTAAGTGCAGGAATTATTATCAGATATTTCTTGCTCAGCTTCATTAAATTGTACCAGCACTAACTCATAAGTCACGACAGTCCCTGAAATCTAATAGAGTTAAAATTAACTTAAAAATAGAATCAAACTTTTCGCTTGAAAGCTCCACTTAAAAGCTTACACTCAAAATCAATTTTCGGGTTAACTGGAAGAAGTTCATTCCGCTAAGAGCGACACTGTAAGTTGCCAAATGTTCACTGAAACGTTTCATTGTGATATCAAAATAATCAGACTGAACTGAACGCAGAATATGAAGTGGCTTCATCGACTCGTCGTTGATTTGAGATGCAAACCAGCAAACCGCTTTAAGATACAAAACGTTTAGAAGCTTCAAGCACTTGTTTGAAAAATTTTATCGTGTTACCAAGTGTTCTACCAATGAGAAAAATTAAAGAAAGCCACAAATGTAACCCATCCACAAATGTTGATTCAGACTTGAAACATCCCAACAGTTGAACACAAACGAAGTACAAATTGCTGAAGAATGAAATTAAAATCGTTCCACCATTCAGATCATTTGTTTCCTCAACCAAATTGACTGAAACTTTATAAGCAGCCCAAGCATCATTCCAAAATTGAGATGATTTAATTCGTGTGTTGTTTGTATTTAGCTTTCGATTTATGCATGTGAAATTCTCAGTTAACAGCACACTGATGATAATTAGATACGCGTCAATAAAATTCCAAGCAAATATACTTAAATGAAATTATTAAATTAATTTTTCTCTTGCCACAAATGAAATTTGAATCTCTCACCAAAAGAAATTTAAAAGTTGCGCAAACAATCCCAAATAAATGTTATACTTGAAGACAGTGAAGAAGTCTATGAAAGAGTTTCGAAAGTAAGCTTCGTCAGCTGGCTGCATGCTCCAACAAGATTTGGATGAATAAATGCCAGAAGCAATTCCTAAATTATGTTCGACTAGAAAGACAAGAGTGGGAGAAAAGGTTCTAAAAGTTTTAAAACTTTTTTTTATAACATTCGACTTTTAAATCGTTTACTGAAAGCAATGAGCATGATGAAGAAAATAATTTTCTTGATTTGTTGTTTGATTCTATGCTCCTGATCATGTGGCATCATATTTAACTTCATCAGCTTCTGTTCAGCATCCTCCCAACGAGTCACGTATTCCGGCCATTTTCTTGCCACCATCATGAAGTTGAAATAAACCAGAAAATTGAGAAAAAGGAAAATGAATTTAACTACATAAATAAGCATTTACAAATGGGATAGAAGAAGAAGAAAAACATGTGATTTTTTAATATTGTCAAAAGCAAAACCAAATTCGTCTTTTACCAGCTTTCGAGTATTCAATTCGGCTGTTGAGTTGCTTATAAATTGATGTTGTGAACATCAAAACGATTCCACATTGAATAAGCATCGAGTAAATGAAAGAAAAACTTCGATATTTGAATGACAATTGAGCTGAGTTCAAGTGTCGTAATCCACATATAGGGAAAATCCCGAACATTGCTTGCGATAAAAGAAGAACTTAAATGAAAAAAAAAGCTTGTTGATGAGACGAGAAAAGTTTTTGAAAGCTTTCGATCACTTCAACTTCTGTTATTGTTTTCTTACATTTTCGTGTGCGGCTATGGAATCCGTTTAGAATTTGAATTCTTGATTTATGTTCGCCATGAAACACTGTCAATTCATTCAACATGAGTTTGGTGTCACTCAAGAAACCCTTTTGATGAGAAATCGGGAAAATTCTGAAAGCAAGGAAAATCAATCGAGAAAAATTCTTCTTTTTGAATATCTCAATTTACTTTGAATTTCTTTTTTTCGGCCACATGCTGACAGTCGTCGGATTGAAGAGAAACGCTTTTAGAAAGTGTCGATAGTTTTGTGGTTCACTTGTATTTAAATAAAAAATAGTTTAACCAAATGCTGCTGAATCATTAAAAGCATTGTGGAAGCTTTTGATTTATTGACATAACAAAAGTTGAAATGTAAAATAAAAAACGATTAATCATTTCATGCACAATTCCTTGAAGATAAAACGAACTTGTCAGGATTTTGATTGAAGCTTGCGATTACCATCACATAAGTTATCAATGTGCCAATCAACTGAAACCAGAGTTGTAAATATATTAGACTTGACATGTAGCATAAAATTGATTATTCAAAGGCGATGTCAACACATTCAATAAAGCCAAATGTCATTGTCGCACATAAATCTTGAATGCTTAACATGAGACAAAATTTTGAACTGCGATTTCAACGAACCTCTAGAATAGACGACTTTGTGATGTCGAAAATGCCAAAACTTGACATCGCAATTGTCTCAGATTCCGCGTAATGTTGGAAGAATTTTACCTACATAAAAATTTATGTTTCACAATTATTCAATCTCAAATTTAATTTACTTACTTCGCGATAATAAAACTCTGAAGGTACATTATTAATGATCCTTATTATGACCTTAGATTCTTGATAAACTAATGAACCATTCCACAAAACAGCCATTGTTCTACTGATAAGAAACACAAACGAAAACCAGAAATAAATGCTTTGCATGATGGACTCTGTTTGTCTGAGAAACAAAAAACAATTAAACTTCAAACGACACTGCGAGTTCTTCGTTTTCTCTCACTTGAAAGCACCAAGAGCTTGATTGCATACAAAATAGAAGTCATTGAGCAGAGAAATCATGACAAGGCAAGAGATAACTCGATTTGTTGCTTTCACTTGGTCATGTAGCGCTTCGTAATTGAGACGCGCATTGTGCCAAAAATTTTCATCGTGATGATAAAAAGTTTTTTTAGAAATTTTTTCATTAAACTTTTTCAATTTTGTGTGAATTAAGCGAAAGATTATAATTAAAAAAACATCGCAGAAATTCCATAACACGGTGCTGAGAAAACACGTAAACACGACGTAGAAACCGTAGAGATGACTGTAAGGAACAACTTTAAAAAAGTCAGGAATAATGCCACGTGAAAATGCTTCAAACTTTGTAGAATGAAAATGGAAACAGAAGGAAGCACCTTCATAGTCAACCACTTTCGATACAAAGTGCTCAAGAAATGCTACAGTCATAAAAAATGAGAAGAATTTCCATGGCTTGGTCGTTAATTTCTCATCGTCCTCAGAATATTTGGCTTCAAAATCACTCCAAGAGGTGAAGACACTCGGCAAATACCAAGAGATGTAAACGAGATTTATTGATATTGCGAAGCAGTTCATGAAGAAAATGACGGGAATGATCTTGCCGTAATGGAAATGTTCCGCTTTAACAAAGTAATAAATCAATGTCGAAAGCATGATGACAATGAAAATCTGCACCATTAAGCAATAAACCGCATGAATTCTTGAGAGTTTTCCTTTCATTGACGACACTTGTTCGATGTTGCTACAATATGGCATGATGCCAAAACATTGTGCAAACAAGAGAAGTGCATGTAAGTCTTGATAAAAGCCCCTGTAAACAGAAGGTGAACATGTCAGCAATTATATTAAATATATTGTAACACTATGCTTATAATGTATGTACATTGTACTCAAACTTAATATGTTAATTTATGATTAAACGATCCCGATATTAAAATTCAGTTCATCAACTTTAACTGCAATCACACAACTATTCTAACAATTGTCAATCACCAATAAAACTTTTCGAGACAAAATCATGAAAGTTCACCAATCAATATCAAATTAAATGAAACTTGTCGTTGTCAAGCAAATTCAAAGACACTTCATTTTGTCATTCACTGTTGAATAAGCATTATGAAAGAAATCTTGATCCACATAATTTTGCTTCTCATTTTTCTTTATTCTTCAATAATCTTATCTGATGGATTCATAAAAACACTCGAACTGTCTTATTTAGGATGATTTGGTAATTTACTTGTTGATATAAACTTTGAAAGGGAAATAAACAAAAACTGTTTTAAACAAACATTGTTGTGGTTAATTATCTAATAGTTTATTAATAAAATATTTGAAATAAATTCTTGTTACTAAATCAAACATTTTTCTGCCTTTTTAATTAAAAATGAGAAAGTAGATTAATAAAGAAATTTATTTTTTGTCATTTACCTGCATCATTCACCCCATCAATACATTGATAATTAATTAATTTATTATGTATGAACACTCACGAAGGAAAAAGTAAGAATTTCAATAAAAAGTTATCTTGATATTCAACAAATTTATATTGAACTTTTATAAAATTGGATTTAACAATTTAAAATTATTTTTCACTAAATTCCGTTCAAGTTCATGAGAATTTTTCTTCTTTATTTTATTTAATAAGCGTCTTTTATAAACTAAAACTTAAAGCTTACTAAATCTCAACAATTAAATGTTATTAACACTTTCACTAGAGAATTTGAACTGTAATCAACCCGCTTAAGTTGAGTTAAATTTAAATTTTTGAGAACATGTTGAAATATTTCACCATTCAAAAGGCACATGCACGTACTTTGTTGCCTTGTAAGAATCAAAACACGCCAGCAAATTCCTAACATTAACCAAACTTCAATAAGGAGAGGTCCATTAATTCTTCAACCAGGAACATTTAAATTTATTTAATTTATGCGATGAAATTATACGAAGAAATTGAATATTTAGCAGATTCTTCCCTTCTATTCAATTTTATGTTCAGGCACATGTCAGGTTTATTTTTGGATCTAATTTTATCAAGACCTTATCTGCAAAAACTGTTTATTTGCTATAAAGGTACTCTAAAAAAGGTAGCAGTAGAAATATTTATAAAAAATATAACAAGAAAGACGATATAGGGTCAAAAAGTTATTTTCTTGCAAACTCTCTAATGAGATGTTTGATTAATTAGGACACTGTGATAACCTTTTAGGTAAAAATTAAATGATCTTTTACCCCCAGCATACCCATACGTTTAGTACCTTTGGAAAATAAAACACAATTCATGTCTGCTTGAGACAGAATTTATTTTTTTTTACTTTGTAATCTTTGAAAGTATGTATGAAGCGTCTGCATGCAAAATAATTTTCAATTTCACCTTTTTTGTGACGCGAGAAGAAATCGAATTATTTCTCAAATCCTTACAATTTAAACGAAGTGTAGCTTAACGAAGCCTATTTTGAGCTTTTAGAAAAGACGGAAAAGAAGCTTAACACGTTTCGTTTTTTTGTACCAAATTGAGTTTAATGACAAGGGAAATGTTTGAAATATTCAATTATTGCCGGATGAAGGTATGGAAATACCTTCTATCGAATGAAAAAGTCGAAAAAATAGAAAAATTAGATCTACCTTCTACCCTCTACAGTAACGGAAATCTTATTTTGTAAGAAAATGATTCATTAAATAAAATACTTTCCAAAAAACGACTTGAATTCGTTATTTCCAATTTAAAAATAAAATCCAAAGGAATTGAAGTAAAAATCGAGCTTATAAATCATCCAGCAACCCGCGAATGTTTCAATATTTACTTTGATAAGGAATATTTTCAAGATTTCTACGACGATGAATTTGTAATATTATATGATAGCACAGTGAAAGTCAATCGACGTCACTGACGATATTCGCAAATATAAATTCTGTCAAATTACAATGAAGAAATATTCAAATAAGTATACATAAAGTGAATTTAATGACTTCCAATAATGTTTGCTTGAACAACTTCTAAAATGTTGAATTTCTCTTGGTTACATAAGTGGATTTGAATAAAATACATATTCTAAATGTCTTCGTTTGCCATAGACTCAAGATTCGATTAGAATGAGTTATGTCGAAAACGAATACGCAACCAATCAGTTGAAAATTAGAAATTAAGCAAATTTAGGAGATTACAATGGAATTCAGTAAAGCATGTATTCAGATTCACTGCTTCGCTTCATTTTCTTGCATGCTTTCTTATATTAGAATAATTTGTGAATACCAATGTTCATGATAAGATTTAATTAGCAAGCGCACGTTTATTGAAATTTATTCCAGAGTCAACGAGAAGTGAATGATAAGATGAAATCAAAATGAAATCAACTAGAAGTAATCGTTTTGCTTCGTTCTGATTTCTTTTTCAAATGGAGACTTGAACGTGTGAAAAATAATAAAAGTTGAAAATAAGAAAAATTTTCAATCAGTAGTTGTTATTGAATGACATTTTCAATTAAAAAGAATTTGCAAGAAACGAGATTTAAGTTCCTTGTGGAAGAATGAAATGGAAGATTTCAAATATCAGAAGGATAACAAAAATTTCCAAATCAAAATGAATTTTTTTCGTAAATACTTTTTTTCCATCTTCTTTCAATTATTTTTAGAATTGTTGAACCTCATGGGGCAAACAACTGTCCAAGATTTCGTGACACGATTCGGACATGTTTCAATCGAAACTAGTTTCAAGTTCTTTTCATCTAACCTAACAGCAGCGTTCTAGAAAGTTTTTATAAATTTATCAGTATCGCCAGTTCATTTTCCCTAATGCTTTGATACAAAATGATTTATTCTTTATCGTTACAAGCATCAGATTAAAGTTGGAGTTGAAGCAAATCAATAAAGATTTAATGAAGATTAAGTGAAATGTTCATTCTTTGGTCAAATTATCATTTTCACTCACAAAGAACTCATCAGTTAATTTACAACTGTCGACATTACAAATGCTAACATTATTTGAACTTCGATTGTCAAACAATCTTCTTTCTTCATTTGCATTCAATTAATGAGAAGATTGGAATATTTAAGATCAACAAGCGAATATTTGTGTTGGAAATTGATTTAATTTTTTTCCGAAGTCAACATTTCCCACTCCTTAACTTTTCATTATTGCTTTGTTTAATTGGAAAACAACTCGTTATTTCACTTTACCCAGCAGACAGTATCGATGAGCTTGAAACACAGCTTGAAGTGTTTCATTTCATTATTAGTGTTTCGATGTCAAAAAGGTTTAATGAAAATTCAATTACGTCAATCGATACTTAATAAACTAGTTAAATATTTATTTATTTATTAATATTATCCCTTTTTAATCGAAATAGGAAAAAAAATGGCTTATCATTCATCTTTAATAAAGGTCTTAATCGTTTTCAAAAAGATTTGGGAAATAATTCTCATTACCGCAGTTAACTATTTAATATTCGTCATCATCATCATCATCATCATAGTTGATAATCTTTATTAAATCAATTATTATCCGTCAACCGTTTCTCTTCCTTTTTTCGCTTCGTCAAAAGTCGAAATGAAACTGCTAGGCATATAAATGTTTGGTAGGTAATTTGGAAACTTCTCATTCCGCTTCTTAAAGTAAATTGCAAAAATAAAACGTTTAGCAGCAACAGTGCTCATAAAAATAAATAGCTTCATCATGAACACGGAAGCAGTTGTAATCAAATTTGTCTGTAACAAAACGGAAGCGTTAAAACGTGATGATGGAAAGGAATTAAAATTCAATGGTGGAAAAATTTTGTTCTTTACATATTTAGCGATGCCCAATATGCTTGCTTAAGGGTTGAAAGCTTCTCATCTTTTAAGCGCATCGTTTTTCTCTCGGTTTTATGGTTTCTCACGAGAAGTGAAAGGGGTTTTATGTTTTTGACTTATTTGAAAAACAAACATCAGCAGCATCATCAATTTTCAATCATTCGTAATTGCTCGAATATATAGAGGCATGAGATGTTAGGGAACCATCGTAAAATTCCAATTTATTGGTGCTTCGCGTTCTGTTGGACTTTAAATTTCAAAAAAAAGATGAAAATCACAATTTCCGCTTCACACAAGAATCATTTTCTTGTTTTTTGAAATCGAAAGAATTTTTTACGAGANAGAATGTCGTTCAAATTATCATTAGATTCAATTTCACGAATGAAAATTATTTTTATCAATGCATGCTGAGATAAAAATTGCTCACACAAAAAAATTTTCATGTCTAATGCCGTTTCATTGCTTAGCTAGACAGCGTTACAAAAATTGAAAAAAGCAATTCAAAATAAAACACTTTTCCAGATTAGTAATCGAAAAACTGTTAAAACAGAATTAATCTAGATGAGTTATAGTGCATATTTGCTTTTTACAGATTCAAAATATCTTTAAAATAAGTCATAAAAAACCTGAAACAAAAATTTGCTGAAAGTGAAAAAAAAGTTGAAAAAATGAAGAGAAAAAAATTTCAATTTTAAATGACAATATCTTTATTTATTTGACGAGATAAGGAAATTGTTGTACTACATTTTGAATACTCACTAATAATGATTGTTCTCTGAAAGTTTCAGTGCAATCAATAGTGAAACAACTTCAAAATCTTCAACTTAAAAATTCGAAGTGAAAAACTAGTCTTATGCGTTTCTAGTCTAAGTTGAAACGCCCCTCTACAAAATATTTTGTCACGCATTTAATTTTTAACGGTTATAAAATTTTAAAAATCGTTCCGCAATTTTCTGCCCGCAATAACATAAACCTGGAATGTTATTTTTGTAATTTTTTCATCTGGAATAATATATTCTTCTCTTGCTTAAGGGTTGAAAGCTTCTCATCTTTTAAGCGCATCGTTTTTCTCTCGGTTTTATGGTTTCTCACGAGAAGTGAAAGGGGTTTTATGTTTTTGACTTATTTGAAAAACAAACATCAGCAGCATCATCAATTTTCAATCATTCGTAATTGCTCGAATATTTAGAGGGCATGAGATGTTAGGGAACCATCGTAAAATTCCAATTTATTGGTGCTTCGCGTTCTGTTGGACTTTAAATTTCAAAAAAAAGATGAAAATCACAATTTCCGCTTCACACAAGAATCATTTTCTTGTTTTTTGAAATCGAAAGAATTTTTTACGAGATTGTAAGTTCATGCTTCGCACACCACCGCCTCATAAAATGTTGAATGTTCGTTCTGTAAGAGTTTTCGTTACAAATGAGCTTTTTCTGAGTTTTACGTTGAATAATGAATGTTTTATGAAGAACATGTTTAAGAAAATTGGTTTCGATTGAACGATAAAATCTTCTGAACAGAGGAAGGTTGAACAAACCATAAGAAGTGGAAATTCTTACTTTTATTCAAATTTAATTAAACAAAATTTTATGCACGCAGAGTGCTAAAGTAGTCCTTCGAGCTTTTCTTGTTCTTTTAATGTAAAAGCTTAAAGATTAAATGATGAAATAAACTTCCATTAAATATTCAAATAGTATTCTCCTTTCAACATAAAGCTTATCATTCTATGATGTCCTTGCTTATTTTTGAATAAATAAAATATAAAAAATAGGCGAAGAAAATCTCGCTGCGTCAAATCATAAGCAGAATTCTTTAAAATGACTATGCTGTCTTTTACGGCGCATAATTTGGTCGTGAAAAGAAAGATGTTATTTCATTCTTGTTTCATTCTTTATTTTATAAAAGCATTGAGATAAAAAGAAGTTAAGGGACACCTGTCCCTTCATTTATCCGCAGCAACAGAACCATTTGAGACACCAGTGGAGAAAAATTGATGTTCTAAAAATTATGAATAATTTATGGCCCTTTTTTCTCATCTCAAATTTAAGAAAAGACAATTGCTTGTCTCTTGAATTATCTCTGACATTCAGAACAGATCTTCAGCTTTTGATCCATGATGTTCATATCTAGGTAATCAAGATTTTCCTTAAGGATCAACACATAAACTTTTAAATAATCCATTCACTGTAATGAGTTCTTATTTCACATAAATCAACTTTAGATTTCTTGAAGCTCTGAATTCCAAATCTGTATAAGAAACTGAAGGAAAAACTTGGAAAGATTTCAAAGTACTTCTTGAAAGTTATGACGCGAACAAACTTGTAGAAACTATTACTGGGAGAAGAAGGCAGTAAACTTCAAGTAGATATAAAAAAGAAGAAAAAACTTTTAAGGATGAATTTCTGAGCACATTTCTTTATTATTGTAAAGCTAAAAAGCTGAAAAAGAAGAAATAACTTCCGATAAAACACTCAAAAACGATCATCTCTCCGAGCAATCCATTTATATGTTGTGAAACAACTCGTGAGTTTTATCGTAATGAAATCTTTTTTCCTCTCAAGCATTTCTATTAACGACCAAGTTATGAAAATGATGCTGATTAAAATACTGAAAAGACCTGGAAAGTTCCGATGAAAAGAAACGGAAAAGTTGAAATATTAAATCATGAATTTATAAAAAGTGGCTGTAAAATAAATTGAGAGTGGCTTGTTATAAAAAGTTCAACAAAGTTAACATCAATTTCATTACAAAATGCAATTAAGGATGTCCGGAATATTGAAACAATTACGGGTCAACATATTGAACTCATCCAATTATATTGGAAAATGTTAAAGTGCTTTTCATTAATGTTGAAAATTATGTTTGTGTTCCATTCTAACTTAGGAAAATTTTCATTCTCCTAAAATTTCGTGCTTGACTTTTCCACTTGATTTTAATCTCCTGGCTCAAGATTAATTTTGATTCCTCTTACTTGCCATAGAGCTCAGAAAAAAATTTCATTGACTTGAATTTCATTTCAAATAAATTTATTTTATGCTTTCCCGAAACATCAACATCTTGTTTACAAAAGATAACCATTAGCAATGAGTTTCTAATAAAAAAACGTTAAATGAATTTTCAACGTCTCATACACGAAAGCCGCAGAACCAGAATAACAACATGTAGCAATGGCGTGTTACATAAAGTTAGTAACTTGTGATATATAAAATGAAATACTTACATATTTCAAAACGTGAAAACACAAATTTGCTGCACTCAAACGTGATAATTTAAATCTTTTTGAAAAAGCTGACTGCATGCACAGTCAACGAGCTAATCTAATTTTTCATCATATTTGTCATCTAAAATGAAACACAACTCAAGTTAAAAAGTATTCAAATTGTGTAAAAGAAGAAGACAAGTTTCCAACATCTTATAAAGATTGTTTTTCACTGAAAAATTTTGTAATTTAATACGACACTTTTTGGATGTTATCGATAAAAGGAATCTCTAAACTTTCTTCGAATTTCACAAGGAATTTCATAAATGAAGTTGAGAAGACCAAAGACAATGATCATTGAAATCATTATTCACATCTTTTGTCAATTTACAAACTTGAATACCAAATGGTTGTATCTCTATCAAATTTCATGTCTCAGCATTAAAATTACCAAATTAAATATTCAATCAAAGAGTTTGAAAAATAGCAAAAGATCTTTCAAGGGAAAAATATTCAAAATAAATTCTGATATCTACGTGTTTTCACATATAATTCTCAAATTGATTCTTTACTGTCATAATTAGAATAAAGACGACACTTCATAACCCAAAATATGATTAGAAGTTATAAACTTAAATAACGTATAATAAATAACTAGAGAAGATTTGTTGGTTCCAAAAATATTTACTCGACTGTATTCGTATTATTAACACCAGGCAGTATTCAATAATGAATTCATTTTCATCATAATTCATCATCGTCATTTTCCATTCCATTGATACTCGAAACATAGCAATAATAATGAAGCAACAGCTTGTGTGGTAAAATATCCCTGCTATGTTTCGTGCTGTGATTGTTCAATTTTGTTGTTAAGAAAAATTACAAAAGAAGAAGAAATACGAGAAAGTGAACTGACAGCTATTAAGATGAGATTAACGTGCGAAAAAATGACCATTTGAATATAATAAGATTGATCTATGTTGATTGGAAGCGGTCCAGATGTTTGCAGCCTCAAATATTAGCAACCTCAATTCAAGACAATTCATGTTGACTTTAAATATCATAAAAATTCAATTTATAAATTGGAAAGTGTTTGGAACTAAGAATTTATTTCAAATCATGTCTGGTCGTTGACTTCTTCGATTTTTGTTGACATAAATAAATCAACAAAGATAGCACTCATAGTTTAGAATGCTGAAAGTGACTTGAAACGCCTTTTGTGTAGTTTCAAGCATCCTTGAAAAAAACAAAAGAGCATTAAATTCCTTTTCCCCTGAAGGAAAACTTGTGATAATCAGAAATAACTACAGCGAACTTGGGGCTCCTTTAATGAGAGTTATTTTATCACTCTCTCTTGAGGTACTTATGTAGCAAAAAATTACGTTGAGAGATTCAGCAGCTGTACAAGAATGAAATATGCATCAATAAAGCACTTCAACAATGAGAGTGAATGTTGCGTAAATATTGGCAAAGGCATAGTCAGAAAATATTAACGACTTTGACGAATGTTTCCTGAATTTAAATATCACATACTTGACACCTAAAACCCCAGATTTTCCCACAACTATTCATCATGACGAAAAGTAAATTACTTAAAGTCACACACTCTTAGTCCCTTTAAACATTAAGACTTTTTAAGTAAGGCAAGCAAGAAAATAACTGAGAAGAATTCGATGCCATAAAACTTGGAAAAAGGATTTTCTAACAATTTTGATAAAACGAAACTTTATCAGGAGATACCTACTTGTATAAAATGTACATAAATATGTATTTGAAACAATCTGCACAACAACCTTTCAATTTATCTTATTTCAGGGCTCAAAGCTTAAGAGCGTATCAAGAAAATGGCATTAGTGCTCATATTCAATTTGAAATTTATATGAATTTGATAAATTTAATTTGTTTGACTACTTACTGTGATTGAATTCTGATCGGCTGAATATAACTCGAGTAGCTCGAAATGAAAGGATTATCAATGAGAATGTTATGAAAACTAATTCACTAAAACACATTTCATAGAATTATTTTGTACAAGAATTTCATATTCATTAAGAATATTTTAATTAATAAATATTTAATTAAATTCAAGTATCACTTTCAAAGATACCAAGCTTAAATATTTGTACATTAAAACGGTAAACAAATGAGAAAATAATTTTGTTTATACATGTTTACATCATATAATTTAACATCAACAACAACATCAGAAAATTCAATTTAACACGCATCACTTACTTTAATACGACAATATTTTGATTAATATTGTTAGAATGTTCTCTAACATATCAAGTAAGATTCAATTTAAAAATCTCATTCCACTGTGAACTTCAATTTGGCAGCTAACTTATCACAAATATTATTTGTCAGTGATGGAAACAAATTGGCATCCCAAATCGTTTGTATTCTAACGAAGACAAAACGAAAAGGCAAATTGATAACTAGAATGAATTCTTTATAAGATTGCTGAACTCGTTTGGAGCTGATGAGAAAATATCATTGCTAACACCTTCGGATCTTCATGAATTTGTAATAAGAGTGAGCTTGGACTTTTTCATTGAAGCTACTAATTAGAAAAGAAAAAGTTTGACGTCATCAAATATATCACTTTGGGGTAGGTAAAATAAGATTTATTGATCAAGAGCTAGCGAAAAAGGAAAAGAAGTTAAATAAATGTTAACATGAATACGAAATGAAAAGCAGACTATTGAAAGGCTTATGATATATTCAAAGTTCATGAAGTGTCAAGGTGTGAGTTATTCAGTGACGCCAATAAAATTATCTCAACCATTGTCTTAACCACAGAAATAGCCAAAGTCATCAGTGAAATCCACTCTCAGGAACTGTTGTTTGTTCGTGACAGCAAGTCTTTTCAGATAATTTATTCGTTTGTTGATGCAATGAAAAAGATACGAAAAGCGTGGGAATGTTATATAAAACGACAAATAAAAAGTCGCCTAGAGGTATTTGAAAGCTTTGACTTTTCCCTCTTTTTGGTTGATCCTTTAATCCCTTAAAATAGAGTTTTGATTACAGTTGTTGCATGCGCTACACGAGAACTTTTGAGAGAGAAGAAAATTGGATTTACAAGGTCGGTCTTGTTCGATAGTTGATTCGATTTTTTTCATTATTTTAGAAGCCAAGTAATCATTGAAAATTACATCAATTAAGTTAGCTACTTGAGTTTGACATTTTTTTTAGAAAATATGAAATGCTCATAACAAGAAAGTCGTAGCATGGGTGAGTAAATGTGCTAACAAAGGGTTTAGTAATTATATGGTTCCCCATCGTAATTTCACCATACTTGCTTCATTTGTTCTTTAGGGTAGTCAAGCACTCAAGCACAGAAATATAAAAATATAAAAAAACGGGCATGATAATAAGCCACATGCGGAGTAGATTAGAATGAAAATAATAATGTTTTCTTCATGATAAATAAGTGAACTTTGGAAATTAAATACCGTCACGATTGCAAAGTAGGGATTCTTTATTTGTTTTTGAAAATAAATATAAAAGCTCAGCGGGAGCTACGACAAAAGAATGTTACGTTAATGAATCGTACCGTTGCGAGTAATTTAAGTGAAATTCGTCTGAAAATCCGAGCTTTATTCGTTTGTCTCAACATGACACATGGGACGCATTAATGCGATCTTGAAAATTACTGAAAGCGAAATTAGCTTAGAGACATTTTTTAAGTTTGAAAACAAGTATCTAATTTCTTATACTAATTGTTTGTTAAAGTTGGCAGTACTAAAAACTTATTGAGATTGAAAGTTTTTTTGCATAAAATTTCATAGTATTTTGCCACATAAACTTTAAAATATTTAAAAAGTTCTCATTTCAAAACTTTCAACAGCTCTTTTATAAAATGTTTGCCACTTTTTATCTATTTCTGGGAAACATTCAAAAGAAAAAACATTCAATTGAGTTATTAATTCTTTTTAACTTTATTACTTAAACAAATTTAATAAATTAACTTTTTTTGCAGATTGATTTTCTGTAGCAACCTTTCTTCTTTGAAAACTTTGAAGTGCTTCCAAATTACAAGTTAATTTTATAATTTTTTATATCATTGATGATGGTGATTAGTCATTGAATTAATTAGGGAACATAAAGCAATAAAAAGTTTCTTTTTATAAAAGACGGTAGCTTGAAAAGGTTTCGTTATAAAATATGAATTTCTATGAAGCGGTGGAAATAGAAATAGAAATTCAACTTAAATTAGTAAAAAAGCTTTTATATGAATATTTTATTTATATAAAAAAGTCGTTTCTGAATCAGATTAACTTAAATGGCTGCTTGATCACATTCAAAACAACATACATAAGAAGAACATAATTAAATTGAAAAATACTCTGGGACAGTGAAACAGTTCAGTGAACATCAATATAAAAAAATCGGCCGATTTTCCTTGGTTTTTGCTTCTTGCACAATTTTTTCAGAAGTTTTTGTAAGCAAGCTTTTTGATGTTTATTTTCTCTCTCGAGAGAGGAATGCGAAGAGAAGCATCACTTGTGAAACAAAGTGGAAAATGGAACTAGGAATGTTTTTCAAACAAAACCATTAATAACGTTTTGTTAATAAATTCAATATAAAATACAAAAAGGAACGAAGGTCAAGTAGAATTGACTTATTTTCAGAATTGTATAAAAGAACTGCATTTTCTTAAGTTGCTCCGCTTAGCATTTGAACTCCACACATAAGTATCATGAACGACGAACGAATAATATACCTACATATATAGATAAATATCTAAACGTTTTCATAAGAGCACCATTAATAAAAATAAAAACAAGATAAAAACCATTTCATAAAGATTCTGTGAAGAAGAAAACTGAATTTCAAACCGCCGAAGATGATATTTAATGTTCTTAAATAAATCAAAATTCATGAGATTGCATAAATAAATTCATGTAATATAAGAGGTATTCCTATCTGAAGCTCATAACAATGAAATGGTGAATATAAGATCTACTGATTCGTCCGTTAGCTTCATATTCACATCGATGGAATGCCTTGAGGTTGAAAATCGCATTATTCATTTTGAAAAACACTTACCACATATCAGAAGCTCATATCTATGCATGAAGGCATCGACATTGTGTTCAGATAATATTATTTAATAGATAGATAATTTATACTTTAATTTAAATTTTTAATATTAAATTTATGTAGGTATAATAATAAAGAACTTCTCATTTCCTGTCAAAGAATGCTGGTCACTAACGAACAAAAAACTTTTTGTATATTATCCTTTATTCTACATAATTTTAATGGTCTACATTTTGAAGTTGCTGCTTTGAAATAAAAATGTATTGTTTGTTGTAAAGATCAGAAAGCATCAAGTCTTGAATAAAAAGTTATAAAATAAAATTAAGTGTGATTGAAGCAAAATGCTTGGCTACAACATAGTAGTGTGTGTAGTACCTAATTTATCACATTATCACATTATCACATTAAGATAAATTTGTGAAATAGACGACGATCTTAAATGTCCTTCCAACCGTAGAGGAAAGTACAAGTTTTCAATATTTTTCTAAAAAGAAAAGTAAATATATTTAGACTAAATGCAATTTTCATCACACAAACTTTCATCCTTCCAAGAAACCAAAGAGTAAAATCAATCAAGAATGAAAGCCGTTTGATGATTCAATATCGTTCCAGTTTATTCATACATCAAATTTTTTGCTTTCATTTTATGGTTGATAAATTTATTTCGTTTAAGATGGTTTTTTATATCGTCATATCGAATACTTGCTTGGTAGGAAGCCTTTTTTATTTCTTTCTTTTTATATTGTTTTAGCCTATGCCTGAAGCAAAGAACGAAGGCTTGAATTAATAACCACAATTGCTTGAGTCACAACAGAGCAACCATAAGGGTAAGAAAAAAACGATATTGAAATGAGATTTTCATGATTTTTTTAGAGCTCTTTTCTGATACGATTTACGATCTTATTAAAGAGAAAAACCAAAATGCTTTTTAAGCATTTATTTACCATGCCGAAATTTTCTTTATCTGAAATTTGAAGCTACGACTAATCTTAATTTAATGCAATTTTAGTTTTTTTATAAAAATACCTATTTTAGAAAAATATTTTATAGATTACGTTTATCTCTTATTAGCAGCAAACTTTTCTAAAATTAGGGAAATTTCAAAGATTTGTATCAAATTAACAAATTGAAATATAAAAATCAATACTATTCTAACATGATTTTCACATTCCATCAACCTTTTCATTTTCTTCACCCAAGAGATGGAAAGAAAAGGTGTTTTCGATAAAGAATCATCAAATGCAAAAATAGAAAGAAAGGAGCAGAGGTAGAAAGCGACGTGCAAACTGTCAAAGTATTTTATTTACTATCTTTTATAAATTTCCTTAAATAACTGACTGACATCAATCGTTTCAGTTTGTCCTTTTTGCAAATTGGTAAATGGAAGCCTCTAATGGGAATAAATGTAGCAGCAAGTATTCATACAGCATCTGAAAGAAATTATTCTTAAATCAGACGAGGTAAGAAAGAAAATATAATGTAAATAAATATTCTTTAATTTCGAATCATATTTTATTTTATGTTTCTTCAAACAAAAACGTTCGAATAAATAAAGCAAAAGCTAAATATAGTTAAAAACAAACAAAAAATTTTTTTCGTATATTTTTCGAAGAATTTCTTTTGAAAATTTCATTTTATTATGAAAAAAAAAACATTTTCATTATCTATGATACTCAATACGATGAAGTTTCATGCAAAAATAGAAGAATATTTGTTTTAATTCTACGAAAAAGAAAATAGAAATTTATCTACGAAGACGGTTTAAATAGCTGCGTACTGCATCTTGGGTGAAGAGTTTTCCCCATTTGAACGAGAGAGAATCTTTATTTTGTAATTAGTTGTTTTATTAGTTAGATAAATAAATTGAAAACAATTTTCAAGTCACCAAATAGAATTCAAAAATTAAACAAATTCGAACCTTGATGCTTTGCAAGAATTTTCTAAAGCAAATTAAATGCTTTTTATTCTCAAAAAAATATTCAATGATGGTGTAACTTGAGGATGCTGAATAAATTCTTTGAGCATGTTTAACATAATGTTTTAGTAAAAGTTTTGCAAAGCTTCATAAAACTCGAAAAATGTTTGGGAAAAACTTAAAATAATTTACAAAATAAAGTGATTTTCCGGGGGGTTGTGATCTTAAGTTGGCACCAAATTTTCTAATTTATTTTAAATCTCACACTATCTCTGAATTCTATTGATAAAATGATAATTATTTTTTTATTTCACCAGTTGCCGTTTGATACTAGATAAGCATTGCCTTTGCTTTAGGAAATTCATTCTCTTCACCCATCGCAGATAAAAGTAATGAAATAACCGTTTTTGTTACTCAATTTCGATATTGAAAAAATAAAAAATTCATCAACCAAATAAAATAAATCTAAGAAATTATTTTCTACTTGTTTATGATTAGTAAATTTAGGGGATTTTACTCTTTTTTGGTTGTTGGTTTGATTCATGTTAAAAATATATGTAAATATGATATAAAATATGCTGCTCCATAATATATGAATGAATAAATTTCCACAATTCAATAAAAATAAAATCAATAAATAAAAAAAAACTTCTTAAACAAATAACATTGATGTCATTAATGGACATTAAGTGAGAAGGCGGATATTGATTCACCCTGACGACCAATACCCTTTGCTTGGTATTGTCCTATATCAGAGTGACTTGTTGCTTTAATTTCCATACTGTATTTGCCATTCTTTTGTGTGAATTTCATGTTTTCGTTTCCTTCTTCTTTAATTTTGACTCCATCCTTAAGCCATTGAACTGTGAGAATTTCATCGTAGAATTGACAGTCAAATTTAACTTTCACTCCACTTCCAACCGACTGAGATTGAGGGAACTTAAGGAAGAGAGGATTTTTCACTTCCTGCAATCGGTCCTTGTCGGGTACTGAAGCGCCAGGTGTGTGTAAGAATTCGAGTTTTTCATGTTGCCCAATTACAAACACTTGACATGTGCTGAAACATTCTCCAACATTGTTAAATGCTTCACATGTGTATGTGCCTGCGTCTGAAATTTTAAAAACAATTTCTTTTAGATATTTGAAATTCTAATCATTCAATTAATTGAAATACCTTCAGGGAATATTTCTGCAATCTTAAGTTTCAGCGTATTTTTATCTTTAATATATTGGAAGTCTGCAGATGGTTTGATCTCTTTGTTATTGTGGAGCCAAACGACATCGAAAATTGAGGTGTCACCAATTTCGCAATGTAATTCACACTCGCCGCCATCGGGTACATATGTTGAGGTCAAGTGCTTAGTAATCTTAGGTGGTTTGTCAGAAAGAGATTCATCACTGCTTTTTGGTTTTCGCTTTGAATCATGTCCACCTTCAATTGCTAAAATATTTTGTTAAAAAAGTTAAATTTTATTTTTAAGTATCAATAATCGTAAGTTGAATTAAACAGTAAAACTCACGTTTAACTTTTAAGGTGCAAACAGATTCAGCAGAGTTGACGTAGTTCTTTGCTATACATTTATATTCACCCGCATCTTCTGGATATACTTCTTCAATCTTAAGCGTGGCTAATCCGTATTTATATTTCAAATCAACAAAATCATTTGATTCCAATTTCTTTCCGTCTTTGAACCATGAAACTTGAGGTTCAGGATCTCCAGCAATTTGACATTGAAGTGTGAGTCGTTCACCATCGCCAATATTAAGTGACTTAAGTCCAACAGTAAAAGTAGGTGGGCTTGATGCAGCATCATTTGGTGGAAGTATAAGTTCTTTTGTAGCACTTCGTGATCGATTTGGACTACTGCCAGATGCTGATCCACCATATTTCTTCTTGCTAGGTGTTGTACTTAAGCTTACAGTCTTATTTGGTGAACTTACTGGACTACTACTACTGGTGGGTTGTTTACTTGGTGCTGAAGTGGAAGAGCTGGTAACAGCTGATTTAAGTGGAGCAGGTGGTTGTTTTACCATTGCTTGCTTTTCTATGTATTTACGATCTGGTCATAAAAATCCGGGAAATATAATTAGTTTCAACTTTAATAAAAATTTCAACGAGAACTTTCCAAAAAAAGAATAACTCAAAATGCATGAGATATGCCAATAAATTTTTATATACAAAAATTAGTTTTGACATTTTTAATATTTTCCATGAATCCATTCAAAAATCATAAGGGACAAAATCGAAATAAGGAAACAAAAAAAAATTTAATTTATTTTTAAAAATCATTCACAAAAAGAAAAGTAAAAAAACAAAAGGAAATTATATGTTGCTACATATTCTATGGCTATTTGAGAAATAATAGATATTAACGGAATAAATGCTTATAAAAAGATAAACAGAGATTTTGTTTACATTCATTGCTAATTAAACTAAAGAGCTTTCAAATAATATGTTAGTCACAAAATAATTATTTCATACAACGTTGTTGCTTGATTAAACTGATTAAACTGATTTAACATTCAACTACATAAGTGTAATGGACTAGTCATCGTGCATTAGCAAATAACTAAATATTTAACGGACTTGAAACTAAGTAATTAAAGAACCGACAAAAATTACCTCCTGAATATAAAAGATTATGGGCAAGTTCTGCTTGTTCGGGCGATGTGCCTTCGCCTTTAATATTAAATATTTTTCATAATTTTATAAACGAGGAGTTAAAAGAGAGAAAAATTTAGTTTGATAAAAAGAGAAAACTGCAATGCAATGTTTCAATAATAATTGACATAGTGTAGAGAAAAATTTTGTATTTTAAGAGTGTTTAGTGGCCAATAAAGAGAAATCTGATTAAGAATGTTTTCAAAGTTTTCAGGGCTTGATCTTGTAAAGAATCAAAAGTTTCTTTCTTATTAGAAACTTCATTCATCTTTAAGCTTTCATCATGAACTTTGAAGACTTAATTTTCAGAAATGTTTCAAAAAAGAGAATGGAGACTTATTCAAATTATTTATACAGATTGAGGGTGCTTACCTTCAACAATAACCACACAGCTAGTTTCATCAGAGCCATATTCGTTAGAAGCAACGCAACGGTATTTTCCAGAATCGCCAACTCTGCATCCAACAATCTCCATGAACACGACACCATCAGCTTGCGTTTGAGGATATTCATATTTATTAAGTTCTGTTGTATTCTTATACCATTTAATGTTTGGTTTTTTGGCGTTAAGTGCAACGCAACATAGAAGTTTGCAGGTGTCTCCAGTTTGCATAACACGTGGACGCAGTTGGAATGTGAAGATGGGGCCTTGTCCAGAGATGACTACTTCCTTCGCTTCTGATTCCTGTCGCTTTGATCGTGCTTTCTCGCGTAATGCATCTAATCTTGCATTTGCTTGTTGCATTGTCTGTGAGAGATCGTTTGGTCCCGAGGATGGCGATGGTTGTACATTGAGGAAAACAATTTCTTCTCTTGAACCGTAGAAGTTTTCAGCTTTGATAATGTATTCACCACGATCTGCTAATTTTGTTCGATTTATTGTAAATTCGTAATCATTTCCATTATATCGTTTCATGAATTTAACACTTTGACGTAATTCACGACCGTTCGTGTACCAAGTAACAGTTGCAGCTGCAACAGCACAAATACGACATCTGAAGGTGACACTTTGTCCTTCATAACAGAATTGTGATGTTGGTCTTATAACAAATCTTGGAGCAGCTTGTCGACGATCGAAGCTTAATGAAAGAGCTTGTCGACTTATTCTAAGTCTTGAACGAGCTGCCAGTGAGCCAAGGTAAATCTTATATGTAGTTGTATCGAGGTATTTTCCAAACACACCCTGCTTGCGTAAGCGTGCATGCAGTTTCATAATCTTCTGATTGAACTTCTCTTGATTGAATGGTTCAGCCTTAGCAATAGATTCACCTGTTAACCAAACATGTTCCAAACATTCATGTGCTGTCATACGTTTCTCTTTGTTCTTCACTAACAAGCGACGAATGAAGTCTTTAGCTTCATCAGAAACGTTACGGAAAGCTTCTTCATCAAATTCCCAGTCACATGCTTTAACATTCTTCAATGTCTCGACATCAGTTTCTCCCGCGAATGGTGATAAACCGCTGAGAAGAACGTAAGCTAAGACACCAACTGACCACATATCAGTATAGAAACCGACAGCGTCACGTTCGACAATTTCTGGTGCAGCAAATTCAGCAGTGCCAGTTGAAATCTTAACTTCATCATTGGGATTAAGTTTTGTAGCTAATCCAAAGTCAATTAATTTGATATCAGTGCTACGTGATGTTGTAAGCATGATATTTTCAGGTTTGATATCCAAATGAATGATATTCTTCTCATGCATGTAACGTGTAGCATCACAAACTTGACGAATATAATTGATAACTTCAGCTTCAGACATGACGTATCCATCAGCAGTTATTCGATCGAATAATTCACCTCCTGACAAGAATTCATAAATCATGCAAATTTCTCCTTCAACTTCAGTATCGTCAAAAGCGTCATGTAAATTAATCAACTTGTTATGATGTAATTGATTCATAATATCGATTTCTTTCATCAAGAGTTGTTTCTCCATTGCTGTTCCCACAGGGATGAATTTAGCTGCATAAATGTGACCAGTGGCACGTTCACGACAGCGATGAACGACTCCAAATGCACCACTTCCAATTTCTTCAAGAATGTCATATCGTGAGTAGACACTTCCAGCTCCAACATCGACAACCTTTGGCATGAACTTCTGATAGATATCCCAGTAATATTGATCATAATCAGTGACTTGACCCTTTTGGTCTGTGCGAATCTTTTTGCCTTGTGCGTCCAATTTCAATCGTGATGTTGGTTCTTGTTTCTTTGTCTCTTTTTGTGGCATCTTTACCCATTCAGTCATTTCAGTGGGTTCTGATCTTCCGAATATGTTTTCAGAGAAAACTCTGAAAGCATAAGTGCGACCAGCTGTTAAGTTCTGAACAAGCATTGAATTTAAGCGTGTTGTTCCACACAACACCCAAGTGTCATTAGGATGTTCACGCTTCTGAACGATGTACCCAGTAATGCTTGAAGCTCCATCAACAACAGGAGGTTTCCATGTGAGTGCAACAGTTCCAAATGTTTGAGATAAAAGAACAGTCGGAGCATCAGCTGGCAACTTGTTGTAATCGATTCCATTCTCTGAAACACCATTTGATAATCCCTCAAGCTTATCTGCTAACTCAGCAGCATTAATTGAATCATAAATGATGTATTTTGAGGTGAGTTCAATTTGACGAGGTGCTTCTGGTCGATCACAAATTTCTATTTTGATTGTTGCGGAATCTGATCCCAATTCATTTTCAACTGTTAAAATGTAAGATCCACGATCGAATTTCTCAACATTTTGGATCTTCAACAAAGCGTGACGTTCACCAGCTTCAACCTTGAAATGTCCACCAGATTCAATGTTGTCACCTTCACGTGTCCAAGTGATTCTTGGTCTTGGGAATCCAATGAATGGAACTTTAATGATAACATTTTCGCCTCGGTCAAAGTAGGCAGTGTCACGGAAGCGTGGTGGTACATTGAGTTTAGGTGGAGTTTTAATGACCAATGTTCCCTTAGTGCTCTTAACGCCAGCTTTGTTAGTAGCACGACATGTGTATTCATCAGCATCTTCACCATACACACCATTAATAATCAAATGATGTGTTAAGGTTGATACATCAGTGTAAATATGATAACGGGTTCCAGTTGTTATTTCTCTTGCACCCTTATACCAAGTTATTCTTGGTGCTGGCATTCCAATGATCTTACATTCAAAGGCAGCATCACGATTAGCAATGCATGCGACACTGTTAAGTTCTTTGACAATCTCTGGAGGTGTTCCTTCAGTTGGGTCAATGATTTTAATAGGACGAGATGGAAGAGACCAAGCACCAGCACCACCAGCGCTAACTGCTCTAACACGGAACTCGTATGTGCGTCCATCTAATAAATTATCAATCATTGATTGTGGATGGAATATTGTGCTACCAGCATAAAGTGGAATACACAATTGATCGCGACCCGATGTTGTAGATTGAGATTGAATTGGTCCAACACGTTGCCATAATTCTGTTTCACTATCTGATTCACGTTTTTCAATTTGATAACCGAACAATGGATTTCCACCATCTTCAAGAGGTGGTGACCATTGAAGAATAACTTCAGCGTTACCAACAAGTTGCAAACTGTCATCTTCAGAAGCAGCTTCTTCAGTCGAAGATTTGCGTGCTTTAGCGTGTTGAATTGGTGATCCAAGAATTGATGGACGACCTGGTGCACCTGGTGGACGTTGACCAGAGTTAGTTTCAACGATGTCAACACATTCTAACCAATCTGAAGCTCCAGAATCGTTTGCTGCTGCAATACGGAATTTGTATTTTCGGGCAGGTTGCAGGTTTTGTACCCAAACACTTGTGTCACGACAGTGACCATTGACTTGAATCCATGTTCCTGATTCAACATCTTGTCGTTCAATAATGTAATGTGTACATTTACGAACAATCCATGTTGAAGATGTTTCCAATTCTTCTTTCGGTGATGACCATTTCAAGAAGCAAGAATTGGTGGTAATATTCTGTGCGTCAACAGGTCCTCGAGGTGGTGGTGGTGGTGCAAGAATATAAACGTCTGTTTTTCCAGATACAACACCACTTGAATTCTTCAAACGGAATTCGTACGATCCTGCCTGACTTGTTTTCATGTCACGCAAGAAGATAAGGAAGAAATCGTCGAAAATAACAACACGACAGCGGTCATCGACATCGGGATCCAAATCTTTACCATTATGAGATACTGTAACATCAATTGGTTGATCACCACTGTAAAAGATCTTAAGTTTTCCAGTATCTCTCTCATTAATGGTAATTGTTGGTTCATAATGTCCCAATTTCGGTGGAACACCAACACGTACATGGCACATAGTCCATACTGTACCCAATGGATTAAAGGCTTCGCAACAATATTCACCCTCATCTTCCCATTCGAAATGACGAATGGTGAGTTTGAATACTCCATTGCAAATTGAAACATCGTAACGTGTATTCTCTGTGATATCTTTTCCATTCTTCAACCAACGACAATCAGGTTCTGGAGTACCATGAGCTTCACAAACCAATGTGCATTCTCGTCCACGAGGAACATCTTGTGCTTGTAATCGACGAACGAAATCAGGCTTCTCTCCACCTGAGATTTCAGCAATCTTTGTCATTGGAGTTGGAGGTGATGGTTCAGATGCACCATTAGCATTATGGGCAGTAACGCGGAACTCATATTGTCCAAATTCTTGAAGACCAGTAACTTGGAATTCGTTAAGTTTAAGTAAAATGTCGGAACATTTTCTCCAAGTTGCACTTGTTTTTTCTTTCTTCTCTATTGTATAACCAGTTATTGGAGAACCACCATCATCATCAGGAGCTGACCAACGTAAGTCACACCATGTTTTACCAACAGTAATAACCTTAGGTGCTGATTGGCCTGATGGTGGAGATGTTTTTATCTTCATTGTTATAGGATGGCATGCTTGGCTTGGTTCACTGATTCCAGCAAGATTTGCAGCGCGTACACGGAATTCATATGAATCTCCAGGAACTAATCCGTGAACTGTATAACGTGTATCTTTAATAAGATAAGGCGTGCTTAACCATTGACCACCAGCAGTAGTCGAACGCCATTCAACTTTGTAACCGGTAATCTTAGCACCACCATCTGAACGTGGACGTGCCCATAATAAATTAACTGAGCTTGTTGTGATTTCAGTACATGTTGGAATTCCAGGTGCATCAGGGGCACGGAACTGGTATTTTGCACAAACTGGACTGGCTGTAGTCAATGGATCAGAAATTCCATATTGATTTTCTGCCCTGACTTGGAAATCATATTCATGATTTTCACGAAGGCCACATGCAGTATATGTTGTACTACGATTAAATGAACATATTTTAACCCAAACATAATCAACTTCACGTCTTTCAATGATGTAATTAGTAATTTCAGAACCACCATTGTCATCAGGAACATCCCATAAAAGAGTTACAGTTTCAGTTGTGATATCAGTGCAACCCAAATATTTTCCATCAACAGCAGTTTTAGATAATGATGTATCACCAGCCATTGGCAACGAAGTTGTGAATCCTTTTGGTGGACCAGGACGATCAACAATAACAACTTTGAAAGTAATTTGATCTCTTCCTGAAGCATTCTCTACTGTCAAACGGTAGTTGCCGCTATCTGTAGGTCGCTCAACTTCAGGAATTTCCAAGGTGTATTCTCTATGAGCGTAAGAAATTTTGTAACGAGTGTCGTTATTAAGAACGTTTCCATTATTATCCCATTGAGCTTCAGGTACAGGGAAACCTTGAAGCAATGGAATTGTGATGCGCAGTTTTGAACCAGCTTGAACAATATATTCCTTAGGTGCTGTTCCTAAAGTAAGTGACAAGTTAGATGAGATTGAACCTAATTTAGGTGCAGAAGCTGGAGGTTGGCAAGTAAGTGAAACGGAAGCTTGTGAGAAAGCTCCATGACCTGCCGCATTACGTGCTTGAACTCTGAATTCGTAAATCGATCCTTCTTCGAGTCCACTAACTCTGGCCATGCATTCTGGACCGGTTTGTGCACATCGATCCCAAGATGTTGTTCCTTGGAGTCGTCGTTCGACAGTATAACCAGTAACAGGGGATCCACCATTGTTAACTGGAGCTCTCCATTCAAGAGAAATTGTTTCCCAACGAGGTATTGGTGCAGAAGAAGGAGACTCAAGATCATCAAATCTTCTTGTTGGACGGTCAACATCTGAACGTTGTGGAACTCCTGGTGCATCTGGTACATTGAATGGATGTCTTGCACGAATTGGACGTTCAGTTTGTGTCCAATCAGATGTACCATATTGATTTTCTGCTCGAACTCTAAAGTCATAGTCTGTTCCCACATCAAGGTTGCGCACTTTACATTGGTTTGAAGTGCAATAGCTGTTGACCTTTGTCCATCTCGCTTCATTTGATTTACGTTTTTCAACAGTGTAATTATCGATAGGTGCACCACCAGTGTCTGATGGTTCGCTCCATGCTAACAACAATGAATCACCTTCGAATTGTGGAACATGAAGATTTTCTGGTGGAGCTGGACGATCAAGCACTGTGACTTTGATCTCTAAGGTATCAAAACCACTAGGATTTTTAAGGTGGCATCTATATGCGCCTGCATGATTTCTTTGAGCGTTGTTAACCAAAAGCATTGCATTATCAGAAGTCAAGCTACTCATAATAACTCCATCTGCTGATTTTTGTTCAGGTTCTTTTTCATCAGATGAAATAAGGAAATCTCCATTGAAGTTCCATGAAGCAATAGGAATTGGATGTGCTGTATATGGAATTGCAATAGAAAAGCTTTCTCCAGCCCGAACGACGATATCTCTTGGTTTTTCAGAACCAAATATTGGACGATTTTGTTGTTCTTCAATGCGGCACCACTGAGATGGACGAGATGGATTAGATTCTCCGAATGAATTAACAGCTTTAATACGGAACTGATATTCGGCATTGTCTTCCAGTCCCTTGATGTCTGCATTTGGATGTTCAACCATTTCACAACCAGGAGCAACGGTCCAAGGTGTATCGTTGTCTCCATCACGTTTTCTCATTTCAACTCGCCATCCTTCAACTGGAGCTATCTTTGATCTAGCAGTTGTGGATATTGGTGCGGTCCATGAAAGTTTGACTCCATCTTTAGTGATTCTGTCAACATTAGGTGGGTATGGTTCACCTGGAGGTCTTGATGCAGTTCCAAGTTCGACTCCAACTGAAGGTGGTGATGGTTCACTCTCACCAGCATCCGATACTATACAGTATCTAAATTCATATTTCAGACCTTGTTGTAAGTCTGACACTAACAATGTTGTGCTTGGTGTAGGATAAGTTGTGAGTTTTGCCCATGGTTCACCTCTAGCTCGGCGTTCAATGTGATAGCCAATAAGAGCACGCCCAGCGGTGTCTCGGGCTGCAGGCCATGTAACAATAACAGCATCTCCAGTGGTGACTTCAACTTTTGGAGCATCCAAAGGTGCTGGTGGAAGTTCATGTGGGCTCTTAATAACCACAGATTTTCCAGAAATATGATCAATTGATATGCCAACAGCATTGACGGCACGAATGCGGAAATCATATTTAGAACCTTCTTTCAAGTTTCTCACATTATAACGATTAGTTGGACAATATCCATTAAGTAATTGCCAAAATTGTGCTTTTGTTTCTTTGTATTCGATTTCATAATGAGTCACAGGAGAACCACCATCGTCACGAGGTTCAGGCCAGACGAGAGTCAATCCATCACGGGTTTGATCGGTATAGGTGACAGTACCCACAATTGAAGGTTCTGTTATTGCTGCAGGTCTTTCTTCTCCATCTCGAAGTTCTTCACGAGCATAAGCTTCCCATGTGGGTGGGGCTAAAACAGTAACATCGAAGACATATGAATCACTTCCATATTCATTTTTAACAAAAACTTTGTAGTCGCCACTATCACGACGTGTAGTTTTTGTAACCCACATTTCAGTATTCTCCCCATCATTTGTGAATCCACTCTTCGTTGCTTGAGGTATTGGTACACCTCCTCGACTCCATTCAACTGTTGGTGCTGGAGTTCCGCCATATTTAACACGCAATCTTAATGGTTCTCCTTGACGAATCTTAACTGATTTTCTTACAGAAGAATCAAGAATAATATGAGCTCCTTCCTTTTGGTTCTTAGCATAAATAGGTTGAGAAGCATCTGAGAACTCTCCTTCACCAGCAGAGTTTACAGCTGCAACACGATATTCATATGCATGGCCTTCAGTAACCTTTGTATCTTTATAAGGTGCACCACGTAAAATATCGCTATGACATTTAATAAACCTGCCATACAATCTATCACGTCGTTCCAAAACATATCCTTCAATTGGAGCACCACCATCCGAAATAGGTGGTGACCATGTAACCAAAATGAAATCGGAATTGATATCAGCTGCAATAGGAGGTTGAGGTCGTCCGGGCACTTGTACAGAGTTTGAGACACGTTTCTTTTCGCTTACAAGTGGTGGTGATCGACCTTGTAAGTTTTCAGCAAAAACTCGGAACTGATAAATTGTTTGATCTTGAAGCTTTGGAACAACAGCATGAATAGTTGTTGGGTTGATATATGGTACAGCTGGAACCCAACCGCCTCCATGAGTTATATCTTGTTTCTCAATGACATAAGATGTAAGCGGTGAACCACCATCATAATCAGGAGGTAACCATGATAAAGTTACTGATCCTGAAGTTATCTTTTCGAATTTAAACGGTGGTCGTGGTGCCTCTGGAGGTTCAAGTACAACAAGTTGGAATCGACGGAAGTCAGTTCCACTTGGGTTTGTGATTCTTACTTCATAGTAACCACCATCATCTCCTGGTTTCAAATTGACAATATGAAGATTAGTATGCCATCCTACAGCAGTTACAGTTCTACGTTCGTTTGACTCCAAAACTGCTGCAATGTTAAATGCATCTGTTGTATCTAAAGATGCCAAAGTAGTTTTATCACGAGTGACACGTTTCCATTCAACAACTGGCTCAGGTTCACCTTCAAAGTCAATATCCAAATGGAAGATTACTCCATTTTTGAAGGTGTATGAATGAGAAATAGCAGTTAAAATACGAGGAGCTAATTGACGTAATTTTGGTTGAACGAAATCTGTTTTATCACTAGGATCAGATTCTCCAGAAGAATTGACAGCAATTACTCTGAATGAGTACACTCTTTGAGGGTTGAGATCAGTTACGATGCCTTCAAAAACTTGTCCCAAACGTTCATTCATTACTGTTCCATTACGACGTGGCACTTCAGCAACGCGATGCCACATTGGCGAGTTATCATCAGCTGGAACATTAACTCCTACTGGTGCCTCAATAGCTTCAATGATGTAGTGATCAATTGGAGATCCGCCTTCTTTTTCTGAAGGTTGGAAATGAAGAACAACTTTTCCCAAATCCCAATCGACAACCATTGGTTTTCCCGGAGGTGTCGGTTCAGCATAAGGATCTCTAGCAACCATTGCAATTTTAGTACACAATGGATCTGAATCTCCAACTTCATTGACGGCAATAACTCGGAACAAATATTTTCTTCTATACTGCAAGTTTGTTATATGTGCGAATGGAGATGATGGACGAATACCAGCATCTTGCCATGTGCCTCGAGAGACATCCATTTTCTCTACCTTGTAATATTGAATTGGAACGCCACCATCATCTTTTGGTGGATTCCAACTGAGCGAACAAGCATCACGTGTAATGTTTGTCACATCAAATGGTGGTTCAGGGGCATCAGGAACAGAAATAACTTTTAATTTTCCGGATACCTTTGCTTTTCCAACATCATTTACAACAGTGAGCGAATATGTGTCTCCATCAGATTTCTTTGTAAATGGAATTTCAAAGACTGCTTCTCCTCCGAAGTAGCTTATGTGAGTATGAGGGGCGCCTTCTTCTATCAATGTATTTCCACGACGCCACTCTACTTTGGGTGGTGGTGAACCACTCACATTTATTGCCCATTTCGCGGCTTTTCCTTCTCTAACGACTAAGTCAGGAAGTTCTGTTCTATCCAAGTGTGGGGCAGCAAATTTAGCTTTCATAAGGTGAGTATGGCTTGCTTCAGATGGATCTGAGTCACCACCTTTGTTAACGGCTATAACTCTGAATTCATATTTATCACCCTCAGTAAGATCTTTAACACGTCCTTTAGTTTCAGGTGCGTCAAATCTTCCAGCTTCAACCCATTTACCATTTGGTCCTCTCTTTTCGATTTTGTAATATTCAATAGGGGATCCGCCATCTCGTTTTGGTGCTGTCCATTCAAGATCAACCCATGTTGCATCAGAATCTGTAACTTGAGGCGCGCCTGGTTTATCAGGGCGTTTGAATTCATCTTCTGCTGTTATTGGTTGTGATGTTGTAAGGAATGGAGAAGCTCCAATCTTATTGACTGCTTTCACACGGAATTGATATTGGCGTCCTTCAATCAACGATGGAACACGGAAGTTGGTTTGGACTGTTTCTCCAACCGGTACCCAGCGAAGGGTTTCTAAGTCCATCTTTTCTACAACATACGTTTCTACTGGTGCGCCTCCATCATCTTTTGGAGGTCTCCAGTGTAGAGTGCAAGCATTGTGAGTAATTTCATTTGCTTTGAGCGGGCCTTCTGGTGCTGATGGCGCATCAATAACTTCAACTCTTACAGTCGCCTTGTCGACTCCATTATCATTCTTAGCAATGATAGTATAAGTGCCAGTGTCGCTTCGTTTGGTATCGAAAATACGGAAACGAGTATTTGGGAACTCAGTATTTATTTTAACACGGTCGCTATCAAACAATGGAATATCATTGCAACACCATTCGATACGTGGAGTAGGCTCACCGCTGAATGGAACGTTTAAGTCAACGTTCACGCCAGCTCGAACACGAACATTATGCAATGATGATTTATCAATCTTCGGTGGAGCATTCTTTGGTCGCATGCGATGTAATTTAGATGGTGGTGATTCAATGCCATAACCAGCAATATTTCTTGCGGTAACACGGAAAATCAAATTAGCATGTTCAGGAAGGTTATCCAAGTGAACTTTGTTGATATCTCCATCAACTTCAGCACCAGTAACCCAATCTCCTCCCGCTTGATCTTTATATTCAACCAAATATCCAAGGATCGGCGGTTCACCCAATGGTTTTTCACCAGCTTCTCCTTCTTTTCCAGGTAAAATAGTTTTGTGTGGAGGTCGTTCCCATGTAAGATCAACAAAGTCTGAATCGAAATCTGCAACCTCTGGAGCGCCACAACGCTCAGGTGGAGAATAAGGAGATTTGGCTTCAATAGGAGTTGTTGATGTAAGTGGATCAGACTTTCCGTATTTGTTAACTGCACGAACACGGAATTTGTATTTATGACCAGGTAATAAACCGTCAACCTTCAAATCTTCGCCTGGGAATGGAGGTTGAGATACTTCTGCACATTGTGTCCAACGACCTACAGCTTCATCACATTTTTCAATAACATAAGCATCGATTGGAACTGCGTATGCTGGATCTCCTTCAATTGGAGAAGCTTTGAAATTGAGTGCAGCTTCTTTCTCTCCTAATGCCTTTGCTCTTAATGGACCGCCTGGTGGTGCAGGAACATCCATGACATATAAGTGAATTACACAAGCGTCGCATCCAAAATCATTTTGTGCAGTTAAAGCATAACCGCCACTTTCATTTCTTGTTACTGTACGAAGAAGAAGTTTAGCTGTTGTTTCAGTTGCAACAGCCTTAAGTTGTTCGCATTGTGAAACACCGGCTCTGCCACCTTTCGACCATTTCATAACAATAGGTTCTGTTCCTTTTACAGAAAATTCAAAAGCTGCACTGTCACCAGCACGTATACGCCAAACTCCAACATTAATTAGATTTGATGAGTTATCATGAGTATTTCTAATAACTGCACCACCTAAAGCATTAATTGTTGATTTTTCTCCATCTGGTTTTTCAGGAGCAAACGTTCCATTATTTGGACTCTTAACAACTGTAAGATTTGGTGGAGCTTCTGCGTTTGCAGTTTCAAATTTCCTAGATGGCAATGACCATTCACTCCATCCAGCTTTGTTTTGTGCACGAGCTCTAAATTCATACAACTCTCCGAGAATAAGTCCTGTGCATTTAAATGTTGGATCTGATCCTGGAAGTCCAGTAACTTCAGTCTCACCAACTTTATCCCAGTTTCCAAAACGATCACGTTTTTGGATTTCATAACGCTCAATTGGAGCTCCTCCATCAACGCGTGGTGGCGACCATTGAATGGTTATTTCAGTAGCATCAATTCGTAATGCACGAACATTTTCTGGTGCTGATGGAATATCAAATTCATTTACTGCTAATATAGAATGATCGGCAACAAGAGGTTTGCTTTCTCCTTCTGAATTAACAGCAACAACACGGAACAAATATTCTCCGCCTTCTTGTAATCCAGAAACATCAGCATGTGGCTCTGTTGATTTGGCACAGGGTATCCATACACCTGTCTTAACATCTTGCTTTTGAACTTGGTAATACTCAATTGGAGAACCTCCATCGTCTAAAGGTCGTTTCCATTTCAATTTGCAACCACTACTACTGATGTCTGATATTTCCAATGGACCACCTGGTGCATCTGAAACATCGACAACATTGACGTCAACGGTAGCAGTATCTTTTCCATATTCATTAGTTGCAATAATTTCGTAGCCTCCGGCATCTTTACGTGTAACTGGTCTTCGGAAGAGTCTTGTTCCATAATCGGTTATAAGAGTTTCACAGTTTCCACCTGACTCCAAACGTGCGCTGTTAAATCTCCATTCAATTTTCGGTGTAGGTTCTCCTATAACTGTAACATCGAATTTCAGTAAAGTTCCAACAGGAAGAGTAATGTCTTTGAATGTTCGACGATCTATTTTAGGTGCAATATGATGAGGTCTAGCAACATGAGGTCGAGAAGGTGGTCCAAAATCACCGAGACCTTTTTTGTTAACAGCACAAACTCTAAACTGATATTCAACACCTTCAATTAATCCAGTAATATTGGCTGTAGCTTTTGGGCCAGGACTTTCTCCACATCTTTCCCAAATTGGAGAATATTTATCCTTCTTTTCAACAACGTAATGTGTGATTGGAGTACCACCATCTGAAACTGGTGCTTCCCATTCTAACTCGATGTGATTTATTGACCACATTGTAGGCTTTGGAGCGCCTGGTGCAGAGGGAAGTGTAAATGGATCTCTTGCAACAATATGACTTAATGTTTCCAAAGGTTCAGATTCGCCTTCAGCATTTACTGCTCTTACACGGAATTTATATTCATGATCTGGTGTTAGGCAATCAACTTCCATTTCAGGATTATTTCCGTCAGTTTTTCCAACAGGTAACCATATGCCAGTTTCGTTATCGAATTTCTCAACAGCATAGTGATCAATAGGTAAGCCACCATCATCTTTAGGCTTGCGCCACTTCAATTTACATCCTTCAGCATGGATATCAGAAACTTCTAATGGACCTTCTGGTGCAGAAGGCTTCGAAATGACTTGTACTTCAAGTTCAGCTTCATCATATCCAAATTTATTTGTAGCAATGATTTTATATCGACCTGCGTCTCTTCGAGTAGCTTCAGCATTTTTAAGATAAGATTTATAAGGTTCGTTTCTTATCGACATATGAGTTGTTGAAAGAAGTGAACGATCATTGAATTCCCATGAAATGGTTGGTTCCGGTTCACCTTGAACTTTAACATCAATATAGTAAACTTCTCCATCCTTGACTTTAATATCACCAAGTGTACGTCTATCAATTTTGGGTGCCACTAAAAACGGAAGTGAATAATAGTATTAAAGGCTACTAGAAAATAATTAGGCAAACCTACTTTTTCTAGAACGTGCAACACATCCTTTTGAGGGTTCGCTAGGATCAGAGGGTCCAACTGAATTTACAGCACGAACACGGAATTCATATTCTTCTCCTTCATCTAAATCGGGAGCACGGAACTCATTTTGAGAAGTTTCACCAATTTTTATCCATTTGCCAACTCCATCCTTCTTTCTCTTCTCAATTTGATAGCCAGTGATTGGTCTACCTCCATCAGCAACAGGAGGTGCCCAGCGAAGTTCAGCCCAGTCTTTGTCCCAATCATATACATCGGGAGTTCCAGGTTTGCCTGGTACCTTGCTAATATCTGGACAATGACGATGTGAAATTGTGCTTGGTTCACCATCTCCTTCAGCATTACATGCACGAACTCTAAATTCATATGCAACACCTTCTTCCAATTCAGGAACAACATAATGAGTATCTTTTGATCTTCCTACAGTTGTATATCTTGTGGCTAAAACGAAATATAAAAATTTGATTTCAATAAAATAGACTTGATGTTTTAAAATTAATTAAAAATACTAACATTCATCTAAACGTCTCTTTTCAACCCAGTAATAATCGATTGGAACTCCACCATCATCAAGAGGTGGCATCCACTTGATTGTAGCAGTGTCAGCTGTAAGATCTTTTATTTCCAATTCTATTGGTCCAGGTGGTCCAACTATTGTTACAGTGACATCCAATTCATCAGAACCATATTGATTGGCTACTTTGAATTGCCATAAACCTAAGTATTGACGAGTAACTGAAGCAACGTTGATTTTACATCTATAATCTTCCATTTCACAATGAATGGTTTTGATGAAAGCTTCCTTTTCTTCTGGACTTGAGAATAATGATTCCTTCTTTTTATCTTCATCGCCACCTTTAGCTTTTGATGCTAAACTTGGTTTTGATGAGTCTGATCTTTCAAGGTCAATACGTTCCTTATTGAACAACCAATAACGATCTGGGCAAGGTTCTCCACTGAATCTAACATCTATTTTAAATGGTTGACCTACATGAAGAACAATATTACGTGATCCAAGACGATCTTCAATTCTGGCTGGTGCAAAACGATCTTTGCATTCAACAGGAGCTGTGGCTGAGCTTGGTGGACCAGCTCCAGCTTTATTAACAGCTTTAATTTGGAATTGATAGCGACATCCTTCAGTTAAATCAGAAACCTTAATTGAGAAAACATTTGGACGTTCTTCTCCAGGTTTCAATTTGCCCAAAATAAGTTCGGTTCCACGAACGTATTTTGATGTATGAACTTCTTTCTTCTCTATGAGATATTTTTCGATTGGAACGCCACCATCTGATTGTGGTGGATTCCATTCAACTGTGACAAAGTTTCTTCCCCAATCTAATACTTTAACATTTTCAGGGGCTCCTGGAACCGTCCATGGAGATTTCGCTGTTATGGAATCTTCTGTCTCTAATGGTTCAGAGTCACCTTCAGCATTGTGAGCTCTAACTCTGAAATTATATTGATTTCCTTCAACTAAGCCAGGGCATAAGAATTCAAGTTCTGGTTTGGTTCCATCTGCATTTGCTTTAGGTGCATCAACAAAACCTGCTTGCACCCAACGACCAGTAGCAGCGTCTTGTTTTTCAACAACGTAGCTGTCAATTGGAGATCCGCCATCATCTTCTGGAGCTTTCCAATGAAGAACCACATGAGGTTCTCCAACGGATTGATCTTGAGTAGTAGTTAAGGGTCCTTCAGGTTTATCAGGAGGTCCAAGGAAGTCAATGTTCACTTTTTCTTCCTTTGTTCCGTTGCGATTCTTAGCAACAATACGCAAGCGACGAGGCTTCTTCCTTTTAGGTTTATCTAACTTCATGACCAACTCTCCATCAGCATATTCAAACTCAATTCCATCTTCTTTTGGATTAAGTTTTTGGTCTCCATCAAAGACTTCAACTGTTGGTTCTGGCTCTCCATTAACTAACAAAGAGAATTTGATTGGCTTGTCTTTAGGATGATTAACTTGAAGCAATGGTTTATCAGTTTCATCTTCTCCTGGTTTTGCAGGTGCAATGAGATTTGGTGGAACATTTCCAAGTTTAATAGTTGGTGCTACCTTCGATGGGCGTAATTTTACTCTCTCAGAAGCATTTGATGGATTAGATTTTCCTGCTTTATTAATGGCACAAACTCTAATCTCCACTTCGTCACCTTCAATTCCAGGAATTCTTATGCTACGTCCATTCTTTGCAAACACAAGTGGCATTGTTTCCCATCGACCATCACCTCGACGACATTCAACTTCATAAGATTCAATTGGTGCACCGCCATCACTTTGTGGGGCTGCCCATTCAAACTCAGCAAAATCTTTATCCCATGCTGTACATTTTGGAACACCTGGTTTTGTTGGAACGCCAAATGCATCCTTTGCTGTCACAAGCTCTGTAGCTTCTAATGGTTCTGATTCACCATTTGGATTGACAGCAACAACTCTGAATTTGTAAACATGTCCCTCAGCTAACCCAGCAACTTCACATTCAGGTTTGGTTGACTCGCCACAAGGAATCCATGCTCCACCAAGTGCCAAATCCATTTTCTCAACTCGATATGATTCTGGCTTGCCACCATTTTCAGGATCAGGTTCCTTCCATGCTAATTTACATCCACTCTTGCTTACATCTGAAATCTCAAGAGGTCCACGAGGTGGATTTGGAGGCGCGGCTACTTCTAAGTTAAAGTCTGCCTGATCAACACCATTAATGTTTTCGGCTTTAATAGTCCATTTTCCTGCCCAGAACGGAGATGACCTTAAAAGGCAGTATTTTGATATGAATGTGCTTGGACTTTCAATTACTGTTTGACCAGTTCCAATCAAGCTTGAAGGTGCCATGAAATGTGATGGAGGATCAATTTTAACTTTAGCATTGTCAGCAAGATGATCGACATTGATATCATCAACGAGTTTATCGTTGAAATACCACGTTATAGTTGGTTGTGGTTCACCGACAACTTTGACATCAAAAGCAAGAGACAATCCTGATCTGACAACCGTGTCCTTAAGATTTTCTCTATCAATATGTGGTGGTACTAAAATATTAAAAAGAAGATTAATTATTATTAAGTTCACAGTTTTCTACCATCATTTCTAAATTATATTTATGTAAGTGTTGATTGAAGAAACGTTTTTACTTTACAAATTCTACTTACATAAAAATTAAAACACGTTAAATGTACAAAGGGAACAAAAGACGAATATACATAAATGTATTCAAAAATAAAACAATAATTATTCTTACTTTAAAATATTTCCCCTTTTCATAATGAAAGTAATTAATTTATAATTAAAGTTAAAGAAAACTGTACATGACTTACCATTCTTCTTTCTTGCCAAATGCCAATTACTTTCTTCACTAGGATCGCTAACGCCACCCTTATTGACAGCCTTCACTCGGAATTGATACTGTCCACCTTCTTTCAATCCCTTGACCTTAGCTTTTTGGGGTCCTGAACCCTGACTTGGAACTTCTGCAGCCTTTTCCCAACCTGAATCTCCTTTAGCACGCTTTTCAATAATGTAGGATTGAACAGGTGCGCCATTATCTCGCATTGGTGGAGAAAATTCTAATTCAACCATTGGACCATCAAAGTCAACAACACTTGGAAGTCCAGGAGGTGTTGTAGCGCCAAATGGATCTTTAGCAAGAATTGAACCATCAGTGGTTAATGGTTCACTAGCACCTTCATCATTAATAGCTTTGACTCTGAATTGGTACCGTTGACCTTCTTCCAATCCTTTAACTGGTACCTTGATTTCAGTTTCATCATCACCATCGGTAGGTGCGTCAATTCGTCCACATGGAACCCAATTTCCTGTCTTTGTATCCATTTTTTCTAATTGATAGCCTGTAGGTTGACAATCACCATCGTCTGCTGGAGGTTTGAATTTCAATGTGCAACTGTCTTTAGTAATGTCAACAGCTTCCAATGGACCTCGAGGGCTTTTTGGTACGCCCAGAATTTTAACGGTTATCGCCTCTGAATCTGTTCCATTCTCATTTTTAACTAAGACAGTCAATTCACCTCCATAACCACGTTCAATTCGTTCAATAACATAATAACCTGAATATTGAAGAGAATCAGCAGCTGGTTCTATTCTTGTCCACTTGCCAATTGTCAAAGGATTTCCATATTCAGTTTCTGTGACAATTTCTGGTTTTCCTTTGCGTTTTCGTGGTTTCAAATAGAACTCGACATCTGGTTCTGGTTCTCCCTTATATTCAACTTCAATACGCAAATTTGAATTCAAATCAACTTTAACATCTTTTTTCAAAGTTTCTCTTATGATTTGTGGTGGTGCGTTTTTAGGTCGCACTAAATGGGCTTCAGATGCTTCACCAGGTTCTCCAATACCAGCATCATTGACAGCACGAACTCTGAATTGTAATGTTTGCCCTTCTCTCAAACCATCAACTTCAGCTTCTGGTTTTGGACTGTCTGTAACAGCAATTTCTTTCCAACCAGCTGAAGACATACTCTTATCTTTCGCTTCAATCACATAATGTGTGACAGGAGCACCGCCATCATTACGTGGTGGTTTGAACTTTAATTTAACAGATTTTTCATCGAAGTCAACGATTTCAGGCTTTCCAGCTTCACCAGGAGGCTTAACATTGGGAGGTACATAACAAACGTCAGTTTCAGCTGGATCACCAACTTCATCATTCTTATTTACAGCTCTGACTCTGAATTTATATTTCTCATCAGGCTTTAAGTTCTTAATGATTGCTGCAGTGTCATCAGGATCAGCTTCAGCAACTTTCTCCCATTTGCCTCCTTTCTCTGGTCGTGCTTCAATGATATATTTTTGCAATGGAACACCTCCATCGTCTTCTGGTGGTTCCCAGTTGACTTGAGCAGCTAATGGTGATAAGCTTCCAGTGCCAATCGGCAAATCAGTTCTAGGCTTCTTTCTCTTTCCTTTTCCTTTTCCTGTGCCATCATCATCATCAAAATCATCATCCTTGTCACGACCAGGAACAGTTCTAAGTGATGGATATTCGTTCTCTTTGTCATCTCCCTTCGCGCCACGCTTTCCTTTTTTAAGTTTTGTATCTGCTGGCACTAAATCGACCTTCTTCTTTATGTTTGGTTTTGAAGGTGCACCAAGAACAGTATATTCAAGTTCATATTCATCGGAACCATGTTCATTTGTTGCTTTGAGTTTAAGCACACCGCTTTTCTTACGTTGGGCATCAAGAATATTCAATTTAGCAACATTATCAGTTTCACTGTTAACGGAGAATAATTCATTTGTCTCAATGATATAATCACCAATGCTCCAAACATATTCAGGTGGTGGAATTCCTCGAACTGGAACTTCAAAGTTGTGAGTTTTTCCTGCTTTCAATGTCAATGCTTTCATTGCATTTCGATCAATTCTAGGCTTCATTTTTTTAGGACGAACCTTATGAAGATCAGTTGGGTCAGTTGGTTCACCAAGTCCACCCTTGTTCTTCGCACGAACTCTGAATTGAACATTGTCACCTTCTTTGAGACCGTCAATCTTAGCTTTGACTTTCTTCTTCTTTCTCTTTTCCTTCTTAGCCTTTGCATCATCTTCCTTATCAGCAGGTACGGTTTTCACTGGTGTCCATTGACCAGTTCTTGGATCTTTTTGTTCAATAACATATTCGTCAATAGGTGCGCCGCCATCATCATCTGGTGGTTGGAATTCAAGATCAACAGAATTCTCATCAAAGTCAACGATTTCAGGTTTGTCTCCAGCAGAGGGTGCCCCCACAGGACAAATTTCACCCTAAAATAAAAATAGTTTATGAGATTTTTAATAATTCATGAAAACTTTTCAATCAATTTACATCGGTGTAGGTGAAGTCACTTTCACCTTCGTCATTTTCTGCTTTGACTCTAAATTTGTAAGGTTTTCCATTTTCCAAGTTAGGTATAAGTGTTTCGAATTCATCTCCACTTCCAGTTTTGTTGGCAGGTACATAAGCAGCTCTAACCCATTTACCAGTGTCAGGATCTAACTTTTCAATAGTGTATCCAGTAATTGGAACGCCACCATCATCAACTGGCTTTTTAATCTTCAATTTAGCTGTTCCATTGAGAGCTTCTGTACACTCTACCTTTTGTGCACCTTTAGGAGCTCCAAGAACAATAAATTCTGCACTCCATTCGTCTTTACCATTTCTGTTACTTGCTCTAAAAAATTAAATAAAAAAGTTTGAAAATCTTTCTTAAAAAATATTTTATAAAAAATTACTTCAACGTAAACTTTCCACGATCTTCTCGCTTTGAATCGATAATTGTAAAGATGGTATGGTTTGGTTTGCTGTTGTCAATTTTGATGCGTTCAGTCTCTGTTAGTGGAATTCCATCTCTCCATACCCACTCAATAGTTGGTGTAGGTTCACCTTCTACGTCAACAGCCCATTGCAGAGTGCGACCAGCTTTGAGTGTGACGTTTTTCATACATTCACGATCAATGCGTGGTTTAACTGAACGACGGAATAAAATTAATATTAGTAATGTGTCGAATGAGAAACATTTAAGGAAGGAAAAAAAAAAACTTCTTCAAAAATCAATTATTTACATATCGACAACATAAACATTTATGAAACAATCGGGAAGAAAAACAACATGGAAATAAGATACAATTGGGTAATTATCTGTTTCTTCAATCTTATCGATGACTGTTGTTTCTTTGTTTGCTGTTTTTCATCAGTTTCAGTTAACTTAAAAGATGATAGCAGTACTTACGATTTCTATGTCTAACGACATGGCTGTCAGTAGGCTGTGATGGAGCAGACTTTCCAGCTTTGTTAACCGCACGTACACGGAACTGGTAAGCCATTCTCTCTTTCAATCCAGGAACTTTAAATTCGCAATCATTTGTCTCAGTTGGCATCAACTCAACCCAGTCTGGTTGATATTTGTTCAACATTTCAATGACATAATGAGTAATTGGACGACCACCATCGTTCTTTGGTGGTTCCCATTTCAATGTAACCGATTTATTATCGTAGTCAATAATGTCAGGTTTGCCAGGTGCATTTGGTTCATCTAAATAAATTCATAATTAATTTTGTTATTAAGGCAACATTTTCATCAATTTAAATCTTACCATAAGGATTTTGAGCAACAAACGACTCTGACATTTCGGCTGGTTCGGATTCTCCTTCCTTGTTGTAAGCTTTGACACGAAGTTTATAACGCTTTCCTTTCGTCAAGTTTTTAACTTCAAATTCATTGGCATCTGGTCCACATTCTCCAGCTCCAACCCAACGTCCAGTCTCGGTATCCATTTTCTCAATAATGTATCCTAAGATTGGAGAACCACCGTCGTCTCTTGGTGGATTGAAAGCGACTGTTGCGCAATTCTCTCGAATCTTTGTTGCTTCAGGTTCACCATCAGGTGGTGATGGTTTGTCGAGAACCAAAAGATCAGCTTGATGTTCAGCTTTACCAACTTCATTGACAACACGAATATAATAACGACCAGAATCAGTTCGCACAGCTTTCTTAACTGTGAGAACAGAATTGCGATCATATTTCTCAACAGTTATGTGATCATCACCAGTTGGTTTAACTTGCACTTCAGGAGCAATTCCAAGCCGTCCTTTACTGAAGAACCAATCAGAAGTTGGATCAGGTTCACCTCCATAAGCCACGTCCCAACGTGCCATTTGACCTTTGCGAATTGTAATATTTTGCATTGTGCCAACATCGACGAAGAAAGGCTTAACAAAACGAGCTTTAGCAATTTTGGGTGGTGTTGTTGCTGATGGTTCTGAATCACCTTCAACATTACGTGCTCGAATTCTTACAACATATGAAGCACCTGTTCGCAAGTTAGGAATAATTGTATTTAATTTCTTTGGATCAGACTCAACATAAGATTTCCATGTTGAAGCCATCTTTTCTTTATATTCCACGACATAACCAGTGATAGGAGAACCTCCGTCTGATTCAGGTTCCTTCCATTGAACTGACAAAGTTGTTTCTGTCCAATCAATGACTTCTGGTTCTCTGGGTGGATTTGGAACAGTCCATGGATTCTTCATCGTTATACGATCAGCGATTGTTGCTGGGTCAGATTCACCAACACGATTCGCAGCACGAACTCGAACTCTTAAGATTTGTCCCTTTCTAAAGCCTTCAATCTTATAACGAGTGATATTGGGCTTTATGTAACTGCCAATTTCACTAACAACTTTTCCAATTTTATCTCCCTTCTCGATCTGAATAATGTCACCTTCTTTTGGACTGTAAGCATACCAAGAAGATTTTTCTGATTGATTATCAACTTCAATTTTGTAACCAACAATAGGCGAACCACCATCGTCAGCAGGTGCTGACCACTTGAGTGTGAAATGTGTATCGAACAAATCTTTCATTTCAAGCTTCTGAGGTGGTGTGGGTGCTGTCATCATGGTAAGTTTAATAGGAGACTCAACAGATCCTTGAGCATTCTCAACAGTGACCTTATAAGGCCCTGACATATCACGAGAAGGCTTCTTCATTCTGAATATGACTTTATCGTCTCTGACAATAACTTCGACGTCGTTCTTGCCGAGAACTTTTCCATCAGGGCCAACAATCTTTGCTTGTACTGGACTCTTACGTGTACCATCAATACGATAAGGTACAACAAGTTCGAATGGACCTCCACGATCGATAGGAGCCTCGAACTTTTCTGGTGCATCTACAACTGGTTTAGACTCACCCTTAAGAACGGTAAGTTCACATTTGGATGACAAATCACCAGATTTGCACTCCAAATTTCCAGCATGTTCTATTTTAACATTTTTGAAAACCAATTGATGCTTTCCGCCTCCAAGATTTTTAAATTCAATGTCTTCTCCTTCTTTGAGTTGTTCACCATTTAAGAACCAATCAGCAGCTGCTGTTTGATCTTGCAATTCAACTTCAAGAACAACTTTTTCACGTTCGACCATGTCAGTGTCTTTAAGTTTCTTCAAAAATTTATTTTGATAGTTAACAACAATGTCAGCTGTTGTCTTGTCAGCATTTGAAACACAGGAATATAAACCTGCATCACTGACTTTAGCATCTTTAATGATAAGTTTTCGTTTTCTTCCATCTTTAATGATTTCAACTCGCTTATCACCTTGAATTTCTTCTTCACCTTTAAACCATTTCACATCGCCGCGAGCGTCGTTCAATTCACAAGCCAATGTCAAATTATCTTTCTCGATAAGTCGAGCAGACTTCAAGATTTTGGTGAATTTATATTGGAACTCTGACAGGATGATAACAGTTTCCGTCATGTCGGGTTGTTTCTCAATGTGACAAGCATGTTTTCCCTCATCGTCTTTGGTACAGTTGTTGACGGTCAATTTACAGAAACCAGATAACTCTTTTATTATCTGATATTTCTTGCCTTCACCCACTAAATCTTGATTTATTCTTTCACCAGCTTTGGTCCAGTAAACTTGCGCTTTTCCGCTGTTAACACCACATTCAAGTTCAAAGTCATGTCCATAATATCCTTTACATTTTTTGTCCAACATTTTAACGAAATTGTAAGTCGGATCAGGTTCTTCAACACTTAAGTTTGCAAAACATGTTGATGTGTTGATATCGATGAGATATTTTCCAGAGTCTTCAACTCGAGGTGCAGAAATTATAAGTTTGTAAACTTCGCCCTCGTTTACCATCTTGTATTTGGAAGATGGGAAAATTTCATCTTTACGGAAATACCATTTAGGTTTGCAATTCGGCTTTGTGAATTGACACTCAAACACAACTTTCTTGTCCTTTCCTTCCTTGGCAAATTGATCAATCAGTGGCCGAGAGAACGTATCGGGTTTCTGTTAAATAAAATAAATGAGGAGAAAAGAAATCATGTTTAAATTAAGTTCAACAAAAATTGCTCTGAAGCAAAAAAAAAAATCCTTTAAAAAATATTTTCTTTAAAATTCCTAGAAAAAACAAAATAAAAATTATTCATCAATTGCAAAAGTTTCATCGACCCCAAAAAGTAAAAGTTCAAAAATATGTTTCGATGGTAAAATTCAAAATCATTGTTGGTTGACAAAATTCAATGACAACGATTCACTGCTACATCCGACAACAACATAAATAATTGGAAGAAGATAGAAAGAATGTGATTGAATGAATTCTGCATCATGCAAATATTGAAAGAACTTATTTTTATATTTTGAATTTACAACCACAAGAGTTGATGAAGTTCCAATGAAAAGTTTTCCAATTTTATTCATTCAGTGTGGATTAAATTAATTTAAAATGTGAAACATTAGATATTCATTTAGAGGAAAGATATTCATAGTGATAGAAACATTCTAGAAGAGAGAAAACATTGAAATGGAGCAAATGCGAGGAATGCTTTCAACTATTTAAATAATTATTTACACAAGTACGAGTGAAGAGTCTCGAAAATAGTGCAAATAATTCTCTTAATTTCTTCTCCTTCCACATTTCTCCATTATGTGAAAATAGTTCATGTTTTTGTGTGCAATATTTTTCTTGAGACATAGAAAGAAGACAAAGATTATTTACTTGAAAAGCAAACCTGTTTCTCAAAACGGACGGGCTGTAAAACCGGCCAGTCGGGTATGACATCGGCCAACGAACATCGACGATTTATATCCTAAATCAATTTTATTTAATACAGAACATGCCATCAAGTAAAATGTATTTGTAAAGTTCATTAGTTCCTAGGATCTCAACTTAAACCCATTATGATATTAAAACCATTTTCTCGCATAAGTTATTGAAATGAAATATATGAATTCAATTTATAGAAAAAGATTAAATCGTCATTCAACTTACCCTTTCAACTTTTTTAAGAGATGGAACTGGAGGCTTCTCAACCTCTTTCAAGTCTCCCCAGTTTGGATCATTTTCGTCTCCCTTCCATTTTGCGTACTTGCGTTTCTTCAACATAGCTCGGAAGTCCATGCCACTAGAATCAGACACATACAATTGACATTCCGCAGAATCTTCGCCATGAATATTAGAAACAACAATGCGATAAGTGCCTTCATCGAGAGGCTTTATTTTACGAATACACAAAATGATTGAGTTTGTAGCACCATCGGTGATGAACTTATAACGACCACCCTCAATGATCTCTCCAACACCTTTGTAGAATTTGAAGGTAGGTGCAGGATTACCTTCAACCATTATAGTTATATATCCAGTTTCATCTAAACAGAACAGTACATTTATTAATTACTTTGATATTATTTACGAAAAAACTCTCAAGCAATCTTTGATCTTGTTAGCGGCAACATAAAAGCAGTTAGAATCGGTTGAAGCGAATTAAATCTTATGAAAGCGAACCTTCAACAGCTGAATAGCTTTCTTGAATATCGACAATTTCTGGAGGTCCACCATCGCCAATCGCGCGCAAAGGCGTCGATGGCTTATTGATTAGATCAGCTATATCGGAGACACTTGGACGACGCATATCGGCAGAAGGTCGTCGTTTCTGCGAACATCATGTGATATTAAATTAATTTAAGAATATAAAAATATGAATTCAATGGAAAATTTGAGATTTTTTCCATTCAATAGTTAAAATATATTTTGAGCATAAAACAATTTAATATTTACGATATTTGAGATATTACTGAATCATTGTTTATCTCAATCATTATTATCTTTAAAATATTTTTTATTAAAGCAAAATTCAAACTCATAATAAGATTAGGAATTTTTATCAGGATTTTCGCATTAAAAAATTAAATAAATTGTGCAATTTAAAAAAGCAAAAACCAAAAGTGATATTAAAGGCGCTTCTAAAGAAACTATGCATAAAAATCACTCAAAACCATATGTATGTACCTAAGTAAAATATTTTCTATGTGTCATGAAGTCAAAAGCTATGGAAATTTTAAAAAATGATTTTCATTGTTTAATTTCATTTTAAAATCAATTATTTGATTGCTGAAAATGTAAAATTTTTATGCTTTGGTGATTGATTTAATTCAAACTATTTCGAGTTGAATATCTTTAATTTCTTTTAATAAATATTTACAAGAAGCATAAATGTGATTCTTTTCCTTGATTGTGATTCTTTTTAGAAGATTTCTTCCCCGTCATCGAGGCTTTCTTTCAATTAGATTTATGTTAAAGTTAAAACATCTACTGCATTACTAGATAAATAAATATCCAACTATGAATCTACAAAAATAAATTTTAAGATTTATAATGATCATTTACCATACCAACGAATTTTCTATCTACGTTTATTTCAAACTACGATAATCTAAGAAAAACATCTAAAATCAGCTATCTACAGTCAGGACATAAGTCCATGTTTTAATCCGCCGTAATTTTTTTTCTTTTCATTTCGGTGAACCTAATTTTGTAAAGGTAAACCAACAACGAAGTATCTTAGTTAAGTTCACTTTCATAATTTCAGAAAAAAAGGTCAAAAATTAAATCTCAAAAAAAATGTGGCGGATTTCATAAACGCTCATATCTTTCTACAGTTTGTTTCCTAATCTATTCTATTTTTGTCATTATCAAAAATCAAAAAGATTACAAAAATGATTGGTTCGGAACGACCAAAAACCTGTTTATTATTCACTTCCAATTCACCGGGACGCGCACCCTTTTTCTACAATAGAGAAAAACTTATTTTAACATGGAAACAATATTTCATTCAAAATATTAGCTGAGTTGATGATTTCTTCAAAAGAAAAGTTGCACTAAAATCTTTCCTTTCATTTTTTATTTGAAGTTGTATCAAAAATCAAATGTCAATGTTCTATTCAACAACCAGCCGAAAAATAAAAAAGGCTTCATTTTAATTGCGTAGCTGTAACAAAGTTTACTAAAGAATTTTCTAAAAGTAATGCTTCAGCGTTTCTATATTATCTAAATCGACTAATCTTCAAAGAAAATCGAGTAGTTTGAAGTTTGGTAATCTGTGTATTAATGATTTCCCGAGTAACACAAGCGGCAATTCCGAAAAAGTCAACTTAAAAGTCACCTCATAGGAATCCGCTGAAGGCAAACTAAAGGTTTACAAGCGGAGCAGTTGTGTTACTCGGGTCTTGTTCTTGAGTTTCCAGCAGTCTTGTCTAAATAGAGTTTATGCTGGCTTAAAGCTAGATAGAACAATTTCTTTTGTTCTTATAGAAAAAAAATGTATAAATTACGATTCAGCCATAATAGCTTTGTATCTGAATTTGATCCATTAAATATCTAAGCATTTAAAATTATTATGAATTCAATTCAAAAACCAAAACAGAAATAGATAATCAATATATTCTTGTGGTCAAAAATCAAATTAGTGTGAAGAAAACAGTAATGTGTAAATTGCATTCTGTGAAAGCAAATTCAAATGTTTGTGCTTTCACAAAATCTTCATCAAATTTTTTGGCAATGAAATAGTAGAAAAAAAACAAGAAAAATTCAAAACCAAAAAAATGAAATAGAACGAGCTTTTGTCCTATCAGGACGAGCGTACCTTGGGATCTAAAACCTCACCGGGCCTTAATTTCAACTGCAATTTCATATATCGTGGGTGTGATTGATTGTGTTTAAAGAAAATAAAATAAATTAAACAAAAATAAAAATTTTGAAATAAAATAATTTTTTTTAATAAAAGTGTGTAATTGTAATGAATGTTTCATTCCCAGAAAAGTTGAAAAATTTCAACTTTCAAATGAAAAATACATTACTGAACGTGAAAAAGAACATAAATTATAAACATTCAATTTTATTAATCATTCTGCCAATGAAAAAAATTACCAATTTTATCCCACACTTCTTGAAATAAAAAATTACTTGTATACCTAAATATATTTAAATTTACAAAAAACATTTAGCGTAGAGACAACGACAGACAGATAAATTCAGCAGATTCATAAAAGAAACAATAGTTGAGAAAAAATAAAACAAAGTTGAGAACGAAGTCTTATAGACAAGATCCACAAAAATCATTTAGATAACTGATAATTTCTAAATTAATTTTACTAGATATCTATTCTAATGTGTTCTATTCTAAATCTAGTTCGAATAAAAATTTAGTAAGAAAATGAAGAAATTTATAACAGAGACAAATAATCTTACAAGAAAATAGAAAAGATTTGCTTAGAGATAAAGTAAAACTTTAGAATGCAGAGAGTTTTCTTTTGTTAGAAGTTGTGAATAAGTTTCAGTTAATTGCAGATATTTATAAAAAGTATGCAAGAGTGTAATATTTGTACTTTAATTAATACTAAAATATGTGTAACAAATGAATATGTGCACAGTGAAATTAGTGTAAATCAAGTGACTTTGTATTATCTAAACTAAAGGGTTAGGAAATAATCAGCGGATAATTGGAATGTATCAGGATATCTGTTTACCTTTTTGTCATCAAGTAATTCGCCAGGACGAAGTTTCTGTATAGTTTTACGAATAGGGAGAAGGATTAAAATAATAAGTATAATTAAATTCACTATCTATGAGGTATCGGCGTCTTATGTTAATGCGTTTGTTATCTGACATATTCTCTTTCATTTAAATGAAGTTTCTCTATGTATTTTAGCTATCCTAAAAGGAAGGAATAAATTAAATACTTTGGCCTACTCAATACTGTGTAATGTTTTGCTAAATATTTACATATGTAAAAGCTTAATTGGAGTTTTGTTTTTATGTTTTTGTTCCTTGTACATATATCTGCAGTTTTGTAAGAAGACAAATTTGAACTTCAAAAAATCTCTTTAGCGACTACAAACTAAAATCAACGCTGACCTGATTCTTCCCTAATCGACTTATGTTGACTTATGTCCCACAATATTATCAGATTTAACTACTACTCTAATGTGGATTAATTTTGCCAATACATATTTCAACATTTGTACATACTCTAAATATTTATCTATTTTTTCTAACTAAAGGCCAAACTTGAAAATCTACTTTAACGATACAATTCATATCTAAATTGAACTTCCAAATGGTAACTTTCACCATTCATATTTTACCATCTTTATAACATCCATCTAGAATTAAATCAGATGTAAATTCTACTAACCTCGTCATTGATAAGCAAGCTCGGTCGACGAGAATCATCAAATGTTAATAATGAACCACGTCGACTTGTTGGTCCTGAACCTAAGGGAAAAGAAATAAAATTTTAGAACTTATTGAGAAAATACATCAAGACATAGAAATTATCAAAAATGTTAGACAATAACTTTCAACTGATAAAACTCGATACGAGGAATTCTTAATTATAATTTTAAAACGTTTCGTGTATAGATATTTTTTAACCGGTATTTTTAAGATTTCGGTTAACCTAGTAACCGAAACAAAGAAACTCGGTTAACCTACGGTTAACCGAAACCTTAAAATAGTGATAAAAATTTGATTTTTCAACATGAAAAATTAAAAAGAATGCTTAATATGCATATTTCCACTCTTTCCCTAGTACATTTGCTTGCTTCTGATTCAAAAATCATACAAAAACTTCAAAAAAAAGATTTTTTGGCTTTTAGTATCCTTGAATTAAATATTTAGACAATTTTATAAAAATAAATTATTTTTAAAGGAAAGAATGCATATTACTAAACTTTAATTCGTTTTTATTCAAGAATAATCAAAAAACGAGACAATTTGTGAAAAAAAAATTTTTATAGGAGTAAATTTCGCTAATTTCGGTTATTTTTTGGTTAACCGATAGAAATCTCGGTTAACCTAGTACTCGAATAACCGAAAAAAACAGCCGGTTATCGGTTCTCGGTTATCGGTTTTGATATCTATAGTTTCGTGTCAGTGACAAGAAAATTAACATAGATAAGAAAAACTCTTTTGGACTTGATTTAAATTTTCAAAAAATCTTGATGTAAATAAATTCAACATAAATCGTTTTATGAAAGTTACTTGTGACATTCCGTTTCATTTTATTTGCAAATGTTTATTAGTGAGTTGTCAGGAGGAAAGAGAAATATTAAATAATTTATAAATATCTTCTGTTGCTGATTGAGAAATATTCTTTTCTAACATTTTGAGTATGAGGAAATGAAAATGAACTCTGATGAATCGAATTTAGTTGCAACAAATCTTTAATTTTCATTTAGTTGATTCATGATTGCGTTCATGTTCGATTTATCACGTCAAGAAAAGATCATAAGAAGAAATAATTTTAAAATTTTGTTGGGACTTAATGCAACACTAGTGTTGATGATTCTTTCTTGACTGGCATTTTCATTTCCTGTAATTATTTGGTTATTAACTTAAAAAACATTAAACACCTGGGGCTAGTGAACTTTTACGATCAGGAGTTTGCTCACGGATAACTTCGATTTTAGGTGTTTCAAGAACTTGTCCGCCTTGTCCTGGTGTTTTGATTTCAGGGATCTTTGGTTTGCCAACTTGCTATTATTTTTTAAAAGAAAACAAAGTGTAATTAACAAAAACATTCTCAATTTTCTCAATCATTTCTTTCATAATCACTTTTGAACCTTCTTTATATAATCACAGATCAGTTAACGTTATAACATTTTATAACATTACAAATTTATTATAATTAATTACAATAGCATAAATGTGTAACTTATTTTCACAAAAACCAAAAACGCTGCATTAAAAATATGTTGGGCAAAATTCAAAAATTCCTTTTTTACCACAAATTATTCTGATTTCGCTGATAAAAATATTTTTTCCTATTAGTTTAAGCGATGCTGAACGATTGGTGGCTTTAATTGTGACTGAAGTGTAGCTTAATTATTTTGAATGAAAATAAAATCAGCATTTTCTTATACATAATTTATTTTTAAATGTTCGCATGGCACTCGAGTTATAAGCAAAAAAATTATGACAAAAAATTCTTTTGAGCGCACAAGGATTGATGTGAATAAATATGATTTGAAAAGTTGCCAAAATGTTTGTAAACATATAAATTCAAAACAGGTATTCATAATTAAAAAAAATGTGTAAGTTATCTATCTCATTCAATATCTTTTTCTTTAAACTGAAATTAACCACACATACCTTTTATTTTAAAAAGAGATTTCATCAATTTAAACATTGTAAAAATCATATGAAATTTTGAATTAACTAAAAATGTTATTTTGAAATAATTTTATAGAATTTTAATTCAACTCATAGATGAATCATAATTTAAATTTTTAACTATGCATGAAGAAATTAAGTAAAGAATATTACGGCAATTCTAATTAAGTAAATTCTTCATCTTTTCTTAAAGGATTTGGCAAATTTATAAACTGACTAATGGTATATTTTACTTTTTCTACATCATTTTTCTGTTTTACCTTTTTACTGGGATTGAAATCTGACTCTTCATACTTTTCTAATTCGGGACGTTCATAATCAGGAATTTCAGGCAAGTCTTCATATTTTGACTTTGTAGCTTTCTTTGCTTTTGGCTTATCTTTTGGCCCTTCTGTCGTTGCTTTCTATAATGAATTATTATAAATTGCAGAGTATTCTCGAATTGCTAGTAAAACTTTGCCAATTGCTAAGGAAAGGAAATGAAGTTAAGTACCGTCCACATTCCTTTGATCTAATTCTAATTCTGAACTTGTCTCATATACTTTGTCTCAGAATTTTTTTCTATTTTAAAATTTCGTTTCTAAAGGTCATGCTATAATAGTTCTACAGAGTCTAGATATCTAATTGATGTTTAATTAATAATACGATAAATTTTGAGCTGTCAAGTAAACTTGCCAGAAAGTATTAATTTAAAAATTAGGTTTGTTAATAATTGAAAACAAGAAAATTTTGTATTTTTAGTTTGTTCAATTAGTTTTATGTTGAGAACAATTTTTAATTAATCCGAGAAAAATAAATTACTTTTGCTTCAGCCGGTTTAAGTTCAACCTTTTCAGCTGCCTTTGAATAAAATATAGAAAAAGTTATGAGTGCAAAAGTAAATGACGGAAATTGATAGAATAATTAATTATTTTTCTTACTTGTTTTTCGGGAATTGGCTTCAATTTAACATTTTCTCCATCATCCTTTTTATCAGGAATAACGCCTTTTCCCATTTTTAATTTTCTTGCTTCCTCATCATCAGGTGCTGCTGGTTTTTGTGCACGTTGATATTTTCCTTTTTCTGGCTCAGGTTCGGAAACAGCTGCTTGCTGTGGCTTTTTAGCATCTTCAATGATTGGTTTCGCGCCAGGTTCCTGTGTAAATTAAAATGGTTTAAATTAACATTTACGTTGTAATGAATAATGAAAATTTCTATAATAAATTTTAAAGTTTATTTAGTAAAAACAGTTTAACGACATTGTTTAAATCTGTTGACACCATTTAACATTTATTTTTTATTTAACAATTTAGATTTCATTATACCTGAAATTTTTTTATGTTATCATTTATGTTTAAAATCATGATTTATTTAGTTAGGATAAGATTATGTATCCCTTTGAATTCTTGTGATTTTTTCATCAGTTGTAATGTTTTACTCACCCTGACCGTTGGATCGAAATCTGACTTTTCATATTTTTCTAATTCAGGTCTTTCATAATCCTCAATTTCTGGTAATTCGTAATCAGATTCTTTCCTCTTTTTCGGGATTTTCTTCATTTTTTCCTCCTTTTCCTCTTTGGGTTTCTTTACTTCTTTCTTATCTCTATCGACTTTTCTGAGTTGTGGCAACTCTAATTGACCAGGTCGGGATTGCTGAAGTTTCAATTCAAGCTTCTGCATTACGAATTGACATTTTCAAAAGTAGAAAGTTTGAAATTTAGATTTTTAGAAAATTAAAAGAAAGCTGCTCTGAAGTTTGAAATAAAAAAATTCAGAGCAACTTTATTCAGAATAGCAGATTGAGGGATAGAAATTTTCATAGATTCTAAAGAATAAATAATAGTTGAGTAAACAGTTTGAAAATGAAAAATAAGTATAAAGAGTGAAATTTCAAAAGAAAGTATATAAAGTTATAGATTTCAATAGCTAGAATGTAGTATTCATTTTCCACATTTAATTTGAGCCACTTAGTCCTACCACGTGGCTCAACAATAATAGCATAGAATCTTTACATCAAAACGAACTTTATTATAAGCGAAAAAGCTATCTGATCATGCAGAAAACATTCATCAAGCTATATATTTATTGGTGCAGGGTTTCGTTCTTGTGTATCTGTAAAGTTGTAAACACGATGAAAATATTATATGATCGCAAAAAGGATGAAAATTTATATTTTCACAATCCATAAAATTTTCATTTGAATACAACGAAGTAAATTGAATGTATTTTGATTGTGTTTACCTCTTCATCTAAGTTTTCTACTGGTATCTGATCATTTATTTGAGGGGGAGGGATAGAGGAAGGAATTTTGGATTCTTGGGAGTTTTTATCATCAACATTATCGACTGCAACATCCGGAACATAAGCCATTGGATCGTACTTTGGTCTGTTTACTTTCCCTTTTTGACGTTCATCTTTTGAACTTTTTTCTGACTTTGAACTTTCTTCTAGAGCCATAAAAGCATTCTCTTCTTCCTCATCAGGAATATAAGCCATTGGATCATATTTCTTTCGATTGAATTTTCTCTTTTCATCTTCGACAGGCATAGACACATCATCTGGCTCCGTTATTTGTATTTCAATGGGAACTTCCTCAAGCGGATCTGAAACTTTTATTACTATATCTTTAGAAGCTTCTTCCTCAACTAATGACGATGGCTTTTTAGTTTTAGTTTTAATTTTAGCATCAGCTGACTCTTCTGGAGCAGACTTGAACGCTGCTTTTGATTTTGGCATGCCAAGAGAAACCTCAGTATTGACATCTTCGACTGTCTCAGATTTAGGCTTAGATTCTCCAAGCGGATCCGAGATTTTTATTGTTATATCTTTAGATGTTTCTTCTTCAACTAATGATGATGGCTTTTTAGTTTTAGTTTTAATTTTAGCATCAGCTGACTCTTCTGGAGCAGACTTAAATGGTTCTTTTGATTTTTGCATGCCAACAGAAACTTCAGCTGATGTTTCTTCCGGCTTACTGTTATCCGGTTTCTTCTTAGTCTTTGATTTAAGCGTTACATTAGCCTCCGCACCATCATCATTATCTGTTTTAGTCGTCATTAGTGAATCTTTAGGTTTTTTGCTAGGATCAAATTCACTTTCTTCATAAACTTCTAAATCAGACCGATCATAATCAGGAATCTGTGGCAAATCTTCATATTTAGGTTTTTTAGGAAATTTAATTTTTTGCTTTTCTTCAACTGCTTCTTCAGCTTTGGGGCTAGGAACTTTGGATTTTTTTAGGCTAGGAAATTTTTCGGGTTTTGATGAATCTGGCTTTCCTTTGATGTCTGATTTTCTGTTATCAGTTTCATCAGAAGTTTTTCTACTCAAAATCTTCTAAAGTGTGAAAAAAAGTTTTGAAAAGAAATTTGTTAAGAAAATAGTGCAGTTTTGAAAATATTCTACTAACTAAAAAGACTAAAAATACTATCTAAGAAAATGTATGAAACAAGAGGGGAAAGAATCAAAAACTTGGTAAGTAGTGATATGTAAGTGTGGGATGATAACATGAATAATTTTATTGTATACCTCATCGCTTTCAAGTTGATTTTCTTCTGCATCATCAGATGATATCTAATGCAAGAAAGTTGATACATAGAGTATAGACATAGAGATAGGATAGAGATAGAAAAGATAATAATAATTTAAAGATAGATATGTGCTAGTTTTGATTTCTATATCTCAACTTAACACTAAATAGTAAAGATAAAGAAAAGATTGAAATTGATAGTAAAAAGTACAGATAAGCAGTCAAGTTGCTTTTAGAAAAATTATTTTACCTTCACCGTAAACTTTTTAGGCGGATCTATTGCTTTTTTATTATCTTCAGATTGTGCCTACAAAATTATATAACGATGACAACCATAGAACATTATAACATTAAGCTTAACAATCAACACAGCTTCCAAGTAAAGCGATCAGATATAAAACTCATTAACTAGTAACACATATAAACTTATACTTAAATCAGCGGTATATGTTTTTAATTTTGATGTAATGTTTACCTTAGCCACTGGCTTTCTTATAGGTGTTTTCGCCTCTTCCTTTGGCTTGTCTTCAGGTTTTTCTTGTGGCTTTTCTTCTGGTTTGTTTTCTTGTGGTTTTGTTTTTTCAGGCTGTAATTTTGTGTCTTGTGTTTTTGGTTTTTGTGTAGGTTCTGTTTTTGTGTCTGGTTTTTTATCAACTTTGTTCTCTAATTTTGAAGGTTCTTCTGGTTTCTAAATGCAATTATGTACAAATATTTACAAATTAAAAAATCTCTCTATCCTACTATAAAAACCATTTGGAAACTGAAATAAAACAGAGCAAATCAGTAACACAAACCTTGATGTCTTGTTTTTCTTCAATTTTTTTGGTTTCTTCAGCCGCTTTCTTTTCTTCTTGTTTCTTCTCCTCTATTTTCTTAGTTTCTTCTACTTTCTTCTTTTCTTCGACTGCTTTCTTCTCTTCTACTTTTTTCTTTTCTTCAATTGCTTTTTTCTCTTCCTCTTTTTTCTTTTCTTCTACTTTCTTTTTTTCTTCAACTGCTTTTTTCTCTTCCTCTTTCTTCTTTTCTTCTACCTTTTTCTTTTCTTCGACAGCTTTTTTCTCTTCTTCTTTCTTCTTCTCTTCTACCTTTTTCTTTTCTTCAGCTGCTTTTTTCTCTTCCTCTTTTTTCTTTTCTTCTACCTTTTTCTTTTCTTCAACGGCCTTCTTCTCTTCCTCTTTTTTCTTTTCTTCAACCTTTTTCTTTTCTTCTTCTTTCTTCTTTTCTTCCTCTTTTTTCTTCTCTTCAACCTTTTTCTTTTCTTCTTCTTTCTTCTTTTCCTCTTCCTTTTTCTTCTCCTCAATCTTTTTCTTTTCTTCTGGTTTCTTCTTGTCTTCGGCAGGTTTCGTTTCTTCCACTTCTTTTTTTTCTTCGACTTTAGTTTCAATTTCTTGTGATTCTTCAATTAATTCCTTCTCAGCAGCCTCTCGTTTCTCTTGCTTTTCTTTTTCCTCAGCAATCTTTTTCTCTTCAGCGAGTTTTGTTTCTTCTTCTAGTTTCTTGATTTCTTCTTCCTTCTTCTTTTTTTCTTCGATTTTCTTTTTATGTTCTTCTTCTTTCTTTTTCTTTTCTTCTTCCTATTTAAGGATGAACATTTAAAACATACAATTAAGATTAACTACAAACATTCAAATGGAAAGGTAATATTAAAAGTACTCGTAATTATCACAAATTCACAGATAAAACTTATATTTAAATATGGAAATTTAATTGACTTTCACAATTATTTACCTTCTTTTGTTCTTCTATTTTCTTTTCCTCTTCCTTTTTCTTTTCTTCCTCTTCCTTCTTCTTTTCTTCCTCTTTTTTCTTCTTTTGTGGTGGTGCTTCCTCCTCTTCTTCATCCTCTTCAATGTTACTCAAAGTAACTTCCTGAGAGACAGCTTCGCCTTTGACATTCTTTGCTATCATTTGGTATTTACCAACATCTTCTTTACTAACATTCTTGATGACCAATTGAGATATAAATTCTTTAGTTCCACTTGAGATAACAGTTTGAGTTGTTTCTTGAACTGATGAAACGTGGCGTGAAGAAGATTGGGAAATCTTTTTACCATCATGTGTCCATTCACATTTAGGCATGTTAGCATCACCAATTGTAACAGCAACTCTACATTCGATAATAACTTCTTTTTTCTTAATAATCTTCTTGATGCGTGGGCGTTCCTTAATGACAGGAATAACATCAATATTAAGAGTTAAGTTAGCATTTAACTCGCCGTAGCTATTTCGAATATTGCATTTATATAAACCGGCATCGTCAATTCCAGGCTTATTCAAGACTAAAGTTATAATGAATTCTCCTTCTTTAACTTGCTGGATGTTTAATTTTAAATTTTCTTTCTCAACAATGACATTGCTGTCTTTGGTCCAAACAACTTGAAGTTTCTCTGTGAGGCATTTCGTAGATACATGACAACGCATTGTAACAACTTCGTTTGCTTCCTCAATCTTTGGTTTAACCAAAAATATCGGAGCTAATTCAGCCATTTCTTCTTCTTCATCGTCTATGTTGAGATTAAGATTAGCACAAGCATCTCCAAATTCATTTTTCAAAACGCATTTGAAAACGTCGCTATCGAATTTTCTGGGATTAGTAATCACCAAACGTATTTCAAAGGAATCTTTCTTCTCTTCGCTACTGGCTTCGACAGCAGTGCAAGAAAAGTTGTAACGTTCAATAATTTCAGAGATGGTTTCATCCTTCTTGATTTTCTTTGCTGCATGTTCAGCAGATGGTGTAACGTAAATCTCGGTGATTCCTTTAAACCAAGTAACTTCAGGTTCAGGTTTCGAGCGACATTGACATAACATTTCAATTTTCGTCCCATTTTCCAATGGGGTAATTTTCGGTTTACTGGTGAAGGTCGGTGCAAAGCCAGCTGCATTTTTAGCATCTTCAGGATCACCTAAAAAAATGTTTCTCAATAAGTTTAAAGAATTCAAGACATTAATGAATTACTGACATAAATTCATTGAACTTGATTTAAGTTCAGGTTAAAAACATTATGAATTGCATTTTTGTTTGGTTATTTAAAGCTTTTTATGATGGAATGTATTCGAACAACCACGAAAAATGAAACGACTTGGGGGACATATTTTCCTTTAACAAAAGTTTCTCAAAACGTTTTGTGTACTCTCCCATAATACTTATTTGTTCTGATAAATACGTTGACATAAACTTACCATCATTTAAATTAAGAAATTAATTACATGGATTATGATATTATGCAACATTGAGTTTGCATTTTCTTATTGATTTGATAATGTTTATGAAATTACCTGCGAAATTCAATGCAATGTTTGCATTTGATTCGCCATAAGAATTAACCGCATTACACCGATATTGACCACCATCTTCCTGGGTTGGTGCTCTTATAGTCAATGTCAGAGTATATTGATCACGTGCAGTTTTTTTTCTTGTCATTTTATAACGCGGAGTTGTCTCTTCAATTGGAGTTTCTCCACGGAACCATTTAATTTCCGGACCAGGATTTGCTTCTAAAATGCACTCCATGATCAAAAGCATTTCTTCACTTATTGGATCTTCATCTTGTCTAATTGTAGGCTTCTTTGGAAAACGTGGTGGCTTGCCAGCTGGGATTCTAAAATTTAAATAAAAAACAGAATTAAATTCAAAATTTCATTAAAAAAATAAATAAAAAGTTTTACTTTGGTGCTCCTCCAGCAGTACTATCGAAATTCAAGTTGATCGTTGCAACACTTTCGCCATGTTTATTTGTAGCGACAGCGCGATACTCTCCTTTATCAGTGGCTTGAACACCACGAATTTCCAATTTAGCGATATAATAAAGCTTTTGATCTGCTTCGAGCATCATGTGAAAGCGAGGCCCGTTGACAAGTTGTTCATTGCCATGGAACCTGATTAACATCGATAAATTTATTAGTTAGACATCAAAAGCATAACAGATAGTATTTTCATGCATTACCAGATAATATCCGGCTTTGGATCACCAACACAGCGACATTCAAAGGAAATTCTTCCACCGCTTGTATCTTCGTCGAGTTGCTTAATTATTGGTCGTTCAGTAAATGTCGGCTTACATCCATCATCAGGCACAGGTGCTTCATCGCCTTAGATTAAGGGGGGTTTGGTTTGCATAAGTTAATACATTCAAGTGAATTATCTACAGATAGTTTAATTCCATTTTCGAATCCGTTTATAATTACATTTACATAAATTAGACCGTTTTACTGTGAATAATCATAAAAATATTTTCACGTGAACACCCGCGCGATCAGAACGAAAACAATCATCAGTGAAATATTTATCTAACACTATTTCTATAAATAACAGCGATTAAGGAGTTTCAAAAATAAAAATTCTCAAAACAAATTTCATCATCAAGTGTCCAAGTCAGTTGAGTCAAAAAACCCAAAATATCACAGAGAGGAAAAATAAAAAATGAAAAGTTAAAATTTTTTCGACCGGTGGTCGTTTATAAATAGAATAAACACGACCACATAACAAAAACAATCTTTAAGACCATCATGATTTTATTTTCATTGGGAGTGTACATTATCGTCTTTCACGAGACACCCTATTGTGACTCATACGGAAATCTTCGGTATTGTGAGAGAATAAGTCGAGAGTATCATAAAGTTTCGTAAACAAGTGGTTGGTTGTAACTTATTTAAACATGAATCACACACACCAAAATCCATCATCAGTTCACATGATGCTTCGGAAAAAATGAATTTGGTTAAAAATACAAAAAAATTTAAGAGAAGTTTAAGCTTCTATTAGATATTTATGTAGTCAAAGGTTCAACATATTTTTTCACCAATTAATTTCTTTAAATAAACATGTAAATGAAGAAATTTTATCTGAATTAAAAATAGTTAAAGAGAGAAAGAAAACAAAATGCTTTCAAACTATAAATAAAACCTTTGAGAGTCTCTCACGGTTAGCTTGATCATAAAAAAAGTATGCTGGTTATGAGAAAAAGCTTATTTTATTTTTAATATTTATTTAGTGATATTAATAGCTGTAATGAACGGTAAAGCTTTCAAGTGTGTGTGATTTTCATTCATCATTATCTTTTTGGTTGTTTATTTTAAACGATATTTGTTCAATGTATCATGTAGTACTTACTGTCAAAGTTTAATGTGATCGTGGCATTACTTTCGCCCAACTCATTTTTGGCCGTCACCTTGTATTTACCGGCATCCTCTACGGTAACATTTTTAATTTCAAGGGAAGCGAAATATTGTTGGCCATCTTTTTGCACTGACAACTGAATAATTTAGGGGGAAATATGTATCAGATATGTTTGTTGTATTTTATTAAAGACTTATAAAGTATTTATAACAACCTTATGCCTGGTATTATCTTCAACAGGACTTCCATTATGGGACCATCGAACTTGGGGTAATGGATCAGCCTTGATTAAGCATTCAAAAAGAAGACGCTTTCCATCATCTTCTTGGCGAATTGCAGGCTTTTTTAAGAAAGTAGGAGCGAGTCCATCAATTTGTCTATCGTTCATAAAAATATTTAATGTTAATTATTTGTTTTTCATTTTAAACATATAAAAATGTTTATAAAAAATCAAAACTTCAACAAAATACAAACAGAAATTTATTCATGCAAAAAAACTAGAGTGAAGTAAAGAAATTGTCTTTTAAATACCTTTCTTTTACCTCTGGAACTTCTTCTAATATTTCTATAAGCATGTTAAGAAGCATGAAAAATGAAAGGATGTTTTTATTAAAAAATCAATGAATTTTACTTATTTTAAGTGAATCATTAAAATTGATCTACAAAACAATTTTCTACTTGTTTCTTTACAAGAATATTAATGAGACTTGCTTATAATATGTAATAAATCGGAAAGAAAGAAACAATCTTGAAGTTCTTGGTTCCAAAATTTCTACGCCATGCGAACATCACAATGGAAATAAATGTCTGTGACAAGAAGCATCAATAAATATTTTTTGTGAAAACAAAATTCCTTTTTAAGCATAAGCAAAACAAAACAAAACTCTCGGAAAAGTTTTTTGAGCTTCTAAATTTACTACTTCTTACTTTTCTTTAGGATCGTCAGCAGCTAAAAGATTACAAATAAGAAAAGTTCTTAAATAAATAATTTTGTCTATAAATCTTGATTCTATTTTATTTTTTGAAATTAAATCTAATCGAAGGCCAACGTACTGGGATCAAAAAATTATCAAATTGTATGAAAATTAATCTTGAAATTTTTTCCTTATAAGAAAATCGATTTCTCTGAACTTTTATAAAATAAATTAATTCTACTGAAAATATCTGTTTTAATAATCATAAAATGAAATGATCACTTACGGCTGAAATTCAAATTGATTGAAGCAGCAACTTCGCCAGAATTATTTTTTGCTACTACGCGATACAATCCGGCATCGGTTTCAACGACGTCGTCGAGAGTCAATGAGACATGATATGAATCTGCTTCACTATTTGGCGCAATCTTAAAGAAAGTGCGACCGTCAGATTCATTGAGTTGTTCCTCACCACGCCACCATTCTATTGATGGTTGCGGATTTCCGGACAATGAACATTCAAAAATCAACTTATTGCCGTCATCAGCTTGTTGCAGTTGCGGCTTTTGTTTAAAGTAGGGGGCAAAATTGCCATTCGCGGCTGGTGTAACCACCATGATTATATTTTCTCACTGTTCCACTACTTCAATTAATTATTTGGCGATTATTGTGTTCAAATTTTGGATTTAAATTGAGTTCTCGTAATATTTTTTTTAAATTTCCTTCTAATGATGGATGATTATCTTCATGATCTCACCAACTGAAAATCAGTTGGGGTCGGTTAATGACTCTGGGGTCAAACTTGTTTTTTATCTTTTTTGTTTTGTTTCGAAATCGGAAAATCCTTCGTTTAATGTCACTTCGAAGAATGTAACTTTCTAATCACTTTCTTTCTAAAATCCTTTTCGTTAGATTTACTTTTTTCAATAATAAACGATTGGGATGGGCAAGACAGAAAGAAATGTTTTAATTTTCACACACAGTTATGTTGCCAGACGATGATCGTTGTTGCGCTTAAAGCTTCACAAAAGTTAATCCTATCCAAGTTGGTTCAAAGTATAAAAATAAAGAAAGAATGATAAAAATGTAGCATTAGAAAACTGCAGAAATATTAAGAAATTATTAGTCAAGAATTGACGTCAATTGATTTTTAAATTCAAATTAATTTTAAATGGTTGAATGTTTTTGATTAAAGTTTTGCTACGTTTTATAATTGCTGAAGTAACTAATTTTAATACATTGATAGATAGATTTGAATAAAATAAACTCCATTTTCTCTTTAACTTAATTCACTTATTATATTTTGAGATGTAACGAAATAAAAACTGTTCAATTTTTTAAACAAATTTATTTGATTTTGTGGAGAATTATTTTAAAGATGATCACATCAATTTCTCATTTCCTTCTTTTAATGTCACTTAATTTTTCTTCTTGAAGAAATTTCCTTGACTACTTTCATATTATTCATGGCAGGATATTGAATGTGAAGTGCTTGGCAATGCTAAAAGATTGAGTTTTCACATGCAACCAGATTTACATTCAATGTAAACTTTTAATATTTCATATGCTTGATTGACAGTTCAATCAATGAATACACTTTCTAGTTATAAGATTCACGTTTTTGCATCATTAAAAATGTTCGCCATGATTTTCATCAACTTCACATATATATTTCTATTTTCATCACTTCATTCTATTTATACAATCGACATCGGAGAAAACTTTTTTTTAGCCATGAAAAACTCGAAAAACATTTTTTTTTCTTCTTTCACAATTCGATTTTTTTTTATTTTTAACACTCTATTTTAGAAATGGAAAAAAATTAAATATCTTTATGCTTGCACAGATTTCTTCTTTTGCATAACTTTTTTCCAGTCGGTCCTTACTTTTCGGTTAATTATTTTATTTTTTATGGTTTACCAAAATAAATCGGATATTAACTTTTCAAACTATTTTTATGTTTGGTAGTTTTCGCGAGAGATCGTACTTTCTTTTAATTATTTGAAGAAGATCATGTTTCAAACTATTTTTATTCTCACCTTTTACACTAAGAAACAAGATATAGTTCAAAATAGCTTAGAGGATGAAAGTTTTTTTTGCGTTCAAAACTATTGAAACTTCTAATTTCCCCGGAAAATTAAAATAGTTTGAGCAGCAAAATAAATTAGATGTTTCAGATCCTCACTCGTGTCACTATTAGATTTGTTTAGATGAAACAAAAAATTATAATTAATTATTTTACATTACTTTAATGCTGTAATATTAAAATATTTTCACAATTTTTTTTTTGTTTTTTGCATATAGATCGAGAAATTTTTATTTATAAATTGTTGATAAGATTTCTTGTTTTTTTTTCTTGCATTACGTTTTTCATTTCATTTTCATATTTCTTTATCAAATTTTTACTTTTTTTCAATTCATTTTTCAACTTTCATTTCACTCCGAGAAAATTTCTATATTATGAAATTCTTCAGTCACACATTAAGAAGGAGAATGAATAATCGCGGAGCCACGAAATATATTCAAAAATACTTTTTTTTCTAGAAGAAAACCGACAAGACCGACTACACACTTTTCACACGAATCTTTAAATTTTCTTTTTTTTTTCTTTTCTACGTTACGTAATGCGAAAATTTTACTCCACTTTGAAAAAATTTCTCGACCTTTTTGCGAAAACTCCATAAAATTTCTCCGAAAGACGCGTAATCCTTGAAAATCGATCGACTGGAGAAATAAGCTCGATAAATGATTTATAATTACACAAGAAAAATTCTTCCCGAGTTGAAGTAGGAGTAGCTATTTTTTATTTTTATTTTCTTCTTAAAAGTTAACTTTGTTGGGCAACTGGTTCTTCAGGCAATTGCAACTCGCCGATGTCAAAATTAAAACTGAACTGAAAATTCTTTCTTTGAATTTTCTTCTCGATTTCTCATTCGTAAGCCGAGTGATGTATGAAAAGCGTGCACGATCGAGGATTCGGGTCTTAAATTCTTCTTTTCTCACAACCCGATCTCCTGATTTCGCTTACCAGCAAGGCAGAATTCATAGTAAGAAATGTGTGCGAAGAAAAGAAAAGAAGAAGTTAAATATTTTCTTTCGTTTCGATCTATTTTTAGAAAAGCGCGTCGGCGTTTGAAGAGAAGCAAGTAGAGAAAATCTTTTCATGCTACATACTTAACTGGTTTACTTTATGATATTTCTGTTGCAAAGTTTCAGTTGGGATGAAAATTAATTGCAAATGTTTTGGAGTTTTGTGCAAAAGGGTTGATAACCTTATCCGAAAAATATGAAATTTCATATGAAGGGAAACAATTTTCATTGGAATTATTTAGAAGTTATGAAATCCTTTCAAACAATTCGATGACTCTGATCCCCTCAATCTTACACTTAATTTATTGGAATTTATTTTTACAGTTTGAATGTAAACAATTCGTTCCAAGATCGCTTTCTTCTTCACTTTGACTCCGCAAACATTCAAATAAAATATCAAGGTAGACGTAAGTATGTGTATTTGATACTTTAGATATTCACAGCACTTTGCAAAAGGTGTAACTACTGAGTGAAACGGACAGCAATGCTTATGGTCGCCCTTTAAGTGTGCGTCTTCTATTTCTAGATTCAAACAAGCAATGTAGGAGTAAACACAATTTTTTGAAGGATCTAAGCGAAGTGTTTGTCAAGGCAGATGTTGCTTACTTTCTACAAATAAATTTCAGAAAGAAAAACAATTAAAGCCAAACTACTCTCAATTATCTACACACTTGTTGACTAAATGATTTCATATTTTTAGTATTTCATTTCAGAAGTTTAAGAAAAAAAAATAGTTCAGCAAAACTTATGGTAAATTAAGTTTTAAACTTTTTTTCGACTAATTAGCCATAGATTTTTACAAATTGTGAAGATTTCAATAAAAGAAATGAATTCAAAGCTGTAGTGCTTTGCAAGTCTTACAAATTTAAGATCTAAATATTTAATAAAATTTCTTCCTACTTGATGATGTAATTTAAGACTCATGAAAAAAATTAACGATATGATCAGTGAAATCAATCGGTAGCTGTGCAATAATATTTTTGTTTATTTCTTTATTGACGTCTTTTCACGATTTCTGCCAAAAAACACTTTGAGATGTTGAACAAATATTTAGGTATAAGAAGTTTGAATGCAGATGAAATAATATTGACCAGTCTAGCAACCATGAATCATTTTAACGTCTTCTCATTTAAATTAATCAATCATTTAAAAATACCTCATTACTTAATGAAGTTTTGATGTTTATTAATATTACGTTTTATTAAGAGATTATTTTCCTATATTTTCTACAACGCAACGCCTGAGAAAATGAAAAGAAAATTAATTCTGTTTTACAAGCATCAATCAAACTATGCTTAATACGAAAACAAATCGTTCGCTGATGTTTTTTACTTACACGTCTGATTCGATAAAGCTCAGGTGTGATTTTTTTATTTGAAGATCAAACATGGCTATTCTTGAACTTTTCACTCTATTTAAAATATTTAAGAGCCTCCTTAAGCCCCACCCCCTTAAAAATAGCTTACTAAAAATAAATCTTGTACGCGTTTGTGTATGCTTAAGTCGAACGTGTCAATCATGTTTGTTATGGGCGAATTTCCCCAAAAAGTAGATTTACTATAATATTAATTATTTGATGTAGATTCGAGTTTCTTCTCAAGGAAGCTTTTTGACAGATATCAGATATCTCGGTTATAAGCTTTGAGACGAAAGGAAGGAAAACATTCTTCATCACTGAACTGAAACTTTCAACATAAATATATGTTTAAGTGCTTTCGAAGTATGCATATAAAAGCTGAATAGAATTGAATTAGTTCTTCTGTTTGATGAATGAAACTAGATAAATGAAATTCGAAGGAAAACTCCAACAACCTGATAATTTAAAGATTGAGTCGAGTTGAAAAGAGAAATTGTAACTTCACAAAAACATCTATTTTTAGTTTCCGCAGAAGTAATACGAAAACATTTTTTGGTTGGCTAACACATAGAGAAATGCAAAATATTTAGAATAGTAAAGATGCGAATTCGCTTTTCCTTTCCGCTTGAGAAGAAACAACGAGTTTTTTGGCAATTGACACACTGCAGAGCATGGTTGAACAAGTTTCAAATATTCAGGAAACTGAATTATAATATCGTTCTTGTTCCACCCATAATGAAAAAAAAATGCCATGATGAGGTCTCATGTATAAAAAAATCATGTTGATTCATTTTGGTTCATTCCCTATATATATTTCATTCACGGTTGTTATTATAGTTTATTTAAAAAAAAAGTTATCTAATTTAATGTTTTGTTGCTTTAACAAAATATGAATTTAAAGTTTTCAGTCTGCACATGTAAAATCAAGTAAATAATCGCAAATCTGGTAATTGAGCGTGAAAATGTCGAAAGCTGCACAACTTGATGTATTATTTTTAATATAACAATTTTACTCTTCAATTCGTTAAAATTTTCAAGTGACTGTTTGCGTCAAATAATGACTGGTTGCTTTAAAAAAAATATAAAAATTTACAAACTAGAAAATTTGTTAGGGAATAAAAAAAAATTAAATCTGAAGTTTAGTGAAAAATTAATATACATATTATGTCGAATATTAACAATATATATTTACATAAGAAACAAATTCTTTTTAACTTCCCCAAAAAAAAAGAGCATAAAAGCTTGTCAGCTAATTTGAAATTTTTATTTGATTTTTAAAGAGAAATTTTTTTTCTGTATTCTTTGTATGAAGCTTAACATTAATTTAGTTTTCAACATGATTTCGAGAATGATATATTAGCTAACAGAAAAGTGTCTATGTAAAGTTAATTCTTCTACATTTAATGGTATTTCATTCCTTGAGGGCTTGAAAACATATCCTCGAAATTGAAAAGTTGTGTTTTAAAATCTACTTTGAGTTTAAAAACAGACGAGCATTTAAAAAATTGAACTGAATCAGTGATGCGTGGTAAAGTTGGACACAACATGGAAGCAAAGTCGTTTGAAATCAGTGATCAACAGAAATCAAGTTTAGGACAGAAAATCAAAATTAATGTCTCGGAAAAAACTTGAACTTTCCATCCCTTCATGAAACTGTTGGCCCGGCTTTAACAGGTTTTTTTCTATTCTCCTCCTTCCTAAGCGAGTGAAGCGGAAAATTAATACAGAAAATATTTTTCAGTTGGTCAGTTTTTAGAAATATCCCAATACAAAAAATTTTAGATTGCGAATTGCAAATTTTAAACTTCAACTCAAATTGAGTTAAGAAAGAAAATAAGAAAATTGATGTTATCATTTTTCATTTTTCATTTCTTCACTACCTTAGATTTAATGCAGGTGGTTCTAATTAATTTTATATTTTCTCGAAACATTATTTTTGAGACTTATAACTTAAACCCGGGTTTCTGAGTGAGTTTGGCAATGAAAGTTAATATAATTAGATTGTTTCTATTTAGCTGAGCACATAATGTTTTATGTAATCCAAATTTTCATTTTAACTTAAGTTAAATATTAATGTTCTTATGGAACATCATCTACAACTATGTAATCATTTTGATACTTCGAATTTCAATGTGCTCAAGTTAATTAAATGGTGGTTAAGTTAAACCACCTGCTATCAAAGAGCTGATAGAATTTGATTTGGAAATTTCACATGATTTATTCAGGAAAATGTAAGTAAAGAGAATGTCAAGATATTTACAATCTTCTTAAAATTTAGTTAGATATTAGTTGTAAAGTAAAGTGACATTAATTAATTTAATATTTTCAACGTCAATATCGCATCTAAGTAAATACATTGTAACTTTTCTGTTTTAGATACTCAAGGATACCTTTCTTGAGCAATAACGTCTGTTTCTATTTTTATCTTTTTTCTTCTTAGACATTTTCAACTTTTTCCCTCTTTTCTTTTGCAACTCAATACATACTTCAAGTTACATTGGTAAAATAATGTTCCATGCAAACATCTGAGTGTCAATTTAAGCTTACCCTCCGCAAAAAAAACATAGATTTGTTGTTTATCTTCAACGTCCTTTCTTTCAATTATACCAGCTCAAGAGATTATCTGATGTGATACAGTTTGAATCCATTTCGTTGACAGGGAATCTCTCGCTGTGAGTATTTTTATGTGTTTTATCATACACACATATAAATGATGAACTAATTTGCTAAAGATGACTGAAAAGATATCATCATATTAGTTGTTTCCCATGGACCAAAGGACTCGTGAAAAACATGAATCATTTTGCTAATATTTTAATGACGCAGAAAGTATTTTAATAACATTCGCTATGTTGTACTGAAAATCTAAATATTTGAGATAAAAAAGTTTCCTTAATTTTAAAGCTTATTAAAAATTAGATGTGTGCCTGCATATTAACGAAAATGAATATGAAATTTATTGAAGCATGCAGTGCGACAAATTTCAACAAGTTAATAAAATTTTATTGAGTCGTAAAGGCAAATCAGCGGTCGGTCCCCGAATTTACTTTTTAACCGAAAAGCTGACAAAAGCTAACATTAATGTAGGTAGTTAATGATGGCAAACAGCATGTTGGTCCAGCGGTTTTATTAACTTTAATAGCATTTCCAACATTATGTTGCTGATAATGCATATTTGATGAATAGCAACCTTGACATCTTTATGTTTAAGTGGACAAAGGATGAAAAACGCACTACGTAGCGTTTACGTAAGGTGATAAGAAAATCAGCAAAGTAAAGTGAAGTACTAGAGTAGAGTTAAAAATAACGATAAACGGAAATTGTCAGAAAAAAATCGTTTCGTGAAAATGTCTCCATTAAACTTTTGTTTGTGACGATGAAATGTAGTTCTATTTTTAACATTTATTCCCATCAGAGGCTTCCATTTACCAATTTGCAAAAAGGACAAACTGAAACGATTGATGTCAGTCAGTTATTTAAGGAAATTTATAAAAGAAATTGACCGACATTCGAAAACAATAACAATTCTCTAGAGATGTACACCTATTAATGCACCTACACAAAATCAGTCAGAATATTGAAGCTTCTTTCCACATGAGGCTTTGAATAAATGAATCACTTGAGAAATGCTTACGTTAAGTAGTAAACACTTTGACAGTTTGCACGTCGCTTTCTACCTCTGCTTCTTTCTGTCTATTTTTGCATTTGATGATTCTTGTATCGAAAACACCTTTTCTTTCCATCTCTTGGGCGATGAAGATGAAAAGGTTGATGGAATGTGAAAATCATGATAGATTAGTTTTGATTTTTTATGTTTGAATGTAATAATAAGTAGCATACAAATCTTTATTATTCTCTTATCATATTGAAAGTTTTGAGTTAATTCTGCAAAGTTACTTAATAGTTTTACTCCTTTCTTAAGGTCATATTGAATATTTTTCAAATTTATAAAGTTAGTACCTAATTCGTGAATTTAAATTATTCCTAACAAATTGTGAATAATATTTCTAAAAATGATTTTCAGCAATGTCGAATTAATAAAATATTAAAGTTATTTGTATCAAGTAAAATATCTAGATGATTTTTTTACCTTTTGTGGATAGTTATTAAATATATATTTCATATAAAAGGTCTACATTTGCTCAATAAACATATATTTATCTAAATAAAAGACCTATATTGCATCGAAATATGCCGTGGTTTTGTATGCCTAAGGAACGCAAATGTTAACAGACCCAAATAAATATAAATGAATAAATTGAAAGAATAGATAAGAATAACGAGATAGAGAAGCTTTAGAATATTTTCTGATGTTCTTTAAAACTGATGACCATGTTCCTAAAAATATCATTAAATGCATAAATAAATTAGACATATCTAGCTAAATTCTATTACGTATTTTAACTTCAAAATTTATTTTTAAAGTTCAAATCAGAAATACCTACATTAATTTAAGAAACGACGTTGCTAAAATTCTCCATAAAGAAAAATTGAGCAGTTTAGAATTTTGCATCATTTTGTACCTGGAAGCTTTAAATGTTTATAACTCGTGAGGTTCTTTTGGTATCATCTGTTGAACTTTTGATCCTTGCGTAAAAATCTCTTCATTTGTACGTTAAGAATTTGTAGTCGTCGCATGCGTGGATGAATAAAATGTTATTTTTGCAGTCATTTGAAGATTCAAGAAATTACAAGTTATATATGAAAACTACCTTAATAGAATCTTATTTCATTATTTTGCTTATTGCTCTTGTAAAAAGTATGCTTGTAAAATAAAATTAACTACAAAAACTTTTTTATTGTTCTTATCGAAAGACTGATCATATATTTGTCTTCAGTATAATTCAAGCAAAATATTTATTCATTAGAGCTCTCTCTCTCGGAAATGTATTTAATTATATCCGACGGCCTGGTCAACTTTTCTGCATCATTATCGGGGATTTCGTACCCAAATTCGTCCTCCATGGCCATAATAACTTCAACATGATCTAATGAATCTAATCCCAAGTCTTGAATAAAATGAGAGTCTAAGGAAAGCTGAAAAATGAGATATTATGAGCATTTATATCCATCTGCATTGAATAATATTTAAAACAAACCTTATCGGCAGATATTTTATCATATTCAGCGACGACTCTCATCACTCGTGCCTCAATTCCTTTGGTATCAGCGGTGCAGTAGGTTGGAAATTTTATTTGTTGTTTTAGCTGGGTCTATATGAAGCCAGGAATAAACTTTTCATTAGTATCATTTGGCTATAAAAAATCTTTTTGACGTTTCAACAATAGAGAAGCACATGGAATTGGAATAAATTGAGCTCACCTTTGTAAAAGCAGGAACAATTGAAATGGCATGGAAACTTCTGTGATGTGTAGTAACTGCTCGTAAAATGTTGAAGTTTCTAAACAAAATGCATCGTGCTGTATGTTGAATGATTGATGCCATCGTGAAATGTCGAAAGACCGCAAAAATCTTAGTTTTTCAAGATCAAAAATTTCAAAACAAAAATGAATTGCGCAACACTAACACTATTACATATATTTCGAATTTTACTTCTGATTTGTAGTCAAGGTTTAAAGTGTGCTTTTCGTTTATATTGACGTATACTTTCGATTAGGTATACTCCTAACTTGAATTTTTACAAAGGTTGTTGGACAAGGTTCATTCGAGTGAGCTTACATTACCATTTCGGTTCCGTCTGTAAAGTTATTTAACTTAAACTAAAAATGCTTTCACGAGTCTTAAAAGTAGCTGCTCAACAAGGAGTAAAAAGTTTCTCAACTTCACAACAGGTCAGTTATTCAAATTTTATGTAAAAATTATTTTTGCATTTTCCTGAACGAAGTTGCGCAATCAAAAAAAAATTGAGAAAATTCAATGTATCAATATTGTTCATTTCTCACTTGATAACGCTATAGCTAATATAACATTGGATTGCAAATGTTTTCATTTCTAATAAAATATTTTGCTGACATTATCTAATATTTTTCCTGTTTATTACCCTCTAGAACAACGTCAAGGTCGTTGTATGTGGAGCGTCAGGAGGCATCGGTCAACCGCTTTCATTGTTATTGAAGAACAGCCCCCTAGTTTCTGAGCTCTCTCTTTATGATATTGTCCACACACCTGGAGTTGCTGCCGATTTGTCACACATTGACACAGCCAGTAAAGTTGTTGGATACAATGGACCTGAAAACTTGGAAAAAGCATTGAAAGGCAAGTCGGAATATTGATAATAATAAAAGGTTGCAATTGTTTATTGATGTTTTTGATCTTTCAGATGCTGACATTGTCATAATCCCAGCTGGTGTTCCACGCAAACCTGGTATGACTCGTGATGATCTCTTCAACACGAATGCATCAATTGTTCGTGATTTGGCTGCTGGATGTGCTAAGGCTTGTCCAAAAGCTCTTATTGGAATCATTTCCAACCCAGTCAACTCTACTGTACCAATTGCATGTGAAACCCTTGCAAAGGCTGGAGTTTTAGATCCAAAACGTGTTTTCGGTGTTTCCACTTTAGACGTTGTTCGTGCTAATGCGTTTATTGGTGAAGCTGCTGGTGTTGATCCACAACAAGTTAATTTGCCAGTTATTGGTGGTCATTCTGGAGTTACCATTATGCCTTTGCTATCACAATGCAAACCGGCAGTAAACTTCTCACAAGACAAAATTAAAGCTCTTACTGAGCGCATCCAAGAAGCAGGCACAGAGGTCGTTAAAGCTAAAGCTGGAGCTGGTTCCGCAACTTTATCAATGGCTTATGCAGGTGCTCGTTTTGCCATTTCCTTAATTCGTGCAATGCGTGGCGAATCAAATATCATTGAATGCGCTTATGTACGATCAGATGTCACTGAAGCTAAATACTTTGCAACACCACTCATTTTGGGAAAGAATGGAATCGAAAAGAACTTGGGATATGGAACTTTAAATGCTTTTGAACAGGAGCTTTTAGCCAACGCTTTGCCTGAGCTCAAGAAGAACATCCAAAAGGGAGAAGATTTCGTCAATAAGAATTAAAGTTATAAATAAATGTTTAATTTAAAATCTGCCCATTTCTTTGAAATTGGAAAGTTTACAAATTTGAGACATTCTTCCTCTATGATTGTTCACAAAGTTTTATTTATGTTAGTTCCACGAGATATTTCGCTATCAATCATTGATACTTAGAGCAAACCGCGCTTAGAAAAAATATGTATTTAAAACTTTGTGCAATGTCTTAAGCGGAGCCCATTTGTTACTCAGTTTTAAGATAATGAAAATAAATCAAGAGAAATCTGGTCATGAAATGAGTTTCAAGTCTAATGTTCAATGATAAAAATGAATTCTTTCTTTTGGTAGAAGATCAACAATTACGTACTGAAACAAAGTTGGATTAATGAAAGAAAATGAAAATGATAATGATTTCGACCTGCACGTGCCGTAACGTCATTCTTATCGTTACAACTTTGTTTTGATTTTAATTGCTTTAATTTTGATTTTTCAATGAGCGATTCCATTGAATAACATTGAATCCATTACCATAAGTTCAACAAGGGGTTAAACATAACATGAAAGGTATTTGTTGATATCACATGTGACCTTCGATAAAAAGCTTAACTAAATGAAGGTCGGATTTTCTTTTCGTCAGGTATCACTTACATAAATTGTCGAAGTTATCAGTTCTTTTAAATTTTAAAACCTTTTCTTTATCTGTACGATTAAAAGATATCAAACACAAGACACAATAATAATTTTTCTTTTCAAATGTTTGTTCAAGTATTTATGTTACTTATTGACATTTTATTTATTGAGTAAATATTTCCAATTCTTATCTTTTGAGTGGAAAAATATTTTGCACACCAATTTCTTATCTTTTTAGTGTTATTTATGCATCGAATTTAGTTAAAAGCTCAAATTGTTTTGAATTTTTAACAATCAATATGAAACCATTTAACACGAATCAGATGTCATCTTCACAAAATATTCATCGAATGTTTTCTATTTGTCTGGCAACAAAGCAAGGAATTTAAATTTAAATTGGAAATTTTTAATTATTCCCGTTCGTTCAATGAACTAGAATGAATTGGAACAAGTTTTTGATTCTTTATGAAGAACTGTCAATACGAATCTAAAAGAGTTTTTTAAAATTCTCTGAAAAAATCCTTTTAACATGCTTACATTAATGTATTTAGCACGTAATTTAACATAATTCTTAAAAGTTACTTAATAGGCTATTAAAGTAATTTAAAAGGAAATGCCCGACACTTACGATTGCTTTTGGGAAAATGGTATCAATTGTCACTTATTGACAATTAATTTATTATATGAGAAATATTTTATTCCAATTTCCTTTTTTAACATTTGTGTCAGTGAAGCAATAATCAAGATGAAGACTATCCCAAATAATAAGTTAAAAAAGTCATATCTGATTTTCATCCAAACAAAATTTACGTACATTCCCATTTGTATTGTCAATAACTTAAAGTTTTCTGAAAAATTCAGTAGCTCGGTTCACCTTTCCCTTATTTTAAATACATGAATAAATAAATAGTTAACAAATTTTATAATTAGCATTAGGCTCTAAGGTTGGGTATTAAGTATAAAATAAGTCGAAATTTCTATTCACGGCTCATATCTAGTTTTGATATCTACCTAGTTGGTGCCTCTAAAGTGACAAACTGTGCAAGGATTACTTCAAGTTTTTATAAATTGAATATAGAGAATTGTGAAGAAAGTGAAAATTAAACAATTAGAGCCTAAAAAATTAAAAGGTCTGAGAAAAATATTATAAAATTAAAGCTCGAAAAGAAGCTTCACGTGAAAACTCAGGAAAAAAAATAAAAATAAAAAATGACATCAAATTATCAGCGACGTGTGTTGACAAAAGCAACTATTTCTGATCCTCAAGATGAGATCGTCATTTCGGGAGTTGCTGGAAGATTCCCGAATTCAAATAACGTGGCTGATTTTGCTTCTAACCTTTATAATAAGGTTGACATGGTTGATGATGATGAAAGACGATGGCGTCATACGTTCCCGGAGATGCCTCGAAGATACGGAAAAGTGAATAATCTTGAAAAGTTTGATGCATTTTTCTTTTCGGTTCATCATCGTCAAGCCAATACAATGGATCCTCAATGTCGTATGCTTTTGGAACATTCTTACGAAGCTATTTTGGATGCTGGTGTTAATCCGAAAAGCTTGCGTGAAAGTCGTACGGGAGTGTTCATGGGCTGTTGCTTTGCAGAGTCTGAAGAAACAATGTTTTATGGAAAAATGATTAAGGATGGTTTAGGTCTTACTGGGTTCGTGTAATTTAATGAAGAAAGCTTCAAAAATGTTTATTCGATTTTTTTAAAGGTCAAGTCGTGCTATGCTTGCTAATCGAGTGTCGTTTGCTTTAGGTTTACAAGGTCCAAGTTTTATGATTGACACGGCTTGTAGTTCTTCAATGTATGCTTTGGATTGTGCATTTAATGCTATAAGATTAGGTGAATGTGATGCAGCTCTTGTGGGTGGAACTAATTTAATACTGCATCCTAATGTCTCTTTACAATTTTCAAGGTATTTAAATAAATTAATTATTCATTACAATGACGTATAAAAGAATTTGAATAAAATTTTATTTAGACTTGGAGTTTTGTCAAAGGATGGATTTTGTCGTCCATTCGATAAAGACGCTGCTGGTTATACAAGGGCTGAAGCTGTTTGCGTTGTGTTCCTTCAGAAAGCAAAAGATGCTAAGCGAATTTACGCAAATTTTGTGTACAGTAAAACTAATAATGATGGATTTAAAAAGGAAGGAATTACATATCCATCGGGACAAACACAAATTAATCTTATTAAAGAGTTCTATGAAGATTTACGAATGAATCCAAGCACTATTGATTTCATTGAATCGCATAGTACTGGCACAAAAGTTGGTGATCCCGAAGAATGTCACACTTTAGATGAAATATTCTGCAAAGGTAGAAATGGAAAGCCACTTTTAGTTGGTTCAGTTAAATCGAATATGGGTCATTCGGAAGCAACGTCAGGCGTTTGCTCAGTCGCCAAAGTTATCATAACGTTTGAAAACAATTTGATACCTCCAAATATTCACTTTACAGAAGGCCGACCAGGCATTCCTGCGTTGGAATCGGGTCGTCTTGAAGTCGTGTCTGAGCCTAAAGAATTCACTGGTTCTAGTATTTGTGTAAATTCATTTGGATTTGGTGGTGGAAACGCCCACGCTCTATTCCGAAGAAATGAAAAGGAAAAAATAAATAAAGGAATTCCAAATGATAGTTTGCCAAGACTTGTAGTTTGGAGTGGACGTACTGAAGAAGCCATCAGTTCCATTTTGGATAGTATAACAAAGCAAGCACTCGATGCTGAATATGTCGGTTTACTTCAAGGAATCCAAACAGTTTCAGTTTCTGCAAATACTTATCGCGGTTATGGTGTTTACAAGCAGGAAGGGTCAGAAAACAACGCTTTGTGTATCTCACAACACATCCAACATTTCGATGGAATCAAACGACCAATTGTGTGGGTTTACAGTGGCATGGGATCTCAATGGTGCGGCATGGGACGAGAATTAATGCAGATTCCAATTTTCGCAGATGCCATTGATAAATGTCATGAGATTTTAGCTCAACGCGGTTTGAATCTCAAAGAAATCATCACATCGGATGATCCAAAAATGTTTGATAACATTCTTCATTCATTTGTTGGTATCGCAGCCATTCAAATTGGTCTCACTGATATTCTGAAGACTCTTGGAATGGAACCAGATCACATCATTGGTCATTCTGTGGGAGAACTTGGTTGTGCTTATGCTGATGGTTGCATCACAGCTGAAGAAATGATTTTGTCGTCATATTCACGCGGCATGGCGAGTATCGAAACGAAAACAGTTTTCGGATCAATGGCAGCTGTTGGAATTGGTTATAACAAATTGAAGACAATGATTCCTGATGGTATTGAGATTGCATGTCACAACAGTGCTGATTCAAGCACAATTTCAGGACCAGCTGAAAATGTTGCAGCATTTGTGGAACAATTAAAGAAGGAAAATTATTTCGCTCGTGAAGTTGCATGTTCAAATATTCCTTATCACAGCAGTTACATCTCTGAAATGGGACCAAAACTTCTTGCACGATTAAGTGAAGTGATAAAGGAACCTAAAAAGCGATCGCCAAAATGGATTAGTTCAAGTGTAGCTAAATCGAAATGGGATTCCGTTGAAGCCCAATATTCAACAGCACTTTACCACACAAATAATTTACTTGGATCAGTTCTCTTCGAAGAAGCATCGGAATTGTTGCCAAAAGATGCTTTAACTATTGAGATTGCCCCTCATGGCCTTCTCCAAGCAATAATGAAACGAACACTTCCTGATGCTGTTAACATTGCCTTAACAAAACGAGGCAATAAAGAAAATTCGATTTTCCTTATCAATGCACTTGGAAGAATTTTCGAGAATGGTGTTGATATGGACGTTACTAAACTTTATCCACCAATTCAATATCCAGTGTCAAGAGGTACACCAATGCTTTCACCACTCATTAAATGGGAGCATAGTGAAGATCATTTCGTCACAAGATATGAAGCCAAAGCTTCAAAGAGTGAACGTGAATATACAATTAATATCAGTGATCAAGAATATGATTTCATTGCTGGGCACACCATTGATGGACGAGTTTTGTTCCCAGCGACGGGATATTTGTATCTCGTTTGGAATGCTTGTGCTGATATGAATCGAGTTTTGATTGACCAATGCGATGTGGAATTTGAAGATGTCAAATTCTTGAGAGCAACAGCTTTGGCAAGAAATCAAGACATTGAATTCTCAGTTACAATTCACAAAGGTACTGGAAGATTCGAAATCACTGAAGGTTTGAATGCTATTGTAACTGGCTTCGTCAAAACATCAACTGAAAAATTAGTTTCCTTATCTACTCCAGAAGATGATTCGAATGTTCCAATTCTTAGTAATCGCGATTTTTATAAAGAACTTCGTCTTCGTGGTTATCATTACAATGGTCTTTTCCGTTCAGTTGTTTGTGCAAAGGCAAACGGTGAAAACGGAAAGATTAACTGGGCAAATAATTGGATTCCTTTCTTAGATTGCATGTTGCAAATGCAAATAATAGGAAAAGATACGAGAGCATTGATGTTGCCAACGGGTATAAGGCGAATGATCATTAAACCTCAAGAACATAAGCAATTTATTGATCAGATTGAGGGTGAAGAAAAACTATTGGATATCGTCGGTTCATGTAGTAAGAATATTATTCGTTGTGGTGGAGTAGAAATTCGTGGGCTTGGCGCAAGCTTCGTCAGTCGTAGAAGACCTCCAGGTGTTCCCGTTCTTGAATCTTATCAATTCATTCCACATATATCGACTCCAATGCTTAGCAAGATCAACACAGCTCGTTTCTGTGTACAACTCGTTTTAGAAAACAATCCAATGGCGAAAGTTGTTCTTGTTGAGGTTGACGGAAATGATGAGAAAGAACCTTTGATCGAATATTTTGGACAAGCTTTAGGAGATCTCCCACTGGTCACAAACGAACTTAATTATTTGAGTTCAAGGGCTATTGAATTGGAAACTGTGACCGTTCAAGATTGTTCATTGTCAACATTTAGCAATGTGAATATCGTAATTAAATCGAATTTACTTTTCGATACTCAGCTTTTGAAGGAATGTTCGGAACAGTTGAGTGAAGGCGGATATGTCGTTTCAAGAGAACAATTAACAGCTGAAAATATTTTAAACATTTTGATTCCCGAGAATTTCCAACTTCTCGCAATTCTTCCATCAGACGATGAAACTTGCGTTCTTCTTCAATATAATAAAAGTGAATTGGAAATTCCTACGAAATCTGTCAAAGTCACAAATGAAAATTATGATTGGATTGAAGAACTTAGGGAATTGGTAAAAATAGGACCAGTCGTAGCATATTCTGAGAATGAAAAGATTTCTGGCATTATCGGTCTTGTAAATTGCATAAGAAAAGAACCAAATGGTTTGAACCTTAAATGCGTTTTTATTGACGATCATCGAGCTCCACCATTTAATATTGAAGAGAAGTTTTACAAGTCACATTTGCGTAAAGGTCTTGCAATAAATGTTTTTAGAAATGGACAGTGGGGTAGCTACAGACACACATTGCTCCAACAAGAGAAAATCTTAAGTTCAAGAAATGATCATTGCTTCGTCAATAGTTTAACTCGTGGTGATTTATCATCATTGACTTGGCTTGAAGGACCTCATAATCTTGGTCAACCGAAAGGAGTTATCGTCAAAACGCAATACATTTCTCTGAACTTCCGTGATGTCATGTTGGCGACAGGCAAGTTGGCTGCTGAAACTTGTGGATCATCAATTGGACGAATGGATCAGTTATGCATTCTTGGATTAGAATATTCTGGAATAGCTCCAAATAATCGTCGTGTCATGGGAATGATTAATACGGGATCACTTGCAACTTACATTGAATGTGATGAACCTTTACTTTGGGATTGTCCAGATAATTGGACTCTTGAAGAAGCTGCAACTGTTCCAATTGTCTATGGAACTGTTTACACAGCTTTCTTTTTATCAATTCAAATTCAAAGTGGAAAGAAGATTCTCATCCATGCTGGAAGTGGTGGAGTTGGTCTCGCTGCTATTCGTGTTGCATTCGCTCATGGACTTGAAGTCTTTACAACTGTCAGCACTGAAGAGAAAAAACGATTTTTGCTTGACGAGTTCCCTCAATTGAAGGAAGAAAATATTGGAAATTCTCGTGACACATCATTCGAGGATTTGATCATGGAACGAACTGATGGTAAAGGCGTTGATTACGTGTTGAATTCGTTAGCTGATGAAAAACTTCAGGCATCCATTCGATGTCTAGGAAAAGGTGGAAAATTCTTAGAGATTGGAAAGTTCGATTTGGCAAATGATACAAAGATTGGTCTTGGAAACTTCCTTAAAGAATTGTCATTCAATTCAGTTTTGGTTGATAATTTGTTCGATGCATCTATCGAGGCCAGAATGGTAATTGAAAAAATATATATTAGGATTTGAAAGATATAAAAATTTAATTTTTAAAACTAAACAGAAACTGAAGAATCTCGTCGACAATGACATCAAGCGTGGCATTGTTAAACCACTCAAAAGAAATGTTTACAATGCAGAAAACATTGAACAAGCGATGCGTTTCCTTGCAAGTGGAAAGCATATCGGTAAAGTCATCTTAAAGGTCCGAGAGAACGAATCCGATCTTGCTACTTTGCCCATTTCGGTACTCCCACGCGTTTATTGTAGTCCCAATCTAACTTACATCATTCCTGGTGGACTTGGTGGCTTTGGATTGGAGCTCGCAGATTGGCTGGTTCTGAGAGGTTGCAGAAAGCTTGTGTTGAGTTCAAGTCGTGGAATCACCAAACAATATCAAGCTTATAGAATTAAGTAAGTAGAATGGAAATGACTTGAAATGAATTTTGTCATTTATGATTCCGATTTGACTTTAGGATTTGGGAATCTTATGGTGTTAAAGTTGCTGTAAATACATCTGACATCTCGACAAAGTCTGGCTGTGAACAATTGATTCGGGAATCAATGAAGTTGGGACCTGTGGGTGGAATCTTCAACTTGGCTGTGATACTTAAAGATGGCATTTTTGAGAATCAAGATGCTGAGAAGTTTATTGAATGTATGGCTCCGAAAGCTGTCGCCACGAAACACTTGGACGAGATTTCACGACAACTTTGTCCTGATCTTCATTATTTTGTCATCTTCTCAAGCGTGTCTTGTGGCAGAGGAAATGCTGGTCAAAGCAATTACGGAATGGCAAATTCTGTGATGGAACGAATCATTGAACATCGACATGCACTCGGCTTGCCAGCTAAAGCCATTCAATGGGGAGCTGTGGGTGAAGTTGGATTAGTTGCTGATATGCAGGAAGATAAATTGGACATGGAAATTGGTGGAACTTTACAGCAGAGAATCTCATCGTGTCTTGAAGAACTCGACCCACTGATGACTACTTCAGATCCACTCGTATCAAGTATGGTCGTCGCTGAAAAACGATATGCGTCTGGAGGAAAAGGAAACATTCTCGAAGCGATTATGAACATCATGTCAATCCGAGATATAAAATCACTTTCAATGGAAACTACTCTCTCTGAATTGGGGATGGATTCTTTGATGACGGTCGAGATACAGCAAACACTTGAACGTGATTACGATTTAGCAATTCCAGCACAGGAATTAAGATCAATGACTCTCGCACAACTTGTTAAATGTGCAAACAATAAAGATTTGATAGAGGAAGAAAAAATGAAGGCTGATTTCCAAAAAGTGCCAAAAGGTTTAGCAATGCTCTTGAGAAATGTCGGAGATGAAACTTACAGTGACCAGACAATTTTGAATCTTGAATCTGCATCGCGAAAGGGAATTAAAACATTGATAGTTCCAGGTATTGAAGGAATGGCTGGAAATGCTTGGTATATTCTAGCTAAAAGTCTCGATTGCCCTGTTTACATTCTACAATCACGTGACACATGGAACTGTTGTGATATCAGCAGTATTTATGAGAATGTGATCCAATATGTTCTCAATTTATTCGCTTCTGATGACAAGTTTGTGATTGTGGGATATTCGTTTGGTGCTTTATTGAGTTTCCTCATAGCACAAGAACTCGAAAGACGAGGAAAAGTTGGTAAACTTATATTTATTGACGGATCCCCGAAGTTCCTTAAAACATTGGCTTCTGAACATATGCCAGAGAACTACACTGATGAGACAATTCAGACAGCAGTTCTAGCTAACACAACAGCACTTATTTTCCCAGAAGAACTTGACGAAAAATTAAAAATTGTTCTCTCGGAACCTTCTTGGGAATCTCGACTTACAAAACTTGCTGACATATCTGGAGATAAGAAAATTTACAGCACAGAATATGGAATAATCCTTTTGAATGCTTTGGTCAACCGAATTAAACTTACGTTGAAATTAGATTTGGAGAAGTTTACGGTTCTGAACAAGACTTCAGTGACGCTTGTTAGACCAACAGAGTTTTCAGTAGTTGAGATCGAAGAAGACTATGGCTTGAGTTCACATTGTTCTGGCTCAGTTGACATTAAATTTATGGAAGGAAATCATATAACAGTCCTTGATAATCCCAAGCTTTTTGAGTTACTTAATTCCTACACATGTTAAAATTATTTTGTTCTGCACTGTCACGTCGCTCTTCCAATCTCTATCAACAATACTTATGAACTATACATTGAAAACAATTTTATGTTTTATGTTGTAATCACATCATGGTTATCAATAAGAAATAAAAAAAAGATTAATTGAAATTTTTGTGTCTTTAATTCTTCTTATACCTACTTACAGAATTATTTTACAAATTGAAATGTGAAAGTATTGAAGAATCAGCCTGAGGTAAAACGAACTGTTAAGATCAAATTTAAGTTTGGACTGAAAGATTTCCTGAATGTTAAAAAGTTGAAAATTATGAGTTGTTCCGGTCGTTAACTTGCGACTGCAGGCTATGCCGTCCTGACGTGAACTGAACTCGAACTCGCACTCGTACTCAATCCTACCGGTACATGAGAGACTTAATCATTAAATCAATAATAACTTTTACTTTTCCAGCTGCTGGAATCAAACTTCATGTTCACTTTTTCAAATATTAATTCAAAATCTTTGAGTCATTAAAGACAAGCGACAACGTTACACATTTCTGATTCATAATATGCTTCTGTTATTTTATATTTGCATCACAATAAGTAACATATTATTTAATCACATTTAAATTAAAACAAACAAATATCGATGCATGCAAATTGATTTGCACTTGAAATTTTTTTTGGAGGAAATAGGAACGAAGGGGTTAATATTTGAATTTATTTTTGATCATTAAGTAGCATAGTTAAACATGTACATTTTGATTTCATATTTGTTGTACTTATACATAATTGAATTTTAAGTTCCCCAAAATTACTATAAAAGCGAAAAACATTGCAAATTATTGGCATATCGAAAGTGATATTCCGAATTGCATTCTAAAATTAAAAGTGTGTGAATAATTTTTTTTGTTCTTTTAGTGATTTAAAACTTCAAGTGCGATAATTTTGGTTTTGGAATATATTTTTATAAAATCTAACTGATATAAGAAATATCATTAAAAATGCTATCGAAACAGCAGTGCAAAAATTCGCGTGCAAGATTTACTAGTGATGAAGACGAAATTGTGATTTCGGGAATTGCTGGGAGATTCCCGAACAGCAACAATGTTGCTGAGTTTGAATATAATCTTTATAATAAAATAGACATGGTTGATGATGCTGAGACTCGATGGCGTCATACCTTTCCTGACTGTCCGAAACGTTCGGGAAAACTGAATAATCTTAATAAGTTTGACACATCGTTTTTTGGTATTCATACTACTCAAGGTATGAAAATACTTCTTAATAATTTTCACTTAGAAAATTCAAATCTAATTTAATTTCTGTTAGCTGATTCGCTTGATCCACAATGCAGAACGCTTCTTGAACATTCTTACGAAGCTGTTTTAGATGCAGGAATAAATCCAAAAAGCCTTCGTGGAACTCGCACGGGAGTTTATATAGGATGTTGCTATTGTGAATCAGAAAAATTCTGGATTTATGACCACATAAATGATGGCATGGGGATTTCAGGGTAAGAAATTAATTATTTTATTCAAAGGCTTTAAATATATTTAGATAAATAAATGTTAATTTAGGAATAGTCGTGCGTTACTTGCGAATAGAATTTCTTTTTTCTTGGGACTTCAAGGACCGTCAATTACAATTGATAGCGCTTGCAGCAGTTCAATGTTTGCATTAGATGCAGCATTCTCTGCTTTACAAAGTGGCGAGTGTGAAGCTGCGTTTGTTGGTGGAGCCAACTTATTATTGCATCCATTTATGACAATTCAATTTATGAGGTGAACATTCGACTAACAATAAAGTAATTAAAATTTAACGCATTTTAATTCCGCAGACTTGGAGTGCTTGCAAAGAACGGATATTGTCGACCTTTCGATGTGAATGCAAATGGATTTACACGTGCCGAAGCAATAAATGTTCTGTTTTTACAGAAGAAACGAGATGCAAAGCGAATCTATGCAAATATTGTTTATTCTAAAACAAATTCAGATGGCTTTAAAAATGAAGGTCTTCATTATCCATCTGGGAAGATGCAAGCAAATTTATTGAAAGAATTTTACGAAGACATTAACATTCCACCAAGTTCAATAAATTATGTTGAAGCTCACAGCACAGGAACTGTTGTTGGAGATCCAGAAGAATGTGATGCACTTGAACAAGTGGTTTGTGCTGGTAGAGACAAGCCACTTCTTGTGGGTTCAGTAAAATCAAACATGGGACATTCTGAAGCATCATCAGGACTCTGTTCAATAACGAAAGTTATTATTGCTTTCGAAAATCAAACAATTCCCCCCAATATAAACTTTGAATCTCCAAGACGTGACATAAGTGCTTTAGTAGAGGGGAAATTAAAAGTTGTTGACGAAATAATGAAACTTGAAGGTCCTCTGGTTTGCATCAATTCATTTGGGTTCGGTGGTGCAAATGCTCATGCTTTGTTCAAAGCAAATCCAAAGGAAAAAGTTAATCGTGGTGTACCAAACGACAACATACCACGCTTGGTTGTGTGGAGCGGTCGAACTGAGGAAGCAGTCAGTTCCATTTTGGATAGCGTCCGCCAAAAGCCACTTGACGCTGAATACGTTGCTTTGTTACAAAATTGCCAAATCGATTCAATGCCTGCAAACATTTTTCGCGGTTACGGCGTTTACGTTCAGAAGAACGGAACTGAAAATGCAACATGTGTAAGTCAAGAAATCCAACATTATGCTGGAAATAGGCGTCCAATTGTGTGGGTTTACAGTGGCATGGGATCTCAATGGTGCGGCATGGGACGAGAATTAATGCAGATTCCAATTTTCGCAGATGCCATTGATAAATGTCATGAGATTTTAGCTCAACGCGGTTTGAATCTCAAAGAAATCATCACATCGGATGATCCAAAAATGTTTGATAACATTCTTCATTCATTTGTTGGTATCGCAGCCATTCAAATTGGTCTCACTGATATTCTGAAGACTCTTGGAATGGAACCAGATCACATCATTGGTCATTCTGTGGGAGAACTTGGTTGTGCTTATGCTGATGGTTGTTTTACTGCTGAAGAAATGATTTTGTCATCATATTCACGTGGTATGGCGAGTATCGAAACGAAAACGGTTTTCGGATCAATGGCAGCTGTTGGAATTGGTTATAATAAGTTGAAGACAATGATTCCCGATGGTATTGAGATTGCATGTCATAATAGTGCAGATTCAAGCACAATTTCGGGACCAGCTGAGCTCATTTCAAATTTCGTCGCTGAATTAGTGTCGAAAAATATTTTCGCTCGTGAAGTTGCATGTTCCAATATTCCATTTCATAGCAAATATATCGCAGAGATGGGACCGAAACTTCTTTCGAAGCTTAATGAAATTATTAAGAAACCAGTGAAACGATCTTCAAAGTGGATAAGTTCGAGCTTTCCTAACTCACGATGGAATGAAGAAAAAAGTCAATACTCGTCTGCCATTTATCACACAAACAATCTTTTGTCTCAAGTTCTCTTCGAAGAAGCATGTTCTATGCTACCAACCAATGGTTTAATAATTGAAATTGCACCACATGCGTTGCTGCAAGCAATTTTGAAGAGATCTTTCCCTGAAGCTGTTAATATTCCTTTGACAAGACGTGGACATAAACGTAATGACGAATTATTTTTCGATGCTATTGGAAAGTATGAATAAATTATTTAAATACTTTTAAATTCTCATTAATTTAAATTATTTTCATTCATAGAATTTATACAAATGGCTTCGAGTTTGATCTTCAAGCAGTTTATCCCAAAGTTGACTTTCCTGTTTCTCGAGGAACGCCAATGATTTCTCCCAAAATCAAATGGGACCATAGAGACGATTGGTTTGTGAGCAATTATCTTAATACTCAAAAGGAAAAATCAGCAGAACGTTTTGTGGAAATAAATATTTCTGATCACAAATTTACATACATTGCTGGACATTCAATTGACGGTAAATGATTGAAAACTATCTGGAAATGCGAAATAATTGTTAAATTTATCAATCGTGATGTAGGTCGTTGCTTATTTCCTGCCACTGGTTACATATTTTTAGCATGGGAAACATTCGCCATTACAAAAGGAAAACAATTCACGGAAATGCTTGTTGAGTTTGAAGATGTGAAGTTTTTAAGAGCGACGAGTCTAAGGAAAGATACGATTGTGGAATTTATGATTGTTATTCAACCAGGAACGGGAAGTTTTGAAATCAGTGAAGGAAGTTCAACTCTTGTAACAGGCGTGGTTAAAGAAGTGAAAAAAACTAATCAAGTGGAGATTGATAGAACCGATATTGATAAAAATCTCGCACCATTGCTTAAAAATCGAGATTTTTACAAAGAACTTCGTTTACGCGGTTATCACTACAGCGGTTTGTTTAGATCTATAACTGAAGCAAGAAGTGATGGTCTTTATGGTAAAGTCAAGTGGGACAACAATTGGGTAGCGTTTCTGGATTGTTTATTACAAATTTCTATTTTGGGAAAAGACACGAGATCGTTGGCACTTCCAACTTCTATTCAGAAACTTTCAATTAATCCCAAGATGCATTTGGATGCTATAAAAAGCTTTGGTGATGAGAAGGAAGCAATTTTTGAAGTCTTATCTTGTTCTGAATTAAAAACTATTCGTTGCAGTGGTATTGAAATTGTTAATTTACAAGTTAACATCGTTGGAAGACGAAAGCCACCCGGAATTCCTGTGTTAGAATCCTATAAGTTCATTCCCTATCATGAAACTTCGATTATGAAAACATCTGAAGCTGTGAGAACATTTGTGCAGTTAGCACTTGAAAACTTTCCAACAAATAAAGTGAAAGCAGTTGAAATTGATGGAATGAGAGAATCAATTCTTGAAGATATTCACAAATCTGTTGATGATTTGCCATTAGTCACTTCAGAGCTTTTATTTTTAACATCAAGAAGCCTCGAGGAGAACGACTTTGAATACTCGATAAAAAATGAAAAATTGTCATCACACAAGGGATGCTATGTAGTGATTTGTTCAAACATCATTCACGATAAAAAATTCTTTGAGAACGTCACATCAAGTTTAGGCTCAAAGGGCTTCGTAATATGTCGGGAGAATCACAAAGTTCAATTGAACACATTGGAATGTTCATCAAACTTTACATTAATCTCTTCAGTGAAATTGGATGATGAAACTTTATATCTGTTAAAATATTTAAAAGAACCTTCGTCACAAAAATCTTCAACGGTTATAAAAATAACCGAGAAAGATTTGAAATTTAGTTGGATCGAAGAAGTGAAACATTTAATGAAGTCAACTCATTTGGTGTTAGTTTCCCAAAATGAACCATACTCGGGAATCATTGGATTGGTGAATTGTTTGCGAAAGGAACCAGATGGAAGTGATATCAGCTGTGTCTTCATTGATAACATAAAAGCACCAAAGTTTGATATTACTGATAAATTTTATCAACAACAATTGAAACTTGAACTTGCAATCAATGTCTTCCGAAATGGTAAATGGGGAAGTTATCGTCATCTCTTGATTGATCAGGAGAATCAAGAAAGGCGTGTACTCGAACATTGTTACGTCAATTCTTTAGTTAAATCTGATTTGTCTTCATTGAAATGGATAAGCGGTCCTTTTAATTATTCAGAACCTTCTGGTGAACTTCTAAGGGTTCAGTTTGCTTCATTAAATTTCAAAGATGTTATGCTTGCTACTGGTAAACTTTCTTCAGAAGTTTTCATAGAAAACAGAATTGAACAAGAATGTATTCTTGGATTTGAATTCTCAGGCTTTACAAAAAACAATCGAAGAGTTATGGGAATGGTGACTTCTGCAGCTTTAGCAACTCACATCGAGATCGATGAGAACTTCTTATGGAATTGTCCCGATAATTGGACTCTTGAAGAAGCTGCAACGGTTCCAGTCGTTTATGGAACTGTCTACAGCGCATTTTTCTTGGTAATTCAAATTGCTAGTGGAAAGAAGATTCTCATCCATGCTGGAAGTGGCGGAGTTGGTCTCGCTGCTATTCGTGTTGCTTTCGCTTATGGACTTGAAGTTTTTACGACTGTCAGTACTGAAGAGAAGAAAAGATTTTTGCTTGACGAGTTTCCTCAATTGAAGGAAGAAAACATTGGAAATTCTCGTGACACATCATTCGAGAAAATGATTCTTAGAAAAACTAAAGGCAAGGGCGTTGATTATGTTCTCAATTCATTAGCCGATGATAAGCTTCAGGCATCAATCAGATGTCTTGGAATAGGCGGAAAATTCTTAGAAATTGGAAAGTTTGATATGGCAAATGATACGAAGATTGGTCTTGGAAACTTTTTAAATGAACTTTCGTTCCATGCTGTAATGCTTGAAAAACTTTTCAACGCTTCTAAGAAGGATAAATTGGTAAGATTTCCTTTTAACGTTATATTAGAAAATCGAAAAATGTAATTGTGTGAATTTATATTAGTTGCAAACTATAATTAAGTAATCTTAAATTTATTTCTTTTTAAAGATTTTGAGAAAATTATTAGATCGAGATTTAAAGTCAGGAATCATTAAACCTCTAAAAGCAAATATTTTCGAAGCAAATGAAGTAGAAAAAGCTTTCCGATATCTTGCGAGTGGAAAACATGTCGGTAAAGTCATCTTAAAGGTCCGAGAGAACGAATCCGATCTTGCTACGTTGCCTATTTCGGTACTCCCACGCGTTTATTGTAGTCCCAATCTAACTTACATCATTCCTGGTGGACTTGGTGGCTTTGGATTGGAGCTCGCAGATTGGCTGGTTCTGAGAGGTTGCAGAAAGCTTGTGTTGAGTTCAAGTCGTGGAATCACCAAACAATATCAAGCTTATAGAATTAAGTAAGTAGAATGGAAATGACTTGAAATGAATTTTGTCATTTATGATTCCGATTTGACTTTAGGATTTGGGAATCTTATGGTGTTAAAGTTGCTGTAAATACATCTGACATCTCGACAAAGTCTGGCTGTGAACAATTGATTCGGGAATCAATGAAGTTGGGACCTGTCGGCGGAATCTTCAACTTGGCTGTGATACTTAAAGATGGCATTTTTGAGAATCAAGATGCTGAGAAGTTTATTGAATGTATGGCTCCGAAAGCTGTCGCCACGAAACACTTGGACGAGATTTCACGACAACTTTGTCCTGATCTTCATTATTTTGTCATCTTCTCAAGCGTGTCTTGTGGCAGAGGAAATGCTGGTCAAAGCAATTACGGAATGGCAAATTCTGTGATGGAACGAATCATTGAACATCGACATGCACTCGGCTTGCCAGCTAAAGCCATTCAATGGGGAGCTGTGGGTGAAGTTGGATTAGTTGCTGATATGCAGGAAGATAAATTGGACATGGAAATTGGTGGAACTTTACAGCAGAGAATCTCATCGTGTCTTGAAGAACTCGACCCACTGATGGCTACTTCAGATCCACTCGTATCAAGTATGGTCGTTGCTGAAAAACGATATGCGTCTGGGGGAAAAGGAAACATTCTCGATGCTGTGATGAATATTATGGGTGTTCGTGACATTAAATCTGTTTCCCTTGAAACAACCTTAACTGAACTAGGGATGGATTCTTTAATGGCCGTTGAATTAAAGCAAATTTTTGAACGTGATTACGACATTTCGTTATCAACTCAGGAGCTTCGAGCTTTGAGTTTTATGAAGATCATGGAGTTTTCAAAGGAAAGCGAGGACTCAGAAAACAAGAAAATTTTTGAAGTTGAGGAAAACGACGACATTTTCAAAAGGATGTTGAGGTATTTTGGTGATGAAACTTACAGCGATCAAACAATTTTGTGTTTGAGTAGTGAGAAAACTTTTGATGAGTCAAGTTGTCTCGGACTATTGATACCAGGAATTGAGGGAATGGGTGGACATTTATTGTATAAAATATTAAAAGAAGTTGATTTTCCAATCAGTCTTCTCCAACTTAAGAAAACTTCGCTTTCGACATCATTTTCTGAAATTGTTGAACTTATTAAGGAAGTGAGTACATGACGAAGTTAACGCAAAATAAATTGATGATTAAATAATTTCATAACATTTTTCAGGATGTTCTCTTATATTACAAGGGTCGAAAAACATTTCACTTGATCGCTCATTCTTTTGGATCATGCATCGCATTAATGTTAATAGAATTACTAGAAAGTAAAGGCATGACTGGTCATGTGACAATGATTGATGGTTCTCCATTACTTATGAAAAGACTTTTACATGATCAATATAAAGACAAAACAGATGAAGGAATTGAAAATACAATCAGTCACAACATTTTTTCGATTGGATTTACAAACCTTGAAGATGAAGCTTTAAAAAAGATCAGCACAGTCTCCAGATGGGATGAAAAGATCAAAATATTGGCTCAGTTTAAAGGAGTTGATAAACTTTATAGCAATGAATACGTCAACGTGATGATGAGAGGTCTAATAAATAGAATCAAAATTATTTTGAATCTCGATATCAAAAGTTTTGGTACTTACACTGCCACTGCAGCTCTCATTCGATCGACAATTTCAACTGTCGCTAACATTGATGATAAATATGATCTTCAAAACAACTTCGAGAAGAATGTTGATTTGTTATTTTTGGAAGGAACTCATTTTGAGATATTGGAAAGTCAGAGTCTCATAGATATTTTGAATAAATTTAATTCTCTGATTGTAAATGAATAACTTTCAAAAAACTCGGAAGTAATTTCATTCTAAAAGAATGGAATTCATTATTTTAATGTTACGACTTTGTTAAGGTTGTAAACACATTCAAAAATAATGAATAAATAAAATATCAATGAAATATCAAAAATTCTCCTTTTTAAATCATTTTAATGTCTGAAATTTGTGACAACATAAACCAAAAGCTTTAATTATGATTGCATCTTATATATTTTTATTATCTGCTATTAAAACTCCCACAAAAACCTCCCAAATAATTATTTTGTAATTAAAATTGCTTTTTAAATAGAATAATGTTTCTTAAAGGAACGATTGGCCTCCAATGCAGGATCTAATTCGTTGATGATTTGAATTAATTTTGGATTTTCCAACATTGTAAGATGATTTCCTTCAATGAATCTTACATTAGCTGCTCCACGAATCATTTTGTTAATGCCATAATCTTCATCTAAATCTACAATCGACAGCTCTGTTGGTCTCACAAGTGTTACAGGTGATCTTACTAACTGACTCGTGTCTGGTTTGTATTCAATGACCATTTTAATTCTTTGGAAAAGACAATTCGCCATAGCTCTAAGATATTCAGTTGAATAAAGATATTGGTCGGTTGACAATTCGACGACTCTTTGAACTCGAGAATCCCATGTGGGACATTTCACCATTATTTCGTCGACATCGATCTTTTCTTCCGGATAAACCGTACGTAAAACTCCACTTATCAACACTCTTTGTACTGCTTCATCTGAGTGAGTTGATGGCATTTGATCAACAACTAACTTCTTTAAGAATGATGGTGCTCCATCAATTAAAACTATTTGCCCCCTCAAACCTTTATTTTCAAACATCTTTGCTAATTCCATTGTGATTAAAGCACCAAATGAGTAACCAACTATGTAATAATGATCCTTTCCTTTATTGAAAACTTGTTGTTGAACGTCATCGAAGATAGAATTTGTGATTTCTTGAATTGAAAAAGCATCTTTCGTATTCATTATTTGAAGCATATATGCTGGTAACGCCAACGAGTTGGCAACTCTGAAAATCAATTCAAATTGAATTATTATACTTCTTAACAATTATAAGGATTACTTACTTTCGCCATGCATTTCCTGCAACACCCTCAATGCCAGGAACTAATAAGACACACGATGTATTCTTTGTATTATTTTCTTGACTCATCAACCTCAATATTGTCTGATCAGAAGTCTTTTCATCTCCCAAATTACGTAACATAAGTTCAACTCCAACTGGAACATCATCAGTGGCAAACTTAACTTTAACATTGTCAGGATCTTGAGACTCATTTGAGAGTGTCAATTCCTGTAGCTTCATGAAAGTGAGAGACCTCAAATCTTGTGGTGACAAGAATAATTCATATTCTCTCTCCAACATTTGTCTAATCTCTACAGCCATTAGAGAATCCATTCCAATTTCAGATAATGTTGCATCCATTGATACAGATTTGATATCTCGTATAGACATGATGTTCATTACTGATTCGATTACACTCATTCCAGCACCAACACCAACACGTTTTTCAGCAACGACCATACTTCCAATAACTGGATAATTTGAAGATATTAATGGATCGAGTTCTTCAAGACACGATGATATTCTCTGCTGTAAAGTTCCACCAATTTCCATGTCCAATTTATCTTCCTGCATATCAGCAACTAATCCAACTTCACCCACAGCTCCCCATTGAATGGCTTTAGCTGGCAAGCCGAGTGCATGTCGATGTTCAATGATTCGTTCCATCACAGAATTTGCCATTCCGTAATTGCTTTGACCGGCATTTCCTCTGCCACAAGACACGCTTGAGAAGATGACAAAATAATGAAGATCAGGACAAAGTTGTCGTGAAATCTCGTCCAAGTGTTTCGTGGCGACAGCTTTCGGAGCCATACATTCAATAAACTTCTCAGCATCTTGATTCTCAAAAATGCCATCTTTAAGTATCACAGCCAAGTTGAAGATTCCACCCACAGGTCCCAACTTCATTGATTCCCGAATCAATTGTTCACAGCCAGACTTTGTCGAGATGTCAGATGTATTTACAGCAACTTTAACACCATAAGATTCCCAAATCCTAAAGTCAAATCGGAATCATAAATGACAAAATTCATTTCAAGTCATTTCCATTCTACTTACTTAATTCTATAAGCTTGATATTGTTTGGTGATTCCACGACTTGAACTCAACACAAGCTTTCTGCAACCTCTCAGAACCAGCCAATCTGCGAGCTCCAATCCAAAGCCACCAAGTCCACCAGGAATGATGTAAGTTAGACTGGGACTACAATAGGATCGTGGGACTACAGAAATGGGCAAAGTAGCAAGATCGGATTCGTTCTCTCGGACCTTTAAGATGACTTTTCCAACATGTTTTCCACTTGCAAGATATCGGAAAGCTTTCTCGATATCTTGTGCATCAAACACTGTTGTCTTGAGTGGCTTAATGATTCCTTTAGCGATATCATTTTCGACCAATCTTTGAAGTACCTGAATAAGTAAAGAAAGCCAGATATTAGAAATATGTTGAATTTAGTCATAACAGTTATCACTTACAAGTTTGTCTTTGGGACTTGCGTGGAAAAGATTATCAACGAGTACAGCGTTGAAAGAAATTTCTTTAAGGAAGTTTCCAAGACCAATCTTCGTATCATTTGCCAAATCAAACTTTCCGATCTCTAAGAATTTTCCACCTTTTCCAAGACATCTAATGGATGCCTGAAGTTTCTCATCAGCCAATGAATTCAACACGTAATCAACGCCTTTACCATCAGTTCGTTCAATAATCAAATCTTCAAATGATGTGTCACGAGAATTTCCAATGTTTGCTTCCTTCAATTCAGGAAACTCGTTAAGCAAAAATCTTTTTTTCTCTTCAGTACTGACAGTCGTAAAGACTTCAAGTCCATAAGCGAATGCAACACGAATAGCAGCGAGACCAACTCCACCACTTCCAGCATGGATGAGAATCGTTTTACCACTTACAATCTGTGTTGTTAAGAAAAAGGCGCTGTAGACAGTTCCATAAACAACTGGAATCGTTGCAGCTTCTTCAAGAGTCCATTGTTCAGGACAATCCCATAATAAAGTATCGTCAGCTTCAATGTGAGTTGCTAAAGCTCCAGAAATCACCATTCCCATAACTCTTCGGTTATTTTCAGTATGACCAGAGAACTCAAATCCAAGAATACAAAGTTGATCCAATCTTCCAGAACCAAAAACTTCAGCTGTTAGCTTACCAGTAGCAAGCATGACGTCTCGGAAATTTAGTGAAGCATATTGCAGTCTCACCAAGTCTCCTTTTGGTTTTCCATGGTTGTATGGACCATGCAACCATGTCATTGATGATAAGTCTCCCCGAGTAAGGCAATTTGCATAGCAATGATCGACACGTCGTCCATTTTCTTTAACCTGCTTTAACAAAAAGTGCTTGTAGCTTCCCCACTGACCATTCTTAAAGATATTTATTGCAAGGCCTTGCTGCAGATGCGTCTTGTAGAATTGATGTTCAAGATCGAATGGTGGAGCTCGATGATCGTCAATAAAAACGCATTTAAGGTTCAATCCGTTTGGTTCTTTTCTTATGCAATTAACAAGACCTACAATTCCGGATAATTCTTCCTTTTCTGAATATGCCAAAACCGGACCAGCTTTAATTGCTTCTTTCAATTCTTCCACCCACTCGAAAGATGTTGATGATACTTTAACAATTTGTTGATGATTGTTCACTTTATTCTTGTGACATTGAAGCATCACAACAGTTTCATCTTCAGTTGGTACAATGGCAATGAGCTGATATTCTTGCGGAAGTTGATTTAAGAATTTTAATTTGATATCATTTGGTTCTCTGGATATTAAAAATCCACCTTTACAAATATATTGAACTGCATATTCAAGGAATTGCTGATCGCCAAGACAATTGGATCGCAAAACAAATAAGCAATTTTTAAATGCCGCGAGTTTTCTGTCTTCAACGTTGATGTTCCCAATTTTAACATCTCTTGAGGTGAGATAATTTATTTCACTTGTCACAAGAGGAAGATCACCCATAGCTTGAGCAAAATATTCACTGAGAATATCTTTTTTATCATTGGAATCAATTTCAACTGAAAGCACTTTGTGGGTCGGAACGTTTTCAAGTCCCAGTTGAACAAAAAATCTTGACATTTCATCTTTTGATAAGAAAGGTGTTGGAAGATGTGGAACAAATTGACAAGTCTCTAAAACCGGTACACCAGGTGGACGTCTTCGATTCACTGGACTTGCTTGCAAACCTCTAATTTCAACTCCACCACTTCGTAAGATTTTCAGATTTTTACACGTGAAGACATCCAAAGTAATATTTTCATTGTCAAAGTCCAACACCATTTCCTTATGTATTTTTGGGTTTATCAAAAGCTTTTGAATGCCAGTTGGTAGTAACAGCCCTCGACTGTCTTGTCCTACAATGTGAATTTGCAGCAGACAATCCATAAATGCAACCCAATTAGAATTCCACTTCACTTTTCCTACTAAGCCATCACCTCGAGCTTCTTCAACAGATCTGAAAAGTCCATTGTAGTGATAACCTCGAAGCCTAAGTTCTTTATAAAAGTCTCTGGTGGGTAATGTTGGATATCCATTATCTTTTGGTGGCTTAATCTCAGATAACTTTAAATTTTCTACGACTTTAATGAAACCAGTTACAAGCACACTAGAACCTTCAGTGATTTCAAATCTTCCCGATCCTGGTTGAATCATAATCGTGAATTCAACATCTTGATTTTTAGGAAGTGCAGTAGCACGAATGAATTTCACATCTTCAAACTCAATGCAAAGTTCAAAGAAAAACACTCCCATCATTAATCCCATGGTTTCCCAAACCAAATGTAAATATGCTGTGGCTGGGAAAAGAATTCGACCATCAATTGTATGTCCACTCATATACTCAAATTCTTGATCTCCCAAATTCATGACAACGTGTCGTTCACCACTTCGATTTGACTTTTGACTTTCGAATTTTGTGACGAACCAATCTTCGCTGTGTTCCCATTTGATAAGTGGAGAAATCATTGGAGTGCCACGAGAAACAGGAAAGTCTACTGGTGGATAAAGTTTGCTGATATCAAGATCAATTCCGTGTTCATAAAGAGTTCCAAGTGCACTTAAGAACAATGTCGTATTGCTTTTGTTCTCCCGTTTTGTGAGTCCAACATGAACTGCTTCAGGTATTGATTTCCGTAATATAGCTTGAAGTAAACTATGTGGTGCAATTTCAACTGTCAAAGCATTTCGGGGTAATAAAGCTGATGTTTCTTCAAACAAAACTGAACTCAAGAGATTATTAGTGTGATAGTGTGCTGATGAATATTGTGTTTCAACCGAATCCCAACGAATCTTAGGAACACTTGAACTAAGCCATTTTGATGAACGTTTCTTGGGATGCTTAATGACTTCAGTAAGTCTTCCTAAAAGTCTCGGCCCCATCTCAGCAATGTATTTGCTGTGATAAGGAATGTTCGAACACTGAACTTCCTTAGCGAAAATGTTCTTTGATTTGAGTTCTTTAACAAAGTTAGTAATGTTGTCGGCTGGTCCCGAAATTGTGCACGAATCAGCACTATTATGGCATGCAATTTCAATACCATCAGGAACCATTGTTCTCAGCTTTCTATACCCCATTCCAACAGCTGCCATTGATCCGTACACAACCTTTGTTTCGATACTCGCCATGCCACGTGAATATGATGACAAAATCATTTCTTCAGCAGTAAAACAACCATCAGCATAAGCACAACCAAGTTCTCCCACAGAATGACCAATGATGTGATCTGGTTCCATTCCAAGAGTCTTCAGAATATCAGTGAGACCAATTTGAATGGCTGCGATACCAACAAATGAATGAAGAATGTTATCAAACATTTTTGGATCATCCGATGTGATGATTTCTTTGAGATTCAAACCGCGTTGAGCTAAAATCTCATGACATTTTTCGATCGATTCGGAAAATAATGGAATCTGCATTAAATCTCGTCCCATGCCGCACCATTGAGATCCCATCCCACTGTAAACCCACACAATTGGACGCTTGAATCCAGTAAAATGTTTCACATCACGACTTAAACAAGTTGCATTTTCGGATGGATCTTTTTGTGCAAACACTCCATAACCGCGATAAATGTTAGCAGGTGCAGACTCTCCAGTCACACAACTGTGAAGTAAGCCAACATATTCTGCATCAAGTGGTTGTTTCGTGACGCTATCAACAATTAAATTAACAGCTTCTTCAGTTCGTCCACTCCACACGACGAGTCTTGGTAAATTATCGCTTGGAATTCCTTTATTTATTTTATCTTTAAGATTTGCTTTAAAAAGTGCATGTGCATTTCCACCTCCAAATCCAAATGAGTTAATGCTAATTAAAGGTCCTTTTAATTCTTCTGGGTCTGCCACCACTCTTAATCTACCCGACTCTAACGACTCAAGTCCCGGTCGAATTTCCACGAAATTTATATTCGGCGGAATTAATTTCTTTTCGAAAGCAAGAATAACTTTTGCAATTGAACACGCACCCGAAGTTGACTCTGAATGGCCCATGTTTGATTTGACCGAGCCAACCGGAAGTGGTTTGTCTCTTCCGGTACAAAAAACAACATCAAGAGCTCGACATTCTTCAGGGTCACCAACAACAGTTCCTGTGCTGTGAGCTTCCACAAAATCCACTGAACTAGGGAGAATGTTTATGTCTTCGTAAAATTCCTTAAGAAGTTTCATTTGCATTTTTCCTGATGGATAAGTAATGCCTTCTTCCTTATGTCCATCACAATTTGTCTTTGAATATAACAAATTTGAATAGATTCGTTTTGAGTTTTTAGCCTTTTGCAGATATAAAACACAAATTGCTTCAGCTCTTGTGTAACCAGTTGCATCCTTATCAAAAGGTCGGCAATATCCATTGGGAGCAAGTACACCAAGTCTTTGTTTTAAGAGAAATTATAGCCTTTCAAAAAAGAAATGAATAAATTTTTACCTTGCAAATTGCAACGTCACATAAGGATGAAGCAACAAGTTTGATCCTCCAACCAATGCTGCGTCACATTCTCCACTTCGAATGGCATTAAAAGCACAATCTAATGCATACATTGAAGAACTGCATGCAGTGTCTAATAGAAATGACGGCCCAGTCAAACCCAACGTGAATGAAATTCTATTCGCTAACATAGCACGACTGCAACTGTTGGTGGAAATTATTAGTTTTGCATAAATTTAATGGATTTCATAAATGCGTTAAGGTCATGAAGAAGTTTCTATTTTTACCCAGTTATACCGAAACCACCAGTTGAAACTTTTTCGTAGAACCAAGTTTTTTCCGATTCAGCAAAGCAAGCACCTATAAAAACACCCGTTCGACTTCCACGTAAAGTCTTTGGATTAATTCCTGCATCAAGAACAGCTTCATAAGCGTGCTCTAAAAGCATACGACATTGCGGATCCATTGTATGACTATTTGGGATAAATGATTAAAGGTAATCAAGATTTTTTGAATCATTTTATAAGTTACCTTTGTTTGAAATGGACTCCAAAGAAGGTCGCATCGAATTTCTCCAAATTACTAACTTTTCCCATTCTCTTCGGAATTTCTGGATTAGTATGCCGCCATCGTCTTTCATCATCATCAACCATGTCAACCTTATTATAAAGGTTGTGAGCAAAATCATGCATGTTATTTGAACTCGGAAATCTTCCAGAAATTCCCGATATGACGATTTCATCTTCAGGCGTTAATGGATAAACACGAGAAAATAATTTCATTTGTTCACGAGGAGGGCTTCGATCCATATCAGGCAAAGCACAAGAAAGTTTCTTTTCTTTTTTCACCTTTTGATTTTTATTATTCACAATTTTTCACTTTGTTGATTGAATATTTTTCCACTTTAAAAATTAAAAAACAAAATTTAAGAAGGCTTTTAATCGTACTTTTCACTCTTTCTAGGAATTCCACACTTTTAGGAGTTAAAATAATAACTGAAATTATTGCAACCGATGCAGCCTTTTTTATAGTCAACTCATTTGCATTTTCTTTATTAAACATTATTTTTTTAGGAATAGCTAAAAAATTTGAATAAATGACAATGAATTATTAATGCTTTCAATCAAAAATTATGCAAGAATTATGCTGTTCCGTTGAATTCTCACATGTTTAAACTCAATTGTATTTATTGTGGATTTTATTTTGTCGTTCTTTAATTGTGAACGTTTTGAAACTTACCTACCGCAAGACAAGTTATATCATCTTTTGCTGTCAAGTCTTTTTGTCAAAATGAGAGTTGTAAAACTTAAAAAAAAAAGGTTCCTTTGAACAAAGTTCAATTTTTGAAATGAATTTATTTGTGGAATATCAAAACCGTACATGTGACTTATTTAATTAAACAATATCGAACTTCTTCTTCAGTTTTAGCAAATTTTAGGCACAAGGATCAAAGGCACAAGGATTACAATTAGGAGAAGGTGAACATTTGCTTGTCATTGGGGAAGGAAATGAAGGTTTTCCCATTGTAACCATTTCGTATCTCCACATCCACTTTGATGTGCAGCATCTTGGAATTGGCCTCACTGTGCATAATGGACGTCCCTTACATTCTCGACGTGGGCAATCTAGCTGTAGACCATTTCGTTTGACGCATTCACATTTGGTGATCAGTATACTTCCTCTAAGTTCTCGACTTGGACAACGCTACGAATAAAAAAATTGATTGAAATTTTCATTTTCATATCGAATAAAATTGTAATCAAATTACCTTTGGTGGACATGGCGAACATGGCGATGGACAAGGGAAGCATGGGAAACAAGGCAAGCAGGGATCTAAACATGGTGGACACGCTTCTGGGCATGGTAATGGACATGGGATGGGAGGGCAACTTTGATCACACATTTTTTCTGAAAAGATTTTTAATGAAACAAAATGTAATTATTAACAAGCTTAATGATTGTTGTTTCAACTTACTTTTAATTTTCTTTTAAACCTTTTTTTTTAATTTTATAATTTAGAAAACTGATCCGTCTCAATCAAGATCAAAATTTAGAATGATTGTTAAGAATTAATTTATTGAAAATTTTCATGTTGAAATTTCATTGCTAACTGAAATTGAAATTCAAAATTTGAATAATCTAGTACAACAATTGTGTCCAGACTAAACGGTTATAAAATTGCGCCATCGAAAGTTAAAAGGAAAGCTTCGCAAAAAAGTTCTTATTTAATTTTATGAAGGATGGAACAAGTATTTAAGATAGATAGTTCAGATATCTGTAATTTACGTAAGTATAATGTAATTAAATATGAAGAATAGAATATTCATTGCGTATTTTAGTCGATCGAAGTGAAGACGTTAGAAAGGAAGCCTTATTTCGGTTAAAAGATATTCTTAACAATAACATCATATTCAAAGAATCATCTGATTGCCCAACTGTTGTTAATCTGGAAATCTTGGTTCGACATCTCATCCAATGGTTTCAATTCCGTCCACTTACTCAAGAACACGAAGTGTTAAATTTGTTAACGCTTATTATAAGCGTGAGTATTTAAATTTTGTTTCATTATTGATGATTCTAAGCAATTTTTTTATTTATAGCAAAAGGAACTTTTGAATGCTGTTACACATCATATTGGTATCAGCAGACTTAGAAAAGAATTTTTAAAAATCGGAAACTTAAAGCTCAATGAGAATAGCAGAATTAAAGTCCAGAAGATCATTGAACTGCTCAATGGCTATGATACTGTTATTGTACCTGATATGATGCAAGAGCAGGACTCATCACAAGAAAAAAAATCTGATAGTTACACCAATTGTCTGATAGCTAGAAATCGAAAATCTAATTCAACTCCTCCATTGAATTTTACAACAACATCAAATTTACCATCAAAATATGTTGAGGACGAGGAAGGATTCTGGATCAGACTTGAAGGAAAGAACAAAGATATCTTCAACGCAATTAATAACATGTTGTTGCACTACAGACAATCGGATAGTGGAAGAAATATTGTCGATTTATTTCTCAAAAATACTGACGAATTTCCAATCGAGTTTTATTTTCAATCGCCGAATGTCCTTACAACAATCATCAATCTCATGAATATGTCTGATGATGAAAATACATCAATCAACATTGTCAAGTTCATTCGTTTCATCGTCAATTCTATTAAAAGTCGTTGGATAGAATCACTCAAATATGCTGATGACCAAGAACTAAACTTTTTATCAGTGAAAAATCATTTTAATCAAATCATGACGATGCTCACGACTTACTTTGAGACTTTACAAAAGAATTTCAATCTGGATGTTTTCGAGAAGAATCTGGACATTTTAAATGAAATTTATCTGCTTTTATTTGATGTTTCATTTTTCATCAGCAAGACACAAAATTCGTGCGAAATTTATTTCATTCAACTTATAAATGCAATTGGCAATTTTGCAAAACTTTTACGAACTTACAAAACTCCACTGAACCGTGATTTAGGAGTTATTAGAGTTCATTATATGCTTTCAATTTATTCAATCAATTTCCTCGTCTCATCTGTTGACACCACAAACATCAGCGAAAAATATCAAAACAATGCATGGGAATTTGAATCGGATTTTGCAATATTAGATGGAGCTTTAAAGATGACACAATGTCAAATTTATTCACTGGTGATCAATAATCGAGCAAACATCGTAAAGAAAGATAATGAATTATCACTTTTTCTTAACTCACATCTTATGTGGCGACCTGTTGTTCAATTATTTCAAAATTGGTTCAAAATGTCTGACGAAGAAATCCTTAAAATAGGCGTTGATGCTCTTAAGACAATTCGCATTCATCTCAGTTTAGAATTAGTCAAGTTGTTGACAACTTCTATTAAAAATTGTTCAAAGTTTTATGCCGATAATTTGATGCTTAAACAAATAGCTCAGGATGTCTTTCTACAATTGCTTTCTATTGAAATTCTTGAAATTCGCCAACACACATACAGTTTTGCTAAGAAAAGCATTCAAGAAAAGATTAGTGATAAACCCAAAGATGATCCAGCTTGTGAAGACAGTCTTTGTCATATTTTTGGTATTCCAATTACAACTGAAATTGTCGCTGAAATTATTTGCTTTGGCTTAACTGATGTGGATGAAGAAATTCGAAAATGTGCCAAATTTATTTTCGTCGTTTTACTTCGATCGAAAATTATTTTTTCTGAACGTTATTGGTTGAGAATTTACGACATAATGAAGCCTGTTTTACCATTAACAACTGCTGTGTTGAAAGTTCACAACTACATGGATATGCTTGTTAATGGTTATTATCAGTCAAGTTCGCCACATGATAAACGTGAACTTAATCAAGCATTGGCCAGATTTCTCTTCTCCAAAGATCCAGAATCACGATCTGCTGCCAAGATGAATTTATTGCAAAACTTAAGATTTGAAGAAGATCTCATACAAGTTATTCCCGATGATTTTTGTATCCTTCCCAAGCACATGGTGAAATTGTTGGCACTTCCTAATAATGTTGGGTATGATGAAGATAACTACAAAGAAATTTACGGGATATTCAAGAATCCAAAAACTATTAACAAGGAAAACGTTACATCGCTTCTCATTCAGCTGAGTGGTCTTATGAATTCAAGAGAACTTTGTCACAAATCACACGATGATAACATTTGGATTTATTTTACGGCTAACTAGGATTTGGATGCACCAATTGAATCCGTCATTCGAAAGCTGACAATCAACATTTTATATAAATGGGCAGTTTGCATCGCATCATTTCGTTGCTACATTGCAAGCAATGCTTCGGTTCTTGAATTTCTGATAAAAACTTTGATCTTCTTACAAGATGACGATGAAGTTAAGAAGCAAGCTTCATGTTTGTTGTTCTTGCTGCTATTCAGTGATTTTGTTGTTACAAATGGAAATTCTGTTTCAATGCCAAAATGCCTTTCATCGTTGAATTGTCCATTTAAATTTGATCAACATTGGATTGAAAGTCCTTTCAACGTGATTTCAGAAATTGAAGAAGTTGACATTGCAATCAAAGCTACAAATGAGACTGGAGATATTTGTAGAATTTCGCAACAACTTTTAAGATTCTCTTTCGCTAATGAATGGTTCAAAGATCCTGAGTCATTAATTCATGTAAACTTGAGTGACTTCTCCACTAGCGAATTTTATAACAAGAATCTTAATGAAAATGTATTGAAAGTTTCTGAAACACTTCGACTCACAACTGATGACATCATTTTTCTAAAGCAGTCAAGCAACTCTGAAGTAATTAAAGAAATAACTTTCCAATTGGATAATACAAAGACAGTTCAAGAAGTTCAAAGTCTTACAACTCAAATTCAAACTTTTCTTCTCATTCCATCCGATAGTTCAGATGTTTTGTGTGCAAGAATTTGTGAAAGTATTAATCGATTGTTGGTTTACGATGACAAAAATGAAGCTCAGAAGAAAATGTTTTTGAGATTATTGCAAATTTATCAGCAAATCATGAAGTGGCTTAAAGATGAACATGTTTTGGGTTTACTAAACAAAAAGTTCCTCATTGCACTCATCAAGACCGATTTGGAATTTCCAGAAGATATTTTCATTGAAGGTCTCAATGTTATAGACTGCATCGTCAATTTATGTGAAGTTCGTGCACCATTAAAAGATGCTGTCATAATAAAATATGATCGTCAAGAGAAATTCAACTTTCCTTCAAGACTTGTCGTTAAATTCACGGAAAAGCTTTTTCAAGATGTAATGAAAGATGGAAAGTGGCATGAAGTCAATCGTCATGGCGTTGCCAAAGCCATTTTGAGATTAATTAAAAGTCTTTTAAATGTAATGAAATGTTCTGATCTTGATGACACGTTTTTATGTTCACTCTTTGGTCATCTTTCATCAGTAACTTTGTCGTTGCGCTTATCTTATCAAGGAGATTTGAATAACAATAATATTACCATCAACAGCATTCCACATACACATGCAAGCCTATTGAAGCTTATATTTGCTATCATGCTCAAAATTTCTTCAATAGTTAAACGATTGAACATGAAACCAGAACATTTGGACAATCTCATGTTCTGGACGGTGGAAGAATTGGATGAAAATCTTCAAAACATTAAACCATTGCCCTGGATGATAATTGAAGAGTTAACAAAGGATAAAGAAAGTTGTGAGAAGTTTTGCAGTGATGTTTACGCAAGGTGTGGAATGACACTCCCAACGGTGTTATTTTTGTCAGTACATAAACCTTCAACTCGTCGTAATCGTCTTGAGGAAAAGATAAAAGTTTTAATAATTGGAAATATCGTCGATCATTGCGATAATTTCAATGATGAATCAAGTAGTTCGATGAAATTCAGCTTTAACATTGAAGATGACAAGACCATTGTTAGAAAAATGAAAGAAAAGTTTTTGCAAATCGATAACGTCAGTGCTTGTTGTTTCATGGTTAGAAAAATAATTGCAAAGAACGATGAGAAATCTTGTGACTCCATCATCAATAATAAGTTGCTACAGAAATTTATGAACTTTGAAGTACCAGAAAATGTTATTTTAGAAGATTACAAGGAAATTACAGATCGACTTTTGACAATCGCTGCATGTTACAATTGGATGCCACTTATGGATCATGCTGTTGAAGTTGTTGGCCAAAGTAAACTTGACTTCGTACTTATGATGCTGAATCCTAATAAATACGAGCATGAAGTATTTAAAAATTTTAATCAAGCTGCACTTGATGTTCTTCTCATCATGACTCAAAGCAAAGATGGTGTGCAAAAGATTGCAAATGCATGTGACAATTCAGAATTTGTTCGTTGTCTGATGATTGTATCGCATTATAACATGAACATTGAAAACAAACCTAATGTCATCATCAGCCAGATGAAGTTTTGGTACTCATTTTTGGTTGCATGTTCGAGCTATGAAAATTCGCCACTTGACATCATCAATAAGCAAACATTCAACATGTTCAACAATGGAATTGCAGAAATGGATTTGGATATAAATACATCAAAATCGACGATTTTAGAGAAGTCATTCAGTTATATTCAAAATGCAATTGATTTTCTTTTCCTTCAAATTGTTGGCATGTTTGAATTAATTTATACATCAAAGTTTAAATCTGAAGGTAAATTATTTGAAATGAAAATTGTTAAAGTTAAATTAAACGTGATTTTATTATTTTTTTAGAAAAATTGAATATGAAATGTTTATGCTCAATGCTCATTTCATTACTCTCCAAAGCAAACGAAGGAATTCAACGACTTGTAATTAAAATTGATTTGGTTAATGTTGTCATAAACAATCTCGATTTAACACTGAAAATCATGCAAAGATGTGGATACCTTGAGACGACAAAGAAACACGGTGTCAAAGCTGTAAATATTATTTTAATCAATTTTTTCCTTGATTTTCATAATTTTCCTTTTATCATTTCTAGGCAAAAACATTGATCACTGATACCGCAATTTTATTTAAAGCACTTTATGAATGGCAAATTCCATTGGACAGTCACAAAAAACTTATTTCAATCATGTATGGAAACATTTTTCATGCTTTCGATTGGATTGAAAATGATTCGATTCTCTTTAATTGTTTCATTAATCTTTCACACACAATCGGTCTTTTACCGTTTGGAAGAAAATGTATCATGAAAGCGGAAGTGAATGATAAATCATTGATTTCATATCTCATGAAAAAGGCTCAAGACCTGTCTATGAAAACACCACACACTGATGCCAACCTCACGTTGCTGAAAAATGTATTGAAATTACTTTTGATTTCATCAAACTGGATTGAAGTTCGCTTGTTGCTACGACAAGCAAAAGTTTTCCACATTTTTGAACTTCTTCATCCGCAAATTTATTCGAATAAGAAGACAACTTGGGACAGCGTAATAATTGAATGGTTGAAATTCACTGAACGCTTCTCTAGATATGAAGACACTGAATGCTTGACAAGGTAAATAATTTACGCAATCATTTACTTTAAAAAACTTAAATTTCTTCTATCCACAGCCATGTTTCACTGATTTGCCGCCTGTTCCGTGTTGGAAATCAGAAAGTTAAATTGTACTCCTTGATTATTTTAAGAAATTTGTCACTCATCACATCCATTGGTAATGTTTTGCTAAACTCAAAAGAATTCACTGAAACTGTCACTTATATCATCCAAAATGATTCCATCGCATCAAATGATGAAAAGATTATCGTTTTACAAACTTTACTCAGTATTTCAACTCAAAGTTATCAGATGAAGGCAAAAATCAAAAACTCATCATTGTATCGAATACTTAAAGATGAAATTAACGTTATGCAGTCAAATATCGATGATGAGATATTTTTAAATCTTGTAAAACTGTTGAAGAAGGTGCTCTACACATAAATTATTTCATTATTTCAAAACTGATTTTATAACCGTAATCTTTATGTTTGATTTGATATTTATTTGAGATTACATATTTTAATATAAATAAAATTTATTATAAAATATAACGGAATATTTTAATTTAAAAATATTTTACGGGGCTTGTCATTTTTCTTCAGGAATTTGTAACAAGGCAGAGAAAGAATTTTAGTCGTTATATTTAAAATTTAAACAAATTCATTGCTATCGTTTATCAAAATTTGTGAATAAAAGCGTTTTAATATTCACAAATTACTAATTTCAATGGATTCAAGACAAAATGATTTAATTAATCGTCTCAATGGGTTGAAGAAATATCAAGAAGAACAAGAAAGTATTATCAAAGTAAGTTTGTTTATCTTAGTAACAATAAAATGTATTTATCTCGATATTTATTTTTCTTTTTAAGACTAAACAACTTGATCAACGAGCTCTTCTGACACGAGAACAATTACAAATGTATGAGATGCTTGGTCTTAGTGTCTCTAGTTATGCTGAATTGACTTCTGAACAAACAAACGTTGGAACGCATAGTGATAACGATTTTGAAGATATAACTCACATGAATCAAGAGGAAGAAGAATCGGATTCATCGGATGAATCTTATATTAAAACTTACAATAATGAGCTTGTAACTAAAGACACAATGGCTTCTCCCACAGAACATGTTCTTGAAAATGAGAATGAAGAAAATGAATCACAAGTTCCGAAGCGACCTTTTCTTCGTAGGGGGTCAGGTTTGACAGCTCGATTTCGAATTCCTCCTGACGCATTTAATCTTAAAAATCTTCCCCGTTACAAATATGCAGATCGAATTAAGAAAAATCTTTCAAAAACAGCTCAGAAATCTAAAAAATCAAAAATTCCACCACAGCAGCAGAAGAAAAGCATTGAAGCGGTAAAATCTTTATCTGAACCTAAGAATGATGTGAATCATCAACCAGATACAAAATTAATTGATTTAGAGCAGAAACAACCGCAACAGGAGGTGTTGAAACTTGACACCCCGACAACTGTTGGTTTAAAGAAATCTCCTGAAACTTCTTCCAGCCATGACGAACCTGAACCGAAAATTCAAGACTGGTATGAATCTCGTGCAAAAGAGAGAAATCAAAATGTGGTTGAGAAAACAAAAGTAAATGAAGTTCCGAATGGTTTTTCATGGGGAAAAATATTGAATATGAACAACCCTATTGATTCATCGTTACAATCAGAACTGCAAAATTTTGATTTGGATTTGAATGATACGAGCTTGTTTCATTTGCTTGAACAAAAAATTAATAGTTTGAGTAAAGATCCTTCACTTTCAACTTTAACTAAACTTATGTCTGTTTTGCACAATCAAGTAAATGGTGACGACGATGAAAGCAATAAGGAAACATTTGCAAATCCAGAAGATCCTTTGGTAACTAATAAAGCTTCCGTTAATGTCCACCTAGTCCCTCATCCAAGTGATGTCAACAAAAAAATTATAGTTGATGATGACGAGGACGATACAAGTGAAGAAGAAGTTGAACAAGACCAACATCATGTGAGATTCTCTGATAATGTTGAAGTGCTTGATGATGCAACTGATCTCTCGACAGATCTTGAAGCCATCGAGCTAAGTCAGACATCAACTCCAAACCAACCAGAACAATTTCTTAATTTTAGGAGAAATTTAATTCAACATCCCAATGCAAACAAAGCACAAGAAAAAGAATTTCTAAAGAAAAAATCTGGTGAATTGAAGGAAAAGTTAGAAGAATTGGAATTTGAAATAAATTCTCTTCGAAAACAGAATGAAAATGTTACAAAAATTCGCAACGATTTGGCACTTGATAAACTTCAACTTCAGCATGATCGTGAAGATATGATTGAGAGAATGAAAGATGATCGAATCAAAATGGAACTTCAATTGCATGATGAACGTTTGAAATTAGAACAAGATAAGCAGAAACATGAGAAAATGTTAAAAAATCCAACTAAGAAGGAACGAGAAGAAATCACAAAATTGAAAGAAACTGTGGAAGAATTGAAAGAAGAAATCAAATCCAAAGATTCTCGACATGGCTCGACATCTGCTCGATATCGTTCACAGATAAAATTGCTTGAGAAGGAAAATCAAAGTCTTAAACTCGAGCTTGATGTGGTGAAAAAAGAAAACAAGAAATTGGAATTAGAAAATGCACGACTTCGGAAAGATACAAATCATAAAATGCTGCAGGAAATAAATAAAAATATAGCAAAATTAGCACCACAGCCACAAGAGAATAAAAAGCAATCAGAAGTTGTCAGGAAAACAACTTCAACAAGAAAAAATGAGACAGCAATTAAAAAACGACCACCAAAAGTCCAACCAAAGTCAAGTGAAACAACTGAAAGCTCAAGTGATGATGATGAAATTTCTTCGCAAAAATCTTTAAAAGAAAACAATCTCATCAATGAAAATGTTCGTAGATCAAATCCAGTGAAAAATCCGTCTCCTTCATCGTCTGAAATTCTTGCGGATATGAAACGTGAGATTGTCAACTCTAATGGAAGTAAAGATATTTGGTATCCGAATGGAAATCTTAAAAAAATATCACCTGATGGAATGCTAATAAGAATGCTTTACTTCAACAAAGACATCAAAGAAACCAACATTTATGAGGGAACTGTGAAATATTATTACAATGAAACGAACACTTGGCACACAACTTACATCGATGGTCTTGAAATTCTTGAATATCCTGAGTAAGTTTTTCTCTTTTCATTTTTTATTAATCAAATATTTGATATAAAATCATTTTAGTGGACAGATCGAACATCGACATAAAGATGGCATGATTGAAATTCATTATTCAAACGGATCAATATGCGTAACAAATTCAAACTGGACAGACGACACAAAGGAAGAATGGAAATTACCAGATGGAACAAACATCAAAATCCTTAAAAATGAATCGAAAATTCTAATGTTTCCAAATGGTCAACGTGAGATTCATACAGCAAACCATAAAAGAAGAGAATATCCTGACGGAACTGTAAAATTACTCTATGAAGATGGAAGTTGCGAAACGAGATATTCCAATGGACGTATTCGCATTAAAGATAACAAAGGAAATCTCATCAGTGACACAATGTCGAATTGAAAGTTTATTTTATTTTTTACTTGACAATTTATATAATGACTAAACGTATATATAAAGAACTTTTAATTATTTCGATAAAAGTTAAATCGATAGCTGGCTTTCTGGTGTCACATTTTCTCAACACTTGCAACTGAAGGTTTCTTCAAAGCTTTCATTACTATTTCGACTGGCATTTTGAAGTTCAAAGGTTTCATATTTAAATTTGTGTTAAAGAAATTTCTTAATGAATCAAGCGCTGCTTGTTCTGTTGCGACAGTAATATCTTCACCAAAGCCAGATCCAAGCATTTTCTTGTTCGAGTAAAAGCCAACATGATAAGCTGCCAAAAGAGTGTTCTTTCCGACTTCAGCTATGAGTCGCGGTTCCGGTTCTCCAAGTTTTTTCTCTTTACAAATTTCTTGAAGAAGCTCAACAGGATTATCAACTTTCCAGTAGTTATTGACATCTTTTTGATTCAATCTAGTCACTATAAGGTCTCTGATAAACTCGTAGGCACGCATTTCACCTGACGATTCAGCAAGCGCTCCAATAACAGCTTTGAGGCTTTTAGCCAGTGTTTCCTTTCGTGGTGGATAGTTTGCTGACAAGATCAAATCTTTTGTTCCTAAATGAAATGAAATATCAGCAAGTACCTCATCTGATACAAGATGCTTGTAGATTCCCTTAATACCATCACGGGGAAAGTTCGGAAGTGAAATATTCAAGTAAGTTACAATGAACTCTGTCAACAGTGTGTCTCCCTTTTGAACCAACATTGAATTGTCTGTGAGTTGAAGAACTGGTGTTTCAATTCCAACAGATCGTTGCTTCATTTCCTCTTGAACAATATATGAGCGATCGACAAATGCTTGTTGAAGCAGAGCAGGAGCAAACGTCTCATGAAGACGAACTCCAAATGCATATATTTCAGCCTCATAATTCCAATCAATGAATTCAGATCGACGAGGAATAGGCCGAGGTCCAAGAATTTTTCTTCTTCTACGTATTTCTCGTAATGTAGGCATAACATATCGATGAATTTCTCGATTTTGTATACCTAAAAATATATTTTTTTAGAAATGTTATAAATCATTCTTGTTTGTCAGTTTATTTACTTTTGTTTATAAATCCACATGCTATTGGTGATGAAACCAGTTTACTAGCGATTCGTAGTAAGGACATTATTTACAATTTATTTATTATTGCGTGATTTAAATTTGTTTAACAAAGATGAAAACACTTGCTTGCGGTCTTTGAGGAAAATTTCAGTGGAACGAATTGGAATTGGAACAATTTCCGCTTTCAAATCTTTGAGAACCGTTAAATTCAGTAAAGAAAGAAAATTGTTGATTTCTTGCAACAAACATAGCAATAAGTTAAGGATTGGCAGTGTGATGTTATAAATATCATTGAACAATTAAACTTTGTGCACTTCTATTTATGTCAAAATCAGTTAATCGATTTATGCATTTTCGTTTTAAATTTATTAGCATAATTATAATTATGTATATTATACCTAATTATTATTTTAAAATAAATGCCGGTAATGTCACACCAGCAGTTCTAACATTTTAGAAAGGACTGCTTATATTTTCTATATGTTCATTTTGATGCTCTGTACAAGGTTCGAACTTTTTTACAGGCAACTAGGTATTATTTGATGCTTGTGAAAAACAATACCTTGTCGAAAAGNATTTGTTGGCAAGGATCCGACAATGTATATTAATTATTATTCTAAAATTAATGCTGGTAATGTCACACCAGCAGTTCTAACATTTTAGAAAAGGACTGCTTATATTTTCGATATGTTCATTTTGATAGATAGATAGAAGTGTTTATTATTACCAGTATTGGTACTTTTCTTTGATTTCATTTTGATGCTTTGTACAAGGTTCGAACTTTTTTACAGGCAACTATTATTTGATGCTTGTGAAAAACAATACCTTGTCGAAAAGCAACAGAAAGAACAATTTGTTCGAGGGTTATTTTATGCTTCAGTTATCCCAGTTTTTGGAAGGTAATAGCTTTGTACAAAAAATAGTTTCGCTTGTGAAATATTTACAAAAGAATGCATTGTACTAAGTTAGAATAATTGCACAGCAACTTTAAAATTATTTTCAAATACCTGTATAACTAGAGATTGTTTATTTTTCATGATATTTAAAGTTGATGATGATGTTGAAGTTTAAATTTCTAACGAAAACATTGCATTATTTAGTTTCTTAATTATCTACTAAAATTTCAACTTTAACAACTTTTTAAATAATCCGAGCTAACTTTTAAACATGTTAATTATAAAAGACAACATGTTAAAATGATCTATAACGTAATAACAAATATTTAATATCGCTACCCTCACGTACATGTTAAATGTCAGAAGATAACAGATGGGAAAACTGGAGGAAAATTTTGTTTCGATTCCTTAGCTCTCTCAAGGCATTTAAAAGACTTTTTAGCAGTTTTCTTCATTTCACACATCGGAAAATTTTTGAAGAAGCAATTTGTAAAATCTAAACAAAGTTTATGTATTTTGAAATGTTTGTTTATTTAATGTCGCCTTTGCATTTAAATTTTAAACTAAAAATAATCCGGATAAATATTTTGATATAAACAACGTCATAGATTTTAAAAACACATTAGAAGTCTCATACAAGTATCATACAAAAAGCTGATGAATAATAAAAATTGTCGCTACATGTCTGGAAGAAAAAACTTTGACTCAAGTACACACTTTTAAAATTCAATTTTATGAGCGTTTAAGGGATAACACAAAAGAAAAAGATAAATTAAAATCCCATGCCGAGACGGATGTTGAAAAAGTTTCAAGTTCTTTTTATGCCATTAACTCTTCGATGCTTGGCTTTTAACATCTTAAGTGTAAGCTTTCTCAAAAGTCTAATTTTTGCAATGAAAAATGTATCAAGACTTACCTTCATTGTTGAGTGCGAGAATGAAGAGGATAAGAGATTTTCTGGTGAAATAAATTTTAAACTTTCATGAACATTGACCGAGTTCCTTACATGATATAAGCATTACGGTGTATTAAGTTTCGTGAATTTTTCGTAAAAACAGAGTATTCAAGAACTTCTAAATTATTAAAAAAAGAAAATCTTTGAATTGTCTACGCGAACGAATACAAATGATGATGAGAGAAATTTGAAAAGTTTTCTTTATTCAGTAGATATTTGAATTGACAGAGAAAAAAACCATTAAAATATTTATTTAAATTTTCCGTTGAAAAAGGATTTTCCTGAAAAAGTTACCGATAAAATTTTTCACTCACTTATAAGGCTATATTCATGCCAGTCATGAACAAAAAAAGTTCTTTTATCATTTTTTAAGAGTCCCCAAACATACATAAATCCCACATCTGAATATCTAAGGACAAGACCTTTTTATATCATCTGAAATTGTGGCTTGGTTCAGTGAAATGAAAAACAACAGTTTGTCGTTTCCGATCTTTTTTTTTGAAGTTTCCACTCTCATTTTAAAAGATGTGACAGCTTTCACATTCGATGATAAATATTTTAGTCACATACCACGATGCATTTGTATTCAAGCAATGAATAGGAAATCAAAGTGATGAAGCAAAAAATTTTCGTCATTAAAACAATTTAATCCAATGTTGAGTCAACCTTTAGCCTCGTTATCTCCTTTCTTTAGTTACTTCACTTCTTACGTATAATAATATTATGCGAGTTGTGATTGAACGAGGAGAAAATAAGCATCAAAGCACGTGTTTTGATTTTCTCCTCTCTCAATTCAAAGCACAACTCGTGCTTCCCTTCTAAAGAATTGAGGGTAAAAGCTCAGAGAGAAAATAAAACTTTACTTTCTTTCTATTGCAATATTTTTCGATATTTTGTATAAGAACTTTAGTTCCTTTCGAGACGTCTCTCGTAGCGCACAAAAATAATTACATAGAAGAAGATTTAGTTATTTAAAAGCAAAATCAAAGAAACTGATAAGACATTTGCGTCAGAAATAATTGTAAATAATTCAAAATCTTGGAGCTTATTCGTCTCATCTGAATTAAAGTCTTTCATGGATAAAATATTTAATTAAACTGCCCTTTTCTTGGCAACAACAACCCTTTGTGTTAAAAGTTTTTCGAATACAGCAATTTCTCTTTTAAGATTAAATAATAATCACAGAGAACAAGTTACCTAATTAGTTTTTTTGAATTTCCCTTCTGTCAATCGAACTCGTTTCCGATTTGCCAACTGGGTTAAGATTCTTCTGATTGAGAACTGATGAAGATTGAAGCAACATTTTTCTCTCAAGTAATTAATTTTGAAGGACAGAATGGCATTTGCTCAAGTTAATTAAATGATGGTTGTGAAATACTAAGATTAGTTCATAAAAGTGTAATACGTGAGAAGTGAAATAAATTCATTACATTAAATGGATTCTTCAGTAAATAATAAACAATGCGATTGATTAAAATTTGCTATTGAAAAAAAGATCCGCGTGTTTGTTTTAGCCCTTAACGCTTCCACTAAATGTTTTATTTAACGTTTTTACGAGCTGCTCTGGGAATATCATAATGCACAAACATTGATCGCGTTGGAATATCCAACACCAGATGTGAAATTAACTTGCGCAAGTGAAATGTGTAAAGAAAAAAATAGAAAATTCAATTTAAAACTAAGTTCAAAGCGTTCGCAAATCAAATATTGGATTACCATTGAACATCGAATATAGACAAAAAACTTAAATTACATCATGAGTGACAACGAGGATGATGTGAATGAAAAAAGTTTATTAAGGTACGCGTTGATTTATCCATTCGTTTTTTTTGCTCTAAATTCTTGATGCATGACGCAGCGCACTGGCGCATAGAGCTGAAAGTTGAAAGGGATCCACAAGGTTTTAACATTTTATTTTACGCATGGGATATTTACCCAAACATCCTTACAACTCTCAGTTTCCATCAGAAAAAGAAATTAATTGTAATAACATCCCAAGTTTTTGCTTCAGTAATTGGCAACCTTCAAATCAAAACACTTCTTTCATATTACGGCTCGTTAACTTACAAAAACTGTTTATTATTTTATTCATCGTCGCTAAATCATCGTTAAAACAGCACTTAATTTGATAACATAAGTGATGAAAAACGAAAAATCTCATTTAGAGTCTAAACTTTAGAGTTAAAGATTAAAAATTGAAAATTACAGTCGTGATAAATATTCTGGTGGCAGCAATAAATTAAGTCTAATTTATTTCAGTTCCTTTTCTTTTCGAGCATGAAATTGATAAAAAATTAACATGATACTTTAATTGCTTAAAATAGACACTCTGAGTAGATTCTAAAACGACTGATAATAATATGAACAGAACTGGAGAATGAAAATTCTGATGTTTGACAGCAGTGAAAATATTCAAATTAGTGTTGAAATTAAATGAATTGTTTATCTGTAATTTTCGTCTACTGCCCTTTGTCATGACATGATTTAGCATTGAATAGTCGTTCATTAAACTTGAATAAACCAAGGTAAATGTTATCGCTTTCATTACCTTTTTTCTAAGCATTTCTACAGCCATACATATGGAGTTTTTCCACAAATTTACCGATAAGATAACACTGACTTTTCCAACTCAAACTTAGCTTGGATTAAAAGAATGTTATATGAAAAACGAATTTATTTAGTTTCGTGATTACAACTCCATGGTGAAGGTGGAAAACAGGAATATTAGAAAATATTTATGTACAAAAGAAAAAACTGAGAAATTTGTGTTCAATCGAAAAGAGTGAAAAACTTTTGAATTCGTGGCAATGAAAAGCAAAGAAAATATTTTCAAAAGGATTAAAAAACAGAAATTTTTCTATGAGTTTAACAAAGTGAAAAAATGTCTTCCATATTGCGAGTGAAAAACGATTAAAAGTTATAGAAATAAAAAAGTATTTAACTAACTGCTGTTGACTTTCACATAAGAAGGTTTTATTTAACCAAACTGCTTGCTTGCATTCTACATAGCAATGTAATTAAACTAACTAATAACAATTGCTACTTTTTACAATGAAACACTGAAAAAACTTTCATGGACATTTTAAGACTGAATTTCCGGAACTAACTGCTTTCCAATATTCTAATTTTAGAAACTTGTTTTCCGTTTAATAAATAATCGTCCTCCTTCCTTTTCAATTGAACTTTGACTAGATAGTTTGTTAGTTTTCAGTTCATTTTAGTGTGCAAAAAAAATTCCACAAAACAAAATCGATTTGAGTTTCTGAAACGCGCATTACATTTCGTTTATATTAGCGAGTCTTTACCACTTTTTTAACCTCGTTATTTGCATACAGATAATGAAAGTCTACCTCAAATTAGATAACAATCAGTCTGTTTACACATCAATTGGCCTCATGGGCACTCTTCACAATTCAGTTTTTTTCTTTTTTATGGAAACTTTAATTAAACGATATCAACCAAACTGTTGATTTGTTTGACTTTAATTTAAGGGGTTCCACTTCGTTTTTTCATTGTTTTTGTGCAAATATTTAACAATTTCTATTAAACGTGAAATTTATGAAATTAAAGGTTCTATTTGGAATAAATTTGAATCACTATGTCATGCTAATAAGTTTTATAATAAAACATTATTTTCATATTTCTTGAACGATACAATTTTCTTCCTTCTTTTCGTCATAACAAACAGCAACAGCCGTTTCATTACTTTGGTTACGTGAAATTTTTTTTAACTTTTTTTCGCCCTCAAAGAATTTTTTTTTTGATTAGAAGAAACGAAACAGATGACGAAAAGTTTTTTATATTTTGACAAGATAATTTTGTAACAGTTAAGTTAATGTTGAGAAAAGCGTTCGTTAGCTCCTTACTGATGCTTCTCTACACATTTGTATAATTAAAAAATTTGTTTCTTCTCTGACGTAAACTGAACGATATAAATGGGAGTTTACTCAACTTGATTAATTTCTCTTTTGAACATACTTTCGTTCATCCCCAAATTGAATAAGTTTGATGACAAAGCAAATTAATTAAAATTATGTGTTTGAAAACATAAAGTGTGAGGGATGGGATGGCATGTAAGTTATATGAACCTCTCCATTCATGTAGAGATAATCAGATAAGAATAAAAAATGAAGTGTTAATAAGTTCGCAGACATGTAATGAGTTCATTTATGTGATTGAAATCCTTTCAATTTATCGTGATGATTTCAAAATCTTTTTTCCTTCCCACGAGTTTCCGATATCAACTTTTCTTTTCGTTTGATGTTTCATTAAAAGAATTCAAGAAAAATAAAACATGAAATTAGTATTCAAGTCATGTTTATTGCTTCAATTGAAAACGAGATCGTTTTTCCTATCACGAAATTGTTTTTCTCTCCTTTTAAACGATAGACTACTTTCACTTCATAACAGATCAGTCAATGCAAATTTATTCCTGTCACATTAACTTCAAATCGTGATTTGTTTGTCGAGAAGCTTGTGGCGAGAAAACAATTTGCATATATTTATTATCCAAATAAAAATCCTTCCACACCACAATCAAACTTTTATTTTGTTGGATGTTTACACTGATGCGATAGAAAAATTGTTCAGTTTTTCTGCAATGACATCGACTACTTACACGTGCTTAACATGCAATTTTCTTCTCATTTTTCGCTAGAAATATTTCGAGAGAAAAAGCGCGAGAGAATCCGAGAATGAAAAACAAAATATCGCTTGTCCTATCAACGGTCGTGTGTGTGGAAGCTTTCAGTTTATTTTTATACTCTGCACATGGTAGATCATCTTTTTACGTTAAATGAAACGGTGAAGAAAATCAATACCGAGATAATAAAAACGGATTATAGAGTTTTGAAAAGTGAAGCTATTTAATTAAGTTGTGATATGAAACGATGAAGAAAACTATCATTGAATGTGAAAGAAAGTTAAAATAATATTTACGAAATGACGAAATTAAAGCTTTTCAACGATTCATTGAATTTTATCTAAAATGCATGTGTCTTTGATGCCTGAGAATCTCATCTGAAGTTATTTTTGTTGAGGTTAAAGAATTCATAATGCGATTTCAACAAATACATTAGGACTTTGGGACATCTAGGCGAGTGTTGAAAGTTTGTTTCTGAAATAAAATCTTTTTTCTTTACGAAAAGCCATTCAACCTAAAAAAATTATTATAATCGTATCACATTGCTGCTTTTCAAAGAAAAATGGTAAAGATTTGATTCGTGAGCCAAGACTGACATTGTTTTGATGGTAGAACAAAAAAATAATAAAAATATGAACTTGAAACAAATTGAATTTCAAAAGAAATGTAAAGCTCTGAGATCAACAAAAGTTTCTTTTTCGCAAGACTAGAAACCTGAGGACAATTTCAATTTATCGATTCAGAATCCCAAAATAATGCAAACTTCTGTAAATTTGATTTCATTAAACATTCATTTGATTTTGATGAGCATGATTTCTCATCACGAAAATAGAAATTGTCAGAAATGATTTCAGAATTAAGATTTACATCTGACGACAGCATCTCAAACAGATGATTAAGGTTTATCAAATACATTGAGCTTATCATTAAAACATTCCTCAATTCAATTTCGAATCTGGATTGATTTGAATGAAAATTTCCTCAAAACAGATGAGCAAATTTTTTTCTGAATGATTACTTATGTAGATATTTTTAAAACAGAAGAAAGCATGTTAATGACCAACTAGGAAATAGATTTACAGCTGAATTAGTTTGAAATCACGATAATGTTGGAATGAAATTTAATTTATAAACAGGTGCGAAATATGTCAGAAACTTTTCATTGTATATAATTTAATCTCGTGAAAACCGTACCTGCAGTTGTTTTGGAAATCTGTCAATTAGAGATTAAACGTAATCTATAAAAAGGAAAAAGACCCCGTTAAGTAAACTAATTGAACGTGAATCAGTCGATGGTTTTCTTTTCATGGGAGAAGCAGCGCGGTAAAACAATTCATGATTCAGCATCATAAAAGCGTCCAAAATTATCAACGTCAGTTCTGTTTATTATTGTTGTCAGACAAACCTATCTGATATAATGATTACCTAATCTTGGTTATTTGACAAAATTTTTTGATTCATATCTTTCGATTTGTACATAAATTGGTGGATTAAATTAGATGAAAAATATTTATCTACATAAATTTGTATACTTAAAAAACAATCGATTAAATATCTGCTCATTTCCTCTATTTTTCTACTCTTTCAATCAATGTTTTATTGCACTTATTAAATTCGCTGTTCATCCGTTCACATTTGAGATAAAACAGAAAGCATAACGAAGAATGAAAGCCAATCAATTGTAATAAGAAGGAATGATTTTCTTTCAAAATTCATCATTTCTTTCATGATTTTCTTATCGCGTGTGGAATTTTCTTTTCTTTTACAAGCTTATTTCTGACAAGAAAACACCAAAAACTCGATTTTCATTTCTTTTCGGTTTGTTTCATTAAATTATCATCTTTCTTTCTTTTTTTCCTTCTGAAGAAGGTCTACATCAATGGCCGTAAACTTTTATCGACACTCAGCATGAATTTTGTTGCTTTATTTGAAGATTGATTCAAAAATGAAGAGAGCAAGTAGCGAGCATTCAATTCCAATTAGATATCAAAATATTTCTCTTTACCTTTAATAAACCATGTCTTAAATACTTAATTCTTTCTTATATTGTTTGATAATTTGTTTCCTTGAAACAAAGAACAAACAAAGATTCAAATCAAACAGAAACAAAAGAAAATTCAAAGTCATTGACAATGAAAACAATTTCCTTAGAGAAAATTTCTTTAAAATTGTTGATAATTAATCGATTTGAAACCTTTAATTACCTTTTAATTTGAGTTGATGCATCAAGAGTTAATTTATAAACGATGGGAATTATATAACTTTATTATCCCTAGAGGGTACTTAAGCAGCATTTAAAGTTTGAGTTTTGATGAAACAGGAAAACAAATTGATTCTATGAAATATTAAAATTATACTCAGCAACAAGCTTCGTAAATATAACCCAATGAAGCGATTAATTTTTTATTTATAAGACTGTGTTCGCGAGACTTGGATACCCAACACTAAAAGTCACTTCAATTAACTTTAATTAAGCAAAAGTGAATTTTTTCTTTCTTTTTCGATATCGTCTTACATCACTCGTAAATATTTTCCCCGTCCTTACTCTGTCTCATTATTAATGTCCTTTCGCAATATGTCTATCGAGTGCTGACACATTTAAACATAACAACTTGAAAAGGAAGAACAAAAATAATCGATAAAATGTGCTTTCTAGAAAAAGAAGAAAAGGCATTGTAAGTTGATTGACATTTTAAAGGACTTGTCGTTTCACTTTGTTAGAAAAACTTTTTCTATTTTCACTGATTTCATGTCTGCCAATATAAAGTAAAATTGTTGCTTTAGAACTTTTATTTTTGATTTGCGTTTTGAAGTCATAACTCCATTGTTGAGGAATAAAGTTGATCAAACTCAATTTTGGGAAGTTGTCACATCATCACAGCAAGAAGATATACAATTAATTGTTATGCAAATTAAATTTATTTGATCACACACAAATAATGAGAATTTCAATATAAATGCTTTACATTTTGATCATACATCAATTGCTCTGTCATATTCAACATCAAAAGAATTTTTGACACATTAATTTTTGTATTTATCTCTTAGTGAGATTTTCCATTCATTTATATTGGGAGAGTACATAATTTAATGAAATTTACCGTGGTTTTTGCCGCACCTTAATAAGCATTTCAAGTTAATTGAAGAGAAAACGTGGAAGCAAACATTTAGTCAATTAAACTCTAATAGGTTTTCATTAAAGTAGAAGAAATATTTGAAAATTTTAAAGCTTTCCTCGACGTCTTTAATCAGGAAATGTTTGTACGTACAATGAAATCTCATTTGTAAACATGAAACAAAATTATGGTAGACAATGAATTATGCTAAAAATATCAACCGAGAAAGTAGGAGGCTCTCGAGAAATCAATAGAAAAATTTGCCGTATGACATAATAAACAGAACAAAGTTCACTTCAGTGACTCCTTCATATGTCAGTCAACTAACGATAAAAATATACAATCAAGTTGTGAGAGCCAACATGGAGAAAATTTTCCATAATTTGTATGAATTTATCTTTATGTACATAGAAAATTGGCAAAAGAAAAAAAAAGTTCCCTGGATTTAAGCGAATCAATGAAGCGTAAATTTGGTTGCTACTGAAGCGTAACAGAAATTGATTATCATATTCAGTTTAAAACTTTTCTGATGAAGATTGAAATGAAATAAAACAAAAGATTTTTCTTTTATTTAGACCAAAGCCCCGAGACTTAAAACTGAGTGAGAAGATAACTGTGGAGAAAAACTGCGGGCCAGTGCTATTTGCGGAACTAAAAAAAGAGTTTCGTAGAAATAACAATATAATGGCAATCGATGTTGAAGATTTATCAGACAGCGGGATTGAGAAAGCATGTGATGATGTGTCTTCAGCACGTACTGATGGAGTTCCCAATTCACCGAGAGTTCCACCCGATGGTGCCGATAATGATGACATACAAATTGATCAATTGCGTCCCCACAATCAACATCAATTCTCTATTAACATATATCCTGATGATAAGTGCCAACATAAGCAGCCTCAAATTAGTGACAACAAAAGCAGTGTAAATTTTAGAGAATTACATGTTGAAGATCTCAACAAGATTAGTAGATTAAGCTCACAACAGTATCAAGAGTCGTTAGGGGTACAATCAAGCACTCATTTCACAGCCCAACATGAACATCACACAGCAGTGCCATTCTCAAACAACACTTATGCTGCATTCAAGAAAGGAAATGTTGTACGCGGAATTCTCTGTCCATCATTGACGAATTCCTTTCGGTATGGTTAATTAATTTACTTATCTAGATATATACATCTTCATTCTTTTACTTCTCTGCAGAGCGGCATCTTTAGAACGAAGCTACTTAACATATTCACATCGTCAACGACAAAAGTCTCTCATTATTGTAAATGCCGTGGATTTGGTACTGAAGTTTGTTCTCGCAGCTGTTTACATTTTTCAACAAAAACATAACGTAAGGGAGCTTTTTCATTTTATTTAATTTGAAAAGTTGATAATGATACGGGAACATGTGACTTGTTAATTCCGACAGGAAATTCCAGTGAATGCCATCATCTGGTCTGTTTGTTGTGTTCTTGCCAATTTGGGAATTTGCATGTTGGGCTTGTGGAGATGTTTTGCCAACAATTATCTTCATTGGGCTGCTACCTGTACGTGGTTGCTGCTTAATCTGCAAGGATTTGTTGGAGAAGGGATCGGATTTGCAGTTCGCGAATATTTGGTTTGGTATATTTTGTTCACTCTCTTCGTGCCATACGCGATGCTTCCACTTCCACTTAAATGGTGCATGATTGGAGGCACCATAACCGCCGTCACTCACATCATCATCACAACACTCGCCAAATTTGAACAAACACGACGTGAAGATGCTTACATCGATGCATCATGTGTCGTAAAGCAAATGGTCGCGAATACGATGCTCTATGTTGCCATCAATTTTGCCGGAATGTACACAAAATATTTGACAGATCGAGGCCAACGTTTAGCATTCATCGAGACGCACAAGGCAATGGAACATAAAAAGGAATCCGAGAAAGAATATCAGAAGACGCAAAGACTTTTAGACTCGAGTAAGAACTTGAAATCTTTTATGTTTACCCATTACCCAAATAATATCTTGCATAATACAACATGTTGATGTATTTGGCATCTCCCAGTGGTATATTTTCTTTTGCCATTTCATTTCCGTTTGGTTTCAAACGTTATTTTTGGTCTGGAAATGACTCCAAATCGACTACATTTTATGAAACGATTGTAAAAAGCAAAAACAAATTCATAGCTTCTCAAAGGTGCTAGCATTACGCAAAGCAATAACCATTCCAATGAAGAAAAGAAAATGAACTCAGTTTTCTTTAAGGGTTTGAAAGGTTTGACATTCTTACTATAGCTTGTTAACATCGCCACCGGCGGAAACGAAACCGGATACTCCGAAATGGCTAACATTTGGAATGCATGATCAAATATTTTGATTAAATGACTTCTTCATTCAAATACAAAAATTTTCATTTAAATTTTTCATCAAAGAAATCTGAGTCGTTTTCTGAATTAAATTATGTAAAGCTTTTGAAGTTGGAAACCTACTTACTACCAAAACGTATTCATTTCTATTTATGAAGCTTTCAAATGGAGCTTTTAATTCAAAGCTTTTTACTTAAGCAATCACAAGTGAATATTAAATTTGTTGTGGTGTTAGAAACATTTATTGTTACAATTTCCTTTGGTTAAAAAGATAGACTCAAAATATTTCATTACATTAAAAGCTTTTTATTTATTTTAAAGCCCTTTTCTTCAATAAGCATAAAACATATTTTGAAACGATGTTAAATATTTCCTAGTATTTATTATGATGCTAATCAAATTCCCGTATCCAATTTCAACAGTTTTGCCAACATTTGTCAATAACGACATTCGAAAGGAAATGTATAAGAATCCGCATCAAGCGAATTACGAGGGTGACACACAATTCAAGAAACTTTACATTTATCACATGGATAACGTTAGCATTCTCTTTGCTGATATAAAGGGATTTACGCAGCTCGCAAGCACCACGTCTGCTCAACAGCTTGTGAAAATTTTAAACGATTTGTTTGCTAGATTTGACAAAATTGCTGAGGTGAGAAATGTTTTTTTTTCTTTTGCAAATGAATATCTGAATAGGCATTTAGTAGAAGAAATTTAACGACCCAATTGATAAATTTAATTCAAATTTGTGTTATTTATTTAGGATAATCATTGTCTTCGAATAAAGTTGCTTGGTGACTGTTATTATTGCATTTCAATGTTTGACACTCAGAGTTGGAAGTCACGTCCTGATCATGCTGTATGCAGTGTTGAAGCGGGCTTACATATGATAAAAGCAATCAAAGATGTAAGAAGCACAACAAGTGTTAAAGATCTTGACATGAGAATTGGCATCCACAGTGGGAGTGTCATGTGCGGTGTTCTCGGTGACAAGAAATGGCATTTTGACGTTTGGTCTAATGATGTCATCATTGCTAATCATATGGAAAGTGGTGGAATTCCAGGACGTGTTCACATCTCCGAAGCGACATTGAAATGCCTAAACGGAGCTTATGANCCCAAGAGGATAACAGTCCTCAAATCCACGCATTTACTGATGAACATGATGATAAAAATATTGAGGACTCAAATTTTTCCCCTCTAATTGATGTCCAAAAAAATGACGCAACCTCGAATAGACTGCCACTTGATGGTTCTGATTACAGCGAATTGTTGATAAAAATTTCTCATGTGAAAGACGATTCTCGAAAAGGTAGCAATTCAATGAACTTCCGTGATGGAGGTACCAGTAAAATGCACAGAATGACTCAACATCATCTTAACAATACGTTCAGTGACCAAACCCAACACGATCATCATATCTCGGCTTCATTCTCTAATTACGCATATACAACGTTTAAGAAGGGAAATGTCGTCCGGGGAATTCTTTGCCCTTCTCTGACAAATTCTTTCCGGTGAGCTTTTATCATGACATGTATCTTGTTACTTTTTATTTAAATCCCTAGAGCGGCATCTTTAGAACGAAGCTACTTAACATATTCACATCGTCAACGACAAAAGTCTCTCATTATTGTAAATGCCGTGGATTTGGTACTGAAGTTTGTTCTCGCAGCTGTTTACATTTTTCAACAAAAACATAACGTAAGGGAGCTTTTTCATTTTGTTTAATTTGAAAAGTTGATAATGATACGGGAACATGTGACTTGTTAATTCCGACAGGAAATTCCAGTGAATGCCATCATCTGGTCTGTTTGTTGTGTTCTTGCCAATTTGGGAATTTGCATGTTGGGCTTGTGGAGATGTTTTGCCAACAATTATCTTCATTGGGCTGCTACCTGTACGTGGTTGCTGCTTAATCTGCAAGGATTTGTTGGAGAAGGGATCGGATTTGCAGTTCGCGAATATTTGGTTTGGTATATTTTGTTCACTCTCTTCGTGCCATACGCGATGCTTCCACTTCCACTTAAATGGTGCATGATTGGAGGCACCATAACCGCCGTCACTCACATCATCATCACAACACTCGCCAAATTTGAACAAACACGACGTGAAGATGCTTACATCGATGCATCATGTGTCGTAAAGCAAATGGTCGCGAATACGATGCTCTATGTTGCCATCAATTTTGCCGGAATGTACACAAAATATTTGACAGATCGAGGCCAACGTTTAGCATTCATCGAGACGCACAAAGCAATGGAACATAAAAAGGAATCCGAGAAAGAATATCAGAAGACGCAAAGACTTTTAGACTCGAGTAAATATTTCTATCTATACACCTACTTGTAGATATCAAAAGAAAATATTTTTTCTATGTACTTTCAGTTCTTCCAATGTTTGTCAATAATGACATTCGAAAAGAAATGTATAAAACGCCCAACGAGGGTGACACACAATTCAAGAAACTTTACATTTATCACATGGATAACGTTAGCATTCTCTTTGCCGATATAAAGGGATTTACGCAGCTCGCAAGCACCACGTCTGCTCAACAGCTTGTGAAAATTTTAAACGATTTGTTTGCTAGATTTGATAAAATTGCTGAGGTGAGAAATATTTTTTTCTCTCTTATTTCAAACTCCTCGTTTACCTACGTATCTAAATCTGTTACGCATCGCTTATTGAAATCCAAATTTATTTCCATTTTTGATTTTGTAATACGATTCCTTTGGAATAGATTTGTGGGTGTTAAATTCATTCGATTTTCAGTGTTAAAACATAAACAAATGTTCTTCTCTTTATTTCTGATTAAAATGTTTTCCACCCTCGATTTTACTTGTCAGGATAATCATTGTCTTCGAATAAAGTTGCTTGGTGACTGTTATTATTGCATTTCAATGTTTGACACTCAGAGTTGGAAGTCACGTCCTGATCATGCTGTATGCAGTGTTGAAGCGGGCTTACATATGATAAAAGCAATCAAAGATGTAAGAAGCACAACAAGTGTTAAAGATCTTGACATGAGAATTGGCATCCACAGTGGGAGTGTCATGTGCGGTGTTCTCGGTGACAAGAAATGGCATTTTGACGTTTGGTCTAATGATGTCATCATTGCTAATCATATGGAAAGTGGTGGAATTCCAGGACGTGTTCACATCTCCGAAGCAACATTGAAATGCTTAAACGGAGCTTATGATGTNAACAAATTCATAGCTTCTCAAAGGTGCTAGCATTACGCAAAGCAATAACCATTCCAATGAAGAAAAGAAAATGAACTCAGTTTTCTTTAAGGGTTTGAAAGGTTTGACATTCTTACTATTGCTTGTTAACATCGCCACCGGCGGAAACGAAACCGGATACTCCGAAATGGCTAACATTTGGAATGCATGATCAAATATTTTGATTAAATGACTTCTTCATTCAAATACAAAAATTTTCATTTAAATTTTTCATCAAAGAAATCTGAGTCGTTTTCTGAATTAAATTATGTAAAGCTTTTGAAGTTGGAAACCTACTTACTACCAAAACGTATTCATTTCTATTTATGAAGCTTTCAAATGGAGCTTTTAATTCAAAGCTTTTTACTTAAGCAATCACAAGTGAATATTAAATTTGTTGTGGTGTTAGAAACATTTATTGTTACAATTTCCTTTAGTTAAAAAGATAGACTCAAAATATTTCATTACATTAAAAGCTTTTTATTTATTTTAAAGCCCTTTTCTTCAATAAGCATAAAACATATTTTGAAACGATGTTATTTCCTAGTATTTATTATGATGCTAATCAAATTCCCGTATCCAATTTCAACAGTTTTGCCAACATTTGTCAATAACGACATTCGAAAGGAAATGTATAAGAATCCGCATCAAGCGAATTACGAGGGTGACACGCAATTCAAGAAACTTTACATTTATCACATGGATAACGTTAGCATTCTCTTTGCTGATATAAAGGGATTTACGCAGCTCGCAAGCACCACGTCTGCTCAACAGCTTGTGAAAATTTTAAACGATTTGTTTGCTAGATTTGACAAAATTGCTGAGGTGAGAAATGTTTTTTTTTCCTTTTGCAAATGAATATCTGAATAGGCATTTAGTAGAAGAAATTTAACGACCCAATTGATAAATTTAATTCAAATTTGTGTTATTTATTTAGGATAATCATTGTCTTCGAATAAAGTTGCTTGGTGACTGTTATTATTGCATTTCAATGTTTGATCAGCAAAGTTGGAAGTCAAGGCCAGATCACGCCATTTGTAGTGTTGAAGCGGGCTTACATATGATAAAAGCAATCAAAGATGTAAGAAGCACAACAAATGTTGAAGATCTTGACATGAGAATTGGCATCCACAGTGGGAGTGTCATGTGCGGTGTTCTCGGTGACAAGAAATGGCATTTTGACGTTTGGTCTAATGATGTCATCATTGCAAATCATATGGAAAGTGGTGGAATTCCAGGACGTGTTCACATCTCCGAAGCAACATTGAAATGCTTAAACGGAGCTTATGATGTTGAGCCTGGCGATGGCGAATCTAGAGATAATCATTTGAAGATGATGAACATCAAAACTTACTTAATAACACGAACAGAACCATTGAGAACAAGAAAAAATCGTTTGATATTGAATGATGAACAACCACAGAAATTTGTCGATCCCAAATATACACAAAGTAATTGCGTAAATAATAATCAGAACAATCACAATACTGTGAATGGTAATCAACTTTCTAAAAGAGTTTCAAAAGCTACAATTCATGAAGATGAACCAACAACTGACTGGACGCCAGAAATTCCTTTTAAAAATCTAAAGGAAGCCAACAATCTTACAGAATCTCTCGAAAGAGAAGCTGATGTTGCTTCAAATTCGATATCAGCGACTGAAGAAATTGATGAATTGATCGATCAGAATATTCAGATAAATTCCAATAAGCAAATGCGAGATGAATATTTGAATACATGGACTTTAAGGTTCAAAGAACCACTACAAGAAGTCTGCTTTTGTCAATTAAGGGAAGACATGTTCCGCTCCAATATGCTCTGCATTTTCATCGTCTGGATATTCATTGTGATGACTCAATTTGTGATAATTCCACGATGCAATTTCTTAACTGTTTCGTTGATTGTTACAACTGTCATTATCTCAGCTGGTTGTGTTCTTGTGATGGCAGAAGAATATCCTGGATTACCAAAATGTCTTCGTAAAAGTTCAGCAACATTAGTGCAAGATCGAAATCGGAGAACAATTTTCGTTTGTGGTGCAATCATTTTAATGTCTGTCGCAAGTTCAATGGGACTTTTGGTTTGTTACGACGACTTACAATATCCACAAAATCCTCGCACAACGACGATGAAAACAACCACAACAACAACAACCATGATGACCACATTCGATTCAACATTATATATTAGAACAAATGAATCAATTGACGACCTTCAGCAATTTGAAACTTCCACATCGATTAATCTCTCTCAGTTTGATGGGACTACAAAAGCTCAAAGATCGACAATTGAAATTAATGACATAACTTCAATGCCTGCTGCATGCATTCAACCCGAATATATTGTTTTTTCATGGATACTCTGTCTGATTGCTCTTGCAACCGCTCTAAAGCTTTATTATCTCGTAAAATCCTTCATGGCCCTGGGTCTCGTAGCAACATTTTGTGTTTTTATTTTGGTTGTTTTTCCGGATGTATTTACAACATTTGATTATGAATTTGAGATGCTCGGAATGTCGCTTTCGGCACAAATGGTGATTCTATTGGGGGTGTTCCTAACCATGGTAATTCATCATGCGAGACTCGTTGAAGTCACTGCTAGATTGGATTTTATATGGAAGGAACAAGCCGAACGTGAACTTTCGAACATGAAATCAAACCGTCATCTCAATGACACATTAATTAGAAACATCATACCCGACCACGTTGCATCTTACTATCTTTCACATGAAATGTCTGACGACATTTATTCAAAGAGTCACGATTTGTGTGGTGTCATGTTTGCAAGCATTCCAAACTTTCAAGATTTTTATTCCGAAGACATGGAGAATGGAAAAGCTTGTATAAGAATTTTAAATGAAATCATTTGTGATTTTGATGCGCTACTTGACGAGCCGAGATTTATGACTGTTGAGAAAATCAAAACTGTTGGACAGTAAGTTAATATTTAAGCATTAATATTTATAAAACAAAATATGATATTTTGATGAACAGAACTTATATGGCAGCTTCAGGACTCAATCCAAAACATCGAGCTGAGCACGGCGGCACAGATGAAGACAGTGTTTGTGATATTGTAGAGTTTGCTATAGCAATGCGTCAAAAGCTTCAGGAAGTAAATAAAGATGCTTTTAATACGTTTCAATTACGTGTTGGAATATCATCAGGACCATTAGTTAGTGGCGTTATAGGTGCAAGGAAGCCAATATTTGATATTTGGGGAAATTCAGGTCGTATATAAATATGATTTAGTTAAATTAAAATAATTTTATCGTTATCTCATCTTTACATTTACAGTCAATGTGGCCTCACGAATGGACTCAACCGGCGAAAATTGGAAGATTCAAGTACCTGAACAAACAGCAATGTTGCTACGGAATAAAGGTTACACTTGTGTACCACGTGGTGAGATTAACGTCAAAGGAAAGGGAATCATGTTTACGTATTTTGTGTTGGGTAAAAATGAATCAGCCAGCAGATTAACATCCCCAACCATCGGTCCTGCGGGGATTCCTTCAACTACAACTCCAACTTCCATGTCATTACAACGACAAACCTCTAACCATAGCTCTTTGGCTGCTGTGGTTTACGGCATCATGCAAGCTACAAAAAGGAACACTCCATCAACTCGTAAGTTTAACAATTTTTTCATCATTTTTTTTACTTTATTTGACATGGGGCAAGTCAACAGTCAACAATTTCTTTTCTCATTCTTGAACACACATTTTTTCTACTTCAATTAGTCAAAAAAGAGATTATAACGATAATATCTAAATTGAAGAAATGATATTTTATTGGAAGTATAACTGCTTATTGCTCGTTATGATATATTGTAATGGCGTCTAAATTTTTATGATTCATTGACGTGTTTGATACGACAAAAAACAAAAATTTCAGTTTATTAAAGATCATGAAACTTTAAGACGTCATTATATGAACGTCAGTTGATTTTGAGTATTTTTAAATTCATATTTGTACATCTTTCAATCATTTCTATAATAACAATATGAAACGATTGTCTGTGAAAAGCATAAAGAATGCAACAAACTTTCTCCGTTATTGCCACAAAACTTTTTAATTAAACTTCCCTTGACGACTATACAGAGCTTTACATTTTGTGGCATTATACGTATAACTCATTCAAACATTTGATACATCAAATGAGACGTGATTACATACATCTACGGCGATAATACAAACAATTTCTCCAGCTCATATCACGAAATAAAAGAACATAGGTTGACTTTGGCCATAAAAATAAAAGTTCTTACGGAACAGAAACACAATACAAACTCTGACTTGGCCTGATGATCATTTTTATATTGTATGAGATGAGATTTTTGCCATGCCAAAAACAAATGTTACTCTGTTGAGCATGTAGCTAGAGGCGGACATGAAGGAGATACCAAATTTATGGATCATTTACAACATATTAATGGTTCTGGTACTGTTTTGAAGAGAACAATTCCCACATTTCAGTTCTTAGGTGAAGCTACTTGTCAAGCAAATTCGCCCAAACAAAGGCGTTATATAAGTGGAAATATCAATTCAAGATAAAAGACATTCTACATTCGTGTAACATGTTGCCGTTAATGTTTGATTTCGTTTATTATAAAACATATTTATCTTCAAAGATTCTTCTTTTTTTATTTCTATTCATCCTCCCTTTTAAGGCGGATGGAGGGTTGCACGAAAATATACACTATCAAATACATTGGCGTATGTAAATACATAGTTTTATGTGATAGTTCTTCCTTACTTAAATATATAATAAAAATATGTTTTAACCCTTCCATTCAAAGCTTGATTAAATATCGTTAATAAATATTTGATGTAATAGGAAAGTTTAAATTCCATTCCTAACGTTGATGAATCCTAGCAAGTTAAATGCTTGTTCCGTCAAGCAAAAGAATAAAACAAAAAAGCGTAGAAGTTTTACTCTTAACAAAACCCATCCCTACTAAAGTATCATCTTGCGAAAGCAATTAAGTTTTCGTCATAAATTCATTTGCGACCTTTGACCTCAGAATATTCGCACCCGCATAAAAAGGATAAATTAATGAGAGAATGATATGAGATTTAATCTTCGCAGCCACCGAGTTGCCATCACCGAACTTCAAGCTAGGACGAAGGGGGAGCACATTCTCATCAATGAGACTGTCACAGAAAGCATCGTCTAATCATCAAGTGCGCAGAAATACGACGAGGGTGAGAGGAAGAAGCTATAAAGAGAAAAAGGTAATTCTTAATAAATTTGTGTAAATGCAAAGCTAAAATTACGAAATAAATATACTCAACCGTACATTTCTTTTCTCTACTTCTTTCGATTACAAATTCAGAGCTTTAATACAAACATTCTACCCTTGCCACAAGCAACATTGAACATCAGCAATAACAATAACAACAGCATCAACATTGAACAACAAACGAAAACATTCGTCACAACATCATCAGCTACGATCATCTATCAATCGAAGGAAAATGAAATTTGATTTGATGTTTAAGCTCACACATTAAATAGACATTCATTTGTAAATGTCCTGATTGGAAGCCTTTATACGAATTACTTTTCAGAAGTTCGATTTAAGTCATTTTAAAATCTATTAAAATATTTAAATCTTACAGTTTTTGAAACTGGAAGAAGAAATAAAAAGAAACTTACGCTAAAGCTATTTTCTGCACTGTTGCATCATTCGATAATATTTCATTCTTAAAAACGATTTGATGAGCAATCGCTGTTTAAATTATTGCAACATTTAGGTCAACATAACTTGATCATCAAATTTCTACAGACACCAATCAAAACTTTACGACATAAATCTTTTTATAGATTTTTTTTCTGTTGTGTGTTCCATGTTTGCGTTTTATAAGCTTCCGGTGTCAATGCCGTAAGCATCATTTCAAAAATATTCCTTCCGGAAATGTTTAAATAAGACACTGTTTACAATTTCATTCATCTTAATTGTGTAAATCATTTTCTTTTCTTTAAACTCAGACACAATTAAATTTTAAGGCAATACCCAATGATGAGATTTAGACCACTATTCGTTCTCTTTTTATAGATGAAAATTTTAAATTGTACAAATATTGTTCGTAAGACTTACACAAGCTAAAATTTCTTGAGAAGGGATTGAAGAGACTGGCTTAATTCTACGGTTTTTCTGAATATTTATCCATTGAACTTGAAACTAGGTCACTAAGTGAAGAGAAACATGTTTAATTAAAAAAATCACGTGACATGTCGTGTTAAATTTCAGAAATGAATAATTTACATATTTTGTTGCATTTTCATAGAATAATTACGACAAAAATATATTTAGTTATACTATGCTTTAAAAGTCATTATTTAAGGTACTTGGTAATAGAAAGTTTTAACAAGAATTAATAGAAGAAAGAAATCTTGTAAAGAAAAGAACTGTCCAACTATATTCAAATTAAGCTTTAAAAAGAATAAAAATTATTTTGTCATTCATAAGAAGTGAATGTTAGCAATGTAAGTATGAAGACGAGGAAATATTGTAAATAGTTGAGATTTAAATTTTATATTAAAATTAATATATTTGTGTCATCGTTATATATACATGAACTTCAATATGCTTCTCATTACTGCATCATCCAGAAAATTTTACAAAACAAAGCCAGACACAAAAAAAAGAAAAGAAACATTACGAAAAATACATTTTCGACATGTGTAAAATTAGATCGTCGGCTTTGATGTAGGTAAAAGTTTATTTATATCGGAAATGAAACTTTACTTCAGGGTGAGTGATTTAATGTATGAAGAACTATTTAAATGAAAATTAAAACAGATCAGCTTAATATAAAATCGTAAATCCTACAATTTTAATGCCGAATAATGAATAGTGTAAAAGAAGTTTTTCGCACACATTTCATTTTTATTATTTCTCTTGTGAAGCTACTTAAGAAAAAAATGGATACCATCTCAAAGTACTTTTATGTTTTGTTCCAGAAAAAGAAAATCATAATGATAATAAAAGGTTTCATAAAAATTTAAACTGTCTATTCTCTGTTTTCGTAATTCGTCAGTAGCAATACAATAGACGCTGTCGAGAGATTTGGTTAAGGCAAAGGTACCATAAATTTCTAAATTTTAAGTATCTAATCTAAGTTAGAAATAAGAAAATGTTTAATGTTTATTGTTATAAGGTGTAGGCAGAAAACAACAGCAAGTTCCCGTTTTGATAGGATTTGTTAATACACTTTAATTTCCTGTGTGAAAAAGAAAATAAACAATATGAATTGAAGTGAGTAAGTACTTACTAATGTATTAATTACCTACATGGCAAAACCCGCTATAAAAACGTGCCTGATAGACGAAACATGAAATTAATTGTAAACCCATCAAAACAATTTCAAAACATGATTGAGATTTTTTATGCACACACCAACACATACTTTCTAACTTAGATTTGTGGAGGTGAGAAGACTGAAGTATTTTTATGAGATGCGTCTCTTCTTTCAATGAATCCATCGGTCGATTGCAACAAAACTTGAAGGAATGTGTTTAAAAAAGACGAATGAGAGGAAAAAGAATCCATAAAAGTGCTTTGCCTTTGCAGCGGATATGGAAGGACAGATGTTGATGTGTATGCAATATGCTGTCGAGCATATGGTGGGGAATTTACCAGCAGCTTAAAAAAAGCCGAGCGAAAGGCAAAATATTTCTTTGATTGTATTGAGAAGTGCGGTCTCTTATCACCCAGGCAACAACAATTTCATTTCCGTTTCTATTCTGTTAAAAAAATAATGAATGCAAATGGTGCATAGCACGTTTTTGCCGAAAAATGGTAATAATAATAATAGATAGCAATTTTCCATTTAAGTGGAGGATTAATTCAGGTATAAACGCTCTTGTCATCTTATTCATAAATTTATAAGTATTTTTTTATCGGTAGAATCTTACTTAACGAATACATTTGTAGCTGTCATCGGCGAAAAGCAGAACTTTCTTTAAACAACAAACAATGAAAATTATTTTTGCTGAATGAAGCGGTAAAAGAAGAATTCGTATTAAAGTTATTGGGAAATAAATTTTACTATTTTATGATTTTATAGTAAAAATTATGAGAAAAAATTTAATGTTGCTAATAGATTTTTATAAATAAAAGCAAGCATAAGTTTCACGATCAAAATCAATGACTCTCTGATTTCCTTTTCTCTCGTGAAATGCATTTTACTCTCATATCTAGGTGAAGTATCCACATTTAAAAGTATCACTTTTATGGTCTACATATCTTGTAACAGGAAATAAAGTCTACATCATCATAATGAAAAATGAGTCTGCAACAATTTTTTTATTTCATCCGATTTTTCATTAAAGTATTGCTGTATAAATATAAACCTTCTCACTTAGGGTTTCCTACCCTGAGCATTCTCTCTCGTAAGCGATTTCATTCATGAATTTCAGTCATTTTTTTTTCTTCCTCTCGTTTTGTGTTTGCTCATTACCTTCGAAGCAAAAAATAATTCAGTTATTAGTGAACCATTGCACGTTGATGTTGAGTCGCTTCTTTTGAGTGTGTACTTTAATTTTACATTAAAAACTCGATTCATTCATAATTAATATTCAATTTTTGTGACGAAAGAGAATAGAAAATCGTGTTTATGATTCAGCTGTGAATGAATGAATTGAAATAAAATATGAAATAAAAACGTGAGAATAAAATGAAAATTCGTTGAGAGACAAGCGACCGGAAGCCAAACAAACGCCCAAAAAGAGTTCAATTATTTTACCAAAAGCTTATGCAGATTTTTTGGTACTGAATAAAATTTACTTACATAAAAAGAGTGAATCGCAGAAAACCCAAATCATTGATATTGGAAAGTCATAAATAAGAACATTAGCAGCGCAGCAATCAACTTCCCAACCTTCACATATTTTCTGTTGAATGTAGGTGGACGTTTTTCGTGTCTTTTAACAATCAAAATATTAAACTATAAAAACTTGTCGCGTTACAACAAATGAATAATTACTTAGGTATGATTATTTTTTATAAAGACAAGCTATAAGCACCTCAATCACGTGAATAAACACACAGAGAGAGTGAGAGAGTTCCTTTAAAGTTAGGCTTCGATCGATACCAAGTTTAAAAATAATCACTTCCAATCGAATAGTTTCATAACATGGATGCAAAAAGGTTGTTCTTTTTCATTTGATTAGTCACTTGGAAAAAAAGAGGCTTTCAACAATTCTCAGGCGGAAATATTGTTAAAAGTTCACTCAATTTGTTAACCGTTGTGTAAAAGAGTGAACTGTGTGAATACATTATTTCTGTGATTATGATAAAATTATTGAAGTTTTTATGAAACAATAATTATGTTGTTAGATTCATAATCACATGCTTAAATATATAGTTAATCATGCATAATTTAAATATTGACTTTCAATACCGACAACTTCCTTTTATTATTACGACTTTTTTTAACCAAAGTGTTGTCTATTATAGTTCTTAAATGATTATTTCTTTAAAGATAAAAAATTTAATTGACAAATCAGTGAATTTATGTTTCAAGAAAAGTTTTATGATTTTTTTTGAGACAAAATAGAAAGTAAAAAAAACGTTAAAACTGATTCAAAATTGTTGTTTGTAGGTGTTTGTATTCAGCACTATTCAGCAGATTCTGTGAAGCGGTATCATTGTGTTAGTGTATAATAAGAACTTGAAACTGCTTCTTAATTAATTATTGAATTTAGTAGTTAAGAAGGCAGCAAAGATCTCATATCCTATGTTAAAGTGTAATTTTGGATGTTAAGTGTCGAATAAAATAATTGGCCAATGATTCGATCAAGATAAGCAATCGAAAATTAAGAATTAAAATAAAGGAGGAATCTTTATGAAAAAATGGAACAACAAATGATACGACTTCATGAGGCTTTAAGGATAAAAATAGGTGAGAAACATTCAAAAATCGTAAATTTAAAGTGAACTTCTATAAAATGTTTTATAAATGAAAAACTACAACCAAACGGGATTTAAAAATGAATAATCTCTTGAAAGATGATATATGTCATTGCAATGTTAGTAACCTCGATGCTTGTCCCCTATTTTCTTACTATCTATACCTTTTTTAATTCATTTTGAAACATGTCGATAGTCAGCATACCTTGTGAATTTATGTTAAATTAAAACGTTTATAGGTTGAAAAATATTTTTTGTGTCATTACAAATGTAATTGTTGAAACGAGGCGCTTACAGGTGTGAAGCCTATTTAGTCAAAATAAGTTTGATGAATGTGAATTTAATAATTTATACTAAGTTTTGTTATCGAGTAAAAGAAATGTTTAGTTGAATGTATAGTTCATACTTTGTTGCGTGCTAGAATCTTTTACTCAATTGTAAACTTGTTTGATTTGAATGAAAACCTAGAGAAAATTCACATTCTGAAAAGCGAGTCATTAATGAATGAAAACATGGTGTACATACATACTTACACACATACATAAGACATATGCGCTGAAGGTTTTTGAATTATCTGAAGTTTTTCTTTTGTATGAATGAAAATGTGAATGGAAGAGCCTCACGCGTTGGATGTGAATAACTTCCATCCGCTGTCGACAAAAAATAAATCAACAAAATTTAATTAAAGCTCTTGGGGCATGAACGTGAAAATGTAATGAATCCGGAGTAAATTTCAATTAAATTTTCTCTGGATATTTTCAAGCAATAGATTCAGAGACGAACCCACTTTTAGTAGTAAAGTGGGTCATTGTCTCATTTGGCAAACCTACATGTACTTATCATGTATAAGTAATAATAGCTGATAAGAAAGGGAAAGTTCACATGCACTTGACTATGATTTATAGCCTTCAGCTATTTATATAACCGCTTAGAGGAGTAAATGCATTGTCTTAACACGCATATGACGTGCGCATTAATCTCCCTCCATTTTTCAACCCTCGCTTTTATGAATGAAAACCATTCATAGCAACAAATACATATGTAATACCAAAAAATATGAATGAACTTTTATATCTACTTTCGGCAAGTCGGATTGCTTGTGTACTAAATAATATTATGAATTGAAAAGAAAAGGAAAATTGTTAAAATCATTAAATCTATCAGCGACAACAGCATCTTATAAACAAAAAAGATATAGATAGGAAATATAAAATCGAGATCATTGATTTCTTTTCTTATTTTTACGTTTTCAATGAATTTGATGAACTATCAATGAATGAAAATGTTTTTTCTCTTCTCTTTCGGTATCAACATTGTGCCATTTATCATTTGCATGCTTATGTGTTAGGTTTTTTTCTTCTTTTTTTCGTTCACTCGTTTGTTTATCGCCACTTGATTTATGAATGAATCGAGAAAAAAAAACAACCTCTACGGGATTCATGAATGAAATTCTCCTCTCACTCCCTCTACTTATATGTAAACACGTAGATGTATGAATGAAATAGATTACTTAGCCTCGAATGTACTTTCTTAATTAATAATTATTTTTTTCTTTCCGCTATCTTAAGCTACATAATTATGACTTTTATAAAATAAACAACGGAAGTTTAAAGTTCACCCTCTAATCGGAATTGACTTCAAATCTATCTTTCAGGTGAAGCAAAAAATCTCGCTGGACGCGCTGCTTCAACTACAAATCGTGATGTATACTCAACAATTGCTCTTGACCAAGAGGAAATTTGTCGAACGCAGACACAGCGCAATTTATCACCATTTTTTGGTGAGGAATTTGCATTTGAGATTCCTCGAAAGTTTCGCTATTTATCAGTTTACGTGTTCGAACGTGACCGACATTTAAAGCAAGACAAAGCTGTGGGTAAAATAGCAATAAGAAGAAGTGATTTACACTTATATAATCATAAAGACCATTGGTTTCCATTACGTCCTGTGGACGATGACTCAGAAGTTCAAGGCATGGCTCACATTGAGGTGAAAATTCTTAATGATTCCGACGACCATAGCAAAGAGAATTTTAAATCTACAAGCAACAATTATACGTCTACAACCTTACTGGCACCATCATCAAATCACAAATCACCAAAGCTCCTTCATTCCACGCATGGCACAATGACTTCACGATCAAGTAGTCAGCAAGAAATCAACATTATAAGCAACAATAACATGAATAATCATAAATCATCTGGCAACTTTTTACGTGTTCCTTATACCAATTCCCACCACCAAAATCAGCGCATTCAGGTTAAGCTTAAAGCGTGTCAGGACCTGACGAGAAAAAACAACCAATGTGATCCTTACGCCATCATCAGCGCCATTTACACAAACAAGAGAAAGATTACAAGACGAACGAAAGTGAGAAAGAAAACAATTCATCCATCATTTGATGACGTATTTGAGTTTAATTTGTATGATTTTACACATGGAACACATGGAATGAGCGATAGCAAAATTTATACTGTGACGCCATTTGGTGGTAATGATTTATGTGAGATTGTAGTGCAACTATGGCATTCTGCTGGTATGGCTGATGATTTGTTTCTTGGTGAAGTAAAATTATCAGCGAGAGGAAAGCAAGAGCTTCAATTCATTCAAAAATCTGCTTGGTATACACTACTTCCACGCTCAAATGATTCACGTCCAGTGAAGTCTTGTGCGACACCGCCTGGAACGCGACTTAGTTGCGAGAATTCTCTGGGATCACTTCGACTGAAATTGCACTATCAAGCAGATCACGTGTTTCCTCTTGCGAATTACGATCACTTACTCAACTTACTCATAAAGAGTGTTGATCAACAGCCGATAACAACATCAGCAGTTTATCTTCTAGGAGAAATGGTGACAAATAAACAAGAAGTCGCTCAACCACTGGTCAAGCTCTTTACACACAATCAACGTATTGTTGAAATCATTAAAAATCTAGCTGAATATGAGATATGTAAGTTGACCGATCCTACGACAATATTTCGTGGCAATACGCTCGTCTCGAAAATGATGGATGAGGCAATGAAGCTTAGTGGTCTTCATTATTTACATTCTACGCTTAGACCTATTGTCGATTTAATTCTTCACGAAAAGAAATGTTGCGAAATTGATCCAGCTCGGATAAAGGAAAAGGAAAAAGTTGAGCAGAATTTGAATAATCTTCACGATTATGTTGAGAAAGTCTTCGATGCAATCATTAAAAGCGCGTCAAAATGCCCGAGAGTTTTATGCAAAATTTTCCATAATATGCGTGAGAGTGCGACAAAATATTTTCCAGCTAACAAGGAGGTACAAATCGTAAATTAATTGTGGGTGTTGTGCGTCAGCAATTAATTGTATTTTAATTGAACAGGTTCGATATTCAGTGGTATCGGGTTTCATCTTCCTACGCTTTTTTGCGCCAGCAATTCTCGGTCCAAAACTCTTCGATCTGACAACGGAACCATTGGTAAGTGTCGTAATAACTTCATTATTTTATTTTTTTGATTCGTTTTTCTTCTTGTTTTCCTTTTGCGACATCATTATGTGCGCAATGCACACAGGATGTGGGCAGTGTATAAAATTCTGAGAACTTCAATCACATTCTTGTACTTACAACAATTCCAATTGTTTTTTTCTTTCTTTTATCAGCTGCTACTACGACAGCTTTAAAAGAAGAATGTCAATTCATTATAAATATAAAAAGAGTGATTAATTTCTCAATCAAATAACGTTCAAAAATGAATAATTTGTAGAGCAAAGCAGAGATTCGCAAAGAAGAGAAATTAAATTGAGGGTGGGAAAGAGAGATTATGCTGAATTTAAAAATAAATATTTTTCTACATTCATATAGTTTAAAACAGCAAACCACATTGGGATCCCCTTAAGTGTTTTCCTTCGTTCACTGATTCTCACTTCTCTGCTATTTTTTTGCTTTGTTTCGCTTTTTCATTGAACAAAAGTTTCGCGTTACAAACGAAATCGAAATCATATTTCATTGACTTGGCTCTTTTTACTTTGTTTGGGCTGCGTTGTTCTTTCTACTTGTCGCTGCTGTTTGTTATTTCATGAATTTTTTTATCTTTATTCAAATATTTGTGGGCTGTTTTTTTCCTTTTTTACACTGACAAAGTATTGAGTGTTAAATTGATTGAACTCCCAAAGAGTACGCTTCGTAAATCATCAATTAAAAGTTTTATTATGTCACTTTAATCTGAGACAAAAGAAAATCAAAATGACAAACAAATGCACATGCTTAACATTTAAGTTAGTTATAACTTCCAAATCAAGCCGAAAGCTAATTGAATTGTTTGAAAAATAAGCTAAGCGGATTATGACTCAACCGAATAAGTAAATACAGAGTTTATTAAACGACTTTATAAATCTTTTTAATGAGTTTTAAAGATATTCAGACCGGAAGTTTGTGGTTTCCTGTAATTATCATCGTTCGGTGATGCGAAGAAAAATTTTTATTGACGCTCTCCTTATCCTCATTCATTTCAGGATCTCCAAACTAATCGCACATTAACGCTTATCTCAAAAACGATACAATCGCTTGGTAATCTTGTAAGTTCACGTTCAGCTCAACAACATGCGAAGGAAGAATTTACCGTAGAATTATACAAAAAGTTTTGCACTGAAAAGCACGTGGAGGCAGTGAAGAAGTTTTTAGATGCAATCTCAACAATTGCTGACTCGAGAGAAGAAGCCGATGGCAATCAAATGGAAGGAATTCTACTGAAAGACGGGTAAGTTTACATAAATTCCCTTTTTTTCCTTGTTTCATATCAAACCTCACCCTTCAAAAAACCTTGTTTCTCTTTGGAATTGTTTAACAATTACAAGGGAATGGTAAGTTGCTGTTAACTCTCCTAATAATTCCTTTTTCTCTTTCTATCAAAATATTTTCGATTATTATAAATCCATAACTCAAAAATTATTTACATATGACATTAATTTCAAAAGGATGATGACGAAACATGCCCAAAATCGAAAACGCTTTGGTCGTCGGAACTTCAAGCTGCGATACTTTCGTTTAACAACACAATCGCTTAGTTACAGTAAAACCAAGGGCAAGAGGCCAATCTGTGATATTCCATTAACGGAGCTGGTGGCCGTAGAGAGGCTTGAAGAGCGAAGTTTCAAAATGCAAAATATTTTTCGGGTAAGTTTTGTAATGAATTGTCTGAATAGTGTTGTACGATTGATTGGAGTGTTGAATGTCGCAACATCAACAACTGTTCGTTCGTATTCTTTCTAACAAGACGATAAATAATGAATCATCGAAGCAAGAAAAAGTATTCTTCCGCATTTGCGATCATGTTAATAGCGTTGGATGTTAGACGAGCCAGACATTTACCGATGGACAGTTAGATTGCGTGACAAATTACGATTTCTGTTATGGAATCAATTGAAATTATTTTCATGCGTTGTTTCTTTTCTTTTTTTTTATTGAAAATTGGATCGCATAATGTTGATCTCGATTTTTTTTTTCTTTGTTTATTTGTTGCTTCTGTTGCAGTGATTATGCAAATTATGGGAACAACTCAATGATGCTTCGTAATTGTTGACTCTTTATATTTAGATATTTATATTGTGAAACTATCTCGAAAGACGATGATAATGATGAGAAAAAAAAGAAATAATTTTTTTTGGCGATTTAAAATGAGATGACGGCATAAACCGGCAATGCCAGATGGTTTAGTTGAGAACTCGCTTCTCTCTTAATTTTTCCTGCTCCAATTTCTATTCTTTTCTATTTTTTGTATAGACGATGCAAATCCGACAGATGGGAAGCATTTTATTCAAGATTTTTTTTTATTATTTATTTCTCTCGTTTTTTATTATTTTTTTCACAACAATTATGATTGTTTAGAAGAAGGCATCAGTCATAATTGCAAGAAGCACCAACAAGCCCATTGCGGGTAGACAGCAATTACCCAACTGACACAGATTTTTATTTTCTTCTTTCCATTCCATTATAATTTTTTTTAATTTAACTTTCGCGAAGAAACTTTATTCGTTCGTCGATGCTTTTGTCTTGGGACAGAAACCAGTGACTCGAAGTGTAATTAGGTTTTAATTGGATTTTCTGTTCTTTGTTTTCATCAACTTTTGTTTTGTTTAGTTTTGAATTGTCTCGAAGGTGAAGATGAAATTTATTTCCTTCGTGGTTCACCTGGGAACCAACCGAACGATATTTCCTGTCATGACCTCTTAAATAAAATTGAGTTGACAGCGAAACTTCATAAAAGTGTTTTAATTTTATTTCATATTCGTTTACATTCAGACATGGCCATGGCCGCCTTTTTTTTTTTGTAAACACACACAATTTCTAGTAACTTACTTTTCACTGCTGATTTTATGTTGTTAAGCGGTTTTTATTTCTTGTATGAATGCTGTTAATGTGTTTTTACATGCTAAACATTATTCTAATTATTCAAATATCTTCTCATTCATAGATTATTCGTAAGGAGCGTCCCATTTACATCCAGACATCAAATTGTGTCGAAGAAAAAGAGTGGGTGGATTTATTGAGTAAAATATGTGAAAACAATAAAAGAAGATTGGACACGTTTCATCCATGTGCATTTATCAACGGCGAATGGACGTGGTAAGTTGAAAATTTCTTTTGAGTAACATTGAATTTCATTATAATGTTTGTCTTTCAGTTGTAATGCCAGCGATCAATATGCAAAAGGATGTAAACTGATCGATGATACACCGTTGGAAGTAGATCTTCTTACACAATTGGATCCAGCACGAGATCTTCAACGTCTTCACACACTCATCATAAACAACATTAATGTTATGCAGAAGTGTTTCAATAGTAACATGGGAAATGATGATGAAATGATGTTGACAAGACAAACGCTTCAAAGATTGACAGAGGTCGCCATGCAACTCGAACAAATTCACAGAAAGCACAGAAATAAAGAAAATAAGGAAATGAAGATTGGAAGCCAACAAGAGCCTATTGGCGATGATAATTACTTGCGTGGGATGAGCTCGTCAAGTCTAAACTCAGGGGCTTCAACAACACCTCGACCTCCTCCCACACAACATTTTGAGATTCCGCCAGCTCTCTTCCAACGTGGTCACTTTCTCAGAAACTCTGATAGTGAAAGATTCTCGCATTTCTAATAACGACTGATTCATCAACGGAAACGCTGATCTAAGAATTACGACAACTCTAAAGATGACGCAAAAAAAGAAGCATTCATATTATATATTTATGTAAATGAGCTTTTCATTTATATATTTTCTTACTGGCAGCGGATATGAGAGTTAAAAATGGAAATGTAAAATGTTTTTAGTTTTTTAAAAACAGATAATTTCTATTTTTCAATGAACTATGATGATGAAACTCTTGAGACTAAAAAATAATATAAAATCGCGATAATGAAATAAAAAGATGTTAATTGATATGAAATAAAAATCCTTTCATGTTGTGTAATTAGCTTAAGGTGACAAAACTGAAAAAAGAGAAATAACAAAAAAAATTAATAAATGTAGAAATTCTCGTTGAAATCCATTGGATTAATATTATTTAATAATTATTATTATTCTTATTATTTTTATTCTTTTACATTGCAAATATTTCCTTTTATGTTATAGAAGGATCCTTGTTCTAAAATTAAGTTTTTAATATTTTTTAAATTCGACTAAGGACTTACAAAATACTTTTTAAGAATGAACATCTTAAGGACAAAATCTGAAACAATTAAGTTTAATTATAAAAAGAGTTAGCAATAAATTAAAAAGAATATATGAAGACAAATACATAGAGTATTTAATTGCTTTTTTTAAGAGACAAAAATATTTTTATTGTTTTTTTAAAAGGAAATGAGGAAAAAATTATCACAATAAGAGCTTTCGGTAAACATTGTACTGAAACATTGAAGAAGAGCTTTCAATGTTGACGCGATGTTTTAGTTGAATGTTTCATGTTCATTTGAAAAATACCATCTGGGGGATACCAAGGGGAGAAAAATTACATAAGAAATATTAAATTAACTTCTTCGACTTCAGTATTATTTGAATCGTCGATGGGCCGCCTTTAGTTTGCACTTTCAAAGGTTGGCAAAACATTTGTTAAACTGAATCGCTGCTGAAAATATTTAACAAAAAAGAGAAAACATGTGTCTAGAGGAAACATTTGATCTTACTTTACTCACCTTTTTCTCATTTTGAATTTTTATATTATTCCGTTTGGTCGAATAATTAAACGATGTTTTCCTCATAATTTTCTCGCTCATTCTTCTTGCCAGCGTGGATTTGTGAGATTGCATATCGGAGACTTTTCGTGTAAATACACGAGAAAAGAGAAAAAATATTCAAATGTTAATGAAGTGAAAGGAAAATGTTAGCTTTTCTATCAAAGCTCAAGGTTAAAGATGGAAGAAAATTAGCATAAGATATGCTTGGAAATGCTATGAAAAACAAGATCTTTAAGAATAAGAAGTAAAGAAATATTTTGAGGAAAAAATCAGATAGAAAGCTTCAAAAGAGAAAACACATTGAAAAATATATGAAGATATTGGTAGACACTTGAAAAACAAAATTTCATGCGATTTCCTTGTTCAAGCATTCGGGCAAAGGTTAAGATGCGATAAAAACAATTTTCAGATGAAGATTGAAGGAAAAAAGCCGAGGAAAGTGGAAATATTTATGAGGTGGAGGCAAGGAAGTTCAATTACATACGCCAATGTGTTCGACAGCGTGTATTTGCGAACAATTTTCCAGCCACCTTTTATAACGTATTAGAAAATATAAAATTTCACTTCAGCGATATTTTTTTCAAATATATTTTTGTTATTAAGTTTTTAAAAGCAAATATCTAAAGCATTAATTTATTAAATATGAAGAAACTTACGAGTTGATGGTCCTTGTTGTGTCACTTGAATCATTCCATAAACAACAGCTGCTAATGAACTATGACTCGAATGCTGTCGCTGCAATGAAACTGGTGACTGAGCTCGTGCCATAGGAATGCCAGCAGGACAAATTGTAGGAGATCCTAATCGACTTGCAGATTCGTTCTTTCCCAGCACCCAATAAGTAAACATAATTCCTTTGCCTTTTACATTTATCTCACCACGAGCAACACAAGTGTAACCTTTGGTACGCAAAAGAATTGCTGTCTGCTCAGGTACTTGAATCTTCCAGTTTTCCCCTGTCGAATCCATTCGTGATGCCACATTCACTGTCATAAATTTTAAAATTTAATAAAATCTGTCAATTCGTCAGGTAAATTGTCAATTATCTTACCCGTGTTTCCCCATATATCAAAAATTGGTTTTCTCGCTCCAATAACGCCACTTATAAGTGGCCCTGATGATATTCCAACACGTAATTGAAACGTATTGAAAGCATCCATGTTTACTTCTTGAAGCTTTTGACGCATTGCTATAGCAAATTCTACAATTTCACAAACACTGTCTTCATCTGTGCCACCAAGTTCAGCTCGATGTTTTGGATTGAGTCCCGATGCTGCCATATAAGTTCTGTTAATGGAATTTCATAGTAAAAAGAATAAAACTACCGTAATGTTAACTTACTGTCCAACAGTTTTGATTTTCTCAACTGCCATGAATCTCGGCTCATCGAGAAGTGCATCAAAGTCGCAAATAATCTCATTTAAAACTCGAATGCAAGCTTTTCCATTCTCCATGTCTTCGGAATAAAAATCTTGAAAGTTTGGAATGCTTGCAAACATGACACCACACATATCGTGACTCTTTGAATAAATGTCGTCAGACATCTCATGTGAAAGATAATAAGATGCAACGTGCTCGGGAAGAATGTTTTTGATAAGTAAATCGTTAAGGTGACGGTTTGATTTCATATTTGAGAGTTCACGTTCAGCTTCTTCCTTCCAAATGAAATCCAAGCGAGCTGTCACTTCCACAAGCCTCGCGTGATGAATTACCATGGTTAGGAATGCACCAAGAAGTATAACCATTTGAATTGACAACGATACTCCCATTAGATCTAAACTATCAGTGTAAAAGTCGAAGACGTCAGGATAAACGAAAAGAATGAGTATGCAGAAGACGGTGACAAGTGCGATTGCCATGAAGGTTTTCACTAAATAGTAGAGCTTGAGAGCTGCTGCAAGGGCAGTGAGACAAAGCACCCATGTGAATACAACATACTTTGGCTGTTCACATAGCAATGAATCAACTGACGTATTTGATCTGTTCAAAGATTCTTCAAAGTTCGCAATAGAAGAGCGAAAATTCTCAGAGTTGAAAGCAGTCATTCCCATAGAACTTGCAGCTGACATGAGAACTATAGTAGCACAAGCAATCAATGTTCTTCTGCTTCGATCAAGGGTCAACTCCGCAGAAAATTCCTTCAAGAACCTTGGTAAACCAGGATACTCCTCAGCCATAACCAGAATACAACCAGCTGAGATTATGGCTGTTGTCACTAACAGGGATGCACTCAGAAACTCATTACTTGGAATTATCACAAATTGACAAATCACAATGAATATCCAAACGATGAACATGCACATCATATTTGATCGAAACATATCTTCTTTGAGTTGACAAAAGCAGACTTCTTGGAGTGGTTCTTTGAACCTTAAAGTCCATGTATTCAAATATTCTTCTCGCATTTGTTTGTTTGAATTTATCTGAATATTCTGATCAATAATTTCATCGACAACTTCTTCGGGTATTGCTGAAAGTGAGTCGGTTTCTTCGGTATTATCAGCAGCTTCGGGAGTTAAAACTTTTTCCTTAAGCTGTAAAGAATTTTCATTAGATAAAATAATTAAATATATTAAGAATGTTTGGAATTTGTTTTCACTTCACATTAACTAATTTAAGTTGAAACGAAGATCAAATATTGTAAGGAAATAAATTACATTTTGAAATGGAATTTCTGGTGTCCAATTCGTTTGTTCTTCTTCTTTCATGGTAGTTCGAGATGGTTGCTTCATAAGTAATCCATCCTTGTTTTCACTGGATTGTCTTCTGATTTGTTGTGAATCTCGATGAACGAGTTTTCCTTTTTTTGTTCTCAATGGTTCTGTTCGTGTTATTAAGTAAGTTTTAATGTTCATCATCTTCAAATGATTATCTCTAGATTCGCCATCGCCAGGCTCAACATCATAAGCTCCGTTTAAGCATTTCAATGTTGCTTCGGAGATGTGAACACGTCCTGGAATTCCACCACTTTCCATATGATTAGCAATGATGACATCATTAGACCAAACGTCAAAATGCCATTTCTTGTCACCGAGAACACCGCACATGACACTCCCACTGTGGATGCCAATTCTCATGTCAAGATCTTCAACATTTGTTGTGCTTCTTACATCTTTGATTGCTTTTATCATATGTAAGCCCGCTTCAACACTACAAATGGCGTGATCTGGCCTTGACTTCCAACTTTGCTGATCAAACATTGAAATGCAATAATAACAGTCACCAAGCAACTTTATTCGAAGACAATGATTATCCTGACAAGTAAAATCGAGGGTGGAAAACATTTTAATCAGAAATAAAGAGAAGAACATTTGTTTATGTTTTAACACTGAAAATCGAATGAATTTAACACCCACAAATCTATTCCAAAGGAATCGTATTACAAAATCAAAAATGGAAATAAATTTGGATTTCAATAAGCGATGCGTAACAGATTTAGTTACGTAGGTAAACGAGGAGTTTGAAATAAGAGAGAAAAAAATATTTCTCACCTCAGCAATTTTATCAAATCTAGCAAACAAATCGTTTAAAATTTTCACAAGCTGTTGAGCAGACGTGGTGCTTGCGAGCTGCGTAAATCCCTTTATATCGGCAAAGAGAATGCTAACGTTATCCATGTGATAAATGTAAAGTTTCTTGAATTGTGTGTCACCCTCGTTGGGCGTTTTATACATTTCTTTTCGAATGTCATTATTGACAAACATTGGAAGAACTGAAAGTACATAGAAAAAATATTTTCATTTGATATCTACAAGTAGGTGTATAGATAGAAATATTTACTCGAGTCTAAAAGTCTTTGCGTCTTCTGATATTCTTTCTCGGATTCCTTTTTATGTTCCATTGCTTTGTGCGTCTCGATGAATGCTAAACGTTGGCCTCGATCTGTCAAATATTTTGTGTACATTCCGGCAAAATTGATGGCAACATAGAGCATCGTATTCGCGACCATTTGCTTTACGACACATGATGCATCGATGTAAGCATCTTCACGTCGTGTTTGTTCAAATTTGGCGAGTGTTGTGATGATGATGTGAGTGACGGCGGTTATCGTGCCTCCAATCATGCACCATTTAAGTGGAAGTGGAAGCATCGCGTATGGCACGAAGAGAGTGAACAAAATATACCAAACCAAATATTCGCGAACTGCAAATCCGATCCCTTCTCCAACAAATCCTTGCAGATTAAGCAGCAACCACGTACAGGTAGCAGCCCAATGAAGATAATTGTTGGCAAAACATCTCCACAAGCCCAACATGCAAATTCCCAAATTGGCAAGAACACAACAAACAGACCAGATGATGGCATTCACTGGAATTTCCTGTCGGAATTAACAAGTCACATGTTCCCGTATCATTATCAACTTTTCAAATTAAATAAAATGAAAAAGCTCCCTTACGTTATGTTTTTGTTGAAAAATGTAAACAGCTGCGAGAACAAACTTCAGTACCAAATCCACGGCATTTACAATAATGAGAGACTTTTGTCGTTGACGATGTGAATATGTTAAGTAGCTTCGTTCTAAAGATGCCGCTCTAGGGATTTAAATAAAAAGTAACAAGATACATGTCATGATAAAAGCTCACCGGAAAGAATTTGTCAGAGAAGGGCAAAGAATTCCCCGGACGACATTTCCCTTCTTAAACGTTGTATATGCGTAATTAGAGAATGAAGCCGAGATATGATGATCGTGTTGGGTTTGGTCACTGAACGTATTGTTAAGATGATGTTGAGTCATTCTGTGCATTTTACTGGTACCTCCATCACGGAAGTTCATTGAATTGCTACCTTTTCGAGAATCGTCTTTCACATGAGAAATTTTTATCAACAATTCGCTGTAATCAGAACCATCAAGTGGCAGTCTATTCGAGGTTGCGTCATTTTTTTGGACATCAATTAGAGGGGAAAAATTTGAGTCCTCAATATTTTTATCATCATGTTCATCAGTAAATGCGTGGATTTGAGGACTGTTATCCTCTTGGGATCCGTTAAAGTTGAGCATTAAATCACAAAGTTTGGGGCTGTTTAAAACAACGAATAAAATTTTTATTTAGAAGAAAAAAAATTTCAGGTTGCCGGGATAGGCTTGTTGGGTGCTTAAGTTCGATTATTGTAACCTTTCAATGAATCCTTTTTCTTTGATGTTCCTAATTAAACTCTTCAATCTTTTTTTTTTGGTCATTCTGCTTGAAAAATCAAATCACGAACGAATAGAAAAATATAAAAAAAGGGTTGATGTGTGAATTATCCGTGAAAGCAATTGACGAACGGAGATGCTTTAAAGTTCTTTTATCCGTGTTCACTTACTGTGATTTGTTCTATTTTCACGCATGCCAGCTTCCAATGAATCTCATTTTAATTTATCGATGAAAACGCATTTTGTATAGATTTATATTTCATACTCGAAGCTTGAATAACATTTAAGAAGTTAAGGAGAATTTTTGTTTATCAAACAATTTTGAGCATGCGAAAATGATTTTTAAATTGAAAAGTGTAGGTGGAACAATGTATATAAACAATAATAAAGTACGAAGATAGGCTTAAAGCTAACATAACAAGTTTCTCTTTCTTATCAAACTTCAGCGTTACGTATGAAAAGTAATTTGAGCTCGTTTAGAACAAAGTTTCTCAAGTAAGAGTGCCAATAAAAAGTTATCAAATAGCTGTAACAACAAATTTATATTTAATTGCACACTTTGCAGAGTGATGTTTGTATAGCAAAGAATTTTTAATAATTATTACAATTGGAATGACATTGAGATTGTTTACTCACCTTAATAAACTGGATTGTGATAATTCATCGTCATTATCCATCATCATTTCACTTGGTTTAGATAGGTACAAATATTATTAATATGTATTAAATTGCTTAGATTTACAATATTATATATCTTATGCTTTTCACTACAAAGTTTTCACAGGTAAACGATGTTCAATCACCAAGTATTTATTATCCTTTAAAATTTTCCACTTCAGTGATTTTAATCAACTTTAAGAGTCTTTTGTTTCAAACAACAAAGCAGACTTGAAATGTTTATCACAACATTATAAGCATCCTATTGGACAAGGAATAAATATTTAAATGAGTTGTTGAAACGTTGAGATTAATTGCGAATGATGATTTTTAATAACACTTAAAAAGAAAAAAAAAAGTAACCGAAAAGTTTCCCAAAATCTTCAGCTAATAACTTGAATGGAACTTGGAAAAGGGAAATGTTTCAAACAAGTTAAAATCATTTTAAGCTTAAACTTCTTCCAATTAAAGAGATTAAAATATAAATAGGAGTTGAAACATTGACGGCTGAATCATTAAAATGAAATTGTGAGGGAGAAAGAATTTAAAGTCTTTCATTCTTCTTGTTCATCATTTCCCACACTTTTTTTTTATTATCTACTTCAAATAATACAACTAAAACCAATCTCAATTCAATATTTTCGGAAATTACCTTTGAATCAAAGCAGAACCTTTGATAAGAAAAATTCAATAGACATTTCTTTTGCTCTTTACAATAAGATATTTGATAAAAATGACGACGTTCATGTTATTCTTTCTATTCACTTCCCTCATATCAATTTTTTCCGTCTATATTTCTGCATGTACTTCACTTCAGTATTTACTTGGGAAAGAAAATTTAATAAACATTTATCATGTAATTGAAGTTTTCCCCGGGAGCCTAAAAAATTTTTCGTTTTTTGTACAAGTCTTCATTCATCAGAGAATTTTATAAAGAACAGAAAAAAAATACGTTTTGCTTTTCTTAATTCACTGACAGATCTTGAGTTAATTTACATTTCAATGTCATGGAAATTATTGAAGAATTTTTCCTTTTTACGATGTTCAAAATATTTTTATATTTTTTATGTTGAAAAGGAAACAGCAAATTTCATGCTTTAATGGATGATTTAAGATATTTATGAGCCAATTAATTATTATACCCCACCGTTCACTTTTCACTTTTAAATTTGCCGTCTTTCGTCCTCCACGGCTCACTTGATACTGAAGCAGAGATTTCCGTAATTAATTTGAATGCTCACAGAATGTACTGTTGCGTGTATGGAGCAAATATGAGAGAATCTTGTGATTTAGGTCAGGAAGAGACGTAAAAGATATGAAGCTTTGCCACGTGCTTTCATTATTTCTCTCGGAGAAAACGTTTTTGAGAACCTAATGCTGGAAGTGAAAGTAAAATGTCTGTGGCATGCTGTGCAACTTGTTGATATTTATATTCACGAAATGTTGTTGAATAAAACTTTGGGATTTAATTGAAATAGCCCAAAATTGTTTGCAAAATCTACCTGTAAAGTAAATTGTAATCACAAATGAGGGTTCTATTTATAAGCGATATCAAAACCTTTGACATTTCAATCTAATGCTTTTAAATGAAGTCGTATAAAATTTCTTTCATCCTTTTCGTCATCAATGAATTTTCAGTATAAAAATATGAATTAAGAAATCAAATTAATTTCAAAATTCAACAGATCCTTCCGATAGAAGAATCAAGAATGAATCAGAATGTAATTTCATTCCAAACTATTTTTCTTTTATATTTAACAAAACTTCAGTATTCCATCTTGCTGTTCAAGAACATTTAACACAAAGCAAATAAACATTCTCTCTCTCCTTCATTTTCTTATAATGGAATCTTGAAGAAACATTTGAAGTCATAAATTATTCATTCAAAAAGGAAATTTATGAAAATTTATGACTCAAGGTATAATTAAAGATTCAAAACAAATAATTCTTACGAGTGCTTTATTGAGCTTCAACATTTCAAAAATAAATATTTCAACTTGTAAAATTATTTTCATTTTCTTTTTCTTAAATATAAATATAAGTTAGTTAATTTAAAAACCATTTCAGTGGCAGAGTTAAAGTAGAAATTTTCGTATTTAAAATCAATTGAAAAGAAATCATTTTTAAATAAAATTATTTATATCACAAACATGTCTTTTATTTGCTAAATAATTGAATCCCTTTCAGTAAGCTCATGCCACCTGAAACGTTGAAGTTGACGGATGTGTAGACTGTGTGGGTGTAACATTTATCGGAATGTTTGGAATCTTCGACTCATCCAATATCGTGTCTTCTTCATAAAGATAATTAGGAACAATCGGACGATTTCTTCTGAAGAATCTCGATACGAAAATAAATGTCGTTACTAGCACTGTTGATGCGAAGATGCTCATCACTGTTTATTATCGAAAGATAAAATTAATATTTGAGTATGAAAGGAAAATTACGGAATAGTTTGAATTACCTAAGACCATCCATCGTGATAATTTGTTTGTTTCCATATTTCTTAAGATGCCTAAAATGTTTTCTCGATTTCCTTTCAGATAATTTGGTGGCTCAAGTCCAAGAATCTCACAAAATAAGAAGAAGAGATCGACAGTGTCGAAAGGATTCACAACATTATCATCTTTAATAAGATGTCCATAAGCGAAGAAGATTGGATGCATTGACTCATAAGCATTGTCATATCCATGGACTCCATATTTGTTTGTAGGCGTAATCACAATATTATAAGCTTTCTCATACCATTCAGCAGATTGATACATGTCTTGGAATCCATATCCAAGATCAGCAACTGCGGTGATTGGCCCAACACGCTTTTTATTGTAAAAATGCCATCGCTCAGGCAGAGTCGAATCGAGATAAACTTTAAAAGTTCTTTGGCTTTCAGCTGCCTTCACAAGATTGTCGTATATGAAATTTGTATCTTGAATATCTTCAGGAACAATTTGAAGAATTGGCGTTGTGCCATAATAATTGACTTTTTTATTCCCAATCAATTTTGAAAGGTCAATAACATTCTTGAGTTGAAGACTGTCCATACCATGATCACTCAAATGTACAACATTTACCCGATTTTCAAGATTATGCTGTTTGATCTTTTTGTAAAGATATTCAGTGACAGTATTTAATTTAGATACTAATTGTGTTATTGTGTCCGATTCAGGTCCAAAGGCATGTGCATGAGTATCAGGTTCTTCAATGTAAAACATTATCAGATTGGCCGGCGACTCCTTATTAAGAATCCATTGAAAAACTATGTCAACACGTTCTGTGTAATTAACAGTTATATTGTAGTGCAGATTGTGTGTACATTTCACACCATCATATTCATAGTCTGAACCTGGCCACATCATGCAGCCGCTTCTTCCACCAGACATCTCGTTTAGGATCCAGATGGGCTTAATTTCACTTTTAAAATGAAACAATTCAAATGAATATTTCAAAGGTTTCTCTAAGTCAAAATCATAAAGGGAGTTGGCCATTACACCATGCTCTTCAGGAAATACTCCTGTTGCTATTGAATGATGATTGGGGAAGGTTTTCGTGGGAAAAACATTTCGCAAATATTTAGCTCGAGTTGAATTAAATCGTAATGAATTCGTAAACTCTGTTACATTTCTGTTGAAATATTCATTTCGAAAGGCATCGTACGAGACTAAAATAGATGAAAGAAAATATATATAGTGACTCATGTCTTAGATAACAAAGACTTTTAATTAAAATACCTATAATAAGAATTTCATTCTGGTTGAGAGCACCAAGAATATTTATCAAATAAAAGAATAGAATAAAATGAAATGTTTTCATTCTCTTAATTAAACTACAGATAATTGAAATCACTGATTTTTCTTAACTTTTGAAATCTAAAAACTTTCAATTTTGATCATTTAGACGTAAACAAAGATTTTGTTAGTTACGACCATGAATTTGACTAAGTTATTTGCCATATGGACTTTAGTTTAAATTTCTGATGGCGGTTAAAACTATGAAAATGATTTTATTAAAATACTTGAAGTTGTTACATAAATTTTACTCATTCTTGTCATTTATTTATATGTTCAGGATAAATATTTTTTTTATTGTCATTATTTTGATTACATGCCAGCACGATCAAAATATTGACCGTCCACTTCTTGTGGTCCCCATTTATCATTTGGACGAAGTAAATCTTTGATAGTTCCTTTCCTTTTAACTATTACAATGACAGCTAAAACAATCATTGGAATAAGAGTAGATAATCCAAACATCCATCCAATAAGATCAGCCCATAGTGGGAATATATAACCATGGAATTCTGTTGCTCCAAGATCTGTAAGAATAAATGCCAAAACAGCAACGGATCCAATAGGTGTAATAACGATCCAAACGGATTTCCAATATACCAAAATTAACTTTCTTAATTTCATTCCCATATCACGAATATTGTCGATAGTTCTTGACATTCCATAAACCCATGATAAAACAATCACTTCAGCAAATCCAATCAACAAAATAGCCCATGATGCAGTATGCCATTCCATTAATGTGAACAAGTAAACTCCACCATTGCATGTCATTGGCAATGCAGCAATGAAGCAAGCAATGCACGTTCCTGCAGTCACACGCACTTCGTGTTCTCTTAAATGCGGCCAATGATCAATGATCGATGTGGTCATCATTTGAACCCCTCCAAATTGAGATCCCAATCCCAATATGAGCATCATGAAGAAGAAAAGAATTGCCCAGAGTTGAGGTAACGGCATTAGAAGAACAGCTTCTGGATAAGTAATGAATGTTAAGCCCGGTCCCGAAGCAACAACATCTTCAATCGGAACATTCATTGATGCTGAGAGAAAACCTAAAATAGAAAAAACGACGAAACCAGCAAACACCGCAGTCATAAAATTTGCTAAAGACACAAAAACTGCATCAAAGTGACAGTTGTTTTTGAACTAAATTATTTTTTAAATTAGTAAATTAATTTAAAGAAAATAAATCTCACTGACCTTGTTAAAGGAAGCAAAAGTGACTAATGATCCACAAGCAAGACCAAAAGAATAAAAAATTTGACTTGACGCATCACCCCAAACAGCTGGTCTTAAAAGTTTTCCCCATTCTGGCGTAATATAAAACCACATACCGTCAACAGCACCTTCTAATGTCGCTGCACGAATCAATAATGCAGTGAGAATAAAATAAGGAAAAATTGCAGTGAAATAAACAACTTTTCCCATCGATTGAACTCCTTTCATTATACAGAAGAACACAAGAATCCATCCAATTGCTAAGCAAAGCACCAAATGTCCTTGAGGAAATCCCCAGCCTTTTGTCCAAGTAGCATCAAATAATCCAAGTACTCCATCACTTTAAGAAGGGAAAAACATTGATACAATTCTAAATTAAAGTTAAACTCACTAAAAGAATTCTTCTGATGACAGTCTTCGAAATATCACTTCGTTCAATGGAACTTCCGAATTTGTCGTTTGGTTAAAACAGAAATTTACATTCACTCCTAAAAGACCATTTTTTGAACAGATTGATTCAATATCGACACAACTGCCTCGAAAGAAGATTTCGTCTGATGGATTTCCCTCGTTAAATCTTTGACAATTAATGTCTTCAATTGTACTGAAACAATCTGATAAAAAAGGAATTAAAACATCCAATTAACGAATCTGGTAAGATTATGAGATTTATGAATGAAACTTACTTTCAGAATTCCATTCATTATCACAACTTCCCCAGATAAGAGTCGGAAAAAATGACGTCCAAAGATAATAAAGAACCCATGCGATTATGACCATATAATAGATTGAAACGTAGCTGATAACAAGAAGCGTACAATACCCGACTCCTGAAAATAGTTATCAGTATTATGATTTAGTCTACAAAGATATCAATATACTTAAGTTAAAGAATTAACGCGAATACATTAACTGGAAAGAAGTTAATCTGACTCGATAATTTTTCTTATCTTTTTTCTTTTACGAGCCAGACAAACAGGAACGAAAGATTTATTCAATATATCGTTTTTGAACTAATTAAACTTAATTAAATATCTATTAAAAGTTGAATTGTTTTATCATTGAATAACATTTTTTTTTCTTTTATCAGATTTATGATGACTTTTAAACACTTATGGTTTATTCCTTAACAAGTTTGCCAGTGCATTGCAATGGGTTCGCAGGTTTTGATTTCAATAAACATTGAGATAAAAAACATGATTACAAACCTCTCTTTAAATATAGCAAAATATCAAGCTTTTAATAGAACTGCGTAAATTGATTCTTCGTTTACCTTTAAAAAGTGGCGAAATATACGAATAAGCTTTTATTGGACTAAGTCCAGAATACTGGCCGATAAACAATTCCGCGAAAAATATTGGAAGGCCGATAACGAACACCATTAGTAGATAAGGGATAAGAAAAGCTCCACCACCATTCCGGAACGCTAGATGTGGAAACCTCCACACATTTCCCAATCCAACAGCATAATTTAAACACGAGAGTATAAATTCAATCTGATTCCCCCAATTTCCTCGTGCTACTAACTGTGTTGTTGAACCAGTTGGAGAATTCTCTGAATCATCTGCAAAGGACAAATCTGGGATTGCCTTTGATTTTATTGACATTTTTCACAAGTTTATTCAACTGAGAAAAAAGCTTCGTACCCCTTGTGATTGGTGAAAGTAAAATTTTTGCGATTAATTAATTACTCGGTTTTTTATACAAGTGAAATATTCTAAAAACGCTCAAAAACATTCTAAGTGATAATAGTTTACTCGGAGGAATGGAATCCTCGAAGAAGAGAAAGTCATCGCCTCAAGAAATTGTGCAAGGTGCGATCAAGTCGAAGATGAAAAAATCTCGTCGTTCAAAACGCAGAAAACCATCAACAACAACCTCAAATAATGATGTTTTACCACCAAATGACATCAATCAGTCAGGTTCTGATAGTGATAGCTGTGATGTTTTGAGTTCTTTTCAGAATCAAACAAACATCCCGCATCCTAAAATCCAACAACAACAACAAGTTAAAAACCAACAACAAAAAGGTAAACAAAGTGAGGAAAAAATTAAAAAAACTAAGCCGATCATTGTTGAATCCAATTATGATGTGATTAACAACCTCATCAATGCCATGCAGTTACAATCCTCAACTTACATGAAGCTTTTATCTGGAAGAAGAGTTCAAATTTTATGTGCGAATTCTGATGAGAAGAAAAAAATCATCGTTGAGTTGAAAAATAAACAAATCAGATTTCACTCATTCACTGAAGCCGAAGACAAACCTGTAATGTTTGTTCTACTAGGACATTATTATATCGAGCTTGATAGCATGAAAGAAAAGCTTGTTCAAAGTGGATTGCAACCAACCAATGTCACATTTCTCAACAGTAACAAAGAAAATCCTTTATATCTGGTGCATTTTGTTAAAGCTTCAATAGATCTTCCTACATTAACACACAAATATAAATTTATTGGAAATCTTATTGTCAGATGGCAGTTGCTGGATCATAATCGCAAAAAACATACACAGTGTCGTCGATGTCAACAATGGGGACATTCAGCATCAAATTGTGGCTACGAGTACAGATGTGTAAAGTGTGTTAAAGTTCATAATCCGGGCGAATGTGAAAGAACCACAAGGGACAACACCACTGAAAATTCTGTTCAATGTGTTAATTGTTCTGAACATCATCCAGCGAACAGCACAAAATGTAAAGCCTTTGTGGATTATGTAACTCGAATCAATTCACGCCAACGAAAGAATAATCTTAGCACATCAAATAATGTTGAAAATGTGATAAATGATGAAGAATTCCAAACGCTGCCTTCTGGAAAAGTTGCTACGCAGCGCAACGTGCAGAATCACCTACGAAACAACGAGCAGACTCAGCAACGAAACAACGTGCAGATTCAACAACGATCCAAACTGAAGAAATCTTCTTATGCCGAAGCTGTGATGTCTTCCCAATTGCAATCAATAAGAGACCAAAATGAATCTGATGATAATTTTATTGATGACGAACAACAAAGTCAGGTGAGTTTTATTCTGAATCCAAAGAATGTCAACTCGAAAGAAAAAATTAGTCAAGACATTGGCAATACAATGGATGCACTTAATAAGATGTTGAAGGAAATGATTAATCAATTTTCTAAAACATTAACGTTATTGAGTAGTCAACTTGTGAAATTTATCAATCATGACTAGTNTTCTCTTAAATTTTTTTTATTTAGGTAAATATTTTTAGTCGTCTTTAAAATTTTGCGCTTCAAAATTTCAAACACTCAAAAAGTGATATTTTTCCTTTTCAATGTTCTCCACTCAACAACTTAAATCAGACTGACAAAATTCACTATTTTTGAATGCTTTTATTTGTTTTTATTAACGCGAAAATTTTAAAGCTTTTATTAGTCAGATAAGATACTCCAGCAAGTCTTGAAATACGCGTGCCATTCTTGCATCAGATTTTTACTATCGAATAGAAAAGCAGACAGGATGAAAAAATCAGATACTTACTTATATTTAAAAAAAATATCAACATGTGGAGGATTAGACAAGATAACACTCAAACATTCTTCTTCACTTATAAAGACAAACCTTTAACGTTTCTATGACCAGCCTAGACTATGCATTTAAAAATGCATGTAGATTTATGAGATTTAAGTGGCAACATTAAAAGGATGCACATACCTAATATTTAACTGTATGGGTGAATACGTAGCATAAATGTGACACCTAAATCTTCTTTAAACTTTGCATTTTTCAAGTAAGTATGTGAATTTATGCAAAATAATTTTATGGCAATATCGGAAAATAAATTTCCACCTTAAGACCCATCAATTTGAATTTCTTTTCGGTTTTTGGAAACGGCGACAACAAGAAAGACGGTAATAACACCGGACTTTTCGAAATTCATTTCGAAAAGTAAAAAATGAAATTTTCGATTATTTTCACAACCCTGAAACTTCACAGCTCAAATTTGAAGTCTCAAAATAAAAAAAAAAGAAATTAGGATTTCAAATATTGTATCATTTTCAGGCAAACGTATGTGCTGAAATTATCCTAGTACAAATAAAAGAAGTAAATATTTTGCGTATCAGTGGAATTTGTAATTGTAAAATAGAAAACACTTCTATTACTAAAAAACTTCGAAATATCATTAATTACGAAAAGTTTTGGCTCAAAAGAGAAAATTTCCTCGCGGATAAAGTATCTTATTTTCCTCCAAATTTCCATCAGACATAAATTTTCTTTGAACATTTAAAGTTTGGTGAAATCTCGTAGGAATTATTGAGACAGTGAAGGCCATAACAACAACAAATAATGGCAGCATTACCACGACGAATTATCAAAGAGACTCAACGTTTGATGCAAGAACCTGTACCAGGTATGGTTACTTTTGTGACAACATTTTAAATATAATAATTTCTAAATCATTTTCGTCATATTCTTTATATGTTTTAGGAATTAGTGCTGTACCAGATGAATCAAATGCCAGATATTTCCATGTCATTGTCACCGGTCCAGAAGATTCTCCTTTTGAGGGTGGTCTTTTTAAATTAGAACTCTTTCTGCCAGAAGATTATCCCATGTCTGCTCCAAAAGTACGATTCATCACGAAGATCTATCATCCAAATATTGATAGGCTTGGCAGAATATGTTTAGATATTCTTAAAGACAAGTGGAGTCCAGCATTGCAGATACGTACAGTCTTGCTTTCAATACAAGCCTTATTAAGTGCCCCTAATCCTGACGATCCTTTGGCGAACGACGTTGCTGAGTTGTGGAAAGTGAATGAGGTTGAAGCAATACGAAATGCAAAAGAATGGACTCAACGTTACGCAATGGAGGGCAACTAAGTTTCTTTGCATTTTATTTTCTTTCTCATTTCACCATCAACAATATCAAGTTCGTTCTATGTCGAAAAGAAGTTTTATGCGTTCGATTAGAGATTTGAAATTTCCTCTCATTCAACTAAACATAAATTGTAATTTATAAACTATGACAACAAAGTTGGATCTTAATGAGCTGATATTTATATAATTTTCATCATCTAAGTTCGAACAACGAAGTTCACATATATCTAATTATGCTTTCATTTTTTTATTTTGAAATGTGATCAAATAGATTTCTCATGTTGAGTCCAACCCGAAGCCCAATTAAAAACTTTCCATCTGTATAGATTTGTGCATAACATGTGAGAAGTCAGAAGGAAAAATATCTTTGGAGTTTTAACATTGACAAGATGTTTCTTTTCTGAAAGTTTCGTTCATTCTTTTAACAATAAATAATGAATAGAGCAAATTGAATAAAACTATAATTATTGAAATAAACATCAAAATGTAAATATTAATTTATTCTGAATTTTTATTTGCTAAAATGAATTTACTTAATGAAATTAAACATTTTTCTTATCATCATTTTCCATTTAGTTATAATGGAAATGAAACTGATCGACAACCATTTAAAATCGTGAAAAACACATAATTTTTATTTAAAAAAATTATTTAAAAATGTTTTTAAAAAAATGAATGGATGAAAATGCCACAAAAGCATTTTTTTTATTATTATGGAACGTTGAAAAGTTTTCTTCTTTTTAAACTTATTTTAATGCATCTAAATTGTTATTTCAAACCTACAACACTGCTTTCAATTTTGTTTCCAAATAATTGTGTATTTAATGATATTTTAATCATAGAAAAAAATTCTCCATTAATGAGATTACAATTCAGTTTTTTTAGATTTGCCTGAACGATCGAAAGATTTAAGTTCATCTGTGGCATGTTTACTGATATATTTGACAAAATCATCTACTTCTCGTCCTCCATCATATCGAACGGGAGAACCACGTTTGTTCTTAGGTATCCAGAATAATGTTGGGAATCCACGAACATCGAAATCTGGTGACACATCATTCGCAGTTGCGTCCATCTTAACGATGGCGATTTCTTCTCCTTTAAGTTTCTCGCCCAATTCATCGAAAACTGGTGCAAGCTTTTTGCAATGTCCTTGAAATTAATAAAATTATAAGTTTTCAGTAATTTTCATTAAGAAAATTTATTAAATATTTCAGCTTACCACACCATGGAGCATAAAACTCAATCAAAGTATCTTTGCCATTGTTAGTGACAACTTCTTCAAAGTTCTTCGCTACAGCAACAGTCACTGGGCCATCATTTGATTCTGGGATTGCTTCTGATTTGATGTACGGTTCTAAGTTTCCTTCATCGAGATCATTTACGAAAGCTTGCAGATTCTCAACGCTATAGAAGAATGAAAAACATTAATTCGATTTTTAAATTTTTAAAAATAATTTCTTGACATACGAAAATTCTTCTTTCATGATGAACTTTTGATTGCGACTATCTCGTGCTAAAATCAAAGGTTTGTCACCAACATAGTCGTATCCATATTCATTCAATTCATGCTGGAAATCATCCTTGGCACTAATGGCGAAATTAACTTTTCCTTCCCATTCTTTAGCGACTTTAAGAACGCGATTACGCCAGTAATTTGTTCCTTTAGGATTCTTCTGATAATCGACAGTATAATAAGCGACAACCAAAGGATTACCAAAGTCGTGAAGTGCATCTCTTGTACGATGCCCCACCAATCCATGACTAGATTTATGAATTTTTTTTTAGCAATTGAAACTCAATAAATGAATTCGTTTACTTACAATTGTTTCTTCACAAATTCACTCAAATCATCCTTGGACTTGCCTTCAAATTTCACAAAATCAGATTCAAACTTATTATGATATTGCGGTGCTCGGAAAAGGATGATTGCATTTCTAGTAAAAAGAAATATTTTTGATTACAAATTTTAAGAGAAAATAAATAAAAAATCAATTTTACTTCTCGCCAATCTTTTCCAAAATTGCTGGATCACTGGTATGAGCGAATCTGAATTTCTCTCGTTGCAAATCAGCATATTTAAGAAAAACTCCTTTCAAATCTGTTTCTTTCTCGAAGAAACCAATAATTGCATTTTCTTGAACCTTCAAAAAGTCTTCATAGACTGCTACAGTGAGTAAATCTCTTGAAGCCGGTCCAACTTGTGATCTCATGTATTTAACGATACCAGCTATTAAATTACATTATAAATTTCAAAGGATATCAAAAATATGAAATTATTTACCTGCTTCTCTTGGACCATTATAATCTTGAGAAACTTCTCCATTTCTGAATATTTTGAGTGTGGGATAGCCCGAAACTGAGAATTTTGAACAAGTTTCCTTTCCGGCCTCTGTACAATCGACTTTGGCGAAAGCAACTGGTGGATCATCTGTTCTCATCAATTCAGCAGCTTTAGCATATTCTGGTTTCAACTGTTAATTAAATTTTCATAGATAATTCTAGAGAAACTTGAGATAAAAATGATTTACCTTTTTGCAATGACCGCACCTGTACGAAAGAAAGATTAAAGGTTAGTTGTGATAACATAAAAATTTTAAGAATTAATTAAAGAATCAACTTACCATGGAGCATAAAACATAACAAGTGTGGTTTCAGTCTCTGCTACTCTTGTATTGAAATCACTATCTCCTAAATCAAGAACATCAGACTCTCCACCGAAAGCTGAGTTGGCAATTAATGAAAAAGCTAATAAACGTAGCACAAACTCCATCATTTCTTCTATTGTTCTTTTAGTTACAACTTAAGAGCTAACCATATATTGAAATAAAAACTCTAGACTGAATTTATTATGTGGACTATTTCAATTCAAGCTAAATCATTCAATGAATTGTGGAAAACTGCTATTGGTTCATAAAATTGAAAGAATTCGTCAGTGATGTTACTTGATTTCAAAGCGTACTAGAGTGAGTTCTAGTGAAAATGTAAACTAGAATTCCTGAAATATACCCAATTGAAACATTCTTAATTCATTATTCCATGCTATAAACAATGAAATATGTAGTATTTTTAATGTTAAAATTTTCATTTCAGTGGGATGTTCATACATTAAATTTAAAATATAATCGAGAAAGGACTTTGTCGTAGTTTCCATCCCTTTTGTGATATTATGTATAAAATTTTGAAAAGTGTAATTATTTCAATACCAATAGGAATAACTTGTGCAGATGTTTGTGGCTACATCGCACGAGTTGATGGAGAATCTATGAAGCCAACTTTAAATCCAAATACCAATGATTCAGAGTATGTCTTCTTAAATAAGGTATTTTTTGAAATCTATTTTTATTTTATACAATCCTTCATAATATAAAAATGTCAACAGTTTATGGCTAAGGATTACAATGTCAACAGAGGTGAAATTGTTAGCTTAATATCGTACGTAGTGCAAAATATTATTTCATTATTGCATTAACTTCAACCAAACATTATATTTTAGTCCCAAAGACCCGCAACAAAGACTTATTAAAAGAGTTATTGGGACACAAGGTGATACGATTCTTACACTAGGATATAAAGAAAGATACATAAAAGTTCCCATTGGTCACTTTTGGATTGAAGGAGACTATTCTAAGAATTCTCTTGATTCAAATACTTTTGGGCCTGTACCAGTAGGACTTCTTACAGCTAAAGCTACTCATATAGTTTGGCCTCCAAGTCGTTGGAGAGCTCTAAAATCAGAGCCAATAAGGCATCCTTTAAAATTAGGAAATATATAAATTTGATATGAACAATTATTATAAGAATCCAATAGAAAAAACTAAAAAGTTTAAATAAGAAACTTTTAAATAATCTATTAAGCAAAACTAAGGAAAGCACGTTTTCAGCAGGGGTGAATTTTAAATATTGTACCAGATTGAACAAAAAGCTTTAAGCGAAGACACGCTCATTCTGCTGTAACTTATGAAATTATAGGGTGGTGAGAAAAAAAACTAAAATTTTAAATTTCAAACATCATAAATATTCTTAATCATATCGGATGTAAGAAAGAAATTCTTTTAAATTTTAAGTTCTAATTAATTAGATTTAATTGCTCGTAGTCAGTTACAAATAAATTCAAAATCTTCCAGAACCACACAGACTTTACTAGAACATTCTAGAAAAATTTAAAAGCTTCCACAATGTTCTACTACTTTTATAAACCTTATAAAAGACGAGACATTTCACCTTTCACCACATTTAAGTTTGTATCTGCTTGCATTCAAGTCGAAGAACGGTTTTTACCACTGATTAAAAAGTATTTAAAGTTTGTGAAAGTTAAAATAAATTTTATTAAAAGATGTCCATGTTTCCATACCATCAACCTTCACCTATGGATATTTTCGAAGATCCTTTCTTCCACGGAGGTAAGTAAATCTGAAACGCAAAATTGGCGAGTACTTTAATCGCCATTTTGCCAGCTCACAATTGAACAATTGGTTTATTCTAATTCTTAAACTTTCATTCGCTTTTTGTTGAAGGTTTGGAACCGCGTTTTGGATTGGGATTGTTACCGAGCGATTTTCATACGAATCGAATTGTTCCTCGTTCTTCTACTCATCATTTGGCGACCGGTTATCGTCGCCCATGGGCAATTGCACGCCAGGCTGCTAATGAACTAGCCCGAGATCAAAAGAATTTGCATTTCGGAAAGGATGGATTCCAAGCTTGTGTTGATGTTCATCATTTTGAACCATCTGAAATTACTGTGAAGACTGTTGATCATACCATTCTCATTGAAGGGAAACATGAAGAAAGAGACGATGGACATGGTTCTGTCCAGCGACATTTTCTTCGCAAATATGTTTTACCCAAAGAATATGATGTTAACACAATCCAATCATCATTATCTTCTGATGGTGTTTTGACAATCAAAGCACCACCACCACAAGCTATCGCTAGTGGTGAACGTCACGTCCCTATCACTCATACAAATGCACCGGCTCATTTGAGTTTGAAGTTAAACAAGCCACATGATAATGATAAGAATGGCAAGAATGAAAAGAAATAAGATACTGCTCTAATACTTAATCAGAATTTACCTTTGGATGCTTTCATTTTGTCTTTTCATAACTTTCTATTATAAGTGTTCATTACAATCTAAATCTACCTAATAAAGCTGATGCCGGAATCAATTTAACAGTAATAAATGATAATTTTATTGATTTTTCCTAAAACACGAGTAAAGGTGAAACACATTAAGCCTCTCAAGAGTTGATGCATGAACTAGTCAGTGCCTAGATGATCTTGTTTAGTCGCGGTCCTCATTTATTTTAGCTTACATATTTCTGCTATATTGTGCCATGTACAATATTTTAAGAACGCAAATATATATTGTGTTAAATGTTTAATTTCAGTGACAAATTTCATATTCATTTTACTTCTTCCAACAAAATTATAGATAATTCCAGTTAATAAATTAATTTAGAAAGTTGTGTATGTTGCATACTTCTAAGGGATATTTTTCTGTTTATATTTTTAACGGCCATGATGATTTTGAATTTCTGAACGAAATCCAATTTTTCATATGCATAAAGGGTGCGTAAGTACCACAAACGTTTTCGTTAATAACTTCTAAAACGCTTATGAAACAGAACGTGTTAATCAAATTTATCCAGCTTGACCTCTGCTATCGTTTATGTGTACTCATTTTTAATGAAGTAAGCCATTTCCGAGATATTCATGAAAAATTCATGAAAAATTTGATTTTCTTATAAGAAATATTGAAATGCAGTAGATTAGCACCCTTCATAATTGTCCCTTTCGCAAACGAAATGTTCAACCAGAATCGTTCATTTGCGTTTTGCTTTCATAACCATCGGACGTGTTTCTGATTGACTTGAAATCAATTTTTGAAATATTGGAATTGTAAGTTTTTTAAATATATCTAATTATAAATAGTTGCTTATTGCTTTATTGTCTATAAAAGAACAGTTATAACGTTGAAATTCGAGGGAAATTTATTTAAATGACAGTAAATTGTTAAATATGAGAAAAAACATTCATATAAAAGTTTTGACCGCGTGGCAGCGGCTTTTTACAAAAATTAAATTTACTTTAACCTAGCAAGTAATAATACAAATTTTAACAGAATCTCTTGATCTTTATTTATCGATAAATTATTTTATTTACAAGTACAATATTAATATTAATGTCTGTTTGTCTGAAAAACTTAAAACATTTACCTATATTTGCGTAATTTCTTTTTTTTAACTTTGATTAATATTTTTAATATCAGTTGCTAGGTGCTATAATGACATTAAAGATATGATAAGAATTTTAAATTTATTTGTATGATCTTCTTACATATGCTCATTTAATATTTTTCCGAATTAAATTTTATCGGCATTTCCGCCTATCCTCCATCTTGAATGTTGAACGATTTAGGATGATCATTTTATCTTCAGAAATGTAATTTCACAATGCACTGAAAATGTTTTTCTATAATTAAATAATTTCATAAGAGATTGAAAATGCTATTCGAGGAAAGTTTTAAGTAATTTTTATAATTAGAAATAACCACATGTTGAGTCTACATGCTTCTTAGGAGAAAAAAATAACCTTTTTCTCTTATTTTCTGAAATATCTATTAGTCATGGTTTGCTTATTTTTTCTTTTTTGTTCTTTTTCTCTTCAGACCTTTCATTGAAAATGGCTAAAGAGAAGGTTCATATTAACATCGTCGTCATTGGACATGTCGATTCTGGCAAATCAACCACCACTGGTCATTTGATCTACAAGTGTGGTGGTATCGACAAGCGTACCATTGAAAAGTTCGAGAAGGAAGCCCAAGAAATGGGAAAAGGTTCCTTCAAGTATGCATGGGTTTTGGACAAATTGAAGGCCGAACGTGAACGTGGTATCACCATTGATATCGCTTTGTGGAAGTTCGAAACCGCCAAGTACTACGTCACCATTATTGACGCTCCTGGACATCGTGATTTCATCAAAAACATGATTACTGGTACATCACAAGCTGATTGCGCCGTCTTGATTGTCGCTGCTGGTACAGGTGAATTCGAAGCTGGTATCTCAAAGAACGGACAAACTCGTGAACACGCATTGTTGGCCTTCACTTTGGGTGTCAAGCAACTTATCGTTGGTGTCAACAAGATGGATTCAACTGAACCACCTTTCTCTGAACCTCGTTTCGAGGAAATCAAGAAGGAAGTTTCATCATACATCAAAAAGATCGGTTACAACCCAGCAGCTGTTGCTTTCGTCCCAATCTCTGGATGGCATGGAGACAACATGTTGGAACCATCAACCAACATGCCATGGTTCAAGGGATGGGCTGTTGAACGTAAAGAAGGCAAAGCTGACGGCAAATGCTTGATTGAAGCTTTAGATGCAATCTTGCCACCATCACGTCCCACTGACAAGCCACTTCGTTTACCATTGCAAGACGTTTACAAGATTGGCGGTATCGGAACAGTACCAGTCGGTCGTGTTGAAACTGGAGTCATCAAACCAGGTGAATTTTTTTATAAAAAAATTATCATCAAAACATTTTCCTGACTATTTTATTTTTTATCAGGCATGGTCGTTGTTTTTGCACCAGTTAATTTAACTACTGAAGTTAAATCTGTTGAGATGCATCACGAAGCCCTTCAAGAAGCCGTTCCCGGAGACAACGTCGGTTTCAATGTTAAGAACGTTTCAGTTAAGGAATTGCGTCGTGGCTATGTTGCTGGTGACACCAAGAACAATCCTCCACGTGGTGCCGCTGATTTCACAGCTCAAGTCATTGTTTTGAATCATCCAGGTCAGATTTCCAATGGTTACACTCCAGTCTTGGATTGTCACACTGCTCACATTGCTTGCAAGTTCGCTGAAATTAAAGAGAAAGTTGATCGTCGTTCAGGAAAATCTGTAGAAGACAACCCCAAATCCATTAAATCTGGAGATGCAGCTATGGTCGTTTTGATCCCATCGAAACCACTTTGTGTTGAATCTTTCTCGGACTTCCCCCCATTGGGACGTTTCGCTGTTCGAGACATGAGACAAACAGTTGCTGTTGGTGTCATCAAGGCCGTTACGTTCAAAGATGCATCAGGAGGCAAAACCACCAAGGCCGCTGAGAAAGCCACCAAGGCCAAGAAGTAGCCATGCAAGCTTGCTACAACTAAACATTCACAACATTTTGGTGATGAAGTTCAACATCTTCAAAAAAATTGCAAAACACTCAACAGTTCTTCATCATCAATTATTTGCATTCCAGCATTTGCAAAAACATTCTACTCTAATAAGCAAACACAAAATTTTATTTCTAATCGTAAATGTTATAACTTCCATAGAAAAGAATTTCGAAGAAAAAAACAAGTGGGATTAATGATGAATCTAACTATCGTTAATATCATATTCACTCTTTCAATTTTCTTTAAAAATTATTGAATCATTCCCTTATCACGACACATTCTTGCATTTTCTTTGATAAATATTTTTTTATGTTTGTTTAATTACTGCTGGATAAAAGAAAATAAAAAAACTTGATTAAATTGGATTTTAGTTTTTATTTCCACATTTTAATTCCATTTAGGTATGTTTCAGAACAATTCAAACAATTTTTTAACTGAGTTCTGAGTTGATATTCCATGAGCATCATTACATTAATTTTTAAAAATAAATTAACATATATGATTAGTAAAATTTCAATATGTCAACAATTGTGATGATTAATACAATATCTCAAAATATTTTTGTGAACTCAATAAAATTAACGGATAAATTTTTGAATATTTTACTTCAACATAGCTTTCGGCCCTAATTTCAGTTTTTCTTTCCGGGGGGTGCAGCAGTTTCAGGTGGAGAGTGTCTCAATCGACGAAATCGACGAATTCGTGACCCAGACCGTAATATCTGCCCTAAGATATTTAAGAGTACAATAGAGAGCTAATAAAACGTTCTCTTCGCATTTGGTGCTTCAAATCATTTGTGTAGATTCTTTAAAACATCTATGGTAGGTTAGAGATTAAATATAAAGAAATATAGAACAGAAAAAGTGATCATTATTGTTATTTTTCTTCAGAATCGCTAAATTGCTCGATAAAAAGTGCAAAGCCCCGTCTGCCATTTTAGCTCTTCACACATTATTAGATGATAAATTGAAGAGGAGAAGACATAGATTTTTAAATTATACATAGAAAAGGTGAGGAAAATTTGCAGTTTAAAGGAGAATAATTTTAGTGCAATTCCAAGAGTTCCCGAGAAGAAAATCATTAAAAATCTCAACGTGTGTTTAAAAATAAAATTATAAGCATAATTTCTCTACTAAAATCACTCACACCAACATCTCGAGGCATCCTTCTTCAACTAGGAGGCACTCAACTTGCCACATCGAAAACTCAATTTTTTTCAACTTTTCTAATTCGAAATCCATCAATTATTTCATCGCCAACAGGATTCCCCACCATCAATAACAGCCAGCAACAAATAAGAGTAGCTATGACTCTACCATCAAACTCAAGAGTATATGCTGAAGTAAATTCGCATAAACCGCGTGAATATTGGGATTACGAAAATTATGTTGTCGATTGGGCCAATCAGGATGATTACCAGTTAGTAAGAAAACTAGGACGTGGAAAATACAGTGAAGTGTTCGAGGCAATTAATGTCACCAACAATGAGAAGTGCGTCGTTAAAATTTTGAAGCCAGTAAAGAAAAAGAAAATTAAGCGTGAAATTAAAATTTTGGAGAATTTACGTGGTGGTATGAATATCATTACTTTGTTAGCTGTTGTGAAGGATCCCGTTTCTCGAACACCTGCTCTCATCTTTGAGCATGTCAACAATACAGATTTCAAGCAATTGTATCAAACACTTACCGACTACGACATTCGATTTTACCTGTACGAACTTCTCAAGGCTTTAGATTACTGCCATAGTATGGGAATTATGCATCGCGATGTGAAGCCACATAACGTTATGATTGATCACGAGAATCGTAAGCTTCGTTTAATCGATTGGGGTCTCGCTGAATTTTATCATCCGGGTCAAGAGTACAATGTTCGTGTTGCTAGTCGCTACTTCAAAGGCCCCGAACTGCTCGTCGATTATCAAATGTACGATTACTCTTTAGATATGTGGTCACTCGGTTGTATGTTGGCCTCAATGATATTTCGCAAGGAACCATTTTTCCATGGACATGATAATTACGACCAACTTGTTCGAATTGCAAAAGTACTAGGTACTGAAGAGCTTTATGCTTATTTGGACAAATACAACATTGAGCTCGATCCTCGATTTAATGACATCTTATCTCGACATTCACGTAAACGATGGGAGCGCTTTGTACACTCGGAAAATCAGCATTTGGTTTCTCCTGAAGCACTTGATTTCTTAGATAAGCTGCTACGTTATGATCACTGTGCCCGATTGACTGCTCGCGAGGCTATGGATCATCCATATTTTGCTGCAATCGTTAACGGTCAAATGCCGGTTTCATTCAAGAACAATCAATAAACAAAGGACATTTAATTGATTCCACCCCCCCACACACAAACAACAGCTAGCAAAGTCATTAAAATGAAATTGAAAAGAAATGATGAGTAGAAAAAAGTCAAAATACTTTATCGTCGACTTTTTTTTTTATACAACATAATTAAACATAAGTAGATACTTCAATTTCCAAATCTCTTTCATCTTCCTCTAGTTTTTTGCCTTCAACCTTTTTCTTTTCAAAGACGTGTAAACCTTTTAATATCATCGATATCTTAACTTTTATCCTTGAAATAAAATGATGAATTTTAGGTTTAAATAAATTATCTCAAATATGATTTTTGTCATCACTTAGAATGAAAGCATAAATAATGGAAAGAAAATATTTTTTCTTTATTTTCTTTCAATTCTGTTCGGAAAAACAAACAAACATTAAATACTGCTTTTACCAACATACACAGAGTGATCACTTTAATGAGAAGAACAAGTGACACTCATATCAACTGATTCTCGTTCGTAATATTAAACAAAACAAAAAAGATTCCTTGAAAATTTCTAAAGAAGTGAAAGAGATTCTTTTTCAATTAAAACTGTTTGTAACAATATTCAGCAAGGAAACAATATGCTAGCAAGATATAAAACAAATATATATAAGAGAGAATCTTTTTAGGTATACCTATGTATTTCCAGCAAATATCTAATGACGTTTAAGTTAAAAATTATATTAATATTTCTCCATGAAACACATTTTTAAGAAAAACTTTGAAACGAATAATGTGAAACCAGAAATTTTAGTAGAAGAAAGGAAAAAATAAATGTTACATACGCTAAAACATTTCATTATTCTCTAATTAATTTGCTTCTTACAGAGGTTGGTTAGATAATCTCAACTGTCAACGATTATTGTAATATCTGAAGTTGCTAAAGATTTCATGAAAAGTTTTTCATACATTTTTGTAGAGTTTGGAGAGTTTCAGTTCTGAAGTTGATGTTGTTGGTGGATACACAAAAATAAATCTTTTTTAATAAAAAATATTCAATGAAACTTCTTGGAGCATATCAAAGATTAAAGCCATATGTTGAGAGAGAACTTGGCTTATGTCTTAAAGTAGAACATCGTTTCGTTTGTTCATTTTGTTTTGAAATATGCTCGACTATTAATAGACTTAGTCAACATTATGCCATTCATGGATATTTTTCGGAGCCAAAGGAGAGCAATTTAGTTGTGGGAGAGAAATTAGAAAGAAAAACAAGCAACCCACCATCTAAAATATGCAGCATTTGTACTTTAAGCTTCAAGAGCGCAAAAACACTCTCAAAACATATTAAAAGTGTTCATCATAAATTAAAATCATTTATGTGTACAATATGCTCGAAGAATTTCTCTCGAAAGGCAGCGTTAGATGTAAATATTTACTGAAAAAAACTTTTAACAGTACTAAGCATTTTTCTTTTACAAGATTCATTTACGTCAACATTCGTCAGATGAAAGTGCAAAAATTCTCGCTTGCGTTCATCCACAATGCACATTCAAAGCGTTCGATCCTAGCGTCCTATCGAAGCATAAGAAAATTCATATAAAATCCAATAAGGGAAAATATGCTTGTCTTGCTGATGATTGTGATTATTATGCTATCCAAGCAACTGGATTAAAAAATCACGTTCTGTCCAAGCATCCTCAATTGTATGAGACGATGAAATGTTCATATCCTCAATGTAAATTTGTGTCAGTGAACTCTGAGAGATTAGCGAAGCATATGAATGATCACGAGAAAGGTTTGTTGGATATTAATGAGGAATCGCAAAGAAATGAAGAATCTCGCAATGCAGCTTTACATTCGAATATTGAGGCAATGATTTAATTTCTTTCAAAACTTTAGAAAATGAAAATATTTCGTTTAAATTTTAGATTTCATCGGATTGTTTTCATCCTATTGAAAGTACTGACTCCATAGTTAATCATTCTGTCGACACAGGAGGTGTGACCATCATACACATCCACAGCACCAGTTCATCCACTAATGTACATTCAGACGACACAGTTTTCTAAATAAACTCGCATAATTAAACTTTCATTCTTTATTCCTTACTTAAAAATTTCCTACATTTTACTAGAAATTATTAGATAAAATCAAAAACTATTATATAAGAAAGCGTTTATCAATTAACGTTTTCCGCGCCAAGTTCTTCTTAGTCACGTGATGAATGATCAAACTCATGAGCTGTAAGAGAAGATGAAAATTCAAAACTTTTCTTTAAAAATATTTAAATAACTTACTTTTGTTATAACTCCAATCGAAAGAATAGAAAATAAATAATTTCCACTCACAAACACCAAAAAAGCAAATAAGAAAAGCTCAAAGCTAAAAATCGTAGTCTCATTTCCATAAAATAAAACTTTATCAAAAGAATGTCCATTGTCGAAGTAGAAAACACCTTTGGAATCATTGATGTTTGAATACAGCTCACAATTGAAAATCTTTTCAAATAAATTCTTTTCCTTTACAATATAATCGACATCCTTCAAGCCCTTAAAGTAACAGAAATAAATTAAATAAAATTTTGTCACATTGTTCAAGTTACTTACATGATCTATAAATGCAGCGAAGAAACGATTAATATTGTGATATGTGAAAATCATTTTATCAAAATTCTGATTGAATTGATTCGTGTCGTGTTGTTGTGTCATGATGTCAGTGGCGTTTAATGGACTTATCAGTTTCTCATAGAATAAACGAAGATTTTTAGGTGCAATGATTGTGTAAGTTTGATGATCACTGCCAGGCAACAAACCACGTTGACCACATAAGTTTTGTTCTTCCCGTTTCAGTTGTAAAGTTATGCTGAACGAGTCGATGTCACTTCTCCCATGAACTGTCAAATCAAAGAAGAAACATGCTTCAAAAACCTTCAGTTAAGAACAGCGTAACTTACCTGATCGTCCATGAATATAATAACCATAAGAGTCGATTAAAATTAAAACTGAAATATTTGCTATTGATGAGACGTCAATAAATTGTTGAATACAATTATCGATGAATCTTTCGTAGATTAAAAAGTTTAAAATGCGTTGTATTAAGTAAATCACAATATAAATTAATGTCCCGACAGCAACTTGCAATAAAACATTGTTGTTTGACAAATTCTCTGCGTCTTTATCAGCTTTGTAAAGATTCAAATAGCTTTGCATGTGAGTTTGATTATAGTGGAGAAAGAATTCCGTCGATGAAAAATTTTCCAAGCCTAATAACTGAAATGGGAAAGTGTGAAAGATCGAAAGTGAAACAACATTAGATATGACGCTGTCAACAAACCATTAGGGTGGTAATGACAAAGACAACATGCAAATGAATTGATATTTTCCGTTTTGTCATTAACTCCTGCCATTCGTTTGCAATGAAATAATTTCTCCATGCTGACACGCATTCGTTTGATTGCGAAGGTGAAGAAATCATCGGTTTGATACTGGAAGCAATTGATGGAGTACCTGGATGAGATTTTGGCATTGAAGTGTTGAAAATATTCTCCGCGTGATATTTCGGACGTTCAAAATCGATGAAAAATATATCAAAACCAGCAATGTCGCAGAATATTTTCATCAACTTAATAATCTGTGAAATATTTCGAATTAATGATTAGATTTTCTTTTTCAATTTCATAATCTTACCTTAAAAATCAGAGCGATTGATAAAAGTAATCCAACGATTTCTTCTTCTTTTTTCAATGGCAACATAAGGAAAATTCGTTTATGTTGTGTTTTATAAAGGAATAAAATGTACGATGTGATTAATGCTACAAAAATGAACAACGAGTTCGAAATTGTTGCCAACAAATTAATGAGAAAGTTCATTAAAGTTCTTAAATCGTATTCAATTTTCTGCTGACGAATTTTCCAGAAATACGTTTGAAACAATGCACAAATCAACGACATTGAAAGTAAAATTGGCAATATGATTTGGAAGAAAACATTAAGATTAGGTCGTTTGATGAATGTGATTTTAAAAGATGTTTCAACGTTATACAAATAATCATCAACATTGTCGATACTTGAAGAGTTTTTATATCGATTAGATCTTTCAGTAATATTTAGAACACCATATTCAATAATTAATGTTGGCATTTTTATCACATTTCTACGATCTGTTTCAACTTCAGCATTTTCTTTTATGTGAAATTGTAATTCAATATTTTTTGCAAATATTATTTGGCTGAATTCTTTGTTGAAGGAAGATTCTGATGGTGCATTGTTGACTTTTGTCGAGGAGTTCTTTCCATCAGGTTTAAGTTGGCGACCTGATATTGTGTCGATAAGGAAAAATCGTTTGATGAGTTGCCACTCATTCGTTTCAGCGTTCTTTAATTATTCAAATAGAAATATTTTAGTTAATTAAATGATGTCAAATTCATATCTAGATCTCTCACTTGATTAACTGTTGATGGACTTCTTATCAAAACTGGAACATTTTTCAAAATATTTTCTTGGTTTTTATAGAAATTTAAGAATATTGAAATGAATTTTGTTTTTAAAAAGCCAAGTTTGTAAATTTCACGAAGGTTAATTGTACACTTGTTAAAGAAATTCCTTCCAAATTGAACTTTTGACTGCCAAATATTGACCGGTGGACTGAGTTGGCATAAATTCAAGTCACTCAATTTAAATGGGCGCATTTCAACTAAAGTTCCTTCCAAGTTGTAGCTGACTAAGGTGAAGTTTAAAGTGTTGTTCGATTGCTGATAAATAAGAATTGAACGAAATGATTTATTAACAAATGACATCTTAATCCTCTCACATCTAATGTCTCAAATGACAAATCTAACGTCTCCGATGACCTCTCAGAAGATCTTTCATTGTTGAAGAAGAGAAACGGCTTAATTTTCTCCCCACCATCATATTCGTTCCCTTCATTTATATTTTGATCAGGAAATAATCCTTTCTGTTGATTTTGTTGGCTGAAGAAAGGATAGCATGGCCCATTTTTCTTAATATCAAAGAGAGTTAAAACACAAAGATTGGCGAGAAAATTGCATTGACTTCTTATGTGTAGCACTTTGCAGAAAAAGACTACAAACTTTAATTCATAACGAAGATTCAGAGACTTAGTTAAAGGCAAATACTCATAATTCTCGTAATTTTTGTAGTCTTTGAATAACTCTTTCTTGATACAATATTCTCCATGATAATTCTCATTCAACTTTTCGTCACATGAACAGTTTTGGTTTTGGGGCTTTGGATAAATTCTGACAGCTTTTCGAAGTGTTGAAAAAGCTGTGGCATTGACCGTATAGAATGAACACAAACTTTTAAACTTTTTACTAGCATTCGCATCTTTTTCACAAACAGGTCTCTTCAAAATATTGTCATAGGTAATAATTTCTGTTGAGTTCTCACTGCAAATACATTCATCTCCTATTGAATTTAAATTTTAATGCAAAGAATTAATAATTTTGTCATTTTTCTTTCTTCACAAACTTACTTTGCCCAGATGGACGCAAATTAAAATTCAAATCGCATAAACGACATTGAAAGTAATCAAAGTCAAAATAGAAATTATTTTCACAATCTTCTTTCTGCTTATACAAAAATTTATTGTTGCTATTTGCGAAATAAAAATTTTCATCATTATTAACTCCATCCACAAGCACCACCGAATATTGAAGCAAAATCAATGAAACGATCGAAACTGTATATAATTTCCACATTAGCAACATTATTTCACGTCACTTTCGTCAATGATGAATTTTAATTAAAGCCACCTGGCTTCTTTAATTTTTTGAATTTGTTTTCCAACTGAACGTCGAGGATGTCACAATAAAACTATCTTAAAACAAATGTTCTGAATATGTGGTGGACAACAAAAAGGTAATTTACTTTTGTTTATATTTCGTTGCCATTAGCAACTCTTTAATTCACAATAAAAAGCTACAAATTGTAATATTTGATGGTAAATAAACATAAATTTATGTTCATAATTTTTTGTGTTGCTTAGCGATTATTGATTGTTGCAATTAGAACAGGAAATGACGTCCAAGGATTATTTTTTATTTATCAAGGCTGATTTGTTTACTTCTGGTTTCATTCTGAAAAATTGCAAAAAAATAATTCTTTTATGCATATTATTGATCTTTATTATTAAAACTTTTAATCTTCAAGGTTGTAGTTCAAAACAATTGTATTAATTAATAACTATAAAAATGTTTTCTTAAATTTTCAATATCTTTGTCTATGGTAAAAATTATTTGTAAAAGTTTTTTCTAAATAATTGAAATCTCTTTGTTGTTTTGTTAAAAAAAAAGTTTGAAAATATCATTTCAAAGAGAGGACTAATTATGCCGAATTACAATTTTAAATTATCAAAAAGAAATTGATTACAAATACATATAAAAATGTTTCAGTAGTTCCAACATTCCCCTCATTATGCAATAATTTGAAAATGATCAAAAAAAGCTTTCTATTCATTATTTTCTCTCTTCAATTTCATCGCATTCATCATACATAGGCATATCATTAGATATCACATCACACGAATATATTTTTAAGGTAAATGTTGATGCTTCTCTCTCTTGTGACTTTCAAAACTTTATTCCCAATCTCCAACAAAGACTCTTGTTCTTGGCACAACAGGAACATATCCTCGAGCAGGTGTTGGGAGTCTTCCATAAATCGAGTGTTGTGGTCCAAGATCAGAATCTAAATGAAAGATGTCAAAATGTAATTAAGATATTTAAAAGAATTATTCAAAGCTCTCACCTATTCCACTCTCGTAGCTTTTTGCAAGCCATAAATTGTATGGTTCTGGCTGTGAGCTATGGCGATGATACGATGCTTTCTTACTGACAGTTCCAACACCATTCGTTTGCATTTGATGAAGCTGATATAAAGTGGAAAATGAAGCTGGATGTGGCATTTGTGCATATGAAAATCGAGGTTTTTGTGAAGCATCTTTCGATTCTTTTTCTTTCGGCTTGTTATCTTTCTTACTGAAGAAACTTGTTTTCTTTTCACTTCCGCTTCCACTAGATTTTCCATTAGCCTTTGCGAAGTTAGGAACTCGGGCACGGAGGCCACAATAATAAGGATCATCTGTGATTGAATTAAATGTTCAAATAGTTTATTTGATATTGTAATAAATTTTTACCATATTTTCCCCTGTTTTTTCCTTTATCGGACTTTCCTTGACCGAAAATAATCAAACGTTGTTCGTCATCAACGTCATCGTAATCGGGCTGAAGTTATTTGAGAAAAAAATTAGGAAACATTTCAAGTTTATTAAAAGCAAACCAAAAAAAAAAAACTTACTCTCATTGATTGATTGTAGTTGTTGCCTCGTGGTGGTAACTTCGGAGGCTTTTCGTTTCTTTTATTTCCCACTTGTTGTGATTGCATTAAAGCCTGTTCCCTTGAAGCCGAAACGATATTTGAGATATCTCTTTCATCATTCCCTTCACTTGTTGAAGCTGAAGCATCTAAACCTGATCCACCAGAACTACTGGCAGCAGCTTCACTATACGGATCCTCATCTGGAATAGGAATGCGTGGGCGGTTCTTGATATCAATTTGACGTTGAACTAGAAATTAAATAGATTATAAATATTCACTGCATCTATAATTAACATTTAATTAAACATCACCTGGGGGTAATTTGCTTTTAAGCATATCCATGGCAACCACATTAATGATCATTATCCAAATAGGACATTCCAAAATCTCATTCTCTGATTTTACGAAGCTAATGACTGATAAACATTGAGTTTCGAGACGACGTCGATCAGGATATGCACGGCTAAGCTCACGATTAACGTTCGATTGAAATTTCTTCATATCAAAAATCTGATTGTAGGATTGGAAAGTGTTAATTAAGATATTTAAAAATACTTCAAGAGGAAGAATTAAATGTCACCTTATAAACTTTCTCAACTTCAAGACTTTGATTAGGAGATTTTAGAATCTCCGTTCCAATGACTGTTTCATCGCTGGATGTACTCGCAGTTGATTTAATGTAGACGTTGCTTTTACCATATCGTCTGATTAAAATATTCCCAGCATCGTCCATTTTTATTTTAACTCCCTTAAAAGAATAAATGAAATATTCATCAATATATTGAATATCGAATCCATACATATGTTCATTGAGTAAATTGTCTTGGTCTGAATAAAACTTGCAGACAAATATAAATATAGAGCAATGAATTTGTTGTTCAGCAAGTTGTAGTTTTCCTTGAACATAAACACGCTTCGAAGTGGATATTTAAGCTTGCTCTTTATTACATTCCTAAAGCAATGCAATATAATAAGTTTAAGTAACACACCTAAAGAAACTTGTAAGTTGCTTGAACATTTTGGCTCGATTCGAATGTGACGGGAATAGCTTTTCAAGTCTCTTTTCAATACATAATTATATTCATTTATTTATAAATAATATCATAGAAAAGTTTTATTTGCGTCCACGTTCTACTAATGATAGACAAACTACATCTACGTCGAAATGTTGTTTTATAAAGAACGAGACATTTAAGATTTAGACATGGAATTTTCAAGGACATCAATTGGCATTTTAAGTTTGTTTCTTGGTCTTGTTGCATACCTAGGCAGCTTGTTTCCCTCTTTGTAAATATTACTGCTATAAATTTCTCATTCGCCAAGAAAAAAAGTTTAGATTTGATCCATTTCGAAATTATCAATAAAAAAATGTAGAAATTAATTAAAATATTTTGACCTTAAATTATTTATGCAGTTTGACAAGGTATGATTATCAAAATTGTATCAGATGTCAATATGTGCGTGTGTTTGTGAGTGGAATCTTCAAATGTTTGAAACTTGTGCCAATTTACATAACCTGACGCTAGTTTAGATATCCGGCTTCTCTAAACTTAAAAATCAACTCATTCCGAATCTTCAAGAAGAAAATGATGATCATGTTTTGAACTTTCGATTTCATTGGGGTTCATTAAACATTTACTGTTCAACTTAACTTATCTAACACTCATGACTGAACAACCAACACCATGAAAATACGAAAATTTCAGTTTTTAAAGTACATATCGATTTTTATGTGGATACTTCACTGAAAAGATCTTTAAAGCATTGCCCTAACCAGCAATTAAGGCCGCAATTTTTCACAAAAACCGCAAAAATCTTTTGTCTTGTACATATTCAGAAATGTAGTAGTTTTGTTTTCATGCACAGTCAATTAACTGGTCGTCACGCAAGGTCGTTTACATTCTCCCTATATAAGTAAGAAAAAAAAGAATCTTTCTTTGCCATGAAACAGGTCGAAACCTTGAAAAGCTTTTATGCTTCCATATCATTAATTTTTTATTCCTTTTATCAATTTAAAACATTCTATTTAAATAAAGGAATCTTCTTTGAGTTTTCATTCCTTTTTTCTACATTCGCTGTAAAGTTTTAACTTGATTCAGTATAGAAAGGAAAGATTGAAGCTATTGAATGAGTCAGTTGAACAATGTAAAAGCGAATTGAATATCTTAAGGATGAATATGCAGTTGCATGAGAAAAATGTGAACAATTTTATAAATAGCATTTCTAAGATAATTAATTAAATTGTAGAGATTAATTGCAGACATTCATACGAATGTTGCTAGCAAGTGAAGCCTAAAATATTTGATGTGCTGCAAAGATCATCAAATACATTTTAACAATATTAATGGCATTTCAAAGGGCATTTTAAATTCATTACTTAGTCGTTGTCGACTCAATAAGCTGCTTTAAAATATATATCAGATAGAGATATACATATATGAATGTGGTAGACAATTTATTTTGTTCGTTTACATAATTCAACAATGATATTTGTGATGAAAGAGAGCTTAAGAGCCTTTTCCATTTTTTGCTTCGATAGTCTTTATTTAAGCATTTGAATATTTTATTTCCATCATTCTTAAATCTATAAAATATTTTGAAAAACTTACCTGACCAATCTGTCGTTTCATTTCTACTGTTTTGGCGTCACGCATCGGATTGTCAAATCCACATAATCCAATTCTGATGAATTAAAGAGCAGGAAAAAAACAAGATTAATTATTTAATTAAATATGAGTTAGATATTTAAGGAATTAATTGTGTTGATGTTTAAATAACATGAATTACTTGTCTATTCTCTCATTTCAAATGTTTGCTAGTAATCATGTAAAATGCCAAAGACTCTCAGCGTTTATGGAATTGCAAAACTTGCGAGAAGCACACCATTACATATTCAAAAGTTTAACGAAGTGATTCAGTTTTTTGTGTCTTATACGCTTATAATCAAATACCTAAATACTTTGATTCTTTCACTTAATACCTACAGCTGACAAATGTTAACTCGCGCAAATGCATTCATTTCCCTATTACGACTTGGTTTTGGTTAAAATATCTCGAAGCTTTGCATTTTTAAATAGAAAGTTGAAATGAAAATCATAAACGGAAGCACCTTGGAATTATTATCAGACACATAAGAATGCCAATCAAAGTCGCACCAAAAATGTCTGAATTTGTAACTTTTTCTATTATGAACTTCCTTAAAGGTTTCTTAATAATCCGCACCTTAAAAAATGTTACTTTGAGTCATAGAGAAAAAATTGCGGACTTTTTTCTTGTTAGAAAACTTTACAAAATAAAATGTGAGAGAATAAAATGTAATTTGTTACCTCATTCCATCGAAACCATCGTCTGATCCATTCACTGTCAGAACTGGAACACGTGCGTACGCCTTGGCAACACGTCGGTTTCTCTCAAAAACAATCACTTTCGCCCAAATTTCGTCATCAATTTGAGTCCATTTATCAAGAACTTCTTGAATATGCTCCTGTGAAATAAAGAATTTATTTTTTAGTTATCTAATTAAAATAAATGTGACATCATAACAAATTCAAAAATTGTTTAGATGTAAAAAAGCAAAATTAAAGATCAAAGAAAAAAAACACAAATTTTCTTTATATTTGCAATTCCTACACACACCAAGCTCAATAAGTGGGTCATATCTTTTGGTATACTTTAATTTTGCTTTTCTGCTTCATTGAATTCAATGGAATGGTAACGCAAAACAATCAAATATGCTTGTGAAGGTTATTTCATAAGATTGTGTTGAGCAACACTGAGAAACGAAAAATCTCTTACAACCAAGCCACGTAACTTGAATCTTTCTTGTGAACCCAGCTGCTTGCGATTATTAACATCAAGAAACAAAAAACTTTTCATTTAAATACTTTAAACATTGTGAAGAAAACGAATTGTTTTTGTTTTCTTCTTTATGACAATAATGAAAATAAAAACTAGATTAGCTGGAGATATTTATTTACGTTGAGAAAAGTATAATAATCTAACAATGATTAAACAACAAATTCCTTTTTTAATTTCTTTCTGCATCTACATATTTCTAGCATACTTAGCAATAGCAACAAAAGCTGCAAGAAATATCTGACTATAAAAATGATAGAAGGAAATATTTAAGGAATAATGCAACATTTCTGAAGCATGATTAAATAAATACGTTCATAGCATATTTACACACCCAAATGCACCAAGGTTATGCAATGGAATTAAATATTAAGAGAATATTGAACTAATTTAAAAATGTATAAGGATTGTTGCTTTCCAATTTAAAATCAAAGAAAGGAACTACGAGCGGTGGTTGGCCGATGTTCATGAGGCCGATAACATTACTGCTATGATGTGTAACGTCCTTTAATGTCTCTAGCAAACTTAACCAGCATTCTTCATGTTTATAAGTAATAAATGATGACGTAGATCATGACTTAAGTAATCGAACTTTGCAAAAATGCTGATTTTCCAGTGCAAAGACACGAACTGTTGAGCTTTGTACGTTTTAAGAATAAATCTACAGAGATTCTCATACGGAATTCCTATGATTTTACATATTCCTAGATGATCATCTAAGCAAACAAAATGTGAACTTATATTTTGATGGACAACAACATGAAATACTTAATTATATTGAAGGAGGTATAATTATAATAATGAAACTTCGTTTTCTTAAGTACATGATTCACTTTAGAATGCTTCTTTATCGCATCGTGTAAACAGAATTTAAATTCATCAAATTGAAAAGGGCGATGAACTGCCGATGACCAGACACATCAAAAAACTGAAAGCTGCAATTAGTTTTGATATTATCAACCGTTAGCTTACATAATCGAATATAGACGCTATTAAAAAAGAAATGAAGATATTTTTAGATGCCAAATAATTTTCGAAAGTTTCAATATTACATTGGAAATTTTTTTCCTTAACATTTTTGAAAGCGATACTCTTCGTTCGGAGAGCATGCGTATTATAAATTAAAATGACTTTAACTTTGGATACGTTTTAAATTTTCTCCTTTTTATTTATTTTTGGTATTGAGAAACCTAAATAAATATAACAACAGAACGCTTTGAAAGGTTAAATCTCATAAAGGAAAAAAAAGAGAAAAACGAAATTAAGTTTCTAAAATATTTAAAAATTGGGATCAGCTACCAAGAACAACTAAATGTTGTGCGAATAATTATTCAGTCGCAAGTATTTTTATGTAGTCATACCCGCATATATCAAAAATAATTTACGAAATATTTATTTCTTTTTCAACGGTAAACGATAAATTTCGTTGGGATGCTTCAAGAATATTGAATGTGTGAAAGCCTTCCCTGATAGAAATATTTCTTTATACACGCAATGTGAATAATAAATACTTTTTAATTTTGCTTCGCAAACTCAATACTAAAACTGATGCACAAAAAACAACAAGGCTAAGTATGTGTAGTGGGCACAAGTTGAATGTCTTGTTGAATGTTAATAATTAGATACCGTCGTATGTACGTGTAAGTTTAAGTCTTTTTTAATTGAATTATGAAGACGATTAAGTAAGCAATAATTGCAATTTTCGTCGTCTGTAATTATCGCTTTTATTATAATTTTAATTCCATTATATTCTCCGTTTTTTTTCAGGCCCAAATTCACGACACCAGCCATAGCTGGTTTTATAATTTCATCAATGTTTGACATTTGAAAAGATGTTCATTCAAAGTCTTTTATATTTCTTTAAAGTTTAAGATATTCCAATGATTTCTTAGTGTTGATGTTGGATATTTAAAAGAAGTAAGCTTGTCACATCATTTTAATCTGTTTGCTACATAATATTTATTACGCTAAACAATGAATAATTGGTTGAAATAAATTAAAGGAAATGATATAAATTATAAGAACAAGCGAGTGCTCAAATGCAAACGTTTTACAAAACGATAAAAAAAAATCAGTTCAGACACCTTCAAGAAGGAAATTAAGCTGTTACTGATATTATATAAATTTAACGTAAAACGAAACGTTTTGAAATATCTACATGTATGTACTTTTCATTTATTTCTGTTCAATATTTCATCCAAGTCATTGTGATTGGAAGCAGATTAAAGAAGCAAGTTTTAAAAAAGTTATTACAAAAAATGCACAAAACCTTACATCACACAAATACATTTTTGTTCACATTAATTTATCTGTTCATCCGTTCGAACAATTTGCAAGAAAGTTCAAATTACCTTGTACAATTTATCTTTTTGATACCAAACATCTTCTTCCTCCATATCGATATTTAAATTGTCTCTAGAGCGATTCAGTATTTTGCGTCGCGAAACCATTTTTTCAATGCTTATCCTGTGAGAAAAAGAAAAAATATTCAGTTAGGTTTTTGAGTATTGTAACGAAACTTAGGTCTTTAACTAAAACTGAAATACGAGTTCCCGTAAAACTCACAACGTCCTTGAAAATATTATATCATCATTTTCTATTATTTTGTCAAAGTTCTCCCCTTCTCGGCAAGGTCAAATATCTTTGAGTGTTTAGAGATATGAGAGCTATTATTTTTCAGATTTGCCGTCATCTTAACATATTTAGACTACACGGGAATGAGAAGGAATTCTTGAATGTTTATTTATTTGTTCAACACTCTGCATGAGGTGAAATCTTATAACTCATGTATCTATCCGGGATACTGCATTAATCTTTTAAATTAAAAGTGTATCAGGAATATCATTCATGTGATCTACTTAGGATCAGACACTTCTGAGAACATAAATGGAAAAAAATATTTTTAGAACCTTTTCTTTTTTTTTCTCAAAATCTGAACTTGTTTTAAAAAATTGCATTCGGATTTTTTAAGTTCATAAGTACTGAAAAACTTTTCTATAACTTAATTTTTTCGCTACTTGGGTGCGGTAAAACATCAAGGCCATTGAATGAAAAGACTAAACACATTTTATGAATTTTTTTCATTGCAATAAAAGAACGTAACACTTAATAGCGTAACTACGCCATGTAAAATGGACTTTGAAGATTGAGAAAAATATGGCTCAGTGTCGGAAGTCTACTGTTAAAATTGTTGGTGAAAACACATTCAAACAATGGAAAACTTTAGCTTGAGATTTTTCTTTATATTGTTTAAGTACATGTGCAACAAGCAAACCATAGTTAGAAACCTTCATTTTCCTTAAACTGTTAAGATTTGAAATATTACTTTTGGAAATTGAATCTAAAAATGTCTTCTTGATAACATATCGAAAACTTGTACAATTGTTGATGTAATTCAAATTAAATCTAATTACAAAAACTATTTTAGAAAAGAGAAAAAAAATGTAAATTCTTTAAAAGATCATTTATAAAATCAAGATGTTCAACTTAAAAAAAAACTCTTTTGAAATGAATTTTGACAAGGCAAAATTTAAACGTTGTTTAATTTATTTAATTTTTTTTGTGAAAACAGGTTGGTTTCTCGCTTATGCAATCGTTGAAGTCTTTTAACTGCTGTCACCGAACTACATTGATTGTACACAGAAGGAAAAAAACATTGAATGACGTGCTTCTTTCATCAAGACAACTTCAAAGTTTCAAGGATTTCAGCAACACAGAAAATATCACTTTGTTGCAAGTTCGTTAATATTTAACCAAAATCAATCTACTTGAAAGTAAACTTTTACCTTTTTAATTCCAAATCCAAATGAATAAATGTTTTAATCTTTTTTAAGCGATGTAACAAAAGAATATATTAGATAATATATTTTTTGGAATAAATAATCATCAACTAGATTGCATTCGACGATCACTTTATGAATTATTAAATTTTCATTTTGAATTTTTTCACTCTTTCATTTATTCACGCAAAAGCTTAGACCTCGAAAATTTATAAATTGCAAAACAAATTCAATCCTTATATGAACAATATGGCCCGAAAATATTCGTCGAAATTATATTAAGCGTCCGCGCCCGAGAACTTCCATCGCTTAACTGTTTGATAGAATTTAGTGGGAGAAAAAATACAAAACTTAACACTTTGAAAGACTGCATTCAATACTAAGAAGAGCTGCTTAACTCACACTTTAAAACTTTACCAACACTTTCGACATTATTACGAAACTTTCCTATGAAAAAAGAACTTTTAAAGTTTGTTTTGTCTTTTTTCTCATAGGAAGCTTTTTGTTTAAAGTGCACAAAAATTCATATTTTCATAAGCTTTTTTCAAATAAAAAGCTTCTTAAACGTTTTTTCTTAAATTTTTATTAGTAAAAGGTGAGGAAAATTAATTTTTGCTTTTTTATTTATGCACACTAAAATTTTCAATTATTTATTGCTGTAAAAATTCTTTCCAATTGAATGCAGCTTTTTAATTGTTAGATTGATTTATTTATTAATGATATTTTTATGTTTAAAACATATTTATGAATTTATGTTATATAAGAGATATAAGATATGTAAAAAAATTACTTTCAAATATTACATTGTCTAAATTTATATTCTATGCACTTTTTCTTTGAGTATTATTTATTATATTTTGGTCTTTGGATTATTAATCGCTGATTGAACAGAGAAACGTTCATGTTTTATTCCCAATCTCCAATGAAGTTCGAGCGTTGTTGTGAATTTCTAAAATTCGATGAGACATATCCACGGGATGACGATGAAGCTTCCATTGAAGGCAATCTGCCATAGATCTGATATGGAGATTCAACAAACTCTGAATCTAAGGAGAAGTAAAATTTAAGCAAATATTTAATTACACTTCAGATATCTTAACAATTACCAATTCCACTCTCGTAACTCCTTGCTTGCCACATTGACTGTCTTGGGAATGCTGGTGGCATTATGTTGTGAGAATGATGATGCAGTCTTTGATATAAAGTTGATCTTGGATCATTGATTTGATTCAATTGATAAAGTGAAGAGAAAGAAGGTTGATATCGATCTCGATGAGAAATTGATTTCCGTTTTTGTGGTGGATCTCTTTGCATTCGACTCGCATTACTACTAACATAAATTTCTTCATCACCTTTGATTGACTTCTTTTTTTCTCTTTGCTTCTTAAAGTTGGGAACACGAGCCCTCAAGCCACAATAATAAGGATCATCTAAAATTTCCATCATTTAAATCAATTTTACTCTCCAAACTTCACTTTTTCAATTTACCATATTTCCTCTGATGGTTTTTCTCCTTTTCAGACATACCTCTGCTTATTAGCTTATTAGTTTTTTCTTCAATTTCATCGTAATCAGGCTGAAATGAAATAAGATATAATAAGCAAATAAATAGAAAATAATTGCACTTACTCTTATCGAGTGAAACTCGTGACGATGACCATAAATGTTGTCACGTGGTGGTAGCTTTGGTGGATTATCGCGTCTGGTCTGATGATATTTAGAATGAATGGATGCTTGATCGCGAGATGTGTGTCCATAAATTCCATTTCCAAATCCACTACTTGCAGAACTTTCTAATTCAGCAGCAACAGCATAAGGATCTTCATCTGGTAAAGGAATGCGTGGTCGATTTTTCATATCAAACATCCGATGAACTGAAACGCATTTTTGTCTAAATATATTCAAGTTTTATAGAATGACAATGACCAATACCTTGGGGCAGTTTACTTTTTAACATATCCATGGCAACAACATTAACAATAAGTACCCAAATTGGACAATTAAGGACATCTTCCTCCGATTTAACGAAAGCAAGAACTGTTAAACATTGAGTTTCTAGATGGCGACGATCAGGGTATGATCTGCTTAATTCTCGGTTGACATTTGATTGAAATTTTCGCATATCAAAGACTTTCATGACTTTCTCGAGCTCAAGTGCTTGATATGGTGACTTTAATACATCATTTCCTATAGCATTCGTTTCAACTGCAGTATTTCCCGTGCCTTTTACAAAAATATTACTTTTTGAATACCTTCGTGCCAGTATGTTACCATTATCATCCATTTTCAATTTCACTCCCTGTAATAATGAAAGATTTGATGAAACATTTACATGAGGAAAATAAATTTTAATTTTATTTCATTACCTGTCCTATGTTCATTTTATGTTCCAATGTTTTTTGATCCCTCATGGGATTATCGAAACCGCAAAGACCAATTCTATGAAGAGAAATAAATTAGTAGAAAGTATTATGATGTTGATTGTTAATAATTTCAAATCGCCATGTAAGTAGTTACAAAAGTCTTAGCAAGTGAAGCGTTATTATGAGCAAATATCAAAATTATGTAAATTTCCATTAATATAAAAGAAAGATTATCTGCATTAAACCCTACCTCATCCCGTCGAATCCATCGTCTGATCCATTAATAGTGAGAACGGGCGCTCTAGCATAAGCTTTCGCTACACGTCGATTTTTCTCAAAAACAATTACTTTTGCCCAAATCTCATCATCAATTTGTGTCCATTTGTCAAGTACTTCTTGAATGTGTTCCTAATTGATAAATAAATATTATTTTTTATTTCTCCAACTGAATATCTTTATCTTCAATCTTTAAAATTAATAAAACAGAGTAGAATGAGTTGGGAAAACATTGTAATAGATCACCATTCATCTCTATAATGCGGGAATGTTGCTTTTTTCTAACAATATCTATCTAAGTTGCAAATAAATCAAGATAATAACGAAGAAAAATATTATTTTCATTGAGCTCACAACTCGTTTTCCCTTTTGTTGTGTCTTCAAACTGTTACTTTCGTTTTCAGAGTTTACAATTGTGTTTATTGCTGCTGTTATGCTGTCGTTCCGTTATCCACATCACGGAGAAAAGAGAAAAAAGACAAATCGCTGCACATGAGTTCAACTGAGACAGAAAGTGTTCCGGTTAAAACAATTAATTTAAAATTTTCTGCTGGCTATTTTGTAACCTAAGGTTGAAACATTTTTCCTTTTTGTTTTCTTCCAAAATATCTTCGTAATTTGAAGAGTTTTATGGTAAAATAAAACTTTGGCATTGGATTTTATTAACCATATGCTAAATAACAAGTTTGCAAATTGCAATAGATAATTATGATAAAAATATTGTGGTTAACATTCATTTATAAAATGTTATCGATCATATTTGTGTTTATTTAGTTTAGCATAATTTATTCAAACAAAAACGTTAATCGACTTGAATAATAAAAACAAATTGGAAGATAAATATTTCTTGCAATTATTCACCATTCAAAACAAATTCACATTTGTTATTTAGACCCATCAAAGCTATTAATTTCATACAGCTGTGGGTTGAAATTTCTTTTATAGATTTAAATGTACATTAGTAAGCAACATTTTAAAGAACTTGTCAGTTCAATAAATAGACAGATGTCATCTATAGAGATGATTTGTTAACAATGATTTCTGTAAGAGCAGTGAATTTCACGTTTCACAAAAAAAGAAAGAAAGAAAGATATTTTCAAAAGCAACACGATCAAAAACTTTCAACCAACTTTCCATTTTTCTTTACTTAACTTTCCCATCCAAAGCTTCAAGTATGCGTTCAGGTTTAACGCTACGCTACTTAAAAAACTAAATTCATGCTTTCTTTTAATTTTCATTTGAATCATAAGCGATACGAATGATTTGTCTTTTTTCTTAATGCAGATCTATACATTAATACACATATGTATACAGACAGACACACATAGATTCGATAAATGGAAATTTTTTTCTCATTTCATTTCCCCTTACGGCTCATTGAACCCGTAAATTGTAAATTGACTTTGTCAAAATCATAAGCAAATGAGTAAATGTTGCTTACTTACCCTGAACAGTTTTTCCTTCTGGTACCAAACATCTTCTTCTTCTTCCTGAGTCACAGTTACAAAATTTAAATCGTCTCTTGAACGGGAAAGAATTCTACGTCTTGAAACCATATCACTTATATGATCACTGTCAATTGTTTGGAAATCCAAGAGTCCAATACTAGAATATTGAAGACTTTAAATAAAATATAATTCAAGCATGAAGGCATATTAGTCGAATGATGTAATTAATAAGATTCCTTATTTATCAAATTACTTGGCTATGACGACATTTGAATAATATTACTACAACAATTTTTTCACGCATGTGAGTAAAATCAGTAACCTTTAAGGTTGTGAAATTCATTTTTTACGACATTCAGTATTCAAGGTGACATAAATGAATGGTGCCTAAAAAATAAGACAACCGTAGGTGTAAAATCTTTAATTGAAATCTGCGTCTCTGGTCTTTTTTTCTCTCTTAATGTTTCCAGAGATGGATAGCTTCAATAGCTATTACCTCATTAGAAAAATTCTTAATACTTTTACAAAAGGAAGCACTAGTAGGATAACGGTTTATTTTGTAACAATTACGAACTCTTGGAGCACAAATTGTGGTTTAATACTTTAACCTACATTTATATTCCTAGCATTAATATTTGTGTATTTGAAATTATTTTTCAATATTTGAGCACTTATTCAGTTTTTCAGTTTCATAAGTTGCATCATCTTAGACATTTCATAGTCCAATCATTGTGTTGGTTTTTATTTTTTATTTTTTGCAGCAATATTTGAGTGCATGTAACTTTAATAATTGAACACTAAATTTCTCACATATTTAATTTTGTTTTATTTTAAATATCTAATTTAATTATTTTAATTATGCATAACAAATAACTTTTTTTTTATTTCAATTGATTTAATTAATAAATAAGAGTTGAAACTTAAACTTTCAGCTCATAAGCTCGATGTCTTTGCACAACAAAATTCGCGTTACAACTGGAAAAAAAAGTTGAAAGTGATTCTCAAACCTCGTCACGAAGCAAGTTTTCTTTTCTTCTACGTACACCAATGTAAGTATGACTTCAATATCACTTCTTTCATTTGTAATATTATTAACATTGTGTTACTGGCCAATTTGTTTCTGAATTGGAAATATTTACGCAATGATGAAAATTTATTTGGTGACAGATTCGTTCTGTGATTTCATAAACTCATTCTAAATGACTTCATCCAGGGTAAGTAAGTAAACCCTTGAGTAAGGCCGTGTGGCCTTTCCAGATTTTATACATTCTTAATGTAAATTTTATACCTACTTTTATGAATCATGGAATGATTTCATCGAGGATTTCATCAAGACATATCCAACATGCATATAGCGGATTTATTTTGAAAAGTTCATTTACGTTGTTGTTTATTGAAGAAATATTTTACATTCGCAAACTTGCACCTGAATGAAATTTATTTTATTTGAATTCATTTTGTGAAATGCATTTCGAGAGATAATCTTGCTGAAATGTTGAAGTCAACCCATATCAAAATTAATAAGGATTGTGTTTCAGGTTGATCACTTAATAAAACTTTAGTGAGTAACAGAATGATAACAAGAAGAACGATTACGGTTGTAAATTAAAAATGAAATAAGTTTAACTAATGCAGAAAAAAAATGTTTTATTGACCTTAATCGAAGTTTATGCAAACGTCTCGCTATTATCCAAGAAATTAATTAACTGCATTTATTTCAAAATCGATTCATGCACGTTAACAGTGAAATAATAAATTCTAGAAAAATATTTGTACAGAAACTTAAATAGACGTACAAAATTTTCTCACATTTTCAATTGCATTACAATCGATTTTTTCATAAATTTATGTATTTAGGTTTTTAATATTATTTCTCATACTTCATTAAATATGAAAATTATTCTGTATGCAGTAAAATCGATCTTGGGACATTTTGGAGTGAACTCACCAAAAAAGGACTTTTTAATGATTTTATCAAAATTCAGTCATCAAAGTAATTGCGTTTTGAAAAATAATTATCAACAATTTATTCTGTTCATTCCTCACTCTATAATGTTATTATTTAATGAACAATATTGGTCTTACTTATGTTACCTAGAGAACTGTTTCACTTAAAAGTTATTAACTTTAAATATTTTAATTGAACATTTTTATGTTTTATATAAATCCACACTAAAAGTCGAGTAGATAACTACAATAAAAGAACTAAACACAAAATATGATTTATCGAACCTACTTCCACGGTCAGTTATGAACGAAATGTTAGCGAGAAAAATAATATCGGTTTCAGGTTTGCGTGAAAACTTTTCTTTTTTTATTTTCTTTTTTCAGTATTTCCATCACATTTTTCTGTGTTAGTTTACATAAACATATCATCATATCCCGGAGGTGGAAGATGATCATTATCAGGATTTAAACGGCCCAAGGGATTAGGAGGATCATAACGAGCTCCTGGAGGTATGCTAAAATATTCAAAAAAAAAATTTAATGAAGAATTTAATCATAAAAATTTAAATTTCAAGTTACCCCAAAACACCTGGATCGGGAGGCAGACCACCTAATCTACCAGGATGATATCGGCTCGGATTGGATTGGAAAAGCATTCCACCACCTCGACCTAGAGGATCCAAATCCCCACGACCAATATCTCTTAAAGGATCAATAAATGGATTAAGCGGATCACGTCTACTGTCGTAAAAAGAAGGAATCATGGGGGGTCTCTGTGGTGGCCGAACTAATAAAGGATTACTTGTTGATTCTTCACTTGTTTTTGCTTTCTTCTCATCTTTTTTGAAGATCGGCTTCACGATTTCATCACCTATTCGTTTGATTAAATCCTCACTTGATGATACAAAATCGTCTATGGTTCTTCCTGTAGTTGATTTAACAATTGCATTGACATCAAAAGCAAGACTTGATGATTGAAGTGTTTTTGCATCCTGTAAACAAGGTTTTAGTTATAAAATCATTTGGTTCATGATTACAATTAAGTGTTGTAACTTACAATTAGATTAACCACTAATGAATCAGAAGTGGAGTTTGCATAAAGTAGATAAATGTTTTTATCGAGCATATAGCGTAATGAATAGGCTGAAGAATCTTGGTTCCATCCTTCTGGTAGAAGTTCACTAGGACGATCGTTTTCGTTGTAAAATTTCTGAAGAATTCGAAATTTATTTATGGATCATTTCATTTATAAACTTAATTTACTCACGCTGTCTCCGATTCCAACATTTCTTAGATCATTTTTGCACAACATCCAATGCAAAATAATGACAACAATGTCATTTTTGCTTTTGATGTTAGCTTTTTGGGATTCCAAAAGTAAATCCAGACCAAAATTTGACATTTTCGTTTTTAGATTTTAATTTTTGAAATTAAAACTGACAAACCGCATTAATAGCTGTTTTATCTTGACAACTAGGTATCTATAAAAATTTGGAAGAAATATTTAAGAATTGTTAAAAGAATGATTCTGCAAAAATAGTTTGTTTACAATCTGAACTCTCCAAAAATTCGTCGCGGCTGAGCGTAAGCAAATTAATTCAAATCAATAACGGCCGTTAATGTTTTCAAATAAAATATTTTCTACTTAGAAAAGAATTTTAAACGAATTGACGAAAGTATTCAACTTAGGAAAAATATTTTCGGGGCAGATATATTGCTTATATTTTCTATATAATATATAACTGAACTTGATGTAAACATAAAGAAATAAATAATTTTTTAATAAAAACTGTTTTAAATATTCTGTAAGAAAAGACTGGAGAGTGATAACAAACTTATTTATCGTTTTTAAATCATTTCGCATTTATTTATTTTTTCTTTATTTACTTATATAGATAGTTTTCTCAGAATATTTATTATACAAGATTTTTTCACAAATTAATTACATTTTTCTATAAACTCTGTCATTTTATTTTAAACCTTCTATATGCACTCATTTCTGACGAAATACTTTGAACAAATTTTAACATTTTCATATTATACTTTATGCATAAAATATGTAGTTGGAGCCTTTTATGTCATGCTTATGTATAAATGTTAGAACAAAAAAAAACTCGCAAAATTTACTTAGAATCAAAGTGAATTTAAATTTTCAAGCCTATGTGTTTATATTTATTGCTGTAAAATCTTCAGATTTCAGTTTGATGATATCCAAGAGTAAAAAAAATGTTGTGTTTCTTTCGTAAGGTTGATGTGATTAATTAAATATGTTTCGTTTTAATAATGTTATGAGGTTATTGAGAATAAAGGAGAGATTGAGTTTTGAATGTATGCTATTTTAATATCGTTTCAATAAATGATGTACAAAACAACTCAATCTCAACTTAAATAAATTAAGAGACACAAATAGGTATTGCATTGCTTTAATAACGTGGTTTAACGTGGAATTTTTAAAGATAAAATCTTATTATTAAACCTTTTCAGTTCATATCATGAAGGTATTAAAAACTGCATGTTTTATTGACTGAAATTCTGTTTGAAATTTCAAATTAAGAAAATAATTTACACAAGTTCTTATTTGAGAAAACTTTCAAAATCAGTATGTGATTTAATAAACTTTAAATTGTTTTTATCCATTGTTTTTACGCTTAATCGAGTTTTATCAAGAGTTTTATTCAATGTGGCAGTTTTATGTTTTCTTCTTTAATCAATTTTATCTTAAGATTGCTAAAGATGCAAAATTACATTACACGATGTGTATAACTTCTCAAAATTAAGTAAGACGAAATTTATCTTTTACATCTTCCAGATTTCATATTTCACTTTTACAATCAATAAATAGGAAATCAGAAATGTTCAATATTAAGACAAGTTTATGTTAATGCAAGTTCCCAATCATCAGAACTTTTCTTTTGATTAAATTCAAAGCTAAAAAGCGAAACAAGTCTAACATAATCAAACTTCATGTATATTACAAAAACTTTTAGCTATCATTCTCAAGGAAGAAAGTTTTTAAATACATTATAACTTATTTAGTGTTTCTAACATGATTAGAAGCGATATAAAAGCCAAGAAAATTTATACAAAAACACAACATGGAAAAAGAAATCAACTGGCTTCTGAATTTCGATTCATATTCCTTATTTCTGAACTTTGCTTTTAATATTGAACATTTTTTTATCAATTTTCTTAAAATGAACTATTTTGGTTGAAACCTTGGTTGACACAACCAAAATCAATCACAGCTAAAAATCTATGTACTTAATTTAAGTTGTTTCTTACATTCTACAGAGAAACGAAATTAATTTTATGCTCATTCTCAACCGTTAGTTTTTCATTTGGTTATTCGTATAATGAGGTTATAGAAATGGAGGAAAATTTTCATAACAAACATGATATTAAGGACAAAGACAAAAATAATAAAAGGAGAGAGAGATAGGAGAAAGAGAAAAGGGATTGAAGCTAACATCAGTTAAATATTTTTACTATCAAGGTTGTCGTTACTTAATTTTCCATCCGCATTTAATGTTTCACGTCCAATTTATTAATGAGCACGAAAATTTATCCGTTTAAGAGATTTTTTTTTGTTAATTTCCGAGCAAATTATCTACTTATAACTTGCGAAAAGTACGTTTCCTAAAAATTCACTTCAAAACTTTCCAATCATTTTTTCTTTTTCATGTGAAGTCTTTGCCGGTGACATTCACGAAAATGTTTTTATCGGAAGAAAAATCTACAATTTAAATACGTGTGCATGTTTCACTATATGAGAACAAATTATTTATCATAGTTGAACTTTACGGAATTATCTGAAGTTAAACCGATTGTATATTCGAAACTAATTTCAGAATAGAATTTTAATCGAATTCCTTCTCTTTCAATAGTTTTCGTCCAAGATTAAAGGATATTCGGATTGGTATCAAGATAATGGATATCGCCATTTCACGTTTCTTGCTATTCGAAAATTATTCGCTCCAATATGTTAGTGTAATTTAATTTCTTTCCATAATGAAATAAACTCAATTTCATTTGTTATAATTTCCTCTAAGATGTAGAATAAATAGTTGTCTATTTAAAATATTTAAAATTACTACGATTTTTCAAAGTAGAATTAGTTGAAATTTTCAATCAATCATCAGAAATCTGAATAAATTTTCTTCTAATTATGTTTTCAAGGTTTTAAGCTGGGAGAGAAAAATGTTTAGAAAGATCTTTTCATTTTCGCTTTTCACGTGATGATTAGCTGAAATTGGCAAATCTCTGAAATTTTAGTTTGATAATATATCATATCTTGTAGCATATTCTTTAAAAAATAATGAATTCAGCATGGAAGTTGAAAATTCTATGCTTTGCTGATTTCTTCCATTGAAAATAATAAAAAGGTTAGCACAAGTCTGATGATTTGATATAAAATGACGCACGAACAAATCTTCTTGTATTTTTAAGCGTCATTGATGACTTTTCGCTTTTATGTTCTTAATATTTAAAATATAGATTTCGAAAGATATCATGAAAGAGAGATAGAGAGGAAATATGATTAATACAAGACACTCATTAATATCGGTTTTTGTTATATTATAAATAAATTTTAAACAATTTTTTATACATTTTTCATTTCTCATCCACTTTTAAAGCTAACCAATAAAAATTGGATATATGTTTGGTTTCCCTTTGAGAAACCTTTTTGTTTTCTAAACTTTATGAGAACAAAACTTAATAAAAATGACTGGAAACTATTATAGTATAATATTAATGCTTTTGTTTTTGATCTTAGCTGAATGAAAGCGTCACCTGCAATATCCCTGCCCATCTTCAGACAAACATTGATTTCTTAAGCTGAGATTTCAATCTCATAATTCTTAGGTTAAAGCTTTATACGTTATCTTATTTTTTTAAATCAGATTTAATAAAAGTGAAACAATATTAAAATTAAATTCTGACAATTCATCTGTCAGTTTCTTTAAAATTAAAATATATTCATTGGATTTTCTTTTTGTCTTTGGTATGTTTCATGAATTTAATAAAATTGATTAATTTGTTTTATCAAACTCGCTTCAAAACTTTCTCTATATTACGATCGAGAAAGCACAAAATAAACCTCAAAAGCCAACCCACTCAATGATCATATAAAGTTATCTTGTTGTTATTTAAATTTATGTTTTAATTAAATAAAAATGTAATTTGAATATAGCTTCAATTTGTCTTTCGATTTAACTTTATATATTCTAATTGAATTTTGTTATAAACAAAATGCAAAGTATTAAATATTAGAGATCAATGAATTTTTCTTGATGAGAAATGACAACATATCATTGAGTGAGTACGCGATGTAATTATTGCCAAGCATAAATTTAAAAGGGGCGAATAGACACGAAAGAATAACATGATTAGGAACGTGGGACAAAAAGGAATAGATAACAAACAATGACTAGTAATTATAATATTCTAGTAGTACCTTAAATATCAGTAAGGATACGCGTAAGATTTATTTCTGTTGAACAAACCATCGATGCCTTCTTCTAGGTTTCCAAAAGATGTTGACGGTGTATTAAGCAACCCTTTTTGTTAAAGTTATCAGCAGTCGCGAAACATGTAAGTTGTGTTTGAAATCGCCGTTGTCACATTTGTTATTGGACAGCAAAATAATTGCAATTAAAATAACCAGCACAAATTCGACGACAAAGAAATTTATCCAAAGCAAAAGGAGTTCGGATAAAGGTAAAGATAGAAAGAGACAAGAAATTGTAAAAATTCATTAGATGGGACCATTAATATTATGCTAAATAAAATAAAATAAGTTAAAACATGAAATCGAAACGTTCAAAGCTAAAAAGTCTTCAATTAACCTAATTTTAATATTAATTTAGACAAAAGAAATATGTAACACAAATTAATTAGGTAATCTTTCCAATCAATATAACAAATCAGAAAAGAAACAAGTTAAGGATGATTTATTATAAAATTCATCTGAAAAAAAAAAATTTCCTGACTTCATTTATAGATGATTGAAATGCATTCCAAAAAGTTTTCCCTTCCTCATAAAAAAAAATCGTTTTTGTCATTCTAAGAATATTGAATAAAAGTTTATTTAATTATTTTGCTCAAGTGAGTTACAAAAAAAAAGTTACACATTAAACACAAATATTCAACTTTTGAGTTTGATAGAGTCAGGAATCTTATATACTTTGTTTACATAAATTTCTTTTTCACATGACTATTTTTTTATCCAAAGGATGGAACTTTAAGCGAAAATAAATTTCTTCGTTGCTCGTAAAATTTAATATTTCGAGTGTTGCGCGACCTGTTGTTGGGATTCTGAAGTTATTTTTAAAAACAATTTAGCATCAATCTTGTCATTATTTCATGTTAGAAATTCAAATTGATGATGAGATTCTTTTTAATTATAAGTTAAGATTATTATGAAAATTTGGCGCAAATTGTACGTGCCTAAATATGCCCATAAATTGAATAAAGGAATTCTAAAATAAAAATAAATTTTATCGAATTCCTTTTATTCGATTTTCAGGTCTATTTTAATCAACAAACTTCTGGTCACTACTTTCATATCTATGCTTTTAATGCATATACACAAATCTAAATTACATATTATAGAGAAAAAAGTTAACAATCTTGTAGACAATAATTTCTATTCCTAATATGTAACATCCTTTTTGTAAGAGATTATATTAATTAAAGGTTTATAATGTATTGAAAGAAGTGCTCATCATTTTTTTTACTGACAGACACATTATATTCCCACAATAATTTATTGCAAGTAACAAGTACTAAGGTCACATTTATTTTTTTCTACTTTATTTTGAACTGTTTTTCTATTCCTCAATAAGCTGGAGATATCCCGCAGTTAACTATCAGTTAAGCAAAAGTTTATGGAATATGCGACATTTGTACTTATATGTGAAAGAATTTAGAATTCATAAAAAAACGAGATGATAAAAAAATTGAAAACTTTAGAGACAAATTGTATGAAACGAATTAAAAGAATGATTTCAAATAATCCTTAAAATTTCCAAAAATCAGAAAGAACACTTTGAAACCAACATTTTTATTATTTCGTTGTCTTGAGTTGATTGCAATTGAATTAACTAACGTTCAAGTACAACAGTATGATTATCGCAACTCATTTCGTGATCAAATTGAAACTTCAAATATGAAACGTAAAAGAACAAATAAAGTCAATAATTTGAGTGTTTTGCTGTGATGAAACCTACCGATAGCTGATGCATTGTACTCACTAACATTCAAAACTGCATTTCATTCTATTATGAAAATGCTTTCTATAAATATTCCCCATATTGTTTCAACAGATTTTATTACAAGCGTTTTTCTTTTAATGAACTTTCAATTTCAATTATCCAGCTAAGTAAATTGACTTGGCTTAGAGGAAAGGATATTTAAGTGAAAGTAATTTATCAAATAATAATACCACTATGTACTATCTTGATTAAAAGATGAATTTGAAAAATAATATTAACATAAATTAATGCAAGTCATTAAATAAAAACCAAATAAGATTGAAAAAGCGAAATGAATGTTGTAATAAAATTTGGGGAGTTTTGTTTTTCAATTCGCTCATGAGAAAAAAATCTAATGAATTAATAAATGTACAATTGGAAAAGCTTAAAATAAATCTTTAAGAATTTAAAAATAACGTTTTATAAATATTTATTATTTATATTTATGTTCAATCATATTAAGAACTGGTTTTGTTTCGGAACACACAACTTCGAAATGAGATAAAGTTATGAATACCTTGCTTCGTCATTCAGTTCTTAATATGGTTGATTACGAACTCTCATTCTACCTCTATTTTGCACGAATGAATTGTATTGGGGCAGGTACAGAGCTGCCTTAGCTCTACCGTGTTCCTCGGCTACACGCACTATCAAAGGTTGATTGCCACCTTGCGGTATCACATTATTGAGTGATGCTATTGCTTCTTGAGCTTCTTCTCGTTTATTATATCTGTTGATAGATTGAAATTTTCATCATAACTAAAAAAATCTCTACTTATTACGATATGTAATATCGTCTTCCATAAATATTTAATTTTTCTTAAATTTAACTTTCATTTGTATTCATTTGCATTGCTTGATTTGTTTTTTAATTTTATTTTATGAAATATCACAACATTTCTAATCATGTTTTAGTGTTTTTGGGGTTTAAGTTCAGATCAGGATCTTATACAAAACCATTTGTTATAAAGTTATAAAGAAGTTGATTTAATGAAATAAACTCACCTAACAAAAGCTACACCTCGAGGTTGTCCTGTGAGCTTATCCCTTAGAATATTTTTCTGTACAATGTGTCCATATTTCCCAAATATTATATCTAATTGTTCTTCAGTTATTGTACGGGGAAGATTTGTTATATAGAGATTTGTCTCGCGAAGCTCATCACCTTGAGGACGAGCGTAAGATACTTTTAAACGCTTGCCACGTATCGTATATCCGTTCAGACATCTGATGGCACGAATGGCTGCTTCTTCGTTAACAAAGTTTACGAACGCAAAACCATAGCTGTAACCAGTCTGTGAAGAAATCGAATGATGGAATTTAATTTATGTGTGTGGATAAAAATATTTTGATGACAAAGTTTGATTAATTTCAAAGAACGTTTAGTTTGATTCTTCATAACATATTAAGAAGCATTCTGTGAAAGTGAAACCATCGAATTTTTGTTTCATTTTGTTACGTAGTGGGAAACCATATAAGTTATTGGTTTTTCAATTACGAGTAAAATTACGTGAATGGCCAAAGCAGGAATTAACATTAAACGTAATTTTCGTGTACATTATAAAATTGATCCTTTCCCTTCAGTCCAGATTTATTTCTGTCATTTCCATTTTTACAACTTACACAATATCAATCATAAGAATCTTAATCATGTAAAGCGAAAAAAAGAGAAACAACAAAACTTTTCCAGCTTGTTATTTACTAGCGGAAACTTCGAACACATTTAATGAAAAGCTTCACGCTTTCTATTTTGGTAAAGGAAAAATCGTGAAATGAAAGGAAAGAAACAAAAACCTTTACATTTTTTTAGTCCTATGTGTGACATTTTTTTGACGTTTTCCTTTCAAAGCTCATTCCAGTTATGACACTCACACTCCTAATCACTTTTATAGATTAAAACTTTTTCAGAATATAAAGCAATTTTATTCCGCACAAAACATACACAAGATAAACATAATTCATTAAATTGTATGAAAATAGTTTTAGAGTAAAGTTTAGGATTAAAATTAAATTAAAACTTTATGCCACACACGAACTTCTCATTTGGTTAAAAATGTGTTGCCAGAGAAAAAATGTTTTAAATGAATTTGTTACATATGTAGATGCACGGAATTAAACATTTAAGTGCACAAATGTTGTTTGTACAATAAATTCCAAATGTAATCTTTTTTAAACCTAAATGTCTTTACATTTTGGTAAATAAAAATATAATTTACTGCATAATTAAAAATCTATTTGAAAAATAGATAAGAACAAAAGTGCAATGTCTGTCTCTCAGATATTGTTCAAGTATTGTACATTAAAAAATAAATAATTGCAATTCTCAAGAAAAAAGGTCAATGAATAAAACATTTTCAATATTCTTCTCGTTTCTCCTTTCATCGAACTGAACGAAATTAATTTTTCAATTTCATAATTTCAATATGTAGGAGAAAAAAAATATTTCCCGAATAGCCAAACACAGCAGACGAATTAGGTCTACTGAGATTTTAATCATCTTCTTTTAAACAATAAATTAGAAAATATCAGAGCAACAGTTGAAAACTCACCTTAAAATCTCTCATCACACGACACGTTTCTACGGGTCCCATGGCAGAGAAAAGCGAATGTAGCTCACGTTCATTCATATCCTGTGGTAAATAGTTGATGATGAGATTTGTTGTTGCGTTGTTTGCGTTGCTTCCAGATGAATTGACTGTCCATGTGCCACCGCCACTGCCACCACCTCCTAAACCTAAACCTGTTAGAGAGCTAGTGCTAGACGATGACATATGCTGAGGAGCTCCAAATGTATTGCTTGACGGAAGATCATACATTCGGGCACGTGCTGAATATGGTGAAGAAAAGTCTGTGTCCTGATGAAAGTTACCATAAGAAGGTGATGCATAATTTGACTGAAAAAGTGAAGCGGAATTTGAACTTTGAAGCGATTGGGTGGAAACCTGGGGTGGTGTTTTAGTAAAACATCATTCTAATAGATTACTGATTGGTTCAACATTATCTCTCACATAAATCAACTCACGATTTTAACTTTTATGTCAATCAAAGAAACTTAATTCATATTCGAAGGGGGCATGATGTAAGTAGTTTTATAAATTTCTTTTTGTAATCGTATTGATTTAAATCATCAGAATATTATCCTTGACACAATTTTTTTGTACTTTCTTTACTCACTCTCCACAGTGGATTCACTTTATTTAATCTAAACTTTAAAATCATTTTACAATCAAGTCAGGACTCAAACCTTCAACTACGAATCATATGTTTGACTTTAAACTTCTTAGGGAATTCAAAGTATGTAGGTAATAATAATTAATTAATTTTGAACAAAGTGTTTTTTAAAACGCACAAAAATCACTAAAGAAATCACAAGTTTCACTACGTATATCTCAGTCCCATACATAAATTTATTTGCTTGCTAATATAGGAGTATGAGGACGTATTAAAGTGGGTAAACTTTTTCTTTCGTCTCGCTTTCTTTTCATTTTCCGTCAGGCTACAATTCCCTATGAAACTCATTTTTCTTCACTGTTGTGAGAAATTATAAGCGACATAAAAATCATGAGATATAAACTATGAATTTGTCAATTTTCACAAAGCGTTTCCACATTTCATTGTCCAACTTTTAATAATCGTACTACAGTAAAAATTTGAATTTAGAGTTTTTTCATTCTTCTCGATTATTTAGTTTTTCTTTCTTTGATTTACTTTTTCCGATGTTTCACAAAAACACCCCCACAGGACTATAAAAATCGTTTTGGAAGTAGAAACTTACGATTCCCGATGGTAACGAATGGGAGAAGAACCGTCCACCACTTCTTAATTAATCCAATTTATGTTAGGCGCAAATAAAAACACACAGAACAGCAGCAGGGTGAAAAAAATGAAAAAAATAATGCAAAAAATGCGATTTTTTATTCCTGCGAAAATTTTCATCAAATTCTTAACTATCTACATATCACTTGAAATATTTGGGTTATTCAACACCGTATTAATCACCTGGAGTTTCGAAAATTACTATATCCATTCATTTTATTGTACATTTTTCTATTTATTTCTTAGATTTTGACAAAATTAAATATAACAAACTCAAAAAAAAAATTTTCACTAATGTTTAGTATTTCAACGAGGATTGTAGATGGCGCAGCCTACAAACTTCCTATAAAACTGCAAGAATTTAAATAATTTTCAACCGAAGATTTTAGAGGGCAGTTTTAGACGGCTTGATTGATAGACTTTAATTAAAAAAAATATCATTCTTTGATAAATTTGAAAACGAATTACAAAAAACAGCAGCAGATTTCAAACTGTAGTGTCGAAGAAGAAATGTGTCTAAACATTTTTCAAGGAGAAATGAAGATACATACGAGAACATGTAGCAGTATTTTTCATTAAAAATGTAAAAATGCCATTTGATAAAGGAGACAAGAATGAACAAAATTGAAGAAAATAGGTACCTATTTGATTTTAAAAACGTTTCTTTAAGGACTTACCTACAATGGGAAAACTTTTACAGTACTTGGGCGCCCTTTATCTTTTCAATTCCAGGCGAAACATTTTCTTAATTTAAATAGACGTTGCATAAAATGTGATTTTCTGTATTCTTACTAAGAAATTTAGACCCAATTGGAAGTGGAGTAAGTATAATTAATTTTATGAAATTTTTATGTGCAGTCATTTTTCATTTTTCTCATTTGTCATTCGAAGTTTGAGTGTTGTTTTAAAAAATTTCGGAACCGAAAGTTATTTACATAAATGAGTTGATTTGAATACATTCATTTATTTATCCATGGATTGAACTAAAATCTTCAACTATTCATAAATATCATATTTATAAGAAATTTCTTTCACATAATTTTATTCTAACGAATTTCTTTCAAATGACAGATATTTAGTGTTCATCCCATTTGTAGATAGTTCCTGGAGTTGGAAGTTTTGTTCTATGGAAAATAAGATTCATGTTTAACAATAACAAAACTAAAAAAATAAAATAAGTCACCTTTTAACACCATCAGGAATCAATTTTTGAGCCGAAATTACATTTGGATTGGTCACTTCACGTCGTGGATCACGACTCAAATAATAATTTGCAGAAAATCTATGCGATGGACCATCTGGTAATGTCGGTGGTGGTTGGGTACGTGCTGCTATGTCATCTTCAAAGCGAAGAGCGTTTGTATGTTTTCGCTATAAACATATTGTACAAAGATTGAATGAAAACAATTTAATTCAATGAGCATTCGATGATGCAACAATTTTCCTTTTTATTCTTCAACTTACGCCAAGTAAGAAGTTTCTAACACTTCGCAAAAACGGAGAAATATCACGATGAACGAGTTTTGACATGTCGATGTCAATAAAGTTCAAATAATCAAAGAAATTTATGTTTTTCTTTTAAGATTTTTTCTCAAAACAATAATTTTCGTACCCCCCTGAAAGCTTTCATCGAAAGGGGAATGAAAAATTTTGAGCTCAACCGAAAACGATAAGTTTCACTTGAAAGCTTTATTTGTAAATGTCGAGTAGAAAATTTCCTATCGCAATTTGCAAAGCAATTGAAGAAATTAGATAGATAGTCAATAAATCATTATTTCTGATAATTACGCAGTATGTATGACATGCTTTTTTTCTAATAAAAATGTTTTCCCTTTATTCCTTAATTTCAAACACATTTCAGAATGTCATTTTTTGATTTTTCTTTCTCAATGAGAAATTCTCATTTCATGATCTGAATTTTCTTTCTAACTTTTGAAGCAATTTCTTATAAAGATGTTTACTCTCTTGTTTAGTCTTTATTCTCGAAAAAAGATCTTATTTCTTTACTCCCTCTTTTTTATCTTCAACCACACTTGTCCGTCTGGTGCATGAATCAATGTAGCGGGATCAATCTTGATGGGATAAACTGAATTTTCACTTGGAAAAATATCGAAATTGTGGATCATTAAAGCAATGGCTAATTTTATTTGTAACAATCCAAGTCTCATACCGAGACAATATCTTGGGCCTATAAAATAATAAATAATTTTAAATTAAATGTCTTGAATACATGCAGTTTATTAAAATGTCAATACCTCCACCAAACGGCAATGAAGAAAACGGATGGAAGTTCTTTGATTTTTTACAAAATCTTTCGGGATCAAATTTTAATGGATCAGGAAAAATATCTGGATCTCGTTGAAACGCAAGAGATGGTATTACAACTAACGTTCCCGTCTCGAGACTAGCGCCGTTGGGAAGCGTATAATCTTTTGTTACAATACGATGAAGGGTAGGAACTGGTGGATTAATTCTTAAACTTTCATCTATGATGGCATCAATGTAAGGCATGTCCATAATCAAATCATAAGACCACTCATTATTATGCTTCTCTAGAGCACTAGCTATACATTTACGGCCCTTTTCTTGAACATTTAAATGGTACGCCAGAAAATGAAGAGTGAATGCTAAAGTTGTAGATGAAGAATCAAAACCTGCGAAATAAAACCCTACAGGACGGTTTTTTATCTATTAAAAGTTTGCAATTTTGTTTAAATTCTCAATTCATACCGAAAATTTGTGCCGCCACTTCATTAAATGTTATCTTGTCACTTTCGTCTACATTATCATTCATTAAATCCATCAATTGCTGAACGAAATCTTTTCGTGTAAAGCCTGTTCTGTTTCGATAATCAATGGTATCATGAACCATTTTCAAGAAGAAATTTTGCACATCTTCATCATTAAACCGAATTCCTAATGATTTAGCTTTATCACGGAATCCCATTGCAAAGAAAATTTTCAAAGCTTTCAGTTTAGGAAAATGAAGAACTTTTTTTCCCATCTTTACAAAATCAGTTTTTGGGTCTTTAAGAGAATTTGCATCGAATCCAAAGGCACACGAACTTATGCAATCAGTCGTGTAACGCGCAAAGAGATCATAAACTTCAATATCTTGAGATAATTCTGCAAAAGGTTTCAAGTGGCTCACGAATTTTTGTCCGACGTCAGAAATTGTATGAAACATTGTTTTCAATTTTCCAGATGAGAATGATGGGCTTAGTTTCGACCTTATGCGCTTCCATCTTTCACCTTCAAGGAAAAACATATTCGCTCCAAGTGGATCAATAGATTCGTTAGAATAAACGCCACGGTCCTCAAAATATGAGAAATCTCGTACCAGTACGGTTTTCGCAAACTCTGGAGTAAGCACTAACAACACCGGATTACGTGAAAAAAAAATCCCACAATAATCACCCGAGTACTTCATGTGATTGTAAATATTTTGGATGATATAACCAAAATGGACTTTAGATTTTAAAATTTCCGAAATATTTCCCATCGGAAAACTTGGAGGAAGGAAAGCGATCTTCTTTCTCTGCCAAAAGCCGAATTGTCTTTTAAAGTCGATGTACATGATCAAACCGAGAATCATGAAAATAAAAAGTAAAACTTCTGTTACCATTTTAATATTTGTTTAATTAATTTTCACGAGTACGGTCTGAATTCGACAAATTACAGAAAACAACTAACTTCTGATAAAAAAAAGAAAACAAAACAATCTTATCGCTAACCTATTAGGAAGTGATTAGATAAATATTGTAGATATTTAATAAACAAAGTATAGGTGGAAGTCGAAGAAGAACTCACAATACAAAAATAAAATTGTTTCTATAGGTACTAAAAGATTTGTTAAAGCTCACAAGTTGTAATGTTTATTTAGGTATTTCTTTTTTGTAATTTACAGTTAAATTGATAAGTTAAGACGAAACTTAAATCATCATTGTTAGATTTATTTATTGATTTTAACCTTGGAGAACAAAACAACTTTTTAACAGAACTGTTCAGCTGAAGTGACCAAATTAAAAGTAACAACAGCAGAATCCGGCACCTTCATAAATCTTTTCGACACCTTCTGGGCAATTAAGCGTTGCACAAGGTAGGGAAACAAGTCCACATTCTGGTTTAGAAGAAGGCACATC